TCCTCGCCTGAGGAAATGCGGAGCGTGATGTCCGCAGCTTGCGATAACCAGCGCGAAACGGTTCCATCGAGGAGTTTAAGCGGAACAGGCGGAATGTCATAGAATTCGATATCATGCTTGGATACAAATGCGGAGTCGATAAAACAGTCCGTACAACCCGAATCAATCAAGGCGCGGAGTTCAGCAGAGTCCAGAGAGGAGGAATGAGTTGGGGTGCGGAGAATCGAAAAGAGAATGGAAAGAGCATTGGGATCAGAGAGGGCTGCCGCATTTAGTCGGACCTCAAGCCTTTCTGCGGCGGAGACGCAGCCCTGAGGGAAAGGCGAGGTCACAGGGCTGCTCAGTAATTTCCCGACTGAGAGGAGTCGGAAACCTGCGGAGCGGACGCGTTGGCCCTGCGGGCACGGCGGGTGCGCGGGCAGTCCGCTGCGCGGTGTCCTGAGGCAGCGCAGACAAGGCAAAGGTTGTTCCGCATGCGACGTTCGCGCTCCTCAGGGCGGAGGCGACCATTAGCGTCCAGGTTGTTGTTTCCAAGGGCACTGCTGGCCACCGCCCTGACGGTTGTTGCGGTTGCCGCCTCCAGAGGAGTTAGCGGAGGAGGCGGAGGGCGCGGACGTAGAAGCGTGCGGAGCGGAGGGTTGCCGTTCTTGCGGACGGCGGGAATTGTTGCGGGAATGAGGGTGACGAGAGTGGTTATTGCGGAAGTGTGAGGGGGCGGAATGATGCGGAGTGGAGCTGGAAGAGGAAGGACCAGGACCACCGGAGGAGTGATTGTTGCGGGGGTGCGGAGCAGGGTTGGATCCGCGGTTGGTTGCGCGGAGTGCGGCCTGCTCCTTTTTGATCTCCTCCTGGCGATCCAGGTAGCGCTCGTCGATCTTGAACACCTCAACCTGGAGGTCCGCAAGGGTTGCGGGGTTCTCCCGCTTGGAGAGCTCGTTCTTGATGCGGTCGAGGAGTCCATTGTAGTACTGGTCGCGGAGCGGCTCCTCATTCCAGTTGATCTTCGCCGCAAGCTGATTGAAGGCCAAGTTGTACTGGTAGGCGCGTCCGGTCATCTTGAGCGCCTTCAGCTTGCGGGTTGCGTCCTTGATGGGGTCTTTGGGCCCAAACACGCGGATCAGTTCGTCCTTCCATGCGCGGAAGCTCTGGAACCAATCCGGGACTCGAGCGTCTCCGCGCGCGCGGGCGGCCGCAATCTTGTCGCCAAAGTAGGCATAGGCGTCGCCCTTGAGGTAGGTGAGGGCTGTTGCGACGCGGTCCGCATCGTCGCGGAAACCGTCCTGGTACCTCCCGAAGTAGAGGGTGAGCTGGGTGATGAAGTTGTCAAGTTTGTCTGGGTCCTCCCCATCGAAGGGCTCAGGGGGTCGTGCCTTGGGGCCCTCGCGCGGCCTTGTGAGTGCGGCCTCCATGGTCCGCGCAAGGCGGCGGTTGGTCCGCGTGAGGCCGGCGAGGAGCCGACTGAGGAGTTGCGGAACATCCGGTTCGTCGTCCGCATCGGCGTCAGATGAATCCGAGCTGTCATTTCCATCGTCCGCAGGGCCGCCGGGTGGGGGCCCTCGATTCGGCTGAGGAGGGCGACCCGGGCCCTGAGGTGGTCCATCTCCGCCCTGCGGAGCGTCTGCGGGCGGCTGCCCGTCATCCGAGCCTGGAGGGTCTCCACCCCCGACAGGCGGGACAGCAGGGGGTTCGTAGGGCGGAACTGGGTCGTTGGAGCCTCCCGCAACCGCGTTCTGGAGTAGCGATGCGGTGCGGAGGGGTGCAGGTGTGACGTAGGATAGGTCCGCCGATGCGGGCGGTTCATCGACTGTTCTCCCCTCGCCGGAAAACGGGAGTAAGGCGGCGGTGACAGTGGCCTCCTCTCCGCGTTCCTGCGCTGACTGTGAGGAGAGTCCGCCTGGGAATTGCGGAGTGTTTGCGGGTGTGGTCCGCGTCTGGACCTGTGTCGCCATTGGGTTTCGGTAGGCAGAGGCCGATGTAGCGGGCCCAAGGAAGGATGCGGGCGGACCCCAGATTGGCTGCTCCTGGGGCCGCGGGGCGTCAGGTTGGCGGAAGTTGGGTGGAAAGGGATTGTGGAGGGGGTCGTCGATGACAGGCGGATGTCGACGATGATGTGTGGAGATTGAGTAGGAAAACTCCGGAGGGGTTTGCGGACGTTGGAACACAATAGAGTAGTTAGTGCTCCTGGTGCGCATACCACAGCGTGCGGATCCGGAATCTACTGTTAGACTCTACGGAACTGCGGAGTCTGCGGAGTCGAAGGGACCTTGGCCTCAACGTATTGCGTTGTGCCCACGCTGGTGGTATATGGTCCAACCCGAAAGGAGAGGGGAGGAGAGGGAGAGAGAGACGCGCCTTACGGCGGAAGACGAGGAGAGAGAGGAGAGAGCCTTGCGGAGCGGAATCAGGAGCACTGTGCGGATATGCGGAGTATGCGGAAAGCTCTAGCAAGCCTGAAGGCTCAAGACTGGACAGAGGAGAAGTTCTGTATAAGTCTGATTCGAGATTCCGGATGAGTATCTACTACAGAAATCTAGCTAGCTTATATATCTGTAGATACTCTGGATATACTCTGGGATAAGTCTGGGACAAGAGAAAGAACTGAGTCATAAGAAATGCGGAATACCGCGGAATACGAAAGGGATGAGTAAGTCGATTCTAAAGAACAATAGCAAAGCAAGGGAGGGAGTCATAAAGAAGTATAAGAGGTCACATGCAGAGTCTGGGCGCCTAGAGGGCGGTTACGAGGTTTCTCCGCGCGGTCCGCACCGGCCCTCAGTTGCGGGCCGTGTCGGTCCGCTGGTACTTGCGGGCTGCGGACTTGCGGATGCGGACATCCATAGAGCGGACACATGCGGGGAGTCCGCATGTGCAGGAGTGGGATGGACGGTGCGGAGATGTGGGAGATGCGGGATGCGGAGAGATGATGGCGAGTGCGGGGATCATGCGGGATCATGTGAGACTGTGCGGGGGGTGTGGGTCAAGGCTGGTGGGTTGTGGGTAGATGTGGGGTTGGAATTGTTTGAGACCCTAACAGTCCCCGCCGGGCTAAAGCTTACGCTCTAAGTGTCTTAATTTTGATAGGGAAATTTTCGACATCAAATGATCATTTATTTAATGCCTGAGGTCAATCAAAGGTTCTGGCCTGAGGTCGGGGTAGCCTTGTACTCGAGGCCACGTCGAGCTGCTGCTGGAGCTGAAACTGGCCTCGCTCTCCATCTCCGTCTGCCTTGGTTCAGTGCCTTGAATTATTCCCTTATTTATCTTATTTACGTTCTCAGAAGCTCGGAATGACATATCACAACAAACAATCAATGCATTAAGCACCATTGGCGTGGGCGCGTGATTAATACAGATGTAAATACGAGATGCGAGAGCAGGCGTGAACGACGATAAATGGTCAGTGATAATTAATCATCGAGGTCCGTAAGGTCCACCTTCCCGAAGTGTTCGTAATCCTGCTCAAGGATGGCAACGAAAACTCTGAAAGAACCAAAAATCAGATCGAGAAAATAGCACATCCGTGAAGGACTCACTTTGATAATCCCTGCCCTTCCCCGTGCTCCTCTCGCAGGCTCTTCAATTCACTGTCAACGTAACGCCACCAGTCTTGCAGAGCCTTCGGGCTTTTCGATGCCATGACAGCAGAGTGACGCTATTTCGCTGTCAGCGATGACCTCGCATGTCAAAGGGACGACGGAAACTCACCAAGAACGCCATTCGGACGCAATGATCAATGGTCACAACTGCTCGTGCAGGCTTGCGGATCTTCAGAACTTTCTTCGTAAGGGCCAGAATGTCGAGCGGCTTGTCGCGCATCGTCTTCGCACTATCGTCTTCTGACTTCGTAAAAATAGAGCCAAAGATCTGCAATGTCCATTAAGAATGAGCTGGGTGTTGAAGAAGTTAAAGGGCACATACCGCAGCCTTGATGGAACATCGTTGATTGGAAAGCTGCTCGTGGATGCGAGTGAGTGCAGCGTTGAGATATGCGGAATTGTTCTTGACGTCGTCCGAGAGTTCGCTCACGAACTGAGCCTGATGTGGACAGACGTCAGACCAATGCTTATTTGAGGAGCAAGAACTCACCTTCACGCCGTCGGGAACCTGTGGCGAAGCAACGTAGGCCGCAGCCGATGGATCAATCAATGCCTTGAAGCAAAGGTTATCGAGTGAAGTCTGGAGATGTGTCAGTTCCGTGTGCCACGAGACCGAGAGCAACGTAAAACGAACCTTTGCAGTGTCGGTGAGCGATATTTTGGCCTCTGCAGGTGCGATGTTCGAGAGCTTTTCCTTGAGGGAAAGGATCTCGGCATAGAGCGCGAGGTGTCGCTCTTGCTCCGAGCGCTGAAATAATTTGTTGGCGGGACACGGACCACGGTGACGGGCACAGGGGCTGAACTCACCTGAGATTGCGCCAGCAGCTTGCTCGAATCTTCTTTCTTCAAGCGCTTCTCTCGCGATAATTGCTTGACGAAGTCGGAATAATCCTCTGCTGGCCGTTTACGGGTGACACTTGCTGACGTTGACACCGAGAAAACTGAAGGGGCAGGACTGGAGCTCCGCTGGGTGAGTGCATCTTCTTCAATGAATGGAGTCGACCGCGATGAAAACTGTGATTGAGCATCATCCTGTGGACCATCCCCTTGCACCCCGTCCTCGTCGAGATTCTGTGGGAGCAGCTCCGGTGAAGACCGTGTCTGCGATTCAGCTCGAGGCTGGCGAGACCGTTCAACAAGTTCTGCAAGGGTCAACATCGTCTGGAATTCGAGCCGAGACCTGAAAGAGAAATACAGAATTGGAGGAACAAACCTGAAGATGTGTGACGTTTCAAAGTCAAGCGTGAAGTGGTGTGTGACCCGGACACTTTGTCGCTTCGCTTCGGACTTTGCCTCCAACTGATCGAGGGATCGCCATTCGGTCTTTGGTCTTCGATCAAGATAAACGCAAAATCAACTCGAGAGGGCTCAGAGTGTGGATTCAGAACATCTTTACACAGCACAATGGGCGGGGATCATATGGATCTGGAGGATGGTAAGCAGTTTTGACTTTAATTTGGCAGATGACTGAGCGAACGTTCAACGTACAGATTTTCGACAGTGTTTGCACGATCCAGAGAAGGTTCAGTGCATCCTTTGCACCCAGTTCTACGGGAAATCTGTGGAGATCAAGAAAAGAGGGAGAAAGATTCACCTTTCATCGCGAAAACATACCGACGCCCTCTCCAAAACTGAGGTGCATGCAAGGAATGAATCTGAAGAAAACCCGTCAGGATCCAGCACACACGTCGAGCACGCACCGCCAATTCCACTTCCACAGCGCTTTCTGACGTCCACGCAAGAGACACTGGAATGTCAAGAGTTCGAAAGCGAGGGCATAGCATCCCTGGTAGAGGACGATGGATTGATTTATTCTGAGGACCATACTCCCCTGTACTTCAATGCTGGACACATTGGTGGAGACGAGGTTGAAAGAAACCTGCGTGCTGGACTGGGGAACCTCGAGTACTTGACGCTCTCAGACAGGTTTGGCTACTTCACATCGCCATATTCCAACACCATCGATGATGAAGAAGACGCACTTGAGGATTCAACGACCATGACCAGGCTTCAGCAAGAATTGAATAGAATGGGTGAGTACAATGAATTTGAATCAATCTGGAGGTAAACACTTACGCGCGTTTGAGCAGAAATGGATGCAGATGATGAGGAATGGAACGATAAGCTGTACGCCGAGTCTCTGGACCCGTCCGACCGCAACAAATGGGGTTCCCATGGTTCCAGAACGGTTCGTGTTTACGCCTATTCAGAGAAAAACAAATTCAGAGACGGATTGGGAACTCTCCACAGATGTTCTACCTGGACCTTATTTGCAATCTACCCCGTCTCCGGCTATCCGACGACCATATACGAGCCATTCTCTGGATTATGCGAGAGTGCGGAACGCCTAATGTCCCATTGTTTTCAGCGCTTCGAAAGCTGCAAGAACAATTGAAGACCGAGCTTGGACTTGAACCCAAGCGACATACGTCGAGTTTGGGCAATGTATTTTACATGAATCACCCCCGAAAACTCCTTTCTCTTGTCAGTTCCTCGTTTCAATAGGCGTGGCCTGTGCTCACCGTTTTATGCAGGATTGGGCAAATCCACTGGTTCGGAAACACATTAATGTGTATCCCGAGGTCTCTGAAACTGTATCAGAGCCATGGCAAGCGGACAAGTGGCTAAACGAGATTGATTTTGAACACCTCTCACCAATGTGGGCGGACTGGAAAAGGTCGCCATACCGTCATTTTTATATCAAAGAAATCGCCCAGCTTGATGATGGTTCATTTGTGGTGCCTCTCATGTGGGTGATGGTGATGGGTGTTGTCCATGCGAGAGCTTGTCGCATTCTTTCCGAGGTTGGGAACGAGGTAAGTGTGTGTGTCGGTTCTAGTGAAGGACATGGGTCACCCATGGCTCACTCAGGTCTGACCCTCACCCATACCCACCAAAACCCATACCCATGAGTGTGGGTGTGGGTTTCCGTGGGTTTATGTGGGTGTGGGTGTGGGTCTGAAACCCATGGGTTTTGGAAGCATGGGTAGAGTGGAATTGTGAGTGATTGGAGTACAAATAGATATTGGACATAAATATTTAACTTAATAGAGTAGATAGCATTAATACAAGAGCAATTGAGGTCAAAATAGTTGCATACAGAAGCATTTTTCCCATTGGCACTTGAGACTCCAGTAACCCGTGGGTCAGGTGGGTTAGGTGTGGGTGCCGCAGAAGTGACCCACACCCACACCCACCTGACCCATACCCACCAACCCACAGGGTCAGCCCAACCCATGTCCTTCACTAGTCGGTTCAATGCGGGGTGACCAGTGGAGAGCGGCGAGTTAACAGTTTGAACCAGACGTCAACGTTTCAACGTTTCAACGTTCAACAGCAACGTCAATCAGGATCAAAAAGATTGGTGATGGGGATCCTCGATCAGGGCTCGAGCAGATTCCAGCCTCTCGATTTAGGTTCACGTTCAAGGAATTACGAAGTGCAGGATATCACTTCGAATTTGAGGACACTGCAAAGCCAGACCTGGTACGCAAAGACTTAGGAACCTCACCCCATCCAACACGAGCCATCGCCAATGGCCGACCAGCTTTCGTACTTCGAATTTTCCCCTGGTGCGACGATGTTTCAGGCAACAGATCAAAGCAATACAATCCCCACATTAACCTCTACACCAAGAACGCCAACCTACCTCATCTGCACCACAATCAGGAGTATTTTGTTCGCTTTGTGACGACTTCCCAGCACGCTTCTGCATTGGAGCAGTTTGATGCACTCAAAAGCGATTTGTGAGTTGTATCTTATCCTTCCAGGTCGCAGGGTTGTTGATATCTGATGCTAAAAGTGGTGTCTGGACGAACGCATATGATTGCGAACTTGCGCAGGAGATTGTCTTTCAAGTGCAGCCACATTGCTTACCTGCGGACAACCCCCAGCAAGCCGAGTCGTGCTCATGTGGTGGACTCGGTTCGAATCACAATTGTCGATACGATACGACCGGAGGAACGAAAAGCGCCAAAGAGTCCAATGAAGGGTATCATTCCCTTTTCCAGGTGAGGCTGATCCTCGAGTCCAAGTGCTTTCATTCACCGATCACCAACATAGCCCGGAACACCGCGAACACCAGAGAATACCCGGAACGAAATTGAGAGACAGATCAAAACGGCGTGCTCTGGTGTCGATCCCAGAGATTTACAGACAGAGACTGGAGTAAAGGATAAGATCGCCCAGTTTTGGATCAGTCAAGTATTACCAATGGCTAAGGAACGTTTCAAACAGCGAGCAACGGATCCAGCAACAAAAGATGAACGCCTGAAAGCTGCTAAGCTTACCCCAGAGCAAAGAACCGCCCTCAAGGACGAGATCCGTGAAGAAATACAAACCGAGATGTTCTCTTGGCTAGTCACACAGCCACCTGAGCGCTACGAATTGCTTCCCAAAGACTCTGGTAATGTGGATTTCGTTTATTTCTCGTGAAAAACATGCTGAAGTTCTTGCTGCATGCCAGAGCTCAGAGGTCAGCTCCGCCCTGGGGATCACTTCAATCCGTTCCTATCGGTTGACGGGCTCGATCCTCATCGAGACAGTCCATGCGAAACCCTCCATACCTATCTTCTTGGCCAGAAGAAGTATGTCTGGCACGCAACGAGCAAAGGGTGGGACAAGAAGAAAGAGGATGTCTTTGCAACTCGCCTCCGAGGGGTATCCATCGACGGTCTCTCCATCGATTCCATCCGGGCCCAATATTTCGTTCGCTACAAAAATTCGTTGATAGGAAAGCATTTCAAATCTCTCCAGCAGGTCGCAATCTTCTGTTTGAACTCGGATTCACTCTGCTCCCCCGATCTCTTCAACCTTTGGAAGGCTTCTGGTGAATTGGGTGCTCTTCTGTGGTTTTCGGAGATCAGAAATATGGATGAATATGTCGTAAGTTTCCTCCCTTCGGCTTGACTCATTCTCACCGAAATCCAACTGATTCTATCATCTTCACAAGGAGAACCTTTCAGTTGCGATTGCCAACGTTCTGGACCTTTGGGCTGTCCTCGATCCAGAGCGCATAATAACAAAATTCAAGTTACACGCGCTTACACACCTGCCCGATGATGTCCGGCGCTTTGGACCTCCCGCCCTGTTCGCAACCGAGGTTTTCGAATGCTGGAATGCAATCTTCCGCTTCTGCAGCATCCTTTCAAATCACCAATCGCCTTCGCACGACATTGCGAATACTCTCATTGGAATGGAGCGCTTCAAACATCAAGTAAGTGGCGGGTGGTGGAAAGACAGTAAAGGACAATGGGTGCAGGCTGGCCCCAGTGTGAAGGGGATACTGGCCAGAGACCCGGAGCTGCAGCGACGTTTGGGTTGGTCAGAAGGGATCGGACTCGTCCCAGGTGCGTCAGAGCAATGTTATGAGATCCTAGACGCCTTGTTCATATCCCTGTGCATGACTGCAGGCACTGTTCGTGTACAAGCTGCACGGAAGCGAGTGGCATTGTCGTTCAGCGAGATCCTGAGCCCTTGGAATCAGTTAGTCGAGCCTGAGGGAGGCCCAGGGCCCCGCCGATGGTGGAGAGGTGTATTCCTCGTTTCTCGATCTGGAGACATTTGTAAGGAGGACTCGTGGGTCTTTTATTATGCTCACTCAACCGTACGTACATTCTCTTTCGAAAGCCTGATCCACAGAGCTGACAACGTTGATCCTTCAACAGGAGACTGTTCAAGCGGGTCGCATCCGTCGCATAATTGCACCTGAAGGATCAGATTACTGTGGAGAGAATAGAAAAGCGCTGGTTCTGATCGAGAGGTATTCTATTGCATCCAATAGGGATGCACGCTTTGGAATGCCTATATTGGTCAAACCAAATGATATCTCTGAGTCGACGAGGCTGCTACCCACCAGTGTACGTGCTCACTCGTTTGTTAAGATCACACTCCGACATTACGTTGAATCGGATCTGTTTTCAGGACATTCTTTTCATTTTCAATGCTCAACATGACTGTGCTCATGCACAATGCGAAACTACACGAGTTCCCATCCTACAGGAACGAGAAGAAACCACCCAGTTTTACGAGAAGATTTCGCATCGAGGGGACGAACAATTCTTGATCAACACGCACGCGCTTCATAACGCTGTCCTCCTTCGCGAAGCTATCCCGCGAAGTTTAACTCAACCTCTTTTGGTATTCCAGGATCGAAAGGCAAAGCACGACGAATTTGCGGCGACGCTACAAATCACGGGCCCTGCCAAACGTGCGGATACTGCTGCTAAAAGAAAGGAAACCACTGCTCGAAAATCTGCGGCCAAAGCACTCAGGGAGCAAGCTAAGAAGACGGTGGCAGACAAGCGCTCACCCGTGGTTGACGAGCCCTTGGAGGAGCGTTCAGGCCCGGGAGATGAGGGCCCAGAGGGGGAAGGTATGGATGTAGATAAGGAATGAAGATATTTCCCCAGCTCTCGAGGTTAATCTAAGGTCACAGTCTAATCTGAGTCGCGTATCAAATGCAGTGTCAAATTGAGACTGTGGACTCGATGAGCCGAGTTTGACCTGAACCATCAGTCTGAGTATCGGCTGCCGAGCAACAGGTCAACACAGGACCCGATCAAGTTGGCGGTGTAGTGCTCTTCAGGCCAAGAATTGGCGTATATAGGCGCGTACCCACACGGCCAAACAAGCAACACGCTGCCCGGCACGATGATGGCAACTTGGTCTTTTCCCTTATGTTCTCGTCACTCCACATATCTCAAGTCTCTCCAAAAACGTATCACGCTCACGTATCATGAGGCTGGTGCATTGTGGAAGCGTATGGGAAACTCTCCGGTGGACCCTGCATGCTTGGTGGCATGCCTATTCTGTCCCAACGGATCGGGCGACGTGGACCTCAACGCAGGATACGACCATACCCTACGAAGAAGAAATCAAGATAACTGCGAAGCGCTGGGCTCTGTTGACGCCATTCTTTGCATCCCGAGGTTACCACCTCTATGAACCGAGCAAGCTACCTCAGACCATGCCTCCGTCCTCGCTCAAGCCTCCGGCTGACGTCGATGAAAGCTACCCCTACGCACGACGTCGTGTGAGGGACGAACAAGGTCTCGCGTTCCTTGATATTCAGGTGCGCTAGGAAGTACTCCATCTACAAAATTCTCTCAACCTGGCTCTTGATTTGTAGAGTTGTAGGGTGTGGGCCGCGCGCGACAATGCCGGAAGAGAGGTGATCATCAAGTCTGTCCCTATGAATTGGATACGATGTCAACTTTCTGATTTCAATCCGCCTGTGACTTTCAGGATGGTCTCCTTTGGGGAGAAAGAATCAGACGAGCTGAAGATATACAGGAGGTTGAATACACCTGGAGCTAGGGCAGATCCTCGCAACAGGACCCTACCTGTCATTGACTATATCACTTACGACGGATTGGTCTTCGTTGTCACGCCTCGGTTGGTGCTTGATTATGCCAGCTCTCTGATGTACTCATACCTTCCATCGCCAGCTGGGGGGAGCCAGTCGTGGGACTGAGTTTCTCCACGGTAGAGCAGCTTCTTCTCATGACCGATCAATTGCTGGAGGTATGTACCCGCCCTACTACCGGTCCGTAGCCAGGTCATTAATCAAAGGTATAGGGCATGGTCTTTCTGCACCAACAGAGAATAGCTCACCGCGATGTTGACACACGGAACATGGTGATGAACGCATTATTTGAGGTTTGCGAGGGACACGACTGCGATGAAATCCGTGACCCCTCTGCTGTACGTTACGCTTACATTGACTTTGAAGCCTCGGCAATCTTCTCCATGGATACAGACATCGACAAGGTTGTAATGAAGCGCGAGAGGAGGTTTAGGACAGTACATGCTGGCTTGGAAGGCCCCGAGTCGAATCCTTTTGCAGACGACATTTACGTTCTGATACATGTCTTACAGCGATGGGTCCGGGTGCGTCATTTCTGAGCAACCACAATGGAGGATGCTCACAAAATGACTTTCCGTCAGGTTGTGGAAAATGTCGTCCCCGAGATGGGAGTGTTCTTCGACGAGATCCTCTCGAATTACTCGAGCGATCTCTCTGCTATCGCTGTTCTGAGCAAATTTCGCCAGATCCGGGCAGAACTCACGGCAGAGCAGTTGAAGAGCCCCACCCCCGGTCGCCTTTGGCACGAGGGTACCACCTCTACATTTTCTTGCTTCAATCAGCGCTGACCTTCTGGCTTTGCTTTTAGGAAAGGTGAAGAGACATTCAAGCTCCTGGGGATTTAAAGCAAACAAGTCTGCACCATAGTCTCGAACAGTTGGAATTTCACAGATCTAGACAGGAGCGTCGAGCACCGATTCCACATGGGATGGCTGTAAAGCTAGCTACCGCCAGAATGATTGAAGTACAAATTGTCACGGACATGTCAGAAATATTTGGTTCTACTTTGACTATGGCGTCCTCGGGGATGGCTGGGGAACTACCTCCAACAGCCGCTCAAGTATAGATCGTGAACAAACCAGTTATGTGCTACATAGCTAACCAGTACGGTCGCGCACCTACATGCCCAAATAAAACAAAGCAACACGTTGCTTCTGCCCATTCCAGCACACCCCTGCCGCGGCTTCTCAATTCTTTCACCTCACCTCAGCTCTCACACTCGTCTATGATGATCCTGGTACGATGTGGGAGTATATGGGAAACTCTCCGATGGACACTACATGCTTGGCGGCATGGCTATCATGTCGCAACAGATCTGGCGACGTGGACCTCGACCCGGGATACGATCATACCTTACGGGGAGGAACTTAAGATTACTGTGAAGCGCTGGTCATCACTGGCACCATTCTTTGCATCTTGGGGCTACCATCTCTATGAACCGGACATTGGGCCCCGGATCATACCACCATCCTCATCCGTACCACCCAGTGACATTCAAGGCGACTGTTATCCTTACCCGCGACGTCGCGTGAGAGACGAAAAAGGCCTCATGTTCGACCAGATTCAGGTGTGCTTGGCACAGCTCTTCCTTTCACCAGTTGTTCTCAATCCGTCTCTTCATTGTCTGCAGGGATGTAGAGTGTGGGCCGCGCGTGACAGAGTCGGAAGAGAAGTGATCATCAAGTCCGTCTTCAACAGGGCATGCCCCGGAGATGGAAGCTGACCCGAATCTTCCTGCCGATTTTCAGGATGGTATCCGTGGGGGAGAAGGAGTCCGATGAACTCAAAATATACAAGAGGCTAAATGCACCTGAGGCTAGGGCTGATCCTCGCAACCGCACTCTACCGGTCATCGACTACATCACATACAATGGCTTGGTATTTGTAGTCACACCCCGGTTGGTCGCAGCTTTTCTCCGTGCCCACTTTCTGGATGTTCTGACATAGCACTCCTATTGCGCCGCCTGACTGATACACGTTAATGTAGGGCATGGTGTTTCTGCACCAGCATAGAATAGCTCATCGTGACGTCGACATTCGGAACATGGTCATGAACGCGTTGTATGAGATTTGCGAGGGACACGATTGCGTAGAAATTCGCGATCCCTCTGTTGTACGTTACGCTTATATCGACTTTGAAGCCTCCGCGATTTTCCCCGTGGATGCGGACATCGGGAAAATTGTAATGGAGCGGGAGAGGAGGTTCAGAACACTGCACGCTGGGCTGGAATCACCTGAGTCGAATCCCTTTGCAGACGATATCTACGTTCTAATTTACGTCCTGCAGCGTTGGGTCCGGGTGCGTCATCTCATAACGTCTATGACCACCCGAAATGGGAGAAGCTCACAAATAATCTCCACATCAGGTCGTTGAGAATGTCGTTCCTGAGATTGGAGTGTTTTTCGACGAGATCCTCTCGAGTTACTCCAGCGATCTGTCAGCCATCGAGGTTCTGAGCAAATTTCGTCGCATCCAGGCAGGACTTACACCAGAGCAGTTGAGGAGTCCCACCCCCGGCAGACTTTGGCACCAAGGTACTATCTCCGTCTCCTCTTACAATGGTTACCACCCACATGTCTTCGTTTTTGCAGGAAAGGTGAAAAGGCATATCAACAACTGGGGGCCCGTAGGAAATGAGCCTGCCAGTTCCTGAAGCCATGCAATACAAAGTACCCAACCGGGGATTGCGCATGTAGTTGTTATGCCTTTCTAGAAGTCCACTGATTTCGAAGCTGCAGCGTTCTGGTCAAGAGGGAAATATTGCAGGGGTACCTCTCCATACACAAACAATTGAGATGAATCAAATTTCAGTCAAGAGCACATAAGTCCCGGTCCACTTGGTGCCTCCATAGAACAGGATATCGGCGTCGGGCTCAGTTCGCTGCGGTGCAAGAACCGCCGTGCCCAGAGCAATGAATGTACAGTATTCAATGTCCCTGTAGCATGTGGCCAGAATTAGCTGCAATCTGTAGTACTTGGATGCTGTAAATTTCATTTGGCAAAATAGTTCATTGCTCACATGAAATGTCAGGAAATTGCTCTTGCACAGCTTTCACTCCGTGACCACTGTTCGACGGACCCGTACTGTGGCAACTGCACATTGAAAGAGTCACACAGCATATTCCGCAAGCGATGCAGTTTGGGATGTATAAAGGACTCCCAATTCGACGATAGGTTCCTTCCCAGACCTGAAGCTAACACCTTCGAGCTCGACCTCTCTCCAGTCTCCTTTTCTGTACTCTTCCTCTGCCTCCCTGATCGCCATGGTCACTGTCAACCCCAACTCCAATTCTAATCCCCAGCCAGAGAAACCTCAGGACGAGGGTATGACGGTCGAGCCTGGGCCAAAGGACGCGCCAGCACCAAAGCGCCCATTGTGCGGTCCATCTGATTTACGCTAGGACACGGTGTATTCTAATTGCATCCTACACAGAGATATCGTCTTTCTCCAAGATGCCACAGGAAGTCAAGGCCCATACATCCAATCTGCAGTGAAGGCAATCCACTCCATATGCCAAAAAATCTCTCAATCCCCCGCGCTTGGGGGCGGCGATTCCGGATCTGCTCCCACAGAATCCATCCGCTTTGGTCTGATTGCGTTCCGCGACCATCCACCCCAGGATCGCAGCTATGTCACCAAGAACTTTGGGTTCACGAGCAACGTCGACGAGGTGAAGAAACATCTCAGCGGTCTCATCGCCTCTGGAGGTGGGGATGGGCCCGAGGCGTCCACTGCTGCGCTAGCAGAAGCGTTGAATATGGAATGGAAGGAGAACGCCGTCAAGATCGTAGTGTTGATCACGGATGCACCTCCGCACGGGCTCGGGGAGGTTGGAGATGGGTTTCCCAATGGATCCCCTGACCGTAAGTCAGGTCAAGTCCTCCGTCGAGATGACCTCTAACATCGCCTTGACTAGAGAACGACCCACTCTCCATTGCAAGGCAGATGGCCGAACACGGAATTTCACTGGTACGAGTTTGACTTTATCGCCTTCAAATACCTCGAGCTAACCTTATCGCGATAGTACATCATCGCCTGCGAGCCATCGTTGAGCAAATACAAACACGCTGTGGACTTCTACCGGGCGCTCACCCAAATCACCAGTGGCCGCATGGTCCCACTCGTTCACGCCGAGCAGTTGGGCGACTACATCGTTGGCTCTGCTATCGAAACCCTCGAAACGGAACACCTAATCGGCCAATTCGAAAAGGTTATTCTCGAAGACGTGTACGGACAGGGCAAGTCCGTCGAAGAAGTCATGGAAAGCGTCCAGAACGAGCTGAACAAGAGGAATGTGCAGCTGAACACGTTGAGTGTGGAGGATATCTATAAGCCATCGGAAGTGGCAGAAAAGAACGTCAGCACCTGGGCGCAGGCATTCTCCTTGAGTACCGCAAGGGAGAACGTGCAAGAGGTAAGAATGACAGCTGGGGTCTTTTGATGATCATTGCTGAGGCTTGGGTTCAGGTCAGCGGTTCCAGAGTGCGCGAATCCTACATTCCCGGTCGGGCCGTTCCCGGTCGGTCGGCAGCCCCAGCTCAAAGGCAGCAAGTACAAATGCAACAGCAGCAGGTCGACAAAGGCCAGGTAAGTCTAAGCCTTGCAACTTGGGGAACGAGGTGACTGACGATACTCGCTAGGCCAAACGAATGGTGATGCAAAGCTTGATGAGAAACGCAGAAGTGGGAGCTGGAGGTATCCTCAAACCCAGAGGAGCGTACGCACACAAGGGGCCTACCTCTTTCAACATCTGACGATCGTGGCCCAAAACCGGTTTTATTAATGAAGTATATGCTCAACCTTTCCACCAGTTATCATACGAGGCGCTCGCGTTGACGCCCTGTATACCCAATCAGCACTGGATGTTCATGTTTTCGGGAACAAGACGCACCATTGTAATGTATCCAATCAGACCTTGGCGAATAACACCGCCCAAAAATTCTAGTTTGAAAACAGGGTTATACTTGCCCTCGGGACCGTGACTATCCTCGAAGATGTTCAACGAATCGCGCCAGTTCCTTGTTCGTCCCCGGGTGTGGCGGATCGGGTTCTCGGAATAGGGATGCATCTGCCCGAAGTTAGTTCCGATTCAGGTAGAGAAGCGAGATGGCGTACGTTGTCGATGACGAGGTTGATCTCGTCTTCGAAGAAGAACTGGCCAACGTGGGCCAATCGTCCTGCTTTGAACGTGCCATTCGGAAGCGGGACCCATTCTGGGAAGACTTTGGTATGAATGTGGGTCGCACGACCTGTGTAGTAGCCAGGGAAGATGGTCGTGAATTGGGCTACTCCATTGCGATCTGTGGGCCACGCTCCTCGCAGCCAGGTCTCTTCGAAAACAGTCCGCGGATATGCACTGAGAAGTCCAGCACGTTTCCCGCCAACCTGAGGTTGCTCGTTCACGAGTTCGGGGCGAGGGAAGGGATGTCCTGCGTAGCTTCCAGTCGCATTGGCTTGCCAGATGTCCACAAGGACGTTGGGAAGAGGTTTGCAGGTCTCTACATCGATAACCCCGATGTCAAGGAGCTGCGTGGCTATTGGTGAGGATAAACTAGCTGAATGAGCAACAAGAACATACCAACAACAATCCATCCTGGTATTCGGCGATATTCTGGCGTATCGGATGGCCTTCCGTGTGGTAATACGGACCTTCTGTTACCTCTGGGGCTAGAACACAACTATTGTTCTGGATGTGGGTCTCCCCTATCGGCGAGCACGACATGAGTTCCTGTTCTCCATCTTCTTCGGAAGAACCAATCTGTTTCCTGAGATCTTCGTAGGTGTCAGAGGAGAATAATTGCTGGTAGCCGGGAACGCCCCCAGCAAGAGCTCGCTGGGCGAAAGCACGTTTTCGACCAGCGGTAAACGATTCAATGGCTGGGGCGCACTGTTCGCAATGAGTCGCCATTCAGGTCTCGAAATTCGTTGGTTACATACATGATAAGCTGCGGCTTGCAGAGCCCGTTGAACCTCAATTTCCCTCGTCGTCTTGGGCTCTTTGTGAGCCAGCGACGAACCCGCTGCTGCAAGCAACACGAAGAGATTTGGGAACCACATGGTGGTCAGGATAAGAGTTTGAATAGGCTCTACCCATCCATATCCGCGATTGTCTTATATTCTTGCTGGGCCGGGATCAAACACAAGACCCGACCGAGGGAATATGGATGAATTGTTTAGACGTAAACGGCAACGACGAGCAAAGCTATAGATCATGGCCTTGATCGACGACCACCACCACGACGCGAAAGACCATGGATCCAGATTTGCTTCCGCCCGCGTCGGCACCGGACGCTGCGTACTCTGTCGTCGCTGGCTCGTTTCGTTCGCTGTCGCTGGCGTTGTTGGCGTTCTACCCGTTGAACAAGACCCTTGAACACGTCGCGACCGTTCCAGCGTTTGGGCCACACCAGTATCTTGCAACGACACCAAGAAAGGATTATGTCTATACCACGAGTTGGGCGACACCACCGATTCTGTCTAGTTGGAGGACGACGAGGACGAACGAGAGGGTGGACGGCTTGGAACACGTCAATACCGTTCCAATAAGTGCGGCTGCAGCAGATTCTCCCAAGGCGGGTTTGGTGCTGAACGTCCATTACAGCGGCGACGTCGTCCTATATCAACATACCACCACCATACACGTTCATTTACTCTGCTGGGGGGCCCACCGGCGAAGTGCATGAGTACGACCCGCAAACTGGCGGCTTTGGAAGAAAGGTTCAACAAGTCCTTTTTGTCCCTGAGGATGAGCTGGAGAAAGCAGACAAATCGCGGGTTGCACTGGTACGTCGTCAAAGGTTGTCGAGAACCATCCATCTGACTCAGGTTTGCAGCGATATGGATCCCACGGCGTTGAATTCTCTTCCGAAGGAGACGGATTCATCCCTGTTCTTGGGACGGATTCGATTGAAATGTATCGCAAGGATCCTGAAACTGGAGAACTCATCCACATCTCATCCAACGGGTCACCCCGCGGTACGGGCTTGCATGATGGGCCACGACATGTCAAAGTGCACCCAAACGGGAAGGTCCTGTATTGCGTGGCCGAACATAGTGAGTCTTACCTTTGAGCTTAAGGGGAAGGTAATCTTTGTGTGGTCGCTCAAGAACGTATCATCTTGGCCAAGGGGCCTCAGACTACGTCTCGTCCATTCCTCCCCATGATCCTCCTGCAGCCAGCGCGACTTGACACATTGGGCGCCCTGTTTCTTTGATCGTTGTTTCCGAGGCTCAATGCTCACAGATTCCTCACAGCGAATTTCGTTGACGTTTACCATATCCTCCCTGACAAACTCCAGCCAGTCAGCAGCCATTCGATTCTCCCTCGCCATCTCTCCGAGTCAGACGGTGATGTAAAGTTTGATGACCCTCACACAAAGTCCAAGTACCGAGGAGGCACTCTAATGCTGACACCCTCGACACCGGAGTACCCAGCTCCCATCGCTTTGTTCACTACAACTCGCGGGGCAACGTCCACCGAAAAAGGTTGGCTGTCCATCTTCAAGCTCGACGCCGATGGGCACATAATAGACAACGAGTCCCATGACGAAACAAAGGGACCTCAGTCGCCGCTATCGCAATCTGTTATCCGTTTCGAAACGCCCACGTCTAGTGGGAAGGCCAATGCTCTGGACATTCGGTCGAAAGACAATTCTCCTGGTGTCTGGGTCCTCCTAACGGACGACGACAAACAGGCAGACGAACGAGGGGCTGTGAGGGTGCTGGAATGGGATGGCTGGGGCGATGAGCTTGGGTTACGGATAGTTGCTGAGTGGCCGAGCTCGGTGGACTCTCAGCCAGAGGCCCAACCCGAATCTCGGGCAGAGGACCCACAGCGGTTTACGGGCGCCAGTCACGCGATATGGTTGGATTAGGTGTGTAACGTTAAACCCATACCCACTGTACTTGGCTAACGTGGCTTTAATGTAAAAACACTAGTACCGCCGAAAGTGCCCAGTTTAACGTGATACCCAAGTGATATCTACAGTAGGACCAACGAACAGCGGGCGTGTACCTCTGACTCCAATCATTTTCTGTTCTCCTGACAGACGGGGATGCATTCTGAACCTTACACGGAGCATGACTCAAAGGGTTAGTTCCAGGAACCAAGTCTGCCATCTCTCCGTTCTTCCTCGTTCTTCCAAACTTGCCAATTTATGGATTTAACAAAAGATTTTGGCTGTGAACCCCCGTCATCTCGGTCTGCTTGAATCTAATTCCAAAAGAATCGTCACAAGGCCACTCAAGAGTTGGTACACCGACCCAATACCTTCGAAATCCCTTCTTCATGTCTTCCACGCATCAACAAACGGACCCAAAACTCACCATTCTAGCGCCCACGACTCCACCGACCAGTCCTTGGGTTTACGTTACAGTATCTCTTTCCATTGTTTTCGCAGAATTTCCGCCGCCGATGTGCGGATCTGGAGGACATCTGGAACCCACCCCGCGACGTTCTGCAATAATGAAGGAGTTCTATTCTTCTCTTGTGGGTGACCATGTACGGTGTCCGTGCTATTGGGTCCCAGGAGGAAGTGATTGAAGCGCCACGGTGTGGGTGACTTAGAAGGGATCTTACGTTCTCGTCGGATTTCTGGAATTGGGTGAGGACTTGATAGGCTATTTAATAGTGGGCGTTGGTTGGATGGTGGACCCCAGGGCGTTCTTTGTCCATCCCCCATCGGCCCCGCTCACGAATTTCTTCACGACCGCTACGACATGGAAATGGATCCCTTCCTCCTTCGCACACAAGCCCACATCTTGGGCTCAATATGGATGGACGTGAGCACACCTGATTTGTCGTCTCCCTGCATCACCTTGTAACTAATGCTGTGACAGCTCTTGGTCTACGGATTATACGTGCCTTTCTACCTCGCGGCCACTTACATCTGGGCCGCCAAACCCACGACTGCCCGCATCCCTTCAACAGTGTTCTTCCTCGGAAACACCATTCTCTTCATACTCGGAACGATCCACGTCGGTGAGTCCTCAAGCTCTTTCCTTCGCTTTTGAGCTAGGTGTTAATACGAGAAATTTAGGCATAAATTGCCATCGACTAATCCAAGCATGGGGGTACATGGTTGGTCCCGACAACTTCCCCCTCAACTATATTCAGAACGCTGCGGGCTGGGATAACTGGGCCCATACCGTGCTCATGTGTCTGATGCCCTGGTTCACTGGTGCACTCATCGTGGGTATACCTCCAGCTCTCGAAAGAGAAACCACCGGCTAATACTACAGAAAAATAGACCTACAGAACGTACCTGGTCTGGGACAAGAACATCATTATCGTTCTCTTCCCTATTATTTTCCACCTCTGGAACCTTGGTATGTCACTCGCTCTCACAATCATGGTACAATTACTAAATCTAAACAAAGCATTCGGCGCCGTTCTCCTCCACTGGTTCCGCACCCAATTCACCACCTACGACAAGATTCTCCCATGGATTGACTCGAGCTATCCCCTCGGCTTCTGCCAATTCTTCATCTTGACCTCTCTCATCACCTACAAGTCCATCAAGGACCACAAGGCCAACGTCGCCGCTGGTGTGCCAACGAGCACCGGCTTCACGCTCTTCAACAGGATCTTCTGGGATAGCGCTGCACTGTACACCATTGTGTGGTTCATGATGGTCCCGCTGTACTTCAAGATGAACCAGGGTCAATTCATTCTACAGGCAGCGTTGCAACAGATTGGGGGTAAGTCTAATTTTCGAAAACGGCACATTCTCGACGTGAACTGACGCGACCACTTCTCCGCCAATAGGTATCATCGTTTCCATTCAACACGTTCGTGTCCATTTTGCAGGATCCAAGCAGGTTCTGTCAGACGTGATGGATCGTGCCCCTGTCTGGTTAAACGAGACCGCAGTTGCCGAGAGCAAATCGAGCAGCAACGACAACTTGGAACAGAAGGTGTAAATGGATGGCTGTCGTCCTTCATGGTATTTTCTGTGGTGGTTACTATGCAATTTCTGTATTCAATCTTTGTAGTTTAATATGACTGAGGTATTCGACTTGCGCTGTGCCGGTGGATGCACACGATACTCGGAGGCGCCCGTATCGAACATGTACGACGGTATTTGCCCCAACTTCAACAGCTCCTGTCATTGTCAGAAGCGTGATACTATATCCTAGTACACCCGTTTGCTTTGCATAGCGTGGATCATATCAAGTCCTCTCACCTTTCTTGTACTTGAACGAAAGCAGGCAACTTGTCGTTTTCCATGCCAAGGCCGCAATAGCGAACTTAGAATCCTCGCTCTAGAGGTATAAACAGCACGAGCAGCAACGACAACCCGGAACAGGTGCAACCGGAGGGTTTTCCTTCTTCGCGCTATTTCCTCTGGTGTCCCACACGCAATTCGTGTATTCATTCATGCGTAGCTTGTGGCCGGGAGCATCCGACCTGCGTTGGTGTTTTCGACTCCTGTCCAACTCCTGTGGTTGGCGAATGTACACCAGCCTTGTATAAGCACAAGTCCCCAGGGAAGAGTCATGGCGATTGCTAGACTGCTCAGAAGATATGAATTAAGTACTTGCGGGTGCACTCCCCGCAAAACCCCAGTCGCTGAGATGTCTTTGCACCTTTCCTACATCGCGTGTCAGCGTCGGTCATACCGAAAAAGGTGAAGATATTAATATTACCTTTATGCCAAAACCTGCCAGGGGTGGGACTCTTCAACTGTTCTGGTGTGAGTCCAGCCCGGATGCGGCGAAATTTGCTCAGAATCTCTATGGATGAGAGATCGCTGGAATAATTTGATATTATCTCGTCGAAGAACTTCCCGATTGCTGGAACGGTATTCTCGACAACCTGGTGGGGAAAGTCGTTTGTGAGCACCATCTGTTCCCGGAAATAGCGACTACCAGACGACGCACCCGAACCCAACGTTGCAAGACAACAATCAAAACGTAGATGTCGTCTGCAAAGGGATTCGATTCTCCACTTTCCAGACCAGCGCGTATGGTTGTGAGCCTCTCCTCCCGCTTCATAACAACTTTCCCGATGTCCGTATCCGGAGGCAGAATTACCGAAGCTTCAAAGTCAATGTAAGCGTAACGCACAACGGAAGAGTCACGAATTTCGTCGCAGTCGTGTCCCTCGGCAATCTCGTATAGCGCGTTCATGACCACGTTCCGCGTGTCAACGTCGCGGTGGGCTATTCGTTGGTGGTGCAGAAATGCCATGCCCTTGATCATCGGTAAATTAGCCAGATTACGAAGTAGTAGTGCGGTGGGTGATACCTCCAGCAGCTGATCAGCCATGACAAGGACCTGCTCTACCTTAGAGAAGCTCAACCCCACGACTGGCTCCCCCCAGCTATAAATGAGAGAAATCAGTGCCAGAGAAGCTGGGGTATTGAGACACCAACCGGGGTGTGACAACGAATACCAGCCCATTGTAGATAATGTAGTCGAGGACAGGCAGGGTCCGGTTGCGAGGATCTGCCCTAGCTTCAGGGGTATTCAACCTCTTGTAAATCTTGAGCTCGTCCCACTCTTGCTCCCCCAAGGAGACCAGCCTAAAGGGGGTGAAAGTCAGTTAATTCTGTCATTGTATCCAATAAACAGGGACAGAGACTTGATGACGACCTCTCTTCCGGCATTGTCACGCGCGGCCCACACCCTACAACTCTACGATCCAAGAGTCAGATTTAAATGACCGTGTAAATAGGGCAGCTTCCGGCGCACCTGTATTTCAATGAACTCGAGACCTCTCTCATGCCTCTCTCGGCGTCGTGCATAGGGATAGCAGTCGTCCATGCCCCTCTGTGGTTTGACTGAGGATGGTGGCATGGTCCGGGACCCAATGATCGATTCATAGAGGTGATAGCCACGGGAGGCAAAGAATGGCACCAGTAGTGACCAGCGCTTAGCAGTTATCTTGACCTCCTCTTCATAAGGTATAGTTGTGTCCCTCGTCGAGGTCCACGTAACCCTATCTGTTGGGACATGATAACCATGCCACCAAGCATGCAGCGTCCACCGGAGAGTTTCCCACAGGCTTCCACAGCGTACCAACTTCATGGTACGTCAGCGTGGTGTGTTGTTCGAGAGAGCCTACAGAAGCAGGTCAAGGGGGCAGCTGTCAATGTTCCTAAAGAGCAGCATTGACCCGTGACCCGTCGGTTGAAATTGATCTGTGTTATTTGGTCTTGCGGGTACGCCCTGACCCATGCCTATACACTCACAGCACTAGGATCTATACCTCGTCTCCTGAGAGATCGCGCCGATAAAGGTTAGCATGGTCACCGGTCACCTTTCATAGACTCTTGTACACCAACGCCGTTCATCCAGCCAGCCCTTGTTCGATTGTACAACGTGATGAGGGAAGCCACCCGCAGCCGTACGCCTTTCTCCTCTTAGACACAGGTCCGCCAGGGCTACCTCTCTTCACAGTATGATAAAGGTCAAGAAGTGGAAGTTACCAGGGAGGTGGTGACTGCAAACGGGAAGGTCACCGCTGGAGCCCGGGGAGTTATTCTCCATGAAGCCAATTGGTCCAATGTGAGTGTGCGCTGCCAGTGCTCTTGAATCCGGACAACATGACGGATTTCTGCGATACTCTCCGTTACTCAGAGCGACCAATGCTACAAATACCAGGTCAAAATTACACCCTCGGGAACGGCTCTTGGAGGCCCCTTCCCAGGAATTCCTGAGGACGTCATTGAACTTTTGTTTGAAGAATGAGTCAGAGTACAATGCAGGGATTCTCTTGTGAGGATCTATGTGCCAAATACAGTATACTGCGAGGCGTCAGTAGGATAGGAGTGAGACTGAGGATAGAATGCGGTGGACCGTGACAAGTAAAAGAATGGGCCGTATAAAGAAAGTCCGATGCCAAGCGGGGTTAATTGTAATCAAGTGGGACTGGAAGACACCCTGAATGACATTCCTTGAAGTGCACACCAGTGTATGTTCCATCAGTTCTGCAGTGGAATTCATTCAAATCTATACGAACAGTGGTATACAGTACAACACGATCCAATCACATTCGATTGATTTTTCATCTTGCCGACGTAACGAGGTAATACCCATCCAACCATCCATCCCAAAGCTCAATCAAATCAAACACCTAAACCTCGCCATACTTCTCCCAAACGCGCGTAGAAACCTGCTCCTTCGGACACCTCCTCCCAGTCCACTTCTCAAACTGAATATATCCCTGCTCAAGCAACACCTCCAACCCCTGCACGCACGCCCAATTGCCTTCCTCCTTCAACTCCTTCGCAAGCTTGAGGAGGGGAGTCTCGGCAGGCTTGTACGCCATATCCACTACCACAGCCGATCCCGAGGTGTACGCAAAGACGTCAGCGGGGAGGACGATCTGGTTAGTCGACTTGTCGACTTGACCAGCGATGGCGGCAGTGGAGGCGGAGGGAAGAGCCGTAGCAGACGCAGGAACAGTCGAAACGATCACCCTCGGCGCGACACCCACGTCGCCCCATCCACCACCAAGCTTATCAAGAACGACAAGCTGGCCATTCCACTTCTTGTCTGCTCCACCAACGAACGCCTTGGCCAGATCCTCCGCCTTCTCCTTGGTCCGATTGAACAGGTAGATGACAGGTACACCCAAGTCCTGGAGAGCGTAGATGGCAGCCCGGGCAGTCCCACCAGCGCCAATGACCAAGCCGCTAGTATTCTCGTTTCTCAACTCGCCCTCCGAGACGCGCTGAGTGATGCATACACGGATTCCCACCCAATCCGTGTTGTCGCCTACGAGGACTCGAGTGGTCTCTTCCTGGCCTTGAGCATTGATGCTGGAGCGGTGGACAGGGATGATGGTGTTGACAGCTCCAATCTCCTTCGCACTCTCCGTCAACTCATCAAGGAGCTCGATAACGTCGACCTTGAAGGGGATCGTCACACTCGCCCCTCCAAAGCCCTCCTTGTCACTAATAACATCCCGAACCTCCTTGCAATCAACCTCCTTGCTCTCCAACAAGCCATACTTGAACGGCAAACCGAGCAGCTCGAAGCCAGTGTTATGCAGGGTAGGGCTCATCGAATGTGCGATGGGGGTTCCGAAGAGGTGAAAATGCTTCGAGGGAAGCAAGCCGAGGAGGTGCAGGGCCTGCTGGATCTGCTTGAACGACAACTGTCCAGGAGCAGCCTTGGTCGGAAGCAGCGGGTGCGAAACGGGGGTGAACGTCGTATTGAGGATCCTCGAAGATTGGCCAAGCGTCGACATATTGATCGCGATAATCGGCGGCGAGTTGGGTAGCGAGGTCGCAGACTTGACAAACGAAAGGAGCTTAAAATTATCTTCCAACTTCTCAGCCTTGCCCACGATCTTGACAAGATCGCCAAACTTCCTCGCTTCGTCGTACTTCCTCTTCACATCCTCCCCGTCCCACTGCATCTTCCCACTCCAATCGTGCCAGCTGGCAATGACGAGCGTCGATCCGGCCTTCTTGGTGCGCTTGGAAAGATCGGCGACCTCCTTGTCGGAGAAGATGGAAGCGACCTCAACATCGAGGTACTCGACGCCCAACCGAACGCCGGCCTCGACGAGCTCCTTGTACTCCTTCGCGTTGCCATCAGGGAAAGCACCGCCCTGCGCCTTGGTGCGAACAGTGTAGATGATCGGGAGACCAGTCACCCTCCTCAACGCCGTAACCTGGTCCTTAACATACGCGACTGAAGGGAAAGGAGCCTCGGGAGCCTTGGCATCCTTCAACAAATCAACCCTCAACTCGAGCGCATCCGCACCCTCCGTCAACTCGTCGATGTAGGGGAAGGCATGTCGAACGTCGGGGTAGGTGAGGCAGAGGAAGTAGGTGCGACGTTGCTGTCCTTCAACCGAACCACCATGAGTGAAGTTGGGGTTGATGCCAGCCAGGTGCCCAAAGAACCTTTTGACCTCGTTACGTCCAGCAAGGGTCTTGACACACTTGGTCTTGCCAGGGCCAGCTTCCACGTTGGCGGCCTGAGCCTGTCCTTGGGGAGCTTCGACGACGACGTTGCCAAACTCCCATCCACTGCACTCCTTGTACCAGGGCTCTCGCCTCTTCCACACATCGAGGATAGGCTCTTCGTACGCAGGACGAGCAGTCTCGACGTTGAGGTAGCGAACGATCTCGTCGATCGGACGGGTGATATGAACGACACGGCCGCCCTTGGCGAGGTAGGCTTTGAGGAGAGAACGAGCAGCGGGGGTCTCGACGATACCGCCTCCGAGCGAGATGACGTGGTTCTTCGAGTAGGACGAGGGCGACGAGACTGCTTTGCCTGCAACATCTATCAGAGAAAGTCTCTTTCACTAGGAGCATGACAAACTCACCATCAACACCCAACCCAATCAACTCAGCCAAAACCGCCAACTCCTCCTCTCTAAACTTCTCCCACCCCTCGTTCTTCACAAAGTCCTTCACGCCAGTCTTGAGCTTGCTCTCGAAATAATGGTCCGCATCAACGAAAGACCATCCAGGAAGGGACGCAGCAGCGAGTTGGCCGATATGCGTTTTGCCAGTTCCACGCATTCCAATGAGGAGGATGGACGAATTGTCGATGGGCTTGCTCTCCTTGACGCCGGCAGACGAAGACTCAGCCCGCAACCCAGCAAGATCGACGCCTTCGACCTTGATTCCGATCTTGTTCTCGAGGTCGTCCCACCAGCCGGGCCAGGTCTTCTCCACGCATCGCTTCTCCTCGATGATGGCACCCTCAACGACGGTGCTGAGGACGGAGAAGGCCATGGCGACGCGGTGGTCGTCGTAGCAGTGGACAGAGACGTTCTTCTTGAGTTGGGAAATGGGAACGGCGTAAATGGTAAGGCCAAGCTCCTGTTCGGTAGTGTGGACGCCAAATTTAGCTATTCAAAAGACGTCAGCACAACATCTTAATGGTTGGAGGTGAAAGGCATACCAAGCTCATCCATCATTGCCCTGATCCTGTTACACTCCTTGACTCGCTGATTGGCAATGCCAGTAATCTTCATCGCCTTATTCTCCCCACCATTCGCAACGGCAGCCAACACACTGGCAGTCAAGAACGCATCCGTCATGACTTCCATGTCCACCTCTTCGATAGCCTTGAGCTGACCCAGAGGAGGGCCCTGAACAGTCGTCTCGTCCGCAGTCTGATGTACCTCACATCCCATCTTCTGGAGAACCTCAACGGCAAACTTGGCGTCTCCTTGAAGGGACGATGAACCAATGTTCTCGATGGTGCACTTGGTACCAGTGATTGCAGCGACAGCGAGGGGGTAGGTGGCGGACGAAGCGTCAGACTCGATGTTGTAGACGGGTGGGTTGACGTAGGTTCCTCGGGGGATGTCGTAGATATCGAGCAACTTTCCAGAAGCATCGGTGCGTCGAGTAACCTCCACGCCGAAGGTCTTCATCATGGCGATGGTCATGTCGATGTAAGGCTGGGAGATAACCTCACCTCCGACGAGCTCCAAGGTGACTCCGTTGGCGTCTTGGGCATAGGGAGCGCAAAGGAGAATCGAAGACACGTATTGGCTGGATACGCTGGCAGCCAACTGGATCTTGCCACCCTTGAACGAGTTGGGAGGGATCGAGAGGGGGAGGCATCCCTCAGACTCTCTGTAACCGATGCTGCAACCGTTGGCGCGGAGGGCGTCGACGAGGGGACCGATGGGTCGCTGCTTCATGCGGGCATTGCCGGTGATGACAGTGTTGGTGCTGGGAGGCTGAACCGAAGCAGGAGCAGGCTGAGCGAGAGCGCAAACGGTCGTGAGGAAACGAGCAGCGGTTCCAGCGTTTCCGAGATAAAGTTCCTTGCCAGGAGTGGGAACGGTGAGGGTACCTTCACCACCCTCAACGACCAAAGTCTCTCCTCCGTCTTCCCAAGTGAAGACAGCACCCTACAAGCAATCCGTCAGTATGGGTACAACCACCGAATCGAGACTGACGTGCCTTAAGCTCGTGCAAAGCGGCCATCATGACCTGCGTGTCGTCCGAATGAAGCAGGTTCCTGAGCCTGCAAGTGCCCTTCGCAAGGGCAGCAAGGACCAATGCTCGGTTGGAGATACTCTTCGATCCAGGCGTGCTCATCCTAACCTCTCCAGGCGAGCCCTTCACGTTGCCAGTGGGAATGCTAGGCACGACAGTGACGGCTTCAGCCAAGGTCTTCTCAATCGCCTTATCCTCCACGATGCTGGCCTTTTGCTCGTAAGTCTCTCCGATCCTCTTGAGCAACACGATCTTCTTGTTCGTACCGCTGTTCTTCTTGTCGATGCGCATGATGTCGAGGAGGCGGGGGACTGTCAGAAGCGAGGCTTGAGGCAACGAAGCGATCAGAGGGGCGGAGAGGGAAGTGGGGAGGTTGTACGCCTTGAGGCATCTCGTCAACCTTCCAACGCCGACTTGGGTGAGGATGCCCAACTGCCTCGAGAGTTCGGCTTCGAGGATCATACCAATGGAGACACATTCTCCATGGAGGATGGTGGGAGTCAAGACAGCCTCGATGGCATGGCCAATGCTGTGGCCAAAGTTGACGAGGTTACGAAGACCCGTCTCGCGTTCGTCGATGGTGACGATGTGTGCCTTGACGCCGATAGAGGCGGCGATGGTAGAAAGAAGCAGCTTCTGTGCCTCAGAGCGGGTTTCGAGAGTGCGGCCGGCATAGTTGGTGGACGGCGTTTGGATGGCGGCGAAGAGCTCTGCAGATCGCGACTCGAGCGAGGTGAATTCTTTCTCGTCCCAGATGGCGGCGGTCTAAATAGACATCAGTTTCGTTGGACCGACGTGAGGTATGGAGCAGCGTACCTTGACGACCTCGGCCATTCCATTCGAGAACTCTCGAGTGGGAAGCGTCTCGAGGTAAGCGGCATCGATGAAGATGTATTCAGGCTGCCAGAAGGCACCAATCAAGTTCTTGCCATGCGGAGTATCGATGGCCGTCTTGCCTCCAACGCTGGAATCGACCATCGCCAACAGCGTAGTCGGGATCTGGCAGAAGCGTACGCCTCGCATACTAGAAGAGCATTATCAGTATCATATACAATGTGTAACTAAATCGATAAAACGACTCACAAAGTAGCAGCCACGAAACCAACCAAATCGCCAATAACTCCCCCTCCCAGAGCCAGAATGACACTATCTCTGGTACACTTGTGGAACAACAAAAAGTCTTCAATCCTCGCCTTTCCTTCTCTGCTCTTGGACGTCTCGCCGGGTGGGATAACATGGCTCAAAAACCTCGGTTTGGGGTTCGCCGCACTCTTCTCGATCCCCTTCGCAAACGCTTCTTCAAACTTGTTCAAATGCAACTTGGCGATGTTGTCATCGGTGATGAGGACGTAGGTCGACGATGGCAGAGTCGTCAAGACCGTTTGAACGATATAGGGCGTCAGATGGAAACCGCAATGAATCGACTCCTTGCCCAAGATGGAAACCTTGAGGAGATCAGCTTTGGTATCGTCCGCCACCGCCATGTTGACGAAAGATCCCTTCGTGTCGTCGACGTCGAGGTTGTTAAGCGTTGTTTATCCGACGACGAGCTCGAAGGCGTTTTGGGGGTTTTGGTTCGTCGAGGAAAAAAGGGGAAAAGGGTCGGGAGTTGTAAATTGGGGGAAAAGTCGAGATGACGCGATGAAGATCTTTTATATTGATTTCGATGATTGCAAGCCTCCCACCCAGAAGAGGCTGATCGGGCACATCGGCCGATCAAATACCAGACGAATGTGTTAGCCGCCCATACTGAACGTCCAAATTATGACTCGACTGAGGGTTCGAATCCCAAGCCAAGCTTTGCAATGACTCGAGCAGCACTTTCCCTCGGTATCATCAAATATCCCCAAGCGTTGGGACCATCGTCAGATAGCAAAGGCGGCGCTATGGTCGTGAGCGCCTAATTCATTTCCACCCAATAAGACAGCCAGAATTCGAGACCTTTCCTATATTGTTACACCATAGATCATGTACTCCTAGATATCTAACACCTTTAAACTTCATTCTAGATCCAATCCTTGGGTCCCGTTGCAGTTCTCCGCTCAAGGCACTCGCTACGCACTCGTAGCACTAGGAACAACCTCCACCCTCCCATCGTCCCACCTAACCGTCACACTCCCATCCTCATTCCCAAAGTACGCAGCCTTGGCCATCTTGCAGAACAGCCCCACCTCCACCACACCCGTCAACATCTTAATCTGTGCCAAAACGGTGTACGGATCCGCCAGTTGCTCCTGCGTGAAGGGCGCGTCGATGATGAAGTTGCCGTTGTCCGAGACGACAGGACCGGCTAGTGAACGGGTATTTGATCGTAAGTTTATGTGAGAGGAAGGCAGACGCACCTTTCTTTATGGCCATCCGCAGAGCAGCCTTTGGGCTTCCAAGCGAATGATGCAGGTTGTGCAACACCTTGTTATACGCGAACGGGACGACTTCTATCGGTACACCCGAGAGATACTAAGAACCACACAATCAGCATCGCATTCACTTCCATACACATCCCAATACACACGTTCGTTCCCAAAAATTGCACGTTCTTCCTGTAATCCGCCACCAAGATGAACCTAAAGGACTGGCAATGAGAACCAATCTAAACTTGACGCAGACGAAACAGGGCACGCACGTATGAGCAGCCTCAGCCAACACTTTCTCTCTCAAATGACATGCTCCTCCTCCCTTCACACAGTTCAAATTATGATCGACTTCATCAGCTCCGTCAATGGTGATATCGATTGTTGGGTATTGGTCCACATCGCCAAGGGTCAACCCTGCTGCAACAATGAGTTGTCTCGATTGGAAGCCTAGAGCCACACATCAAGGGCAAGGGAGAGAGAGAATGAGTCGAGAAAATCACTTCAACAAGCCCAACACGCACCAGTAGGAATGAACACCCGTCCGGCATTAAGCTCAACACCCTGTTGCACAATCCTATCCACCACATACGGAACAGTCGAGCCCGAGCCAATACCAATGATCTACCCACCAACAAAATGAGCTCCAAAGCCAAGGAGTAGAATAAGCGCTCACCCTGTGCTCAGGTTTTACATGCTGGTCAACAGCAGTATACGCCGCCAGGCGTTTCGAAGCTTCAATCAACGAAAGGGTCTCCATTCCTCCTGCTGCTTTGCCATCAACGCCGGAAGCCAAAGATTTCGATTTCAAGGGGGAGCCGTTCAGGTAACCGCGTCCAGCAGTGGTAGCAGAGGATTTCGAGTACGTGGTCGAAGGTGACATCGGTGCCAGTCGAAAACCAGGGGTAATCGGAAGTTTCGGTTTGGTGGGGGATGTAGTGGGGGTAGACGGTCGAGACGAAGCAAGAAGCGGACGAGGCATTTTTGGATTCGAGTTCAATCACCGAGTAGTAAGAGCCGAGTAGATTCCAGATCGTCGTTGCGGGGCAGGACCAGGGTAGGGCGCAGTAGTAAGACCAGAGTTTCGAGGATACAGGATTCCAAGATGCACGTCGACGTCGACCAACACACGGAGATGGAAACCAAGAGATAAAGAGGAGAAACAACACCAGATCAGTCTACATTCGATTTTAAAACAGCAAATCTGGGGTAAACGCACCGTTTGTCGTCGAAGATGACGTTTTATTAGTCGAGTTCTTACTTGGATCAGCGCCGGCTGTGGGGAGAACGACCGGTCTAACAGGCTGTTTTATCGGAATCGTGCTGCACGATTAAGAAGGTTTTGAAGACGTTTTTATCGTCGTGAACGTTGTTTTTGTTGCAAAGTCCGAGGTAAGAAAGAATGACTCGAGAAATTTACAATCCCATCGGCCGGAAGATTAGATTAGAGAGAAAAGGAATCAAAGGGGAATCAAGGATCAAGGAACAGGGCCAAGAAATGTCGAGTTCCGTCCCACCGCCGAGCCCGTCGTCGTTGTCGGCGCGGTCGTCGCACACGGCAGTGACAAGCAGGAAAGCAAAACAAGGCAGCCAGGTTATGGAAAATTCATGAACGAAACCATGAGCCCATTGTCTGGAAAGACAAGACGACGATTCAACCTACGTAGGGTGTGTAGGCAACGGCATTTTCGTTGAATATGGTCGAGACGATGAACAAGGCCCCAACCACGATGGGCAACGGTTAGTGAATGACGGTAGAGAACAAGGTCTGAAGCTTGTGAAGAGTCGGGCGTTGCGAATGTGGCCGTGAATCATCGCGGTCACGGTGCAGGTCACGGCGTTGGATCAGAGCAGGGACCCTGACCACGACTTGGTCTCACACTCTCATCATCGTTCCCCAACAGCGCTCACGGCGACGCCAGCCACATACTAAACAACGCTGGACAACGGTCCCTAGAGTCTGTCAACGCTACTCAAAGAAGTGTTCATCGCGAAGCCTTGGAATACCATTCGACCGACATTGCGCCGATATTGAATAGTCTTGAACGTTTGAACAGTCGCATATATACACCAACCTTCGCATTCGAACCTATACAAACGAACGTTGTTCAAGAGCGAGAAAACTACCGGGTAGAAGCGAATAACCATGCGAGCAATCAAAGGTGCGTCATCCGCCCCTTCCCAGTCGCTAGCCCATTCATACAGACTTCACAGGCGTCCTGTTGACCTGGTAAGCCTGAAAGAAACACCTTTTTGTGCCAACACGGTCACCGAGCAGCTGTCAGCGACCCAGCAGTGAAACAAATCTTGCTCGCCATGAATGAAAAACAGAACTTCATCATTGAAGACCTGGACGACTACCATCTCGTTATCAAGGCCGACGACGAGATGAGGGTAAGGAGAGAACTCGAGGCTGAGGTGCGTCGCTCCTGTTGCTCTTTGCTCGAACTCTGGCTTACTGGGTTCACTACGAACAGCTCGAGAAGAACACCTATTCCCTGGACGGATAGAAAACCCAGGCAGAAATACCACGCCGCACCAGCCATCGAGACGATTGTGGAAAGACCTACTTGGATGCCCTGGATACCGTGCTAAACTACGACCACGTACAGGCTTTCACTGACTTCCTACATTGCGATCAACGGGACAAGGACGACAGAAGGCCACCGCGTCCAGCGCCCCCCAATCGTACCCAGATACCACACCAGCAGTTACCAGTAGGCCTCTCCGGTCCCTATCACGCACAATATCGATGCCATACCAGCCATGGTTGCCCTGTAACGTATGTGGAACTTGAATGCAATTGTTTTCGACCCTCAACCAATCTCGAGCGGTGGGACAGAGCGTCTTGCAAACTGCGATCTCCTTGACATAAACAAGAACCAGTTCGATGGGATAGTCATACAAGGAAGTAGAAAGACGCATATATTCGATCGAGGCATAGTTACATAGGGCATAGTACTAGCATAAGGCATAAGACATACGGTGCAAACTATGAATAAAACAAAACCACCAGATACAAATACAATGCTAATTATCTTCTCTGATCAGAGTACAGTCCACACCGGATAACAAGAAGGGAAGCACAAGCGTTACAAGCTCACTCAGGCTGTGCGCCTTCGCCAAACAAGCTGGCCAACCCATCCAGGTAGCTCAACCTGTCTGAATCCAACGAGCGCCTACTAGTAGACTCTGTCGCAGGAACAACTTGAGTGACAGGCCCACCCTCCCGACTCCGCGGCGACTCTCCGTCACCCACCGACTTCGAAAGCAAGTTCCGCATCGCATCGTCGACGTCGGGGTGTCGGCAAGGCTGTCTAGACGCGCTTCGTAGCAACAGACTCTCCTCGCTATCACCACTGGCACTTGCAAGCCTACGAGCAAGCGCCGACACACCCCTATCCACATCCCAAATATGAACAGCCATACGAGCCACCGCAGAGCGCATCTCTTCATACTCTGCCTCGAAGTCTTCGAAAGCTCGTAGCCCAGTGGAGGGGCCAGGAGCAACGGAAGTAGGCGCTGAGGTGCTGAGCATGGACGATGGAGAGAAGCACTGGTAGGGGACGGGTGAGCCTGGGGAGGGGATAACAGGAGGTTCACTCGAGGGCGGGGTTACCCAGGGAGACGTGAGCGCATGGTTCCACCATGGGACTTGAACCAGACGGTCGGTAGGCTCAGCGTCAGGAAGCGAAAGATTCAAATTTGCGGGTGGCGAGCGCGGGGCGGCTCCAGAGACCCTCGAGCCGGCAGTGTCGCCCGTCTGTTCGTCGTCGCCTTTCGCCTTCAAGTCCGTAGAGAGTTCATCCATGAACTGTTTGAAATTGTCCGAGTTGCAGGCTCCGTATGGATCGCTTTTGTAAGTCAGAAGATAGCCCTGAAGTGCCGCCATAGCATAAGTGTTCTCGGGAACTATGTTCGCAAAAGTCGTTGCGAGTGTTTCCAATTCTAGGCGCTCGTTAACATCATCTGCTTCAGCAATCGAATCCAGGGAGCCAGATGCCACGAATTCAGATCGAGAGCCCTTGGGGAAAGTGGGATAGAACTTCTTGAACAATTCCTTGGCTTGGGGTCGAGTAGTCAGTCCGATGTAAAAATGCCGATCCATGCGTCCTGGACGTTTGATAGCAGAGTCAAGCCTGTCAGGATAGTTCGTAGTAGCAAAAAGAATTCGGCCTTCCGCAGAGTCGACGCCATCGAGGGCGTTCAGCAGGCCAGCCAGCGTCACACCCGTCCTTGGAGCTTCACTGTTATCTACTTGCCCAGGTCCCATCACAGGGGCGGAATCAGGACCCATCGGGCCTGGAGGAGAGTTAACATGAGGGTTCTCGTTCCTCGCGCCGTGTTGTCGCGGTGCAGGAGAGACGGCAGCATCGATATCTTCGATCAACAGGATGGACTGAGGGGGGACTCGGTTGACGAGTTTCGAAAGCTTTTCGTCGTCGAGGTCCCTGGCGGACAGAGCCAAGCAGTAGACGTCCAGCCCGAGCTCGCCGGCAATGGCGCCGACAATACTTGTTTTGCCTGTTCCAGGGGGCCCGTGCTATAAAGCTCACGTCAGTAACCACCGCATTTGCAAAGAGTACGTCACAACTCACCAAAAGATATCCTCGTCGGAAAGGGATGCCCCGAGCTCTGTACCAATCTCCGCTGGAGACGAAGTCTTTGACATCGGAAACAATGGCCTCAGAACGACCGGGTTCGAGGATAACTGTGTCGATTGCCCGTCGGGGCTTGTGACTAGTAACCTCCCATCGGGGGTCGAATCCTCCTGGGCGGTAGAACCAGACCTCTGGAACCTTGCCGACAGTTGAGCGGTAAGTGGCTTTGGCTTCGGTTGCGATCTTTCGAAGAAGGGATTTGGCGTTGAATGAGTAAATTCTGAAGATGATCAATCTCAGCTCGTAAATAAACCCCATTAGCACTAACTGGATACGTACCGGAGCCGGAGGGTTTTGGCCACTCTGAACGAGTCACTGAAGTCAAAGCGTTACTACTTAGACGAACTGCGCCTTGAAAAGAAAGCCGACTTACTTAGAGCCTGCCTCGATAAAGAAAGAGATAACACTGCTTCCATGCCGGATCCTGTACCAACTACCGGGTTTGGGGAGCAGGTACAACGATCCTTGGTCTGTTGGTTTCTCAGGCAGTTCCTCATCTCCAGGGAAGGGCATAGGTTTCGGCCCATCGTCGACTCCGGAATGACTGGTGCTGATTTCGAAAGAGGACTGAGTCGAGGCTGGTGAACATATCGTCGGTGCCATAACTCCAGGAGGGTGACCATCATGTACTTACACCACGCAGGATGGTTGGTAATCCAAGTGACCATCCAAGCTATTCACGAACAAGCTTCAACGGAGTGTCAGGGGATGAGGGAAGATAAGTACATACTGAACGAGGGATCCCGATCATAGATAACGGCTTCAAGGTAGAAGTGTCGGAGAGCATAATCCCAGAAAACACTAATCGCGGACGTTAGGAAACCCAAGGCCAAGGGCGCCGTCTGAAATTTGATCCAATCTGGCATATTCGCCACAGAAGACAACAGACGAGAGAGGAGCCACATCAGCCATCCCAGACCCGGTGGTAGACCAGTAGATAACGGATTTGACAAGGCCATCGCGTTACGGAAAGTCGTTAGCTGAACGAAAGATGAGATGAGACGAGAGAGAGAGAAGCGTGTGTCAGTTATAGATGAGAGGGTTGAAAAGTTGTTGATACTGAACCGACAAAACAAAATTTGAAGCCTTTATATCCAGGCGAAGCGGACATTGAACTTGAAGTAGACGACTACTGAGAGTGAGCACAAAAAGGCAGTGTGGGCGCCAGCCTCGTAGAGCGCGAAGAGATGTGAGATGAGCCCAAGGAGAAATCGTATGACAGAGCTGTGAACAGCAGTATGCTGTGCCAGGGGTGACTCGAGCAAAAAGACGCCGCGAGGAGATAACACGCTCGGCATGCAGAACGCGCTCTCCAGGTGTCGTCAGTGAAGTGCACCGCCAGAATTCTAAGAGCCCACGTGGAAACAAGAGACGGACAAGGCCGAAGAGCTGTTGTGTCGTTGCGTAGCCAGTCGTTAAACGTTTGGAGACCTTCAGATGCCCATACTACTGTACAATTGTAATCAAAGCAGCAACAAAGCTACACGCGCGAAGCCTGAGGGTATCCACAGTAGTTTGCACAACGACGAACACAACAAGAAGTTGGAACCAACCGGCGACGTTCGTCCCCGTTGTATATGTTAGATTCGGAAGCCGATATCACTGATGACTAATATTTGTCCTCGCGTAATTGCCATCAGATTCTCTGCAAGCACCAGAACGCGAAAGTAGCCCTTTCTATTCTGAACCATTACAATGGACTGTAAGTGCTGTATCCTTTCCGTTGCATATAAAAATCTGGAGTGATTTATACCGCTTTCCAGCAAATCTGGCCATCGAGGAGCTATCGCGTCTGGACGCGACTATACACGCCCAGGAGACCGAAACGCGCAAATTGAAACGACAAAGGAACAAGCTGGTCGCTATCGCCCGACTGCCCCCAGAGGTTCTGGGAAGGATATTTCTCTTCCACAGGGACCACATGCTGGTGACCCCGTCTTCCAAAAGAACTCTTTTCTGGATTTCGGTCACTCACGTTTCTCACGTTTGGAGGAATGTCGCTCTGAGCTGCCCTCAGTTATGGTCCATCATCCACCTCGATCGAATGAACCCTTTCTTGACAAGCTTATTCTTCGAGAGGTCGAAAAAGGCACCTTTGTCCATCAAAATCACCGAAAAACCCGTGGGGGCCGAGAAGATTCTCATTCGCAGCTTGCTCGCTGAGCCTGATCGCCTCCGAAGTCTGGAAGTGCGGTCCGGGAAATATGAAGAACTCATACAACCGTTGTCCACTGTAGCCGCACCCTTGCTCGAGAAATTCATATATGCCCCGGCCAGCGGGCGCGCTTCTCACAATACCTTGAATGTGTTCAGCGGTGGTACCCCTCGATTGCGACACTTGGAACTGTGTGACAGAACATCGCCTTGGACCTCCAACTTGTTCACGGGACTTACGGTCATCAAGGTCAAGATCACGTCTCGGGTCGCCTTCGACTCTCCGGCCTTCATTCGCGCAATGAAAAGCTGTCCAACGCTACGCCACCTCTCCATCAGACAAGCCCACTCCAACCTCAGCGCGACCTCACACGTCGAAACGGTCCCTCTTCCTCAACTCGAAGATTTGGATCTGTTGGTCTCGATTCAGCATTGCATGCAACTTTTACCTTGTATCTCCTTCCCTTCCCTGAAGGCCCTCAAACTCGAACTCCGAAGTTGCGACTTCAACCACGGTGACTACGCCCCGACGGTCAAGCGCCTCATGACCCTAATCGCCACTTCATGGTCGGCAGGTAGCGCCACGATCCCTGTAGTCAGGGCTCTTCAGTGCCTACAGACACGTAATTCCCTTCGTATGGAAACATGGTCAGAAGAGAGCGACACGGAAGAGCTCATTGCACAGCCGGGGTTAGAGAAGCGACCGAAACCGACCCTCTCCCTAGAACTCGTCAGCACCCAAGTTCATCCGCAGTGGGTTTCACAACCATTACCTCTCCTCCAGTCGCTCGATTGCAAAGAACTTGAATATGTCGCCATCAACTCCCCTCTAGAAGAATTCGTCGTGGAGTTTTTAAGCGACCTACAGGCTTTGCGGTCCATCAGCATCTGGGAGCGGGGCGCCCGCAACTTTTGCGACTACTTGATTCGTAACGCAGTCCGCAGCTTCCCAAAACTCGTAGACTTCACGCTCAACTCTATCAGTATTTCGACCAACGGCGGCATCCCCCTCTCCGCTCTGGTGGATCCTTTGAAGAGACGGCGTAGGTTGGGGAAAGGTGCTCGTGTTCTGAGGTTCATTAATTGCAGGATCTCTGAGCAAGATGTCGAGCGATGCAAAGATGCCGCAGAAACTGTTGAAAGGCAAGACATTCGCCCATTTTCAAGATTCAGAGGTCAGCTATCGCCGGACCTAGTACTTGATCCATTTCAACAGGATTGGTTACCAACTCTCAGCGATGATTAAATATTTATTTACAGTACATGAGATTTATAGATACTCTAGTTCGGATTACTTAGTCTCCTCCATGGAATCCTATTTGCCATGACCCAAGTTTCGAGTCCAATAAGTAATGCCTGTGAGGTTGATGCGGTCGCCCATGTGTACATATCCGTCAATTGTTCCCGGCATACGCTGGCTCCGATATTCGCTTTGGATCTTCTCACCGTCCCTTTCGTCGTCGCCCATCTCGCCACTTCCCTAGATTTTGCGCCTCCAACGATGAACCATCTCTCTGGCTGAGCTCTCTGTTCAAAAACATATCGCCCAAGTCACGGCCCTCCACAAAGCATATCCACTCTCGTTGTTTAACGAAGAAGTAACGACGGAAAGCGACTCGCAACACATCGTTGGTGCGAATTCAGGGATGGACGCGTTTCGCAGATACCCTGTAGTAAGAAGAGCACCGCCATGGGCTGAGCCTCAGCCTTTATCGCAGAAGACACTTCCTCCAATTTTGGCAGCTGCACTGGTGGGTTACGGCAATCAACCTTCGGTGACGGGTCCAAGTCCTGACTGGCAAACATAGGCGGAAACCCTTCTCTACGGTATGTATTGCAGGCCGTGTACCTCGATATAACCGACGACCGTCTAACACAAATGCGGGGAAGCAGGCATACACGCCGTCTTGTTCATCATTTGTGTTTATTTCCTGCTCGTTCGAACCATACGCCTGCAATGGACCATGCTCAGTGGGATAGTCATCATGTTCCTCCTCGCCACGGCCGACGTCGCATTCTCTTTCCACACCCTTCTCGGAAGAACTCACGTTGTGATTCGGGGGACGACCTTGACATTTCTAGAGAGGGTATATCCAAAATACCTAATCTACGTCACGAACAATTTCATTGCTGTTGTACTGATGGTATGCGGTGTTCACATCTTGCTGGTGGCTAGGACATGTGCTGATATCGTGCTTTGGTTATAGATCACAAGATTCTACGTCGTTTGGGGTCAGCGGAAGTACCTATTGGTAGTGGCGGGCGTCCCACTCCTGGTCGTGACTGGCCTAGGATACGCGTCGCACATTCGAGAACCGGAAACGCTTCGCAGATTCGTTCCAATATTCTTTTTGATCAACCTCGTCTTGAACAACGTGTTGACCTTTCTGACCGGTTAGTCTGATGATCTGTTTCAAGGCTTTGAACTAATACCCCGTCCCGCTTTATAGCTACTCGAATTTTCTGGATCTCAACAAGCTCGAGCGATGTCCTTGGTAGGAGAGTCAAGCAATACCGAGTCACAAGTGCTGTTATGTATGTTACCCTTCGATGCCTATACAGAGTTGGGCAAAACCTCAACACCTCATTTAGCGTGGAATCCGGTGTCTTGTACAGCATTTCAATGCTCTTGGTCATTGCGATTGCTTCTACCCCTTGGATTGTATGTTCGCCCCAATTTTTGAATCCCGTTTAACTGCTGATATCGTCACACTAGACCCTTGCAACCGCCATGATGCTCCGCATCGTATGCATTGCCCCTGTCCTCATCGTCGCCCAGATCGCCGTTGGCCACGCCACTAGAAATCCCAACAAAATCCACGCCAGGACGGAACCGCACGCTGGTACTTCAATCGTTCTGGACACAATTATCCGCACAGACATCCCGGATGATCTCTCGATGGAAGTAACCTCGACTGCACCTGGTCAGGTCAACGAGGAATCTGGGGTAGAGGAGCGGGAAGAAGTGAAGAAAAGCAGGCTTGGGCCCAGTCTTGGGTAGAGCAGAGGCAAACCCTGATGCGCCCAAGAAGGTCCGCCATCTCAAGGTTCTGTTACGAGCGCACGCTTTGTCAACTTCGGCAATCAAAGAAAACGCGGCGCCTCTTTTTTGGTCCTTGTTCAGATGTTGACGCGGGTGTCGAGGCTTACTTTCGAGTTTCCCTAGTGTCATGAAACTGCACCTCTTGGGGCCTCGTGGTGGAGGGAAGGGTCTAGAGGTGTTGAGTCTGGGATTTTTCTGCCTCGACCCTCCAGAGTCGAACCTCGAGCGCCCGCCATGGCCGCGTCTACGGGCGCTTACCATCGGACGAAAGAAATGCCAAAGCGTTGCCAACCTCCTTGACCTCACCCTCCGCATGGCACCTCACTTTCTCAACTCCCTCTATACCCTGCACATCCAGTGCTCCAACGCCGATATTCCCAATTTAAACCAAGTCCTACGGCTCAATTGCAAGAACCTAACAAAGTTGTTTTGTTGTGTGGGTTTCAATGATGGAATAGCACAAGGACAGGCTCTCGATCTCAGTGATTCGAGTCTTGACGAAATGCAAGACTGGTTTGAGAACATCAATAGAATGCAATCCTCCCACCACGACCGGCGTCTTCTATAATTAATGATATGATTCTCTGAAAACTGGTTCGATTTATAGTAGGCGCTAGGGTAGAGCAATTGCGAAGGCTGTGGACAATTGGGGTAGCGTATTGGGGGAAACGTGCAATACAATGGACTTTACCACCACAGTGAATGAACGGTGAACACAGATTGTGAATTCAGCGCTCGACATAAAGCACTCGGCTGTTTGCAACGCCAGAGGGAAGCGGAGACGCGCATCCCATCATGAACTGTACAGCACAAGGTGATCCAGAGGTGATCCGAGTGGAGGCTTAGATCTTCCCACCATACCTTGCCTCTTCGACTCGCTGCTGGGATGCCTTTCACGTACAAATCCCGCCGCCCTCAGCAATATTCGACGCGTCGTTTGCCAGTGATAAGTTAGAGGAATTAACAGAAAACTAATGTACACAATAGAGGGGCATATTCGAGAAAAAAAGAAAGAAACGGCAAGTTTTTGTCATCTTCAAAAGCTACTCGACTAATCTTCTTCTAGGTGGCTTTCCTTCTGACCACCATCGATTCCTATTCCAATTCGCATCACCACATCAGGGCAGACAACCCCGCAAACAGCAGACCAAGCTTGATAAGGTCCTTGGTCTGAGGGCGCAATTCGAAGTCGATGGTTCGCAGCCTAGGGATCCATCGCTGTTCCTCGACGACTTCCTCTTCCGTGGGCTGCGCTTCGTTGGCCTCGGCCGTGGGGGTCGTTGACGATCCGGGCGGGATCGGGACGGGATCGCATCGCTGGCGGATTGTCCTCATTCGCGCCTCTTTCTCGGCATCGTCGTCCGGGGTCGTTTCGATAGCCCGCTTCAATGGGTTCCGGGCCTTGGTCTCGATGTTGGTCGGATTTGGTTTGTCCGACTTTGCTTCACGCTCAGCACGGTTGCCCTCGAACTATTGGGACTGTGGTAAGTCTATTGTTCACACGCGGAAAACAACAATCTACTTACCTTTGCGTGGAGCATTCTATCCGGGTGCCGCTTGATTTCTCTGGCGGCTGCGGTAAGTTTTACGTTGCGCGAATGCCAATCGAAGGTCTTCATCATTTGCCTCTCCTCCACCCACTCTCGCTCCCTCGCGGTAGGCGGAGGAGGGATTCGATGGGATCTGAACGATCCCGAAGTGCGAGAAACAAAGGGACGCGGTACTTGAGCACCGACTGCCCTTTTCTCCCTCTTCTCCCAGTATGCACCCCTCTCGCGCGTCGTGAAGTTGTTGGCCTCCATGCCCCTGCTCTCCAGTTCCTGGGACCAATGCCGGGATCGGTTGGCTTCGGTGAGTAGTTCCCAGATTGGTTGTGTCCGGGGAACAGTAGCTGTGAAGGCGGGGGTTGGTAGCTGGAAGGGCTGGTACGTTGGCTGGAGACTGGGAGCCGGGATTGGGAAGCTGAAATGGAAGCTTACAGACGCCGAGGGATGAACAGTAGGGATGGGCACGGAGGGAGTATTCACTGAGTAGGTTTGAGGGACGGATGGCGCGAGGGAAGGCGGCGCCTGGTTTCCGGAGGCTTGAAGCGCAGGGTTGCTATTTCCGGCAACATTGGTGTCGATGGGGCTTTGCGTCGGAATGTCGTCATCCTGTTTGACGACAGCGTTGGGGAACGCCGACGCAACCGAAAAGTCGGCAGAGGATGACTTGGCGGTAATCTTGGGGAAGGGGATGGCCGATGCCTGGTATCCCCGCCTTTGCTCGCCTTGGACCTTCACGGCCAATTCGACCGGTGGATCGGCCATCTCGACCGTGTTGGTCCTGCGGATGCCATTCCTGGCTGTATTGGGATTGTGAAAGGTTTGAGGTGACACGGGTTCGGGAGATGCCACGCCCATCTCGACCTCGATGCATGGTTGGATGTTGGTGAGAGTTTCGCGTTCGGGTGAAAGCATCGCAATGGACTTGGTTCGCGAGAAAGACCTGGGAGGAGTGGTTGGGGGGGCATTCAATGCGATGGTCGCTCGCGGAGGCGATAGCATATCAACCTCGATCAACGGCTGTACGATGGCGGAACCCTCGCGCCCAGGCGAAAGCATCGTGACCGACTTGGTTCGCGACAACATCCTGGGGGGTGTGGCCAAAGGGATGGAATGGGGAATGAATCGGGGAGGCGAGGTTGCGATGTCCATGTCGAGTTCTTGTGTCGTGGTGGGTTGATGGACGAGCGATTCATAGATGGGCGAAAGCATCGCGACTGTTTTCGTCCTGGTGAACTTTCGAGGGGGTGTCGTGAACGCGTCGCGTTTGGCCTTCTGAACCTCGAGAGCGGCTTTCAGCGCGCGACTGGCCGCCGTGTCTTGTTCGCCATCGGAATCAATGTCCACTACCACCTGTTTACCTTTCCCTCTTCAACGAAGTCAGCAACGCGTCGAGCGAGGAAGAGAAACCGGAATACTTACTTGGATCCAGCCATCCCAATGCCCGATGCCACTGGTTCCTCTGGCTTCTTCAGCGTAACGTCCTGCATCGTCTCCTCGTACGATGCCAGCCCTTCATCCTCGCTTTCGGTTTCGGTGTCTTCATCGGCGTCGTTCTCCTTCATTGCGACTTCCGAACCGTTGGTGGGACGTTGCTTCCTCTGTCGAGTGGGCTGTGGCAGGATGACCTGCGCCGGTGGTTGTGGCATGGACGGCTTGGGCTTCAATTTCAAGCCTTTCAGGAAGCGGTCGAAACTACCCCTGCGTTGCTGTGCGGCCGACATCTTTGGTTCCTTGGTCTCCGCACTCAACTCGCGAGAAACATCTCGGAGGAGTTGCTCAGCATCGTCGAGAAGGCTTTTCACCGAGGTCGGGACGGAGTCGGTGTCCTTCGAGCGTCGTTGGGTGTGTGCCTGTGGGGTGTCCTTCGTGTCCGATTTCGACGAGTTGGTCAAGTCGTCACTCTTTCGTCGTCGCAGGAATTGGCGCCTGATCATGGTGGGTTTGATAGGCGAGGAGTCGGGCTCGTGCATTTCGTCGCGGGTGGGGCTCGAGGACATCATTGTGGTTGGGTCGATGGACGGTGAGCTCGACGATTTTGATTTTAGATGACTGATAGTCGATGGAAAGTAGATGGATGGTATAGTGGATGGATGGAAAGTGTGTTTGTGTTGGTAGTTTGACTGGAGCAAGAGTTCACTGGTAGGGGATGGTAGTGGTTAAAGGTCAAGCTGTGAACGAGCGGTGGTCGAACATAAACAATGTGATAACGAGTCACGTTGTTGAATCCCTTTGTCTGTATCTCGAGTGGCATTGATGCCATAGGAAGTAAGTTCCCACACTCCTGTTTGCCACTCGTGCTCAGCAGGAATGCCACTGGCGCGCTTGGAGCGTGATATTTGACCTCTTTTAAAGTTATTGAATAAAGTGGGCTATGTTTTGGTACGATCGCTCCGACGAGGGGGCCAGGACGGCTAGTTCATGCTGGTGGCTCGACGCGTCGCAAGTCGCGTCCGTTAAGGAAGGACATGTTCCAAATTTGGATCTATATGAGTTAGGGTTAGGTATCGCAGTCAGTGGGGGTCCTACTGCCTGTGGTGCGTCGGTTCTGCGCATTATCTCACTCTTTGCTCTCTTGTAAGGGACAAAAAATCTGGACATGGGATATGAGGCGACCATGCGATCATTCTCTCGACCTGGAAGGCAAGGTAACACTATCCCTCGTCTGAGCAAAACGACGGCTAGAGGATACAATCCGAGGGCCAGACCTTGAGCCTTCATATGCATACTACCGCACGCTCGATAACGCTGTGGCAGCCGAGAAGTGTCAAGCTGTGGAGCCGCTGTGACGTCGACAGAAGCATGGAACCGCATGGAACCCAGGCAACAGCAGATGACCTTCTCCGGGATAAGTAACAGGGTACGCTTGCTTCCCATTCAACGTAACGATGTATCCCATTCTGCAGCGCCGAATACAGTCACGCTTTAGTTTTAGCGCCCATCCGTAACCACTATATAAGCAACCACAGCCTGAAAGTTCAGGTTTAATGTTCGGTGGGCATATCTCTATCAGTGGCGGCGCCCTGGATAGTTGTCCACCCTATCACAGGTGAATCTATTCCTTTGGATCCCATGGCTTAATTATAAGCGGCAAAGGGGCCGCGCGCTTTATACGGATGATTCTATTGAGAAACGCCGTATGCGAGGTTTCCAATTAGGCACCCCCGTATGTGGGGCTCTGAGCTCTCCCAAGTCCCGGCCCAAAGCACGGAGTTCTTCGGACAGTGCTCCATTCACAAGGCTCGGGGTTGACTGTACTCGCCTTGCAGGGCTCCTCACAGTGCAGGCTGAAGACAGGGTATCAGTACCTCAGAGTGAGTAAACACCAGGGATGCTGTCACACCTAGTTGGGTCAGTGATGAATGGACGTTTCAACTCATCGTGCCCTGATTTCTTGTTTCTTGACACCACATGTGGGCTTCACGATTGCTTACATACCGGAAGTACCTTGATTGGCAAAGAAAGTAGGTATCTACGTCCATACATTCCAGTGGATTTGCCCACCGACATGCTCTGGCAAAGGTATGGCGTCGATTGTGTACAGGGACCCGCCTGCCTGACCGTTAAGCGCCCGTTACCAAGCTATCTCACTCGACCGGACGACCCCATTTGGTTCCGAAGTCCGTCCAATTGACGGCGACGGCAGGCGTATTCGAAAAGCCTCCGAAACTAACTACTGTCGCTCCCCACTTGTTCGTTTTCACCACATGTTCGTTTTCTCCGTTTCCGCTGCGCCTTTCGCCTCATAACTTGGTATACCGATATTTTCAGTAATTCTAAGCATGATAATGCACTTTAAGCCACGAAAAACGAAGGGGAATGGGTGAAAACGAACGGGAGGAAAATTCCGTACCATCACATCCATCAGGAGCCATCAACTGAAAGGCGTGTACCCATTGGCTCTTACGCAGCGGAGTAGAGAAAAAACGATGGCCCATCACTATCAAAACGAACAAGTGGTGAAAACGAACAAGTGGGGTGTTCTCAGCTCCCCCGGTTTCTCAATAGACCCCGGTTTATGACCGCATATGGAGGTGCTGAATAGAATAATCCTTTCAATCGTCGAGCGGTTTACGGCACGCCGCTGGAGATTACCTGACTTTTTGTGTTGACACGCTCATGTGCCCACTCGTCAATCGATGCCCACCGACCCCAGGCCCCCGATTCCATGAATACACACCGAGACCTCTTGTCTCCTTCTCTCCCTCACCTTGGATGGCACGGAAGCGATCTCAAACCACCCTCCTCAAGCGATAAACGAAGATTAGCTTGCCAGCGCATCGCCCATACGACGCCTTCGTCCGAGCGACCCGGATCTCCGTCCTGGCACTGTTGGATCGGGCAGGACGCATAGTCAACCATGGATGCCGCTTCCGGTCCTCAAAGTTGGCTGAAAAGGGCCACGCCATGGTCGGAGCCGCAACCGCTCACTCAAAAGTCTTTAGCGCCCGTGTTAGGAGCAGTGCTGGTTCGTTCTTTTCGCCTTCCAAAGTAGTCTCGTGAGCGCTCATGCCACTTGACCCACAGGCAGAGACTTTACTTTACGGTAAGGCAACGGCGATGATGCATGGATCGGTCAGTCTAACCATTTGTCAACATTTGACAGGTGTCCATCTGATTCTATTCCTCATCTGCGTCTACTTCTTGGTCGCACGTAAGATGAGGCTCCAGTGGCTCATGCTCAGCGGGGTCATTGCGATGTTCCTTCTGGCTACCGCAGACATTGGGTTTTCCTTCCATACCATCCTCAAGCAAACCCAGTCAATCGTACGGGGCACAACGCTGACATTCCTGAGAAAGGTGTTCCCCAAGTTTGTGATCTATGTCACCAATAATTCCATTGCGCTTTTACTACTTGTGAGCACCAAAGCCTGTGGCTTACGAACTAAAATCTTTAATAACACGACAAAACCAGGTTGCAAGATTCTATGTTGTCTGGGGTCAGAAGAAATGGATGCTCGCCTTGGCCTTGATACCCGCACTCGCTTCGACAGGTCAGTGATCCCTTTACCTCGTGTAGAGGCCAAACTCATCACCGGCGATCGTCAGGCTTTGGCTACGCGTGCCGTATCGAAAACCCACAAACGATGAAGAGACTCATCCCGGCGTACTTTCTAATAAACCTTATCACGAGCAATATACTCACCTTCTTGACCGGTACGTCGCTTCCCTTCTTGCAACTCAGGGCTGCTGCGAGTTGTGAACGTGCGTTGCGGTTCACGACAGCGGGCCGAATATGGTGGATCTCACGGAGTGCGAGCGATGTTTTGGGCAAGCGGAGGAGGCAGTATCGTATCACTAGCGCAATAATGTACGTCTCTGTCCCTGAAACTCGTGCCAATCTAACCAGTACAACACTCTGCGGTACCGCAGAGTGGAGTCGGGATTGTTATACAGCGTCTCGATGCTGCTCGTTATCGCGTTGTCCTCGACGGTATGGGTGGTACGTCTGGTCATCGCCACATGAAAACACACCGCTCAGCCTTCTCCAGTCTGTCGCAGCGGCCGTAATGCTACGTATGGTTGTAAGTTACTCGGGTGGATACCCTCAAAATCTGAAATCTAACCTCTTTCGTTAGTCCATCGTTCCAGTCCTGATGGTCGTTCAAATTGCTATCAACCACGCTAGCAGCACCTCCCGACGCGAACGTGGAAAAACAGCTGACATCCCAGCCCTCACTACACGCTCGAGGGTCCCAACGTCTGCCATGCTAGACACCATCGTCCGTACCGACCTTCCAACCGATTCGTCTATCGAGCTGACGTCTCGAGCGTCAACGACGGCGCCCAAGTTCGAACCCCAGCGGAACCATGTGTCGCGGTGAAAATCTCCTTTTCGCGTTTCGATTTCTTTTACGCCATCTTTCGTGTTATGGGTACTTCCACGTCTCCTGTATTAGATGTCTTGGTGGGCTTAAGCCGAGTCCAATTGGATGAGTCGGCCGTATACTTCCAGCCATGGCCCATGGTGCATCCTCCTCCGAGTCGGATGGTTCACGAAATAGGAAAGTTGAAGGTCGGTGAGGTTGGCGAGAACCACATGGCTGACAGAAGTATCAATCAAAAGGGTGAACATTAGAGAAGAAGAAGCAACGCATATCCAACGACAAAGATATCTATCAATACGACAAAGAATAGACTGTGCGCGCATTGTCCATAAAATGATCGCTAATTCAGAAAAGAAAGCACATCACACCACATCTCTACAACTCAGGCTCGACGTCTAAAAGCAAAGCCGGATCAATTAGACCGCTATACGATGCTGCTCTAAAAGTGGGTGGGCCTGGGAAGGCGCTCGGTAACAGTGACAACAACAGAACAGTCAGGGTCAGCCGGAGTTGGGGCCAAAGTCTGGGTGACAGTGTTGGTGAAAGGGCAAGTGGTGAACCCTCCCTTAGGACCGTGGGGGCCATCGCCAGGTCCCGGAACGGTGACGGTAACGACGACGGAGCAGTCATCTGCTCCACGGGGTACGACCGAAGCTGTAGGGGCCGGGGTGGGGAAGGCGTTAGGGACAGCGCCGTCGAAGGGGAGGGTGACCGTGATGGTGCTGGTGCTAGTGCAAGTGGCCTGGGGAGCTTCGGTCACAGTGACGACGACCGAGCAAAGGGGGTCGTAGAACCCTGTCTGAGTGATGGTGTTGGTGCTGCTGCAGGTGGTTCCACCACCAGGGAAAGGTGGCTGTTGGCTGGCACTGTTAGGTTCGCAGAGCATATGTCAGTTTCTGTCGGAGGGATCGTATGTATTCTCGGAAACGTACAGAGGACCAGCCATGGCACCCTTCAAGGAAAGAGCAGAAGCGAGGACGAAGGCAGTGAGCTGGTTGGCGAACATTGTGAAAGTAGGGTTGGTTTGTTGGATTTTTTGGGTGAAAGGCTCGGTAAGAGTGTTTGCAGTAAAGAAGAGAAGACGAGAGCGGGATGAAGAACAGTACCACAGAGTTACCAACGTCTTTATACACCTAAAAGCACGGCCTTGGTTCCCCGACAATCGATGTCACCTAGCCAGCAGGCATGTCCGCAAGGTCATCAATACAGTCTTCTGCGGAGCCCAATGGCCGAAACAGCAGTCATGTCTCATTTCCGCGGTCTCGTGGATCTCTCTGTATCAGAAAAAAACAAAATTGTCATGGCAAATCGGACTTAATAGTTAGAGACCCTTCGCGGTCATCGTCACAAAGCACCCCAAAACTAAACACGCAACAGGCTTTTGTCCGGAAACACAAATGAACGCACATGCATCGCCATGAGAAACTAGCGAACGTGCACCATCTTCGCAGCTGTGCTCCATTGAAATAAAGACAATCGTTACGCAAAACCAACGTGAGAAGGTCTCGTACAAGGGTCTCAAAGGCCACAACACAAGTCGATGTTCACGAGGGTTAAACACCACTAGACTGTCCTTTCTTTACACGGACGTCGAAGTCGAAGTGCCTCGAAGATATGCCCCTCTCTGCACAATGAAAATCTTGACGAAAATCGATACATGATTCCCCGAGATCAGCGAGGATGCAAGGATCGGCGTTCTTGCAACGAGTTCCAGACAAAGAATTGCTCCATGGACCATGGAGTGGGTACCTCGGATCAAAAGAAGCCTTTCGAGCGGTGCGAGTCCTGTCAGTCCTACTTCAAGTGACCTACCAAGTCCGGTCTGTCAGTGCCGTAGCTGAGATTGTGGCTTACCTGTTGAGCTCAAGGAGGTTAAGGACGCCATCAGCTCAGAACACAGCGCGCAAGCCCGCAGTGATCCCAGCGGTCGGCACCCAGTCCCACTAGTTCACATAACAAACCCTCCACTAAGATCCCAACACCAAAATTAAAATCTCGAATGCTCAAAGTCCATGCAATACTAATAATACAAAATAATTGCTTTACAGTGTACACTGCGGATCGTAAAACGTAGCCCTGTGCTAGATAGTAGCCCGTGACAAGGGCAACGATGTCGTCAAAAAAGAGAAACAAGTAAGGCAGGCATACAAGGTGTCTAATACTAAAACGAAGAGTAAGAAACAGAGGGGAAAGAAAATGGGATGAGATGAGATAAGAATGAGGAAGAGGAGGCAATAATTAAGATAGGACAAGTAGGATGGATGGAGGGATCGGTGGATGGACGAGGAGCGTGAAGATGCGTCTTGGGTCGAGGAGCCAGAAAGGGGAAAGATGAAATCCAAATCCTACGAGATACAGAAAAGAGAAATACTCCAGGTACTACTAATGGAATAACGAGAATGGTGAACAAAAAGTGAATTCAAAAGGAAAAAAAAAAAAGAAGAAATCAATCCTCCTCCTCTTCCCTCACCGCCGTCCCAAACCCAGCAAACGCACCCATCTTCATCTCCACCCGGTCCAAACTAGGCCTCGGCTTGAAACTTCCCCTTTCAGACTTGCGCTTAACTGCGGGAAGTGGTACCGGCAAATTACCACCATATACTGATCCAGCCAACGACCCAGCTCCCATGGTATGACTAGCGCTAGGGAACCGCTTGCTCGCCATAGCCGCCATCGTCGTACTTGGTACACTCCGTCCTACAGTGCCAGACGTACTCCTCGTAGTCCTCGGCGCAGTGCTCTGCACACTCGACGGTATCCTCCCATGTCCCAAAGCATGATGCTGCGTCCCAGGTTTAGGCACAGGAACAGCTGATCTGGGTACCGAACCAGTATGTCGACTCACGGGCGTCTTGGTCGGGATCTTTGAAGGAGACGAAGCTCGTAGATTCCCAGGTCCTGGACCATAGTTCAGCCCTCTATGCGTAGAAAGTGGGGCTCGAGAAGAGGACTGACTGGAGGTGGAGTCACCCAATCGTTGGCGTTTGTTGGAGGCAGAGCTCGTCGAACTCGAGGTGGAAGCCATCGCGGAGCGTGGTCGGACGGCTGGTGTAACAGTGCCGGACCTTGGCCTGCTGCCGCCTGGAACGTAGCCCGTTGAGGTCGAGTTGCTGGCGTCGGGGGTGACTGCCCGTCGGGGAACGGAGCCAGAACGACTCTTGCTTCGCTTGTTCGCGTTCTCTTGTTGTGCTTGGCTGATAGTTTCCATGAGAGCAGCCAGCATGCTCTCGCCGTAGACAAGGAAGGGTTGACCAGTTTCTTGTTCCCATGCTGGAAGAGAGGCAAGTAGATCCTGTTCGAGCTACGATGGGGTGTCAGTCGACCAAGCTCAGGGTTCGAGGAAAGAGTTACTTACTCTGGGCTTCTCTTTCTGTACTCGCTTGCGCATCTTTTCTTCACGAAGGAGTCGTCCAGGGTCTCGTCCTCGACCAAGCAGTCGAGTCTGATCAGAGGCAGCAGCGGCCAGTTCCTTCTCCTCTTCGCAGATTTGGAAATATTTCTTGATGCTAGCGAGTAAGGGCGCCTTCATCCTCCTCTCTTCTCGAAGTCGCCGAATTTCGTCTTCATGGATTGTCAACAGTTCCTCCGTAAATTCGTCTAATAGAGGGGGGTTAGCCATAGAGCGGTCAAGAACAGAACGTGGACGTACCATCCACGAAGGGTGCAAAGTCTGCTCGCTCCTCCTCCCCGACCATCAAATCGTTCCAAAGCTGAACAATCTCCTCTCTTGCGCTCTCCACGAACTGACCCATCCTCTCCCTCTTGAGTTCCAACATCCTCTCAAGCTCCTCTTCGTACTGTCTCACCACCTCCTCTGTGCTTCCCCTGTGCATATCCACGAAAGCATCCATATCCTCCTCCTCCACTCCTAGCCTCCTCCACAGACCTTCCAACTGGTCATACATCGCCTGGATATGGGCCTCTCGTTTCCTCTTCACCTCCTCCAGCGACGCCTGAATGGCTTGAGCCCAATCAATGAGGCTCAGCGTGGGTTCCACATTCTCCAGGCCGATTGGGATTGAAGGATTGGATTGAAGGGCTTCCTCGTCCGCCTCCTCGATTCGGGCGACGAAGTTGGCGAAGATCCGCTGGTAAGCTGAGGTTGATTCGCATTCAGTGCTGCTACTTGCGGCGTTTGTCGTTAACTCTTGGAACAAGAGTGGGGGCACCGAGCTCCCCCGTGATGCCGGGGTAGGCGTCGAAAGGAAGGGGTCGCTGTTGTCACCAGGGTTCATGGAGGATGCCAGTTTGTGCGATGCTGCAGCGCCGACTGCAAATGAAGAGTAGGTTGGACATAGGTCATCTGAATCCAGGTATTCCGACATTCCCAATTCCGTCCGTAACCAGTCGATGTGGGCGAATATTGAAGAAAGTTGATGTAGTCTCTTTGTCTGTAAGAAGCAAGTCAGAACAGATTATCAAGAACCATGTGCCACTCGACATACCACTTCCGCCTTTCCTCTTACAAGCTCCTTCTCCAGCTTCAAAAATCGTTCTGGCGTCACATCACGAGGCGCAGTCGAGTCCAGCGCATCCAAATCATCCTCGTTAAGCGCCGGAGCTGGTGTTGGTTCCAGTATATCTGGGGCGAAGTAGGTTGTTCCTAGTGTTCTGGCGAGTATGTTGAGGCGATTGGTGAGTGTCGTGAGCTGCTCCAATTTCGTGTGGTAGGCCTGGCGCAATTTTTCCTGGTATTCGGAAACAAGGTCGAATCTTCTGGGAAGACTCTGCTCCTTCCTCAACTCTCCGAGGGTCATCCCTGTCGACTTTGTGTTCCCTCCCAGAGCCTTTGTATATCGTAGGCAAACGGTCTCCACGGCCTCACATTTGGCCATCCACTCGTCCACCTGTCTCCGACGCAGATCGATTTGTCGCTCAACGCCTTGAATCAGTTGTTCTTGAAGGTCCTTGAGTTCATCTTCTAGCGCCGATGGAGGAAGACCCAGTTGAGCGTGCAGTGTTGGTAGTAACTGGGTTTGCGATTGTAAATGAGAGTGTAATGAATTGAGCAACGATGTCAATGTCATCGCTGATGCTGATGCTGCCGTCGCCGTCGTCACCGCCGACATCGTTGTCGCTGAATGTGTTGCGGTTCACGCAGTCGAAGTTGTTGGGTAACGCTGGGATATCGCAGATGGATGAAAGAAAGGAGGAGACAACGAGGACAACGAGCGTGGTCAAGTTGAACCCGCGACTTCCAAAAACGGTTACCTCGCGTCGCGCCCAACGGGCACGTGCCCGCGAAGGGTCCAGCACAGCCACCTTTATCCGGGCTCGCGGTCAACCAAGGTTGCCAGACATCCCGAACGTTCATTTTCTTAGTATCTGAGCAGAAGCATAGGCTGGGATATCTCCACCAAAGGTAAGCGCTCATATCTCAGACGGGATGATCAATCTAATGCGCAACAAAAACAGGAGGCACGACATCAAATACTATCGGCGACAGTGGGAAGCTGTGACTTTCAAGTTGACCAATGACCACTTTGGGCTCTTACACTGACTCGTTTCTCCGTTTGATACCTGAAAGCTCTCGGCTCTGATGTTCCATTCTGCGAACCTTGTGCGATGCGACAGCTTCTTCGAGACCATTCGGTGGACTTTACACGCTTGGTGGCACGGATATCATATACCGACAGACTGGGCTACATGGACCTCCACTCAGGACACCACCATTCCAGTACTCGAAGAACTTCAGATTACTGCGAAGCGCTGGTCCCTATTGGCCCCATTCTTCGCTTCGCGTGGTTACCACCTCTATGTACCAAATGGGCGCCATCCCCGGGAAACAATTCCCCCATCCTCGTTCAAACTACCGAACCAGATGGGCGAATCCTATCCCTATGGGCGGCGTAAATGTGCAAGCGAGAATGGATTCATGTTTTCGGGTATTCAGGTATGCCATTCAGTTCGCTCTAGTCTCTAAAGAGTTCAACTTAGTGATGTACTTTTCCCAACAGAGCTGCCGCGTTTGGGCAGCGCGCGACAGGGCAGGAAGAGAAGTGGTAATCAAGTCAGTTTCTTAACCTCCCAAAACCGGTCCTCGTCGCGATAAGCATGTTAATATCTGTGTGAACAGGATGGTCTCCAATTCAGAGAGAGAAACCGACGAGCTAAGGATATACCAAAGGCTCAACACGCCGAAAGCGAGGGCAGACCCTCGCAACCGGACACTACCGGTCCTCGAGTATATCACCTACAATGGACTCGTTTTGTGGTGACTCCTCGGTAGGCTCAAGCGGTTTCTTTCTTGGTAATTAAGCAACAACTTCCGAAGATGGGGATACTCCTTCGTTGGCCTCCCTTTTACGACGGCAGAACAGTTGTTCATCCTCGCCGATCAGCTCCTGGAGGTATGGGCACCGTATCGTTCATCCACAGGTTACCGCTTCTCACCTCATGTTCGCTTTACAGGGGCTAGTCTTTCTCCACGAGAAGCGGATTGCGCATCGCGACATTGCGCCCCAAAATACGGTCCTCAACTCTCTGTTTGAACGCGGGACTAGACACGACCCCAACGACATTCGAGGCCCGTCTAATGCTCGATACGCTTTTATTGATTTTGATGCCTCTTCCATATTTCCAATGGAAACGGATATCCAAACCGTCGTCCAAGATAGGGAGATGAGGATCGGAGCCCATATTCTGGATCTGGAAGAGGGCAAATCAAATCCCTTTACTGACGACGTGCTCATTTTAGTTGACACATTGCAGTATCCCGTCCGTGTGAGTGGCCAGCGAACACTCACGCCCTTCTTATTCTCACTTGCAGAGTATTGCTTAGGTCCTCGAAAGAGCCATACCAGAGATTGGGCCTTTCTTCGACGAGATCTTGAAGAACAAAGCCGGCCCCAACTTCCGAATTACGGCTGTGTCCGTCCTTGAAGAGCTTCGAAGAATACGGTCAAAACTGACTCAGGAGCAACTGAACCAACTTCCAGAAGGCCGCCTATGGCAGGACGGTGCGATCAGCTATTAGATTTAGGTCTCCATGTACACTGACTCGATGTTTGGCTTCCAGGGCACATACAGCCGCGCAAGGATAGATGAGTTCCAACTTGCGGAAGTGCCTTTCTATCGCTCTAGTACGATCGTACAACGGGGTAGGCTTACACTGGCTTATATTCGGTCGAATTGAAGTCCATTTTGCTCTTTCGAGATCGGTGTTCAAACCGCTTTTTGGCTCGTTCTCGCAATCGGTATTTCAAGGTAGAATTGTACAATGTGATATACAACGCACTCATATAACTTTGTCGCAGAAGTCGGGAGAATATAACATGGGCGAATACACATATATAGTTGCAACCACGGCTTTGCCAGTGTTTAGTCAATAAATTCAATGAATTTACCAGGGACCGCTCGGAAAGACCCGCCCGCAAAGGCGCCGGTGGGTGTGATGTTCAAATCATACTTGGGCTGGGATGGGTTGCTCTGCGAGTAAGCGACGAATCAGATCGTCTGCGAAGAGGCGAAGAGAGGCAAATCTATTCTTACATTTGTCTGGTGGATGTTTACCACTTTCCCCTCCGCTCCTTCTGGAAGCGGAACGCCCAGAAGATCTGTGCACGCCTCTTTGATGCGAATGCGCTTGCCGACTCGCTAGAGCATGAAGCCACTAATCAGTCGAGATAAGGTACGACCAGAGTCACTGCACTTACGGATTGCGTATTATCCGACATTCGGTTACACAGGTTTAAGAGACGGTATATGGTGATATGGCCAGTGGCAACTTCGAGACCAGAGGGCACTTGAAGGAGAGCAGGCAGGGAGAGAAAGACCGGTTTATATGGGATTTTCGTGCATAGTTTGTGATGGGCCATAAGGGGATACGCGGAGAGAAGATGGCGGTCGAATCTCGATACAGTAGTTCAGACTCACCAATGGCGCCCACACAACCTAACACATCCAAAACACGCCACCAAATATTAATACACACTTAACGAACCGGGTTGCTCATTTCCTCTTTTGAGCTGTTTCAATTCGTGTCCCTTCAACCGTCAAGGCCTGCACAGAAATACTTGCGCGGAACACAGTGCTTCTCATGGAATGATGAAGCTGGTACAGTGTGACACATTGTGGGCAACCCTGCGATGGTCTCTACATGCCTGGTGGCACGGCTATTCAGTCCCGACGGAACTGTCGAGTTGGGCCCGGTATGAAGAGGATTACGAAGTTCTGAAGGCGGCAGGGGAACGGTGGGCCCTACTCAGGCCTTTCTTCGCATCGTGGGGATACCACCTCTACGAATATGAGCGCCTCCCGCTCACGTACCCCCCGAAGTCCCTCAAATGTCCCGACATTGTGGATGAGTCCTATCCTTATGCCAGGTGTCGTTTCACCAAGGATGAGCATTATGTGTTCACCTATGTCCATGTGAGTACTGGATCGATTTTACTGCCTGTTCGTCACTCACTGTGACTCGCATCGTTCCTAGACTGGTCGGATATGGGCCGCGCGAGACAACTTTGGCAGAGACGTTATCATAAAGTTGGCTCCTTTCTTACATTCGGTGCTCTAGTTTTAACGACGAATACTTTACAGGCTAGTTTCGAGTCGGAATGAAGAACAGGAAGAGCTGAAAGTTTGGAAAAGACTGAGCGCTCCTGAAGTAAGGGAAGATCCCCGTAGTAATCGAACGCTCCGAGTGCTAGACTTCATCACGTACGACGGACTAGTGTTCGTGGTAACACCTCGGTGGGTACGCCCTCATTCAAGCGCAAGTCTGGCCTCATGATCTGTTTTGAATAGATGGGGAATGCCTTTTGTAGGACTGTCGTTCCCGTCAGTTGAGCATATCTTCGACATGCTGGAACAATTTTACGACGTAGGTCATTTGAGTGCTGGGTTCAGGTACGAAGCTGTGACTTAACGCTTGGGCACAGGGCCTCGCATTTCTTCACGACAACAGGATTGCCCATCGCGACATTGATCCCGGGAACATGGTCATGAACGCATTATTCGATTACTTTGATGAGACTCGAGATTCTGTCGAGATTCGGGACCCCTCTCGTGTCCTTTACGCCCATATCGACTTCGAGGCATCTGCACTCTTTGCTATGGACACGGACATTGACAATGTAACAATGGAACGCGCCAGTCGCCTTTCGACGTTATGGTCGGGCCTGGCCGAAGGACAAAGATCAAATCCTTTCCGGGACGACGTCTATGTTTTGACCTGGGTTTTACAGGACTGGTCTAGGGTTCGTATCTCTGGCATTTCTCACCTTCTTGTGCAGCTTACCCGTTTCTAGCACATTGAGTCCATTGTTCCTGAGATTGGGTCTTTTTATGACGGTATCTTGAAGGATTACTCCCGTACGCCGCGCGCTGAGGCAGCTCTCCATCAATTGAGAGAAATTCGCTCGAAGCTCACTGCAGAGCAGCTGCGCCAGGAACCGCCAGGCTATATGTGGAGCAAAGGTGAGTTCCTAGGATCTTGTTCTAATTGTAATCTCAGACGCTTCTTCGTTCAGGGAAAGTTCTCAAGGACTGACACTCGAGCGCTAGGTCGACATCGAGGGCCCGACGTCACTCCAGCCACAGTCTGCAGAGGAAGTATATATCAGACTCCTGCCAGATTTTACACTTCTCAGGCGTGTTTATTACACTCTTGGAATGACTTGGTCCCCGTCAGGAAATTTAGGTTACCCACATTTGCCTCAATGTTTGTCTCATTCAATACTCCGACTGCTTAACCTGGACGTTCTCCGTCTCATTGCGACATTTTGCGAATCTTTGCCCTCAGCCCTAGAGGTTTCGTGGTGCGATGGTGAGGCAAATTTGACATCGGACCAGGGGCTCTTAGTTGCAAACAGCGAGTAGCCTCGCACGAGAATGACTATCGCTAATGAAGATCATATGAGAGCTGCTCATCAGAGTACCTTAGCCCGTTTCTTCCACGTTCAGAGCATCCATGAGGCTCTTGGAAGGTGTATCACACAAAGAAACCAGATAGAAGCGCCACTTGACAAGTGAAGACTTGGAGAAACGGGGCTACAAAACCTTTTTCTATCAAGAACGAATCGGAGCATGGAGCCTGTCGCTCTCGGTTCAGGCTGTCTCGAGCCAGCTCAACCCAGTCATGTTCAAATTTCAGGTACAACCTGGGATCGCTGACAGCCACTCCGAGTCATCAGATAACGCACGCTCGACTCGGATTGTTGTTCGCCTGGGATGCCCATCCTTAAGAGAAGTGACCGATCCTCGCTACCCAAAGTTCTAAATACCAGGGAGACAAGCCACAAGGCGATACAGAGAGAGTAGGTAGCAGTTCGTCCGACTTTTATGTACGGCAGTGTTTTGGACGGGGAAGCGGGGCTCAAGTGGTCGTCAAGTCACTTCTCCCGACTCGAAAACAAATGAAATGGGGTTAGTCGGAGAAAGTCAACCCCACAGATGCCCTTTGCCTAATGCAAATGTTGACTCGGGGAAAGGGAAGACCGCGTACCTGCGGAATGGGCACACGTTCCGACTTGATTCGGATCGGCCATGACATGTGCTTGGACGACGTCCACGAGGTCCTTCTCATTTTGCACCTCCAAGTCGGGACTCGGTATTTCATGACGGGCGCTAAGCAGCAGGTGCCAAGATTTGTTGCCGAACCATCACATGGCCAAACATTGCCATCAGCCAGCGCCAAACATGGGTTGGTCCCGTACCATCAAGTCCTCCAAGGAATCAAGGCGACCAATACACGACTCTACACACAACAGTGTGCTACTCTACGGTAGGACCATCCAATTATGAAGTGGGTGCGATGTGACGGCCTATGGGCAACACTGCGATGGTCTCTACATGCTTGGTGGCACGGCTACTCCGTCCCAACAGAACCGTCGAGTTGGGCCCGGTATGAAGAGGATTACGAAGTTCTGAAGGCGGCAGGGGAACGTTGGGCCCTACTCAGGCCTTTCTTCGCTTCCTGGGGATACCACCTTTATGAATACGAACGTCTCCCATGCACCTACCCTCCAAAATCCCTCAAATGTCCAGACGTTGTGGACGAGTCCTATCCTTATGCTAGGTGTCGTTTCAGCACTGACGAGCATTATGTGTTCTCGTACGTCCATGTGAGTACTGTATCGGTTTTAAGGCCTGTTCGGTACTCATAACTTCTTCGTCTAGACTGGTCGGATATGGGCCGCGCGAGACAACTTTGGCAGAGACGTGATCATAAAGTAGGTTCTTTGGAACATTCGATGCTTAAGCTTTGACGATGAATACTTTGCAGGCTAGTTTCCGCTCCGAATCAGGAGTTGGAAGAGTTGAGGGTTTGGCAAAGACTGAACACGCCGCAAGTGAGGGCCGATCCCCGTAATCGAACGCTCCCTGTACTGGACATCATCACGTACGACGGATTAGTCTTCGTGGTAGCATCTCGGTGGGTGCGCTCTCACAATAGCTGAAGTCTTGCCTCTGATATGCTGGGAAAAGATGGGGAATGCCCTTCCTAGGACTGACGTTCCCGACAATTGAACATACCTTCGTTATGATGGAACAGTTTTATGACGTAGGTAATTTCCTGGGCTCAAGTACGAAACTTTGGCTGATGACGCTACCACTTGGGGCGCAGGGCCTCGCATTTCTTCACGAAAACAGGATTGCTCATCGCGATATAGACCCCGGCAACATGGTCATAAACGCGTTATTTGAATGCTTCGACAGCACTCTTGACAGTCTCGAGATTCGGGACCCGTCTCGTGTGCGTTACGGCTACATTGACTTTGAGGCTTCGTCACTCTTTGCCATGGACACCGATATCGACAATGTAACGATGAAACGCGCAAATCGCGCTTCGACGATAGGGTCGGGCTTGGCCAAAGGACAGCAGTCAAATCCTTTCAGGGACGACGTCTATGTTTTGACGTGGGTCTTACAGCACTAGTCTAGGGTTCGTATCTCAGGCATTTCTCACCTTCCCATTCAGCTTACCGGTTTCTAGCACATTGAAGGCATAGTTCCTGAAATTGGTTCATTTTACGACACCATATTGAAAGATTACGCCCGTACGCCGCGCGCTGAGGCAGCTCTCCATCAATTGAGAGAAATTCGCTCGAAGCTCACTGCAGAGCAGCTGCGCCAGGAACCCCCCGGTTCTATGTGGAGGAAAGGTGAGTGTCTAAAATCCCCTACGAGAATCAAATGCAGACGTTTTATTCAGGTAAAATTATCAAGCATTGACGTTGACCTGGCGTCAACATCGAGGGCCCCAAAGTCACTAAAGAAGCAGAACAGCAGCCACTCGGTAGTCTACGGTTTTGAGCTGGTGGAGCCATTGGCTATGGGAACCTTCCATAATTTCGGACTTGTACTGGATTTTACACTTCTTGGGAGTCTCTCTCACACTCTTGGAATGACTCGATCAGTTCCCGTGGGCCCTCAGGGACATCGATACCGATTTAGATTACCCACCGTTTGCCTCAAGGTCTCATTCATTTTCAGTTGGGCGTTCTCCGTGCCATTGTGACATCTTGCAATCCTGTCAGGCCCTTGCTACAGTACAAACCTAGAGCTTTCAGGGTGCGATGGTGAGGCAAAATTGCCATCGGACCACGGGCGCTTATTAGCAAACAGCGAGTATCTCGCACGCCCCCATGAGAATGATGATTTATTCCGATAAGATCACTCTTGGGTCACACGAGAGCCACTCATCAGAGGACCTTGCCTCGACCTTTCCTCCACGTTTACAGAGCATGATGCTTTTGGAAGGTGTGTCACGAAATAAAAGCTGATAGAAGCGCTCATTGACAAGTGAGAGAAGCGGGAGCAAAAAGTTTTTCTATCAAGGATGACCCCGGAGCCTGTGTTCCTCGGCTCATAAGTATATCGAGCCAGCTCAATACCATATTGTATACACCCTAGTAGTTGAATGGGGTCATCCGCTATTCAGTGATTCGTACCTTCAGAGATTTCAGGCACCGTGAGGAGCGGCGTGCCGAGTGGGCAACAGCTCGGCTGTGATCCTCCTGAATAGCAATGTGTACTAGTACAGTATTAGGCACGAAAATCCTTAACACCAAAGACACCGGTGCCTGCGCTAATCCTCTCTGTCCGAGAGGTTGCTTGCAGTGATGGAGTTGATGATATTGCTGCGTGCAGGGGGAGGCATGGTTCAAAGATGCGTATATAGTCGTTCCTCCTGACTCGGGAACGCGCAATGGGGTTAGCTGGAGAAGACTGCCCCACCATTGATCTTTCGATGTCCTTTGTCTCGGATAATGTAGCAATGACTCGGGGAAAAAGAGAATAGCCTTTGTACATATGGCAGATTCGCATTTGTCGAGGTTAGTGCCCCTACAAGGCCAAACAGTACTGACACCAGAATCCCACTGGCCAACCGGCTACGGTCTATCGTTCCGACTTGGTTCGGTTCCAACCAGCTTCCCCGCAACTACTCCCAGAGAAACCACGACCTCCCTGTCGATGGCTTCTCCGCGCGCGGACTCATGTTAGGCTGGAACCCATTGTCGACATCAAGGGAGAGTCCACCTTTGTGATATTCCTATAATCAGGGTTCTTCGAATCGAGTCTTAAATATGGTACTAGCCATATGGACTCAGGGAAAAAACAAGTTGCTCGGCGTGCACGGCTGACTTGTTTCCGACTCGGATGACCACGCCCAAGTGTGTTCTGTATTCCCCTGAGGCAACAAGTCATGGAAACGCTGACGAAAGACAAGTGAATCAATTGTACGGCGTGACTACACTGACGGTGACATCCACTTATGTCAAAAAAACAACAATCCACCAACGGGCTGGCGACAGTCGCCCTTTGTCCCGACAACTTACTGGGCTGATGAGAGTTCTGGGAGTTCCTCTCTATTAGTCAGCCTGTGGGTTACGGTGCCCACGAGGCTGCTGGACCTTGGAAACACACACACACACCAACGTTGAGAATGATCGTACCTCCCGCAGAGGGTCTCGCAAAGAGACGAGTGTGCCAAAAATTCTGGTTGGATATTGCTTCTCGACGTTTCTTTTTGCTTGAATCCGCTGCATCGCCAAACTGACGAGCCATAGAAGTCCAAGCAAAGAGATAGTCGCAAAAGCGATGGGGGATCCCCCGACGACACAAGCCGGTACTGCAATAGCAAGGTCATCGCGCCCTCGAGTTGCAAGCAGAGCTCGAGGAACTGGGGCGGCAAAAATTAGATAACCAAAAATGAGGGCGGTGCCCTCATAATAGTGGTTAAACTATTAAGAACAGATACTACACTTGATCTAAGCCAAAAGGCCAGAGTGGTAAGGAATCAACTCTGTTCGAGCGCGGCTTATATACTGCAGAGATTGCGCACGGACCACTTCCATGTTTGCGGTGAATAGCACTGCCACTCACTGCCACCCGGGTTGTGGTCGCGCGAGCTCACTTTCCTCGTTCGTTTCTCTACATAGTTGAGTCTAGAAACGACAATGGAACATACTTAGTTCCCTCTCAATCCTACAGCTGTACAGCAAACTGTCGACATCGGTCGACCCCAGAAACATGCGGGACCGCCACTCATTGCCCGAAGTTGAGCGGGATTGTTCTTTGCATGGCCGTTCTGTCGCATTCCCCGACAGAAACCGTGTCATTGAAGTCAGTGCGTTCACGAAATCTACGCACGGTTCGACGCTCAAACAATTCCTCACAGCAATGTTATTCATGCACTCTGAGCAACTGACGTAGTCTTGGTCAGAAGGCTATAGCAAAAGTCATCTGTGACGCGCCATCCTTACGAACCAAGACACACCGACGCAATTTCCACACAGCTCTGAGACATAAGCGGTCACTGTGTCGCGAGGGCAATGCTGTACCAGCGCTTATGGGACGGAATGTTCGGAGACCCGATCACCACAAAAACAGCGCCCATGAAACAGCGCCCATACCTGCTCGGCGTTGGGGAACGAATAGACGCCCGAATGTCCTGGTGGTGGGCATTGAGTAAGCATCGGAAATGGATTTATTCTCTTTAGTGACCGACATGTTGATCAATCTCCCCTTTCCTTCTTTCCTCCCCCGGGGCCCTCCTTGCGTTGAATCGGAAGGCGGCTTGTCCTTTGGCTGCAGACACTTCCTTGGTTACAACCTACTCTCATCTACCCAAGGTTCAATTAAATCTTGTTGCTAACCTTGATTTACGGCGAGCGCCATTGTACAACTGTCGTCTACTTGCCGTGGTGACCGTACCCTTGGTAGTTAGCCCATTCAAAAGCTTCGGTGAGTAGACAACTTTTCCTGGCAGATATCCCTTATCTCTGCAGGCGGAGGACTCTTCGTAGCTTTACCACCGATCGTCCAAAGATAACTTGCTCACGGAAGAAACACACAGCCTCGCATCCAACTTTATCACTACGCCCCTCGACCAATTCGGATCCGGAAAGGACTCCATACCGTTCCAAACAGTCGATTCATCAACACTCACAGTCCACAATCACGCACCACGATTAAAATAGCCTTAGGCGCAAGTTCTCTCTAAGTGGGTCCCTCTCCTCTACCTCCACTTCGTTTAGTGACCACCCACAGCCCATCCCCTGCATTCCTGCCAATCGTCGGTCAAAGATACATCTCCCCGGAGATCAGTGATTGAAGTGAATCCGTACGCGGTATCCAGGGCGCAGCCTCGACATAGTAGGCGCCCACAGCCTCCTCAACGATAAAACCCTTCCATCTCGACTTCAACTCGGTTGCTCCTTATTCCTTTTCGTCCCAAGTCATGGCGTCCCCTTACGTCTACACGCCCGAATCATCATACCAACCTGGTCCGTACGCTGTTCCTAATGCGGCACCAGGCTCTCCGTACTCCCCTTTCATCCCCGACGTCTCTCTGTACCCTCCCTCACCTTATTCCAGACCGGGGTCAGTGCACGGGTCGCCTGCTTCAGGTGTCGTTAATCTCCCTCCAGTCGGGGGAGTTCCATTCCCAGCCGCTCCGCCCAGTCCAGTCCTCGGCGGATTCATCCCTCCTACATTCGAGGAGACCTTCTGGGGACCGCGCCAGCGAAGGCCATCTTGGCACGGAGCACCAACCGGCGGACTAACAGTCCCACAAGGCCACGTTCGCTCCAACTCTTTTGGGCAAGCCAACGCTCCCCCTTTTTACCCACCGCCTGCCACCGCACCAGTGTATGCCAACGGCTATGACGCCTGGCTGCAATGGCAACAACAACAGCACCAGCAACAACAACAACAACAACTCGAAGCCCAGAAAAAGCAGATCTATATCCACCCCTTGTTGAACGGCGAGAACCCTGCCCGGCAGTTTTTCTTCAATTTGGCGAATCCGCATTTTCAACCTGTGAAGATCGTTGGACCTAATCAGTGGGTGCCATTGGGGTCTGAGGAGCTCGCGCAGCCAGCTACGCACCCACCGGTGTACGAACTCAAGATTGTGTGCGACGCGACCCCACAATGGCCTATCCATATCCGCTACGAGCCGCCCTCAAACCCGTACTACAGCCCACACCCCTCTGCGGCGCTCCAACCCGGACATGGGGCCCCACCCATCACCGTTGGCGACGTTCTAACCCAACTGCACAAACACCTCCATGCGATGGTCGCGCAGCATGAATGGAACCAGATGAGTACGAAGGAGGAGAAGGAAATCACGAAGGCGTTTCAGAGGAGGTGTAAGATGATGGGTAAGGGAGAGTATATGGTGTGGAGGCAGAAGGGTCTGAGGAGAGTTGATTACTTGAAGGATAGGTGTGTGTTCTCGGGGGTGTTGAGGACTGGATCGGGTCTCGGGGAAGTCAAGCTCGTCACGCAGCCCATGCCGAAGACGAATTAGGGGGCTCCGTGCAACTCGGACGTAACGTAGAAACCAAGTAGATGGACGTGGACATTTAAAGGCTTATGAGGTGATTTGTTTAACTTTCATCTTGGTATCTAGGACTTTCTTGTTATGCTCTTCCCTTCTAACGTTTACCTATGCTGTATTTTTTGTCGGTTTGTAGAGCAACGTTGTGTATGCAGTATGCACGGTCATTACGTATGTATATCCATGATACCCCTGTCCGTTGTGGTACTCTCATTTAGGTATCCTAGGACCAAGTACTGCGCGAACCACGCTTTCTGGCGCTCACAGAAGGCGCCTAAACCTGCGCCTTCTCCGCCTGACCCATTCACCGTGAAACCCGAGCCAAGGCCCTGCGAATCAAACAGTGTCAAATAACGACACGAGTCGGAGATCCAGAGTTGCGTGGTGGGGTGATTCTCGTCGTCCTCTTGTTTCTGTTTTATCACAATGTTTTGGCAACCATCTTCTTCTGTGACTGACGCTCACGATATTAATGACTTGGGGCGCTGGTTTGGCTCGGCTGCTGACCGCTCTTGGCCTGGAACATACGCAATTTTGGCGCGAATGTATTGTAAACACGGTCGCGGCTCTCCGTTGGTCGACAACGGCGACGAAACCTCGGAAACGCTCTTTACGAGAGGTTTTGAATGCAGCACCTAAAGGCGGGAATTCTTACATGCGAACTGATTCAAACTTGTATGACGGGGTCTCCTTGTGCGTTCGGATAACGGACACTAGGACTCGATACTCTGGTGCTCTGACAACTGCCTGACGAGATTCTTGGGTGCTAGGTTTCCTGCTCCAAATTTATTCTTCTTAGGATTACTATCGGACAAGTAAGGCGTTAATGGAATTGGAGAAAGTCGGATTTGTGCTACATACCGTATGTTGACCGCTTTCAACCCAAAATCAACCTGACCCTCCCATGACACTTCGTTTCGCAGCGCTTCGATGACATGCATTATACGGTTCAGAAGTTACATAGGAGAACCTTCAAGGCCTCAGAGAATTGGACCACCGACAAACGACCAGAGACCCTCCGGCTGACTGCTGACTTCGACTCAAGTTGTTGGGTGAGTATACTTTTAGCTAACTATCTAGATGGCACTAGTACTAATTCAAAATTCGCCGTAACCTTCTTTTTATTTCCTAGCTTTCCCGCCTCACCCGAAACTTACGGCCATCGCACAGCATATATCATGTCAAAGGTAATGTTTATGTGATCTCCATGGTTCCTCTCCAACGCTCCTCCAATCACCATGGTGAATCCTCAATCTAAATATGCTTCACTCAATGCTAAACTCCTCGCAGGGGCCGATACTACCTTACCTAGACATATCCCCTCAGCACGCTACCCGAAACGCAACGGGATAATGATGCATGTTACGAGGAAACCACTGCGAAGGCTCCCGATATACTCCTTTCCTGTCCTCGAGATCAGGATGGGCCGTAAGATGGTGGGCATGTGAACGTCGAATGCTAGATAACGGCCTTCTAATTACCAAATCTGTTTTCCAGTTCAGCAAAGGCTTACCGCATACCCTCCTTTTTGTGGATGCGTGAAACATGGTTTACGAGGCGGGGACTCGACAGTCTGCGGGGCTCTGCTTGGAAGGAGTCTCCTTGGATCCGAGTGGTTGAAATGGGATCTCAGTCCATTAGGGGATGCTGTGGAAGGACGGGCGCGTATAAGAAGGGGCGGGCAGGTAGGGTGTTGGAGTTACGCCTTCCTTGCCCTTCCTTCCCTCTCATTCCATCCTCTATTCTTCTGTTCACAGGGTACTAGCTTGAAGCTAGTGACTTTATTTTCTTCAACCTCTTGCAACATTAATTCACAACCCACCTAATCGACAACTCGATCCACTATCTTTATTCTTATTCCAGGATCTTAATCAATCTACACCTACGGCTTCTCTTCTTTTTGCAAGATGTTCACCATGAACAAACTCCTGCCATTCGTCCTCGCTGCGATTGCATTGAATAGTGTATATGTCGACGCTACGCCTATACGCGCCGCGTACGTTCCTTTTTCCACAGACGAGCCTCCACACATACTCATCGCCTGTCTGAACTTAGCGACCTCGCAGCAAGAGCTCCAAACCCTCAACTTGGTGGACCCAAGATCCCCATTCCCACTGGCGTACCCACTCCCGTCGCCATCTCTCGACGCGGTGTGACCAACGATGAATTAGCAGCGCGACAACTCGGTGGACCCAGGATCCCAATCCCTAGTGGTGTCCCCACTCCCATTGTCGAGTCCCGACGCCGCGCCGTTGACGATAAATTGGCCGCACGACAACTGGGTGGACCCAAGATCCCAATCCCCACTGGCGTACCCACTCCCATCGCTATCTCTCGACGCGGTGCGGCCAACGATGAAATAAAGGCACGTCAACTGGGTGGACCCAAGATCCCAATCCCCACTGGCGTACCCACACCCATCGCCATCTCCCGACGCGGTGTCGCCGACAATAACCTCGCAGCTAGAGCTCCCAACCCTCAACTCGGCGGACCTGGCATCCCCATCCCCACCGGTGTGCCAACTCCAATCGCCGTATCTCTCGTGACCGATATCCAAGAACCGGGCTCGACACCGTCTGTGGAATTCGAGCTTCCAGGGAGCGTTCTTACGGTCGCTGTTCCTGTGCCTACTGCGTCGGAGGGTGTTTCTGTACTTGTTATTTCGGGTACTGCAGTTTCGCAGCCTGTAATTTCGGGTGCACCTGTTTCTGTTCCTGTTATTTCTGGTACTCCAATTTCGGTGCCCGTCATTTCTGGTACTCCCATTTCTGTGCCAGTCATCTCAGGTACACCAATCTCCATCCCCGTCATTTCTGGAACGCCGATTTCGGTGCCGGTTATATCAGGAACACCCATATCCGTCCCAGTCATCTCTGGTGCACCTATATCCGTCCCAGTCATTTCTGGCACACCCATTTCAGTGCCGGTCATCTCAGGGACACCGATCTCCGTTCCAGTCATTTCTGGTACACCCATCTCCGAACCAGTCATCTCCAGCACCCCAATCACCGTCCGGCCAACCGACAGTGCGGACATCTCGAGCAGCGCGCCCGTCGTTTCCATTCCTGTTCCTGTTTCCTCGGGTGTGCTCAGCTCGGTTGAACCGGGTCCCACCGAAAGTACTAGTATCATCGTCAGTGGGAGTATCTCTGAATCTGTCCGGCCCACCGAAAGCGTCAGCGTCAGTGCCAGCGCAAGTGTAACCGCCCGACCTACCGACCAAGCCTCGCTGGAGACGACGACGGTCGTTCAGACCATCCCGAGGGAGACCGGGTTGGTGACTGTGACGAGGACGTTGACGAGGATTGTGGGGCCTACGGGTGTTGCTGGGCTGCCTGGGCGTGGGCAGGGTCGTCCTGGACGGGGACAAGGCAGAGGGCAGAGTCGTCCTGGTAGAGGACAGAGTCGGCCCGGTCGAGGTCAGGGACGAGGACAAGGTCGACCTGGAAGAGGTCAAGGACGAGGAAACGGGGTTGGAGTTGGTCGACCTGGTGGACGACCAGGACAAGGTCGACCGCATATTGTGACTGTTCGACCTCGTCCGCCTGTTGTGACTGTTCGGCCTACTGGGAGTGGAGTGGTCACTGTTCGACCGACTGCTAGTGGGAGTGGTGTGGTCACTGTCAGGCCGACTGCGAATGGAAGCGGTGTAGTCACTGTCCGTCCTACAGGTTCGGCACCCGTCTCCATCCCTGTCTCGAGCTCCGAATCCCCTCAGACTTCCGGTTCCGCAATCCCTTCGGGTTCAGCCATCCCCTCGGGCGAAGAGACGAGCGTGTTCGTCACCTCGAGGCCTACGGCGTTCAGCAGTGTGTTTGAATCTGAGTCTGGGAGTGTTAGGCCTACGGGTTCTGGAGTGGAGAGTAGTGGTGTTGGGGTGCCTACTGAGAGTGGGAGTGTTGGGGTGCCTACGGAGAGTGGAAGGGTCACGGTGCCCACGGAGAGCGGGAGTGTGATCGTTTTCCCCTCGGTTACGGCCAGACCTACCAGTGCTTTTGCGTAAAGGACGGCCAAATGGGAGGGGGAGTGGCTGGTTGAATTGGTGGTGATTGTGTAGGACGCGGGACGTCGAGCGTTCGTTCATTCAGACAGTCGTTTTCTCGTTCTCTTTTCGGGATTCCATTCATTCTGAGTTTTGCTGAGCTTTGCGCAGGGGTGTGGGGAGTGGGGTAGGGAAGGGCTTCAGAGGAAGAGGCGTGACTGGTTGAAAATAAGTAGTTGTTAGTAGAGGTAGTGAATGTGTACGTAGGTGCATGGGAACTACTCGCTCGCATGCTGGGGATGCTTAAGGGACGTGCGTCGAGTCATAGGAATAAGAGCTGGGGAAGTTGCTCAAAGCTGATCAGAAGAGGCGAGTAGACGAAAGGTGAAGGGGACTCTCAACAAATGACGAGGGGGTTCCTAGCAGAGGCTTGGTCGACCCGAGTCCATCCAGTCCGACATGTTGCATTTAAATCTAAGATTCCATTAAGGGTTCTTGGTATAAATTACACCGAGATGTATCCGTCTAGATGGCTTGGAGAGGAATCAATAAATGCCTCTCGCAGCAGGCTCGAACACTTGGGTTTCACTCACCCCTTTTCTACTCCTCCTTCCCATCCACCTTACCAGCAACACTGCCTACATCCACCCCCTTCTCCCGCATCTTCTTCTCCCATTGCGCGCGCCATCTCCACCACGCGTCTTCGACTCCTGCGTCGCCCCATACTTCCCACCCGTCGCGGATGCGGAGCCAGGTGCAGAGTGGGTTTGTGAGGATGAAGCGTTTTGTTTTGCCTAGGGAGAGAAGAGGGGTGTTAGTGGTTGGAACTTTGGGGTTTTGGGGGTGAGATAAGAACAAGGATAGGGAAGGGGAAGAATGAAACGGGGATAGGAGGAGAATGGAATAAGGCAGGGGGAAAATGAGGAAAGAGGTTCAAAAGGACGAGGACAACGCACCAAGCACCGAATTTGGATACCTCGACGGTACCAACTGGGTTAGCGTGTACACCACCACTGCCAACGCGCAACCAATCGCCAGACCCCAGAAGATCTGGAGGGGTGTGTGGTAGCCGAGTGCGTATCTGGAATAGGCGACTACCCCCATCCACATTGCTAATACTCCGTACACGGTTGTGCGCCATAGTCTGTCGAGGAGGGGTGAGCCGGTTGAGGTGAAGCGGTGGGAGAAGAAGAGGTGGAGGTAGAGGAAGGTTGTGAAGTAGGCCATGTATTGGCTGTGTGAGGAGGGGAAGCCGTAGCCGTCGCCGATATTTACTGTCCGTGGGCGGGGTGGCGGGAGCAGGGGGTTCGAGAGGACGGGATAGGATGGTTAAGGTGACGGTGCGGTTGGTTACGATGACCAGGAGGGAAGCGAGAATAAGGTCAGCGTTAGTGAGTACAGTGGAGTGGGCGGGACGTACGATTAGGTCTCTCCTCCTTCACGATCCTCTTGATCACCAGATTCAGTCCTTCACCGAAGAACTGCCCAATCCACATGACGATTATGATGTATTCGCGGGTTTGGTAGGCGAGCGCTGCGTAAGCTGGCTGCAGACAGATGACATTCCGGTGGTTAGCTATCAAACATGTACATAAACTCGAGAGCGTAGCGTACCATTAACAAGATGGGACTGAGCGTGATGAGCGCGAGTACGAAGGAAGTGAAGGAGCTGTCGTCGTCTGTATGGACCGCATTAGCTGTTTGGTTGGTTCGATAGGGTGCGGGAGGAAGAGGTGAGCGCACAGAGAACATGGGTTACGTCCAGACTCGCTAGAGGTCCTTGAAAGTGTGGTTGTTGGAGTGTCATAATCGGTTCTTCACCGTGGTATCGCGTAAAGGATAGGTGGGTCTTTTGTTCTAGGTTGTTGTCCAACAGTAAATTAGCTGAAGAGGTGTAAGAATTCCTGTCCCAGTGTGGTTCACCGGTCGCTCTTCTAGTTTCCTTCAGGTCTGGCAGAATCTCTATTGATTCGCGTTGTTGTCGCTGTGCCTTTGACTATCGTCGAGTGTCGAGTCGAATGGGTCACGGTGATGGAGCCATCCTACGAGGAGGCAGACACGGTACGATGGTCAAGGTGTAGGACACGTTGATGCTCCAGCTTCCGCTCCCGTCGTCCGTGATGTCCGAAATCACCGTTCGGAAGCATTAGAGTAGCACCACTCGACTTGCTGAACATCGGCGGGGCGACCCCTCATTCTGCTTTGAAAGGTATCTCAAGCTATCCATGCTCCCGTGAAAATCTCTTATTCAAAGCACTTTACAGCCATCGAGGTCGACTTCAAGACAAGCAAGGGGCAAATTTGGATGCCTGCCGCGGCACGGCTTGATGCAATCAGCCCATGTCTGATCCGAAATCCGAAATCGCGGTCACGACGCGCTGTGCTCGCTTGGCCTCTGGGTTGTCCCTGGTTCTTATCTTTCCTTCAGCATCCTTGGTCGTACCTCGAAATCTCAACGCGTCTATTCAACAAAGACAACGGAATATACATTGACCCTCTAAAAGACGATATATTTCGTTCAGAAAACCTAATATGCCCTCGCCGTCTAAAGGCAAAGGCAAATCGACCGAAACCCAAGGGATAAGCGCCAATACCAACACCACGAACGTTGATTCCAACGCGAATTTGGATTCAAGGATGAGGGACATGAAGATACCAACGAGACTGTACACCTCGATGCACATCCCAACGGCCATTTCGTCCCCTTCGACGAAGTGCATCCAGTGGACGCCAGAAGGACAGTTGTTGTTCGTGACGAAGAGCGTGGTGTACATCTTTGTGCGTGGTTTCTTCTCATCTCCTCCTTCATGTCCTTGTTTACCCGCATCTACGATTCGCTGTCCTGCATGTACTGACGCACCGCAAAAGACCCCAGATACAGGCATAAACTTTGACCTCTCCTCGACGTTTAAACCTGCACTCCCGACGTTGCCGACTGCACCTTCTGCAGCCCTACCGGTATCATCCCAGCTACAACCCACGTCAAATGTTCCAAACTCTAGTAGTGGAGACCTAGTCCTGAAAGTCGGAGATGACGACCAAGCGATGGGGTGGTTCAGGACTATTGTGCAGGATGCGCCTAATCCGGGTGGTGCTACGGGAGCTGGAGGTGGGACCGCCAGCGGAGGAGGAACGGCCAGTAGCGCAACAGGAGGGGCAAGCACCAGTGGAGGAGGAACAGGAAGTACCTTTTGGCCTAAATACTCTCAAGGTGCGCATGGTCATCTTTGTGCCCTGGAGGCGTAATCTAACGCTCGAGGTTGGAATAGAATGGGGAACGGTAGCCTTGGGCTCAATCGATACCGCCATCTCGAGTGTTGCATGCTCACCGGGAGGGGTTTCTGGGGATGGGAGGTGCGTTTTGTTCCGCTTGGTTTGACTCGTTCGTTTAGTTGGCTTGTTCTGCCTTCCAGTATCACTGTTGTTGGCTTGTTTTCTTTTCATATCACCATATCGCTATCGTGTCCTAATGCCAGCTTACAGGCCTATCCTCGCACTCTTGACTACCAATATGGATTTATCGCTTTGGACACCGGGGAAGAATTACCTCAAGGGGGAGTGGTTTAAGGTGAGCCTTTTGTCTTTATCTCGTTAACCCGCGCCTTTTGTGCCAACCCTTCCGCGTCCCTCTTTTTAACATCAACCAATGCACCTTTAGCACCCACTAATACTAACACCACTTCCTCTCCTTCCTCTCCAAGATAACAGACTTGACACCGACGCTCCTCGAGTACCACGCAGCGTTGACGAGTTCGGTCGATGGAGGTGTAGAGGGCGTGTTGCAGGCTCAGAGTACTTGTGCGTCGTGTTCTCTTCCATCCTACTTGCACTCTGGCAATCGACCCTACTCCATAATTATTCGACATCCACATCCTATTCGTTCCACGCTACGTTGCACCGCACTCATTCTATCCAATTCGACAATAGCAGACACTGACACGGAACACGCGATTCTTCAGGTCTAACATGGACACCCCGCGCTCCATTCCAAACCTCTCCTTCGCTCATCTCGCTCGATTCCTCTTTGTTGGTGGTCGGCAACCGAGCGGGGTGTTTGACATTTTTGAGGTGCGTGCCTTTGGTCTGGTTCGTTGTTCACCGCGATTCACACTGAGTGGTTACAGATATTCACCAACCTCGCCATCAAATATCAAAATCCTGCTCGCGAAACGTGTGGCCAATGGGTGGGTTACGAAGATTGATGTTTCTGGGTGGAGGGTGAAGGGTGAAGGCACATGTGCGTATTCTTGACTCGTTTCCTCGTGCATCCTTTTCTTCGTCCCTTGAGTGCTGATGCCGTTTCCAGGTGATGCGCTTCTGGCGTATGCAAGTTCGACTGGGGACGTGGGTGTGGTTAGGGTCGTGCAGCAGTTGACCTCTTCTCCTCCGAGCTCGCCTGCTTCTGGAGACGAGGGCGCCAGTGGATACAGCATCGAACTGCAAGTCGAAGACGGTCTGGACAGCGCTTCCTTAAACTTGGACAACGCAGCTGTGACGGCTCTGCGATGGGTACAAGTGCGTGATCGGGACTCGGTGGGTGTTTTATTTTTCTCTTTTGTGATATGCGGGGAGCTAATGGACGACGAGTAGCCGGTGCTGGTCATTTGTAAACCGGGAATTTTGTACCTCTACTCTCCTCCCTCGGCCTCAAACGATGCCAACCCCTCCAATACCTCCAATGTCGCCTTCAGCGAGTCCAACAAACCCCAGTCAGCTCTCGTCCCCCTCCCCCTCCCACCGCTCCCCTCCCCGCCCTCGGCCCACACCAACTCGCCGTTCCATCCCGTCTCTGGGATCCTCTACGTCGAGAGGGAGGATAAGCTCGTGGTTGTGCTGTTTGATGGGAGTGTGTACGTTGTGAGGGGTGTTGGGCGGGGTGAGTTTGGGAGGGAGGTGGAAGTCGTTCTGGAATCGGGGTCGGCTGAAGATCTGTCGTCCCACCATCCAAACCCATCCTCCCCAATCCTATCCTGCCAGACCCTCTCCACGCGCCTCCGGACGGTGTTCAAAACAGTCGAAAGCCGGTATCTGGGCGTGAAGATTGATGCGAGGGTGATGAGTCGGGTTAATGGGGTTGTTAGTTGGGAGTCGGGGGTGGTTGGTGCGAACGCTGATGCTGGTACTGGTGCGGGTGGGGTTGTTTGGGTGCATGAGTGCGTAGATGTTTTCTTTTTGGTTCTTGTGTTATATTATATCAACCCAACCCCGGAACTTTTGAACAGATCCTCGACTCCCTCGGATTTCAGCTACAAACATGACGCGAAGCATTCGAATACGTTGGTCGTTGCCGAGTTGCTTTCGTCTACTCTGGGAGGAGTGGGAGGAGGAAGAGGAGGAGGGGTGGACCCGGTGAGGATGTTGGAGGATGTGTTGGGTGGGTTTGATTTATGTGCGTATACTACTCCTGTTTCCTGGTTCTTGTCGATTAAAAGTTGCTGACTGCTTTCTTCTGCGTACTTGTCTATCAACCCAATCCAAACCTACGTACTATTCACCATCACTCATCACCCAAACTCGAACACCCTCTCGATTCAAAACCCCTCCAGCTTCACCGATTAGCCCGACGCACCTCCTCCGGCCGTTCTTCCACCTCTTGCAGACGGACCAAGCCTTGTTCGAGAGGTGTCGGGAGGGGATCTTGGGTGTGCTCGTGAGGGGGTTGGAGGGGGTGTCCGAGGCGAGGGATAGAATGTTGGTTGAGGGGTGGGGGGTACACGGTGGTGAGGACGGCGATAAGCGTGAGGAGGGCGATGTGCGCGAAGGAAGCGGGGAGGGCGATGAAGATAAGATGGACGTGGACGACGAAACGCCCAATGAAGCAGGAAGAAGAGGAAGATTGGATCAGGCAACGTCCCAGGTAACCCTGGAAAAAGTGAAACAAAAGTTCGAGTTTAGTCTCCGGAATCATCTTTTTGGAACGCGGGCGTTGGTGGTGTTGAGGATCAAGTTGGGAGTGGCTGATTTCGTTTGGGTGAGTTGGCTTACTCCTTACTTTTTTGGTGTTTCGCTCCGTGTATCTCCTACTTTCGTTTTGTTGGCCCCTTAAACGCCAACACCCAAGCTCCAGTCTGACACTGACACCCCCCTTCCTTCCGTCTCTGCGCAGAAACACTCCTCCAACGACACGCACCGCAAAGAATGTGGAGAGATTGCACAGCGCATCCTAAATGAGATCTCGTACTGGAATTTGAAGATCGTGATTGGGGATGTTAGAGGTGTTGTTAGGTTCTTGGGGGGTACGTTTTTCCACTTTGTGATTTAAAAATCGATGTATATACCTTTCTTGTCGCCCATTAAAACCCTCTATCCTATTTAAACCTCTATCCTTGCAATCCAAAGACTAACTAACACCCCCCCTTGCTCTTTTCTATTCTACAGCCGCAGACGCCCCCTTCATCCTCCGGCTCATCCTTCAATCTGCGCTTCCCGGATCCCCGCCTGATCTCGTTGAAGAGGGGAAGAAGTTGATGGAGGCGACTGCGGAGTTGGGTTCGAGTGTTTCGGTTGCACCACCACTACCGCCGCAGCCGCCTCATGCAGTGATAGATCCTGTACTGGCGGGGATAGGGCAAGAGGTTGCGCCTCCTCCGCCTGGTGCTGGTGTGGACCCCCCTCCTCCTCCTGCACCGACCCCTACAACGACGACGACAGAACCAACGCAAGCACTGAAACCACCTACAGCGACAGCATCGACGACGCATGCACCAGGGCCAGGACCAGGGCCAGCGCCCGCCCCACCACAGCTCCCGACCACAGAACCCTGCCCGGCGTGCCACACGCCCATCCCTCTAACGGACACCACGACCGCGGTGTGTGCGCGCGGGCACGTGTGGAGGCGGTGTTCGGTTAGTACGTTTGTTATTCGGGGCGTTGTTGGTGTGTTTGGTGCTGGGTCTGGGTCTGGGTTGGGTTCGTTTAGTACTGGGTCGGGGTCGTCGGTTGGTATTGCGTCTGGGTCGTCGGTTACGACTGGAGGGGATGGAGGAGGAGGAATAGAAGGAGGGGGAAGAAAAGAACCCGAGTGGAAAAAACTCGATGTATACGGTGTCCGGTCTTGTGTTGGGTGTAGCCGGAAACGGGGTGGTATTTCTGGACCTCCTGGTCCTGCGGGAGTAGTAGGTGTAGGACCAGCTGGAGGAGTGGGAGGTGGCGGACCAGCTGGGGGACTAGTAGGCGGACCAAGCCAAGGCTGGTTGGTGAACCAAGTCCTACGCGCCGTTGATCAATGTATGTATTGTAACAATCGGTTTGTTAGTCTGTTGTAGTCGGTGTAGTTTGAAGTACCTGCCGTGCCAATGGTGCTGAATGTAGATTGAGATTTCGAACAAGCAGTCGATGCACTTGATCTACGCAATCCGATCTATGAGGGAAACTAATCGCGCCATGTTGTGAGAAAGAAATTGGCCGTGCTGGTGGAAGTGATTACGGTGGATACAAGGATCCATGGTGCGAACATGGTTGCGCAAAGCGACCTCACCATTCGCCTAGACGAGATGGCCATTGCAGTGAATATGTAGACTGTGTCAGGCCAAACAACAATATCCTGAGTGTTCTCTCCAGCACTAAATAGCGAGACGCGTCTTTCATCAGCACCTGAAGACTTGCTATACCTAGACGCCTCAGTTGGCATACCTTGGACTGAACACTGACCGTCGCAATCACCTTTGCAGGCCTTGGGGTAACACAATCCATCAGAATGGATCTTCAACTATGACCGGCTAGCCGGGTTTCTGTCTCCAAGGTCGATTGCGACAGCGACGAATTGGGTTTGAAAAGGGGTAGAAGAGCCATTTTAATGGTTGGAGGAGAGAGAGATGGAAGGCGACCGAATCAAGAATGCGTTCTGCTGCTGCAAGGTATTCGCAATTAACTCTGATCATCCACGATGGGGTACAGGTTGACCAAGTTCAAGGAGTTGGAATTGCTGTAGTACTGGATGAGAGAATCACAGAATATAAAATTATAAACAATCGAAGTGCAACCAGGGCGATTATTTCCAAGTCTGCTTTATGAGGTCAGCGGCCCTTTCCGCAATAGCGTAAACAGGGGCCTGGGTATGAGCACAAGTGATATACGGCTGCGTCCAGTATGTTCAGCATCGGTACATTCGGGAGAACTCGAACATTGTTGACTTACCATGACGGACGCATCAACAATGCGCAGTCCCTTCACTTTCTTCACCTTGAGGTCAGGGTCAACAACACCCCACTGGGCGTTCTTGGGCGACATCGAGGCGGAGCCAACGGGATGTGCGGCGCTAAAGACCAAGTTTCTAATACCTTCGTTTAGCTCTTCGTCGTCGTCCGAGTCGAATGGCGGGAGCAGTGTGAGTTGGTAGTCCTGCCATGCCGGGGCTGCGAAGAACCTCCTCGAAGCCCGAATGGTCTCTCGCAGGCCATACCAATCGAACTCGGATTTCAAAAGTCCGAGATCAATTAGAGGGGCATCGTACACATTGGTCGAGCCAATCTTGACAGTACCGCCTGAAACGGTGCTTCAATCAACAGTGACACAGAAACTCCCAGTCAAGACCTACGAGAGTCTAAGCTCGGAGTGGCAACGACGGCACTGGTGAAAATGAATTGTCCAGGAACGGGGTAATGTCCAGTGCCCTGTCGGGTCAGGTCATTACAATCATCCTATGGCATCCAGACCAGGAGCACCTACCACAAAGCCAATTTCAAGTTGTGGCGTGTTCTTTCCAGAAGAAGGGTCGGGATGCTCAGCATAGATGGGAGAATCGTCGGGAAGCCTCGTCCAGGCAGCTGTATTGACATTGACAAAGGTCAAAGGTCCAGTTCGGGAAGTTTCCCATTCTTGGAACCACTGCTGAGGCAAGGTCGGATCCGCGGTCCTATAAACACAACGCGCTTGTCAGCGTCCATAAGTAGACGAGAGGCTGAGAGGTTGGGGACACACGGGTCAAAGGTACCGTTGATACCCAACTGCCAGATGAGAGCTAGTTGTGGCTGATCCGTGAGATTCTTCCCAACGCTCGGAAGATGGACCTTGGGCTCAATTCCGACCTCGTTAAGCTCGGCTGTATCACCAATTCCAGACAGCAATAGGATCTGGGGTGTTCCGTATGCACCTGCCGAAAGAAGAACTTCTTTCTTCGCAGTAACCTGTTGGATAGGAGCTTCAAAGGCTCAGTCAATGTATCCTTTCTGCGCCTTGCGAGATGAGCTTACCTGACGGGTTCATCTCTTCCTGGAAAGCAACAGTTCGGAACGAAAGCTCCTTCGAACCTCCACCTCCTGGTCCACGGCCGCGCCCACCGATTGGAACCAACTTGGTGACACGGTGATTGATTAAAACGTGGAGATTCTTGCGTTTGAGGTATTTCGGGGAAAGATAAGACGTCGCCGCACTGCTCCTTTCTCCATTGCCAATCGTGTATTGAGCCCAACCTGTCGGAGTGAGGGCAAGTAGTCAGCATCCAGCAATACCCGAACGCCAATCCTCGCAACTAACCGACACCCAACGAATCTCCACTGTTGGTATCGACGTTCCAACTCCATTCACCACCAAGCTCATGCGCAGCTTGTTCCACCTTCGCATCAATCGCGTCCTGGTAGCTCGGGAGACTGACAAAGGTCATCCCCTTGCGACTGTGGACTCGCGGATCGTACATGCCATTGATATTCACATCTCGATTGGGTTTTACCCATCTCTCATTCTGTCATATACAGTACACAACGTCAGTCACCTTCCGTTCCGATCGTATATGGAGGCCATGACTTACCTTGAGGATGTATGGGAAGAGCTTCTTCCATGACCACCCCGAATCGCCGGTGACTGCTGCCCACCTATCGTAATCCGACGAGGAGCCACGCGTGTAAAACATTCCATCTGCGAAGAGAGATCACTACAGGCCTTTACCGTGACTAGTTCACAATGCTTACTATGAGAACTCGAGCCACCAAGCATACGAGCGCGAGGCAAGGCCAAAGGACGATTGCCAAGTTGAGGTTGAATGGTGCTCGTGTAGTTGTAGTCGTAGGTACTGTTCTGCAATGCGAACACGAAATTGGGGACTTGTGCGTTCAGCACACCCTCGTGACTAACGAGAGGGATTCAGACACTGGCATGGAACTTTAGGACGGAGGTACAGACCTAGGGCCTGCTTCGATGACGAGAACCTTGAACTTTGGGTTCTCGGTAAGCCTGTTGGCGAGGACACAGCCCGCATTTCCACCTGCAGAAGGGAGCAAGGTCGGACACGAGAGACCGGAATGAATTATTGGACATGAACGAACCTCCAACGATGACAAAGTCATATTCAGTCCTCGGAAACTTGGAAAGCGAATCCCGAATGTCCGCAAAGGCGGGGAGACCAAGGCCGAGGAGAAGGGAAGCGATAATGAAGCTTGGACTCAACATTTCGGCGAACGACCTTGTGTTCAGGGCTTGATACGCTGAGAGGTAGCTGGTCAAATCGTCGACAGGACTTCACACTCAACCTCTTCCTTTAAACCTCAGTGGTTGACTTCAGTATACACACCCATGGCGTTTCACTGGCCCTGTAAAGAAAACACGTGCAGTTCTATCAGAAGATGGCTACCAAATTGAAAGATTGAATAAGAGAGTACACACCAGGGAGAGGTTTGTCTGCAGTATCGTTACTTACGGGAATCCCTACGTCCCATCGCAGGCGGTAACAGGCACGCCAAGAAGAGCTATTGCAATAAAGGGTACCATCCCCGTCCAGATCCTCCCACTCCACCTCGCGTGGTTGGAGACAGAAAACACAAACTCTATCCCGACAGATTGTGAAGACCACGTAAATCCACCTTCCAACCACTGATTTACGGGATACTCTGTCCGTTTTTGTCTTTCCTTAGATCAAGATCGTTTGTCTAGAGGAGAAAGTTACCAGAATTGGCTGTCTCAGCGAAATCAGTTACCTGGGGTTTTGTGATCGCTGGTTGCACTCACTTGAGCGACATAAGCACAGCGGATCCCGAGCGCTAACAGCAGTGGCGCCCACATTGAGATGACGGAAGGATAATCCATCACAATTGTGTTTAGCGTCCGCGGTGCACATACCCTCACTTCTTAACAGAACCACGTTCTTTCCACGTTGTTGACTTGACATCAAGGACAGACATAAGTAACCTGACAGTGGACAGATTCAACAAGCGAGATGACAGAACATTTGACATGGAAGGAAACCGCGCACTCAGATTCCAGGACGAGAGTGGGTTAATTGAATATTCGGATCGTCCACAGATTCGAAACTGTTTTCTGATGAGTCCCAAGTATCGCCGACGAAATCAGGCCCAATACTGCTTGATGAGGTCAGCTGCACGTTCAGCAATGGCGTAAACAGGAGCCTGAGTATGTCCACTAGTGATATACGGCTGTGCCCAAACCCACTCAGCATTCCATTCGCAGACCATAAACACCACATTGAGAACGCACCATGACAGAGGCATCAACGATGCGCAACCCCCTCACTTTCTTCACCCTAAGATCAGGGTCCACAACGCCCCACTGAGCACCCTTGGGTGACATCGAAGCCGAACCAACAGGATGCAAGGCACCAGTGACGAGATCCCGGATACCTTCATCGAGCTGTTCGTCGTTGTCCGTGTCGAAGGGAGGGAGTAGGGTAAGCTGGTAGTCTTGCCATGCTGGTGCTGCGAAGAACCGCCTTGAAGCCCGGACAGCCTCGCGTAAGCCGTACCAATCGAACCCGGATTTCATGAGCCCAAGATCAATCAGCGGAGAGTCGTAGATATTGGTAGAGTTGAGCTTTACGGAGCCACCTGAGAGCGGGTTGGCGTGAGGAGTAGATTGAAGCCAGGAATAGATACGCACGAGACTCGAAGCCGGGTGTAACGAGCACCGCAGCTAATAATATATTCGGACCAGGTGTGGGATACAGACCAGTTCCCTTTGGAAAGAGTGTTGAGCAGAGAACAAGGATCCGAGGTAAAGGAACACGCACCACGAACTGAATCTCTAACTGCGGCGTATTCCGTCCTGAAGACGGGTCAGGATACTGGGCATAAACAGGAGAATCATCCGGTAACCTCGTCCAGGCAACTGTATTGACATTGAGAAAGGTGAGTGGTCCAGTCCGGGAAGTTTTCCACTCGCGGAACCACTCCGTCTGCGTCCGTAACGCTGGATCTGGGAGTCTGTCGAAGTCCAGGCAGAGATGTGGAAATGGGCCTGCGCAAGTGTCGAATGTGCCGTTGATACCCAGCTGCCAGATGAGGGGCAGAAGCGGTTGTTCTGTGAGGTTCTTTCCGACACTGGGGAGATGGACTTTGGGTTCGATGCCAACCTCGTTCAGTTCAGCTGTATCGCCAATTCCGGACAAGAGTAAGATTTGGGGTGTTCCAAAGGCGCCGGCGGAGAGAATCACTTCTTTCCTCGCAGTAACCTTCTGAACAGGGGCTGCGAGGGTTCAGTCAGCAGGTCGAACCGAATCGCAGCTTGAGGTCCCTACCTGATGGATTCATCTCCTCCTGGAAGGCGACAGTTCGAAACGAGAGCTTACTGGTGGCACCACCACTAGCTGGAGTCACTTTGGTGACGCGGTGATTAACCAACACATGTAGATTTTTGCGTTTGACATATTTTTGGGAAAGATAAGCAGCAGCAGCACTACTCCTTTCACCATTACCGATGGTGTACTGACCCCAGCCTAAACCATCGATCAGTCCGTCGACGTCAAACAATGCAGAGGGGAATTCGCAACCTACCAACCCCCAAAGAGTCTCCGCTGTTTGTATCGACATTCCAGCTCCATTCGCCTCCCAGTTCACGTGCAGCCTGTTCGACCTTTGCGTCGATCGCATCTGGAAAACTCGGGAGACTGACGAAGGTCATCCCCTTGTAACTGTGGGAGCGTGGGTCGTACATGCCCTCGATGTCTATATCGCGATTCGGCTTCACCCATTTCTCGTTCTAAGCGAGATAATCAACTGTCCGAGATAATCGAAGGTCACTTGGAGGCTTTCCGTACCCTGAAGATGTATGGGAGAAGCTTCTTCCACGACCACCCAGCATCGCCGGTAACTGCAGCCCACCTGTCGTAATCGGAGGAAGACCCTCGTGTGTACAACATCCCATCTATACGACAAGGTCAGCCTTCCCATAACGCGTTCATTACAGCCGCTATGAACTCACTGTGAGAACTGGAACCACCCAGCAAACGCGCGCGGGGTAAGCCTAGCCGACGGTCGTTGAGCTGGGACTGAGCGACGCTCGTGTAATTGTAGTCGTATGTGCTGTTTTGCAACAAGGCGGGGAGAAAACCGGGCACCTGGGCATCCAGCACCCCCTCGTAACTGGCGCGCTATTTCAGAGCCAGTCTTCCATGCACGATGAACGCACAAACCTGGGGCCTGCTTCGATGACCAAAACATTAAATTTGGGGTTCTCTGACAATCGATTTGCAACGACGCATCCAGCATTTCCTCCTACAGGATGAGGTTAGTTCAGGCGCAGCGTTTACATCGTTGGAGGCGCACCTCCAACAATGACGAAGTCGTATTCGACCCTGGGGAACTTGGATAGTGAATTGTGGATGGCCCCAGAGGCCAAAAGACTTAACTCGAGAAGAAGGGTGGCTGTAAAAGCTACCTTCAAAATCATCCCTTTCGACGCCGTGCTCGTAGTCAGTGCCACGGCTGGTTTGCCTGGCATACTAGGCCAAAGGGTCTTTTGTAGTTCAGAGTGAGCAACATGATACATAAACAGAGGTTCTATCAGAAGAGCTTGACCAACCCAAAAGGGCAAGAAAGGCACTCACATCGCGTCACATCCAAGTATCGTGGACATATCAGTGGGTCCCAAGACTGCGGTAGAGACGGAATTAGGGAGAAAATGTCAAGGCAGGGGTTCACATGCGAGGCTAGCATGTCATGTCCAACCCAGCACTGAGCACCTGCGGTGAGTGTTCCATAATATTGGTACCATTCTTTCAGAGACAGCGTGCCGCTTGTAGATAGTCGAACGCCCGTGACATTCCGTGGAGAGCAACACATCATTCCTTCCATGCTTCCTTCGCCATATTCTAAGTCACTTCGTGTACATGTGTCATCTTGATGATGTTTCGTCGACAGTGAATAACAGTGAATAACCCATTTAAGAGAGTTCGAAGGTGACAATGGGTTGTGATCAAGTCTGCCAGTCGGTCGCGGCTGCGGCTGAGCGTCTGCCAGATTCGAGCGCCGTTTCAAAAAATAAAGGGCCGCGTCCCGCGACTGTGGACCTTGCTTTAGCGGCTTGGACGCCTTTTTCTTTTGTGCTCAAGTCGGTTTTGCCTCTCATCGTAATAGGCGTCCCCTTACCTGTCCGCCCCCCTGTACCACACAGCTCAGTCATTGAATGCGACGCGATTTTTTTTAAATAATGAAACTGTAAATCCTAGGTTGTCTGGCTGGTCAGGACTCTGCAGCCCTGCATTGTACATGCCGATAATAAAATCACCTTCTCTGCCCCTCACACAAAGTCCCAACACATACATAAGTACATACTAGGCCAGAATCATATTTCTCATGTCAGTCCGACACGTCCCAAAGCCTAACCCGCTCACAAATAGTAAGCCCACGGCCCCCCGCGCTTGATACTTGTAGAGGTGAAAGGTGACGAACGCCAAACCCTTCCTAGACCACTGATGCCTAGCGGGCCATGCGGATTACGACCAGCACATACGAAACATACTGGAGGACACAAGGCATGCCGCCTATTAGTTGTATCCAGAGCAGCAGCATAGCAGACTAGGAATTTGTGATCGAACCGAAGGAAGGGTACGATCCAAAGCAGCGGTAATGAGCCAGGAAAGGAATGCCGGCCGATGTTTGCATATCTTTGGAACTCGAGTTTTAGGCACCTAAATCTTACATAATGTGACCTGGTACAGACCTAGCTAAAGCAAGGTCAAAAGTTGATTTCGGCCGATCCGAGGATTCATGGTTTGGCTTACTTTTCAACCCCTGCAGTGTTTCCAAGTTCCAATCCTGGTGCACTGGAGGTTGTACCAGAGCTCCAACACTGTTATCAACCCAATATCACCGTTTGTTATCCGCAGAAGCACAACAACAACCACACTGTCTGCACCGTCCTTCAGTTTACCCAGATTTTCTCCAGAACGACCACTGAAGTTGGGAACAACCGCCTTTAACACCATGATTTTGGCGGAGATAAATCTCTGCCCTGGCTGGCTCTGTGTCGAGCGCAAAACAGACAGCTTGCGGTCTGCGGTCCCCGGTACCTTATGCTGAAGTTATGCAGCGCTACCGCCGAATTCGGCCACCTCCGCAGTAGAGGGACGAGCTTTGATTTGGCCAGTCTAGAAGCACGTTCTATACAGTGAACGCTGTGTCTATGACGCCTTACGTTCGTTGTGGTGCTGTTCTGTGTAAGCGCAATGGCTTTTTCCTGCCGTCTTTGCCTTGTCACAAGGTCATGCTGACCAAACGGGGCGGGGTTATGTGCGTATTTCCTCCATTCAACTCCATTCTTTCTGATTGGTTTGTTAGAGATAACGAGACGAATTCCTCCTTTAAAAGCAGATGCTGCTGGTAAAGGCCGTGGCGAGCGTTCACCGTCAGGATGCTACCTCACGCCGTCCTTTTTGCGCTTCTCACTGGGCTCGCTCTGCCGACTATCGCCGTAATCCAGGACTCAATCCACAAATTCCCGAAAACAGAATACGACTTCGTGATTGTTGGAGGTCTGAAGTCTGAATGACAATGGACATCCACTTGTTTACTTCATAGCTTACCTTGAACCTCCAGGTGGTCTTGGAGGCTGCGTTGTTGCGAATAGGCTGACCGAAAACCCCAAGTTCAATGTCCTGGTCATCGAGGCGGGGGCAAGGTTTGTTTCTCTTAATCATAACTCTTTTCGTCTCTTACAAACATGATCTAGCCATGAAGATGTTTTGGATTCCCAAGTCCCAAGCTTTTTCCTCAGACTACAGAACACCACCTACGATTACAATTACACTAGCACCGCTCAGCCTCACCTCAATAACCGCGTAATGCCTTTACTACATGCGCGAATACTGGGGGGATCCACTTCACATAGTAGGTGTCCCAACTCAGTTTTTTTCCAATCACTTTGCTTAAGTAGATGATAGATGGAATGCTTTACACCCGTGGCTCCTCCTCGGACTACGATAGGTGGGCCTCTGTCACTGGCGACCCTGGCTGGTCATGGAAGAAGATCTTTCCCTACATTCTCAAGGTAGGTGGGAATGACTGTGCCTGCACCTCGTGGATTGACAATGGGCGTGAATCCAGACTGAGAAATGGGTGAAGCCCAACCGTGACATGGATATCGAAGGAATGTATAATCCAAAGGTTCACAGCAGGTCTGGTATGACTTCTGTGAGCCTTTCTAACTTCCCGGACGCCACCGATGCGAAGGTCAAAGAAGCAGCGACTGAACTGGGAGGCGACTTCAGTTGGAACGTCGATTTCAATAGCGGTGACCCTCTAGGCACAGGTGAGATGACCCGGGGTACACGAAAGTCAGTTACTTACCAACGTTTAGGGTGGGCCCAGTTCACGATCGGAAATGGAGAACGTAGTAGCGCGGCAACGTCCTACTTGGCACCCAGCTACCTCAAGCGCAAAAATCTTCACGTCTTGGTCAACCATCGCGTCACCAAGGTGGCCCCAACAGGCCATGGCAGCCCGAAGCTCCTGTCCTTCCGTACAGTCTTCTTCCAGCAAGAGATGAACACCTCTGGTACCTCCCTCTCCGGCTACACTTGCAGCCGCTTCTGACCCATCAAAGGCCCCGTTCAGGAAATTACAGCGAAGAAGGAAGTCATACTTTCAGCAGGGGCGTTCGGGACGCCCAAGATCCTCCTCCTTTCGGGAATTGGCGACAGAGATGAACTGGAACAAGTCGGAATCGAACCCAAGGTTGACCTCCCTAGCGTTGGGAAAAATATGTCAGAACACCCTATACTCACCGTCGGCTGGAGGTTGGGAATAAATGACACCTTCGATCCGTGGGCTCCTCCTTTCTTCAATTCTTTTCCCTTGAACTGACATCCTATTCAGCTCTGCCGACCCGAGTTTACCAGCACAGTGGCTCCAGGAATGGCAGACCTCGCGAACTGGCCCATTGACTTACGTTGGAAGCAATGCAGCGGCCTGGACCAGACTTCCCGACGATTCTCCAATCTATAGCCAGCACCCTGATCCATCCGCAGGGCGCAATACACCTCAGTTGGAGGTATACTTCTCAGTGCGTCACTCGGACTGCAATTCAAGAGGGAGATAGTTTTAACCGGCCCTTGAACTCAATTAGACTAGGGGCTTGTACCCTCTTCCTGGACGGTTTATCTTCGCCAATGCAGTTCTCGTTACACCCAGCCTTGAATCTCGTCCGTCGTTTCGTCCGCCTAGGTCACTGATGAATCCCTGACGAGGATTGTTTTCCAGGTGGATCGCTGAGGCTCGCATCGACCAAGGCCTATGACCCTCCGCTTGTCGACCTCGGTATGATGAAATCCGACTTCGACTGGTACAGCCTTCGAGAAAGTGTTCGAGTGATAAAGAGATTCTTCTCTGCCCCTGCTTGGGCAAGCTACCAACTGTCGGTGATGCCACCATTCGACACGGATGACGACGAGGAGCTCGACGAGGCCATCAGGGCAAATGTGGTCTCCGCACATCAAGTCTGCACTGCTGCCATGTCTCCGAAGGGCGCACAATGGGGTGTGGTGGATCCCGACCTAAGAGTGAAAAAGGTGAACGGGCTCCGCATTGTGGATGCTTCTGTGATGGTGAGTGCCCTGATATCAGGGACAAAGTGGCTCTTTCTCTGGGTGTGCCTACTTACTGACGTATGCATTCAGCCATATATCATTTCTGCTCACCCACAAGCCGCGGTTTACGCGATTTCAGAGCGCGCGTCCGACCTAATCAAGCAAGCGTGGTCGTAATCTCTGTTCGTCTCGTGATTCGCCTCTCCCACTCGTTCACGCCGTTACATCCCTCGTCAGGACCAGACCGACGGTCGGTGCTTTGTACCTCGCATTAAGTTCCAACGCTATTCTGAGATCCCTCAGTTGTATGTGACTTACATATCCGTGCGCAATCAGATGACCTAGAGCTGCCACTTCCCCGCTGTCTCTTGGTTGAAATATTTGTTACCATAGCGCTGTGCGTAAAGGAAGAAACTTCCATTTCCCAAGGTAATGGCTCGGAATCAGTGCTTAAATACATGGCCGGTACCTCTAACCACCACTAATTTATAAACAGACTTTTCTGAATGCTTGGTTTCAGGTCATGCTGATTCGCCTGCCGGTTTCGCACCTGTCACCCACTGATCTCCACGTGCGATTATATACAATCCGAGCTTTTGCCAACTATATAACAGGAGGGGCCTACGGACGGAGTGTACTTAGAGGATCTTGGGAGGCCCCTTCATTGGCAGCCTTCTTCATATCTTCTTCTGCACAGCTACGGTACTATTACCCCGTCACGCCCGCATCTGATGGGTACCAGGTCGCTTCTTCCTTCTCTCCTCGTCCTTGCTTCTTTCCTCTTCCATCCGTCACTCGCGGTCATTCGAGATGACTTCACCGACTTGCCACGGCTTGCTTACGACTTTGTGATCGTTGGAGGTACGTATTTCTACTTTACCTCATTGAAGGAACTCTCTTTCGGAATGCTGATAAACATCTCTAGGCGGAACCGCTGGCTCCGTCCTAGCAAGCAGGCTGACCGAGGACCCCGACTTCAATGTTTTGCTGATTGAAGCTGGGCCTTCGTAAGTCCTCTCAGTTGCGATCTATCTTTCGTGGGCGCTGACGATGGCCATAGGCACGAGGGTGTGCTCGAATCGCAGGTTCCCGGCTTAACTTTTGCTCTTCAGCAAACGCAATACGATTGGAACTTCAACACCGTTCCTCAGATTGGTCTGAATAACCGGACGGATCGGTTGCCCAGAGGTCGTATGCTAGGTGGAAGTAGCTCCATCAGTACGCGCTGCCATTCCCTCTTGTGCATTCTTGGGCTCTGACCTGTCCTACACAGACGGACTATTCTACACTCGTGGATCTTCGGATGACTATGACAGATGGGCAGCCATCACGGGCGACTCTGGTTGGTCTTGGAGCAACATCCTTCCCTATCTCCTGAAGGTCAGCCCATCCCTAGAGTCTGAGAGCCAGCCGGGGCTGAGATTGGTGCGAATAGAGCGAGAAATGGAACCCTCCGACGGACGGTCACGATACCACCGGTAAGTATGATCCCAGCTACCATTCGACCACCGGAAAAGTCGGCGTCAGTCTGTCCGGTGTACCTCAAGCTTCGGATAGCAAGGTCTTCGAAGCTAGCCAGGAGCTTGGTGGGGAGTTTGCGTACGACGTCGACATGAACGACGGAACACCACTTGGTTTTGGTACGAATATTGCTTCCCTTTTTCTCGGGAGTGACATCTGAGAGATTTCGATTTAGGTTGGCTTCAGTCCACGATCAACAATGGGGAGAGAAGTAGTGCTGCCACTGGTTACCTCGATGCAACCGTTCTTGCTCGACCGAACCTTCACGTCCTGGTGAACAACCGCGTCGTCAAGTTGGCTGAAAGAAAGCAGCCTGGATCTAACACCCCAGCGTTCCAAACTGTCCATTTTCAGACAGGAGGCAGTCCTTCAGGTAAGCACATCCTCCCTACTCAATGCCCAATTGAGTGTTAAACCGTCTTTCCACAGGCAGGCTACACCGCGTAACTGCCAAGAAGGAAGTAATCCTGGCAGCGGGCGCCTATGGAAGCCCTCAACTGCTCATGTTATCCGGGATTGGTGATTCGACCGAGCTCCAGAACATCGGTATCGAGCCCAAAGTGAAACTTCCTAGCGTCGGCAAGAACCTCACTGAACACGTCCAATTCAGCATGATGTTCAGCTTGGGCATAAACGACACCGTCGACCCATTCCTGAACCAAACCTTCCTCATGGAAAGCATGCAGGAGTGGTTCGACCATCGTACCGGATATATGACGAACCTAGGTATCAATTCTGTTATCTGGCACAGACTCCCCGAAGACTGGCCTCACTGGAGTCAGTTTGAAGACCCTACGGGTGGTATTAATTCGCCGCATATTGAGTTGGTCGTGATGGGTGGTGGGATTTACCCCACTCCTGGACCTAATCTCATTGTCAGCCCTGTCCTGGCGAGTCCTCGCTCTCGTACGCCCCATTCAAGCATACTCAACGCTGAACCCATTCGCTGACCATTCACTCCTCTAGGCGGCTTCATGACTCTCAACTCGACTAGCCCATACGCCAGTCCTCTCATCGACCCAGCGATGCTCACCCACCCCTTCGACATCCTAGCTCTGCGCGAGTCTGTCCGCTCTGTTTTGAAATTCGTCGGTGCCTCCACGTGGGACGAGTACAACCTTACGCTCCTTCCTCCGTTTGCGGGACTTACGACTGACGAAGAAATCTACGAGACCCTTCGCAACGTTGTTACCCATGGTGCGCATCCTGTCGGCACGGCAGCGATGTCTCATCCAGACGCTTCGTATGGGGTTGTCGATCCTGATCTGAAGGTCAAGGGAGTTCAGGGCCTTCGTGTAGTCGATGCTTCCATTATGGTGGGCTTCTTCCCTGGTTAATTCCATTTTAAATTAGACTGACGAGGTCTTTCCAGCCCTACCTCATTGTTGGACATACACAGGCACCTGTGTATGCAATCGCCGAGCGAGCTGCAGATCTCATCAAGGCATCGTGGTAGACTTGGAACAAGTAAATGTATATTATGTTATATTTACAAGAACAGGTTTTCGTTACATCGAATGAAGCGGGTGGCTTGGTTGAAGAACGAAACTAAGCAATGGTCGTGTAGGATGATATATGGAGGAAGGGAGGAGTTGGAGTGGTTGATGGGGAATTGGCTTTGATTCCCACTATCAGCAGGGCGAGTGTTGCACAGAATAACCATGCAAGGGTAACGATCATCCTTCCATCTCTTCACCAACGAAGTTGACACGGCTACGTATGCTGCCGATAGCTCCAAGCACACGTCGGCGTTGATCATCAAGGGGTTGGAGAAGAGCCTCATTAAGGATACCTGAACGAACACTTTTCTTGTCCCATTCACTTCCATCGAAAGCTCGTGCAAGAAGTTCCAGAAACTTCAGGAACGTCAGTGGTATGCCCTTCATGTGGAAATGGTTGGGATAGGCGTTGAGCACTCTTTCGATTTCGCGAAGCTTTCCGACGATCTCGTCGGCATCCACATCGCCAGCCAGATAGCTGACGGTGATGGTTAGCTGGGGCCAAGGAAGTTCCCAGACGTTGACGGGTTTTGCAGGGTTGAAACGGGCGTCGATAAACTGTTCTAGGTCGTAGAGAAGGAGCTTGAGAGCGTCGACTTTGTCTTGTACATTGATGCGATGGGTGTAACGGGCCAGCGCCTCCATTCTGATCTGTTGATCCTTTCGAAGCTCTTGGACTGTATAGTTGAGGTCTTCTTGAGTGACGTCCACGAGAGAGACCTCCCTTTGAAGAGGCTTAGTGGAGGGCTTTACAGCAAGGTTTGACGCCGCGTTGGTCTGTCGCGGGGTTTCATATGTTGGTTTGCTCTGAGTGCTTTTACTAATAAACGAGTGGGTTGAAATGAGCAAGTTAAGTGCAGAAAAGGGACAAAGAACTTACTCGTGAAACGAGGAAATTGGGACGACCGCACTCTGTGGAGCGGTGGCATCAGCGACAGCTGGAGAGCCAGGAACTTCGGATGCCTCCAATTCAATATTTCTCCATGTCAACAGGCCGCGAAGAAGGTGAGTTCCTTGCTGTGTGAGGTAATACCCGCCAGCTGCCATGAGAACCCATGCAAAGATAGTCGCCAATGGATCCCAGAGGGCTGTCCGAAGTTGGCTGGTGGAATTCACATCAGGATGGGCGGCAGAGAAGGTGCTCCACCCCGTGCGAGAAATGTTCATGGCTCCCGTAGTTCCAACTTTTGCACTGAAAGGCTTCTTAGACTCTTATATGGCGATTCCTCAAGCTGGGATTGACGAAGACAGGAGGAACAGTGGCGGACAGAACTTCAGTCGCAAAGTCGAACCGATTTCTTGGGTTGCAGAGATTGAGACGGTGACGATGGTTCGAAGCTGGGAAGGAAAGGGCAGGGCAAGTGGCGCATCCCGCCTTTTATTGCGCTCACATTGGTCGTCGGCCATTGGCCTTTGGCAAATTCAGAGCAAAGAACAAAGGAAAGAGTAAATTTCCAGGCACCTGGCCGCCATCAAATCAAATCGAGCGACGGCAGCCTCCGTGCTAAGATCCCACGCCAAGGTGTTGCCAGTTACGGGTACGAGCGCTTAAATGTCGCAAGGTTACAGAGAGAATGAATTAGATAGAGTAAGTGGATAGGAAGAGTGTCTAGCAAATAGTAAATGCTTTCTGTGCAAGAATAGTCTAGTGGACGTGTGGAGGATAGTAGGTATAGAGATGGCAGAATTAAAAAGAAAGACCGAACAAAGGAAAGACGCGAAGTCTAATAGTGGGGAATCCTAGAGGGAAGAGGTCCTCCTCCATTCTGAAATCAATTGACAAGGACCTTGAGGACGACCTTGATGTCGAGTTCCCGGAGGATAGCGAGGACGCCACCGAGGAGGGGGCCGAGAGCGAACTTGAGACCCTTGACGGTGCCAAAGAGAACAGCGAGGAGCTCTGCGACGATAGTGCTAGAGAAATAGATCAGACGGGAGATAAATTAGGACGATGGAAAATAGCTCACAAGACGCCAGCGAGGAGACCCTTGACGATGTTGACGCGGAGGCCACCACCAAGGCCGACGAGGAGGACAGCAACAGTAGAGAACAGAGTCTGTAAATCGAGGGTAAGTACAGGAGAAAGGGAAAGCCAGAGGGAAAACATACATGGAGCAGCTGAGAGAGCAAGCGGGACAAGTCGAGCAAGCCGAGAACCTTGCCGTCGAGTTGCAAAAGGCCCTTGAGATCGAGGTCGAGCTTGATTAGAGCCTTAATTTCGTTGAGAGCACCGCCTAGGAGACCTTGAACAGTTGCGAGGAGATCAATGACGAGGTCGATATCGATGTCCGTGCCAGGCTTTCCATGGGCCTTGCCTCCAATGAGGGATTCTGCACAACCAAAAATACGTCAGTGATTGCTAGCGTGAAGCGGATAAGAACCGTACTGAGTTGATCGAGCAGAGGCTTCAATTGAGCGGTCAAAGAGACGATGATGGCGGGGATGGAAGGGGGGTGGACAGGCCTAGGAGTAGGGTGGTGGGGCTCGGTTCGCTTCGACACTTCATCCCTAGCGTTTTTGGCACCGATAACAGTCACATCAGGCTTGACGCTGTTCAAAGCGTTGATGCCGGTGTTGAGGACTGGGAGAACGGGAGCATAGATCTCCTCGACGTCCAAGTCAAGATTGGCCTTGGAGAGGACGTCAGCAAGAGGGAGAGAACGAGCATTCTTCGCGCCAATGATGGTGATGTCGGGTTTGACGTTTTCGAGTAGTTTAACGCCGGTGTTGAGAACTGGAGAAATGGGTGCGGTGATCTTGTCGAGGCCTACGTTTGCATCCGCATTGTTGAGGGCGCCGAGGAGAGGGAGGTCGCGAGCGTTCTTTGCGCCGATTACAGTGACATCAGGTTTGAGGTTGTTCAACAGGTTGACGCCGGTGTTGAGGACGGGTTTGACGGGGGCAACGATTGGGCCGACGTTGGCATCGATGTCAGAGGGCGAGAGAAGGTCGACAATCGGCGCTGCGGAAGAGAGCGAAGCGCAGAGGGCGACGGAAAGGACCGTAAAGGATAGCGAGAGAACCATGATGGTGCGGGGAAAGCTTGCTAGACAAAAAGTAGATAGGAGAAGACGGGAGTAGGAGTGGTGGAGACCGATGTAGACAGCAGACGAAGAGCGATGGCTTTTATATCTCTCTGCAAGTTGTCGGACGAGCGTTATTCGGCGCAGCCCAGCAAGCGTGAAGACAGAAGGTCATTCAAACAGCAAGGAATGATCGCGGAGCTTCAACCAGACCGACGATCATCAAAGCTTTGGACGAGAAGTTGAAGAGGATTCAAGCCATGATGTCGAGGTCCAATTTGTGCATGTAAACCAGACGATACGGTCGCCATCTTGAGCTTTGCTATGAACGTGGCATCAAACAGGTCGAAATGGCGTGGATGGTCCCAACCTTGGTTATTCTATCAGAGATGGGCCCGGGATGGAACATTGCATCATCAGCCAGTAAGTCATGATGGATGACTTCTGGCCGCCCCCGATGGAGTCATTCGAGGCAATTTCGAATGAACGAGTGGATTCGAATGAATGCTGTAATGGCCTTGGCGTTAGAGTATTGTCGGAAGGCAGAACTTTGATCTACGTGCCTTGGTTCCCGACAACCAACACGGGATTCTGCTGGACTTGTCATAACACGTCAAGCTTGGGCACGGCAAAGGCATAGACGTCAGCGCCTAGGCGCCAGCCCAGAGAAAAAGGAAACGTTCGATAACTGGCACATTTCAGGACTGTTTGATTGACGGGTAAATGCTCGATTGAGCTTGATGGGGCGTTATATCCAAAAATAAACCCTCTACAACCTTTGTTAGCAGGGCGCTTAGAGTCGAGGGTCGAGGGACAAAGGACCAAGGACCAAGGCGGTGAGCGACTCTTCGCCGCACCCGCCGAATGATACAATCACACTTCAGTTCCCACGGTCATCAGATGACTTACTCCAGCGGCTAGATCGCCCTTTGCTCTCTTCCTCTACCAACGATGTGCACGTTGGGAATGCGAAATTCCGAAAGCATAAGCATGAAAAAGTAAGAGAAACCTTATAAATCCTCCACTCCTCAAATTCTTATAATAATACACAGATTTTGAAGGTGTTCGGCTGGCGAACGAATAGACTGGTACCCTAGGATCACAGCCAAAGTGGTGGATGGGCATCTGATATGCCTGAAGGAAGCCTTGAGACAGTCAGTCACACTGATGGAGGCAAAACCTGAAGCTTGAAGTTTGAAGGCTTAACCATTCAGGGATAACTGGGTCTCCTGTACACTCGAAGGAAAAGGTCCACATTCAGGGTTCCTCGGCTAGCAATACCTACACGTAAATGGAGATTTAATCTGATACTATGGGGAGAAGGGTACGCCTCGTTTCTACAACGTTCTCAGGTCAGTTGAACTAACAAAGTTCCGCTCCAAAGGTGATCATCACCTCAATTCAAATCCCGAAGTCACATATATAAAGGCAATCCAGGATCGACAAGATACCCTCGCTTTCCTCTACCGAAAGATGTCTGAATCCACCCAACCTGCTCACGACAATGAACACTCAGCCCCCGCCGCCTCTGCTGGGGACTCTATGCACGTCGAACCTGCGGTTCCTCCCTCGCAGAATGACGGGGCCAAAGCCTCTTCGATTTTGGCCCAGATCTACGAGCAGCGTGTCAAGGACGTCCAGGCTGCGAAGGCCATACCGGGCTCCTCTCGAGCTGACCTCAAGGCTACCATTAGGTTGTCGGCCTGCCCACCGCTCATCTCCCTCATCCACCGACTCAAATTCAAGCCGTCAGTGTTCGGAAACCACTGGACCTTCTCTGATGGCTGAGATCAAGCGCGCCTGCCCTTCCAAAGGCGACATCGATGTCAATGTTAACGTTGCCCTCAAGGCCACGAACTACGCCAAAGCTGGAGCAGCCGTCATTTCCGTCGTTACGGAACCCACCTGGTTCAAGGGCTCCCTCCTTGACCTTCGCACCGTTCGCGAAGCGGTTTCTTCTCGATCCCATCGACCCGCCATCCTCCGCAGGGACTTCATCCTGGATGAATATCAGATCGATGAAGCTCGCGTTTACGGCGCCGACGCTGTGCTCCTCATCGTCGCCATGCTTACCCCCGAGCGTTTGAAGGCCCTCTATCATCACAGTCTCTCACGTGGCATGGAACCCCTTATCGAGGTCAACAACGCGGAAGAAATGAAACGGGCACTTGATCTTGGTGCAAAGGTCATCGGCATTAACAACAGGAATTTGCAAGACTTCCAACTTGACACTGGGACGACCACGCGGCTGGCTGACATGGTACAGGGCAAGGATGTCATCCTTTGCGCCATGGGCGGGATCCAGTCCTCGTCGGACGTTGCCCTTTATGCCGAACATGGCGTCGGGGCGGTTATGGTCGGGGAGGCCCTCATGCGCGCCTCCAAAGTCGTCGTCACAGTCACTGACCTCATGGGTTGGAAGCCTAAGGACCCAATGCCCCCAACCACCAGCGTCCTGCCGTGGGTCAAGGTCACAGGGATAATGACCGCCATGGAGGCCCGGCACATGGAGTTGTGCGGTGCGGATATGTTGGGTTTCGTCTTCGACCCCAAGGATCCCCGCTACGTCACTAGCCGAAGTGAAGAAAATCCTGCCGAATATACGTCGTACGGATGACCCCAGCATCCCCAACCTCTTCGATGCCCTGTTCCCGAAACCAGACTACGTCAAGGCCCCTCCCCTGCCCGATCCCAACACCCCATCTCTAGACCTAGGATGGTTCCACGATCATTACGTGCGTCTCGTCAGTGCCATGAAGCGCCCCCAGATCGTCGGTGTCTTCAAGGATCAACCTCTCGACTACATCCTCCGCACCGTCAACGAACTGTCCCTCGAGTTTGTCCAGCTCAACGGCGACGAGCCCATGTCATGGTCCCAGCACATCCCCGTCCCCATCATCCGTCGCTTTTGCCTCCACGAGACGAAAGCGTGGGGGATCGAAGAGATCATGCGTCCGGGCGTTCACGCGTTCGGCCTTATCACCCAGAACCCTCGCCGCGAAGTCGACTGGTCCAGGCTGGAGAAGTCCCTCTCTTGCGGCGTCTACAAAGGCTACCACCGGCCTATTGGCTTTATCGACTACTTTGCAATTGATGAGGCTGGAAACTTCCGCGAGCTCCAAAAACATGCGCCAGGATATATTTACGATTTAAGTTTCACCGGGATGTTCGAAGCTATGCCTGTGGAAGAGAAGGCCGGCTTCTTGGTTCTCGCAAGACACGTCCAGGCGCTGAAGGGAATGGAGCGTGAGGATAAGCAGGAGTTTGAGGAGGAAGCGGTTATTGGAAAGGGAAAGGGGAAGGCTCGGGCCATGGACGAGGAAGATGGTGCTGGGCGAGAAGAGACCAGTGTACTCCTTGTCGAGGCTGCGGAAATCGACGAAGCTCAGGGGAGTTCAGAGGTAGTTGGCGAGGTCCAAAAGCAGGGTGGGGTCGCAGACGAAAGGCTCGACAACGGGAAGGTGGAGTTGACAGCTGAGGCTGGCTTGGAGAAGGAGCGAGTGCCTGTTGATGAAGGAGTTGAGAAGATGGTGGAGGAAACCGTTGAGACCACCGAGGAAATTGTCGACGCAGATGACGACGAAGATTGGGTAGATGAAGATGACAACGTCCTAGCCCAGACCCGTGTGCGCCGCGCTCCCACTTCGAAGCCCCGACACGTCTGCACTTGCGGTGGTAAACCCTCAGCTGCCGCCACTGCCACCACTCCTGGCCCTGCCCCTGCCCTCGGGTCTGCTGCTCGTGCGCCAGGAGATGCCCTAGCAATGATGCAGCAACGCTTGGGGGCGATAAAGGCGATGATAGCAGCGCGTCAAGCGGACGATCCTCTTGCACGGCTCGGGATCAAACAGCCCGTCCCGGTAGGAGACCATGTTACTGTAGGATCAAGCAAACTCGCCAGTGGGGGTGGTTTGGGAGGCCTCGGCGGATTGGGTGGTTTAGGACTGGTAGGATTGGGTGGCCTTGGTGGCCTGGGCGGCTTCGGAGGATCGAGTGGGCTCGGCGGGTTAGGGGGACTTGACGGCTTGGGAGAGATTGGACTTGGAGCCGGTCCCGCTAGTGGTAGGGACTTGTTTGACGAAATGATTCGCAACGTCTCAAAGTCGCACCAAGGTCTCCCTCAGTCGTTCGTGGACCGCGGTGAAGGACCCAGCACTCAGGCAAGCTCTAGCCGAAACCCTGCCAATGTCTCTACCAGAGTCAGTTCCTCCCCCTCGAGCCACGTTTTTTGAATTGCAAACACGCGTTCCGTCGTTCCTGATGTACAACATGGCTATGATACAATATCGATATGACTAGATGCAGTAGAGCGTGGTTCATGAAATCATCCTGCTTTTGTATCGAAATAAATACCCTTGGGAATGTCCCACTATGCACTAATACGTTTCCCAATGTGAATTCGGCAGAACGGTTCGCATGACTAGGGCACCTTGGGTTAGCGATCAAAATGCAACAGGCGATGAGAGCGCGACGAACCTTCCCAGTGATGGGCTCCCTGAGCATCCTGCAGTTTTCCAAGTGGGTTGTTGTCATCGGTGACAAGGTATTTGCCTGACGTGTCAGTCAAAGGGGCCAAGTCGACCTCTCGTGTATCGAGACTGGAGAGAACGTGTCGGCGCAGAGGAGAGCCCAAATAGTCCGAGGTTCGTCCCTTGCGGAAGGTCAAAGGTTTCTTCGAAGATGTGCAGAAGAGCACCTGAGGGGGAAACTCCGTCAGTTGGGAATTTACAAGGAAATATAGAGGGACGAACCATGTTGATGAATTCTTTGTTGTATATATCCTCCGTGAATTCATCGAAGAAGTCGTGGAAGGCGCGGCATTGGTCGAAAGAGTTGAGAAGGGTGTTGAGCACGAGCCGTGTAGCTTCAGAGTTGACGACACCAGCGAAGTTCTGAGGAGCAATGAGTGACTCGGACAACAGTTTACAGCTCGGGAGACCTACCACAACGACGGATCCTTCAGGCTTGACGATGCTCTTAAGGTCCTTCCAGAATTCGTCAGTGTACAAGTGTTGGGGCACACCTCCACCCGAGAAACAGTCGTGAATGACGGTATCGAACAGGGGGCACTCGCCAGCTTGCGTGCATGCCTTTCGTTTCTCTACCCAGTAGCGAGCATCCTCGAGGAACACCTTATCAGCTCCTGGATCCGGGAGACCGAACCATGTGCGAGCAGCGTCATAAACGGCAGGGTCGATTTCGACAATGGTAGTCGACACCCCGTGTCTCATAAGGGAGGTTGCCGCTGTTCCGATGCCCAGACCACTAAACCATTCCAAGTGAATACGGCGCGTAAGACGGTGTGCATGACACGTACATGATGAGAGCGTTATCCAGCTTTCCACCCTTGGCGGTGCTGTTGATCATTCGAACGGCTTCCTGGAGGACGAAAGTTGCGTAGATCGAATCGCCTAACGGGGTCCCGAATGAGTCTTCCACAGGCCTTTCTGACTGGTCCGTGACCATGACCTTCTCGTGGGTCCATACTCCACCAAGGATAGAATGAGAAGCCCGCAGGTACCGAGCCGAGTGCATCGCTGCTGGATCGTTGTTTTCGCCTTCAGGAGGTGGCAACCAATCGACCACTGAAATGAGTCCTGTGACGGATTGTACTGCTGAGAGGACCCTGAAAGTTCCGTCCGGGTAGGTGTAGGGTGCTGGCAAAGGGTGAGGAAGGACTGGGTTCTTCAGGAAAGGATGACCGACGGCGAAGAGGGCTGTGAATGCTGCTGCTGCAATGACACGAAGGGACAACGGCCCACTCGACTGTGTTGGGATCGTCTCTTGGGTTTTCTTGCCCTTTCCTTTGGCCGCTTTTGAAGACGCGTCGAATAGTGGAGTCGATAGGATCCATAACAGATAAAAGATGGCGGCTAAGCCAAGGTACTGGGAAAGCATTACAATTGGGAAGCAAGATTCAGACGGAGGGCACGCACTATCTGACTCTCTGAGACTTTGTTGAGGAGGGGAAAGACCGACCAGAGCTCCCGGTCTAGTCCCGAAGAAATCAGGTAGATAACAGCCGCTCTTGAAAGTCGTTGACCGACTGGGACCGGCTCAGCTCGCGTACCCGGTTCCTACACAAGGACGTTAATCCTTGTCACGGATGGCTTCATTAGGCACTCACATTATCCACAACCATTACAGCAGTCGAAATAAGAAAGACGATGGGAAGCAGGACGAGGGTATGGGTTGCAGAGACACCTGCAACCGCTTTCCCATACCTCGCTGTCCAGACAGCGACCCAGTAGTTGGCATTAGGTGCAATGGTGAGAGCAACTGCAATCAGCAGCCATGCCAGCGAGGAAGTTATGGAAATGGGGTTGAGGGCTGCTAAGGCTGCTCCTGCTGCGACGAAGACGCTGAACCATTCCTTGGTGGGACCAGAAGAGTATATCGGAACAAGCGCTCGTTCATAGGTGTACAGAATCAGCGAGAGCGGTAAGATGATGGCAGCAATGAGGCCACTTTTCTTCCTCGATAGCGGTACGGGCTGTGGCTGGTTGCTCATTGTGGTGGCGGTCGTGGTACGAGCAGAACCATGGTTGGTCCCCGCCGTTGTCGCGGGCTATTTAGTCCTGATCGCGACGTGTCGCCATGTGGCGATGTTTTGCGCACAATTCGCCGAGATTATTTCGCCATAACAGAGGCGGAAACAGAATAGCCCAATGCGTTTTATGCCAGGATAATGTCAAGGAACCTCATCCGAGACTAATGAGGTGGAGGTGGTTCGCGTTCAAAACTATAAAATTTGTCCGGTGCCTTACATTCCGAGCCAGAATGGATCGGGTTCTTTTGTAGCGGGAGGCCAAATCGACAATCAAAACGACCACGTGATACATGTAGTCAGTTGAGGTAGGTGTCAGGACTCAGTGACAGGAGTTAGGACTGAGGCTGGACTGAGGACTCAGATGACCAAAAGATCGAGGGGAAAGGCGCAGAGACATTCCGGGGATTGCGGGAGATAACTGCACGGGTTCCCTAGAGCAACGTAGCTTCTGGCGAGGACCATCGGCGCGGAGCGTCCGCTTCCCACAAGTAGGTGGTCGCGTCATTCTTTTCGTCGGTGATCAACATTCCGCAGTCCCCAGCGGATCACTTGGGCCGCGTCAATCTCAAATGGTGTCCTCCTTTAAAAATCGCAGAGCACTGGAAGCACAGACTGCAAGTGTATTGACGATGATGGTGATACAAATTGCAAGTCCGAATATTCTGGCCCGATGAATCCCATGATAAATTCACACCATTGCAAGTTTAGTGTCAGTGTTCATCAAGGAGATAGGGTTGTCCAAACTACCCTCAATGATGCGCCCTTTCCAGAAAGACGCTTTTGTGCCCTTCACTTTCAGTACGCTCTACCGGTATGATAACTAAGATTGTCTCTCGACTGTCTCTGTGCGATGGGGCTATCCACCTGTTTGTCGACCAGTGTCTGGATGGAAATGGAGAGCTCGGGTCGGGTGGATTGCTGAGACTATGAACAGAGAATCAATCAGGACTATCGTTCTCCGCTAGGTTTTCGATGATTCTACCTTTTCTGACATTGAGGGCGACAATTCTTCGCTACCAAATCGATGCGATCCCGATTGTATCTCGGAAAGGTGAATCGAGACCGGTTCATTGATCTTGTCTCGTAGGTCTTGTCGGGCATTCATGGTGGCAAGGTACGAGTTAAGATACACTGGAGGAAAAGAACTGTCAGCGCCTTGCAGGGAGAGTATATTCCTCATCCTCACATTTGCTCAGAAGCAGGTAGAATCCGAGGAAAATGAAGTTGCGCGGCATCACGACGTATAGGATCATGCCCAGGGCCGCATCGATGCTGCGAAGTTGGAAATTGAATGTCAGAATATCTGCCCTTATACTTCAGCTGTCAAATGTCACTCACGCAACGATTAGACCCGTGTTGATGGTGTATAGCATCAAGGTTTTGATAAGACCGTCGGTCCTGGAGAAGAACGTGTGTTCAATGCGGCAGGTTCAACTGATCCGAAGGGGGAAGGGACGAACTTTCTGAATCCTGTTCGAGACCTTCTGAGTAACCAGACCAGAGCAATAGCGACACTGAGGTCTGCCCCGGTTCCTGCAGCGAACGTGAGGTACATCAGATGCTGTAGCAGTTCCATTAGATCTGCAGCCACGACGATGAATGGTTTAGCTTACGGATAGGGTGTCCAGCTGGAGGAAGTTATCCAGTTGATACCTAGGCCACCAGCCTATGTCAGTCGCGATGACAATGAAGTCAGACTAGATGTAACGCACGCCTTCGCCGTGATAACTGGACAGGCAAGAGTAAGCGGAGTTACGGAGAGTATTCCAAGAGACTGGGGGGAACTCACTGATCCCTGTAACTGGTAATCGGGCGACCTGGTCAGCACACGAGTTTGAAATCGAGCGGCCATAAACGTGCATACCTAGGTCCGTCGTGGAGATAGCCATCTGCGAGCGGAAAAAATGGTTATGTTAGTTCTCGGAAAATGTGCTACAAAACACTTACGATCCACGCTGTCACAAGAATGTTGCCCTTGCTAACTGATAATGTCCAAGACGCCATCAGTCATCTACTTGTCAAATGATAGCTGCTCCGCACGCACGGTTGAAGATACGATACGCAAACAAGGTCCTGATGATAAAATTGGACGTTGCCTGAGCCGATGGGGTGAGTTCCTGCTTCATGGCAGCGCGAACAACAACTTACGGTGATGGCTACATGCAACTATTTTCATTGGATGAGCAGGCATGCGATTATGACGGGGCTGCCAGCAGGTGCGACTTACAATTACACTCCTGAATATCTCATGGCGTGAGTTTTTACGTGGACGGAAGTGGCGGGTTTCCTCACCAGACCGGGATAAGGAGTGCCGAGAAATTCATGAAGTTGCTGACCATGTAGTGATAGGTTAGGTGAATGTTGAGGGAAGTATCGAACGTATCGATTGCCCTGGTTATATTCAGGATCTTGAGCGGCCCAGCATGGCTTCCCTGCACTCACCAGAGGCAAGCAATCTGTATGATGCATCGTCAGACAGAGATTAAGGATGTGTGTCCAGATCCACAGACGTACGATGAGGCGGAAGATCGGTCTATCTTTTCGGGGTCGTGAAAAGTAGGTGTACGTTTGAACACATGTAATCCCCCACAGCCTAAGAAAATGGTTACTTGGATCATTCCTTCAGCAAGGCGCAAGATACGCACGCCATTGCGAACATGCCTCCCAGGAGCAAGGGACCGAGAGTATCGTCGAACTTCATAGCCGAAGACATGTTGGATAGGCCCTTGTGGGGGGAAGAAATGGAGCGGAAGGTATTAACGAGGGCACGAGGGCAGAAAGACGGTGGAATTGGAAACGAGTGATTATAAGAAAAGGAGCACCATAAGTCGTGGAGGTGGACGTTGAGGTTATGAGAATTTGGTTACGGCACGCGCAAACCGGTTCTTGCTAGCTATTTTAAGACCTTGGAACTTCCATGGAGAGCGCTCACTACTTCGGAGTTCCTCCGACAATTACAAGGCATCGTGGTTCAATTCGACTGGACCCGAATAGGTTTTGATTCAATTGACTACTGCCACTGAACAATCAGTTTGTGATGTCGCTAGTTCAGAGGCCGGCAAACTGAACGGCTTGAAAAACATCACTAGGGAAAAGCTAAGTAATGGTTGTAAGCAAATGAGATTGACTCCAGACTCGGTGCTTACCAGCCTCATGGAATGGTAATCAGATGTTGTCCCGCTGGTCACCATGAGCTTTGGCGCGGGCGGGTCGTGTCTTGACTGATGGAACGTTCAAGTTGGACTTTGAACTTTGGCTCGATCGGAAGTTTGAGCTACATATCCCCTGTGTGGCTCATATTTGATCTCCGCTGGTTCCGAGCCAGAATGGATCGGGTACTTTCCGCCAGGTGCATCAACATGCAATCAACCGGCATTTTCGGTGACCCGACCTCCGAACTTACTTATTTTGGTAAGACCCTCCGGGAGCATTCCCCTCAAGGGCCATTCAATGGCACTGCGAGCAATGGCATTGAGAGTAAGTAATACTTAGAACGAGCCTATCAGGAGGCCAGTGGTAATAATGGATGCCCACAATGAGGCCCTCATTGTTCGTTCTTTCCTAGATCTCACCCTCCAAGTCTCCGGGCTCTCAGCGGCTTGCGCAGTGCGCGTGAGCAATGGAGCGCAGTTCTGGTGCGCCATTCCGTCACTCCTGCGACTGAAATATTCCAATTTCTTCCTGCAGCTCAACAGTAGCGGGTCTCTGAGCGCTCAGGGGCTTGCGCAGTGCGCATGAGGCGCAGTTAGACTGGTACACGCCATTCTGGCTCGGAAACACGGCGCCTGGCGGCCGCTTCCCACAAGTTTGTGATTGGTGGCCGGGGCCCCGGCCCTCTTGAGGTCCTGGAGGCCGGCAAATCTGCAGTGTCGTTCCGGCCGACTCTTACTGGGTCCCTGTGCCGTCAACCAACCAACCAACTCACTAATCCGAGGCCCTCAAACTGAGTAGTAGTTGAAGGTTCATATCTAAACTACACAGCAGGATTCAAATTCCAGATCATCAAAGAGCTCTTGAGGTGAATACCATCCATCGAGTCCCACTACTTATGTCGCATGCAACCGCATCGCCCCGACATTTTCGCATTCTCGCCGATAGCCCTGCAGCGATCGTCATGTATTCCATCCCACGGGAAAGTGGTAAACGGATTAATCTGCACAAAAGCAGGAAGTAAGGGGAGCACTCTCCAGGCTCCAGAGATTGAGCGGGGGGGTGCATATCTAGCCCAAGGTCCTCCCAGCAATTGACCCCCTCCGACACCGGCTTTGACAGACATTTGACTTAGAACGTGTGTCCCTCGTGCCCTTCGCCCACGAAAAGAACTCGATCATGAACTGACCTAGGTCGTCGAGCCTGTGCCGACGGCCACTGGTTTATACCTCGGAATTTGCGCGTTGGAGTGGCCCCAGGTGCACGCAAGGTTCTTGCCATACTACCCCAGTGTAGATGCAAGGGAAAGAGCTCCAAAGCAAAGAAGCGCTTGTACCCACTGTTGCGATAGATGCCGTCAGTATGCTGTTATCCTTCCTTCTATGTACTCCACATGAGTATGAACGCGGGTGATCTAGTGGCATGTTTCGACTTATCTAGGGTCCTTTGGTCGTGTGCTTCGGACGTACTGCAGTGGGGTGACATCTACCTATGACTACGAGAACAGAGCAAGAGCATTGGTGATTACAGAGAACCTAAGTAACTCGAGTTCATTCAAGTTCAGTCGTCCGAGGCGCCGGGACTCGGATGTTCCAACGTCTTTTCAATTTCAAGTGAACTACAATCAAAGGAGATCAGAAGCAGAAGCCTTGTCAACAGATTCCCAGCTTTACCCACAATCTAATAGACTATCATAGAGTTACTTACGATACGATAAGTAACGATTTTCGCCGCTTCACTGACCCTGCAATCCGGGCACTCCGAAACCAGTTCGCTTGCAAAAACACGAGCGCTTTCTTGACAAGTGGATCGGTTTGATTTCGCCGAATCGGCTTCGATTGTGATAACCATCTCACCGGAGAGGGGGTTCACGAGCGCCTTCAAGTCTGGAGGCTGTCAGGCAGCCTTGAGACCTATTGACGAAGCCTTTGAGGAAGCCAATCATTATGGTGTCCGTCAAACAGGCTTAGAAGGGAGTACTGGAAAAAAACGGAGGAAGTTTAAGAAGGGTGCCCCTTGTGAGCGGCCAGGACATATGCTTCTTTCCACCTACACATGCTGCTTCCTGCGTTTCATAAACCATTGGAACGCGAGGCAAAACCGTTACGAGTATTCGTTGTCAGGTACCAAGTTGACCTTTAAGCGCCCTACTAGCCCTTGGTCGTGACTCGCATTCGGCCGGACTGTCGTAGGCCATCCCATTACACACCTGGATGCTTCCACTCCATGTTCAGAGAGGAACTGCCTTCAAGTTGTAACAGGGGACAAAAGGTAACTTGACAGATGTTCCAAGATGTCAAGACCAGGGATCGAACGCGCAGCCTGCAACAGCGGCGCGCGGAGCAAAGGGAGAATGCACTTTGTCTTGGCACCGCCTTCCTGGATGAAATTTTACAATTGCATGGTCAACTTTCGAGGAAACCAGGCAGTGCTGTCGAAAAATATGGTAACCTGATAGCCCACCGCGAGGATCGAACTCGCAGCCTTCAGATGCCCTAAAAGTCTGACGCTCTATCCGATTGAGCTAGGCGGGCACACAGGAGTCTGTACAGATCCACAAGCACTCCCGACATACGTTCCAATTCTCGAGCCGCCCGGTCGAGAAGAGGCATAGTGTATACGAGCACTGGCACGCCGCCCAATCGCGTTACACTATGGAGTCTATACTGGAGTAACCCGTCATATTTCTTTTTCATACCTTCGCAAACCCAGGTTGATCCGGGCGCCTAATTTGTCGGACTGTCACGCGGAATAATAAATGGATTGAAAAGTTGAAGACGGTCGGCTGACGCAGAAGTTGGAACTGATAAAGGCAGCAACGGGAATAGAAGCATCGAGCACCAAAAACCTCGCAAAGGAGTCTCCGCTCGCTTCATCGTCTCCGAGATTCAAATATCACATCCAAAGCCCGAGGTTGGAAAGATCTGAATTTCCACTTAACACTGAAAGTACACGCGGTGTGCGGTGTTTCGAGGCGTTTCTGGTTGAAAGGTGACGACTACGGTAATGAAGGTGTACAGTATACGCTAGATGCGAGTCGTAATTTAATCAAAGCGCCGAACCGTCCTATCCTGTGGGTATTCGAGATGAATGCAGGTCATAATGATAAATGGGTGGAAATGTAGGGAGCGAGATAGAGAAAGGAGTGACCATGGCTGATATAAAGAATGTGCCATCCGGGACCGAACAAGGATAATTGAGAAAAAAGATGGAGGTGATACTGTGCCCCGTAGAACTTTAAATCTAAGGCTAGAAGTGGGAAGAGATGCAAAAATGTCTGAAAAATTCAATCGTCGCTTAACCTTTTGGACAGATCCCTAGAGTGATAATTCCGGTCATATAAGCTCGAAAAGGCCAGTGTCGAAGAGTCCGCGGCTGTGAGCGAGGTCGTAGTTTGTATATGGCTGACAGAAGATTATGCAGAGGCGCGAGGGTCGGCGTATTGTCGAATGAGATTTACAGCCTTCTCGGAACGTGGTCGCATATCGCAGGGGAAGGGATTTGGCGTTCTAGCATGAGAAAAGACATTCAGTACAGAGTAACCAGGGGACGGATGCGGACGAACCTGAAGATAGGGTTGTCGAAAACCGGAACAATATCAATTGCATTGCCTTTCTCGTCGACGGGGGTAGAGATATCAAGGGTAGCCATCATGCGAACGACCAACAGCCACAGCGAAGCATCTACGATATGATTTCCAGGGCAAAGCCTAAGGCGAATGACAGTCAGTTGCAGATTCCAGTTGCAGCCAGCATGCGTGGACAAACCTTCGACCGAATCCGAAGATGAAGTTCCGTGGATCTTGCTTCTTCTTGGTCTCTGGATCCATGTTCAAGTATCTCTCGGGATTGAACGTCTCCGGGTCGGGGAAGATGCGCTCATCTCGTGTCATCGCCCTTCAAAGAGGATTAGAATGGCCCGCTAAACCTGGAGTTCAATGGAGCTTACCAGATATTGGCGAAGATCAAGGAACCCTTCGGGATATACATTCCTCGATACACGTCATCTTCAGTCAATTTATGAGGCAAGCCTAAGGTCGTGGGACTGAGTTTGGCCGTGTGCAAAGAGGTACTATCCTACTCACTCAATGGGACGGGGGAAGCCCATCTCCAAGTCTCGGAGAGGACGGCTTCAACTGCACGACCAAATAAGTGGACATCCAGTCGGACTATCATGGAACGTACCATATGGCAAAGACTTCCTGTCGCTGAAGGTGGGGAGGCGATCTTGTCCGACAACGGTATCGATTTCATGCTGCGCCTTCTTCAAGACTTCGGGGTGCTTCATCATTGCAAGTAGGAAGTGAGCGACTGAGGTAATCGTCTAAAAGATGGCGGGGTCAGGCGACAATTAACTTGATATCGGGTATGATCACGCACAGTATCGATGCTGGCTGCATACATCGAGTTAGCCGTCCACTTCAAGTCAAATTCGAAGTGCTCCTGGGTTTGCGAGATACTTTCATCGTCTAATAGGGAAGAGCAGAATGATTGCTTGTAAGAGCCGCTTTTCTGTTGGAGAATTAATTAAACGTTGATGAGTTGATATGAAAGAAGCTTACCATGGTGTTCTTGACGTATTCGAATGGTCCATCAACCCAATCCTCCATCATCTTCTTCCACTTCCTCGCCTTCCGTTTAAAGCTCATTCCTGGCAATCCCTCTGCCCATTTAGGGATCTTAGCGAGGAAAGGCATGACATCGACAGCCCAAACACCTCCAGCACTCGCAATTTCGTTAGCGAGAATACCGACACACTCCTCCGCCATCATAAGATATTCGTCTTCGTTGGAAGTGACTTCGTACCCATAGACAATGTTGAGCGTGAGTGAACCAGAGTACCTTCGTACGTGACCGATATAATCGGCCGGGGATGCAATGACGTTTCGGAGGAAGAGGTTGGTTGATGATTCCATTAAGGGATGATAATCCGGGATGCGAGCAGGGGCGAAAGCTTTGTGCATCAATCGCCGTTGTCGCTTCGACTGTTCTCCGTAGGGCGTAAAGGCAACCTGCAAAAGTGGATAGAGCTCAGGATCGCTCGCTTTGTCGGTTAGAGAAGGACTGACCATATTCTTACAGTTGCACCTAAGGGCCGGTCGCGTTCAGTCACCTGGTAGTGGAGAAGCGACAAAAAGACTTACAGTTCGCAAACCATGGTAAACTGAGGTTTGTCGGCGTACATGCCGCCTCGTTTCTCGAGCAAGTCGCTTGCAGATTCCAAGGAGTTGATAAATGTGAGACCTTGTCCAAAGACGTGAAGGTAGGTGATATCGCCTAGTATAAGCCCAGCGCGTTAGTATAGGGCTCAAACGAGGAACGTCTTCGAGAATACGTTGGTATCCACCCCTAGCCTCGTGCCCGGAAGCCAAAGCGTCAGTGGAGTCGACCGAGGAGTTAGCTCAGCATTACTGAGGCTATATAACTCGTATGAGGTACATTATGGCACGTTGAAGCTACTCGCCATTTGCAAAGGCGAGCATTAATTCCACCCTTTGCGGGACGTCCATGGCGGCGAACTCCTACACCGCCATTCCAAACGAAATATCGCCCAAGGCACAAGTTGAAGAGGCTCACCGTATTGCTTCGCCCAGTCCATCGCCGGCAGCCATAGCTCTTTCGCTCGAAGGTCTTTGACGTTGCCGAGTACGGGAATGGGTTTGGGACCAGGAGGGAGGTGAGCTCGTGCCGGGTTAGCTTTAAGCTTCCGGAAGTAAATGATGGAGGCGACAAGAAGGCATCCTAGACCAGCGAAGATACTACTGCTCGTCGTTGTCATAGTTTGAGGGAAGATGAAGGAACAATGAACGCTATAGACCAAGTTCTCTTCTCTGCGCCGTTGATGACGGGAACGGGAGGTGATACGCTACGTCGACGACGATGAGAAGACTCCTATTAGGCGAGGAAGATATGATATAGGTACCTTGAAGATGGACTCGGCAGCGAGGAAAGGGAAGAGAGCGACGACGGGTGGGAAATGGGAGGAGGGGGAAAACGAATAGGGGAGAGGGGCGGTAACTGGGTCTTAAAGGATTTGGATTGACGCGTATTGAGAAAAAGGCTAATTTTTTTGGCTGAGAAGACGAGAAGCCGAAGTTATGTCAGTGACAACCCCAGTCTCATAAACACCCATCTCGCCAGATTTGGCCCATTTATCCATCGGCACCCACAATCTGGAAACAGAAAACACCCCTTCTCCCCATTCGGACGGAATCCCGTTATGGACAAACACCACCCTAATTTAATTTCTCTTACGGCGCTGCCCCGTTGCACCGGCCCCATCGGAACCAAATCGAAGATCGAGCGGCCAACCTTTCCGTTGCTGTTGCTCTTTCTGGCCTGTCATCCTCCACTTGCCAAGATGAAAAGTCTTTTGCAGGAATCTGTTTTCACGAAACAAATCACAGTCGCCGCGCAAAAAGAAGCACAATATTGTGTCGAGACAGCGAAGCTGATGGGACCATGCCTTTAATCACACAGTCTCTCTCTGACGTGTCACAGTTTACCCTGCACACCGCCTGGAAACGCAGCACAACCACCGCACATTCTGGAGTTCGCCCTTGTCCGAATGCTTAACTGGCTTCTATCGCATTATCATCAGGTCCTGACTGCACAGTCCTCATGTTCTCCCACCTTTCTACCCCCACAACCACCCATACTCGACTTCTTGGTTATCTGGGCTGAATCACTCCAGACCATGGCTCGAACCTGGCCTGCTCACTGTCCATAATTCCCCTATTGTCGCCCGCCGATACGAAATTCTTCGAACTTGGACCGCCCTCTCTTGCCAGACTCCGACTGTCCAATCTCTGGATCGACGTTAACACCGATCTCAATGTAGCTTCGAGCTCTATCAGTGACGAGATTCTGTCGCCTGCTCCCCAAGAGGGTATCAGATTGCTGTGATGGAATGTCGACCTTCTTTCGTCTTTCGCATGATGTTTCTCCTCTCGTTCCGATCCCGACACTACGGAAACCGATTTCAAAGGGAAGCAGGCGGGTAACGTTCAACGAATAACCTTCCTCTCCAATCTGCCACGATCGTCCCTATGCTAGGTCTGTTCATTCCTCGCCGCATCGACCTCAATCCATTCATTTGTCTTTCCGTATGCAGGGGCGACTGACACGCGAGAATCTCTTTTCGGGGGCATACCCAGCCGACGATGGGAACTCCAGGGAGTATCCTCGCAAGCCTTAAAATCGAGTCGGTTCCAATGAAAAATAGGTCAGCTCCCATTAGGTGAGCCGGACGTTGTTGCGCCTAATATATCCTTCGGCGTATGTTATGTTTCCCATGCGCTTATCCAAGCTCCTACAGGTTACTTCTTCGAGTCTTCTCTTGAGGTTCCGAATCTGCTGGAAAACCCGGTCCCTGTCCAATCAATCTTTCTTTGGGTAATTATCAGATGCTTTCTGTCCCTAATGTTGCGAAGGACGACGCACTCATTATCCCTCGGAAGCGTGACGCCGACGGAAACATTAGGCCCAGGCTGCCCAGTCCGCGCCCTTTCGATTGAATGGAAGATGTATACACTCTTTTCGGCAAGCTGGTGAGGCGAGAAGGCAGCTACTAGACTGTCCTAGACACGCCAATTTGGTGGTTCTTTAATCTTCCCAAAGCCATGACCCTGACCAAGCCCTCCCAATTCTATTGGAATCGAGGACTCTCCGCCGAGTTTCCCGGCGCATAGTCACTTTTGGTATTCTTCAAGAGGTATGTGTGTACCGTTACGAGATCATTCTCCGTTGGCGTCTTATCTGGGCACAATTGAACCTCCCGTGATGGTGGCTCATACGCAGACCGTCGGATGAGGGCTTCTTAATTCTGGTTTCCAGCCTCCCACCAGAGAACGATGTGAAAAGTGGGGTCCAGAAACGAGATGACAAGCCATCTATTGGGTAAATCTAAGAAGACTCCGATCTTTTCTTTACGAACGTTGTGGGTATGCTCTATGTTGTTGAACCGCCCACTGCGAACTTCGGAGCACGGGGATTACCTCACCCCGCCAATCGCATCTGGGAGAGTAAGGCATTCCGCTGCCTGCACAACAATGTATGTAAAAGCGACTCCTCGCCCATTGTGCGCCCACATATGAGCTACAGGACGACGGCCTATGGTAGTGCAAAGAAGCCCGAAACTCAACGCACTTTCCAGACTGCCAGTTGCCGTTGGAATCCGCATCATGATCAAAGTTCAAAGGGGCCATTGTCTCAAGGCTTATGTTTCCGCAAATTAAAGCCTACACGATGCAGGAGGACAGCTGAGCAACGAGTTCCAATTACAAGGTGAACAGGTGGCCAACTCGTGCTCTCCGAAAGCGAGTAGTGTCGATTTGAACGGTCTTTCTTCAAGGACGTTACCTGAGTACCGCACCTCCCGAACTATAAGTACTCTTAGTCAATTAATGATGGAAAATGTCATACACGGGCCAGAAGCCCTCCCACTAAGTACCGCCAGGAAAGGGCATGAATGAAACGTGCTTCCTCCCCAGGGTGGCTAACCAGAAGGAGTATGGAACACCTAACGAGGTCACAGTTTAGTAGCACTCAGTGTCATTGACTCCCTATTCCCTCTTTAAAAGACTAGAAGGAGGCCATCATGGCTAATCTCGCATCAGGCACCATTTCGGAGTTGTTCGGTTTGGCAGTCGTGGGCGCTAATGGTGGCGGCGCGGGCGCTCAGGGCGGCAGGATGCCAACGTGATCAATCACCTGCGATCGTCCTGGTCTTGGGACTTGCCAAGGCACAATCCGTCGTGGTCTCGTAGAGCCTCGGGCACACAAAGCTCTCCTGGATAGGAACAGGTGACATTTGGCTTTTCTGCCGCTGGCAAATCCATGCAAGAGCAATGCTGTTTGTGGCAGTGGCTGGATAAGCTTCTGCTTCTGCTTACAACCACCGCTCTTTATGTCGGCGTTGTAGAGAGTGGCATTGGATCTTACATGGAGTATAATATACATCATAGCAGCTGCAATGTAATGTTGCGATAGTGCAGTGGAAATCAAGTGGTGTATCACCGGACTAATGCGGGATTGCAGTGGCAAACCAGGCTCTCTCCGGTCTTTTCCAAGCTTTCGGACTCCAGGGTGGTGGCGTACACCGGTACCGATATGGGGCGCATTTGCCTACCAATTATTATCAGAAGCAAGAGCAATGATAATAGATCCGACTACCATGATTCAGTTGGATAACCCTCGATCTTAGCAGTAAACACAATGAATGTACAATTGGCTCGTACATGACAGGGGCTGTCATTGGCTACGCCAGCATGGGTTAACCGGAGCATACGTCTCACAGCATTTCATCCATGGCGTCGGAAGTACCACCCCAGAACCTCGATGAATATTTCGCTCTTATTCCATCTAGGTATACCAGCAGGGCCCCTATTCCAGCCTGTCCAAAGATTTTGATCACGGATCAACCGTCGGAAGCTGGACCACCCCCTCCGAGAGCCATTCCGTCCTCATTTGTCCTTCTACGACGGTCAACTGGCTGCCGCGAACCCGCTCACTGCTTCTCGAATTCTGGATTCTGCGATCCGCTGTACCCCACAAGTAGGAGAATGTGCGGTATATCAGCGAGGTCGCTCTTCTCTTATCACAAAATACCCACGCTTCCTCTTCTTCATGACGCCCTCGAAGCCCCTGAGGCGGTAGCGCACTCTGTCAAACGCTAGGTAGGCTCTGGGCAAGGATTCCGTATTGTCTTGAAAGTGGATCCTGTGTCGAAAGAGCCGCAGCAACGCGTTGGAACTTGTTGTGGAACGTTCAGGGGTCTCAATAGAAATAGGACATACTCTCAGAGGGTGTTTCGAATCACACTTACATACTTGTAGGAGTGGGGCTGTAGTACACGTATCCTAGCACCATGGACTTCCACCGTATCGACGACATCTCCACCACAATCATGCCGGCAGCCTGTCTCTCGAGGCCTTCTATCCCGTAACGCACGACATCCGCCCTAGCTCCTAAAATTCCTCGCCCACGCCTCTGCCACGAGCCATCCACGGTGTAAAATGTACATAACCCTGCTCAGATCCACCCGAATCTTACTCATGGTCCTTCAATTAGCCTATTACTTACTCTTGAGCGTGGCTCGGCTCGTGGCCTTATACCAAGTACGCGTGACGACTCCGTCTCGACATCGACATAATTCCCGTGGTCCTATTTCAATCCCGATCGCTATTCACAGCTCACGTACGCAAGAAGTTCATGTCCGTCAAGAACCAAGGTCATGGCCACTCCAGAGGCCATCCAGTCTTTTAAACGAGCCTCCAGAAGAAGACCCTGCGGACAGAGAATTTAACCATACTTGTCTCGTCGGTGCATCGATCCCACGGAAGACTCGAAGATGGCCGCACCATTGACGGGTAACGACAGTGTGGTACTTCAAAGCTCGTGCTGTGTATTGGAGGTTCACATGGATCTAAGGTGGGGACACCCGTATGTCTAGGGACGATCTGTTCGCCAACCCTCTATCGCCCTGGATATACACCCTCCGTGAAAACCTCGGAGACACCCACAGAAACCGGTTATTTTCTGTCAGCTCTCTTATAGAAAGCGGAGATCCATTGCAAGGGAAACGACGAAGCTAAGTGCGCCCGAGAAAGCCAGCTCGGAAGATGTCATTGGTATTTCCCTGACTGTAGGTTTCTCAGTGTTTCGAATTCATGCGCTGGAATAGGCTCATTTACCTTTGACTAAACACTTCCACAGATACACATGCTCTCCGAGTCAGATACACGCCTTGAAGGTCGCCGTCGCCGAGTGTTGCCGTAGTAACCCCACCTTGCCAAGTGGTTGGGAACTTCTGTGACAAATGAAGGGGGGATGGAGATTTAGTCGGCCGCTCAATGCTGATAAGTGTTCACACTGGGGTTTAAGCTGGTTTTAGAGGCGGGAGAAGCGCCGGTCGATCGTACATCGTCGTGGGTTTTCATAGTAGGTACTACGCGACTGCCTTGAGTAGGCCGTGTGGAATGCGACTTGTGCCACTCGGACAGGCGTACTGGAAGGTCGCCGGGGTCCCAGGCACCAGGGAGAAATTCCTTTTCCCATCTGAGGCTTTGTATGCATGGAAAGAGGTGAAAAGAGGAGCAATGTCACTGAAGACAGACAGCACTTTCTGCACAGGAGTCCATGCCAACAGTGGACTCACCAAAAATAGCCCCAATAATGAGCCGGACTGTCGCAAAGGAGTCTACGGTTATTCAACTTTATTTTTGAAAGCGTTCAAGAATGGCACGCGTTCTGTCTTTTGAGAAATGTGGCTGACGATCGAAACAGTTAGACTCGGGAGTCCGAGCCCATCGTCGAAGGCAAAATGTCTGATGCCAGTTCCACCCTTCAAGCTTCAAGAAGGACATTTCTTCAGAACATACCGGTACTGTGTCGCTTCCATGCAGCTGTAGAGCACCGTGTAACCGTCACAGTGTCGTGGTGCATGTCAGACAGTAAGGCAGCCGCGCAGTGGCGCGCACTCCGCCCAAACTAAGCTTCGGAATCAAATCAACACCGACCAGCCAAAGCATGGGTGATGCCACTGCAGTTCGAACCTGGCCTTCGCCAATATTTTTAATCCACAAGCTCCGCGCGGGAGAGAGATGTCTACTCATTCACGTCGAGGGACGTCAATAATACCATTAGCAAAGTACGTTATCATGAGACACTAGTAATACAGCATGGGTGGGGTGACTATGGCTACAGTGGGGTGGGATACGCGGAGAAAACATGCAGAATGAATAACCCGAATGAAAATGAATTCGGAAGAAGAGCGAAAGAAAATTGAATACGAAGCGAGGGGAAGGCAGGCTAGCTGCCGCCAGAAGAGAAAACAGATATTCAGAATTGAGCGAGAGTGGGCTCCAGAGTCACTCCAGGGAAGGAGAAGGAGAGGCCCCAAGGCCAATGATCATCCACGACAGGCGGTCAAGACCCTCTTGCAAGTCATTTCCCAGTCTTTACCTGCCCTTCTCCGAAAGGCCTCCGATTGAGCTCGTCTACCGCCACATAGTCATACCCAAAAGCGCGTTCCCGAGTGTGCACGGCGACACTTGGATCTTAGGCCGAGCGGAGGCAGACTGCGAAGACGCGAACGTCAAATCAAGTAGCCTCCTATCCGTCTTGACATAAACCCCCTTGACAATCAGAGCTGGGCCGTAAATGTCGTTTCGGGATAGTAGGCTACATGCGCGTCTGTTGAGGGAAGGCAAGGGACTATCTGAGGTAGGTAGCCCGTAGTAAATCTCGTAAATGGAGTGGAATCGTCCGAGGCCGACACCGAATGGTCGTTGAGGGGAGTAGGACTCCCAATCTTCAGAGAGGATGATCTCCCTGGTGTACCGAGCGCAGCCGCCCAGAAGCCTGCGGATCTCGCGGTCGTAGTTCTTCGCTGGCTCTTCCTCGGTGCCTAGTTCGATGTTGGAGCGCGGCGCGACAGGGATGCGGTCGTCAGATGGTACGAGGAGGAAGCGTATGCGCGCTGGGTGAGGTTTGTGTGAGGAGGCAGAAGGGAAAGACCATTTTGGGTGGCGGAAGAGGGCTCGTCTAAGTTCGTCGATTTGGGAAGGCGTCTGCACGGCTTGGAGGTTAGGGATTTGGATAGAGTGGAGGCGGGCAATTGTAGAGAGCGTGTCAAGTCCTCTGTCAATCAGGTGAGTGTTTGAGTCCAGCGAGATGCATGGTCAAGGAACGTACACGGAGGATGGATGTAGGATTTTCGATTTGACGTGTTCGATACGTCTTTTGAGGTCGTCGTGTTCGGATTCGTAAGAAGGCGTGAGGGAGAGGGCTTGAGAGTATGATTCGATGCTGTCGGCGTATTGCGTCAGGGCCTGGCAGAGAGTTAGTAAACCTCGGAGGGGCTTGAAGAAGAGACGTAGACCCACGTCATGGGCGTCGCCTTTTCTCAGCCATGCTTTCGTGTATCTCGAGTCCAGATTGAGAGCCTACATGGATCATCAGAAAGAATTCGGAGAGACGGGTTCACGCACGACAGACTTACTGCACGGCAGTCACTCAAGACTTCGTGGAATCTACGGGGAATAGAAATCGATCGTTAGTCGTGTGCCAGTGTGACCGAAGAACCTTCGAGCTCGGTGACATACCTCCGCAGGAAGAAAAAGCTAGCTGCTCGATTGCCGTAGAATACAGGATTCCGATTATCCAACTGAATGGCATCGGTGAATTTGGCAATAGACGCTTCGTATTGCTTGGCCTTGAACAGCGCATTGCCCTCCTCCTTGAGCTGAACTGCCTGTCGTTGAGCGGCCATGGCAGAAGAAGAGTCGTAAGAAGAAAAGAGAAGAAACCGAAAAAGAGAGGGGCGACAATGGGAAAGGTGTTAACGGTCGTACAGCTCTTTTATACCCGTATCAGATATCCGAAAGTGAGTTCCTCAGAATGACGGACAGGGGTGCAGTATCGCCTCGTGGCAGGAGTTTAGACACCCGATATACACATATTGCTGCATCGAGATCAAGAGACCTGACGGTCCTGCACAGATAAATACAAGGTGCCCATCGTTTTTGTCAGTGGAGACTTGTCGTCCTTGTTCCAGTTTTGGAGGAGGCTAAGTGAGTGAGGCAACTGAGCATCCCTTGACATGATTTCCAATGGAATATTCGGATATGGCCATATCCTCGTTGCAGCACTATGATTGTCGGCGGAATGCAAGAAATTCTGGTGTTCAGAGTCGTGGAGAGTGGTCAAGAGACATCGAGGACTTGGTCGAATTAACGTGGCTATTTGCCGGCATCACCGGGTGCCGGTGATGAAAATCACGTAATCCCGGCATTTCCCCGCTCACCCTGTGCCTAGCGTCTTGCAATCTCTTTCTTCCTTCATCTTCCTTCCTGAATTTACAAGTTCCCGCCTTCATTCGCTTTTGTCGCTGTCAACGGTGAGCGACGTCTAAAGCTCACCGCCCAAGCTCAAAAGGGTGGGTTTGAGGTTGTACAGGCCTTAACTGAACCACAATAGGCCAAAGGATCCGTTTTCTTTCTTATCCAAGTCATTTCAGAAAGACCGGGCTATTTTATTTGGTTGGACGCCTCCGGGGGCGCTTTCATCCTTGTATCATCACCACCACGAGCAGACAATGTCCAGCTCGTTGGGTTCGCCCTCAAACAACCCCAGCGACCGACCACAGCTTCATCTCTCGATAGCTCCGGCAACGACCTCGTTCAAGCGTTCCTTTGAACAATTTGGATTCGACTTGGATAGTCCGGTAGGAGGAGGAACTACAGGCTACAGGGAGAGGGCGGATGCGGGTGGGGAGGCCAGCGCCACGGGGACCACCACAGGCCGTAACGACCGCAACAAACGCGCGAGGAGTGCAAGCAGTTTATCAGACGGTAGCAACAGCAGTGATAGGGCGTCGTCGTCGTCGGGCTCGTCCTCGAGGGAAAGGACGATTGCCAGTAGCAGCAACACGAGTCTCAGCGTCGAGTCTGAACCGAGCAATCCTTATCCGTCGTCCTCGACACTCCCATCGATGCCCAGGAATGCTGCCTCGAGTTCACGGTTATCCCCAGATGGTTTGGCCTTCCAATACCTGCCCGGGCCCACCCTCCCGCCACGCATTCCGACCCCAGAGCCTGTGGGCGTTGACATGGACATAGAGATGCTGCCCCCTACAGGTCCAGAGCCAGCACCATCCTCGGCTCACCCTTTATCCCCTTCACAAACAATAGCATTGAGCCCGTCAACATCGACCATTCTACCCCTTTCATTGCCACTCCCACACCCACCAGCGCTACCTCCTCTAAGCACGGAACTCGACCTTGACACTGACCTTGACCGTAGTTCTGGGGACGCCACCCAAGGCGCTGCGATGGTTGGTCCCTCGTCACCACCCTCTCGGAACCACGAGTCCATTTTAACTAGCACACCGCAGTCCATTTCAAACTCGACTTACGAAACCGAAAATGCCGACCTGACAAGGAATCTTGAGCGGTTCAATGCATTCGACAGCCAAATTGACGTGCTCAGGCGCACCCCGTTACAGGGCTCTGGAGGATCCCGTCGCTGGAGCCTCGCTCAGTCGCCGAGGGAACCCACTCCTCCACCTACTCTCCCTCCACTGGATTTGGACTCGCCGCGTCAACATGAATTCAATCTCAGCCCTCGTTCCAGCCTGCAAATGACACACCACCGGAGGTCATCATATTCGGCATCAACGTCCGTGTCAACGTTGTCGTCACCCTCGTACTCGACGTTTGCACGCGCTGCAAGGCCCGCAGGTCGATCGAGTGTCAGCCCATCTCGCCATCGCCCGGAGATACAGCCTTTGGGGTCTAGAACGCCTGCTTACCTTGGTATGAGCTTCTTTGGCGCCAATATCTTGAGTTATGTTCATATACTTTCTAGACGTCCCGCTTAATGTGTTCGAGCCCCCATTGAGCGAACTGGTGGATGTACCAGGTCCTTCCACTCGCAACGACGCTGAGCGATCACCGAGACCAACTATCCCAAGCCAACCTCCGACGTTGCCACCCATTGCGACAACAAACCCGCCACCCACACTACCCCCCATCGAAACAAATTCGACTGTCATATGGGACGCCGAGGAGGAATCTCAGGATAACAATCTGTCCGTTGGTTCAGACCCAGCTTCCACCGGCGATGTCCGATTACCTGCAGGAGGCAATGAACCCAGCGCTCCACGGGATTTTGGCTTGAATCTGGATATTGATTTGCGAAGCCATGCTCCACCGTCACCTTCCCTCACTGACCTGAGACGCTGGATCGACAATGGAGAAACGGTGGACTCAACTGCGGAAACGAGGCCAGCATCATCCCATTCGGCCGCCTCCGTCGGGTCAGGGAGGAGCGGAGGGTCGGCGAGCGCTATCAGCAATGGGACTACTATGGCAGATGCTAGGACGTCGAGGATTGGGTTCGGGCGCCGGGACTTCGTATCCATGCCAGGGGGACTTGGTTTTGGGAGCGGGAACCTTGGATCATTTGATGACCTGCCGCCTTTCACCTCGGATGGTATGATCAATACTAGTGCTACCGGGTACGGTGTGGGAGGTGACCAGAGCGCGTCAGATGGGACCACTTCACAGAACAACGCAAACGCTTTTGATTGGCATCGAAGACAAGCGCTGACAAGGAACAGCACTGAACCAGACCTACTGACGAGTTTGGATAGAGTGTACGGAATACTGGGGTCCTCGTCCACACCTCTTGGGAGTGAGTGCAATTGTCCTTGGGTCTACCTATGCTGTGGACACAGCTGATTCCGTATCAAACTTCTTCCAGATACCTCGGCTTCTCGACCTCGTGTCTCATCTAGTCTCCGTGATCCTACATCCCAGACCGCAGGATTGACTGGAATTGGTTCTTCAGCTCGTTCGAACGGTACAAATTTGGAAGAGAGACAAACTATGTCTGCTGTCCTTCGTCGATTTAACAATCGTGGGTCTTATTCCTATACAGCCTTCATCCGATCGTTGACCTCTACATCGAATACAGCTTCGCCACAGCATGCCCGTCCTTCTTCAGCAGCACCATCGACAACGAACACTCGGCCGAACCCTTTTGCTCTCAACGTAATGATTCCTGATACCTCGCTACCACGCAGCATTCCTTCAAGTCACGACAATCCAGCCCTAAGAGGCTTTTCATTTTCGGATATGGCTGATACCTCGCCTAGTCTGAATCGATCTGACAGGGGTGAGTCTGCCGCGAGAGTTCGAATGCGAAATGTCGCTTATTTTACTTGTAGACGGCACGACTGCCCATAGCACCGGGGTTTCGTTGACAAGGGGTCCCTTGAACGAAGCTACGTTTGGTGCATCGTCGGGTAGTTCCCACAACTCCAGCGATGCTCAATCTACGATGTTCAGCGCCTTCCGAGCACGTCGGTACTCTGGATTGCACGCCGGGGGATCCCTGGTGGCGGAGACCAGTCGAGAGAGGAGTCGACAAAGAGATGAACTGGATTTGGGAGTTCTGAGGAGGGAGCCAAGCACGAGTAGAAGATCGGAAACCTCGTCATTGCTGGGGTCTAGGGACTTAGATGCGGAGGACCGCGGCGTGTTCCTACCCCGAAGAAGAGAGGAAATTCTCAACGCTAGTCGGGATACGGAGATGACGGACCTCGCCCGCTTGTTCAATTCGACGGACGAACCTTCGAGCGGAAGGAGGCCGGGGGAGAGCGGGGAGAGCGGGCGTACAGGAGAAGCAAGGAGCGCGGGTACATCGACATCAACATCGACGATTTCGCGACGAGCATTCAACAACTGGGACTTCCCCGATGTGGAGAGTGATTCGGACTCGGACGATAGTCTCTGGAGATCAGGGGTACCACGCCCGTCGATGAGGCGGGGACAAGCATCACTCAGACCATCGTCACCACAAAACAGGAACACCCATGTGGCGACCAGCAACACCAATCCATCCGACCGTCCGACTTCGGTCACCATTCCGTCCGTTTCGATACCGCCGTTGCATGGAGACTTGATTTCGTTAAGAAGATATCTTGATATCCAAATCGGAGACGACGACGCTAGTACTAGACTGTCGGGAGAGCAGCTACGCACACCGGTCAATCGAAACCCACCATCGCAAGCACCCCCTGCACGGCCTTTTCTTCCTATACCGGTACCATCCCCCAACTTGGATGTGGAATTCGGGGACCGCACCGGTAGCAGTACCCGCCCAGGTCAAGGGCAATCCCAATCGCAGCAGGATGACAGCACCCGCTCTTCTATTTCTCTCAACCCACCACAGCCGCCAAGTTCTCGACCATCCTCTTCTATCGAAAATTTCCGACAGGCGTTCCGAGAGCGTGGTCGTCAGTTGTCGGAGAGGAACATCAGCAGGCTACTGGGACATGGATCGTCAGGCCCTTCGGGTCTTGAAACGCCATCTGCTGCTCGTCCCACTAATGCTTCCAACGCAGGTGGAAGTTTGGCTTCACCTCTCGACCTGCCCAGCCCCCATGATCCGACTGGTGCTCGATTCGGGTTTCTGTACCGCAGGATAGGAGTGCCTTCTGATGACCCACCGTCCACTGGCAACCCCTCAAATCCGTCGAGGGCTCCAGACAGACTTTCGGATATGTTTGCCCCTGGTCCGTATCAAAATACGTTCAGAATGCTCGAATTGGAGCGTCGTCGAAGGATGGGTGAAGGTGAGCCGTCTGGCTCTTCAACAATGTCGGCCAATGCCCGCCGCTTCTCTACGCCTTCAGCTTTGTCCATGCCTCCTCACCGCCCGTCACCACTCTCAACTGCAGCTCCGTCGATTCCTCCCCCACCAGCGTCGACATCGCAGGCCGCACCCACTGTACCGACACTCATGTCAGGGATGCGGGTTGCGACAGCGACACCCCATCGATACGATGCTTCTGTAACAGCGGGCTTGGGTCGGGCAGGACGGAATGCTCCGCCAGCGACCACGCAAAGCTCGGACAGACCCGTCAGGCCGTTGCCCCTCAATCCTCCGTCTAGTCATGCCATCCGACCTAGGCCTCTTCATCAGCATCCAACGACCGTTCAGCGCGATCCGTGGGAGCGATGGCTCTACGAGGACTCGGAGTCGGACACTTCTCTTGATCCTCTCTTCGTTCCTCGGCCTCGAAACGGTGGGCCTCGCACGAGAGGGATCGATCCACTCAGCGCTCAAGCAGAGGAACTGCGGCGCGCTACCCGAGATCTTGCTCAACTGCACGACGATCTCTCTACACTAGTAGCTCCGCGTCGGCGAACGTATGACGTGGACGGGATTGAATTGAGACATCGACCGCCTGCTGCTGCTAATCGAAATACCCCGTCTGCGTCGAACTCGACTACGACGACGGCCCCTCGTCATCCGGGAAGAGAAGAATTTAGGAGGAGATATTTGGAGATTGCTACTCTTGGCGGGAGTGGGACAGAGCAACCGCCAGAGCGACAAACGAGACCGACTGGTGATGCGATCCGACGGGTGTTGCACAGGGCACAGCGCTTTGGTGGTTTCAGAAGGCCCTTGGCTGGTTTCAATCCAGGCGATTTCATGGTGAGTTGGGATACCAGATGAACCTCAAGGTTTAATGCTCATATTTTTTCAACTCTAGAACGACGATGAATTCGACGATTCGTATGAAACACTATTGTCGCTTACCGAAGAGCTCGGCGAAGTCAGGCCTCGACGTACACCCGCCAACGTCATCGACTCTTTCACAAGTGCGAGCTATAGCGAGTTGGCGAATGGCGAATCCGACAAGCGCTGTCCCATCTGCCTTGACGACGTGCGTCTTCTACCGCAGTTCCTTCTATAGACCTCTGACTGATATGTGTCTTCCAGTATGCTCCCCAGGATCCAGTTCTGAAGTTGGATCGGTGTCCACACTTCATGCACAAGGACTGTCTCAAGGTATGTCATGAACTTTTCGCCGACGTGTCTACGATGTTGACATCTCGATAGCAATGGCTCAACCAAGCTACGACTTGCCCAGTTTGTCGAGAGCCGGTCATGGAGAAGAAGTCGCCCTTCATGCCACCTAATCGAGCGCCAAGTGCAAGTGCCGCCGGTCCTTCAACAACTTCAACTTCTTCATCCTCTCGCCCAAGGCCAGATCCACTGTCATTCGCGATGAATCGTCCTCGTTGGCCATCTGAACTCGGTTCTATTCGACAAATTGTTCCCACCCGAAACCCCAGGATTCCTGAAGGTTCCGCCTCCCTGGGTTTCATGCCCCATCCCTCGCGTCTTTCCCCGATTAACATTCGAATCGGAGGACCCTCTCGCAATAATACCAACAACAACAACAACAACAACAACAACAGTAGTAACAGTTCGGACACGAACGCGAATAACAGCCACAACCCTGCGACGGGTCCGCCGAGAGGTCCCCAAAGGCCTCGTGAAGACACCTCTATGGACTCTGACTCGTCGTCTGACTTTATGAGGTTTTGAACAGCCAGCCTTTTCGTTTCGTATTCTTCATTGACCTGCATTGCATCTTTTGTCTTTTTATTCACGATCTTAGACCTTCAGTCCAATCCCAACGCAGTGCTCTTCGCTCACTCATGTCATCCATTCCCTCTCTATTTAAACCTTACGATATGTATCCAAACCCTATTTATCCTCACTGTTTGTCGTCCTTACTTCCGTATCTTCTTGTCTACCTTCCACTTGTGCATGTGTAAAATAGTTCAAATACCATTTAGCTACAATGATACATTACCTCTGCGGTTGCCCTGGGTCAGAGCATGGGAAACAAGGTGTATTCACACGGGGGACATTTAGCTGTCCGGTCGACGCTGTCCCGTGTTCTGACCGGTACTCTGTCTGGTAATCTGTCCACTGCCAGTGGCAGCGTGAAAAGACCACTCGGACTACAACTGAGCTGCAAAGAAAAACAAACCAGTTCAGACGAGAAACACAGTATCAAGACAAAGAAAACACCTTAGAGTGGAGGTCCCATGGCCTTTGAGAATTGGGTCCCGGGACAAAGGTGCTGGAATGGGACTTCCACAGTCGAACCCCGTGCCCCTTCACGGCAGCAATGCCACATTTGCTCAATCAAACCTTTCTTTCACATTTCTCTACCAAACCAAGAAGTGAGACGGTTCGTATCGCTGTGTCTAGGTGCCACTGGACATTTTACCAGACAGTCAGTAGGATAGCACGGTTTCGATCACCACCAGACAGCTGTTTGCCCGCCGTGTCAGCGCTGTATCTCGGCTATAGGCACCGGGGGGCTTTCAACCTCTCCGCCCACGCTCGTGGATGCTTTTCCTGACCGCGCTCTACGTTCTTGCAAACTCGGTCTCCAAAACCACAGGCGGACCTCTTGACCTTTCTACCACTGCTCCCACCGCCTGTCATTGCAACGCAAACCTCAACGCCCGAGAGGTTGTATTCGAGAAGAACTACCGCTCAATATGGGACATAATCTGGACATGTTTGGCCACGATATTCGCTTGTACCTGGGTCGCTATTCACCCCAACCTCCGAGGGTATAAAGCCACCTATTGGGAAAGGTTCCTGCAAAGGATAGAATTGATGCTGTGGGCGATTATCATCCCTGAAGCTATTACTGTATGGGCGTTCAGGCAATGGATCGGTGCCAGGAAGATTCTGGCTGACGTTAGGGAGTTGAAAAAGAAAGAGAGTTTGGAGGAGGAGGATCCTGGGTTTGGAGATGGTGAACGAGGTACGCGATAGCTCCTTCGAGTTGATTGCTATATGATGTTGTAGGTTGGTACTGACTGTCAACACGCGCCCGTAGCGCCACCTGCAGAGTGGACCATGGTTCACGCCCAGTTCTTCCAAATGGGCGGATACATATTCAAAGATGAAACAGGATTTCGATACATCGATTGGGCTGATCTCACTCGCGAAGACGATACCGAATTCGTGCGGCACAGGACAGCTCTGCTCCTCCGTCCAGATACAAAAGACGAAATCGCTGACAAGAGTAAATCGGACGGGTTTGCAAAGGTCTTCGTCATCATCCAGACGGTCTGGTTCCTGGCTCAGTGCGTTGCACGAGCGATCCAAGGTCTTTTCGTCACAGAGTTGGAGGTTACCACCACTGCTTATATCGCCGTAAGCCTCGTCTTCCACTTCTTCTGGTGGCACAAACCATTGGACGCCGAGTGTCCGATCATTGTGCATGTTCGGCTACCCCAACAAGATGAGAGCAGCAAAGACGCCGCTTCTAGAACGATTGGCTTGGGAGACGAGGAAGAAGCTGGGACAGTGGAGGATGGGCGTCATGATCGAGCAGCCCCGGGAGGGCGTTTCGGCACAGTCATGGAAAGATGCCTGGGGAAACAATGCCGTCGCATATTCAGATGGACAACGAATTGGTCAGCACCATTGAGGATAGGTAAGCCTGTTAAACACAAATAGGACTCGTTCCCGTGGCTGACATTGCCACTCTCAGTTGCGTTCGTGGTGCTCCTGCTGCCTTGCATCATTGAGCACTTTCTGTATCGACTCGCTAAACCCTGTGGCCTCCAGACGAGCTTGACAGGACAACGGGCGCCCACTTTCTACGCGTTCTACCCGGGGAACACCAGGCACGACTACATCGGCCTTTGGGGCGTTATCATCATCAGCACAATCTTCGGTGGAATCCACTGCATTGCATGGGGCTTCACGTTCTCGTCGGTCAGAAGCCAGCTCCTCTGGAGAATATCGGCTCTGTTTATAACAATCTTCCCGGCCTTTGTGGGATCTCTGACTGCAGAAATAACCAGATTTTGGAGTGAACATCGTGATAATCCGGAGGAGGTAGTTGAAACATTTGGTGCCCTTGTTGCGTTGGTTTTAATGGGCGTGTTCTTCATGCTACTCGGCCTTGGGCTGGTGGGTCTGGTCGTTTATCCAGTGGCACGTTTTATCCTCACTGTAGTGACTTTCTATGAGCTTGCACACCTTCCATCTTCTGCCCATCAGACGGTGGAGTGGTCTTCCTTCATACCTCATGTGTAGCCATAGCCATGTCATTGAATCCATTAAGAACGATTGGCCACTCAATTGTTTTTACATTAATTAACTCTGAAAAGGGCAATTTGAGCACTCCGTGCCACACGAGCAGGTCATGAGCCATCCTTGACCAGGAGTTGTTAACTTAGACGCCCAGGCGATAGTTGAATTGAGCACTCTGCGATTCGCGACCCCTGTCAGCCCAATCAAAAGCGAGTTTCGAATGCGCCGACGTTTGAAGATGCATAATTTTGGATATTCCCCTGCGCCTTCCTTGTCCACAACTTTGAATACAAGCTTCCCAGGGCACCCGCCCTTCGAGCCCCTATTACTGACCGTGCGAAAATAAATTAGGCGCCCATCCATCGGCATTTGATGCGAGGGCTCTTAAACCTTCACCAACCGGCGGCACCCCACGAGAACAACTGACCTCAATACATACGCTCCTAAGCCTATAGGTTCCTTCACTCTGGTACAATGAAGCTGATGAATGGAGCTTTCTGACAGGCGTGCTTGTAGTATAAGTATTCTATAAGATTCGAGGCAGTGTGTTCCACGAGGATTCGGGAGGAATCTTGAACCCGAGTGGCTCCAGTATGTCCGTAAAACGCCGAGCGCCAGGGGGAAGGAAGTCGTTTCGACGCGACAATCCTTTGTTGACAGGACTCGGGCTATGCGGTGGTGGATCCCTGGCGGGTGGATCTTGCTTGAAGCCAATGTTTCGTTATCGGAGGTAGTAAATAAGGCGTGGAGTAGGTAGGGAAATATGCAGGCCTTTCTTTACTGTAATTTCCTGGTTTCTTGACTTCTCCATGGAACGAAAAGATGCGCCATCTTATTGTCAGGAGCGTTTCACAACATCGGGGCTCAAACTGCTCCTCAATTCCCCGTTGATTATATTTCCAACGGGCACGGGAGAAGTCGTACACAGACGCCCCTTAGTGTTCAAGGCCCCAAGACATAAATAACTAAGCTTACTGTAAAGTTTCCATCCGCCGGGCTCTGGAATTCTCCATCGAGTCATGGCCACTTACACGTTACACATCCATACACTGCGACTACTATAGCAGTCGTGCGCTTCGAAAGAAGTCTGACTGAGACATAACGTTTTGAAGGAAGGCAAGGTGTATGCTTGCATTCTCTGTCAGACCACGCACCGAAGAATTCGAACCAGAACCTTCAGGGGAATCTCAGCGTGCGAGAATCTTGCCAAGGCTTGCCTCGTGGCTTACCGCGCGCTTCCCGAGTGAAGCTCCACGACCCACGATCCTGTTCTACTCGAGCAGTAACTACTAGCCGCTATGATCCATGATCCACCCGCTGAACCGCATTGAAACGTCGTGCGTATAGCCTCCTCGAGGATTATGGATTCGAATTCTGAGCTTGAGTCTTGACAGAACCACAAGCAATTGTCAAATATTGACGCAGCGAGCTAAATTTCTAGGAAATCACAATCTACGCCTTGTCAAAGTGTCTCACCGCGACTCGTTGTCGGAGGGGGCATGGCAGACTGTGGGAGTCCAAACTTGGAGGATAGTAAAAAGAAGTCGCCCCGACTCCAAAACGGTGTGCCCCTGACAATCAGCAGTGGAACGATCGCGAAAACGTTTTCAATAATTATGGTATGTATGCCCAAGTTGTGGCGGCGATCCCCTCGACTTTCTAACGCACGTTCGATTGTCATGAGCTTACTCTGCCATCTTACCTGGCCATACTAAGCAATGTACATTGTGCGTGCCTTCGGATCTGTCCTAGAGTGATCAGACTAAGGCTAAGGCTAAAGGCGAAGTAAGTCGTTTCAGAGGTACAGACCTTTTGACACTTACTTACCTTGGGGATGCTGCTGGAAACAAATTGTGCATGCATAGTTTGGCCAAGGGGCTCTTGAGTCAAGAGCCCCTAGCAGTGAGCTACGTTACCACTACCAGTGGAAGGTGACATCTACATTTCGAACACGGCAGCGAAGCTGTGACGAACCGAAAATAAGTCGGCTTCAAGCCCTATTACTAAGTAACCCTCACTTGAAGACAGGCTACCTTGCCCCAGGCCCCTATGTAGCCAATTCAGATGCCTAAGCAAGGTAAGTAGTCGAGATACCCAAGTGTATACGTATACGGTATACGTATACCTCTTTGTCATATCACAGATAAATACCTTCATAGCTTCTCTCTCAAGTCAGCACTTCAGCAGCAGCCACTTACTTCAGAGTCACCGCCTGATTCACTGTATGTAATTCCGAATCCGCATTCAAGAATCTGTCGGACATTTGCAGCGTCGATCTACCGTAAGAGCTTACCGAGAATTTACTGAGAAGATATTGTCACGCCATGCCTCGAGGTATGGCCTAATCTCACCCGCCAAACTGGCTCGTTTTCAGATTGTTTGACAGGACCCAGTGTGATCACCCAGCAAAACGCCGTGGATACGGAGGAGCACTCAAAGCACAGAGATACGGGGAAGGGGGACGCAGTGAACCTGCAAAAAACATATCCTTCATAAGTAGTTCCCAAGTAGGAATCCTTGTCGTAGCATGTATATATGTATCGACGAGACAAGAGCGCAGAGTAAAAAGTAAGAGATAACGATAACAACATGGACAGCGATAAGCAAAACAAAGTGAGGAGAGGAGGTGGTAGGTAGGTACGGACTACATAGTAAAGCCAAAAACAACAATGCATGATATACTTCATAACATGATGATGAACCAGAGAACATTAGGCGAAACCGGAGACGATGAAACCCAGGGGAAAAAAAGAAAAGAGATAAAAGGCGCTGAAACCAAGACGAGGAACCAAAAAAGACGACAAAGATCAAGAGGCCCAAAGGCGTGTATGGTGCTGCGAGAAAGAAAGAAACGGGACCGAGACCAAAACCAAAAACGTAGACCACGAAAAGCATAAAAAATCTGAAGAAGAAAAAGAAAATAAGAACAAAGGGGGAAGGGGTAGCGTTCAACTAAAAGAAGTCGAAGCACGCCGAAGATCATATGAAAAAGAAAGAACAGAAAAAGAATCACGAACCAACCAAAAACTGAGGTTTCCACACTTCGGGGAAACGATACCAAGAAGGGGGGAGTTCGTACAATTCCACACTTCCAAACTGCTGCTTCCTTTCAATGTCCCATTCAAGCCAACTATCTTCATACCGATGAGTCCCCGTCCTCTTACGGTACTCAAACCCAACCCTCTGGAGCGAAGGCAATCGCATTGCAAAATGCGCCGCACACTCCCGCCGGGCGGTCTTCCACGGCTCCCCGCGATCAGCCTCGTCGTACTCGGGGAACTGAACGCATATACGGAGCTGCTTGAGATAGTTGAGAGATCTGAACGGATCCACGAGTTCCTCCTGTGCGAGACGAAGAAAAACGTAAGGGATTGAGTGGGTCAGAAAAGGCAAGTGAGTGTGACGTACCCAAGGGAAGACGGTCTTCCCGTCGTGATACCCACAGAGCTCGACCTCCAGAGTTTCCAGTTTGGGGAAATGCATACAGATCTTGCGATAGAGCTCGGGGGTGCCCTTGTCTTCAATCATGATGCGCAACGTCCTGAGGCCGTCCTTCATCCCGCCAGGCGCCGAGATCATATCGTTCAAAAGGGCATCCACCTCCGCCCGTCCCAGGGCAATAGGCACCCTCGGCAAGTCAATAATCGCGCACACCACCAGCCCCTCCAACCCAGTCGTATACTGGAACACCCCCGGGATCTTGCACGCATTCGATACGGCCAGGTACTGGATCTGGGAGAGGACGCGGGCGGAATTGCCGCGTGCCGTGAGGTGATTGTCCGCGATGGGCAGCAGGCGGAAGAGGGGGTCGTTCTTCACGCTCGCAAAGAGGAGACGCAAATCGGCGAGTCTAGGCATCTTGGCCACCACGTCCACAAGCTCGACCATGCCGTGCGGGCGGGGTGCATGGCCGGTAAGCACGAGCGTCTCGAGGAGCGGCCACTCCTGGTACGCCAGCTCGTGCAGCGTGCAGAGGTCGCCCGAGACCTCGACGTGCCGCAGATGGTCAGACTTGCCGAGGGAGAAGATGAAGGCGGTCGCGGCGTAGCGCGCCAGACTGTCGTTCCTGTAGCGCTTCCTGTAGTCGCGGGTGTAGTAATGGAATTCTTGGTATTTGGGGTCGTAGGCCCCCTCGCCGACACGCAGGGCCTCGGCGACGGGCACGATGGAGAGACGGTCGAGGTGGAAGGTGGGCGGGACGCGGGGGACCATGTCCACGTAGAGAGGGGTGTCGTGGATGGACAGCTCCCGGATGGATGGGCATTGGATGAGCGCTGCGATTATGGATGCTGGCGGGTAGAACGGGCAGCTGATATGGAACCTGGACAGGTTGGACATGGCTGGGAGCGCCCCGACGAGTTTGTCGAGGTGTCGTGGGTGGTAGTCGCCGCCGATATAGTATCGGTCGCCCCATTGTGGTGGAATCGTATCTGGCCAATGGTCTGGCCAGTCCAGCGAGAACTCTCTACATCCAGGCTGTCAGCTCAACCCCTGGCGCATTGCAGCAACCTGGACACCCACCTAAAGTACGCCCACAAGGTCTCTGGGAAGAATTCCAAGCCCCCTTCTTCCGTGTGTTTTTCTGGGTGCGGCCATTGGGCTTTGTGGAACAACAGGGGTAAGGTCACCATTCGCAAGATTCGACAAGTCAGGGAGACATTCTTTAGGTCGTCGATTGAGCCAGCAGAGGCCAGCTCTGCGGCAATGGTGTAGAGGATATCCTTGTTCAGTTTTGAATCCATGGCTAGCGAGGGTAGATATTGAAGGAGTGGGTCGAGAGACGGGAGGATGGCATCGCAAGTGTGAGAGAAGAACAAGAGACGAGATATAAACCAAGTGTCAAAGCTTAAATGGAATCGCTTATGTGGAAGTCACCCTAAAGATCTGGGGTCCGAATCGCGCGCGTGGTTGGTTGCCCACAAATTTTTCTTCCGTACAAAAGGGTCCTTGGCCTCGCTCGGTCCTAAAAGCAGTGCGCCGACGGGACCAAATTCCAGGAATAGCGTTTGGCACAGGTTGCCAAAAATCTCATGTATTATTAGAGAAGAGGAGAGAAAAAAAATCGAATGCTACTGGATCGAGGAGTTCAGAACCCACAGACATGGATACAGTGATATTAAATATGTCTGAGTGAATCGCCGAGACGCACTGCTCCTCGTGCAAAGGATATTCCTTTCAAGGTATCGTTCTTTCTTCTTCTTCTGCCGCCTATGCACTAGAAGCCACCACACCTAGTAAGAACGCATCTTCATCATCCGGCACTGGCAAACTTCTGCGTCCACTCCCGGCTAACCCGCTGTGCATCCTTCTCGTCCTCCTTGTAATGTTTCGCGACATCCGTGGCAAGGGGATCATCTGGATTCGGAGCGCTGAGAAGAGCCTGGATAGATAAGAGAACCGTTCGGATTTGGAGTGCCGGCGACCATTTATCTGGAACATGGAACAATCCACCCCGCGGGCAATCAGAATCAGTCAGTTACTACTATCGAACCCGGCCCAATCCCAAATCTCTTGTCGACCCACCTTTCAGGATATCTAGGCAAATGCGTCCGAGTTTGTCTGCATGCAAGGAAAAAGAAGGACACCAGGTGTGAGTGATAGGGCCGTTATCAGGCGACAGAGAGAGAGAGACAGGAAACACGCACCGATATTAGGGTGATAGATCTTGGTCAGGAATCTCACCTTGGGCGGTGCCATGGGATACTCTTCGGGAAGAAAGAGCTCCAATTTAAAGATCCCATCTTTTCATAACCGATAACAACACAAAAGAAAACATCTCTTGAGCCCCTGCTGGTCACAACGCTGCCAGAAGCGAAGACGGTGCTCACTCTCAAACGGGCTGCCACCCGGTCCTTCAATCGTCACATCAAAGTATCGAAGGTTATCCTCGTGTGGGAGCGCGGTGATTCCTGGTGCGGGATCTGCTACGAGCCGTTCTGTTTCCTAGTTGCCCATCGGTGAGCAGGAGGTGGAACCAGGCGGAAAGTGGAGTAAGAATGTGCACCTTGATAATTCGCTATCATCACACAAAGTACAATATATCTATCAGCACATCGGTGTAGATAGTAAAGGTGATACATCCAAGTACCTTTGGAAGCGCCATCGTTCGGGTCTTGGGTTGTCGTTGGTGTGGTCGTAATAGATGAAGGTTATGGTACAAGGTTGCGACCGACTGATCATCCGATGCGGCATCCATCGCTGAGTAAGCTAATCTTATCTTATCTGTCCAAGACGCGCTGACTCGAATATTGACGCGCCTCCTAAGTCGCGTCGGGAGCGACGCGAAAAGGACATAGGGCGGAGGAGAGCTCTGTCGAGATTCTCTCAAGGGAGAAGACAAAGGGGCTCAGTGTTCTTAAGGCGCTACTCGATGCCCAGCTATCCAAGCACGGTTCTGTCCTCGGAAGGGCCTTTCTCACAGCGTCCATCTACAACCTAACCTTTCAACAATCAAACGAAAAGTCAAATCCATAAAGCTCCCAAAATATCATTACACTGTAAGCGTCAAATAAACCAATCAACACCCAACTCCCAAACCCCAAAAACAACCACGATACGTACTCTCCTGATAATCAGCAGCCAAAAGCCTGTACAACCCAACCAAAAGACGCAATCAGTCAGCCTTGCAGTTCACCCAGCCGACACAAGGATCAACGAAGAAAAGGAAGAAGAGAACAACTCAAATAAAACTTGAGAGAAAGTTGAAAGTTGAAGAAGGGGGTATGTAGTACGCACACTTCAAGTACAATCTCCGGCGGAATCCTCTCCTGCATCTCCGGAACAGGAATATCCTCCTTCGGTCCCACAGTCTGGTAATGCGACTTGAAACACATGTACTCGACCAACTTTTCCGTTACGATTCCTCTTTTCGTAGTTTCAGTTAGTTGGTTAGTAGGTGCGTTGGATTTAGTAGACGCATTGGATGTAGTAGACGCGGCAGCACAAAAGATAGTAAGAACTCGAAGTCAGTCTTGATTGATCCATACGAATGAACGAAATCAGACGTACCGTTCGTCAATCCCACAAGTCCTCGTCTGAGCCTCCGCATACCCCGCTATACAAGTATACACTCTTTCATCAGCACACCCCATTCCTCCCTCCTAAAGATAGAAGGTAGAAAGAAAGGAATCCTCTTAAAGCTAGATAGAAGATAGAAAGGAAAGAAACGATAGAAATAACGAAACGATGGCGAGAAACGAAAACAAGAGAAAAAGAAAAACCCAAACGAACACATCGGATCCAACATATTCCTCATAGTCCCACTAGCCTCCGCAACCTTCCTCCGTACAAGGTACGAAAACCCATCATTACTCTCAATCCGGACCCAATCCTTCTCCGAGGGCGAGTCGTTCGAATTCGAAGTGGTCGCGGTCTCCGATGCCGCATTCTAAGCCATTCCATGGGTTTAGTAGGTGAGAAGTTTAGTAGGTGAGAATCGGTGTTATCGGGAGATGTATATGCCTACCTTCATTTCAACATCGTCAGACATCCTTTCAACGCGTCGTAACACGGTACAATGGGAGTTTAAAGGTAGGAACCCTTGTACTGGTGGCACCCGCGCTAGCATAATTGGGCGGCGCGTCAATTTAGGTCACGTGTCGAGGCTGCCGAAGGCGTGCCGGGTATGCCAAGCGCATCTTGCCTGCAGGTGGAAGACGGGTCGAAAGAACCAAGAGCACTCAGAATATATATCTCTTTACATTCAGTGGTACAGATACCTGCGCCATATCTTGGGGGGATAGTACATGTACATAAATTATTACAACGACAAAGAACAACGAATTACAACAACAACAACAGCAGAGCAAGAGTCGAGTCCATTCCATCCTCCAGCCTTCACACAAAATAGCAATCTTATCCAAGAGAAACAAAAGCACTCCCACAATCAAATAGCAGTCCCATGCCTCTTCAACGCCGAAGGCCTCGACCCAGACCCAAGCGCCCTCCCCTTGGCCAACCGCTCCGCAACCTTCTCAACCAAATCATCCTCCTTCGTCCTCAACTCTCCCGACCCTTCCATCAACTCCTCCCTCAACGTCTGCCTAATCAACGTCTCCACATTCCCATCAATCCCTCCAAACTTCATACTAGGCGCAGGGAAAATCCCAGACGCTGTATTAGGCTCGAAATCGGGTAGCCGCTCGTTCGCCATATCGATTTTACGCGCGTCGGCAAAGGAACGGATGTTGCGCGAGAGTTTGGCGTCTGAGACACCAAGTTGGTCGACGCTTGTTGAGGAACCTGAGATTGGTAGCGTGGCTGCGGGCGAGAGTTCGGTGGCATTTTCTGCTTCCTCTCTGTATCGTCAAAAACAAAATGGAAATAACGAGGCGTATTCAGAGTCGGGCAATGGATAGACAAAGTAGGCACACCAAACACGCACCGGAGAAGAGTGAAAACACGTTGCATCCTTCCAACAGCAAGAATCTTGTTTTTGATCTGCTGTCGTCTGAGCCGGATTTCCTCAGCCGCTTGAGCCTCTCTAGCTTCGTCGTCCGAATCAGTATCGAGCTCTTCCTCGCTGCATATGCTCAAGATGGCAAGCAACATATCCGTGACTATTCACGTTCCAGGGTCAGTTCCTTATCATCTAAACAGGAATAGCAATCCAAAGAGCCCAATCGCGTACTTTTGGCACCGACAAAGGGCAAACTCCACGTAAACGCGTCCATAAAGTTTGGAAGCCAATAAGGGTGAGAACTCGAGTTGTACTGTCGAATAGTGATGTTCTTGTTCGCATACTTGAGGACCGCACCCCGATTCTTGTACACGTCGAGATAGTTGGGTGCAGAGAAAATCGTAATCACAGAAGGGAAGTTCTTTTTAGGCGTCTTTCTGTGCATCGTATAACTGCCGAACCATCAAGTCAAAAAGGAAAGAGAAACGGTCAGCTTTCGCAGTTCCCCGTCGAAACCGCAGATAAGCAAGAAAAGGGGATGGGGTGGTTACTTACCCTGCATCTTGGGCTTCGTGTCCACGGATAACAGTGAGAAGGTTGTTGCGTTCCAAGAACTGGCAGACGGCGGTGTAGGTGTAGTAGTAAGAGCACCCTCTCGTCGAGTTGGGGATGAACGAGGTGCCGGGGGCCAAAGCAGGACCAGATCCCGGCTCTGTCTCGTGTCCATAGTTGGTGATTGGGTCTGCCCACAGCAAGTCACACAGCAGGCCTTGCGACCCGGGCTCTTGAAACCGGTTCATCTGTTACAGTGTTTGTCACACGAGGGAAAACGAACGGGGAAGTCGCATGGACTTACGGATGCCAGATCGGCGAGGGTGATTAGAGAAGGGGATATACCCCCATGGACACAGAAGAACTTGGAGTCCACAAGAGCGGCGACTGGGAGAGCGCAGAAGGATTGAATACACGCTTCGTACACCTTTTCGGAGTACTTGTGCAGACCTGATTGTGACTGTCAGCTTTGTGGGTGCACGGCGATTCACAGTCACAGCTCACATTCTTTCTTGAAAGTAAAGTACTCGGTGAGATGTCGGCATTCGTGGTTTCCTCGCAGTAGGACTATCCGGGACGGGTTCCAGATTTTGAGGGCGTAGAGATAAAGTACACACTGTGAAAGGTTATCAGCACGGTGCTTTAGGGAGATAGGGGGTGCCATACCTCGATGCCAAAGTCTCCTCGATCAACGTAGTCGCCCAAGAACAGATAAACGTTCTCGGCCATAGATCCGCCAACTTCGAATAGCTTCATCAGGTCGTACTACGCGACGTTAGAGTTTGATTGAGTTGCGGAGGGAGGGGACATGACGCACATATTGACCATGAATATCGCCACAGACTTCAATGGTAAGGTTAGAGAAACTCTGGCTGGATGGCTTGATATCGCACACCTGTCACCGGGCTCTTCACTTCGACCATGTTAGGCTCCTTCGCCAGAATTCGCGTCGCGCGGTTGATGATATACAGCGCTTGCTCTTCAAGCAGTCGGCCTTCCTTGAAGAAATGGTCCTTGAGGAATGATGGGTTGGGTTTGCGTTCTGCGCCTTCTCCATAGAAGAACTCGGCCTCAGTGGGTTTGTTCGCAGCAGGTGGTGGAACCTATGTAATTTAACAGACAATTGCAGTTAAGAGGAAGGCAGCTTCATGTCAGATTTTATCACGCATCGCCAGAAATCCATCACTCACGCTTGGAACCTTCCTCTCGTTCACTGGTCCTGGGTACTGAGTCATGGGCTCGTTCGGGGGCATAGCGGTCTTCCTTGCGGTTGAAACTGGTGCGCGGGGGTCTGCGTTTGTCGAGGAATGCTTCCTATGGTGATTTCGTGAAGAATCAGCCATATCTTGGTCCGGCTTAGATGTGAGGTCTTGTCGCCGTCGTTAGGGTTGTAGTCGGCGTGTTAGTCGGCTGTGGTCTCTGTCGTAGGGCTATACGACGTTTCCCGTCTCGAAAGCACGTTGAAGCCAATTAATCGCCTGAAAATCGTAGTTTACGCCCAAAACTTGATTCCCTCGCCGTTGTCGCCGCCGTCGTCTTCTCGAGCTCCACAGGTGGATTTAGGCGGGTGTCTTGCTCGTCGATCGTCTGTTATCGTGGTTTCAGTGGCTCCCCGGTATTTTCTACAAGCCTTCCAAGATTCCCGACGAAAATAAAAAAGAAAGAGGGGCAGAAAGTGGGTGGTTGAAAACCCTTGAAACCCGAATCGCAGCGCCCACTACCCATGTTTGGCACTGTTATGGCGCATCTAGCGCCCATGATGAACACAGGATGCCCAGCATCTTCTCGAGACAAAAGGCAGAGCAGAAAAGCGGTGGACTGTTCGTCGAGAAGAGTGTAGGGATTGAGAAAGTGCTGTGTGCGAAGTGAGCTATGACGATTTATCCCGTGTAAACTGTAGATCACTCGGAACCAAAATGCGGTTTGTACAGCCTCAAGGATCGAATACCTGTCTAGCCCATATGTCAAGAAAAGCTGTAAACGGTGCGAGGTACTTTTCTTTTAGAACGTTCTGTGGAAGATTTCCTTCTGTGAAATGCTCCAGCCAAACGTTGGCAGTGGTACATTTTACCTACAGCCCTGTGCCGATTTCATCTCGGGGACCAGCAATGGCCAGCATTGATTTGAGTGCGCCTCGAAAACTAAAACCCATACACAGAGAATAGTTGGCTATTCAGTGTGCGTCAGTATGTAAAAACAAAATATAAATTGGCTGCTTGATTCGAGGCGGACATCATGGTCCAATGGCAGGCGCTTAATTTGTAGCCCGCCCTGTCCCCGATCACTCAGGGGCTACATTGCGCGAGCTCGATTAGAAGGATAGTCGCTGTGAAGACCGAAGTAACTTAGAGACAGAGGCTCTCAGACGTCAAGGCGGAAAGTACACTGACTAATGCCATACTCTCAGTACTGCTAAATAACGCCGATTTGAACACCACTAACACATAACCGCCTTACGCAGAGTTTAGCGCCCGTGCCTCGTAGGAGTGTCAGGGTTGGCTGATATGCTGTCAGTGGTCAGGTCGCGAGTTGTATAGAACATTGAAGAATCTTAATTGACATACAGCTACCGTCGGGGCCCGGAGAAACCATATTCCTCTCTGATTCAGAGTCGTTTATCTCCTCTATCCAAATCGCTACTGTACCGTCCTGCTCGGGTAGTAGTTTGGTCCTCGAACATATCCTTATAGAAAACTTCCAACCCAAAACTACTGCTCCACCTCGTACTCACTCTTATCAATAGGTTCTTTGTCAACTGACTTTGTAATCTGCTTACAATGTCCGCGAGCACGCAACCTTGGGCTACGGATTGGCAAGTCTACCGTTGCCTTGTGGTACACAAGCTTCTTGCCCAAGAGTAGTATTAATCAGCACCGAAACAAAGATTCCCTGGGCATATATAAGGATGATCTGGGGTGAAGTGACGTCTATACTATCCACCCCGCACATCTCACATCGAGTCATCATCATGGTAGCAGCAGACATCCCCTCAACAACCGCCGAACTCCTCTACTTCGAGTCTCCGCCTAATGGCGAGCGAGCATACAACCATATCAATGTCGACCCTAAGACAGGGGAGCGTCCTCGAAACTTCACGCAAGCCAAACATTCCGTCACGATCGAGAACCTTCGAGGAAAGGAGAACACTGTCTCTCTCGATACAACTGGGTTCCAGTACTATCACCACCCAGCCAAGCACACTTCCTTCAAGAACGACGAAGAGATCGAGAAGGAATACTATCCCGAGAGTATAGAACTCATCAAGCAATTGACCGGCGCTTCCAAGGTTGTCTTGTTCGATCACAGTGAGTAAATCCTGGCAATCACTCCATTGAAAACGATTACTAACTCGAATTCTTCCAGCCGTCCGCCGCAACCGCCCTGGAGAACTCGACGATGGTCCTCAGAAGCGACAGCCAGTCGCCCAGGTACACGTCGACCAGACGCCCAAGTCCGCAGTGGACCGCGTCCACCGACACCTCCCTCCTTCCGAAGCCCCAGAGCTCCTGAAGAAACGATTCCAAATCATCAACCTCTGGAGACCCATCTCTCATGCTGCATGGGATTGGCCTCTCGCTCTCTGTGACTACAGAAGCGTGGATCCAGAGAAGGATGCCCTACCTGTCGCCCTCATCTACCCCGACCGCGAAGGAGAGACATACGGCATCAAGTATAACCCCAATCATAAATGGGTGTACTTGAGGGGGATGACGCCGGAGGAACTGGTTCTGATTAAATGGTGAGTCTCTCTGCAATCTTGAAATTCTACGACGTTGACAGTCATCCCAGCTTCGATTCCAAGGAGGATGTTGCACGATTCACTCCACATACCGGGTTCCAAGACCCCGCTACACCCCCAGACGCGCCTCTCAGAGAATCGATCGAGCTCCGGGCGCTTGTCTTCTACGATTGAGCTTATCTTCTCTTGACGACTTTGCCATGTACTCCAAGCCATGATCGCTCGGAACTCATTTACTAGTACACAAGTATACAATGGGAACACTCGAGGTGAATTTACCATGACACTGAGATGCTCGGAGACGTGCGCCTCCGAGTTCTGAGTAGACAACCACCAGTGGATGGGAAGCAATAAGGTAACACTAGAAGCGCGATACGATTACCCAAATGGACGATAGTGAAAACCTAGCGGAAGAAACTCGCCATGATAGACTTTAACCGGCGAAATGATGTCTTCCCTGAATGAAATAAAAGTACAATTCTCTGTTGATGAAGGAGAAATCGAAAGCGTTAACAAGGAAGTAGGCACATAGAAGAAGATCGCCACTGATACAATGTCAAGAATTCATCAAAGTCGGTAGAGACAAAGGTATAGGGAGTAGCGAGAATTATTTCCACACATGCTTAATGAGGTCAGAACCGCGCTCTGCAATTGCGTAGACAGCGGCTTGGGTATGGGCGGAAACGATGAATGGCTTCAAAGGACCGGCGGTTAGCACGTCATTGAATTCCAGTATTAGTGCACGCACCATAATTGAAGCGTCGACGATGCGCAACCCCTTCACCTTCTTCACTCTGAGATCAGGATCCACAACACCCCATTGCGCATTCTTCGGAGACATGGAAGCAGTGCCAACAGGATGCGCACCGCTGGAGACGGCCGCCTTGATGGCCTCGTTAAGCTCCTCATCGACATCCGTATTGAAAGGCGGCTCCAGCGTTAGCTGATAGCTCTCCCATGCCGGAGCGCTAAAGAACCGCTTGGAAGCCCGAATAGTTTCTCGAAGGCCATACCAGTCAAACTCGGATTTCAACATACCGACGTCGATGAGCGGTTGATCATAGACGTTGGTCGACGCCAGTTTGACCCATCCTCCTGTGACAAGAAGGAAGGATTTAGTGGCCCATTGGAAGTACAGTGGAGGAAAGACCAACGGGATTCTAAGCTGGGTTGAACGACAACGGCACCAGCGAACATAGACGGTCCTGGAATAGGGTAATATCCCAAACCCTGCTCCCGTTTGTCTGTTCAGACGAGCAACGCTGAATGAAGGTCGAGGGACGCACCGTAATGGGTATCTCGAACTGCGGAGTGCTTCTTCCAGAAGAGGGGTCAGGATGTTGATTATAGATTGGGGAATCGTCAGGAAGTCGAATGAAGGCAGCTGAATGGGTGCGGATGTGGGTCAGTGGGCCAGTTCGCGAGTTTTGCCACTCTTGGAACCATTTCTCGGGTAGGGTGGGGTCGGCGGAGCTGAGGAAAGAGCCCAGGTTAGTCCTCGGCGCGCAGGAGGCGTGACCGACATACGAGTTGAAGGTTCCGTTGATTCCTAGTTTCCAAGACACTGCAATGGCTGGATGTTCGGTCAAGTTCTTCCCAACACTAGGGAGATCGACTTTGGGCTGAATCCCTAGTTGTTACCAATTCCCGATAAAAGGAGGACTTGGGGTGTCCCAATGGCACCTGCAGATAGGATGACTTCCTTCCTGGCCGTAATCTTCTGGATCGGCGCTTTGAAGGGTGAGCAAGTGTCCGATATGGAAACGGAGTGGGGCTTACCAGAAGGGTTCATCTCTTCCTGAAAGGCGACAGTGCGGAAGGTTGGAACATGCCCACCACCATGTCCCGTCTGGAGGAGCTTGGTAACACGATGGTTAATCAGGACGTGAAGGTTCTTCCGTTTGAGGTACCTCGGTGCCAAGTAAGCCGTTGCAGCGCTGCTCCGCTCCCCGTTGCCGATCGTATACTGTCCCCATCCTAATCACCGACAGTCCGAGTCAACGCTTGTCCTCAGCTATGTAGATGGCGAGGACACCTACCGACACCCAAGGGATCCCCACTGTTGTAATCGAGGTTCCATCGGAAGTCGCCTCCGATTTCGTCTGCAGCCTGTCTGACCTTTGCATCGGAATCGTCTGGGAAGTTCGTGAGGCTGACAAAGGTCATCCCCTTGGTGTTGTGGACCTTCGGATTGTACATCCCTGCGGTATCTACATCGCGATTTGGCTCTACCCATCGCTCGTGCTGGATAGCGCGTATTGTTAGCGCTGATGATGACACGGATAAAAATTGTCAGAGTTTACTGACCTTGAGGATGTAGGGAAAGAGCTTCTTCCAAGACCAGTTTGAGTCGCCGGTGACGGTGGCCCATCGATCGTAGTCGGAGGAAGAACCGCGGGTGTAGAACATTCCATCTATCGTTTGGTTGGATGGCGAATTCTAGAAGGATTGAGAGGAGCTCACTGTGCATGCTGCATCCCCCCAGCACCCGCGCACGCGGTACCGGAAAGACGCGGTTGTTCAGATGCGGTGTGGCGACACTCGTGTAATTGTATTCGTAGGTAGTGTTTGAGAGGTTAAACACAAACCCCGGCACTTGAGCGTCCAAAACGCCCTCGTGACTAGAGAGAAATGATTAGTAGATTCAGGCGAGTAGTAGGATCGAGAACAACAAACCTCGGGCCTGCTTCGATTACCAGGACATTGAATCGAGGGTTTTCCGTCAACCTATTCGCAACGACACATCCTGCTTGACCCCCTGGAAGACGATGAGCGAGACGAAGAGTGCAAGGAACGGTTGGTGCGCACCTCCGACAACTATAAAGTCGTAATCAGTTTTGGGGAACTTGGTAATGGAGTCCTGAATAGTCGCGAAAGCTGGCAGGGCAAGAGAAACGAGAAGAGTGACTCCTAGAGGTATGTGATTCATAATGCCAAAGAATCGCGCCCACTTTCCATGGCCCCTAAGAGCATCTGCTTATAAGCAGAACGCCCTGATATCATGTGAGGAATGGATTCATTCAACATCAGAAGGGTCAGTACCAGATGGTCAATTCAAGAACAGAGTCGACTTCGGTGCCAGTGTTAACGGTTGTTTGCAAGTCCCATAAGGCCCAAATATGATATAAGTGGCAGAAGCAAGGTGACCAAAGCAAGCCATATTAACGCCCCACCAACGTAAGATGTCCACCGACCAGACACAATGCGTACAAACCGTGGATTTTCTGGTTTTCGATGATGCATCCATCCGTTGGCAGAAAGTTGAAGGCCTATTTCCGGTACAGCGCTTTGGCCGACAAAGTTCCTAGATGTCCGACCCCAGCGCTCAGAATAGATTCATCAAGCGCCCTTCCGGTGCCAGCTGCGCGTTCCCGATGAATAATTGTGGACGCTGTCTGCCCCACAAACTGGCGTGATTCTTGTCAAGGTGGTAGTTCCTCGCTGTTTCTAAGTCCATATGGTTCCTTTCTGCGATTGGGTGCGAGTCTAGGTTCGTTTGGGCCATTTCGAGATGGTATGGGATGGTCGAAGGAAGAGTTGGACGAAGACTCGAGCGGGCTCACATGTTTTCACGGCTTTCCAACGGCTTGGTTGATTGGATCATTGGCGGGAATTGCCATGAGTTGCCACGGCCGGTTTCGAACCCCAGTGGACGCAAATCATTTGAGTTCGAGCGAGGGCGAACAGTGAAGAAGTGCGCCGAATTACTCTGCTACGCTAATGTACACAGATAGGAATTGGTGGATACTAAGTACTGATAAATAGATATAGTTACGAGGGTTAACTGAGGAAAAGGGGCTCGAGCTCAAACCTCGAAGCATAAGCAAGTAACTACTAACACTAGACGTCGATACAATAGCGAAAATTACACATGCATACATAGCACTTCCAAGTCCCTGGAATTAGCAATAGCGATCAGTAAAATAAATGGATAATAATACAACAATGCGACCCAGCAAGAGCGAGTACTTATCAGGAATTCCGAATCATTCAGTTTCATAATAACCGTCGAGTCGGCACCCTCGATGTGGACAGTAACGAATGTTCAACGCTCCGTTCCCCAAAGGCCGAGTTCCGAACGAAAGCCGTTACTCTCGCAACTCCTCAACAGACTCAATAGCGGGGATGCATTCCTCCAGGACAGGGCCCAAGGAACGGATCCACAAACGATTAGGTCCGGCAGGCATGATAAAGCGCTTTAGCGCCCACTGCGTCATAACCACGTCCGAGTCCCGGAGCTCGCTATGAAAGAGACCCTACCGACAGAGCAAAGAGTCCGTCAATATTCTGAACGCCGACGAAGATATTCGATAACTTACCGGATTCCGATTGCATTCCGGAAAGCGCAACTCGAGTGTATTCAACTGCGGAATGTTGGAAGCTAACATTCGAAGCAGGTACGGGCTCAGGACGTAGACACTAACGTCCAGGCGCTTTAACCCAATAGAATGTGCGTTGGATGCCGCGGAGGTGATGGTAAGCGGTGCGATGATGGAATGTTGTATCTGGTCAGGTGTCAGAATCCGATCTGTCAACTTGAGCGCCCGTATGGTAGTGGAGTGAAGGCGAAGGAAAGCACGCAAGGGGTCCAGGGGTGCTCGCAAAGGCCGAAGGGCGATGTCCAACGCCTCAAGTCGACGAAGAGGCGCCTGAACAGAATTCATGATGGATTGGATCCAATTCTGGGAGTCGGGTTTGGTAGGTGTTTCGCGCATTGCGGGACGGGCAGTGCGCAGCGCTAGATGTTCGAGGGTCTCGGAATGCTTGGCAAGGAATCGTGAGAAGGGGATAGGGGTAGGCAGGTGACCACCGTCGAATGGGATATTGAGGGAGAGGGAACGCAGGCGAGGGAACGTCCCCATATAGCGAAAGAGACGGCCGAGATCTAAACCTTCCGAAGGAGCGGTCGACCGAATGGACAGGGCGCGGAGGGTATCCTTCAGGTTGTGGAGGAAAACCAACCAAGCATCCAAAGTGACGTTGACCGCGTTGGAATCGAGACGTCCGGTGTCGAAGCAGACTGAGATGTACTCGAGTTCAGGGAGCCGAATCTGCGCCAAGGCTCCATAGAAGGGGAACGGTAGGTACAAGGTCAACCTACGCAGATGCATTCGCCAGTGGGACAATACTGGAACGAGGAATGCACTGAATAACTGCGGGTGGTATTCCTGCTTCCCGTCCCATTCTAGCTGGTAGCTCTGCACGGAGGATAACGCAAAAAGCATTGTCTGTACGCGTTGGATGTCTTTGGACAGACGCTTCTGGAGGCGGTGGTCCGCCTGCTTCTTTGTGTAATGAGGGTCAAAGAAGGCTGCGACGTGCGTGAGGGCGACTTCGGTGCGGCTTTGAGGAGAGGGAGTCCATGGTTGAACAAGCCAGGGCTGCAATCGAACTTGCTTGACCACATTTGCGATTGAAGGTGTTTGCCTACGAGTACTGTCAAGCAGGTGGCAGAAGGAAGCGAAAAAGTACTCACCCTATACGAGCCCATATTCGCTTGGTACGCTTGTCGGACACCGTAACGCCCAAGTGCTCGTACTTCAATTTTAGAAACCGGTCGCGAAAGACAGGATGAACGCATGCGCAGACCTGCAATTCCTCCTGGCTGAGCAACGAGGCGATCAAAGCCAAGACGTCGTCGTTCAATCGGGAAGTTTCCATTGACAAGTGGGGCGGGAAAGTGGTGCGACTGTCTCCGTCGTTCGGCCTAGGTGCGAACAGTAGCTGGAAGAAGAATGCGGGGAACAAACGAGCCTCGAGGCATTGACTCACCAACTCTGATAAGTATCTGCCGGAAAGCTGTAAGGGGAAAGCTCCGTCACGTGGGTTGAAAGTCTCTCTTCCAGTGGTGCAAGTGCAAGTTGCTGGCCGAGCTGGCACTGGTTGAGCGAGGACAGAGAGAACATCAGTGGGCGAGCCAGAGAGAGCAGCGAAGGAATGTGCTCTCTGCTGGCATTGTGGCGCGTTGGGACCCTTGGAAGCTCCAGGATTGCTAAAGGGGTCTCGCAAGCAGATTGCGAGAGACGAATGCAATACTTCAGTGCCCTCCGAGATTGCCCTGGAGCACAGAGCCAGCAGCAAGGACGTAGATTCCCCGACTGCCAGCATCCAGCCCCAATTCACCACTAGTTGGACCGCCGAAATGAACGAAACTCCCAGCTCATCAGGTCAGTTTGCTCAGTGAGACAGTTCTGCAGGAGCTCGCGGACAGTGTTCACTAGATTATCACTAAGTAATGTGTAAGTCCGATATGTCATTTAGACGAGAACACACACTCACTTCTCAGAACCAGGTCCTGCCCATAATCCCTCGCCTGTTCCACGAAATCCTGACCAACGTTGAAGGTGTAAACCGAAGAAATGGAGTGTCGCCTGCTGTGTAACGCCCGAAAGACGATATATTAGGGTCCAGTGAGATGATGGAAGTTGGTATTGAGGACCAAAGGGTGCTCTGGCAAGGATGGGTTTAGGGTTCGGTGTCTTCCGACAAAATAGGTCACGATCATGTGATCCATCAAACGCGCCCGCGACGCGTCGTTATTTAATGATACCCCTGCCCCTGAAAAAGGAATGTAGCAAAGAAGACACCGCGTAACGAGGGAAAGCTTAGCAAAGCTACGACTGCGAGCGTGATAGGGGCTGGTCTTTGTTAACATGCTAATATAAGGGCGTCCGAACGATCAAGGGTGAAACTTTCATCAGTCCCATCTTGAACCTCTGCCACCCAGTCCAACCTAATTATGACGCGACTCCCTTTCCTCATTGCGTGTCATGACGATCTCATCACACCAGACTGTATGTCAAGATCCTCCTGTAGTACTATTATACTAGGGCTGACGCGTAAATTTAGCACAGAAGGCACTGGTCATTCCGTACGGAATCTGGAGTGACCCAGCACGACTCAAAGAGGCTGACACATTTGTCACCACTTGTCGCATCGTCGAAAACCCCTTGAAGGAAGCAGATAACCCAGCCATTCATACGGCTAACGTCCTTATACGCGACTTCAAGAACCCTGACACTGCCTCGGCTGTCATTTTGCTCTTGTTTTGCCTGTGGCTCTTTACACAACTTCTTCTGGCCTTACGAGAGCTCCTTCTTCCCGGAGCTCCGCTCAGGCGTGAGCGAGGCCAATAGATCAAGACGTTACGCTCCATGGACCTCGTTAAATATGTCTTTCATGTATAGTAGTCTTTGTAATACAACTGGACCAGGGATTGAAGGGAAGAGTATTAAAGGACCCATAGTATTACTTTGAGCCTAACCCGGACAACGGAGCCCCCGAACCACAGTCAATGTCATAGTCAATGGGAAGTATAATGCAGAAAGTATGTTACTACAGGATGGGTACTACAAATCAGAGAGTGCGACCCATTCCCTGGAGTCCAACACGTCCTTGACCGCCCCTGCCGCCTTGACAAACATCTCACGAACATCGTCTCGACATATCCTCCCCAGGTACCCCTTCTCCTCCCACACCTTTGAGTCGAAACACTGCGTCAATGAAGAGACGACACGCTCCATTCGCTCTGGTCCATGTCCTTCAGATTGGAGGAACTCCGCGTACTCCTTCAAGAACTCGAGAACCTCGGGTTTATTGAAGCGCCACTTGAGCTCCGTAAATGTACACGCAAAGCCTTTGGTGCGGACGTTGAGCTTGACGGGCCACGGGAGATTGTCGATGACCTTCTCCACGTCAGCTTGATGGCCATCGTGAGGCGATGGGGCGCTTCCGAACTCCACGAAATAGCGAGTGATGCAGTTGTCGACCCTCCTTTCGAAGCCAGGGAACGTGTGATCCATGTAGACCTTTTCTCCCAAAGTTACAAGGGAGGATATTAGTTGCTTGTCGGCGAAGGTAAGATTCGAAGCCTCTTTCTTCCACTGGCCCTCGAGGCCGGTGACCTTGGCCTCGCCCTCGGCCAGCCGGGTCCGCAAATCGCGAATCTGATTGTCGTTCATCTCATTGCGTGCAGCAATTTCTCGACAAAGGCTGGCATAGTTCGAAGATACTCGAGCGTCGACCTGCAAACGTTCGTGCCTCTCCTTGTGCAGATCGTGGTGAAAGTTGGTAAGAGCGGCGTCCACAGCTGCGCGGTTGTCCTTCTCCGATTTGGAAAGCCTGGCTTCCAAAGCCTTGAGATCCTTCGCGTACGACTCTTGCAGTTGCTTGAGGTCTCTGGAATGTGTGTCTTGCACCCGCTTTATGTCTTTTGCATGTGCGCCTTTCAAATCCATGAGGTTCTTCTGCATATTGTTGACCTTCTCCTCCACGCCGTTAATAGACTGTCGTATAATCAGGATGGAAGCGCGAGAATGACGATGAAGGTCGTTCCGGACATCTAATGGAGCCCGATGTGTTAGCGCAACACTGTCTCCACTATGCCACAGAAATATACGAACTGGTTTCCGATACATGGAATGCATTTCGAAGTCTGCTGTGGAGAAGGCCCCATATAACTTCTGAGATCTTGTCCCGACACAGAAAGGCGACAGATGCGAGGAAACCGAAAAGGATGAAAGCAACGAGCGTGACCTGAAAGGCAAGATCGGACCATGTCCACGTCGGGGGTGGGCAGCTACAGACGTTCATGACATTGACCACCGGCTTGAACTCTCTCCAGGGTGCGAGTATGGCTCTGATCCAAGACATGAAAGGGAAGAAGAGTGAGGGAGCTGTGTCCCCATCCCCCATTTGATACGAACACAAATCCTTTGTTCTATGGCCTCGTGGAGGCCATCACTTTGGATTGGTAATTAGACGCGACGCGACGCGTCTCACACCCCTATTCTAATTCCCTCATTCACACACGGCCTCAAGACGAGTATAAATACAGCTCATGGATTGGCAGATATTGAACCCAAACATAAACTAAAATACGGAAATGCTAAAGATATCGAGGAACACGTACGTCCCACTCCCTCTCGTCCAGCACCTCCTTGATCGTCCCAGCTGCCTGCACAAACATCTCTCGAACGTCTTCTTCAATCTTCTCCAGGTACCCCTTCTCCTCCCAAACCTTTATGTCGAAACACTGGCCTAGTGAAAACGCCACGCGCTCCATGCGTTCGGGGCCGTGGCCTTCGTACTCCAGGAAATTGGCAGAGGCAACCAGGAAGTCGACGATGCTGGGTTCGCTGAAGTGTGACTCGGAGCGGGAGTCCGTAAACAAGACATCGAAGCCTGTAGTATAGACGTCGAAGCTGACTGGCCATGGGAGGGTGTCAATGACCTTTTGCATATTCTCCGGAGGATCACCTGATGACCTAAAATACCCAGCCATCCAGCTGTCGACCATCCTCTCAAAGCCGGGGAACTTGCGTATCGACTGTGTCTTGTACATCCGTGATCCGGTTGGATAGGAGACGCGTAGTGGCGTAGAGCTCGTCGGACGTGTCTTCCCAACGCTCCTCGCTCTCGACGATTAGCGCTTTGAGCCTCTGAACTCTGTCGTCGTCGTTTTCTCTGCGTGCGGCCATGTCTTTACATAGATCAGCGAGGCGTGTCGAGAGTTGAGCGTCGGCCGACATGCGCTCCTCCCTTTCCTTGGCCAGGTCTTCGCGAAACATCGACCGAACCGAGTCCCTCCTCGAGCGGCAATTGTCCTCCAGTCTGGTATTCAAAACCTTGATGTCCTTTGCATGACCTTCATTGAGCTCCCGGATGCTCTTTGAGTGAGTCTCCTTCAACCTCTCTATCTCCCCCGCGTGCGACTTCTTCAACTCCTTGATGGCCTTCGCCTGACTCTCCTTCAACTCCCTGATGTCCTCCTCCAGGTCCATAACGAGCTTCATGTAGGTATTCTTCATACCCTTGAGGTTATTGGCGTACGTTTTGCTGTCCTCCGTAAGCTCTATAACCCTCGCCTCTAATTCCCTTACAGTTCGCCGGAGGTCCTGGGTGGAGTTGTCAGAAAGGGACCTTAACTCATTCCTGAGCCCTTTTACAAATCGTAGTAGTGAGTAAACCCGATTCCGCTGGGCTAAAAATGAACCCACTGGCTTCGTTTTCCTCGAGCAGCTCTTTGAGCCACTTTTCCTGTGACGATTTCGATCCAGACGCGAAGGCAGCGAGGACCATGACGGCGACGATGGATGTGGAAGTATCGGAGCGCGCGGCCTGCCAGACGAGATCCCAATCCCAGCTCATGGACATGGTTACGAGTTGTGGTATGAGTCGACGGTGTAACGCGTAGAAATGGTGAAAGAGACAGTGGCGTCCTGAGTGCTAATTTGAACCCTTTGTTCTTCGTTCCATGCGGCCCATGCTTTATCGTGACACGCGTCTCGAGCCATTTGATTGGTCATTAAGAACGCGACGCGTCGCGTTCCACGCCCCTATTCTTGAACACAAAGGAAAGATGCGACAGTTGAATGGCGGTGGAAAGTAAGCGATATAAATTTAGGAGGTTTAAAGTCAAGAGTTAAACGGAAAAAAAAGAAAAAGAAAAGATGGAGTATGTAAGTTGTGGATACGCGGAATTCTAATGCTACACGAACTACGCTTCTAAGTAAGATCGAGAGTCCAAGATTCCCTTCACGACGCCTGCATTAGATTCGAATCGCGCCCTGAATCTAGGCTCAGTCGTGTCATTGATATGACCCCTGCTAATCCACACAGCCCCATCAAAGCAGGTAGTCTGCAGCGAGTGAACGACTCGTTCGAAGCGCTCAGCCTGACCCAGCCCACGCATGTAAGCACGGTACTCCCTCAAGAACCTCCGAACATCGTCCTCGTTAACCGCCGATGTGAAGAAACTGTACTCGGTGAAGTCGAGTGTCGCGGGCCAGGGAAGAGAGAAGATTGTGTCTTCAAGGTCATTTGCGTGAATGGTTCGCGAGATAGTAGAGAGGGCAATGTCGACGCTGCGCTCGAAACCTCCGAACTTCCGATACCGATCGAAGGTGCTCTTGAGGCGCTCAAAACGTCTTGTCAGCTGCGAGGTGTCTTCCTCATTGTCGAGAATCATTGATCTTTGCCTTGAAGACGTTTCTTGGAGCGAGGAAATCTCCCTTCAGCCTTTAACAGGCGTTCCTCCAGAGTACGGATGGTGTCGCGCGAGTCCTTTGCGTCGCGTGCTCGCCCCTCAGTTTCTTCAGCCACTTGCTTCTGAAGCTTGGTAACCTCTGAGAACACGTGGATTGCACGTCAGTTGGACACAAGGGACAAAGGCGAAGACATACATACCATCCTTCAACTCGTCAAAACCCGTCAATTTAATCTCAACCGACATGCGACTCCCAGGGACAGCCTCGAGAGGTGGTTCTACAGCTAAAGAGGTCAGTGCCACAGTCGTCGCAATAATCGAATATAACACATACTTTTACAGGCCCCCGTACACTTTACCTTCCTCTTTCCCTTTGACAACAACGCAAACACCACGAACACCAGAAGGGATACCAAAACAACGCCAATGGTCATTAACGCAATCGGCATTAGGCCAATGACTGGAACGGCGCCGCAGTTGAGGATTTCGTCGAACTCCTCCATGATATTAGCGTCTACGAGAGATTCGAGTACGTGGGCGGTGGAAGTCATGAAGTGGAAGAGGCGAGTGAAAGGACTCAAAGGATCTTATAGCTCTCGCCCACGCGCCTCTTGTTTGTTCTCCAAGCAAATAAAGCGAGCCGCGAGGCAAAACTCAGGGTGGTCCTTCCCGGTAACCATCTGCCCAGTCAGTCACAAAGAGGTGTAGATTTACTCTTTCTACACGAATGCGTCAGACAGGGTGGACCATTGCCCAACCCTTGGTATGCAGGGGACGAAGGACCTGCGAGTCAATTGAACGCGTCCTAATTAACGACGCGTCGCGCCAAGAAGCCCCTGTTCCAGAGATTCGGAACCGCGGGACAAAGGTCCGTGCTCTCGCGCTTGACCCTACTACAGTAAGGCGAAGGCCACAGTTAAGGTGTGCAGTCCGGCTTTGAATGAAAATGGCGCGAAGAGATACAAATGCACTCAATTTTCAAGGCCGAACCCATTTCACTTGGGATATCGCGAGGAAGAACCCTTCTAACTTGCCCCTAGTATCTCGTCATCCTTCATCAGGGGTTCTCTCAGAACCTTCAAGGCCCGAAATTTTAAAAGACAACGGCGTCCCAGAAGGAATAACGATATGAATTATTGCTGTAAAGATAACGTCGTCGATACTAAGCTAGTCCATTGAAACAATGACCCAAAACACACGAGATTAAGTTAGAAATAACTGACACAGTGGCATAAATATCAAGAAAAACACGAACTACAAAATCCCTTCAATGTCCAACAACGTGGTATTACCATGCTCGGATACCCAACTCATCAATTCCCAGTTATCCTCAGGCCACATCAAAAAATATCCATCAAAGCTTCGCACTGGAAAAGTTCTGCTCCGACCTCCTCAACCCCAACCCCCTCGTAAACACCGCACTCATCCTCCTTGCCCTGCCTACCCTCTCCGGTTGAATATCTGGTGTAAAGGACAGCCTCTCATCTTCTCTCCGAGTACTTGCCTGCCTTCGTAAAGGCAGAAGAGCTTCCCTGCGGTTACCATCCGACGGCCATCTAGATTGAACATCCTCCACCTGGGTTAAACCTTCATCAACCTTGCCCCACACCCCACTCGCACGACCCCCGTTATCGAGACGCAAAACACCCGTCTTTGGTCTTTTCCCTGTCCTAGTGCCATGATCATGGTCGCGAGTGGGTAGCGTGATCGTCGACACGCAGCGGGGGCGACTCAGCCCTGGATGAGGGTGGGGGTTGGTATTGGCTCTGGTGTTAATGTCGACACCGGTATTGGGACGACTGAGAGCAGAAGTGGGATAGGGATAAACGGAGGAAGTAGGAATTGGAAGCGGCGTAGGAGCCCTCGAAAGCGAATGACGCCGGTAATGCACAGCAGAGCTCGGATCCAAGTCAGGCGGGATCACCATGGGATGGAAACTAGGCGACGGCGGCATCGCCAACGGCATACTCACAAACTTCGGGGAAGGCGAAGGCGGTGGTTCCATCGGCATATTCGCAAACTTCGGTGAGGGAGGCATGGGCATCGAAACGAACTTGGGCGAAGGAGATGGAGGGATTGGCATGTTCACAAACTTTGGAGAAGGCGAGGAAGGCATGGGCATGGGAGAAATGCTAGGGGAAGGAGGCACCATCGACGAAGCTACACTATCCTGCCTCAGATGCACATGCGACGAGTGTCGATAGAATCGAGTTGGCGGCGGGTAATCAGGGGATTCGGGAGTAGGTAGCTGGTGGTTCTCGCGTGGATGGACCTGGTACTGAGTCTGTCTCCCAGGAGGGCCAACCTGTTCCGATGTAGGCAGAGGTTGTTGTACCCGAGGGAAAGGCAGAGGTGGGACGTCCGGCAGAACCTCAGCCGCGGGCTCAGAAAAGGACATCCTCCTAATCCTCGACAAACTCGCCAACGAAACGTGCCTTCTGATCGTCTTCCTGAACGAACTCTCCCTCTCCTGCTTATGCTGGGCAGTAGGCAGGGAAGGAAACGAGACCTGAGACTTCAGTTGAGCCGAAGTTGAAGTTGAAGAAGGCGCTGGTCCAGGTGGTGGATGTGCATCAATCTCCACCTGCGAAGCCGACTCGGACGCATATGAAGCCAACGGCATCGACAAAGGGGATGGCCTCTTCTTGGGAGGTCGCTCAGGAGGCGCGGTCGTCGTAATCGTTCGTGTCAAAGGCGGAAGATTCGAAGAACCACTCGAACTCGACGACGATCCCATTCCCGAACCCAAAGCCGAGGTGCGCCGATACCTCCTCACGCCCCCTCCCAAACGCGCCAAAACGTCCTTGACAGACGCCAGCTCCATCCTCGAGCCAAACGTCGGCGTGGGCGTGCTACATCGAAGGGGTGGCATCGGTGTAGGCGTGGGCGTGTTGTATCGATTAGATGCACCGACAGTCGCCCCTACTTCATGATCTTCGGTGCCGAGAGCGGAATCATAACTTGGCTCCTCGCTATCCTTCTCCTTCCCCAGACCCAACTTTTTCTTCGTCTGCTCAATCGAGGATGCGAGGATAGCCGAGATGGACGAGTCTTTCCTAACGCGAGGTTTCTTCTGTTGATGTGAATGCCACTGCAGCCGCTCCTCCTGGCGCTCGTTCTGCTGCTGCAGTTTCTCCCGAGCTTGAAGTTCCTGATACAGTTGCTGCTCTTCCCGTCCCTGCTCCCAACTCTGCTGTTGTATCTCCTGCTCCTGTACCCGATCCCGTTGCCGTCCCTGTGGCGGACGCTTCTCCCTAGGCGGCCTCCTCATCGACCCAACACCCGGAATGGGACAAGGCAAAGCAACGATATGCCCAAAATGCGACCCAGGCGCTTGTGTCACTCGTACCACCCTCCACCCGGCGGATCGTGTAAGCGCAACGATCTCCCGCAGGGTCCGTTCTTGCGAGTTGAACATCGCGTTCATCTGCCAAGGGAGCCGGAAGGAATTAGCATTTGTCTCATAGATCCATGGATGCCCCGTGATAGATTGCTACGCACCGTCATATCCATCCAATACACGTTCGCACTCGCTTTACCAAGGTTGGGTAACAACGGCGCCGGCGCAGAACCATACTCCTGTCCCTGAGTCCCACCACCACCACCTCCAACCGAGACACCTTCAATCCCACTCAACCCACTCTCACTACCTCCAGTCTCCTTACACGCCAACGGCAGCACAAAATCAGCAAGCAGAAGCTTCGTATTGTCCTCCTCGTGAATCTGGTCGTCCCGTGCAGCACGTCGAAGGTGCAGGAGGATCTTGCGCGCGTAGTTGTCTGGCCAGTCGTGAAGAACTACGCGTAGGAGGAAGAGGGAAGCGTTCTGGATTGGCTGAGGTGTGAAGAAATCGTGGACTGGTGGGTTAGGAGTACGTTAGTCGCATTGTAGAAATGATTCGGATGGTTTGAGCGTACCTTGAAACCGAGCTAAGCCAGACTCTAGAAGTTCAGGACACTTCTCCCTCCACGCCTAAACGCAAAAAAAAATTGAAACCCGAATGGTTTAGCACTGTCTATACACTTAACTCAGCAGCAATATAGAAATCATACACACCTTTTCCCCCATCTCAACAACCACAGACCGATCCTGAATAACAAACTTCAAACCACGGTTCTCCCCCTCAGAAGACGAAAACGCCGAAGCGAGGAGCATACTCGTCGATCCTATTCCACCTCCCACATCGACGATGATGCTTCCGCGAGGCAGGCTTCTCCAGTCGAATGCTATGAAAAGAATAGGAGTCAGTTTCGATTCGCCGAAAGTATAAGAAAGCAAACGGGTGAACTTACCATTGAAGATCGCACCGGGCGCCTCCCACGAACCCGTTCCCGACATAGCCTTACCAAATCTCTCCAACCTGAACCGGTTGGGATTACCTGACCTGATATCGATGATAGAAGACGGGGCACGGGTATGCGAAGGAACATTATCTCGAGTCCCAGCGGCGCTGTTGTGAGTCGGTGTAGTCTGACAACCGTCAGGAAGAGAGTTTTGCGCGTCCGACGATAAATTGGATGGCCGTGATGGAGGAGCATGCGTCGATGCTCTTCCATCCCTACAACCAAGCACGACGGAATCAGATCAACCACAGTCCAAAAAGCAAGATTAGGAAAAGAACTTCTACATACCCAGACGGATCACACCGATCCTCACCGGCAGCACTTCCATCCCTCGCACCACGAACATCTGCATTCCCATCTTCATTACGAAGATCATGCTTCCCATCTTCCCCATCCACTCGTAACCCCAACTTCCGATCCTCGCCCTCCAACCACCCAAAATAGTCCACCCCAAGGTGGGCAGTCCCAAACGCCAAACAGAACGGCGCAAGCGTCGGCTCGTTGGCGCGTCGGACCCTGGAGGAGGAGGAGAGGAGGTAGGCTTCGGTCATGTATGCTGAGGCTTTGTTTATTTCGTCAGAGCTGAAGGGTTGGGGTGTAAATTTGAGTCAGAATAAGGACCATGTTGTGGGGCGAGGAGGGAGAGTACGTACCATAATCCAACAAAGGCTGCGATACCGTTCGTTCCTTGATACTTCAGTTCAGGCCTAAGCAAACGGGGCCAAGTGGTTGGACTCATAAACGGTAGTGAGATACTGAGGAGGCTCACCGTCCCAGAGCATGATACTCCCTCAACTCCCTGATACTCTTCCCCGAATCCATAAGCGACGATATCCGATTCAGCCCAAACACATTCGGAGAAATCTCCCGAAAAATATGATGCGTCGCCAACAGTCGAAGAACATGTGCTACAATCCCCCTCAGCTTCGACTCCAACGACGGAACACAGTAAAAGAAAGAAAAGACGCACCCAGCTTGCCAGCCTCAACACCACACCTCTCCGAAAGCACCTCAACATGTAACCCATCACACCCACTATCACGTATAACCTCCACAACATGCGCAGCTTCCACCAGGCGCATGCACGAAGGTAAATGGTACTATGTCCACCGACAATCAGCTTAACTTCACCCTTATCAGCAAATGAGAAAACATCCACTCACCCCCATAGTCGAATCACAAATCGTCAAAAAGGGCGTCTGCACTGTCGCAGCCATCTGCCCACACGCACCAACGATACGATTAACAGCAGCCATAACCTTCGGATCCGAGGTCATCACCTCCGCAGGGGAGGTAGGATCGCAAGGGGCGTCAAGGGACGGAAAGTCGAGGAGCGGCGGGGGTACCGGGGGTAGATCAGCCGTGGGGCCACTGGCAGTGGCCGCAGTGCCAGGGATGATACCAGACGCCCGACGACACAGATCCGAATGCGTAGGCACACACGGGGACGGTGGTGGTGAGACATAGGCCCGGGCGATGATCGCGTTCATCGACCCCGCCGACCTTGTCGTTTTGTGCGTGGGGCCCTGGCCTAGCTGAGCCGACGAGCCACGCGTTGGCGCAGGGTACGGCGTAGGTATAGGCATAGGCTCATACTCGCAATCTCCGTAAACGTCGTCGACGTCGCTCGCCACCGTATCAGGTCGATAAGAATGATAAACTTGCTCGATGTCGTCCAGCGCCTCGCCGATGATGTTATGCAGCGCTCGGAGAGCCGCGAACGTCATAGCTGTTGTCGGTGTCGACGACCACCTACTACTACGACGACAGGGTAGAGTATCAGTTTCAGCTGGGGTTAGACAAGACGACGGGTGAAAACGAAAACGACCCACAATCCCCCAAGCAAAAACCTTTTCAGAAAAAGGACGGTGCGCCAAACGCCGTAACGGCGGACTCCCCAAACCCAAATCAAAAAAGCCAAAATCAAGGGCATCTCAAATCAAAGCACCGATGCGGTTTCGATGCATCATTATTGACGCTGTGGCAAAGATGTCAGTCAAAAATGTCAAGTCCAAGTCAATGTAAGTAAAGCTTGCTTACTTACCTCTCCATTTTCCATCCTTTCTCGCGCCTGCGTATCCAATTGTACTCACTCCACCACTCGCCCATATTCCACCCCACCGGCAAGCTTGAATACAAACCCTACAGAAATACCTTAACCTTCACCCCTCCCGGTCTTTCGAAAAAATCGGCTTTCAAAATAGGCTATTATTAGGATCGCAAGGGGTTAGCTTTTGACGATCTCATCTCCATCACAGAGAAGTAGAAGTGAAGCTTTTGAAGTGAAAGAACCCAGAGAAGACACAGTGAAGCAAGGGAACTCGCCCTTCGCCGATCGTCGCCCCCACCAGAATCCGAAACCCGAGCGCCGAGCCGTCGCAAGGGAGATTGATTCGTCGTCCGAAAGCAGGCACATAGATTCGAAAAAAGTTGCTCCCAAGATGAAAGCGTCGTTCCCAACAGTCTGAGGAAGTTCGAACTTCGAATCCAGGAGGCCAAGGATCCATAGAGTCCGATCGACTCGCCATTCGGTTGTCACTGTACAGTACGTGCAGTCAGAGGACGAGGTAACATCGCAAATAGCCTCGAGTCTCGACACCAATCCGTAAGGCACGCGAGCAAGGAGCTCAAACGAGCGGGAAGGTCCAGGGGACAATCGATCCATGTGTAGAGTATTCCATTCGCCATGCCATCGGTCCCAGCCTGTACGGACTGTCGGGCCCTAAATCAGCGGGCTTCTGGCTGCATGCACGACGTCGACGTCTCTCAGCCCTGTCTACTTACCAACTCCCAACTCCGACGCCCTGGCCAAGAGATTAAAAACCTGCCTTCAGGAAGAAGTCCACTTGCCTAATTCGTCGTCAACCTTTCCCCATCCGGGAGTGAGCGAGCAAGTGAGTCTGACATTGACATTGTCCAACGCTGACAGTCGCACTCTACGATGTGTTGACGTACATAGTCCTGTCTGGACATATGCTTGACCGGTCTGACACTCTGACCGCTCAAGACCCTGCAAGTGACCGTTGACGCGCGTCAAGCCGTGAATGAGTGCACGTTGTCCAACTTGAATGAACCTGAACTTGGACGTACTGTAAGTCCAACCCGTACCTGGCTATGACGTGGCATGGTCGAATGGGACAGTGTCCGTTGTATCAGGTCCCGTCGGTACAGAAGGATTTATCGGCGCGCAAGGGACGAGTTAGGCATAAGTTACCGATACCCCGCTCGAAATTCCAGATCGAACATCGGTTTATCCTGCAGATAAGACAGTAATAAGTAAAGATTCTGCATTCAACTAGGTAAATGCAGACTGAGGAGATGATCCATACCGTCGCCCAAGAAGTAGTAATCCAGGCGGTCACCGTCAGCCGGACCCAATCTCCACTGCGAGCAAGTCCAAGTCCGTTCGAGGATGAAGCCAAACCCAAACCCCAAACCCGTAACTCGAAAATCCCCAACCTTGGGACTCGCACATCCAAAGACAATTAAAAGCTAGACCCCGAAAATCCTATTCTCGAGGATCACCCGGTCAATCACTATTACCCCTACCTTAATTCTAGTCGACAGCGAAAAAAGCCTATTCAGCGGTGATGTGGAGTCGGCGGTGAGATATTCGAATCGGCAGAGAAGTAGCGGACTCACCAGTGAGGCCTTGATGCCTGAGGCAGTCGAGTGAGTCAAGAGTGAGAAAGTCTAGACAACAGCGAGAGCAGCGAAAAGGTAGGAGCAAAGAAAGTAGGCTTGGTTTTCCCGCCACTCACCAATGAAAGATAACAGCGACAGCAGACAGCGTCAATGAACCTTCCTTGACCACTTCCCCGCCGTTATCGTTGTGAGACCGAGTTCGAGTAATGAGGAGCGCGGGAGAACTTCATCCTTCCAATATATGCACACCGACTCCAGCGGATAGAGCGCACCCTTTAGAATCCGAGGACACGAAATGTTTATTCGGCACTCTGCCTGTCACCACCTGGGGGCAGTCTCGAAGTTGGCCGGCGCCTGTGCCAGCACGCATAAAAGCTTGTGATTGAAACTCTAGAGCCTAGATTTTGAAGTTTCGTGCGGTGGCGGCGGATTCAGGCCGACCACGGTAATTTTCGCTGTAGTTTCGAGTACCAGATGAGGTGAGAAATGGGTCGAAGGCCGATGGTTGTGTGGCTGTAACCTCTAGGAAGACCTGACGGACATTGGAGAAGTAACAAGCACTGGATGAGAAGGGCTTGGCCATCTCAACGCAGAGGATTGGGTACTCGTGTTCGTGTTCGTTGTGTGGCTGCAGAGGTTTGAAAGCGAAGCCCTGAACGGTCGGGTGGCTGAAGGAGAACTGGATCGTTCAAAATTCAATGGTTGGGTGGCTGGAGAAGCCTTGTGCTTGGGATCTCTCGGGCCTTGATAGTTGGGTGGCTGAACAAAGTTCAGAGCGTCAAAGTATATGGGAAAGATCGAGGTATGGCCTTTTGCGTTCATAGGTGATCACGGAAGCAGGTTGGGCATCCAGAGCATGTACAAGCATCGCCGTTGCTGAGACCCCAAAGTGTGCGATGTTGCGTCAATGCCCAAGAAATGTATGTCACCCCGTCATAGAAATCCTATTGGATGAAGCACAGGACACCCTAATCCTGAGACAGGCAGTCAGCGCCCGTGCCTAGGGAGACGTCACCGAGCGCGCATCGCTCGAAAAACACCTCCAGGTTCAAATCGAATGTTCTGATTCTGCCCTCCTCCGGAACACGACGGGGTTTAGAGTCACCGGCTTTCAAGAGTCACTGGTCATGCAAGAGATGCTAGAAGACCAGAGTTTACTCACCGGTATGTACACCGGTGTACGGCGACGTCGACAGCCCTTGTCGTTCAGCTGTCCACAAGTTCGTGCCTGGCTTCCAAGGAGGGTGGTGAGGATGATCGTGGTGCAGGGCCTAACAAAACAGAGCAAGTCGAGGACAGGATTTGGTTTATCACAGAAGTCCGGAGAAATGCCTTCGGGAGGAACACGGCGAGAGTCAAAGAAGAGACTGTGCGTCACGGGTCTCTGGTCTGGAGGACGCTGTATCATTATGCCTTCAACTGGAGAAACGGGTGCCAAGCGTCGTCAATCGATAGCGGTGTTACGTTGTTCAGTCAACCAGAGCAAATTCTCCAGTAGCCCGTGAAAAGTTCCTTGTTGTTCATCGTCGTGAGCGACGACGTCCACGACGAAAACCGATCGCGGTGTTTGTCGCTATTATGCAGCAGCCTCCCATCCCGAAGCCGTGGAACCGCGAGACGCCGCTGACGGCTGGCCTCCTCCCCTCAGGCACGACTCATCTCGCGGGTAAACGTGCCCCATTTATCATCTCCCACACTGGATCCAGCCCAGCCTCCGAGTTCGAGTAGCCCGAGTACGAGTTCGAGTTCGAGGAGTCAGAGTACGCAGGAGCAGGTGCCCCAACAACCAAAGACGACCACGAACAACGCCATGTCGCGCTTCCTGCCGTCTCTGGAAGGGTTTGTGAAGGTGTGTGGTATTCATCTGCTTGGTTAGCGTGTTTCTGATTGCTGGGTGGGGGTAGGGAACGGCGGCGACGGCGGCTACGTTATCCACTGTTGGTGTGTATAGATCATGTCGTTGTGTGGAAAGCGTCCATGAATTGTGGTGTGATAGGTGCTGGACTGTTGTGGTACGGCCAGAACTACCTCATATACCCCTCGGCATTTCCCCCAGGATCAAGAACAGGTTGGTCCATCCTCACCACCTCCCCTCCACACCATAACTCAACGTACCATGTCCACCAGAGGTCGCAAACCCAGGCCAATTTGGCATGCCCTACGAAGATCTCGAGTTGAAGACACCAGACGGCGTGATACTCAGGTGCTACCTCCTGCCCCAGCGAAAAGACCTCTCGAGTCACCCAGAAGCTACTTATCTCGATGAAGACTTTGCCTCGGACGAAGAAGTGCGTCTTCAGTGTTGTAGTGTGCGGCGCAGTTCTTACATTCGTGCAACTAGATCATCGCGAGCCGGCCGACTGTTATCATGTTCCACGGGAATGGCGGGAACCACGGACACCGAATACCACTCGCCAAGGTGTTCTACATGAGGATGCGGTGTAATGTGTTCATGATGTCCTACAGAGGGTGCGTACACATCTATCTCTCCCCACACTATTTCCTGAAACCAACTCGCTCGTGCAGGTACGGACTGTCAGAAGGATCCCCGTCTGAAAAGGGTGCGTCTCTCTGGCCTTGGTTGCCCTAACCACGCCCGAAGCCTCGCCATGACGTCTAACCACACGACACCCTAAATTGCAGGGCTCCAAATTGATGCCCAGACAGCCCTCGACTACCTCACTGGCGACCCTGTCTTCTCGAAGACACCGATCGTGCGTAAAACCCACAGAACCGTGTAGCCAGCTTCGTCTCACGCCCGGCCGACAGATTCTGTATGGTCAGTCAATAGGAGGGGCTGTTTCTATAGACCTTGCAAGTCGGAACCCGAGCAAGGTTCGTCCACCTTACCTCCTCTCCCTAAAAACCTTTACCTACTCAACCAACCTTCTCCCACAGATTGCAGCTCTCATCCTCGAAAATACCTTCACCTCCCTGCCCAACCTAATCCCACACGCCCTCCCCGCTCTCTCCTCCGTCTCCTTCCTCTGCCACCAGAAATGGGACTCGATAAACAAGATACCCCTTATACCCGCTACGACGCCTATACTGATGTTGAGCGGGATGTTAGATGAAATTGTGCCGAAGGAGCATATGCGGGCGCTTTGGGAGGCGGTTGCTAAGCGTGGGGAGAAGAAGGGGAAGAATGGTGGGAATGGAGGTAGCGGTAGTGGGAGTGAGAGCGAGCAGCCTGGCCTGGAGAGGGCGAAGTATATGGAGTTTGATCTTGGTGGTCATAGTGCGTACTCTCTTCCCGTTCATTCGTTGGAGTTGTGGCATTTACTGAACTCTTAATTCCAATTTGTGGCGTAGACGACACCTGCGTTCAACCAGGCTACTGGGCTGCGATCATCGAGTTTGTGAATAGTCTTGGCAAGTGCGCGCAGCCGAGGGAGAAACCTGAAGTTCAGACGACGAGACGAACGACGCCTTCGAGTACGCTTTCGAAGCCGTCCTTATAGGTGGATACGGTGGGACTGCACTTTCGTACTCAGATCTTGACGCTAATGTTAAGTTCTTTACTTTTTGACTTTACACGGCATCCAACTACCTACGTACCTCCCTTAGTCTTTTGGAGTTCCATTTTCTTGATTTGTAGCACATGCTCTCTTTGTACCCGTACTCTCGACCCTTTATATCCCCTTCGCGCTCTGTACTTTATGATTTTTGAGCACTTTTTTTTGTTCGTGTTTCAGTACACAGTACGATTGGTACATAGATCCACGTTCCACTTGGTACGCCTCGGTCTGGTTTGTGAGTGTCTAGCTGGAGTGGTGATCGCCAAAGGCGACAGGGGCATCTGGTTCTTGGCACGACGCGTCAGGCGTCGGTCCACCACGCGCCGCGGCGAGGGCGGGAACATTAGGTCAGCACCGCCGATGCCGCTGCTCCCCATTACTTGATGGCCTTCAAATTCACTTGTGGGAAGCGGCCGCCAGGCGCCGTGTTTCCGAGCCAGAATGGCCCGCACTAGATCTACTACGCCTCACGCGCACTGCGCAAGCCGCTGAGAGCGTTGGATCAGAGACCGGCAACTGTCAGTGAGCTACAGGAAGGAAATGAAATATCTCAGAAGGGCTTACCAGCACTGCGCTGCATTGCTCATGCGCACTGCGCAAGCTGCTGTTTGCTTATATTCCGTCTGGCCTTTGCGATAGGCTCGTTCTAAGGATTATTTACCCTCAATGCCATCACTCGCAAATCCATTGAGTAGCGCTTGGAGGGATGGCTCCCGGAGATTTATACCAAAACAAGTAACTTCGGAGATCCGATCACCGAGTGCCGGTCGAACGTAGGTTGATGCTGCTGTCTGAATGAACCCGATCCATTCTGGCTCGGAAGGGCACGGACAGCAGAAAAGAGACAAATGCGGGCAGAAAGGGAAAAAAAAACGCGGGCGAAGGCGATGAGGCACAGCGACGCACGAAAAAATAACGCTGGTTGGGGCGGGCATGGCGACAGACGCAGTGATGCTACAGGATCAACTCCGGGGAGAGAGCCGAGGGCCGGTGGGAGGGTCGCTGATGGTGCTGTACAAATGAACCCGATCCATTCTGGCTCGGAATTCTTTTTCATTTTGACCACGGATGTCCTCTTACATCGAACGAATGAGCGCTCAGAAATGCATTGCCGACTGCCCATGCCGACCTGTCGTTGGCTTGAAACCCGGGTTCGAAACCGCGACCGGGCCCATCAGTGACCTCATCAACCCGCTCTGGGCCGGGGAAGGCAATACCGAAGACTTTTCTCCCTTCTTTCATCCCACCCAGGGCGAATGGCCAACCTGACCTGCGCTGCACGATGGCACATTGGGAAGAGCGCGAACTTTACACAGCTACTCCAGTACAAGAATAGTACAAAGAATTACTCGTGGGACAAACGGCGGCCACCAATGTATTTTCGTCGACGCAGAGGAAGACCAGTACGTACAGAATACCACTGAGTTGGAATGTCCGGCGTTGCCGGAAGTCCGGCAGAGCGGCAGCGTCCGTGAGTCCGGCCGTCCGGCCACGGTCTAACAACGTTTCCAACGCGTTTCGCTGCGCCTGGGGCCGTCCACCTAGCTAAACGCTATGACAGGTGTACCCAGTGCCCAGTAGACTAGAAATAACAACCTATATAACCCACCGGTACGTGCTACCCCTGGGTTTAGCGCTCGCGACATGTTCGTGTGCCTTGGAGCGGCTGGCTGATTAGTCAGTCCCCGCCCGCTCCAGGTAAATTCGATCCAGCACCCACTGGGAAGCCTCAGTCCCGTTAGAAATATGTCGGACAGGCCCAAGTAGGCATACCTAGGCAAGCTGCTTCCAGTGTACGCCTCTGGATCCCGGGAGCCTCAATTTCGCCCCTTGAATCCGTGCTGACTAATCCCGCGCCTTCGAAGCCTCTGTTGGCCGCTGTCTAGATCTAAATAACTGCCCAGAAACCTCATACCTACTCGTAACTCGTAAGTACCCTCGCGTCTCTCCCGTTTTCTTCTCTATTCAGCCTTGCCAGACTGCCGGACCACCCCCTGCCGGACGCCCGGACTGACTGACTGCCGGTCATTCCAATTCCCAAGTGTTCTCAGTACGTACGGAGCGCGTCATGGAGCTCAGATTCGGGTCACACTGGGCACTGCACTGGGGCATCTTGGATCTTGGTCTAACAAAGTGCGGTCCCGGAAACAGGCTTTGGACTCGAATCTGTCAGCGTATGAAATCCGTAATCCACGGTTGGCACGCGGTCACGTCTGGTCATTGAAATTCGTCATCTTACATTGGTTGGGGCGTTCCCATATGGCTTGCTTCTGCCCTCCTCTTGTCTCTGCCTTTAATTTTAGACCTGGGTCTCATGGTCCTTGCGAACCACAGAAGCTGGCACCGGCTCCAACGGAGAGCCTGCTTTTGCTCTCACCGTCTACATTCTGGCTCTTCTGATGAACGAACACTTTTACACCGCCCATTATCTTCTCCGACTAGAGTCTGGTTCACGAGACCAGGCATATCAAGTCTTTCTGTTTATAAAAGAGTGAGACTCGTAGATATTAGAAGGTGAGCGCGGTTCCTTACCATGATGAACCGCATCTCGGCACTCGCTCTTCTGGTTTGTCTCGCTCTTCCAGCTTTCGCGACGATTCAGGACTCCATTACCAAGTTCCCCAAAACTGACTACGACTTTGTAATAGTCGGAGGTGCGTACAGTATCCACCGTGCCTTGCACCCTTTGTCCTCACCCATCGTCTTCCAGGAGGCCAGGCGGGATGCGTAGTGGCTAACAGACTAACGGAAAACCCTCGATTCAACGTCCTGGTCATCGAGGCAGGCCCGAGGTTTGTTGTTCATCTCGATGAGTCTACTCGAACGAACTTACTGGCCATTCATTAATATTCATTCTGAATCCTCCAGCCACGAGAACGTCTTGAACGCGCAAGTACCGGGGTTTAGTCTTGAACTCCGAAATACCACCTACGATTACAACTACACGAGTACACCTGTACCGCATCTCAACAACCGAGTTTTTTCGGTGACCCGTGGGCGGATTCTGGGGGGCTGTAGCTCGCACAGTGAGAATTCAATGGCTCGGCTTGTTTTGAAATTCCGTATTCACCAACCTCGTCGATTGTAGATGGGATGTTCTACACCCGTGGTTCTTCCTCTGACTATGATCGATGGGCTACCGTCACCGGTGACCCAGGGTGGTCTTGGAAGAAACTCTTTCCCTACATTCTCAAGGTCAGCACGTTGATGTTTTTTTTTGGAAGTCGTGCCGTCAGCACTAACACAACGCCGTTATCCAGAACGAACGTTGGGTTAAGCCAAATCGCGATGTGGATATCACAGGGATGTACGACCCAAAGGTCCACAACACCAAGGGGATGACCTTTGTCAGCCTCACGAACTTCCCAGACGATTCCGATGCAAAGATCAGGCAGGCTGCAGACGAAATTGGAGGCGATTTCGGATGGAACGTGGATTACAATAGTGGGGATCCCTTGGGTGTCGGATAATTCTATTGAGAAACCCGGTATGAGCCTAGAAACCCGGGTCTACTGGGCACCCTGGGGTCCCAACGACTTTTACTCACCGGCGCCCTTATCGCCAGACCCCCGATGGCTCTTCCGTCATTGATGAATGGTGGCCGAGACTTTGAGCCATACCGTCCGTGTCTGATATGTCGGTGATCCGGAGGCTGGCTGGTCCTAATACTAGGTACTGTCATCGCACCATACCTCGGCCACCCCCATCTTTCGGCCACTGTCACAAATGTCACATCCGGCATTAGCCTGCCGCTCAGGCTATAATTGAAACTCCGAGCTTTCGTCCACAGAAGACGCGTCGGAGACCGTAAATCGACCAGATGTTCCCACAATTTCGTCCTGTTATCAGCGGCTCCTTCGGCCAGGCGTGACAAAGCGTGACATTTACCCCTCCTCCAGAAACCTCACTTCCTCCTCGATTTCGCTCAAATAAAACTCACTTTCATCATTAATACGTACAGGATAGGCCGTATCTACAGAAATTTTGAAAGAAATTGACCGACTTTGAGGAGATCTGGAAAAGTGGCCGAAAGATGGGGGTGGCCGAGGTATGGTGCGATGACAGTACCGGGAGATGCAGAAAGTCGACGTTTGATGTAAGTCTAAGTGGAGACAGCTCCACTTGAGAGGAGAGTCCCAATGCTGGTTCTCCTTATTCCAAATTAGGATGTTGGGTGCTTGAATCGCGTCGAATAGAATCATTCGACGAGGCTCGGGGCCATGGTCATTTTTCTGGCGTGTAGGACCACAGTATCTCTAACATAATATGGGAGCCAATCATGCAACTTACACACCATTTCTTTTGTGTAATGCGCAGCCTCAACCAGTGGAATTTTTTTCCCGCGTAAAAATTATGTTTAAAGAGTGAGATTTATAAGGGTTGCGAGTGCCCCAGGACATGGCTACTCGAAATGCCGATGTACAAGCCGTGTTAGGTGGGAGACGATGTGGTATAGGTCGGGAACATGGTCACAATCAGACCCAAGTCGTACATGATTTAGCGTGTTTATTATCCGTAGTGGGGACTCTGTTATGATCCAATATCTCCTTTCCTTCGATTTGGTGCTAGATAGCGGTACGGGTGACTACTGAATCAACGAGGCCCGGGCGCTTATTAACCTAAGGGCCGACGGCCATCAGTCACCATACTACCGACGTTCCCCGCAGGTACGGAGAGTTCGGCCGGCACGGTGCCCTCGAAGAACCCTCGCATACCGGGGTTCTTATCGAGAAACCCCTCATACCGGGTTTCTCAATAGAATTATCCTTGGGTGTCGGTCAGTGTCATTGGATATCTATCGAGCCGAGCACAAGCGCTGACTCGACTATCGATGACTAGGATGGGGACAATTCACGATTGGCAACGGAGAGCGGAGCAGCGCTGCAACCGCTTACTTGGCACCGAAGTACCTCAAGCGCAGGAATCTTCACGTCTTAATTAACCATCGCGTTACCAAGCTCCTCCAGACGGGGCATGATGGCGGGCACGTTCCAACCTTCCGCACTGTCGCTTTCCAGGAAGAGATGAACCCTTCTGGTAAGCCCCACCCCGTTTCCATGTCGCAAACTTGCTCACCCTTCAAAGCTCCGATCCAGGAGATTACGGCCAGGAAGGAAGTCATCCTATCTGCAGGTGCCATTGGAACACCCCAGGTCCTGCTTCTATCTGGAATTGGTGACGCTGCGGAGTTGGAAAAACTAGGGATCCAGCCCAAAGTCGATCTCCCCAGTGTCGGGAAGAATCTGACGGAACATCCATTCGCTGCATTGTTTTGGAAACTGGGTATCAACGGCACCTTCAACTCGTACGTTGGCTGCTTCTCCGACCCACCATAAGCTAACCTGCCATCTTCGCTCAGTTCTGCCGACCCCACTTTACCTGACCAATGGTTCCAGGAGTGGCAAAACTCACGGACTGGCCCGCTGACCTACACTCACGGCAATGCCGCTGCCTGGACTAGACTTCCCGACGACTCCCCAATCTATAGTCAACATCCCGATCCCTCTTCTGGAAGCAATACGCCGCAGTTTGAGCTTTACATCGCCGTACGTACCTTGACCGTCATTCCAACGATGCTCCTCTGGGCTGATAAATGTGAGCAGGGTTATGGACTGTACCCTATTCCGGGACCGCTTATGGTCGCTGGTGCCATCATCGTCCAACCCGGCTTAGAATCCCGTTCGTCTTTCCTCCACTGTGTTCTTTGAATGTAACCCCAATCGCCCTCTTAATGTTGCAGGTGGATCAGTCAAACTTGCTTCAACCAGCGTCGACGATCAACCACTCATCGACCTCGGTATGTTGAAATCCGAGTTTGACTGGTACGGCCTTCGAGAAACCATCAGGGCGACCAGGCGGTTCTTCAGCGCTCCGGCATGGGAGAGTTATAAGCTTACGTTGGAGCCACCTTTCAATACGGATGTCGATGAAGAACTTGATGAGGCCATCAAAGCCACGGTCAACAGCGGCCTGCATCCCGTTGGAACTGCGTCCATGTCCCCGAAGGATGCGCAGTGGGGTGTTGTGGATCCCGATCTCAGAGTGAAGAAGGTGAAGGGGTTGCGTATCGTAGACGCGTCGATTATGGTGAGTGCTTTGAAGTCGATATATATTAGCGGCCAGGTAACTGATGGAACTTTTGAAGCCGTATATCGTGGCGGCCCATACCCAGGCTGCTGTTTATGCCATTGCAGAGCGCGGCTCCGACCTCATCAAGCATGCGTGGAAATGATTTGTTGGTCCTCTCCGTACTCTCTGTCGTTCCAATTCTCGGTATTGTACATTGAAATTACTTTTTTTTTTTTTTGACTTATCCTTCATCAACAGAGAAATGTATTTTATTTCGTTCACAGGAGATACTTGTTGGCTTGTCTGTTTCGGTATTTGGCTTCAAAACCGGATCGAGTCCATTCTTGGAGTTCCAAGTAGCAGTTCAAGTTCGCGTTCGAGTGAGAGTTCGAGGAGTCCGGGTACGGGGGAAGCTTACATCCTCCCTGGTGTACGGAGGGAGGCATGACCTCAACTGCGGCTGATTAGAGACATGTCCAGGACAAGGATTCGAGGCACAGTTGATCAGCCACAAACGGCCTCATGGTTCTTGGCGCGTCCGCCTGATTGATTACAGACGCGTCGACGCGACACGCGTTTTTCCTTCCCCTTTGTCTCGGACACCAAACACTTTGCCACTAAACCGAACGCGCTACTTGTCCTTTCTATTTCTATCTTCTTTGCCTTTCTCCGAGCCATACGTTTCGACATTCCCTCTCCGTGCAGATCGACAAGTAAAGGCATATGGCGGGTACACGAGGCGATTGGGCTTGCAGTTCAGGCTCCAGCTCGAGAACAAAGGACGACGATGGTGATAATGGTGAGATGCACCTGGAAGGACTCTTACCGTAGAGAGAATGCTAACTCTCTGGATAGGATATTGCTCCAATGGGACTGTGAACCGTCTCTTCGGTCACGCGATGCACCAGTATGTCAATTTGGAGGACAGTGTCAAAGGTGCGTCCTATTACTATCCTTCTGTTTCCACAATCCACACAGAGGAAACTTACAACCACCTCATGCCACAGACCTCCAACAGCGATCGACCCTCACCCGAAAAGATGTCGACTTCATCGAGAAAGATGTCAACAGGCACGAAAAGAGGCTCATCAGAATCGAGGAGGACCTCCCCGATCTACGCACAGAAGGACAACGAATTGAAAGGAAAATCGAGGAAGAGACGAAGCGTCTAGTCGACGAGAACGGGCAGTTGAAAGAGAAGTTGGAAGGCGGTTTCGAGAGGCTGAAAGAGTTGGAGGAGAGGATGAAGGAAAGGGTGGGGCAGTTGGAGGAAAGGGTGGAGGAGATGAGTGATCGCTTGGAGGAGGTGGAAGTGAAAGGGATGTTGCTGGAGGACCGGCAAGCGGATGTCGAGAAGGCGTATAAGAGGGATAATAGGGCTAGGCTGTTGATTTTGGTGGTTATCACGGCTCTCGTCGTTCTGTGCTGCTAAAACCTCGTATCCTCGACCTTAGGAACATCTCAATCGTAAATCTATGCAACCGAATTATATATATTTTCTATCTATGGATCACCACCACCCATGTCATCGCTTTCTTGTTCCGGGCTGTGATTGGCTTTCGGAACCGAACCGCCCCTGTGGCTTTTCCATCCTTCCAGGTTGTCCTTTGAATTCGACGATTCGGTGGAAGACAAAGGAACGCGACATGATATAAGGGTACGCGTTCTCTTCTGTGGCGGAAGCCACCTCTCTTTTCTCTTCTTTCACTTCCCGCCTGCCATCCACACGAATCCAGTCGACCCCATGGAGTCTGACCCAGAAGAGGCCGCTCTGACTGGACTAGTCTTTTTATCGTTCTCGGTGGTGGTTGGGTTCCTCTTCCCTCAGTTTTTCTCTGAGGTTTTGGCGTGGATCGCCTTTTTGGTGGGGGATTTGGCACTGGCTGCCGGTGAGTGCTGTCGGTGTGTCTGGTCCGTGGTGTGTGGCTCATGACATGAAAGGGCATGTCGTGTTTCTGTGCATTTCGAAGGAGACATCGGTGGTTTGGCAGTCGTTGATCCAACGAGGTAAGGTTCAAGCGTCTTTTAGTTTTTGCCATTGCCAAGGCTGAAAACGCCCACCTAATCAGTGTTTTTCTTCGACGACCTGGTGGGCCATCGCATCCAAGAAGCCCTCCGCCCCATTCGTCAAGAGCTTAACCACATCTCGACCACCGCCATTCCCGTTGCCTGTCAATAAGTGGATGGGTTGTGTTAGAATTCAGTAGACATTCAGTAGACATAATGAAGGAACAGCAGCAGTAACATAACATAATTGGTCCATGGGTATAAGCGATACAGTCAAGACTCAAGGTAGTATAAGTATTAAGAGAGAAACATATCAGTCAGAATCTAAGCGAGTCAGGCAGGATGAGAACGAGAATGTGTGCAGAGTAAATCCCTGAAAAGGTCAGGGGTATCCGAGTCCTCATACGGCCGTGGGCTCCACAGGTGTAGGGTAAGATCCACGCAGTCATCGAAGATAATTGATCTCATTTCCGGTGTTGAATCGAAGATAGTCAAGGTGGACATATACAGTGCGACTCCTATAATATGCAATCATGATTCAGTAAACGAGTATATCAATGGACGCGTCTCGGCGCGTTGAGATACAAGCACATACTGAACCAATCAAAATCAGTGCGGTCCCTTTCCAACAAAGATTTAAGCCCAAGCAGTAAGCCTTCAGTATACGCTGGGAGTCTATCATCGACTGGAATTGGTCTTGCGGGTGGCTCTGGGTAGTACACTAACTCAACGAGCGCGTATAGTTGGTTTCCTATATGCATTTCTTCAGTAACTGGCAGGCGAAGCACCTCAGCCCATTGAGATACGACACGTACTAAACCAATCGGGAGGGAGGTGGGTACACTCCAACAGCACTGTCAACATCTCAAGCACCGTCCGTTTAGTTTTCGTCTGAAGCTCTTCAGGCGTGAACTCCCGCATCTCTTGAGGGATGTACTCCGGCGGCTCTTCCAGTACGCATTCCGGCGGTTCCGAGTCTGCGAAGTCGCTTCCTCCAGTAGCTTGAGCGTGACCATATCTTATCTGCGTATCGGGTTGGAATTGGTTGTCGCTCTCGCGGTTATTGAACATGATGTCAGAATGCTGAGGACAGTCTTGTTAGATGCGAAGGGGAGGACTGCAGTTGAGGGGCTGTCTAAACTTGCGTGATATTATCTGAACAAATTTCTAGCCTGTTTATATACTATATCCCAACGCAACCACTTCTCTCTATTTACGGACACCACGCATTGTAGTGTGTCGTCATGAAAAAAACAGACAGACAACAGTCGTGTTGTGAAAGAGCCTGGAGGAGAATAACGTGGCGCACCCCCAGCCTTTGACTCGGAGGAATGGAGGCGGAGGTGAAGAGATGTCGGTAACCAGTGTGGGCTTATACTGGAGAGATAAAAGACAATACTCCATTCCATCGCTTTCTTTAAAACTGATAGCATAGCATACGGTTGTGGGCGTAAAGTCGTTCAAGGCAATTGCTTCGATGGAGTGAGCTCGACAAGTTACGTTCCTGTCAAAGGGGTCTCCGAGTCGGACGGGGGTAAGGTCCAGAGGTCGAGGGTTCGAACCGGGCTCACACCGCCGCATGCGTTCAGGGCATCCTTTCGGTAGTTCAGAGTCGTTGCATTCAGAGCACCGGAAAGATTAAACGAGGTCAAACATATAAAGAGTGTTACGAGCAGCGTTGTTCCACAAGCAGGAGGAACATTGCTAGACCAAGTTGGAACATGCGAATTAAAAGTCACGAGTACTTGACTACTTGACCGTCCACGTCAGGGTGTATGATTCGAGGGACTAGAGGAGAGTCCCACCAGTGCGAGAAAGAGGGAAGCGCTGAGCCTTGGTCGGTTCGTGAATGACCCAGCCCTGGAGATCCAAAGTAAATTGATGACGAGGTTTAGAGCAACAGAGGATTCCCGGTTGCAATGACTAGACAAGCAACGTGATGGTCCGTGCGTTCTGAGACAGAGCGTGCAATCCCCTCGACTTCTCGGTCTGTCTTCAAGACGTTGAAGTGGGAACAGCGTTGAGGGAAGATGAAGCGCAAAAGGGCGTTCTTGAAACAGCCTCAGACAGGGCCAGGACACTGGCTTTCGGAGAACTACTGGAGTTTCATTCTGGCAGAGCCCCGTCCGCGAGGAGAGGAGACGTTTTTGGGCTAGCTGGTCGTCGTGCAGAGAGTGCCAACGTCGGCGTCGATGAGTGCTTAAGATGTCGCTGGGAGTCGAGATGGGCGCGAGCGCGACGCGTCCCATGATGACAAAGCCCCATCTGATGCTGCTATTGCCACCGCACACAGCGAGCTCGACGCCGTTTACAGCATTGAGCTCTCACTGAACGTCGAGAATGACCACCGCAGGAATCGAAGCCCAACCCATCGAGGCCGTGACGACAGCGCTAGAGTGAGTCCTATGACTCATCGCCCTCTCTCAGACACTAACCACGATGTCGCCCGCGCACAGATCGGTCCCAGATCAGAAGACTCGACGATACGACCGCCAGCTGCGCCTCTGGGCGTCATCGGGGCAGTCGGCACTCGAGTCTGCGCACATCCTGGTCCTGAGCTCGTCGTACACCTCCACGTCGATCTTGAAGAATCTCGTTCTGCCAGGCATCGGTGCCTTCACCATCCTCGACAAGGCCATTACCACCCCAAGTGACGCCGGCAACAACTTCTTCCTCGAGGGACTCGAGAGCGTTGGAAAACCACGCGCCCAGGAGGCTGTCAGATTGCTTTTGGAGCTCAACGATGGCGTCAAGGGGCATTCTATCGTGGACAAGGACATCAAGGACGTGTTGAGCAAGGAGATGGTTGAGGAGGAGGAGTGGTTGAAGGGGTTCAGCTTGATCATTGCCCATAACCTGGAGAAGACGGCGCTGGATCGCTTGTCTGCGTTGCTGTGGGCCGACGTCAAGAGCCCACCGCTGGCTATTGTGCGATCGGCAGGTTTCCTGGCAGAGGTCTTCATCCAGTTCCACGAACATGCTAGTGAGTGTATAGGTTTTGGTATGTGAACTAGTTTCTGACCTGGGTTGCAGTCATCGAATCCCATTTGGAGAGTTCTCCGTCGCTGAGGATCGACAAACCATTCCCTGCGCTGCTTGAACATTCCCTGTCCTTGGACTTTGAAAACATGGACGTAACGGACCACGGTCACATCCCGTATGTCTATATTCTCGTCCGGGTGCTAGAGGAGTGGAGGAAAACGGTAAGTCTCGCTACTTCCTCTCGGAGCCCCACTCTGACGGCTCTCAGCACGACGGAAATCCACCACGCACACCAGCAGAGAAGAAAGAATTCAAGTCTATCATTCTCAACATGCGAAAGAAGGCGGACGAGGAGAACTTTGAGGAGGCCGAATCGCAGGCGTTCAAGTGCTGGACGGAAACAGTCGTTCCTTCAGACGTGAAGGCGCTATTCTCCTTGTCATCGGAATCATCACCACCCCACACCAAGCCCTTCCACCTCCTCCTCAAAGCACTGGAACGCTACACAACAACCGTCGCTCCACACACGTTACCCCTCAGCGCTACTCTCCCTGATATGAAGTCCAGCACGAATCAATACGTCGGCCTGCAAAAGTTGTACAAGGAACGCGCTGTAGAAGAACGAAACGTTTTCAAGGCCATCTTGGACGAGGTGATAAAGGAGAAAGGAGAGGACCCATCGTTGATCGACGACGAGACTATCGACAGCTTCGTCAAGCACTCACATATCCTCCGGTTGCTCAAGGGCAAGAAGTGGGGATGGCTGGACGAATCTCCCGCCGCGCTCACCGAATACGCGCAAACGTCGCCTAAACAGCTCGCTATTCATCTCGCACTATCAGCGCTCGCTTCCCTACATTCCAAACACCTTCTGTCTGCTACGCAATCACAGACGGCGGAAGGGCAGGAGTCAGAATTCCGACCTACCCTTGAGGCGCTGACGGCGGAAGCCAAGTCTATGCTCCCGGAAGGTGTCGAGTTGGATGAGACAGAGTTCGATAACGCCATTGGGGAAGCGTGAGTGGCTAACCTTGTACTATTGGGACGATTACTTATGGAATTTAACAGCGCCCGCTCTCCAACCGCTGACTTGCCCAACACTGCCGCTCTCCTTGGAGGTGTGGTAGCACAGGAAGTCATCAAGATGATCACGAAACAGTATGTGCCGATCGAAGGCTATTGCACGATCGATTTGGTGGAGACTTGGACCGGAATGTTGGTGTAGATAGTTGGAGAGATAAGGTGAGTACTAGGGCGATGCTGGTTGCTTTCACCAAAGGGGCTAACTAACTTTCGTGGTTTAGAGATGTAGAACACGCTTCTGATGTATTATAGACGGGAAATCAAGCCGCTCAGACTTTTTATGTCAAATGTGTGACCAAGAAGTGGACTGTTCCATTCGCAGGAAGGTGAGATACGTTAACTTTGGCGCTTTCATTACCGTTGGCAGCTCGTCCGCTTTGCCTACCGCCGACAGTCGAGGCCCTGAAGGGCCCTCGCGGTTGGCCGTACAGCAAGTACGCCTACCTCACCACCTCTTATCTCAAACGGTTTCGTAGCTATCCTAGACATTTTCGTCATTCTCTACGTGAGGAGATGTTCTCCCATATCTCAGTATAGGTCCTCCGCTTCCCAGGGCAGATGCACATGATCCGGGGGTGGGGTACTATGTTGCGGCTGTTGCAGCCTGACTTGTGCATTTTGTTGCCATCTTCCCCTCATTTCTAAATGTTGCGGCTGTTGCAGCCTGACTTGTGCATTTTGTTGCCATCTTCCCCTCATTTCTACGCCATTCCATTCACAGACTTTCCAGCCTTATCTCTGAGAGTCGGCCACCCGACATGCCGATTCCCGACATTGTCTGACTGCAATCGAGCTGCGGTAGATATCCCGGGCGCCAAGGCAAAGGCACAGCATATTACGTAACCACTAGAGTCTAGGCAAGGGTAACCCCATCCGGCGAGCCCTTGCATCATAAAAGGGGCCTGAGTCATGGGCCCCCCCAGCTTTCTGCTCTTTCCCATCCCTTTACCGCTGACATACGTGAATGGTTGAACCTGCCCTCGCTCCCGCTTCCAATGCCCGTTCCAACGCTTCCACCTTCCCTCCTCTCCCCAGCGTCAGCAGCGATGAAGACGACGAACCCCCTAGTAGTAGGCCTTATCAAAGTGGGCACCCTCAAGTGACGAACGACAGTGCGGGGGAGAACGGCATTTCTGCAGCTGCTGTCACAGATTTAGAAGCAGAAGACGCCCGTTTCCCGCCTGTCAAGAAACGCGATACGCTGTACATCAGTAACAGCAACGAAACCCGTGTGGCGCGGGGTAGCGACGACGGCGGTGCGCTTGTTCGAGCGGACACCTTCACCACACTGGACGCGGAGAAGCAAGAAGGACGGAGTGTGTCGGAGGAGGGGCCTAGAGGTCGTTGGGCGTCTATCAAGAATCGGTTCAGGCTCTCGAAGACTTCCAGGGTTCGGGCGTTGTTCACCCCAGCCCACGATATTGGACCACGCCCTACGTATCTACAGTCGCTCAAGGCGACGGCGCGTTACACTCCTCTCAATATCCTCCTTCTCGCCATCCCAGTCTCTTGGGCCTTGCATTGGACGCACCAGAGCCCTACCATGGTCTTCGTCTTCTCCTGCCTGGCGATCATTCCACTTGCTGCCCTCTTGGGATTGGGAACGGAGCAAATCGCCCTTCATACTTCGCAGAGCGTCGGTGGTCTATTGAATGCGACGCTCGGAAACGTGGTAGAGATGATCATCGCTGGGATTGCCTTAAAGCAGGTTCGTGTTTCGTCATTGGTTGATTATCGTAGAATAAGGTATTGACGTTCGTTATAGTGTGAGCTTGAGCTTGTACAGAGCTCGCTTTTGGGTGGACTTCTCAGCAACCTGCTCTTGGTTCTCGGCTGCGCGTTCATTGGTACGTCCCCATTGGTATACGAGTCCTTATCACATTGACGTTAACGCTTCTTGTTCTAGTTGGCGGGTTCAAGTTCCAGCAGCAGGAGTTCCAGCCTATGGTGGCGCAACTTAACTCGTCCTTGTTGATACTATCGGTCATTTCTCTTATCATTCCGGTTGCCTTCGTGAGTCTCTTTTCCTTCCCGGTGAATGAACTTGCGCTGATAGCGGAACCCCTGAATGCCAGCATTTGTATCTGGAAGATAAGCTGGCTCCCGGTACAGAGGTCGATGTTCTTTTGAAGCTTAGCCGAGGAAGTGCCATTTTGTTATTCCTAATGTGAGTATTCACTCAGTCGTCCACATGCTCTGTTGCTAATCAATTGGCGTTTACCACGTAGCTACTTCGCCTACTTGTTCTTCCAGTTCTATTCCCACAACCACCTCTTCTTGGACACCCACCAATCAAAGCCGGCCAGACGCAGAACGACTTCCTCGAGTTCTTCTGAGTCAAATGACATGCCTACATTCAGCCGGTCGTCCACCAAGTCTGAAACGTTGCGAAATGGGCCCACTTCTACCCTCGCTTCTGTGTCTTCGCTTTCCCTTGAGGACCAACAAGACGGGCATCACGAAGTCCTCAAGCTCAATATCCCATTCTCGCTTGTCTTGTTGGGCGCCGTCACTGCCTTAGCGTACATCACCGCCGAACACCTCGTTGATTCGCTCGAGGGTCTCGTCCGCGACCATCCCAGCATCTCCAAGGAATGGATTACCCTCATCATCATCCCGGTCATCAGTAACGCGGCGGAACACGCTACAGCCGTCGTGGTTGCGCGCAAGGGCAAGTTTGATTTGGCGATGAGTGTGGCTGTTGGTAGCTGTATCCAGATTGCGTTGTTGGTTATTCCGTTGTTGGTACTTGTTGCGTGGGGCATGGACAAGCCGCTCATGTTGTTGTTTGACCCCCTCGAGACTATTGTAAGTTCATCTTGTTGATTGTGGTGGTTGGAAGACGGCGTTCTGACTGTGTGACTTTCTTTTTTACAGTTGTTGTTCTTCTCGGTTCTGGCGGTCAAGTTTATCATTGAAGACGGCAAGTCGCATTGGATGAGTGGATTGGCTCTCATATGTATGTCGTTATTTCGTACCTCGTTGCGGTTTGAAGTGCTTACTTGTATGCTTTCGTCTAGCCGTCTACATCCTCATTGCGCTTTCGTTCTGGTTCTACCCTGATCCAGTTCGTCTTATTCAAGGCCAGCCTCTTATCTGCAAGTAGGCTATGGGAAGGATGGGTTAGTTAGTTATGATTATACTCGAGGTTACGACTGTACTTGAGTTGCTTACGGTTGTACGAGTACGAACATTCTCTGTACGAATTCCGAGACGATTTCGATGCCTTGTTGTATTTGAGTTTGATGACATTTGACTAAGTACATTCTCTCAAGTCCGAACGCACAGCTGGAAGAACGGCGAATGGGGTTTGCGCATCCAGTAACGCGCCTTCCCCGTTCAAGAAGCGCCATGCCTCGGGTTCGAACCTGGTGTTCCCGAGTCGGGTGGTCTTGTCAAAATTTCTGCGCCTGGCCTTGGTGTGCCTCTTGTTCAGCAACCATCATCTACCCTCGGGGTGTAACAAAAGTTACTTTTCGAACTAACTTTCCTGTACTAAAGTAACTTTTTCTAACTTAAGTAACCAAAGTTACTTTTTCCAAAAAAGCTTAAGTAAAGTAAGACAAAAGTTACTTTTTTATATGGGCTAAGTAACTTGAAAGTAAAGTCAAAGTTACTTCAAAGTCCAGTTCAAAGTTGACGCGTTGACGTCCAGCGCGTATACCGAGATGGGAACTTCAGCCATTTTGGGAAATAGCTCCGCTCTCGGCGGTCGTCGTGCTTCTTCCAACCCACCACCACATCTTCATGCACAATCTCGAGCCTAGCCTCGAGCTACCCATGTAAGTCCTCCTGGTCTCTAACGAGTGATCTCCAACAGCCTACTGACCTACCTTTAGGACGCTGAATCAGCCATTTCATGACACCCCGCCATGTCACGCCCAGAAGGACGTCTGACGAGGTTCAATGTGTGAAGAAGCCTTCTGGTGCGGAGCCCTGGAGAAGGACGACTAGGCGGGGTAAGTCACACACCTTCCAAGTTAACCTATCGCTTTTAATGGTTCGCAGGTCCCAGGATGCTGACAGTGGATACAGGTGTCGTCTACGGTCTGGAAGGCCTGATGGCGGATGCTTGATGCCCCAAGACCTAGATATGTACGTTCAGCCACGTCCTCTTAAGCTTGATTGGATTCTGACGTCCTCCAGATGTATTAGATTTCTCTTTCCTATCTACCTCTGTAGATATGCCCAGCTGGTATAGGAGAATAGACATTTTGCTTCCGCCAGTGACATGCCAGATAAGGAAACTCACCGACGGAACACTTTTTTTTTGGAATTCGTCCCGCCCGCTTTCCTCTCTGCTACTTCCGCCATTCATCGCATGCTTCCACCATGTTTCGACGCCTGGGGCAGTTTGTCAAGTCTCTCGTTGGCAGCGAACGCGACATTTCTGGCGATCCAACTGGAGAGTTTGTGGGTAAAGACCGGAAGAAGAAGCGACGCCGAAAAAGCAAAAGGGACCGCTCGGCATCCCCTCCAAATGCATTTGTACCTCCTATGGTCTGGCCTGGATACTCATACCCGCCTCCTGGTAAGTATTCTGTTATTTCTGAGACACCAAGGCTAACCGTTTGTGTATTCAGGATTCCCCCTGCCTGGGTATCATTCACGTACGCACTCAAGTGCGATCCTTAATTTAACAAAGTATATTCACTGGATATTGAGCAGAGATACCATTTCATCCCCCCTTCAACCTCTCGAATGACTCATTCCAGCGAATGCTTCTACAACACAACACGAAGCTACCCACATCAGACTTGAAGACCGGCACAGTACCAATTGCTCCCAACCGGAAGTCGACAAAGAAGCGCGCTCGGAGCCCCTCCTACTCATCTGGGTCGGAGAGCATGACCAGTCACACGGAGGGTGAGTACGTCCATTTAAATACATCTACGCTATCTGAAGTACGCGATGTAGATAATTCTGACGATGTGAACTTCAATGGACTCGGAGATGACAACAAATCCGAATCGGATAGCAAGTCCGCTGATATCGTTGACGAACATGATTGGCCCAACGGCGATGTCGAACGGAGGTGCCTTGAAGCCGTGAAGAAGGAGACCCGCCTTGGAGAAAGCAAATGGGCGTTTCGGTCCACTGGACACCATCCTTGGCGTGGGGTGACAGCGGAGGCACGCAAATGTCTGGGCGTCTTTCTCTGCTCCAACCCCTCTTGCGCCCGTCCGGTTCGTCCTAAAACCCAGGCAGCTGCCCGCGAGAAGCAGCTCGCAACCCCCTGCACCATCTGCAAATCTTCACTTGCCCACCATCCTTGCAACGTTCGAGCCTTCTACTACACCATTGTCGATGGCGGCGAGACATATTCTGTTTGGGAGCACGCTGGAACGCATACACACAAGCGGCCACCCGATCCACGTCAGCTAACTCTCAACGAGCGGACCAAACTTGACCAGCAGGTCCCTCGTGCGCCAAAGGCCACCGTACATCAATTGCGGGTTGGTGATCTGGTTCCAGGGTCTGTCCCATTGCATGGCATTAAGCCCACGCTCGCACATCCGAAATCTGCGAACTACGCGGTTCAGCAAAGTAGAAAGCGCCAAGGCCTCCTCTCCCCCGACGAATCAGTGAAAGGGGTGTTCTCGTGTTTCGAGCTCTTTGCAAATCTGAACACCAAACTTGGCGAGGAGTTCCTCATCGAGTCCAGTGTCAGCTCGCCGGCCTTTCTCATGTTTCAGAACAGGTTTATGCGCTGCGTTCTAGCTGATGCGGTGGTCAGTTGGGACAAGGACGCTCCCGAACTTGTAGGCCAACACGGTGGTGTTACAGATGGAAACCACTCGTTCTTCCGCAATGGAACATTGGTCGCAACCGCTGTTTACGACACCATAATCCAAACCTGGGTCCCAGTTCTTTACACCTGGGTCCACAAGCTCGATACCGAACATCATCTCCCTCATTTCCGGAAGATCGCTCACCAAATCGTCGACATTTGCCAGGAGAAAGGATTGGAACTGAAGGATGAATTCCTTCTGCATGTGAGTCCCTCCCCCTCTGTGCGAAAGCGCTGATTCTCAGCTATATTCTGTCAGGTCTTCGACTTTGCCCAGGCAGAACACGCTGCACATGCAGAATCGTTCGTAGAGGCCAAAATTCGGATGTTTAGCAACTGGCACCACCTCAGTCCCGAGGCCCAGGCTATCCAGAGGGCGGAGTGGCTCAAGATGGCGGAGAAGTACCAAGTCGGCTGTCGCGTTCACTTCAAACGTTCAGCCAACCGTATCCAGTCATCGCACAGCCTTGTTCCCCCTGAAGACGGCACCAGCTTCATGTCGAAGATTCACCAGCTTTTGTCCAAAAAGACATCAACCGAATCGTTTGACTCCATTATCAACGACCTTGCTGCAACGTACCCAAGAATAACTGGGTGGCTTTCATGGTGGCTTCGGTCGCGAATCGCGTCCTTGATTTTTCCTGCCAAAAGTCTAGTGGAACCTCATCACCGAGAGAAAGTTCCCAACTCGTCAAACGTGATCGAGAGCATCCACCACCTTACAAACCACGCCGTAGGGAAGGAACATGACATTGTGAGTGGTGCAGAGTCACTCCTCATCCACAGCCGGGAGCTTGAGGCTCAGCGTCGCTCAATTCAAGGTGTGAAGTGCAGTATTTCCTTCTCTCATTACACGGGCGCTTACAGTGAAATTAGATGGCCACAACGAGCCTTTACCGCCTCGATCGCCACAGAAACCGAGAAAACCGGTGGTTCCAGTTGACGACTCAGTTAACGGACGTGCTCCCGATACTGTGGAGCGTCTGGGTTTGCCTCCCTCTGTACCTCAAGACCAGGTGTCTCGTTCAACTTCCATTCGAGAAGTGGAACTCCTCGCCTACGTGTGGAATGGCCGCAACTCCTGCTTCTGGGATTCCGGGCTCGAGCTACTGTACCGAGCATACTGTTGCTGGCCCGAGGATGAGGCTCAGCGATTTCGTCTTCAACTGATACAGCAGGCCAAGAGTTCGTTTCTTACGTGGATGTTCTTCCACTTCCACAACCGGAGGATGAGGGTCGAAGAAAATCAGAGGAGAAAATTACGACAGGAACTTCTAATCGGGCAACAAAAAATGTCGCATTATATCTTCGACAAATGGGAACTTCTTCCTCATGGAAGCTACGGGTCCGTCACCATGTGGCTCCCTCGTGCGTTGAAGGTATGTCCTCATCTATATAAAGGTAACCTTGGATCTCTTACGTACAGGCAATAGGACGGGTCACCTCCTCTGGAAATTCAGGCGCACCTTGGCATCCAACAACTTGCCAATCTTCGATGTTCAAGCGGGCATCTCACATCGTTCTACTCGCCCGAAACCCCGATTGTCTGCCACTCTGTGTCAGCAGCCTACGTCCACGCCCTCACCCTCAATGTTGGGCACACCATTTCGATTGGGAACTACCTTACCCGATGGATTCCAAACACCAAGGAGTCCGTGGATTCCCCACTGCACGTCCATCATGGTGTGGCCGACTGTAGTCAAAAGTCATGCTCACACCGCAGCTCATTTGTTGAGGCTACCATTTCGTGGCCACGGATACTTTGCCTCTCAACCCTTCCATTGGCTGACGGAAGCGCTACCCCCAAAGCCGCCTATCCTTCGAGGCCTACTTTCGACAACAAGATCACAATCATGGATGACGAGGGAACGGTAACCTACGAACTTGTTGGACGTTCTATCTTCCATCATGAGCAGCAACATTTCACTTCCCAAGTCCGGTTTCGAAACAAGACATTCACATACGACGACATCACATCTGGGGGAGACACCTTACTCCTTCCATCGACCGATGATGGCCTCCTGCAATCGACTGTTCAACGGGATATGCTTTACGTCTATTACAGGACCTCTACAAAGGCATCGGTACGTTCCCACTGGCTTCATGCGATTCCTGAAGTGACATAGACCTCAAATCATTAGACCCGACGGTCGAAAGAGGCTATCCTCTCTGACCATCAATTGTTAACTGCACTGAAGGCCCCTGTAATGGTCCGAAAGACTGGGGAGGACGGTGAATCGGTGTATGAGACTGAGTCTGACAACGACTCATTGGATTCAGTCATAGACTTCGACCTTGGCTCCATGGCTGATGTCGTCAAATGCACAGAAGCGCCCATCATTTACCCCAGACGTCTCCCAAGGTTCTATCACCCATACCCCTTCGCCTCTCCCTCCCCAACGGCGCTCGCCGTCCATTGAACACGACGATATCCAGGAAATCATCGTATGCACAAACCGAGAAATCAAAATTCTGGTGTGAAAAGGAAGATAATCAACTCATAGCTAATCCTCTCGACCTTCGACTTGTCTCATGCCCCCAATGCAGCGAAGAGTATCACTTCGTATGTATCAAGGACCTTCTCCCTTCTACATGCACCCTTCCCTCGCACCTTTCGAATGCTCCAGCAATTTGGTGCTGTCTTGCTTGTCAGTATGGACCAGATTCAACGCTCGACGCACTCCTGTACGTCCCTCTCGCATCTGTTCATCTCATACCTTCCGAAACTCATAAATAATCACTCTCTTCATTAGGATGGGCCAAACGGTTCTTGTCGTGAAGAGCGAACACTAAACCAAAACTAAGACCAGAGACGAGGAGCGGTGAAAGCGACGAAAGAGCTTAGAGCGATGAGCGACGGTTTGGAGTGAAGACTAGAGCGATGAATTGACAAAGAGGTCAAGCTAAGGAAATACAGAGCGAACTACCTAGCTTATATACCTATTCTACCAGTTACATAGCCACGATGAGTCGAGATGACGAGCAAATGGTGAAAGACAGAAGAACAATAAAAGATAGTCACAAGGCTGTGCGAGGCTGCGCGAAGAACAAGAATGAAACAATAATGAAGTAAAAAGACGTCAGAATGAGTCGAAAGGCAATACAAGGCAGTGCGTAACAATAAGAACAATAGAAACAGGGTAAAGGGCGAAACGGGGCAGTGTTCCATGAGAGAAAGAGTCCATAGACGAGAATAAAAATAAGAGATAGGGGTAACAGGAAAGATAAGATGCGGATACAGATAAGATAAGATGAAAATGAAAATAGGGGCCATACCAGCTGTTCACGACATTACCCCCCTTCTAAGCCTCATCGTCCTCGATGACCAATGGTAGACGGCGTCCAAGTTCCCAGTCGAGGTCGGTAGGGCGGGGCGTCAGTGAAGTTCTCAAGTGGGTGCCAGGGGAGAGAGCTGAAGATGGTGGCGGCGATGCGGCGTGGTGCAGAGGGGGTGTCGCTGATGGAACTCCTTTCACAATCTCGGGTGCGTGCTCCAGGTTCTCCTCCGGTTCCCCAAGTGTCGTCCGTCGACCCATAACCCTTCCAACTGACCAAATACTCCAGTTTGCGATTCTTTCCTCGACCTCTCCAACAGCTGTCCAAGATGTCGTGAACCTCGTATTCAAGCTCCCCTTCTAGTTCGACAGGCTCAGGCGGGGGTGGCAAAATGCCGTTGACATCATTGCCTTTCCAGGGGGAGAGCTTGTCGACGTGGAAGACGGGGTGAATGCGGGAGAGGGATTTGGGGAGATCGAGTTGGTAGTCGAGATCGCCAACACGCTTAGTGACCTTGTAGGGACCGAGTTGGAGATCGCCGAGTTTGCGAGTCGGTACCTTGATCTGGATATCCTTGGCACTAAGCCAGACGTAGTCGCCAGGTTGGAATTGGTGAGCGGAGCGTTTGCCGGATTCGTATGCGTCCTTCTGTTGGGCCTTTTCGAGTCGAAGAGCTGCCTCGGCGTCCTTCCTGACTTCTTGGAGGTGCTGGACTCGTTCGTCGACAGGGCGGAGGTCAGTGCGCTTGCCGATGGGGATGTTGAAGTGGGGAATGTAGCCGTAGAGGACCTCAAAGGGGGAGCGATTGTGAGCAGAGTGGACACGGGAGTTGATCACAAATTCAGCCATTGGAAGATGCTCATCCCAGTCATCCTGACGACGACTGACGTAGAGTCGGAGGTATTTCTGCGATCTTCTTGAATTGGCGCGTTCAGTCTGTCCATTGGCTTGGGGATGATATGCCGTCGTGAGGTTGGATTCAATGCCAAGACGTTTGAGCCAGGGTGCGCATAACCTTGGAGGCGAACTGGGGACCACGATCGCTGATGAATCGGAGTGGGAGGCCGTGTAAACGGAAGACTTCTCGATAGTAGATGTCGGCGACACCTTCAGTGGTGATGTCAGAGGTACAGGGAAGGGCGTGGGAGGACCTTGCTGTAGTGATCCGTGAAGATGATAATAGCGTCGTGTCTGTGGGCCTCTGGGAGCTGCGTGATGAGATCGACTCCTACAGATTCCCAAGGGCCTTCAGGAACATCGAGCGGCTGGGTCGAGGCGCGAGGGTGTTGGGCATGCTTCTTCCGGGCACAGATATCGCATCCCTCTACGTACTTCTTGACAAAGGCACGCATCGTGGGCCACCAGTTGTCATGAACAGGCGAAATCATGACATAGAATGGTGCTTATATACCACGGTCTGCCTGTCCACCTAAGCTGGGACATGGGCGCCTTTTTGGCGCAGTGGTTAGTGTGACCGTCTAATCACGACATTATGTCCAGCTTCAACAGGTCGAGGGTTCAACTCCCGGGATGTACACATTTACTGGCCGGTTTGAGTCATGTGAGCTTAAGGTCATGTGACAATAAGAACCATGTGATAGGCGCAAATGTAATGGATCACCCGGGCACCTTCTGGGCCCTCAATAGACCTGCAGGCATGACAGTTGTCCGCTGCCTGGAAAGGCCGGTATAGGGGATGCATCATTCTCGTCTTACGAGGACGTAAGCCATAGAAGGGGGCTAATGTCATGAACAGGCGAAATCATGACATAGAATGGTGCTTATATACCACGGTCTGCCTGTCCACCTAAGCTGGACATGGGCGCCTTTTTGGCGCAGTGGTTAGTGTGACCGTCTAATCACGACACCAGTACTGTCGTTCGACACGCTCAAGGGTTCCGTGGACGCCGGGGTGACCAGAAGTGGGATCGTCATGGCACTGCTTGAGGACATCGCGACGGAGCTCGTCATCCGGGGGAACGTAGACGCGACCCTTGTAGTAGACCAATCCATTTTCCTCTTCCCATTCAGCGAGGCCGTTAGTGAGGCGGCGGGGACCTGTCTTCCGGAGTTGGGCGAGACCATCGAGCACCTGTGACTCTCGAGCACTGGCTTGGCGGAGGCGATCTTCAAGAGGGTTGACGACCATACTAGAGGCGGCGAGCTTGGCGAACATTTCGGGCTTAAGGACGATCTGTTGTTTGTTGTCCTCCGCGTCGGTGACCTGATGGATGTCGAGACGGGATAGGGTGTCGGCTTGGGTGTTAGCCTTGCCGGGGCGGTGGGTGAGGAGGAACTTGAAGCGGGAGAGGTAGAGGGCCCAGCGTGCTTGTCGTCGACTAAGGTCCTGTGCTGATCGCCAGTACTCGAGGTTGGAGTGGTCCGTGACAATCTCGAATGGCTCTGGGAGTCCTTCAAGGAAGTGGCGCCAGTCCTTGAGAGCTTCGATGATGGCGAGCATCTCTCGATCGTAAATCTCGTAGTTGCGTTCGGCGGGTTGCATGGAGGCGGAGCGGAAAGCGACAGGGTGCCAGAGTCCATCGTCGTGCTTCTGAAGGAGCACTCCTCCAGTGGCGAAGCCGGAGGCATCAACCTCAAATACGGGTGGGGCGATCGGGGTCCCAGAGTGTCAAGATAGGCGCAGAGGTGAAGGCGTTGCGGAGGGTATCGAAGGCTTGCTGTTAGAGGTTCGTTCCATTGCCAGGGAGCATTCTTCTTTGTGAGGTCGTTGAGCGGGCGAGCGACAGTGGCGAAATCCTTGATGAAGCGACGGTAGAAATTGGCAAAACCGAGGAAGCCTCGAACAGCGCGGAGGTTACGGGGAACAGGCCAGTTGCGGACGGCCTCAACCTTGGCGGGGTCCATAGACACTTCTCCCTCTCGGATAACCAGGCCTAGATACTCGATCTCCTCTCGTTCAAACTCGCACTTCTCCGGGCGAAGGTACAGGTCGTGTTTCTTGAGACGACGGAGAACCTCATGGGTAACTTCTCGATGTTCGTCGAGAGTGGCCGTGAAGATGAGGATGTCGTCGAGATACACTGCGACCTTTCCTGCGGCGATGAGGTCAGAGAAGATGGAGTTCATAAGAGCCTGGAACGTAGCTGGAGAGTTCGTAAGACCAAAGAACATGACCAACGGCTCGAAGAGACCCTGGTTGGTTGCAAATGCTGCCTTCCATTCGTCTCCCTCCTTGATCCGTATGTTGTTATAGCCCCAGCGAACGTTGAACTTGGTGAAGTACTTGGCTCCTCGAAGGCGGTTGATGATATCGGAGACGAGGGGGAGGGGGTAGCGGTTCTTCACAGTGATCTCGTTGAGTTTCCGGTAGTCCTGAACAAAACGGAGCTTGCCGTCCTTCTTCTTAACGAAGAAGACGGGGGACGAGAGGGGCGATTTTGAGGGCCGGATGTACCCCTTCTTGAGATTTTCGTCGAGAAAACGGTTGAGTTCCTCTTGTTCGTTTTTGGACATGGGGTAGACCTTGGTTCGCATGGTGGCCGGCGCTCCAGGGGTGAGGTCGATGGCATGATCCCAGGGTTTGTGCTCGGGGAGACGATGGGATTCGGATTCGGAAAAGACGGAGGCGTGTTGACGATAGTGGGCGGGGACCATCTCTTCGAATGACTTCTGTGGTTTGGCCTTCTGGGTTTCTTCGGCTATCTGCTGGGAGTAAGTGAAGCCGGCGGTGCACCAAAGTTCATCTCCTGTCTCCTCGATCAATCCTGCACGAAGCCATTTCCGACGAGTGGTCCGATTGGCTCGGATGCGGCAGAGGGCTGGTTTGTCGTCTTCGTCTTTGGGGGCGGGAGCTGGAGAAGGGACCGGTTTTGGGAGGGGATCAGGAGCGGGTGGTTCAGATATGGTGTTGATCTGCTCCAAGATGGCATCACTGGAAGGAGCGCCGCGGAACGGGGGTTGGGCATCATCGTCTGGCACCTCCTCGATGGTAACGCTGGCGACCTTGGGCTTGGGAATGTGAAGAGTGCCTTTGCGCCAGTCGATGGTGGGGTTGAGCTTGCAAAGCCAGGGAAGTCCCAGAATAATATCCTCTCCTCCGAGATCGGCGATAAGGAAGTCGGTCCATTCCGTGTGTCCGTCAACCGTGAGTTCCTGTCGGGCGAAGTGCGTCACACTGCCAGCCTGATTGGGTGATCCGTCAATGTTGAGAAGCTGAATGGGGTGTCGAAGGGGAAAAGCTGTGATCCGATGTTTCTCCACGAAGGGTTTGTCCAGGAACCGACCAGTTGCACCACTGTCGACCATTGCTGCGGATTCCGTACTCCGATTTCTGCCTCTAAGCCTCACGTTCACGCGAAAGTGTGATGAACCCAGGGTATATTTCGCGGATGGCGCTAATAGTACATGTTCGCATAGAGTCATATTCGGAAATCGGGTATGGGGTGAAGGGTGAATGTGTCGCAGCTTTTACAGACACCCTTCGCCAAAATCCTGCTTCTGGAATTGTTCGAGGCGAGCCAAAGTCTCCTGTTGCTTCTGCTGGATGGCCAGGAGGTCGGCGATGGAGAAGTTGGGCAGAGCGGGGGCGGCAGATGTGGAAGCGACGGTGGCAGTGGACGAATCGTTGAAGAGAGAAAAGGGAGCTTCCTGGGTGGCAGCAACACGACGACGTTGGGTGAGTCCTCGACCGGGTGGGTAGCCCATGAACTTGTCTTGGCAGATGTTAGCGGAGTGGCCAAGGCGTTGGCAGTGGTTGCAACGAAGCGAGCCGTGATTGCCGTCCTTCTTGATGTGGGCGGAGGATCCGCAACCAAAGCATCGTCCACGCATCGCTTGGAGGAAGTCCTCGCGGGAACGGCCACTGGGTCCAACGCGGGTTGCGTCAATGTCCATAGCGTAGGGGTCACGGGCCGGGGTAGAGCGAGACGAGGTGGTCGGGGTCAAGAAAGAGGTGCTGCTTCCGTGGAACGTGAAATCGTTCTGATTGACAATGTCGCAGTAGTCTTGGAGGGTCTTGGGCTTGGCATCGTCCGGTTTGGTGATGGAGATAAGATCCCAACATGAGGCGATCATTGGTGCTGAGCTTACGGCGGAAGCGGGCCATACCGTCCTTCTGGGATAGACCGGTGCGGGGAAAGATCTCCATAAACTTGGCTGCGAACTGGGAAGCAGACTGTTTACCCTGGGTAAGGGCCTCGAGTTGAGCTTCAGCTGCCTTCTCCTGGTCGGCAGGTTGGAAGCGCTTCTTGAAGGCAACCACGAAGGCAGACCAATCGCCATTGAAAGGCCAGGGGTGGGCAGCCTTCTGAGCAGCGTCGGCAATCTGATCCAGGTATTGGACGGCCCAGGAAGCGGCAGCACCTTGAAGGTATGAGAGGGCGGCTGAGATCCACTTCTTGTCATCGCCTTTGAGTTGCGGAATCGGCGGAGGCCCACTTGGTGAAGTAGCGGAGGAAATGTTGGGTGTCACCAGAGTCACCCTTGAAGGGGCTCAGGCGCTTTGACAGGGCTTCTGGTGGAAGCGGTCTTGGCGGCCGTGAGCTTATCCAGGGATTGCTGGATGCGCCTGGTAGTCTCTTGTTGCTCGGCAAGCAACTTGAGAAGAGTGGGGTCGGACATACTGAATTCGGGGATAGGCTTTGTGGGTTCGGTAACGGGGTCTTGTTGGACGAGTGGCAGAGAGGTGGGTGGAGATAATAAGGATGGTGATAAAGTGGAAGTGGGAGGTTCGTTATCTGAGCGTTGGGCAACAGACATGTCCTCCAACTCCCTGGGGATGGGAAGTGGTGTGAGGGCGCGGCGAGGAGTGAGAGTAAGGGTTGTAGTGGGGGTAGAGTGTCCGGAGCGGCAAAGGCTTGTTACTGCGGGGAGGGCTTCTGCTAACGCGGCGTAGGTAACGTGAAAGGGGACGGGTGTTTCGGAGTCTTCTTCTTCGGATTCCTCTTCTTCGTCGTTGTCGTCCTCTTCCTCGTCGTCTTCTTCAGACGATGTTGACGGCGGGCGAAAGGTTTTCGGTGCGGTGCTGGTGGTTGCTGTTACTGGGACAGGAGATGATTCGGCGGAGTGGAAAGCGGCTGGGGATTCTTCGGTATCTGGAGCTTCGGACGGTGGGGGCGTAGCAGGCGGCGGCGGTGGATGTTCGGAATAGAGGACTGCTTCGTAGTTGTCTTCGGAGGCTTCAACAAAGGAGGCGTAATCCGGGAGATTCTTGGCTAGGTATTCGTAGTCGATAGGGCGGAGCGGGTTATATCGTTTCGGGCAGGGCTGTTGCAGACACTTTAGGTGGGTGTTGGTGATGTACCCGTCGGCGTGCTTGCCGGACCAGACTAGGACAAAGTGCGGTTTAAACTCGCACGGCGGAATCTTGGCTGTAGCGGTGAACCAGGGTTGCCAGAGTGGGACCTGATCGGCAGGTCAACCAGAAGACCAGGAGTGCGGCGGGGTCGCAGGGACAACGATCGGCGTTGCCGGTGCGCAGGGATAGCTTGACCTAATGTCGTGAAGAGCGAACACACTAAACCATAAACTAAGACCAGAGACGAGGAGCGGTGAAAGCGACGAAAGAGCTTAGAGCGATGAGCGACGGTTTGGAGTGAAGACTAGAGCGATGAATTGACAAAGAGGTCAAGCTAAGGAAATACAGAGCGAACTACCTAGCTTATATACCTATTCTACCAGTTACATAGCCACGATGAGTCGAGATGACGAGCAAATGGTGAAAGACAGAAGAACAATAAAAGATAGTCACAAGGCTGTGCGAGGCTGCGCGAAGAACAAGAATGAAACAATAATGAAGTAAAAAGACGTCAGAATGAGTCGAAAGGCAATACAAGGCAGTGCGTAACAATAAGAACAATAGAAACAGGGTAAAGGGCGAAACGGGGCAGTGTTCCATGAGAGAAAGAGTCCATAGACGAGAATAAAAATAAGAGATAGGGGTAACAGGAAAGATAAGATGCGGATACAGATAAGATAAGATGAAAATGAAAATAGGGGCCATACCAGCTGTTCACGACAGTTCTCGTAAACGCTCACTGGTTCAGCGCCTCCAATCCGCTTTACTATCCAGCCAGGATTATTGCTAGAGAACGGGAATCCTTTCGCAGCCTGCTTCAAGGCAGTTTTCTCTCCCTCCACTGGAGTGCTATCGCGCAAAGATGCGTCCCAGCAAACGAGTATGCACAAAGGGTAAGCTTGACTGGGACTTAAACTGTTCTGAATGGGTCTAACTTTAGAAACCATCCAGTCCGTCTTAGGGAAGATGAAATGCCCGCCATTACTTCACCCCGAATATTCTGGCAATGCGAACTCAAAGGCCAAACAAGCTGTTGCACACGCATACGAGGCAGTCCACGACATCCTCATCTCAAAAGACCGCACCCATCCTATCACCGAAATCTTTTCGAACTACATGCAGCGACTGCTCAGTCAACCCAAGGAGCGGTTTGTTGACCTAAAAACTAGGATCATGGGCTTTGTCGACGAGTTTTGGTTTCCCATCTTTCCTGGCGACTCTTCAACCTTCTCGTCTGCTTTGGTCAAGCTAGAGGGTGATGCTCGTTCATTAGACCCCAGCAATCAGGAGCTCCACGCTGCTGTTGCTGCCCAGGCAACTGTGCTGTTCAACGTCGTCCTTGTACGTGTTGCTCTAGGGTCTAGCGGTCTCCACGACCTTGAAATCTTCTACCTCGGGTATCGGGGACCATGGAGAAGTCAGAAGACGGGCGAGTTGACAATTGCCCAGGAAACCGCACTATTGGGATCACTTGCACGAGCACCTACCCCGTTCGAAGAAGCCATTCTCGCCTCACTTGGTGCATCCAACACGACAGTTAGTGATCACCAGGGGTTAACCCCGGGTTTCGGAAGGCCGACCCGGACCCGACCCGTGGCTTGACCCTACCCGTAACCCGACGGGTTTTCCGCACGGGTTGAGCTTTAGATCATCCAAAATGTCGCGAAGAGCGGACACTAAACCAAACTTAAGACCAGATGTGCGGAGCGGATAAGAGCGGGAGGACGAGAGGAGAGCGACGAGCGACGGATGCAGATGAATACTGAAGCGGTGTATGATGACGAAGAGGTCAAGCTGAGGAAATACAGAGGAATCTACCCTAGCTTATATACCTATTCTACAGTCTACATAGCCGCGATGAGTCAGAATGACGAAAGGGTGGTGAAACACAGAAGAACAATAAAGAGGGTCACAAGGCTGCGCGGGGCTGCGCGAAGAACAAGGAGAAGACAATAGAAGGGAGTCACGAGGCAGTGCGAGAAGGAAGAACAATAAGAAATAGGGCAGAGGGTACATCGAGGCAGTGTTCCATGAGAGAAAGAGTCCGTATCGAGAATAAAGGTAGAAATGAGAATAAAGGAGGGAACGATAAGGGAGATGAAAGTGATAAGATAAGATAATGGAAAAATAGGGGCTCGTACCCGCTGTTCACGACATTACCCCCCTTCTAAGCTTCATCGTCCTTGATGATCAACGGCTAGGCGGCGTCCAAGTTCCCATTCGAAGTCGATAGGTGGAGCGTCGGTGAAGTTCTCGAGTCGGCGCCAGGGGAGAGAGCTGAAGACGGTGGCGGAAATTCGACGTGGTGCAGAGGGGTGTCGTTGATGGAACTCCTTTACAATCTCCGGCGCGTGCTCCAGGTTCTCTTCCGGTTCCCAAGTGTCGTCCGTCGACCCGTAGCCTTTCCAACTGACCAGGTACTCCAGCTTACGGTTCTTCCCTCGGCCCTTCCAGCGGCTGTCCAAGATGTCGTGAACCTCGTACTCACGCTCTCCCTCCAGTTCAACAGGCTCAGGCGGAGGTGGCAGAATGCCGTTGACATCATTGCCCTTCCAGGGGGAGAGCTTGTCGACGTGGAACACTGGGTGAATGCGGGATAGGGAGGGGGGAAGCTCGAGGCGGTAATCGAGGTCGCCGATGCGTTCGGTGATCTTGTAGGGGCCGAGTTGGAGGTCGCCAAGCTTCCGAGTAGGGACTTTGATCTGGATGTCCTTTAGCGTTGAGCCAAACGTGGTCACCAACCTTGAACTGATGGGCTGTTCGTTTGCCGGATTCGTACAAGTCCTTCTGTTGTGCTTTTCTCGAGACGTAAGGCAGGCTTCGGCGTCCTTGCGTACCTCTTGCAGTTGTTGGATGCGCTCGTCGACCGGGCGAAGATCAGTGCGTTTACCGACGGGAAATGTTGAAGTGAGGGATGTAACCGTAGAGGACTTCGAAGGGGGATCGGTTGTGCGCGGAATGGACTCGGGAGTTGATCACAAATTCAGCCATGGGAAGGTGCTTATCCCAGTCGTCTTGTCGGCGGCTGACGTACAGGCGGAGGTACTTCTCGACTTCTTGGTTGGCCCGTTCTGTTTGTCCGTTAGCCTGAGGATGATAGGCGGTGGTCAGGTTGGATTCGATGCCGAGACGCCTGAGAAGGGTGCGCATGACTTTGGAGGCGAACTGGGGGCCGCGGTCGCTGATGAACCGGAGTGGAAGGCCGTGGAGACGGAAGACTTCTCGGTAGTAGATGTCAGCGACTCCTTCAGTGGTGATGTCCGAGGTGCAGGGGAGGGCATGGAGAAGCTTGCTGTAGTGGTCGACGAAGACGATGATGGCATCATGCCCATTGGCATCAGGAAGCTGGGTGATAAGGTCGACTCCAACGGTCTCCCAGGGGCCATCGGGTACCTCCAAGGGCTGAGTCGAGGCGCGGGGGTGCTGGGCGTGTTTCTTCCGGGCACAGATGTCGCAACCCTCCACGTACTTCTTGACAAAGGCTCGCACGGTCGGCCACCAGTATTGTCGTTCAACTCGTTCGAGGGTTCCATGTACACCGGGATGTCCAGAGGTAGGATCGTCGTGGCACTGTTTGAGAACGTCGCGTCGGAGTTCGTCGTCTGGGGGAACGTAGACTCGACCCTTGTAGTAAACAAGGCCGTTATCCTCCTCCCATTCAGCGAGACCAGAGGTGAGACGACGGGGACCTGTCTTGCGGAGCTGGGCAAGTCCATCCAGGACCTGGGATTCTCGGGCGCTGGCCTGCCGGATACGGTCCTCCAAGGGGTTGATGACCATGCTCGAGGCGGCGAGCTTGGCAAACAGCTCGGGTTTGAGTACCACCTGTTGTTTGTTGTCCTCGGCGTCGGAGACCTGGTGGACGTCGAGACAAGAGAGGGCGTCGGCTTGGGTGTTTGTCTTGCCAGGGCAGTGGGTGAGCGAGAACCGGAAGCGGGAGAGGTAGAGAGCCCAACGAGCCTGTCGACGGCTGAGGTCTTGTGCGGTGCGCCAGTATTCGAGGTTGGAATGGTCAGTGACAATCTCGAAGGGTTCAGGGAGTCCTTCCAGGAAGTGGCGCCAGTCCTTGAGAGCCTCGATAATGGCCAGCATCTCCCGGTCGTAGATCTCGTAGTTCCGTTCGGCGGGCTGCATGGAGGCGGATCGGAATGCAACGGGGTGCCAGAGGCCGTCATCCTGCTTCTGGAGAAGGGCTCCTCCAGTGGCAAAGCCGGAGGCGTCGACTTCAATGCGAGTGGGGCGGTCAGGATCCCAGAGCGTCAGAATGGGGGCGGACGTGAAGGCATTGCGGAGGGTGTCAAAGGCCTGCTGTTGAGGATCGTTCCATTGCCAGGGGATGTTCTTCTTGGTGAGGTCGTTGAGCGGTCGGGCGATGGTGGCGAAGTCCTTGATGAAACGGCGGTAGAAGTTGGCGAACCCAAGGAAACCACGAACGGCGCGGAGGTTGCGGGGGACTGGCCAGTTGCGGGACGGCTTCGACCTTGGCGGGGTCCATGCTGACTTCGCCCTCGCGGATGATCAGCCCGAGGTATTCGATCTCCTGACGTTCGAACTCGCACTTCTCTGGCCGGAGATACAGATCATGCTTCTTGAGGCGATGCAGGACTTCGTGTACAACTTGCCGGTGCTCGTCGAGTGTGGCCGTAAAAATGAGGATGTCGTCGAGATACACTGCAACCTTCCCTCCAGCGATGAGGTCGGAGAAGATAGAGTTCATGAGAGCCTGGAATGTTGCCGGAGAGTTGGTGAGGCCGAAGAACATAACGAGTGGTTCGAAGAGACCCTGGTTGGTGGCGAACGCGGCCTTCCACTCGTCTCCTTCCTTGATCCGGATATTGTTGTAACCCCAGCGAACGTCGAATTTCGTGAAATACTTGGCACCGCGGAGTCTGTTGACGATGTCGGAGACCAGGGGGAGGGGGTAGCGGTTCTTGACGGTGATCTCGTTGAGCTTGCGGTAGTCCTGAACGAAACGGAGCTTGCCATCCTTCTTCTTGACGAAGAAGACCGGGGAGGAGAGGGGAGACTTGGATGGTCGGATGTATCCCTTCTTGAGGTTTTCGTCGAGGAATCGGTTCAGCTCTTCTTGCTCGTTCTGAGACATGGGGTAAACCTTGGTGCGCATGGTAGCCGGGGCTCCGGGAATCAGATCGATGGCGTGGTCCCAGGGTCTGTGTTCGGGTAGGCGATGCGACTCGGACTCGGAGAAGACGGAAGCATGCTGACGATATTGCGGGGGGACCATCTCTTCAAAAGTCTTCTGGGGTTTGGCTTTCTGAGATTTTTCGGCAATCTGCTGGGAGTAAGTGAACCCAGCGGCGCACCAGAGTTCATCACCAGTTTCCTCAATCAACCCTGCTCGTAGCCATTTCCTGCGAGTGGTTCGGTTGGCACGGATGCGACAGAGGGGCGGTTCGACTGGCTCCGGCTCAGGTTCGGGAGTGGGGCTGGGGTCGGGGGTGGGGAGTACCGGAGAAGGGTCAACCGTGGCATCAATCTGTTCCAGGATAGCATCGCCAGAGGGAGTTCCTCGACTGGGAATGTGGGCGTCCTCGTCTGGAATCTCCTCGATAGTGACGCTAGAGACCTTGGAGGGGACCTGGAGGGTGCCATTGCGCCAGTCAATGGTGGGGTTGATCTTTCGAAGCCAAGGGAGCCCAAGGATGATGTCCTCGCCTCCAAGATCGGCGATAAGGAAGTCGGTCCATTCGGAGTGACCATCAACTGTGAGCTCTAGCCGTGCGAAATGTGTGATGTTGCCTGCCTGGTTAGGGGTACCGTCAATGTTGAGGAGTCGGATGGGGTGTCGGAGGGGGAATGTGGTAATGTTGTGTCGATCGACGAAGGGCTTGTCCAGGAACTTGCCTGTTGCCCCACAGTCAATCATTGCCGCGGAGTTCGTACTGCGATTTCTGCCTCTGAGCTTCACGTTCACGCGGAAGTGTGACGAACGGGGGTTTATTTCGCGAATCGAGCTAATAGTACATGAACGGATGGAGTCATATTCAGAAATGGCGTACGGAGGAGCAAAGGGTGCCTGCGTTGCGGCAGGGACGGGCACCCCGTTTCAAAAACCCTGATGGAGCCTCTGGAGTTGAGCCAGGATGTCGAGTTGTTGTTGTTGAGTGGCAGAGAGAGAGGCGAGGCTTGGGGCGGGGGCAGAAGGCGTGGCAGGAGTGGTGGCGGCAACGGTGGCAGTGGCAGCAGGGGCGGGTTCGTCAAAGAGGGAGAAGGGTGCTTCCTGGGTAGCGGCGACACGGCGACGCGGAGGTCGAGAAAGCCCTCGTCCAGGTGGGAATCCCATGTACTTGTCCTGGCAGACAGTGGCAGCATGTCCCATACGCTGGCAGTAGTTGCAGCGTAACGCCCCATGATTCCCATCCTTCTTGTTGTGACCGGTGGATCCACAGCCGAAGCATCGACCGCGCATGGCATTGAGGAAGTCCTGGTAGGTCTTGCCACTAGGGCCAGGTCGGGTAGCATCGATCTCCATTGCGTACGGATCACGAGCGGGGGCGGGAGTGGGAGCGGGAGCGTACTGGGCCAGGGAGGTGCGGGACGAGTTGGGGTTCATGTTCCGCATGACGAACTCGTTCTTGATGGCTTGAGCGACGAGTTCCTCCAGGTTGGCGGGTTCCTTGATGAGGTTGCTGAGGGCGAGCCAGAGAAGGTGTTCCTGAGAGAGCTTCCTCTTGAAGCGAGCCATCCCGTCCGAATCGGATAAGTTGGTGACGCGAAAAGATGTCGACGAAGCGAGAGGCGAAGTCGGCTACAGTCCCTCGACCAAGAGTGAGCTGCTCAAGCTCCTGGAGGGCAGCCTGGGCGTCGTTGGCAGGTTGGAAGCGTTGCTTGAACTCGGTGAGGAAGTTAGCCCACTTTCCCCCAGCGAAGGGCCATGGCTTGGTGCTGTCGGCATCATGATCGGCGATCTGCTGAAGGAAGCGAGATGCCCATCGGCCGGCTTCTCCATGCATGTACGAGAGGGCCGTGGAGATCCATTCCTTGTCGTCCCGAGTGCCATCGTCCTTCTTCAACTGGGGTTGGTGTCCAGCCCAGTTGGTAAAGAACTGGGAGGAAGCGTCGGGCATCTTCAGCCTTGCCGTGGGAAGGGGTTCAGGCGCCTTGACTGGGCTCTTACTAGAGGAGGTCTTGGCAGCTGTAAGGTGGCTGACCAGGGTAGAGATGGCGGTGGTGAGCTGGTTCTGCTGCTCTTGAAGTTTCGCGAGATCGGCAGCGGACATCGTGAAATCGTCGGTGGTTTGGGAAGTGGAAGAGGGTAGAGTAGTTGGTTGGGTGGAAGTGGGAGGTTTCTGTTCTGAGCTTGGAGCGTCAGATGTATCCTCCAACTGCCGAGAGGTGTGGAGAGGGGGATGGACCGGGCGAGAGATGAAAGAGACGGGGTTTGTTGGTGTAGAGCGACCGGAGGAGCTGAGGCGTTGTGCAGAGATGAGGGGTGCGGATGCGGCTAAAAGCGGAGTGGAGAGTGTTAAACGGTGGGAGGGTGTTCTTCCTGTTCAGGGGATGCTGATCGGACGCTAAGGGACTGGACGACTTCTTCTTCGTCTTCCTCGTCGTCGTCGTCTTCCTCGTCTTCTTCTTCGGGATCGGTGTCGGGATCTGGAAGCTTGAATGAACCGGCTTTGGCAGCAGGGGAGGTGTTTGCAGAGCGGTAAGCTTGGTACGGGGTTTCTGGGGATTCAGCGGTGGTGGGTTGCGTTTCGGAGGGCGGAGTCCTGGGGTTGTTGCGGGCGAATTCTTCAACTGCTTGCTGATTAACGGGGGACGGTGATTCGGCGTTTAACTTGAGGGAGTTGATATAGACCCAGTCGTGTACGGAAGGTTCGTGGTAACGGTTGGGGCAGGGCTGTTCGGAGCAGGCAGTCCAAACGGTTGAGGCTCGGTAGAATGGACGTCTAAGGACGATGGGGTGACCGTCGCTGACCCGAACGACGAAGTGCGGCTTAAACAGACAGGAGGTGTCTTCCGGTGCGGCGGAAATCTTGACGGAGTGCGGGGACCAGAGTTGCCAGGGAGGGACCTGATCGGCAGGTCAACCAGGAGCCAGAAATGCGGATGATGCAGGAGCAACGATCGGCGTTGCCGGTGCACAAAGGTAGCTTGACCTAATGTCGCGAAGAGCGGACACTAAACCAAACTTAAGACCAGATGTGCGGAGCGGATAAGAGCGGAGGACGAGAGGAGAGCGACGAGCGACGGATGCAGATGAATACTGAAGCGGTGTAATGACGCAAGAGGTCAAGCTGAGGAAATACAGAGGAATCTACCTAGCTTATATACCTATTCTACAGTCTACATAGCCGCGATGAGTCAGAATGACGAAAGGGTGGTGAAACACAGAAGAACAATAAAGAGGGTCACAAGGCTGCGCGGGGCTGCGCGAAGAACAAGGAGAAGACAATAGAAGGGAGTCACGAGGCAGTGCGAGAAGGAAGAACAATAAGAAATAGGGCAGAGGGTACATCGAGGCAGTGTTCCATGAGAGAAAGAGTCCGTATCGAGAATAAAGGTAGAAATGAGAATAAAGGAGGGAACGATAAGGGAGATGAAAGTGATAAGATAAGATAATGGAAAAATAGGGGCTCGTACCCGCTGTTCACGACACAAAACGGATGAGAAATGGATGAGATATGGTTAAAACCGTATCTCTACCATTTCTCATCCGTTTTGGATGATCTACGGCTCGTTTTGAAATTCCCGGGTCTGGGAATCGCGACCCGTACCCGACCCGCGACAGGGTTGACCCGAAAACCCGGAGGGGTCAGCCGACCCTTGGTTTTCACTAACGACAGTATTGCCGCAGACTCCGTTGGACCCAACCTTCGACCTCATTTCTGACTCGACACTCAAAGAGGTTACCTACAATGACTTCCCAATCAAAGCTCTCAAGGAACGCGGGTCTGTGTACGAGTTCCAGGGTGGTACCCTTGGTCTTCAGTCCCTTTGGCGGTACACCGCTAGCCCCCTTCGAGAATCAGCACCAAACCGTAATCCCAGCACCACTCCTCAAGATTGTACATCCATCCCAACACCCAGTACACTTCAACTCACCTCAACCGAACCCAAGAAACGAGCCAGACCTCGACTTCGGCCTCGAACAGAAACAGACACAAAGTATCGTATTATTGAAGAAGGTAATAATGTTCCACCGGCTCCAGAGCAGCACGCGCAACCTCAAAACAAAAGTCTTCGTAGAAGCAACCGCCAGCGAGGCAATATAGACTACTCTGGTTGGTGCGATTAGACAGCAGTTTTTATATACACGATATTTCTACTCTACATTGAGCTATTTCTATTCTACATAGAGTGTATCTCTTTATTACTTAGTCTATACGTGTTATTTCAAATATATATCTTAGATACACCTCTGGACGTGAGGGGGAAGTAGAGCAAGTGAGCGAAAGTTACTTAAAGTAAGAAAAAGTTACGTAAAGTAGGCAAAAGTTACTTCAAGTAAGAAAAAGTTACTTCAAGTAAGGGAAAGTTACTTGGAAAGCGAACATCATTTGAAGTAGTTGCAACTTCTAACTGTCCATACGATTGAAAGACAACGCCGCACGGGTATCTGGTACCCCGGAGGTCCATTGCAACAAATTCTAGACTGTCCTTTTATTCTTACTCTATGTACTCTCTATCTCATGTATATTTACTTATCTAGCAATAGGACTCGCCGAATGGGCTCTGGATATTGCACAAAGAGGGAACTTACAGACAATATTGATGCGCGCCTAAACTACTTTAGGGCAGGCGCGCCGCGCATCATGATCCATGGAACCACCGTACACAGGATCCCGGACAAAATGTATTATCCAAAGACAATATTTCGCCAATGAGAGCCTTGGTCCTACTTCAAGTCGCCTTTCCCGTACCTAAGGGCTCATACAACGTGGTAAAACAAATGACAACACTCCAGATTCTGACAAGGTACGACGGTGTTCCTCTCTTTACAAAAATGGAATTATGAAGGAACAATTCTCACAGCAATGAGCCTACTAGGTATATCAAACGACTCTTATATCATCTACTGACACAAGAAAATATACGACTTGCCTGCTTTATCCGTGGTAAGACGGTGTCAGCAGACATAAAGTGACCTGAAGTACGGCGCTAACTTTCCAAAGCGTGGGAAAAAGTTAGCCCATAGTCGCGCCTATGGAGCAAAGTTAGGCAAAGTTAACTTGAAAAGTAACTTTTTACGCACTCCTACCCTCGTGCCTCCGCAGAACCACAGCGATAAAATTGAATAATTCAAGATGTCCCAGCCAGTGAGTATCTGCTACTCGTTAACGGGTCGGATGGCTGACGCTGATGGTCAGCAGGCCGTGTATCGCTTCCTTCAAATTGCAGAGCTGAAGGACATGGTTTGCAACGCCTTGGCCGAAGAAAAAAAGATGGGCACTCTCGCAGCGCTTGCTGCGACTAACCAACTGCTCTTTGGGAGCGCGATTCGTAGCCTGTGGAAGGAGATTCCAAGCCTGTGGGTCATCGTTGGGATGTTTCCTAAAGGCTGCTTCGCCGTGGCAGGGAACTTGAAAGAGCTGGTACGAATGATATCGCATTCCTCTTTCACTCGTATTAAGTTTTGGTGCAGACTATTGGATCTTCAAGCGGAATCCCAGCAGGACTCCAACGGCTTCAGCGATACGCTCCGTTCGTAAAGGAAATCAAGTACCCGAACAAGCACTCGGACAGGAGGGTTCGGTTCCTGCCGTGGAACTTCGTGGCATTGCACCAACTGGCCCAAGCAGCGCCGATGCCTTTGTTTCCCAATGTGGAGAGTGTTTCGCTTCCATTGATACACAAAGAGCATCTCAACTCCATTTTCTATCCGGCTCTCGTTTTGTCGACTTCGTCAGTTCGCTCGGTGACGATAGTGTCTGATGAAGTACACGACCTCGGTCTCATTGATTTCGAGAGAGACGCCTCTCGAGAAGACTCGCCGCACAGCTTGGCACTGGTCTCCCGACTGGTCGATGTCGCTCACAGTATTACGGAATTGAAGGTGCAGTCGCTCATCACTGGAGAGGTGGATGAATTACATCGCCCAACGCCGGCCCTGAATAGGCTTTTCCCTCTACTTCCATCGACATCTTCCATCCGTGTTCTGGACATTACCCATCTCAAAGTCACCGGCGCATCTTTGCAGGAGCTTACTCGACTGAATCGGTTGGAGGAGCTCAAAGTCTCACTCCCAGTGTCCTCTAGCTTGCACGAGGCCCTTCTCAACGACGACCAGTTCGTACTCACTTTTTCGGCTCTCACTTCGTTGTCGATATTCTGCAACCATCCGACGACCGAACAAGCCACCGAGCTCTGTATCCTCTTCTTCACCGCGCTTCGCGCACCTAAACTTGACAGGATCCGCCTCTCCCTGCTTGCAGAGTTGAATGAGGTCAACTTGGACGGAGTGTTTGGTGCGATCGCGACACATACACAGCCGGTCGCGCTGTCTTCAATTACCGTTGGATCCACTTCCGTCCAGATGCTCGCAGAAGCATTTGGCGGAAATATTTCCGGTTTCTCGACGAGCCTACAGCCGTTGGCGGCCTTTACAAACCTTAAATCGTTGGAGATATTCCCATACACCAGCTCACCGACTCTTCGGAACGCGGAGCTCATCAACGCTATGAGCAACTGGGCCAACCTCGAGCGACTCTTTCTCAAAACCCATTCGCTGGACCATCCCATCACGAACTCGCAGTTGACCCTGAGCGGGATTTACGCTGCCGTACAACACTGCCCCAAGCTGTCACACCTCATCCTCTCGTGCCAAGCGACCGATGTTCCTGCTGTTGCCTTCCCTGCTCATCACTCACTCAGGTACTGGGACTTCGGCACCTCCACTATCACCTCGGGGAACGCGGTTGGGCGCTGGATGCGCGATGCCTTCCCCTGCCTCCGACAGGTGAAGTACTTCGAAGCCATGTGTGGCGCACTGGACTCGAACGATGCGATGGATAATGGATGGGTCCAGGAATTCCCGGACTGCCTTGCATTGATATCCCATTGGACAGACGTTTCCCGAATCGTGGCGAAGGAGCCTAGGGACTAGGTGCCGCTCCTGTTTGCGCACTGTACTGGGTTACATACTTATGCAACAAGTCCTTTATTTCCAGTATCACGGACGTTGTGGCAATTGAGGACGAATTAGAAGTGTTCTGCTTCCAGAATCGTGTGAACTCGCAGGCAAATAGGTTTTCTCTGTGGAAAATACGCTGGAGCCGTTAGAGCGTGCCAAACCCTTCAGCCCACGAGGACTCGGTTGCTTATGACAAAACTCAGACATGTTTAACCTGATCAGCTCTCTCGAACACTTCCGTGCGACTTCGACCACTGCCACTACCTAACGCTGCAAGTACGACCTTTGACCGGCTCCTGGGCGTGTACGTGTACTATGACCTCTGTAAGTTCCTGAGTCCATCATTCAGATATACCATGTCGAGTTTGAAATAAGGCTAGTGACCGCTTCTTGGAAGTTCCCGAATTGAAGCAAACCGTGTCAGAGAACCTGGCGGCGGACAACAAACTAGGCACACTCGCCAACCTCGCTGGAGTATCTGCATTCCACCACGCAGCAATTCGGGAACTATGGAGAGACATACCAGGGCTGTGGGTTATTTCCAAGATGTTTCCCTACGGCCACGTCGAAGCGATTCAGAAGGATGACGGCAAGCGTCTGGTACGTCCCAGCGCACCTCACTTAGTCTCACGATCAACTTAAATGCGGGCCCAGGTGATACGAGACTTCTACGATATCGCCTTCGAGTCTTTAGTAGCTCGGCTACAACACTACACCCCCTTCGTCAACTCCATCAGATACTCCCCGGACGACCCTCTCTGGGAACACACTGCTCTGATCCGACTTTCCGAGAATCCATCCACACCGTATCCCCTTTTCCCGAACTTGCGCCGTGCGATACTTCCGCTCTTTAACCGACGGCCTAAGGAGACCATTTTTTACACCTCTCTTGTCCTCCCACCGAATTCAGTTCGGTCGATTCAGATTGTGTCCGATGATGTCTACGAATATGGCCCGGCCTTTCTCAATCCAGACACCACCGGAGCTCGTCGATGGTTCGTCAGAAAATTGGTGGAAGCTGCTACGAGTTTGACTCGCTTGGGGATTCTGATTCGACGAGGGAGGATGGAACCGACTCCAGAGTATCCCATCATGTTGCTTCCTGATTTTCTCCTCAACCTTCCGTCAACATCCCCACTCCGTTGCTTGCAAATCTCGCACCTTGACGTGACGGGTGCCTCGCTCCGCGCGCTGGGCCGGCTGGAAAATTTGGAGACACTCACAATTACCCTCTCGCGTGATTCTCTGAATGACATCGGTCCTTCCGAGCAGTGGACCTACCCAGCAATGAAAACTCTAACCATTATGTCGGTGTTGACAACGACCAATACTTGTACCAACTTCTTCAATGATGCTCGTGCGCCAAAGGTTTCCGACATTACGATCCTCCAGTCCGTCGAAGAGGACATAGGTCTGGACCGGATGTTGACAGCCATCGCCCACTCTGCTTCCCCGACCAACCTCACATCGATTACCATCCGCGAAATTGACTACGAGACATTGCAACCTTTGTCACCCTTCACGCGCCTCAATCGGATCGAGGTTTCCCCTTTCATTGCGCCAGATGGTTTTGGGGACGCAGAGCTATGGGAAGCGCTCAGCCATTGGCCACAACTCGAACACCTTACCCTCGATCATCACGATGTCATCAACCCTCCCCCTTCGCCCTTCACTTTACTCGGAATCCATGCTGCCAGTCAACAGTGTCCTAAACTCGCTTACCTCGCACTATCCTGCCAAGGAGAGGACGTTCCGGGGAACGATAAAGTTCCCCCTCATCCTTCCTTGACCTTCTGGAACCTTGAGGTTTCGTCCATCAAGTCTGGGAACAGGGTTGGCGTGTGGATGTGTCGAGCGTTCCCTCGCCTACAAACTGCTGAGTATATACGCACTTTGCGGTGGTTCTTTCACTTTCCAGAGGAAGAATGGGACGTGGAAAGTGCCACTGATGGGAGGTATCTCGAATATTTGGCTATGGTGGCTGAGTGGGGCGCAGCTCGTATCCTACATAAATCCCGCGTGCCTTCCGCCACCTGAGACGAATCGAAGATATTTAACTTGTGTTCCATGATGTATCAAATTAGACTTGATCAATTCCTATCATCGCTCGAAACGCTCACTTTGTCCGCTTTGGCTTCGAAGCCTTTAGGAAACTTTGCACCTAGCGAGGATCGAACTAACTCCCAATTGGCCGAGTCGGGGTCTGATGGTAACGCTCTCCCCACAAATCCCTGCCTTTCATTTATTTTGGATTTCTTTTTTTTCTCCCTTACCACCACCAGTGAAAACGCCACGGTTAATATAAACCAGACAAGTCTCGAAGAAATGGCCATCGTAAGTAGCGAGATTCTTGGTCTGCTGCTCTCAGCTGCACATATACATACTGGCCCCTGACGACCATGTCATTCCAGTCTGCCGTTCAACGCTCCCTGCAAATCCCGGAACTCCAACACAAGGTCTTCGATCTCCTAGCTGAGGATGGAAAATTTGAAACGCTTGCCAATGCTGCTGTGTCGTGCAGGTTCCTTCATGACGGTGCTGTTCGATCGTTGTGGAAGGAAATACCCAACCTATGGGTTATCAGCAGTTTTTTCCCCAACGGTTGCTTCAAGAACGTGGACAATTGGACGGTCTGGGACAATAATGCATTCTCTACGGCTGGAAAATTTTCTGTATGAGTCTTCAACTAGTTCTTCAACTCACTTGACAAATTCTCGGATCTAACTTCAGGTTGTCAAATCTCCGAAGGACATTTCAAGCGGCATCGCACGACTTGCAAGATACACACCACTTGTGAAGGCCATCCATTTCGATCCAGACGCCCGCAGATGGGACTACACTGCCTTGCATGTTATGTCCGACAAAGGGCTCCTGCCATTCCCACTGTTTCCCAACGTCGAGCGTGTGGTGTTGCCGCTTTTGTTCAAACGGCGATTCGAAACCATGTTCTACCCGTCATTTGTGATTTCTCCATCGGTTCGCTCGATCACTGTCCTAACGAACGAGGTTTTCAACATCCACGGGGACGACTTTGCCCCTAATGATCCGTTTGCGCAAGAAGACTCTCAACACAGCAAGGCGCTGGTCAACCGGCTGGTCGTCATGGCTCCGTATTCAACCGAGCTGATTGTTAAATCTACAGTTCCGGACTGGTACGAGTTCCATACTCCCACATCAGCTTTGAATAGCATGTTCGCTCGGTTGCCGGCCACCTCTACCATCCGTGTGTTGGATGTAACACATCTCGCCGCCAAGGGTTCGCACCTGAAGGAGCTAGCCAAGCTCCCGGATTTGGTGGATCTCAAGATATCCCTCCGGGGAAGCACCCTCGACGACGTGGAGGTTTTGACACCTTGGGACTTCCGGGCGCTTGTCTCCGTTGAGATTACTTCCACCTCCCACACCATCGATCCCTGCACCCGTCTCTTTACTTCCATCCGAGCCCCACATTTATCGGACATCAAGATCCATCAAAATTTGTGTCAGAACACCGATTTGGACGATCTTTTCCTTGCACTATCTCAGTGTACTCCCCCGGAACAGGTGTCATCGATCTTCATTGATCAAGTGTCATACAATGATAATGCCAACGGATTCAGCCCCCACAAGTACGGGTTTTTCACCGCCTTCACGCCGCTCGCACAATTCAAGAACATCAAGCAACTCGAGCTCTCACCATTCACTGTCACTCCGGGACTCCGAGACAGGGCTCTTATCGCAGCCTTTGGCTGTTGGCCGAAGTTGGAACGACTCCACTTCCGAAGCGACAGCATTGCTGCTCTCACCATGCCTTCACTGACATTGCACGGCGTTTACACCGCCATTCGTTGCTGCCCTCGGCTCTCGCATATCACTCTTCCTGTGGCTGCAACTAAAGTTCCGGCACTACCAGTTACTCCGCACCCGTCTCTGGTGTCCTGGAACATCTGCAACTCGCCTATCACATCGGGATTGGCGGTTGGAAATTGGATGAAGGCGGCGTTCCCACACCTGCACGAAATTCAGCACTTTGGGTTTCTCAGGGGCTGCCTCCGGAGTTTTGGGATGCAGACTCGATATGGAGGCGATATGGGAAGGGATATTCTGGAATCCATGCCAGAGGAAGTGTCTATGATTGTCCAATGGAATGATGTTGCTCGTATCGTGCGCTCTCCCTAATTTCTGTTGTATTTCACGATGCTGTATTCAGCTCAGCTTCTCTTAGTGTAAATACCATTGCAATTCTTAACATCCTTTTCTCATACACTTGCACCTGGTCCACCTCTCTTAAGCGCCAAGGAATCGATCCGAAGGCTGTCGTTCCTAGGGATGGTCAAGGGGTTTTAAAACCCCCGGGGTAGAGGCCAAGGGTAGAGCGGGGGTAGGGGTAAGGGTAGGTCTCCGGTGTTATGCCTGAGGGTCGTCTGACCCTTCAAAAATCGCGAATAACACACCGCCGGACTAATTTCGTCCGGTAAAACGTACATCTCGATAAGTGACTGAAAAGCCCTAAGGCACTGTGTTTTTCATAACCGGCGGTCACTTATTCTGTCGTATGAGTTGAGACCGAGCCCAGAGTCGTCAACTAAGTCGAACTCTAAGAACGACTCCGAAAGAGGTTGAACGTAACGCATTGTTGATACTGTATTAATTGACGGGTTAAGGATGTGTACTGGACCGATTGAAGATCGAATCTACGGTAGTGAGAATTTTGCACGAAGTCCTCACCGCTGGGAGCAAGACTATCCATGGGTGTCGTGAACTGCTGGTACGACCCCTATTTTTCCCATCTTATCTTATCGCTTCGTTCATCTTTTATCTTATCTTTGCCCCTGTCTTTTCCCCTTTATTCTCGTCATGGACACTTTCTCTCATGGAACACTACCTCGTTTTGCCCTCTACCCTGTCCTCTATTGTTCTTTCACTCTCACACAGCCTTATGACTTGTTATGACTCGTCATTACTTCTTTATTATTTCACCCTTGTTTTGGCGCAGCCTTCACGCAGCCTTGGGACCTTTCCTTATTGTTCTTGTTGTATTGCCTCATCGCTCGTCATCCTGACTCATTGCGGCTATGTAGGTTGTAGTTACAGTATATAACTTAGGTAGTTCGCTCTGCATGTTCCTCAGCTTGACCTCTTTGTCAATACACTGCTCAACGTCTCTCATCGCTCCCACTACTCTTATCTCGCTTTCTGTTCATCTTATCTGGTCTTTAGTTTGGTTTAGTGTTCGCTCTTCGCGACAATGGGAGTGCACGATTGACTTTCAAATCGACTAGAAAGTTAGTAGCGACTTAGCAAGAACGATGACACTTAGCGCCAGCGCCTGTCAGTACCCTAAGAGGAAACACCCATAAGCGCCGCCGGACGGTCGGAATCAGCCATCAGTCGCGGAAAGCTAAGGGGACCTCTACGGATTAGGCACGAGATCGATAAGATAGACGCCGAGATAAGATAACCAGAACGACGGGACCAGGAACGGATCACACGAGATGTTCTATTCCGTTGGACAGGTGTCCTCTCCAGGACAGATGAAACGGGGTACTAACAGTCCCATGACCTGTCAACAGAAAAGAAGTAGTACAGAAAGAAGGGACAGAACGATGAGTCCATACGCCGCCCTCCGGCGGTGTTTACAAAAGGGTATACCATCTGTTTCCGCGGGGAGCATCTTCACGGAGTAACAATGGAGTTTCCCACCACACATTGGTTCCGTTCCGACGGGACGGAACTACCAAAATTCACGCGCTTCAACAGCGCATCAATAGACGCCTATGGGCATACTCGGCACGACACCGCCGGGGCTTCTTTTGTCGCGTTTCTTTCCTATTTTGTATTTCTGATTCTCTCGTACCTCCGCTCCGTCTCTCTACTCTTATCGTCTGTACCCTGCGCACGAATTCGGTTTGTTTTATAGTCTTTGCTAGTCTTTATTTCGCAGTTCGTAGTCAAACAAAGTGTACCATATATATAGGCCCCGCCGGGCAAAAGAATAAACAGATACCCCTTTGACTCGATTGTATATCTTGTCCTGATCGACACAAGTCGTTCAGTAAAATAAAGAGGAATTCTCCGAGTGTCGAGTTAACAAGTTAGCGAGTTAGAGTCGAGTTAGAGTTTGCGCGTGAATACACGAGTCCGAGTTTAAAAACAAGTCAACGAGTGATCCCGCCGGGGCGAGTTTTAAGTGTTTTCAAGTTCAAATTCGAGTTTCGAGTCTAAGTCGTGTTTAAATCGAGTCACGAGTCGAACTTAGTGTTTCCCTTGTGTGTAGAGCACAACAAAATACCAAAAACACCATCCGTATAAAGTCAAGAGCCTTTTCAAAGCTCTAAAAGCCCTAAAAACCGTTCTATACGAGTCAGAGAGTCTTCTCCTCGTTAACTTAGTCTACTAAAACAACAACCCCATCGAACTTGCGTGCCCACGTACAGACAGTACCTAAAGGTCTTTAGATTCGGCCGTCGGTCTTCATCTTCGTGTCACTTGTCTCCCAACAAGTTCCACTCGATTCGGAACCGCCGGTTGTTTTCTTGCTCTTCTTTGTGCTTTCTGTGCTAGTCAGCACATCACCACATAAAGTCAAGAGCCTTTTCAAAGCTCTAAAAACCCTAAAAACCGTTCTATACGAGTCAGAGAGTCTTCTCCTCGTTAACTTAGTCTACTGTCAGGGTCGGATACAGAGAGAGAGGAGAGAAGGACGTAGGAGGGCGGAGGGTAGCCTTGGTCTCACGTATATAAGAACGTGTACCCTTCGTCACGGCTCCCCAAAGGCTGGCTAGGCCGAAGGACCAGACGGAAACGCCTTCCGGCGGGGGAGACGAGAGTGAAGGGCGACTGGAGCTAAGGCTCGAGGGTCGAAGACGATGAGGAAGAGAGTTTACTCGGGGAACTTAGACTGAGAGATTCGATGCGTATGAACCTAGTCGAGATTCCGGATGAGGTACCTACTACAAATTGAGATAGTACTTATAGTAAATACCGGCGGGGAATCTACGGGCGAATCGAGACGAAATGACAAAGTCCAAAAGGGAAAGAATAAGTCGAGAACCAGAACAAGAAAGACGAAATCGTACACAAGAAAATCTAGAGTACTCGAGAGACGACTACAACAACCAATCGTGAACCCGGCGGATAAAATCCAAACAAGAACGTTCGTACGAAAAGGTCATCTGAGCAAACTGGAAAATCAAGTGTAAAGAAATAGAAGCAAGAAGAATAACGACACGGCGGAATAAGAGAATAGAAGAATAACAGAATACAGACGTACTTCGAAATACACAATACGAAACCCATTTGACAGCTTGCCAAGCGCGCGTCTAAAGTCCACAGGATTATCCGGGCGGATCCGAGAGTTCCGGCACAGCCGCGAGACCGCGCGCGCGCGCGCCAGTCGTGACCTTTCCCACGCTCCGCGAACGTCGCGCGTCAAAGTCGAGAGAGGAACCGGCGGGCTGGAATGAAGTGGGTATAACGAATAAAATGTATAAGAGAAAATACGAATAGTAACATCGAATGGTGTTGAGGGTGAAAGAAGGGTGTAGTTGTACGTATCGAGACCCGGCGGTTGCACGAGCCCTGACAGTACCCCCCTGTTACGGCTGAGCCCTCGAAGCCAAACGATGAGGTGAAAGAAGAGTTGGGACTTAAAAATTATGGAAAAATTGAAACATGGAAAGGTAAAAAATAGTGAAGGGAGTCGAACAGAAAAAACAAAGGAGGAGAGGCAGGCCGGGGAGACGAGGCTGAGAAGGAACAGTATCACCAATTGGGGCCAGGGTTTATCGGGATAGCGACGATGGAAATCCTGGACCAACTCCTGAGCATGGGCTAGCTCGGTAGCAAGCAGCCAAGAACGCTCTTCATCCGTGTTCTCGTAGCCCAACCAGCGCACTTCGTAGAGAAGTTTGCAGGTACGGCGGCGACGATCCACTTTCGAGTCGAGAATTTCGGCTATCTCGTACTCCAATTCGCCATCCACTTCCACCGGCAGGGGAGGGGGATCATGACGAAGAGGAATTTTAGACTTGTGGTGTGGCTCGAGCATGGAGACGTGGAAAACAGGATGGACAGAACGCATAGAGTCAGGGAGTCGAAGGGTGAAGGAGTGGGTGCCAACCTGAGCGACAATCTCGTATGGTCCGAGATACCGTTCAGACAACTTCTTGGTAGGACGAGAGTGGTATCCACCACTTGTCATCAATAAAAGAGGGCACTACCCTAAATAGCTCCTGTGACCACTGCCCTAGATAGCATTATCATTTATTTAGGGCAAACCGTACATGCCTTTGCCTTTGCCCTTAATTGATGATTGTGGGTAAATAGTGTTATCATTAATTAAGGGCAAACTGTACGCGCGCCAAATGCTTACATTATCATCAATTATGGGCAAACTGTATTGTGGGGTGTCATCAATAATCGGCAGCCTCAATGCCGTTGAGAGTCACGTGGTTTGAGTGCACCTGACTATCCGATTCGGCTTGGGGCATCAATGGCTTCCCGTTTGGGTTTGGGCGCTCACCCCATCACCCCATCCGATTCGGATCGTTATCAGTCTCGGGTGCTCAGTTGTTTTCCAGTTTGGGGTTGGGCGCTCCAGCAAATCCAATTCGGCTCGGTACTAATATTTAGGCGCTCATATCCAGTTTTGTGGGTGGCTGCTGATGATACTGGCGCTCATCAGAACTTAAACAGTCCGTGCGATGCAGTTTCTCGGAGCTACCCTTTAGGAATGTGTCTCGGGCGCACGGTTGCCTGGGTGGCACTGTCTAACTGTACAGTTTTCGGGAACGACCGATCTCGACTTCACACTGGTGTGGGTTTGGATTTAGGCATCATAATACTAATATTGTCTCTTAGATAGTTTAAATTGTTACAAAATCTATTGCAGTACAGTCAATACATTCAGTCGTCGATTTCGAATTCGAATACATCTGCTGCATCGTCAACAACACCATCAGCGTCCTCCGGTGCATCCTCATCAAGGTCCAAGTCATTCTCGTCGTCAGTATCGTTGGTATCGTGGGTGTGGTCGTTCGGGCCCCCGTTAGGCTCTGCAGTCGACTTGGCGCCAGAGCCATCGTCATAGCCCGCCCAAGGCATCCACATGGGAAGTTCCCCGTATTTCCGCAGTATAGCCGTCCAGTGCTGTGAAAACCTGTCGGCCAAGCGTCGGCAGAGATCAGCCTGCTTGTGGGCGTATGCGCGAGCTCCATGCATCATGTCATCGGACTTGAAACTGTCGTGACTTGCGCGCTCCTCCCACCATACAGCCTTCCATCGAAGATAGACTACAGACCTTCGCATTTCCTCTTGGACCAATTGATACTCCTCATTCCATCGTTGCAAACGTGCTCGTCCCTTCGCCCACTCCACTCGCAAGCTTTCGTCCAATTCTTCCTCGGCTAAGGTGTCGTCACCTTCCCTCCGAACTCTCGGAACCTGCCAAATCCAAGATGGGATAAATCGGCTGCTGCTTTCGTGTGACTCCCTCCCAGGCCCCCGAATATCACCCGGGTTGAGTGGTTTCAGTCTGTGGGTCCACTCGCCTGTCGGATTTATTGTAACCAAGGCATCGCGAGCTCGTCGGTAACGGTTGGCGGCCTTGGAGATCTTGGCTTGGATACGATTGTATAGCGAACGCACTCTCGTGTTGGGCTTGTTTCCAGCCCCGGCCAGATGAAGTTTCTTGAATTGAGTGAGTCCTGTCAAGATTCTTCGGCCAAGTCGAATTTCGGAGAGAGCATCGTCAGCCTGCGCCTCGCGTAACCGCCTCTCCTTCTCGGTCATGGCCGGAATAGTTTGATGTAGGGTGGGTGTGAGGTCCGATGGGAGGTATAACGGAATGTCCTCGGGTTTGATGACTTCGGCTCCCTCCGAGTCTTCACCAGCGGTTATCCCAGGGAGGAGTGGTGCCACACACGGAGCATAGACGATTTGAACCTCCCTCCACCTAGCAATCCGTCGACGCATTCCATTACGCTTCTCCTGTAAGTCAGCCTTCTGCTTGCTGGTGCTCATACGACTATTCTCCAAGTCAAATTTGAGCGAGCGTCTTCACCGCACACATCAGCTGAATTGGCGCTGTCACCGAAGAAATAGCCGACTTACTGCTGTTCCTCCAAGTCAAGCGCCACCACTAGGCACGCTGTCATCGATGTCGTATGCGCCGAAACCACGCCACGAGCCTCCTCTCGCTCGTCTTCTTTCGCTAATTCCAAGCGCACATCCTGCATTGTTGTTTCTAGTGTAGGAGTAGTAATGTAAAGTAGATCAATATCGGTATTAGGATAAGATAACGAAAGTCGTACCGAGTTTCACTTCTGCATATGGATTTGGATTATTCTTCGGATCCTTCTCCCAGTCCACAATCATTCTAGTCCATCTCGCTATCTTGTCCAGTGTGAACGTAAGGCATAGGTTACTGAATGCTTGCTCCTGTTGAGCTCGCATTTCCGCCGACTCTCGGAACTTCTTCGCCAGCAGAGCTTCTACGAAAGGGGTAAGGATTAGAAGAGGCAAGTCAATAGTACTAAGGATCACGTACTAAGTTTCACAGTCTTCCGCGCGTTATTCCCTTGGAATTGGTCGGTCAGCATTTCGTGACGAGCCGCCGGCGCCATCTCTCTCACACTGGCGCCTAATACATTGGTTTCGGAAAAGTTCTGCTCGATTTCGTCGCCACAGGTCTTCGCAGCTCCCGGAGTGTACTGTAGAGCGTAGTTGACTTGGCAATCCGGGCCGTGGCCATTGATATGCCAAGAGGGGATAAGGGCGGTGACTTTGGTTTCATTGGTGTTGAGTCGAATAGCCTCTGGAAGTTTCCCAAGCCGTTTCAGGAAATTCTTGACCCATTGACAAGCGATATCGTAAGTTATCACTACTTGGAGGAGTGCTACGGCCGCGAGAGCTGAGAATACGATATAGTCAATGTTGCAATACCTGAGAGAACAATGAGAATGTATTAGAATGAATGAAAGTGTCATCAAACCTACCGCTCTCCTTTTTGTAAGTCGCCAACGCCGTTCGGTCTGAGGAAGCCATGACGTGAGCAAATGACAATCGCAGCCCCCGTAACGTTGTATCCCGGAGTGCATCTGACGGCTGCTCTGACTACAGCGTCATGCTCCGACTGGCAGGTATTGATCTAGGGGTAGCCATCAGCAAGTGAGATAACGAGAACATACGCAAAAGGCAAAAACTCACCTCTGATTCGTCTACATACCCGATCAAATGATTCTGATACTTGTTCTCCTCAACGAAATACGCCAAACCAGGCAGCAACTCTATGTCTGAAAACCCCCGATTCTTCCCCTTTAGCTTGAAATTGGCGTCCACTGCGACAAATAGCGTATAGAGAAACCTTCAACATTATGAGCGCAGTTCGAGGTATCGATAAAAAACCACAAACTCACGCTAATTTGCCAGCCTCTTTCCAACGGACAGGAAGGTTCTTGTTGGGATGTGGACACGCCGGGCACTCGATTGCCAATTCTCCTTCCTTGGTTTCCGCGATTCCGTTCGGGACATTGCCACGCCCCGCGCGTTTGAACATCATCAGCACACGCCAGAGGCGAAAGGTCCGATGGAAGTCATTACAGCGGCTCTAAAGTTGGGTTCAGTGCAAGAATAGATCAGAATTACTTGCAAGACTCACAGGAACTGATCTAAGTTGTAGAAAGTCCGAACGCTTGACAATCGTATGGTAATAGTCGTACAAGGTAACTTTACCCTGTAAGGAGAGCTGATGGAAGTGATCGAGCATGTCAAAAGTGAAGGCCGTTTGAGGACGAGAGAGCGTGGCTGGGAAAAGACGTGATCGTAGAAGCTGTGATCGCTTGTCAATAGCTAAGGCACCTGGAAGGCAGTCACAGTAGTCGATGTTCACGGAGTGAACTCCACTGATGTCGAAGACCGTGAAGTCTGGGGGTCCTGGAAGTGGGTTTGCACAGCTTCCCCCTCCATGTCCGAGCTGGACGCGCAGGCCCAGACTAGATAAAGAGGTCTTTTCAAAATAGCGCCCATTCCATTCCTGAAACAATGTAAAAGTCCGATTTAGGTTTCACATAAAACAGCACGTACCTCGATCCGATGAAGAGGAAGGTTACGATGGTTGTTGAGAAGGCACTCGCAACAGGTTAGCAGACACCCATCCCAGCAGTCCGGACACTTGAACAACCGGCAATCCTTCTCAGCGCATGTATTGCAGCTGCTCTCCCCCAGGTAATCGCCGTGACCATCGTGCCTTAGCAGCTCATCAAGGAAGTCAGATCGATAAGGGAGCCATTCAAGGAGTTTGTTCTGGGAAGACTTCGTTAATTCATGAGTCAATTTTTAACAAATCAATGCTCACGTACCCAATTCTTATAATTACGGTGGCGTTTCGACTTGGATTGGACTGGATCCTCCTCGTCCTCTGAGTCGTCGAGTCGAGGTTGGTCATTAGTCTCCTCGGTATTGATGTTTGACTGATCCCAACTGTCGCTGTCCAGTTCGATATCCACCGCTCGCCCTACAATCGGAGTCGAAGGTGTGGATGGTTCGGTCTCCGATGGGGGAGGCTCTTCGGGTTCCTCTGGGTGGTTGTCGATTTGGATAGTCTTCGCTCGAATTCGTGTACGAGCACCAGAAGCATCGGAGAATGAGAAGACATTTGATCTCTTGCTAGATCGCCGTCAACCAGGCGCCGAATCCATGTTCACGCGCGATCGCTTTGAGGTACTGGGTTCATTTTCTCCTTTCCGCTTGTTGGACATGGTGGAAACACGAACAGGGAGGTAAACGACGTGACAGACGGAGATTCAGAGTTGGAACTTGGAGAAACACGAGGGCTTGTTGAGGATTTCACGGATTTCACGAGCCGTTCACATGGCTTAAGGGTCCTTTCTTAATTCCCAAGTTATCATCATGTGTCCACAGGTAAAACGAAGGGGCATTGATATTGAACGAGCGACGAGGTGTTACACAAGCGAACTATTACAAGGTATCTACTGAACACAGTCTTCCGCCGGGCCATAGAGACTATCGAAGTGCCCAGCCAGCCAACCGTTGCGACCTATGGCTCTGACGGTACACCTACTTTTAGCGAGCTGGTAATGGGCCCAGGCCTCTTCGTAGCTGCGAAAGCTTCGGAAGATACAGTGTGACCTCAAGTTGTCGATGAGATCGCTAACATAGAACCTAAAAACATACTCGATTAGCGAGCGACGAGGTATAGAACACGAGATCACTTACCAATCAGTGAAAACCCCACAGCACCGACCTCTGACCACGACATAATACTTGACAACCGTAGGATCCGTGGCCTTGGCATCCTCGGGATACACCCAGAAATTGGATGGAGGTGCAATGGGTGAGACGGGTGAACGAACCGCAGCAGGGGCGGAAGGGACAGCCTGAACGACCGGGGGTGGAGGAGGTGGGATAGCTGGAGGTGTCAAGGCACTCGCAGGACTCGCAGGTGTTGCATTGATTGTTATCGAGAGATCTAATAGCAGGTCAGTGTGGAACCGAGAGGGTCGAACAGCGAACTTACTCATGTTTGCAACAAGCGCCGCCAACACATTTATGTCGAGGTTCATGGTAAGCGTCGCATTGGGAGTCGCAGAGGTGTTGGTGCTGTCGGTGCTGTCGTTGGGGTTGGTCTGCATTTGTGATCGGTTGAGGCAAGGCACGAAGTGATTGTGGCGAAGGGTTTTGTATCAGTTCGGTTGCACAACAATTCGCCGCTTGAAAAGAACGGGCTTGCTCCGAAACATAAAAAAAACAAAAAAATAACACAAACACGTCAGAATACCCTTGCCACAATCTGCATTGCTTGTCTACGCCACGCACATACATCTCGCAGCATGGGAGGACGTTGGGCAAATCAAATCGAGTGGGACTGGCTGGTTGGCATGACCCCCCGATGGCTCGCGTGCACCAACGCAGAGGAGAGGAAGAACTTCATTGCGGAAATGACGACCGAGTTCATGACCAGGTTCCCTATCAAGAAGGGCTCCGACGCTGATGTCCAGCTCTACGGCGAGGTAAGGGCTCTCGACATTGCGAATTACAAAAGGCGCAAGGTACGTCAAGTCAACGAATGCCCAGACAGTCACTGACGTCGGCCAACACAGGAACTGGGCTACTGGTTCTACAACAACACCCGACCCTCGTCAGGGGGTGCGCGAGGTATCCTCCAAAGCAAGAAGAAGAAGAAACGACACACTTGGCAGGCCTACTCTCACCTCTATTGGGATAAGGGTCTCGAGAAGAAAGTCAACGACAAATGTAAGGAAGACTACGGCAAGGTGTTGGAGGACTTCCCACCCAGAGAGCGTCTCCCTATTCGTCACAAGTTAGTCGAGCACTTTTTCAAAGAAGAGACAGAGGCCGTACGCGAGGAAGTTGAGGAGTGGCGGAACAGCGAGGTCAAGATCAAGCGCCCGTTGACCAATGACCTCTTGGTCCAGAACATAGCCAAGGTCCCGAAAACCATGAAGGTCTTCTCAGAGATAATCGATGAGGAGACAGATTGGGTCGGCACCATGGTGATGGGTGGGCCTCACCCAATGTACGGAGGGGAGCCTGTGCACTATATGTGAGTTTGTCGTCCTAGCGCATACTTTTAGCGTTCAACTTACCAATGTCCGTCTTATCGCTAGCCGGGTTTGGGGAACCAACAAGGACGGATTGAGCTTTGAGCAATACCTGGGAGAGAGAGGATATAAGAGATGGGCCAAGAAGGTCACGAAATGGATTGCGTCGTGTTATGGTATGTGCCGTATTCGTTTTGAGCAAAGCGCGAGCTGACCGACCAATCCAACAGACTCTCATGACCGAGAGAGGCGTAAGCTGGATGGCAACCACCAGGCACTCCAGCCCGAGCAGTCAGACGACGAAACCTCCGACGACGACTCCAATAGCGACAGCGACAACGACGATGAGATGGTCATCGACGTTGACAACGACGTCGACAAGGAGAACGGCGGTGCACGAGCAACGAACAAAGAGAAGGGAAAGGGGAAGCAAACACGTACTAAGAAATCGAAGTCGACCACAATGCCGCTCCAAAGTGGCTCCAACGCCAACAAACCCGTATCCGACTCCAACAAATCTGCACCCAAGGATTCCAACAACGCCAAAGCAGCATTGAGCTCGAAGGCTGGTGCCACGGAAACGGGCAAGAGCACCTATGAACTGGATCGTGATGCCAGGATCGCGCAGAACAAGGTTATCATGGGCATTGTGGACAAGTCGATAGAAGAAGGGAGCATTCGCGAGAAGCTCGTCGAGGAGTTGGCAGCTGTTGGCGTTGTTCTCACAGAGGATGCGCTTGCAGATATGTTGAACAGGTGTGTACACTTGTGGCTGGCTGTGGCCTGCCAGTTTATCAAATCCTTTCTCACGCAATTATCCTCAGCATCGCAAAGATTTTTGATCAAGATAAGTCCAAGGAGAACAAGGAGAATAAGGCGGCGGAGGAGAATGAGGAAAGCAGCCCCAACACCGACGACGCCCAGCCTCCCGCGACCAACACCAACAACGCCCAGCCTCCCGCGACCAACACCAACAACGCCCAGCCTCCCGCTACCAACACCGACGATGCCCAGCCTCCCGCGACCAACACCAACAACGCCCAGCCTCCCGCGACCAACACCAACGATGCGGAAAAGCCCATGGACGTCGACGCCCAGCCTCCCGCGACCAGCACTGGCGACGCAGAAAAGGCCATGGACGTCGACGGACCTCCTCCCCCTGAGGAACCCTTGTCTCTCAAGGGTGTCAGTGTTCCGGCTTACATGAAGGCAACTTGGCCATACTTGCTTGGGCTTTCGCTCAAGCGAGTTTGGCGAAGCCTTCTCCTCGCTTTTGCCTCATTCGAGGCTCAGAAGCCCAAGACCGGGGTACATCTTTCATTTCCTTCCCATTAGGATGATGCTGACAGTTTTTATTTACAGAATCTGTCTACTGACCATCGTCCGAAAGAGGTCCAAGCCTGGATTCGAAGCCACAAGAAGGATGTACCCCCCGACGTCAAGCTCGAAGTTTTCGTCGACCAGTTCCTCCGGTGGTATCGAAGCCTTCAACCGGCTTGGCGCGTCGATGGTTTTGATGGTACCGACCCATCAGCATTTTCTCGAGAGGTCCCCAGCGATCCATCTTGGGGGTTGTATCCGCCACGGAGGCAGCGCGGGGTTCTACACGATCCTCATGGCGCTTTCCTGGTGGATCGTCAAGTCCCCGTCCGCCCTCGAGACCACCGCTGCCGCTGTCATTGCTGATATGACGTGGCTGCTTCAACAGCTTGAAAGTGAGCTGCCAGCTGCGCCCTCTGGGTCAGGGTCATCCCGGGCCTCTACGAAGAGAGGCAACGACGGAGGCGGACGTACGAGAGCTGCCAAGAAACGGTATGTCTTTTTTTGACTTCTACGTCATCGCATTTGCTGATTGTAGTATCACTTTTTAGCCGTTGTTGATGTCATACCCCACCGCTCGCCGTTTTAATCTTTTTTATCTTATCTCCTAGATCGTTATCTCCATTTTCCATGTCCACATTTAATCAGTCCCTTTCTATCCCTTCTTATCTTATCTCTTTGATCATTTTTTCGTTGTCCTCGTAATCTTTTCTTGTGATTCCTCCTTATCTTATCGCTTAGATCGCTCCCTCGTCGTCTCGTCGATAATCTGTAATCAGGTTCCGTGCATCAATAGATCAATTTGCTGTGACCTTCCATTTGCCCTGAATAAGTGATACAAGGCTCAAGCCTTCTGAAAGTCGTCATTTGCCCTGAATTAATGATTGCCCACTTTTACTGATTCTCTGAAGTAGGGGAAAGTCGTCATTTGCCCTGAATTAATGATTGCCCACTTTTACTGATTCTCTAAAGTAGGGCAGAGTACACAAGGGCTTTTGTCGTTTGCCCTGTTTGAATGACAGAGAGTGGTGGATAGTAGTGAGGACGAGTGATGCGGAAGAAGGCAGCCTTGACGAAGACGCGATCGCCAACCTTGAAGTCCGGCGGAGGTAGACGCTTGCGATCAGCGTAGTGCTGATAGGACTTCTGGGCGGTAGCGATGGATTCCCGGAGGTGTTCGTGCAACGAGGCGAGATCGACGGCGAATTCTTGTGCGGCAGAGCTGGCGAGGTCGCGCTCAGGGTGGATGTTGAGAGCTGGATGATAACCCTTGTTCGCGAAGAAGGGGGAGACGCCAGTAGTAGCCGATGGTGCGTTGTTATACGCGAATTCTGCGAGGGGAAGAAGTCGATGCCAATCGTCCTGCTGGTAAGAACAGTAAAAGCCCGAAGGTACTGCTCCAGGGTCTGGGTTCACCCGCTCGGTCTGTCCGTCGCCTTCAGGATGGTATCCTGACGTGAAGTGAAGCTTCATGTCCAAGGCCTCACCCAATGCACGGAAAAAATGCGAAACGAACTCTGAACCTCGATCAGAAGTTACGTTTGAGGGTACGCCGTGCTTGGAGAAGACATGGATAACGAAGAGGCGAGCAAAAGCTCGGCGGACGTGAGGTGAGAGTCCGTCGGGATGAAAATGGCTTGCTTGGACAGGCGGTCGACGATGACGAGGATGTCGGTGAACCCACCAGAGGAGGGGAGTTGCTCGATGAGGTCCATGGAGATGGACTCCCAAGGGCGAAGGGGAATGGGAAGCTGCTTCAAAAGACCCGTAGGGCTTGTGACGAGGAGTCTTCGTACGGCGGCAAGTCGTGCATGAGTTGACGTAGTCTGCGACGAACGAACGGCAGTTTGGGCCAAACATAATCACGGGGCGGACCAGTTCAATCGTTTTGTTACGACCGAAGTGACCAGCAAGGGGGTGATCGTGCTTGAGCTGCAGGACTCGAAGACGAAGGTCAGGACTATCTGGAACGTAGATACGCCCATCAAGTCGAAGAAGACCGTCGGATGGAAGCTCCCAACGAGGGTCTGAAGGAATAGGAAGTTGTGAAGAGGCGAGGGTGTCCGAAGAATAAGAAGCCTTGATGTCTGCATGAAGACCGGCGGAATCGACCACGAACGAGGCTCGAAGGGCTGGGGTGTAGACTGAGGTAGCCCTCAATGACGAAGCCAGTTGTTCAGACGCGAAGATTGGACGGAAATTGACTGGATTAACGCTGGCGAAGTCACTACCCCCCTGTTTAAGGTAGACGTCCCACCGTCGTGTTAGCGCATCAGGCTTAGTGCCCAGTTTGCCAGGACGAAAACGAACGATGAGGTTAAACTGGGAGAGGTATTCAGACCAACGCGCCTGCCGGCGGGTAAGAACCTTGGTAGTGGAGAAATACTCCAAGTTCTTGTGGTCTGTGACGACGTTGACCGGGTCGCCTGCACCTTCCAAGTAATGACGCCAGACTTTGAACGCCTCGAAGATGGCGAGGAGTTCTTTGTCGTGGACATCATAGTTGAGTTCAGCGGCTTGGAACGTGCGAGAGTGGAAAGCGACGGGGTGCACTTCATCCCGACTCGAGCTGAATCGAGAGAATGGCGGCCAAAGCGTAATCGGATGCGTCTGTTTCGACGATGAGCGGTCGATCGGGTTGCCAATGAACGAGAATGGGGGCAGAAATAAAGGCGGACTTGAGGGTCTCGAAGGATTTTCGAGCGGCGGCGGAGAACTCGAAGGGAACGTCCTTGCGAGTGAGGTGCGTGAGGGGAACGACAATGTCCGAGTAGCCCATGGATGAACCGGCGGTAGAAGTTCGCGAACCCGAGGAAAGACTGGATGTCCTTCACTGAACGGGGTTCAGGCCAGTCCTGGATGACTTGGACCTTCTCAGACGACATGGTGAGCCCGTCGGGGGACAGAATGTACCCGAGATACTCAACGCGATCGACATGGAATTCGCACTTCTTTGGGGAAGCGAAAAGACCATGTTTGCGAAGTCGACGGAGTACCTCCTTGACGTGCATGACGATGCTGAGTGAGATCGTCCGAGAATACTAGGATGTCGTCGAGGTAGACAATGACTGAGACGTCCGTCATGTCTGCGAAGATGTCGTTCATGAAGCGCTGGAAAGCCGACGGTGCGTTAGTGAGGCCAAAAGGCATCACCAACCACTCGAAAGACCCATAACGAGTACGAAAAGCTGTCTTCCACTCATCCCCATCCGCGATGCGCACAAGGTGGTACGCGTGCTTGAGGTCGATCTTGGAGTAGATCTTAGCACGCGCCGGGGCCGCAAGAAGGTCCGAAATGAGAGGTAACGGATAGCGATCCTTCTTTGAGATGCGGTTGAGAGCCCGATAATCCACACAGAGGCGAAGGGAACCATCCTTCTTCTTCGACGAAGAGGATGGGCGCACCAAGCGGGGAGTTCGACGAGCGAATGAAACCTGCGCGCAAATTCTCGTCCAAGAACTCGCGTAGCGCGGTGGTTTCCGCCGGGGAGAGGGAGTAAAGCCGACTCGGAGGAAGGGGCTGTGACTCATCCAGATCAATGCGCAAATCATAGGGGCGATGTGGCGCAAGCGAATAAGCCTTCGCGTTGACTGAAGACGTCGGCGAATTCGTGATACTCTTCTGGAACGTTGGAGAGATCTGGGGTGTTGTCACGGCTGGTTGAAGCAGCACAAGCCCGAGAGACGTTGTCCGATGAAGAAATGGAAAGTGAAAAGGCCTGCGAACCACTCATGCGAACAGCCCGGCGGTAAGCAGAGGCGTTCACAAAAGCGATTGGGCACAGGGTTAGAAGTAAAAGAAGAGGAGGAAGGAGAGGGGATCGACGACGACGAGTCTTGAGGCGGATCTTGAGGTAAGGGAACAATCGGTTCCCGCGGGGATAAATTGTCGGAGTCGAGTGAGTCGAAGTCGATAGGGGGAGAGGAAACGAGAGGACAGGTCGATGAAGGGACCACGGATGGTTTGGACGGAAGGCTGGATGATGAAACGGAGGTCTCGACGTTTGCTGCGACGAGTGAGCTCAAGGAGGAGGGGTTATCGGCCGATTCGAATGAAAGTATCTGACCACGACGCCAGTCAATCAACGGATTGTAACGGCGGAGCCAGTTGTGTCCTAGAACCCAGGGGATACGGAGCATCCAGCTTGGTGATGAAGCACTTGAGATAGAACTCATCACCAGACGGAAAGCGGAGGATGATGTCCGCGGCGGACGTGAGCCATGTACGAACTGATCCATCGAGGAGTTTGAGTGGTACTGGCGGAATTTCATAAAATTGCAGAGAAGGATGAGAGTATACAAAATCAGAGTCGAGAAAACAGTTCGTACAACCCGAATCCACCAGGGAGTTGAGGTCGATAGGCGAAGAAGTCGTCGAAGAGAGAATGGAGACCGAGAACGAGAGAGCATGAGGGTCGGAAAGAGCTGCAGCGTTAAGTCGGACCTCAGGCACTCCTGCTGTGAGGCTGCAGTCGACTGGAGGAGGCGAGGTCAGAGGACTGCTCAAGCTTTTCCCGCAGACGAGTCAGTGGCAGGCTGACCGGCGGAAGCGAAGCGAGCACGATGACGGGTTTTGGGGCAGTCAAACGCCTTATGCTCTGCGCTGCCGCACACCATACAAAGGTTCTCTTTCATACGACGGGCGCGCTCCTCAGGCTTGAGCTTCCCGTTAGCATCAAGCTTGTCGGTGTAGGGACGAGGAGGGGCAGAGGACGACGAGGGTGTCGACGAGGTAGACGAGGTCTTGTTTGACTTTCCCTTGGTAGAGGAAGAGGTCGACGAAGACGAGGGGTTCCCGGCGGACTGAGGCGAAGACTTGGTAGACGATGAGTTGTTGGAGGAAGTCGACGCCGGGGTGGCTAGAGAGCCAGACGAGAGAGAGGGAGTGGACGATGAACCCTTGCCAGAGAGCTTGGCTTGGAGTGCCTTAAGGAGAGCCTGGTCACGACGGATCTCCTCTTGGCGTTCGTGCCAACGTTCGTCCATGTCGAAGACGACGTTCTGTAACTCCAAGAGCGAAGAGGGGCGAGCACGCTTCGCCAGCTCGTTCTTGATACGATCTGAGAGGCCGGCGTAGTACTGGGAACGCAAGGGAGCTTCGTTCCAGGTGATGCGTGCTGCGAGCTCGTTGAAGTCGAGGGTGTATTGGTAGGCACGACCAGTCATCGTTAACGCGCGAATTTTACGTTCAGCGTCACCGACGGGGTTCTTGGGTCCGAAAACGAGAGTGAGCTCCTCGATGAAGAGGTCCAGATCGTCAAACCAAGGTAACGTCGCGTCCGTGGTGCGAGCAACGTTGATACGAGACGCGAAGTACGTGTACGCCTTGCCCTTGAGGTACGAGAGGGCAGTGGCCACGGCGTCCTTTGGGTGCTTGAAGGTATGCTTGTAGCGTCCAAGGTAGACCGTGAGCTGAGCGATGAAGGCGTCGAGTAGTTCGGGATCGGAACCGTCGAAGGGATCGGGAGCGCGGAGTCGAGGGGCACTGGCGGATTGGGATTCGAGTTTTTCGAGGGCTTTGGCAAGAGTGCGAGAACTGTCACGCTGGCCATCGATGAGGTGCTCGAGGATACGTCGAAGGACTGCATTGAAGTCGTCCTCGGGTTCCTCTTGCTCTTGGTTACACCGAATCACCACCCGGCGGGCCTCCAGGAGGGCCACCAGATCCACCACCACCACCATGAGGGGGAGGGTCACCACCACCGTTGCCAGACGGCGGGGGACCACCAGAGCCACCACCTGAGGGGCCACCACCACCACCTCCACCGCCCAGAGGGTCCGGCGGATCGCCAGGAGGTGTGCGTGGGGAGCCAAAAGGTAGGGGGTCGTCGCCTCCTTTGCCAGAGGAGGGTAGACCGTCACGAAGAGGGTTGGGAGCTCGACCTGAGGACCCGCCGAGGGTGCCAAACCCGGAGGTTGAGGTACAAACTCCACCAAACGCACTAGTGGTCAGACCACCAGGGAAGCCGAGGTGAGAAGCCACGAACTCTTCTTCACGACCGTCGTTGGCCATATCGCGTCGAATGGTTGGTTGGCCGAGGAACGAGGTTGGGGGTTGCCAAATCGCAGTAGCTGCTACGGCGGGAGATGTCGCGTTCGAAACGTAGAAGGGGTCGACGAGGGACTCGTGTCGAGAGTGAGAGAGGGGTCGACCGAGCGTAGAGGCAGAGGGAGGAGGGCGAGGACGACGTAGGTTGTAAGGATTGCCCTGTTCTGACATAAGTGTAGACGAGGAACGACGTGACGAAGTCGTATCCGGAATCTACTGTCAGGGTCGGATACAGAGAGAGAGGAGAGAAGGACGTAGGAGGGCGGAGGGTAGCCTTGGTCTCACGTTATAAGAACGTGTACCCTTCGTCACGGCTCCAAAGGCTGGCTAGGCCGAAGGACCAGACGGAAACGCCTTCCGGCGGGGGAGACGAGAGTGAAGGGCGACTGGAGCTAAGGCTCGAGGGTCGAAGACGATGAGGAAGAGAGTTTACTCGGGGAACTTAGACTGAGAGATTCGATGCGTATGAACCTAGTCGAGATTCCGGATGAGGTACCTACTACAAATTGAGATAGTACTTATAGTAAATACCGGCGGGGAATCTACGGGCGAATCGAGACGAAATGACAAAGTCCAAAAGGGAAAGAATAAGTCGAGAACCAGAACAAGAAAGACGAAATCGTACACAAGAAAATCTAGAGTACTCGAGAACGACTACAACAACCAATCGTGAACCCGGCGGATAAAATCCAAACAAGAACGTTCGTACGAAAAGGTCATCTGTAGTGAAGGACACGGGTAACCCGCGGGTAAATTTACCCCTACCCGTACCCGTACCCGCGCTTACCCGTACCCGCAACCCGACGGGTATTCTGCACAAAACGAGCCCAAGAACGTCCAAAACGGACCAAAAATGAGCGAGATATACTCAATTTACTTAAATGAAGCGTAACCCGCCCATTTTATGGCCGTTTTGGACGTTTTTGGGCTCGTTTTGAAGGGGCGCGGGTACGGCAACCCTTACCCGTACCCGCACCCGCGCCTACCCGTACCCGTAACCCGCCGGGTATCGAAAACCCGTGTCCATCACTAGTCATCTGAGCAAACTGGAAATCAAGTGTAAAGAAATAGAAGCAAGAAGAATAACGACACGGCGGAATAAGAAATAGAAGAATAACAGAATACAGACGTACTTCGAATACACAATACGAAACCCATTTGACAGCTTGCCAAGCGCGCGTCTAAAGTCCACAGGATTATCCGGCGGATCCGAGAGTTCCGGCACAGCCGCGAGACCGCGCGCGCGCGCCAGTCGTGACCTTTCCCACGCTCCGCGAACGTCGCGCATCAAAGTCGAGAGAGGAACCGGCGGGCTGGAATGAAGTGGGTATAACGAATAAAATGTATAAGAGAAAATACGAATAGTAACATCGAATGGTGTTGAGGGTGAAAGAAGGGTGTAGTTGTACGTATCGAGACCCGGCGGTTGCACGAGCCCTGACATCTACCAAAACAACAATCCCATCGAACTTGCGTGCCAACGTACAGATAGTACCTAAAAGTCTTCTGTCGTGAACAGCAAGTACGAGCCCCTATTTTTCCTTATCTTATCTTATCGCTTTCATCGCTTTTATCACCTTTTCTTTATTCTCATTTTTGCTCTTATTCTCGACACGGACACTTTCTCCCATGGAACACTGCCTCGTTATGCCCTTCGCCCTACGTCTTATTGTTCTCTCCATTCTTGCACTGCCTCGTTACTCCGTTATTGTTTCTTCGCTCTTCGCGCAGCCTTCGCGCAGCCTTGTGACTCTCCTTATTGTTCTTTTGTGTCTCGCCATCCGTTCGTCACCTTGACTCATCGCGGCTATGTAGACTGTAGAATAGGTATATAAGCTAGGTAGATTCCTCTGTATTTCCTCAGCTTGACCCTCTTCGTCAATACATCGCTTCAGCCTTCATCTGCATTCGTCGCTCATCGCTCTTATCTTACTCGCCGCTCTTATCTGCTCCGCATCACTGGTCTTTGGTTTGGTTTAGTGTTCGCTCTTCGCGACATTTAATGTCATGAACAGGCGAAATCATGACATAGAATGGTGCTTATATACCACGGTCTGCCTGTCCACCTAAGCTGGACATGGGCGCCTTTTTGGTGCAGTGGTTAGTGTGACCGTCTAATCACGACATTATGTCCAGCTTCAACAGGTCGAGGGTTCAACTCCTGGGATGTACACATTTACTGGCCGGTTTGAGTCATGTGAGCTTAAGGTCATGTGACAATAAGAACCATGTGATAGGCGCAAATGTAATGGATCACCCGGGCACCTTCTGGGCCCTCAATAGACCTGCAGGCATGACAGTTGTCCGCTGCCTGGAAAGGCCGGTATAGGGGATGCATCATTCTCGTCTTACGAGGACGTAAGCCATAGAAGGGGGCTAATGTCATGAACAGGCGAAATCATGACATAGAATGGTGCTTATATACCACGGTCTGCCTGTCCACCTAAGCTGGACATGGGCGCCTTTTTGGTGCAGTGGTTAGTGTGACCGTCTAATCACGACATCTTCAGATTTCGGCCGTCGGTCTTCATCTTCGTGTCACTTGTCTCACACCAAGTTCCACTCGATTTGGGACCGCCGGTTGTTTTCTGGTTCTTCTTTGTGCTTTCTGTGCTAGCCAGCACATCACCGGCTACCCTTGGCCAAACCCCTACCCCCAGTCGGGGGTAAGGGTATTAAACACGTAAGACGATGTACCACTGCAAGTGGGGAAGAGTTCGATGGGGTTAGTACAGATATAAATAAGTACAATGAGGACATACCTGCAAGTGGGGAAGAGTTCGATGGGGGAACTCCCACTTGCAGTCACTACCTATATACGTCTGGGGACAAAGGGATGTCTATATACGGTAGAACAATAAGATGTCCGAATTGGGAACAAGGGATACAAGAGAACAATAGAACTACTTAATATATCCGAGATCAGAGAACAATAGAATGTCCGTATAAGGATACATGAAACGTTCGTACATAATTGGGCATCCTTGTACCCGTAAATGGAATAGATGTGACATGTGCATTGTATTCCAACACATGTGAAAAATCACGTAGTGATCTTTGGAAAGAAAACGACCAGACCCGGGATTGAACCGAGGACCGTCCCAACACTAGGTGGATGCTCTAACCACTGAGCTATCCAGTCTAGTTCAACGTAGTGTGATACAGGTATTGAGCATATGCAAGAGATTGCATGTGAGCTCGGCGTATGCTAGAGATAGCATGTGAGCCGTATACCTGGTAGAGATAGCAATCGGATTACTGATCTCAACAAAGGGTTTTGATAAAAATCAATCAAAACCCATTTATTTCAGCATCTATGTATATTTTCTACTAAATAACTGCTGTATGCGCAATAAAACACATAAAAATATACATATAGACAACTGTAAGTAATTGTTAGTGCCAAAATGATTAAAACCCTTGGTCAAAACCCCCAGGGTTGGGGGTAACGGTACCCTCGGACAGTCTACTCTGGAGTATCTCAACATCATCCCTGGTCGTGTAAATTCAACGTTTACCGACGCAGATCTCTTGGAGCTCACATCTTCGTGGCCGCACCTCAAGGTATTCTCCATCGACGATGACCCACCTTTTTGTCGCGTCTCAAGGACTACCTTAACGCTCGGTGGCATCCACATCGCCCTCCAGAAGTGCCCCAAGCTCTCTTCCCTCTGGCTTCCCTGCGACGCGCGCACAATCCCTTCGACGGTACCCACCCCGCACACGGCCTTAACCCATTGGTCTTTTGGTCAATCAAGACTCACCTCGGGCGAAGCATTAGCGGAATGGATGAGGGCATGTTACCCCAATCTGGCCGCGGCGCTCATCAGCTGTTTCTGGGGTGTAAGGTTCAAACTGGTTTCTGGGTGCCAAGGGTACAGTAGCGGGGGGGTTGAAAGGTTGGATAGTGTGCCGGACGAAGTCATTGCCGCGGTTGATCAGTGGAACCTTATGACACAGCACTTGAAGGCGAGCAAGCAACCGGATGGTTCAGATACGGACACGGAGATGTAAATGTTTGTGATACCCCCTCCGAAAAAAATGCAACAGCCATTCCGAATTCGTGGCACGCAAAGTCAGTCAATGTGATTGGGTGCCTGGTAGGACAGTGTTGCGCTCGTTAAATTCAAGTCCATAACGTTCAACTTTGAACCTCGAGAGCAAGGTTCTGACGCAAGTCAATCTCCCCTTCAATTTCCATCCAAATACTGTGAGTCCGAGCACCTTTCCATGAGGATAGTCCTGAATCGATCGAATGAACCCTTCTCAAACCAGTGCCGACCGAGTCCGACTTCCCGCTACAACCACACAAGCTCCAATCGGTGCTGCATCCAAGCCTCAGCTGGCAGCCGGTAGTCAAACGCCAGCGACTCCTCGTCAAATGCAGACAAATTCCCCCCGTCGACGAATGCCCAGGTTCTTTTGAATGACTTGAAGGAGAAAACGCGAGCACCAGGGTGCCGTGCTCCCAATATCTCCACAAGGACCGATGTCTCAGTCGAATTCTTCGTGTTGTCCAGGATCGTTAAGCGTCGGAGTGCCGGTAGTATTGCTGTTGAGGTGGTGAGTGCGGTTTCGATGTCGTGCGGAAGTGTCCATAGCACTAGTTCTCGCAGGGTATCGAGTTCGTTCAAAATTTCTGGTAAGGACCCTTCTGGTATATCGATACCGGCCAAGCAAAGCGACTCCAAGCCTCCAGCCTCGCTTGGAATTCGCAAAAAATCCAGAAGCGCTGGGGGTAGAACGTCGTTGTGTAACGGTGTTGTCTTGATGACAAGCTGCAAAGACTTGATGGTCGGGATTTTCATCTTTTGCAAATAGGCAGCGACAACACCAGGATAGTCCGCGATGAACAGATGGCGGATGCTAGGGACGAGGATGCGTCCGAAGTCTTCTTCACGATCTTGAAGGGAGCCAGGGAAGCTCAAGGATTGTTGGATCCTCAAGGATTCGACCGACTTCATGATGTGCTGGCTCGACGGGCATTGGGAGACGAACGCCAGCGCTTCGAGTTGGCCTCTAAACTCCAAGGCGCGGAGGTTGCTGGCGTGGTCGCCTAGGAACGCCGTCGCATGTCGCTTGATGTTGGCCAGGTACTCGTTCTCCACTCTCGCGTCGATCCTCCAAATGTCTTTGAGGATAATATCTTGTAGCTGCGGAATTCTGAGGTTGATGTTCGCCTCCGTGATCAGGTCTTCCAATACAAATTCATCCATTCTTCTCAACCCGGTGATCATCGGAAGCGTGAGCGTAGCGTTGGCACGGAACTTCCATAGTTGGCGCAGGAATTGCGCGTCAACGGAACCCGACCACCTGGTGAGCAGTTCATCCTCCAGGCGGCGGTAAATTGGCGTCCACGCCTGGCGCTGTGGCTCTTCGGCTTGCGTGCCCCAAACAAGGTTGGGATAGGACGGAACGTTGATGAGAAGTGGTAGGGCAGAAGAGAGTTCTAGAAATTGGGCGACCCTTGCTGGGTATGGCGTATTCTCCGCATCGAGAGCCAGTGGACGATTCCATCTATTCCAATCTATCTCTATCGCCGTCCAGAGCTCTGGAGTCGAGTAGAGGACATCCCGCCAATGTCTGGACACGGCGCCGATGTTCCATGGTGCGCTAGTCTCATCGTATTGGATTACCATCCCAGGGACAATAGCGAGCCGCAAAATGCGAACGAGCAGCTCGGTGGGTAGAAGTCGGAGGGGGGAAAGAGACGATTGCTGGTGAGCGATCGTCCGTCGCAGTTGATCGGCTTCGCGGAGGAGTTCTGATAGTCTTTGTTGAGAGTCTGAGAGCGCTCTGGACAGCGCCTCGCGATCGGATGGAGTAAATTGCACTCCTTGACGAGATCGTTCTTGGAGGATTTCGACATCCGATGCCCAATCCATCTCCATCGGGTGCTACACCGGTGCGCGATGGCAAGGGAGTAAATGACATCGGAGATTAAGCCATCGCGAACATCAGTCATTTGGAGATCCAGTCTTACCATAGTCTTTGGGTTAGTCTATCTCTCTCTACGCTTCTCGCAATGCGCGAACGCCAGTATACTTGGAACTGAATGATTTGCAGGATCAGTCAGGAATCCGTCGTAAAGATCATGATGGAGTTGCTCCCTACCCGAGGCTAAAGAGGTAATGTTTCTGCTCACCAAAGGTCACCGAGACCTGTTTAGGACCGCAGATGGTAGGCTTGGTGGTCAACATCCACAACCTCGCCCACAACTTCTTTGCGCCAAACAAGCGACAAACAAGTCTTCTTTGATTTAAATTAGCGCCCAAGCAAGCATCCAATCCCGTGGCAAGATTCCGTGGGTGGATCGTAGGATTTACCTTCCGCATACGGAGCAGAGGGTATCTCAGGACCTTTACGAGTTTTGACATTTCTGGGATATACCTTCTTATCTCCCCATCTGTTCATCCAGTTAACATCATCCCGTGCAAAGGCAATCCGTGTCTCGGACCGAAATATCATCCAAGTCGTCAACAAGTGCTTCTACTTCCGTTCGTAAATCAGAAGCCTTTTATTGTGGTCAGAAGCTCTCAGCGTGAACAAACACGCTCGAGTCTTATGTACAGGCCACACATGTAGGCGCTCGGTCGGATGGCGCATTGCGAGAAGGTGTGTCCCCATTTGGGCACGGGATCAATGCCTGTCAGCGAGCGTCATCACGCTTACGCACTCTGTCAGCTTAATCCTAAGGTCCACCGCTACCATTACAACCACTCTTTCTCAGCCTGACTCATCGCTGCACGCAGTATCATCGTTACCGTAAACATGCACGACAGTTCTTTCCGTCGTCTGACGAGAAATCTCGAAGGAACCACGCAATCGGGATCTCAGAAATAGCACTCGGGGTTTCGTTTATAAAGGGGACGAAAAGACAGTTTCTGTCGTTCCTCATTCTTCCCTGATTTCCATCCATCCCTCGTCCTTCAAGTTTTTCTATCGTCAAACACCAGCGATGTCAGACAAGCGCCAAAACATCGTCATCGTAGGTGGTGGCCCCGGTGGTTCCTCAGCCGCCAGAGCAATCAGCACTTCGAAAAAGTTCAACGGCTCAACGCACCGCGTCATCCTCATCACCGCACGTCCCTACTTCACGCACCTCCCCGCCATGATCCGCACGACGGTCACCTCTGAAGGGTCCATCGAGAAGCTCGCCCTGATGAACTACGGCGACTTCATCCCTCCCGACAAGGGCGAAGTCAAGGTCGGGAAGGTCGTCAAGATCACGGAGGACGGCAAGGACCAGGGTGGTTCTGTGACTTTGGAGTCTGGGGAGGTTGTGCGGTATAGCATTTTGGTGCTGGCGACGGGCAACAAGTGGAATGGAGCGCTGGATATGCCGGATGATCCCAAGGAGATGCAGGCCAACTTTGATTCGTGGAGAGCTAAATTCGCGAAAGCGAAGAATATCGTGTTGGTTGGTGGGGGTTCTGTTGGTCTCGGTGCGTCCTTTTCTTTTTCTCACAACAAGTCTAAAGTCTAATCCTTTCTTCTGATATATGTATATCAGAGTACGCAGGAGAACTGCGAGATTTCTACCCCGATGCCAAGGTTACGATTGTGCATTCGCAGAAGCAGGTCCTCAACGACGCGTACCCGGATAAATTCCGCAAGGCCGTGTTGGCGCGTTTCCAGAAGGAGGGCGTGGAGATTGTGCTTGAGGATGCCGTCGACCAGACCGAGCCTGTGGATGGCAAGATTACAACACGCAAGGGCAAGTCTATCCCAGCTGACCTCGTGGTACGTATTAGCAATCCTATACCTTCGTCATCCCCATCCCCACCCCCATCTCAATCACCATCTCGACTACCCCTTGTAACGCCAACCCATTACTCACGATTCTATTCTTATCCCATCACAGCTCCCAGCATGGGGCGGACGACCCAACACTGCGTTCATCAAAGAGTCCTTAGGCGACGACGTCCTCACGTCCTCTGGGCACGTTAAGGTTCAGCCTACCCTCCAGCTCCCAGGACACGCCAGGATCTTCGCCGTGGGTGATATCATCGACTGGAACGAGCAGAAGCAGGCTGCCAAAGCCCCTGCGCACGGCGCCATCGTCGCTGCCAACATTGTCACCCTCGTTTCTGGATCGGGGGCTCTGACAGAGTACAAAGGCTCCTCTGAGATAATTCTTGTGACTGCTGGAAGGGTAAGTTCATCGTTGTCGTTCACTACATTTACCTTCTCTTTGAGTGTGAATGGGATGACTGATGATGGCGTTTTTTTCTTTGAATGTAGAATGGTGGGATCGCTTATCTCGGAATCCTTTGGGGAATTGTGTTGGGCGATTGGTTTGCGAGGATGCTCAAGTCCAAGGGTCTCGTGATTGAGATGTCGAGAGGGCAGTATGGGTTCCCTGCTTACAAGGCTTCTGCCTAAACTTCGACCTTTCTCCAAGTTCTCTCTCTCTCTCTCCCACACGCACCCTCTTTTTCGCTGGATATCTGATACCTTTCTCATGGATCTATACCCTATCTCCATCCCAATGCTTTTTTTGACTCGACTCGTGGAATGCACGCGCCGTCCTCATGTTCATTGTTCATATGACCCCTTCCTTTGCTTTCATCTAGGTAGAACGATTCGGTTCGGACACGACTTTGTTCTTTTCATGAAACTTACGCATGCATGCCTTATGGTATAGACTCACTCGTGTAACTAATACTGTGTAGAATGGAAGGTCTGTTTTCTCTTTTGCTTATCACTCGCCTCCGACCTCCAGCTTCAAAGCTTCAGCTTCAAGGTCGGAATCCGGATTTACGAACTTGAAATCTGGATCTGGATTCAAGGTTCCATCCAACCTTATCGTTCCAATCTGATATGTATGCCCTAGTACGATTATGCTAGTACGCAGACATCTCACCTGCCATTCAGTCGAGGAGAGTTATTTTTAGAACTGGGTGGATGACGAATTGTCGCCGGGGTGTCTCTGTCATCAACCTTCGAAGTTCCATGTTGTTTCCGAACTCCCATGCCTGTTCTACGTATCGATTTTTCGTTTCTTCTTCTTTGTTTCTGGCAACCACGTTCAAGTTTCAAGTTTCCCTTTCGCTCTCACCTCCTTTCTCTTCCTCTCTCTCTCGCACACATCTTGCTTCCTCTCCTTTGTTGTGACAGACAGCCTGCCTTCTCCCCATCGTTTCATTCTTCGATTCGAATTTCGGAGACCCGACTGGGTTGGGTTTCTGGGACTGGGACTGGGACTGGGACTGGGACTGGGACTGGGACTGGGACTGGGTTCGTCGTTGTCCCTTGGAGCTTCGAATTCGACGACTATTTGGAATTGCAGATCTAGATGACGGCTGCTGGGAGTTCTGGAGGATGGTGGACTGCAAACTGCTCGTCTGACTAGTTCTTTGTTTTTTCGTGAAGGGAGTTCGGCGTCTCACTGGCGTGTCAATGGGCGGCAACACTGTGTGACCACGACTCACGAGCGACGTATAGAGATTAGAATCTCCTGGGATACATTGGACGGAGAGTCTTCTGTGGACGAACGACGAAGGCCTGCGTTGGTATCTACAATCTAGCAAGAAGCCGGTCTTGGGGTTGGCTTTGCGACCTGACGTCCCACCGTCCCATTCTGGAAAAAATGGCTGTGCCTCGAGACTCGACATGTCCAGCCCAGCACATCATCGTGCAGTTACCTATGTATCCCACACCGAGTCTAGTAGATATCACAAGCAAAGTGTAGCGGATATCGAGAATGATGCGGTGGTAGCTCGCTTGGGGAGACCATTGACAGTCTTGGAGGCTTGGAGGCATGATTATGTACATACCAAGTTTTGGTGTTTCAGTGCTGTCTGATGTTGGAGGGGGGCTTGGGAACGCAATAGCTCGGGTATTGGTGCTCGTCCGTTCTCGAGACAACAGGGGTTCCTACCAGAGGTCAAACGCCTTGCCGATAATTGAAGCTGTCGGTAAATCCGAACCCGACGCGCTACCATGCAACGGAGCGAATCTTGCACTGGCACTGGCATTAACGCCCGACTCGACCTCTGACTACCGTCCCCTTGGTGTTTGAATCCCTGACCAGGTTACGATTTTTTCCTTGTTCCCGACTGAACGCTGTGCTTGCGCCTACGTACTATGGATCCTATTGTCCTCGTTCCGACTATTGTGTGCGCCTACATACATATCGTTTTCTTGGTTATTGGTCATCTTCGCATTGTTTGTACTCTATTGACTCGACCTGCGATGCTTCTACTCGCATTGACCAGGAATCCTTGGAGTTGGCCATGAGCAGGGAGCAGGGAGCGATCTTGTCCGGAAGCGATCCTCGAGTATTGACCAAGCGCGAATCGGATTTGCACCCTCGGAATGACGTTTGGACCTTCAGCCTTGTACTCGCTTTGCACCCTGATTTCTCCTTTTCAATTCATAGTTCGAAGACCCTCTGAATCACCATTACTATGTGAACGGGACCACTTCAATTGTGAACTAACTCGACCCTCGTTTTCGCTTCAAGGCCGTTGCTCCAAGGTTTGGACGACGTCATGCTCGCTTCCAAGCCGTACAGTTCACAGCAGGTGTCAAGCACTCCAACGCCGCATGGCGGATGGTTACAATGCGATAAACGATGGGAAGGGTATCGTGCGACGAGTAGTTGCACCCGTGGTGGAAGGAAGAAGCGCAATTTATACTTCAATCTCAGCCTTTTTCAGCGTTCTTCTATCTCCCTGTTATGCCCTATGGTGGTCTCGGTTCGCAACATATAAACCACCGAATTTGTGTGCTTCTGCAGGCCAAGCTGAGACGTGTGCCTCTCTCAGCCCCGCCTCGAAGGGTGGTTCGTGATGGACCTGGAGACTGTTGGGCCAAGAAGCATCGTTGATCAAAAGCCAAACAACTGAGATCAATTGGTGAGCCTCGTTGCTATGCATGTGTCGCTGGGCCTTTCATCGTCATCCCTTGCCCTCGTCCCTTTTTTATGCGTTTGATTTAATTTATAAACGGGCCAAGCGCGTTGCTGCCATCCCTTCTTTTCTGTTCCCTTTAAGAAGACGCCCATCCCTGTGGCTTGTCCCACTTTCCCACTCTCTTTTTTCCGCACACTTCCCCGCTCCCTTTCATTCCGCCCGACCCTATTCCCGGTCTTTACGAGAATGTCCTTAACAACATCAACAAGAACATCAACAATCCTCGCTGCCCTCCTCTCCGCTTTCCTCCTTGCCCCCGCCTCGGTCTCTGCCCACGGCGTCGTCACCGAGGTTCGAATCAACGGCCAGCCTTTCCGCGGTCCTGAGCCCAACCAGGGATTCCGTGCACCCGGCAACAGCATCGTCCGCCAAGTCCTCGACACCAGCCCCGTCCAAGGCGCCAACAACCCCGATCTCGCATGCGGCAGGAGTTCCACCCTCGCCAACCAAATCGCCGATGTCAACGCTGGAGATGAAGTTCAATTCGCCTGGAGCGCTGGTGTATGTTTGTTCTCTTTCATGTTTTCAGGGTTTAAACTGATGAGACTACCGTTAGTGGCCCCACCGAGTTGGACCAATTTTGACCTACATGGCTTCCTGTGGTGATGTTCCGTGCGACCAGTTTGACGCTTCAGGCGCTCGCTGGTTCAAGATCGGCCAACAGGGGAAGAAACCCGACAGTGGTGAATGGTTCCAGGCTGATATCGGTGCGTTTCCTTTCATCTTTTCCTTTCAAACCAGCGACTGAATCCTTTCACAGCCAATGGAGCCCCCGGCCGCGCACAGATCCCTCCCAACCTTGCACCCGGCAACTACATCATCCGCCACGAACTCATCGCTCTGCACATCGGCATGACTCGCGGCGGCGCCGAGTTCTACCCCTCCTGCTCCCAACTGCGCGTCCACGGTGGCGGCAACGGTCGCCCAGCCGAGCACGAACTCGTTACCTTCCCTGGCGGATACTCTGACGACCACCCAGGAATCTTCGTCCCTGGGATTTTCGAACCTGGATTCCAATACAACTTCCCCGGTCCGGAGATTTCGTCGCTGGCTGGTGGAGGTGGTGCTCCCGCTCCCGCTCCTGCCCCCGTTCCCGCTCCGGTACCCGAAGAGAAGGCACCTGAGGCGCCCCCCTCCGACCCGGTGAACAACGGATCCAATAACGCCCCTGCTCCCCCTCCGCCCCAGCAGGAAGCCCCACCCGCGCCTTCGCCCGCTCCTGAGACCTCGCCTGCACCTGTCCCCGCCCCTGCACCCGTCCCGATCCGCCGATGCAGGAAGCGACCTACTGCCAAGGAGCGTGCTGCCCGCAATGCTGCCCGCGACGCTGCTGCTTCGCCTACGCCGATCGCTATGGAGGTTGTGGACGTGGAGACCAACCCGCCTTCGCTTGTCAAGGCCAGGAGGCATCATAGCAGGGTTATGAGGAGGTTGGCTTATTCCCATTCGCATTAAGCGAGTAACGCTTTTTTGGTCGCTCGTCTTGCTTTGACCTTGATTTCTTTGTGTTTTTTTTTTTTTTTTTTTGAGCGTGCACGCTGGTTTTTTTGATTCGTCTTTTGGTTTTCGTACATGCTATTATTACTGGTGTAGAGGGCGTTGGTTGATCCAGCGACCTCGGACACGCGCAGAGCTGGTATTTGCGCTTCCATCTGCTTCCCTCGCTGTCGCGTCGTCGTCGACCTTTGTGACACTGGCTGTCACTCGGCATGCACATGCACGCGCGCGTACTTACTCGTTTACTCAAAGGCTCTGGAACTCGCAAGGGCGATAGAAGACGTTGATCCGTCCTGGCCTCCCTCTCCTCATCTTGTATCGATTAGCCACCTGTTATGATATGAGATCTCTTGTTTCTTTGGTCGATAGCTTGTATTATCTCGCTTTCGCTTTCGTATATAATTATCGATTATGTATCATAGAGGAAACTTTTTACAGATACCCGAAATATACCACGCTTTTGAATGAATGCTGGGAGGGACTTTAGGTTTTAAGTTAAGGGGAGGTACATGGCGGGTGAAAACCCCCGACGCCCGACACGGATGGGGCGCGATTGGTGATCCGCCTTTCCATTCTTGGAGATCGGGCCGACGCTGAGGTGAGCTCCACGGGCGCTAATGGAGTTTTCGAGGATTGGGTGTTCTCTCTGATTCCGCACACGTAATACAGGTACGGTGAAGATAGATGACATGGGGAATACGGTGCCCTATGGCCCTACATACTTACTTCCCACTTCTCGCAGTTTTGCTACGTGAAACGGCAGACAACACCATTCATCGAAGACTAATTCGGGCGCTGAACATTCCGTAGGTGCCTTTCCATTCTATTGTCTCCACTCAACTTAGGTGCGTACCTTCAATTATACGTAATGAGCATCTAAGAATATGCTCAACACGCACGATATTCTCGCACGATCTCCATCAACAGGTCTGCTGAGCACCGTCACCTGGTTGGAGGCGCCTATTCCAATTCATTACTCTCTGGGTCCTGCTATCACCTGACTGGAGTCTCCCTTCGCCACTCAGGGGACGTGCGGCGCGCAGTATAAAGGAAGGACGAGTCTGCTATCTGCTTTGCTCACATGCCCCAAGCTTCGTCCTCTTCGTACATCCCACTGCCGCAGAGCGAAGAGGACCCGAGCTTGCTATCTGTGTATCAGAGACACACCAATCGTACAATGGAAGGACGTGATTCTAAAGTTGAGGATTCGCCTCCGCTTTCCCCTACTGAAAGACCTGGCCCCGATCGTGATGGGGTGAAGGTGTCGAAGATTACGAGGTGGAGGGCTAGGTGAGTTTTGGTTTTTCTTTCCCAATGGCAACAAGTTCGCATTGTTTATTGACTTCCTAATGATTTTCTACATAATGTAGCTACCATGGTGCATTAGCATTCAATATCGCGGCGTTCATTATCCCAGCTATCTATGGCACTTTGTCGAAGATGTGGATTGCAAATATCGATTCCTCGCTGGTGTCCACAGCGGATGCATACACCTGTTGGTTTACATTTCATTCGTTAGTAGCTTGCGTCATCTGAAATGTCATAGATTTCTCGTGTGTCGTTGAAGTCCTGAACGAAGGTCTTCCTCGAGCCGCCTGGTATGTCATCATTTCTTCCCTCCTTCACCAAGCTCTCTATCCACACACTGTTTCATACAGGTCAACGATTGGACGCGGAGACACGACGCTCGACACCCCAACCCAGCTCCTCTCCCGTCTCTCCCTCACTTACACCCTCATATCCGTTCAGTCGATATGTGGCTTCGTCCTCTCCATCGTCTTCCTCGCTGCTGCCCCGGGATTCGTCCAAACCTTTGTCCCAGGGGACGCACGCGAGGTGTCCATTAAGTTTATTAGGATTTTGGCGTTTGATGCGTTGGCGAGTACGGTCAATACTGCTGTTAGTCTTGGGACGAGGGCTTTGGATAAACCTGAGTGAGTGGATTACTGGTTGTTCTTGGGTGATAGTCGTTGTTGAACGCGTGGTGGTGATGACAGTGTACCGTTGATGATGTCCTCGGTGCAGACTGTTATTCAGATTTTCTTGGAGCTTGCGTTGGTATCGACGGTTCATGTGAAGGGGTTCACGCCGACTATCCAGACTGTGGCGACTATCAAGCTTGTTTGCGAGTAAGTTCAGGCTTCATGGTGCACGTCCCCGTTTGAACCTCAGTCTGCCATACGTAGCTTGGTTGGAGCAGCAACAGGTCTCGCGTACTTCATCTACCTAGTCAAGAGGACGACTTCCCAGCGCTCCATTGATACAAAGGGACTCAAATGGTTCTCATTTGACTCCCTCAAAGTCTTAATCAAGCCTGGTCAATGGACGTTCGCCGAGAGCGCCATCAGGAACGCAATCTAGTACGTCAGTTCTTACATCTCCTTTCATCCGGACTCAAATCTCCTTCATCGCCTCGGTGCGATAGTCTATGGCAAATCCGAGGTGTGGTATCGATGGGCCAGAGCTACGCAACAGCATGGGGAGTGTTTAATACGATCCGATGGGGGCTTGTTATGGTCCCCGTTTTTTCCCTTGAAGCTACCTCGAACGCGTTCGTGGGCCATCGATGGGGTATCTACCGCGAGGCAAATCCTCATCCTGCGCGGCCTTCGTGGATGGATATCAAGTGTACGTCTGACTCAATTCTGGCGCCCATTTTTCACGTCAGGGACTAAGTTCTAAGATTAATGTAATACCAAACACCCACAGTCATCACAACGCCAGCACTCCGCTCGGTCGCTCTTGTCCTCCTTATCGAAGTCCCACTCTTCATTGCGCTCTCCGTGCGCGGGGCGGCACCCTTTGCGAAGTACCTCTCCAACTCGGACGAGGTGGCCGAGATCACCGCTATCATGTGGAGGAGTATTGATTGGTGCTACATTTGCTATGGTGTTTCGACGCAGTTGGCTACGATATTGTTGGCGACTCAGACGAGATGGTGAGTGCATGATCAGGTCTATACCTTATGTGCTACTAGTAACGACCTGTGGGATGATTCAGGTATCTATACCAAAGTCTCATCTCGAACATATTCTATGCGCTTCCTTGGGCGATTGCGTTACCGCGAATTGGAATAACGCCTGACACGGCGTGGAAGTATCATAAATGGGTCTTGTGAGTACCGAATCTTACCTCGCCATTCTCCCCTCGGTATCATGATTTGAGTCTCAGTACCGCTGACCATGCAATTGTTTCTTAGTGGAGGAAGCTTGGTTGTTAGTCTTGTCATTATTTTGGTGGTGGTTAGTGTTTGGATTGTGCGGTTGAGAGGGTGGAAGATTCGCGCTGCCTAGCCTGATTGGCTCCTGAACTTGAATTTGAGATGAGTGGTATTACTGCAATTCATGTACGATAATGAGAGTTGGTCCTGAGCGGACTCCCCGGCACCTATACATCTAACAATATATCTTTTATTCCAATACTTGGTCAACATGAATAAACCTTCCAGGATGTCGCTTTTTAGGGGCAAACACCCGACGCCTCAGTGAGACCTGAGCGCCTTAGCGGTACATTGCCGGGAACGGCCGAAGGAACAATCAACGGCAAATATCAATAATAGGCCGGTTTCCCGGTACACTCTTTCGCTCCGTTTTCAAGTTATCTTCGTCCTCAACCACGACGACCCAACTCTCGATTCTCTAAAGTTTTCTCCTGAATAACCTTGTCTATAATGAATCTACGCGCCGAACTTTCTTCCGTCAAGGGCGGGCGCAATGCTCAACGGAAAATCCGAACTCTCGAGGGCGAGCGCCAACGTCGTCGGGAACGCGTCGCGCGTTACCGCAAGGAATTCGCATACTGCTCGTGGTACAGGATGAATAAAGCAACTGAGTTTCTGAAGAAGAAATTGGCGAGAGGGAAGGCGATGAGGGCGAGTCTCAATCTTCGCGATGCAAAAGAGCGGTTCGTACTGTTTCCCTTGCTTGGCGACGCTGCTCCTCCAGCAGCGATTATGTTTATAGAGTTTGTATTATATCGAAGAGCGGTCTCAAGATCGTCCAACCTATGGAAATTGTTCCTTCGATGGATTGGATATCTTCAACATATGGCGGACGCCCTGAGAGGCAGAATAACCGCAGTCAAGGTGGGTATCGCTTCTATGGGCTTCAGTGGCTCTGTGCTTAGGCTGAAAACATGAAGCCCCGGAAAATGCGTCCCCCATCCAGGTCTTTCCTCCGGAAATCCTAGAGGATATCTTTCTCTCTATTCCAGGGTACTTTGAACTTCACCAATCTCGCCAGACGGCTCCATGGAATCTTGGTTCTGTTTGTCAGTCTTGGCGGAAAGTCCTCTGCTCTTCCCAAAGACTCTGGACTCGAATCAGGGTTTCCTTCCATTCTCTTGGATACGCCGAGAGAGAAGAGAAGAAAAGCCGCTTGATCTCACGACGGTTGTCATATTTCCTTCAACGTTCGGGTAACCTACCACTCTCGATGGAATTCTCAAAACGCTCCCGACATGACAACTTTGCTTCCAGGACCTGGAAACACTTCTTCAGGCTGTTGTTGGCGGAGCGACACCGGTGGGTCGGTCACATTAATGCCGATTGGATCACAACTTCCCGTCTTCGACTCGCGCCGATCGATGCTTTGTCCTCGTATCAATATCGTTTCCCCAATGTTACAGCCGTCAGCTTCCCCCATGGTACCTTTAACTCCCTGCTTTCAAAGTCGCAGCTGGAATTCCCTTCCCTCCGAAAAGTTATCGTCGGAGAGATAGAAACCTACCTTACTGCATACTGGGGTCGATATCCCTTAACCTTGCAGCACATCGTTGCGTTTCTCAAGAGACACGAGGAGCACGTCGACTCTCTGGAATTGCGCATGGAGCGGAAGGACCAATTCAGTCGATTCGATTGCGGAGCATTCGCCACCTTCTTGGCGGAATGGGCTGCGGTCGTTGACAAACCAGCTTTAAAAAGCTTGACACTCGAAGTCCCTCCGCATTCCTCACCCCAACGCTTGATGTCTGGGTGGGGATACGAAGGCCCCCCAACGCTTTCGACGATCCAGCGACTTCGAATTGATGGTCAGCCGAGTGTCATAGTTGCCCTCCTCTCCTGGCTGGATATCCCGTCTCTACGTGAACTCCAGCTGCGTGTCGCCCGGTCTGGTGGATGGGCGTTTAATCGTTGGTCGGATAACGAATGGGATGGCCTCCATCCAGTCCTTTTCGCCTTTTTGGATCGACCAAATATCAAGGCCAGCCTTGAGAGTCTGGAACTCCGCACCTTTTTTGATTACCGGCGAGCCAAGTTCGATAGAGGGTTCTTGGAACGGATTGGTCCACTGCCAGAGTTGTGCAAACTGTCGCTCTTACCGATTCCTTCCTTCAACTGTGACAAGGCGCTTCCTTCAATCGAGTTCACCGATGGCCAGGCCTCCATCACTCCGCGCTCGCTGGGCTTAGATACCCTTTTCCCCAGGCTCAAAGAAATTTTGGTCCGAAGATACTAGCAGCAGTTCATGTGCCAAGGAGTATGGAAAAGGGACGATTTTCTTGTTGAGCCTCGACACGGACAAAGCGAATTGGTTGAAGGGATTCGGGCACAGCGTAGGAACGGTCGAGCTCGTAGATGTACGAATAGCTCGGATGTAGTACTCCCCTCCGCATCAATTAAACGCTCGTTCCCCTCCAGACGCCCCTGCTGGGCCTTCACAGTGTCTGACATCGCATTTACAGGTTTGATGTTCTCTCGGAGAGATTGCGGAGATGATGCCATAGTCATAAACTTCCGAAGCGTGTCGGAAAACTCTAAGCCGGGTTCCCACGGGCTTTTACGCCGGTGCCGAGCTAACGGCTTTAAACGGTGAACCTAAACGTTATAACTCCGCAACCTAATTTGAAATCCCGTTAGAACGCCGTAAAAACAACAGGTCAAGCTGGTCGTACCTCGTCCATCGCGTCCATTGCTCACCGCTTCCCCAGATTCATATCAGACGCTTTCCATTGGGAAATACGCTATGTACAAGTTATCTACGGGTCTCGTAATGTGCTCATCACCACCAGGACACCGATCTTAGGAACCCACCACCCTCTTTCGCAACGTTCGAGTCGGCGCAGCTGCAAGGTTATCAACACTTCGATTCTGGCCTCCACACCGTCCGCCTCGCCCACGTCGAACACCTTTTCCACCCTTCGCTGGAGCTTGCTCGACTGGTGCCGGTCCCTGGAGTGATGCAGTAGCGCTACCAACCTCGACATCGGATGCAGGTCCATCAAGATTTACTGCTGGAAGCGCAATCGTATTCTGGGCAGTGATTGGCTCAGTGTTGACTGGGACGGATGGGGAAGGCGCTGGACCGATACTGGAGGGCTGGGGAGGTTCAGGGACAGTTTGTGGATTTGTAGTGTCGTTGGTGAGTGCAGTGTCTTGGGCCTCGTCGTTCTCCCTCGCTGATGGTTCTCCCCCATCCAAATTCATCGCCTGCAATGCCTCCGACAATTCGTCCTCACTATCGTTCTTTTCCTCACTCCCGTCGGCGAAAACCAGCTCGTTGTACCAGTCGAAGAGGTCGAGCATTTGTTGGGAGCTCTGGGGTTTCCTCAATGCCTCGAGAATAAACCGCTTGCAGAAATTGTAAAGCTCCTCGTATTTGATGCCGGATTGGGGGCCAACAGTGTCCCAGGACTCGTCGGACGAATGAATAAAGACAGTCTGAATTAGGATCAGATAGGTTTTGAGTTATTGGCATTGCCGGGCTGTCCAAGGGTACGTACCGCCACTACAGCGAGAGCGATAACGCCAGGTGTTACCCGCTCGATCCTCCAAATCTTCCCATTGCTGTTGCTTGCTAGGGACTGTACCTCTCCATCTGGCCCAGAGAGAGACGTTGGGCCGAAAAGGAGGCAGCGGATGAACTGTGGTATATTGTGTAAATAGGATATCCGATGGATGAAACTGAAAACATTATAATTACTCACCTCGACGAGCCAAATACACCTGAAAATGACTGAGAAGTCTTTCGTTTGGTTCTCGAACATACACGGGCGGTAGAAAGATGATTTGGCTGTGTCGGGGAAGGAAATGAAGAGGGCGAAAGTATCAGCACGATCTTTTCCTCGCTTCGAAGCATTGTAGATTCCGGGAGGAGGGCTGAGGAAGGCAAAGATATGAGGGGCCACCTTTCGGCAAATTTGACCAGATGGTTCGGCGATGGACGTTCATCACGTCAATAAACTAGACAACAGAATTCAGAAATCAGAATAAAGTAGATGTTGCAAACAGAATCACTTACTGTATCACGGAAATGGGATGAACGCTCAATCTTGATATGTAATTCATCAGGAATTCGGTCGTAGAGTTCAGCAGTTTGACCACGGATTTTTGCAGAAGCCGAATGATAGCGGTTGGGGTCAGATGGGTCGATGTTGGGGTCAGGCTTGAGAAAAGCAGCAGGGTTGACAATGAACTCGTCCATATACAGGACGTGGCGAGCCCAACGTCCAATGTCATCATCTTCGGTCGTCTTGGCTTTGGTAGTGGCATTTTTCCCTGACTTCCGGGATTTGAGTACCTTAATCTCGTGCTCGAGCTTGATGTTCTGGACCTTGAGTTCACGTATTTCCTTGGAGGCGTCGCCGAGAGCCAGTTGAGCAGACTTGACAATCTGTTGCATAGCCCAGCCAAAGTGTTCAGTATCATGACTGTTGATGACCGAGGACCGACGACCGAGAAATGGCAAGCGAGACACACACCTGCATAAATTCTTCGCGTGATGTAAAGTCTGTCACCGTTGGAAGAGCAAAGGTGATTTCAACTGCGTCGGGATTGCGGGAGCTGGAGGAATCGTCGTCTGTAAGCGCAGCACTAGAGTCGGATATGGAGTTGAGGGCATCAACAGTGAACTCCCCATCTTCATCTGAAGCGGGTTCTGTCCGCTTTCTTCTGGTTCGACCCATCGCAGATAGCAGACACCAAACAGTGGGTATACCGAGAGGAAAATGGTTCGAGTAGTCCGACTCTTATGTACATGTAACATCGCGCAGTCAAGAGCTAAAATATTTTGTCTTTCTATACATCTACCTGGTTTTGGTTATTAGCATTGGGATACTGTATTGTTTCTAGGAGACAAGGAAAAGAAACACACCTGGCGATGAAATCCTTAACTCTAAGGAACATATCTCCATCGGAGACGTCAAAAACGAGGTAATTCTCTTCCCTTTCTCCGAATGCTGGCACGAGAAGAACACCGCGTGTAATTAAATTGGTCGAGATGATCACGAAATGGCCACTGGTTCTTGGCTTTCTGCACACTCTGAGTAACCCAAGTTCTCTGTCTTTCCTCCGCTGTGCTTCGGTTACTGGGCCATCGTATAACTCGACAAAAGCAAGTGGGAGTGTGCGGTTGAGATCGGGGATGTCAATGGTGAAGGTTGAAACGAGGCGAGCAAAACATCGGGTGATGTCATCGCCATCGAGCAAAATGGGATCATATCGTGCATGATGCTGGTAATCAGGGTTGCACCGAAGGAGGGTCACATCCAATTCCCAAGTGACCCTGCATTCGTAGAACGTTTTTACGAAGCAGAATTCATGGATCTGAAACACGAGGGTTAGTACGGATTTTGGAAATGGTGTGCGGAGCGAACCAAAGTCGTGTCATGCAAGGAAAATGTTGATGGAATTTCACCACTTTGAATTGCTGCAGAGATGTACGTCCCCAAAGCCGATCTGAATCCTTTGAATCGAGGATCCTGGCGTCTCTCAGAGACGAAGAGTTGGAGTGTAACGGGCTTCTGCGGTGAGCCCAGGCTGATGTTTCCGAAAACATTTGACGTGGTTTCCTTTTTCTTCCGATGCATCAAGCCCCCGCCGTCGATGACGTGAATCACATCTCCTGAGCCCAAACTAAGATTCTCAGAGTCCTTTTGAGCAACATCGCCCTCAATGTCACTAGCTGCATCTGAATCTGGGTCAATGAGGTTGCTTCTGCCGTGATACATGTCAATCTTGCTGCGAATATATGCGGCTGTGTAGCACCAGTGCTCAAGCTCGAGGATCTGGTTGGACGACGGCTCATGACATTAGAAATTGGAACAGTGTGAGGCAATCATGGTCTTACCTTTCCTTCGAAATTCTTGAAGTTTGTCATAAAGCGGTAAAAGTCTTTTAGAATTGGGTGCATGCCTTCATTTGGCTTGGTATTGTAATTTCGCGTCACACCCTTGAGGTAAATATCCCGCGGAAGATGTGTATGCGCGTGAATCTTTGGGAATGCCCAGTTCTTTGACGCCTCAGGTGTAAGAGAGATGTATCTCTGTTAAAAGTCCATCAGATAAAACATTGATGCAACATCGGGAGGAAGGTTTACCTTCAGGGAAACTTCAAAACGGCCCAACTCATCCGAAATTTCTTGGATCGTATCTTCAGTATGATTTGTAAACGATGCGAGTATGTCGAGATTCAGGAAGTGGCGTATGCACTTCAGGAGCTCGTGGCCCACTTTATCTTGGGGCGGAAAAATGTTGAAGGCGATAAACAGTGCTACCTAGGGTCAAAACTGAGTAAATGTTGCAGCACGGAATTAATGAAAAAACTCGCCTTCATCAAATCTTCGTTCTTATTACCATCTTGGTATTTGGTGCTCAAGACTTTGTTGAAGCGGTTAAGGCCTTGCCAGGACGGGAAACTCCTTGCTCTAATGAATATTCATCAGCACTGTAATGCATTAGAAGTTGATACCATTCTCACCGGTCCTCGAGCTCCTGTAATTTCTCCATGCCATAATTATCCTCGATGTGCTTCAACAACGTCACCCACAGGTGCTTAGCACCCAGGCCATTAGCATAGCTATGTAGTCGATCGAAGGAAAGAGCTCGGAATGGGTTCGAGTTTGCTACATTCGAAAACGCGTTCTGATGATAGTCAATATTGATACACTTCCAACTGAAGCGGCAAGCGTCACCTTTACTGGACGCAATCCGTCTGGTTTCAGGAACTCTATCCTGCTCTGTCACTCCTTTAGTCAATGCCTCCGAGACCATGGATTCAGTCTGTGCGACGTCGCGCTCAGTGTTGCTCTTGGTAAGTTCCAGCATTTCATCAGCCTTGACGAGGCAGATGGGGCATGGACTCAAGCTGCCTGCCCCTCGAATGTTCGCCATGGTGCATCTTTGCAGTTCCATTAAATCAGAACGACGACAGTGATAACAACATTGCGACTTACTGCTCCTCGTAGTCCGCAGACAGTATGATGATGGCTGGAAAGAGAAATCTTTCGATACCATCCCCACATCGCACCCAGCAACCATTTTTTGCGTGGTCACGGATGGTATCAAGAAGCTTCTTGAAGCTATCATGCCAAACGACGCGCTTCCAATCTGCATAGTCCTTCTTCGATGCCTTTTTCTTGCTCGTTTCCTTAGGCTAGCAAAGATTAAGAGAGATTGTTAGGATTTGATTGAGGAGTGATAAGGGTTGAACGTACGACCGGCAACCAACCAACAACTCGACCACCCCCAAGAACAGACTCTGAGCCATTACGGATGTCAATAGGCAGGTTAGCAAGCCTTGCATACACTGGGTAGCCCTTCTCTCCTCCGAAAGACGATAGCTCCGTCTTGTCCGCATAAAGGAGAAATGCGAGTGGTTTCCCTTCTGCCGGGAGGCTCGACTGTACGATAAATCAGTACAGAACTAGGTGGAGAAAACAGAACCATACCTGAACATCGTAGAAACTGTCGGCTGTCCAAGGCTCATTAATGAATCGGATCCAACGCGCGCGCTTTTCGTCGTATTTGAATAAGCGTTGAGCATCCCACTCAAAGAATGGTGCCAGCTCCTCATTTTTGACCAGATCGAGTGCCCAGTCCCACAGCGACCTGCTGTATAGTTTGAACTCCTGTTTTTCATTCTTGTACGTAGCGGGGATGGTATCACATTTAATCTACAGCAGCGAGTTTGCTTCACAGTAGTAATGGTGGTAACAACAACATACCGGTGTCAGCAGTTGGGAAGCTTCCCTCCAGCACCGTGAAAGATCGTCGTAGGTCTCTATCGTAAGTTTATCATCCCCCTTCATGCAACGGTGGAAGAGTGATAAGAAAGCGCTGATCTGCTTCTGGTTTAGACAGCACCGGAGAGCCAGCTCGCCGAACTCAAAATCAGCTTCGGTAGCGAAAGGGTAATGAGGGGGATGTTTGCTCGAGGGAGGATTGGTCTTCGAGCGATGCTGTCGTCGATAATTCTCAAACGCGTCGTGACGAGCTGGCCTTTCGGAGTGAGGATGGTATTCTGTCCGGATATCGTCATGTTGCGCAGGGCGGGATGGCTCTGACACGGGGATATGGGGTGAGGGAGGAGCTGGAAAGCAGACACAAGTCAGCGCCCACGGGCCACAGTGGTTCAAGCCCGAGACGAGACTCACCTTGAACAGACGGATGCTGTGGGTGATTATCCTCAGCATCAACTGCACCGAGAAACTCGGGCAAAGGCTCTGAGAGAACCTGTTCTAGGGTAGCAGGGCCGCCCTCTTGCGGTAGCTCAGGCGCCTCTTTGCGGTTACTACGACGTTGCTTTCCAATTGGACGGTCCTCCCAGGGCTTCAGGGTCCTGACTTTGGCAGGGGTACCGCCTGAACATATAGACGTCAGCGTGCCGGGGGATCGTGGTATAGGGAACCAGTACCTTGCTTCTGCCGCCTAGCCTCATCTGCTTTCCTCAGTTCCCGCTCCAGCTGCTCCTCCTGCAACCGTCCTTCCAGTTTGCGACGACAGGCCGGGGTATGCTTCACCAAGCTCTTGAAGGTCTTCTCGCAAATCGGACACTTCTGTTTATGTGGAGATTCAGGCATCGAAACGTGGATTGATAGTTGTAGGATGTAACGACAAAGCAAAAAAAAGAGAATATGCTGGCAAATGACAAGAAACAAGTGATAGCGAGTGAGCAACGTCGACGAGGTGACCAACACGAACAACCAACGTTTGAACCCCGTGATAACGGTCCGTGCCGGATATCGGCACCGTTATAACTCAATACAGAGTTATAACGGTTCCCAACGGTGATCCAACGGACCGTGCCGTTATAACTCCGGTTAGGAGTTTTCCGACACGATCCACTTATCCTCGGAGACTTGGGCTGCTATTTCTCCGACCCGCGCGTTGAGGATGCAGTCTCGATTGGAAGTCAAGATACCGAGCTTGGCAGGGTCTGGGATAAATAAAGGGCAAGGTGTAACCCCAGCGGAATGGAGTTTTCGTAGAAAACGCTCGCGCATTAGGCTACCCGATACGCATTCCTGTGACTTCGACCGCGCCGCGGTTGTCTACTTGCTTCCGTTCACCCGCGTCTCTTTGAAGGCCACACCCACCTCGATACATACAAACGTAGTCTCAGCAAAGACCATGACCACGGAAATTCAGAACGTTGTGGTAGTTGGGGGAGGGGCTGCTGGAACGATGATATGTCGGAAATTGTCAACGAAGCTCGACCCCCGGCGGCACAAGCTCATCCTCGTCACCGCACGACCTTACTACACCCACCTCCCGCCATGCATTCGGATGGTCGTCACTCCGCAAGGCGCTCTCGAGAACCAAGTCCACATTCCCTATGACACCCTCTTCACGGGAAAGAGATCCATCGGACGGGTCGTCATCGCCAAGGTCGTCGGAGTCGACGAAAATGACGACAAGAAAGGCGGCAAAGTACGCCTGGACAGCGGGGAGACTATCGACTTTGCGGTCTTGGTCGTAGCAACGGGGTGTACTTGGGAAGGGCCGCTGAATTTCCCGGATGGAAGAGAAGAACTCGAGAAGTGGCTGGCGGAGTGGAGGGACCGGTTTTGCAAAGCGGAGGATGTGGTTATTGTTGGTGGTGGTTCTGTGGGGATAGGTAGGTTTGCCAAAACGATAAGCCGTTTTTCTCGTGTTTAGGGCTGAATGGCGGTAGAATTTGCGGGGGAGATTAGGGATTTGTCGCCGGTGAGTGCGAAGGTTGTGGAGAGTTGTAAATTCGAAGGAGGAGCTAATTGTGGAGTTGGCATTTGTAGACGAAGAGGATAACGATTGTCCATGACCAGTCGCTGCTCCTAAACGATGCGTACCCGGATAGTTTCAGAAAGCTTGCAGCGAAGAATATAAGGAAGAGGGATGTAGAGATCATTTTGGACGATGCGATTCATGATTTGGGGATTTCGGACGCGAGCACGATTCGAACAGCCAAAGGACGCTTGCTGGTTGCTGATTTAGTGGTTCGTTCTTACCGTTCAACATAGGACCTTCGCTCACCTTCTTCCAGATTCCATGCCGCGGACCACGACCAAATACCAGTTTCCTGGCGGGACTTGAAGATGGACCAATCAATCACGCTGGATATGTGCATGTTATCCCGACATTACAAGTTTGGAGACACCCGAGAATCCTAGCAGCCGGAGACATTATCGACCGGGATGAGCAGAAGCAGCTTCAAAAGTACCCCTATCACGCTGACGTAGTTGTTCGGAATGTCCTGGATATCCTGAAGGGTCGTCAACCGGAGGCACTATATAAGGGGTGCTACGAGCGTATCGTCATATCGAATGGCAAGGTGAGTGTCATGTCGTCTCTCGGGTCTTCGCCGTTTGTAAGGCGATAGCTGACTGTTTGTTTCAATGCAGAGAGCTGGCGTCACATATTACAGCTACTGGGGTCCGGAACTTCAATTCGGCGATTGGGTGTCGCAAGTGACCAAGTCGACAGTGTTTTCGAGGGACCATGCAAAGCAGAAGCTTGGTTTCTGATAGCCCTAGACGCTGGATGTTTGTCGATACCGTTCATGATAGACATTGAATCAGTTAGCTTGCTCTGTGAAATTCGAGGACCGTCGTCAGAGACAGAACGTCGCAGAAGACAAAAGCTGAAAACAGGGGCACTGACGACATGAAGCGCGGGCCGGCGTGCCGTGCAGCGGACAGTGAACCAGAACCGGATTAGGAAGGTGGCCGAAATGGGTGATTGCAGGCGACGACGGCTTGCCTTCAGACCACGACACTGACGACCCTCTTGACGACTGCGACGACCACCTGTGACCCAATAGCCTCTGATATCTGCTTATCTCTGATTCACCGCCATGAATTTCTTCAAAACCAAGCCACGGACACCGCCAGATCTCGTACGGGGGTTGCGAGATGTGATACCAAGACTCGAGAACAGTGCACCGGGTGGCGAGACGAGGAGAAAGGTGAACGACGCTCTTTTTCTGTCTCTGGACGCCTCAAAGTAGCCGTGAATCCGCCTTCTCTAACCTCTTGATCTCATGAACAAGGCTACAGAGGAGGTCTCCAAGAATCTGCAGCAAATCAAGGCAATGCTGCTCGGTGACGGAGGTGTGTTTCGAGGCTCATTCCTCGTTGGCGCTCATGTATGAACTAACAGCATTCCAGAGCCGGTTCCAGAAGTCGTCGCACAGCTAGCGCAAGAGACCTACAACACCGATCTGCTGCTTCTGCTGGTGCAGAACATCGCCCGGTTCGAGTTCGAGGCGCGTAAAGACGTCGTCCAGATATTCAACAACCTTCTGCGTCGCCAGATCGGTTCGCGGTGGCCAACAGTGGAATATCTGTCGTCTAAACCGGACATCGTGTTTGCAGCGCTCGCGGGATACGAGAATGAAGAGGTTGCGCTCAACACGGGGATGATCCTCAAGGAGATGTTGAGACATGAACCGTTGGCCAAGATTCTCCTATACTCTGACCAGTGAGTCCCATCCACGTTCATCTAGACCGCTCTCTCACATTCTGTCTAGATTCTACAAATTCCCCCATTATATTGAATCTACAACGTTCGGCATCTCGTGCGATGCGTTTGCCAACTTCAAGGAGACACTAACACGCCATAAACCCATGGTTGCAGAATACCTGGACAGGCATTATGATCGTGTGAGTGGCCCGTCCGCTCACGACCCATACAAACCTCTCTGACTAACTGCACTGCCCTTCCGCTAGTTCTTCTCATCACTGACTACACTCATCCTTTCCACCAATTACGTTACGAAGCGCCAGTCGCTCAAACTGCTCGGGGAGATCCTTCTTGACCGTGCCAACTTCAATGTCATGACACGCTACATCGCCAACGAAGGTAACCTCAAAATGATGATGAACCTGCTTCGAGATAAGAGCAAGAACATCCAATTTGAAGCGTTCCACGTGTTCAAGGTGGGTAGTATCTGTGATTTTGACATTCACCGGTCCCTTTCCATCATTGTGACTCGTCGCGACAAAACATTTGTGCTGATCCGTTTCGCTCTGAATCAACCTAGGTGTTTGTTGCCAACCCCAAGAAACCCCCGCAGATCGAGGCCATCCTCCGAAGAAACAAGGAGAAATTGCTCAACTTCCTCAAGAACTTCCACAACGACAAAGAGGGTGCGAAGTCCTGTCTGATCTCGGTTCGAAGTGCCGTACTCACCCCTTTGCATTAGATGAGCAATTCACGGACGAGAAGCAGTTCCTCATCGTCCAGATTCAGGGTTTGTAAACTTATAGAATTGGACGGTCACGCGGGATACCTGTTCTCCATTCTTCGAACTGCCTCGCCCCTGTCCGACCAACCTCATCATATTCCGCAAATCCATACATCCAACCTCCGTCATCGTCGTCCAGTCCATCCCGTCCAGTTCCGTGCATCCTACATGTATTACCATAATACGTCACCGCCTCTCGGTACCTACTTCCTCTTGTTTGCAATCCCGCCATCGTCGTCCCTTGTCAGACCTCCCTTCCTTACTACCTTGGATACCAAAAGATCTCCCCACACTCCTCTTTTCTTTTGCTTATTCTTGGTGCCTAGACTCTGGACAACAATCTATCGGATTCAACTAGCACGGGAGAATGTTTCAACGAAGAACGGTGTTACGTTTTCCCATTCATCATCATCTCCAACTTGTCCATGATTGTGCATGTCCGACAGCCCCTCTCTCTGCGGAAGTTCACCACCCTCCTCCTTTAGCTGATCGTAATTCATCTATTTCCCTTGCCTCATCTGTTACTCTTTTCCCTTTCTTTTTGCTTTCGTTCGACTCTGGCAGCTTACAGTGTCACATGTGTACTCATACAAAAATAATAATCTACTATCCATTCGAGGGATCTGGTGCTTATTCGATGAGATGTGTAGGTCGATATATATTTTCTGGTCGTTTTAAATGCCCTGTATTTCTGGAGAAAGGATATTCGTAGCCCCGTCACATTTAACTGTCCTTAGGGACCTGGTCGATTCTCCGATCAAAGCGGGTAGATCCTCCATTCCCTAGGGCCCTTTTAGCGCCCAGGTGGGTGAACTCCAGTGAGTTCCTGGCCGCACAGGATGCATTTCTGAGACCAATTCGCGCACACCAGATATATCGAAGGATTGGCTGTTATAGATATCCGTGTACTTTTTGGCGTTTGTCCCTAGTGTGTAGTAAACCCAATCGGTATCTCTGAGAAATCTACCATTCAGGATGGCCCGACATCTTCAGTTGAGCGCTCTTCTTGGTCTGCTGTAATACTGAGCTTGTTGCCTGAGCAGGTCTCTGTTCCTCCAATCCCAAATCTTCTGCTTCACAGTGCGCCAGGCTTTGACGATTGGGTTCTGGCGAACGGTAACTTGTTCACTAGTGCCGTGGTCCCGTATTTCGAGAGAGAATGGTTCCTCTCTTTTGAAAGCCCAGCTACGATCGTAAGGCGAGTTTCCTCGCTACACGATGGGGGCGTTGAGAATCGACATATCGGGGTAGCAAGTGGGTGGACGCACCGAATTGAAGACATTCCGTTCCTTGAGGTCGAAGTCTCTGCTGGCAAACTCGTTGGTGTTGTCAAGGTCCAGTTCCCGAGACTCGAACGCCGCTGATACACGGAGAGCGGAGAACAGGAATATACACAAGGTAAAAAGGATGAATCGCATCGTCGAGGTTTCTTTGGGTTCCTAAGTCCTTGTTGTCGACTAACTTGGGGCCAGCCCTGCACGTTGTTCGTCTGCAGCGAGAGCGTTCGATCCCTGGGGAAAACGGGAGTGATCTGAATGGGCCTACTTATAATTACTTCAAACCTGAAGGAGGGGGAGTGTGCCAGACACAAGGAAATGGGAAGACGAGAAGAGCTCTTATATACTGGGCTCGATTGCTGACCTAAGAAAAGCCATCTTTTGATGTTTATCAAACTCTGGATTTTGGGCGCCTACTGGCACCCACCTTGCCGTTTCGCAGTACGTTATGGCCTAGAGGTGTATATTACCTTTCAAGCCATGCGGTTGGATTCAGCTTTCCATTTTTCACCAACAACAGCTTTATTTATTTCCAGATGCCAAGGCTCTGCGAGCACACAAGTGACAAAACGGGGAGTACACAGAAACTTGAGGATGTCTACAACTTTCTCCGATGCCATTACTGGTTCTGTGGGCGAGGGCCAGAAGGCTGTTGGGCAGGTCTGTCCTTGTGGGGCGTTTGCGGTCGTGATTGGGCTGGGGGAGTTTGCGGGGGAGTTTGCGGGGGCGGCGTCGGCGGGCGCGGCGGGAGTGGTCGCGGACCAGGAGGAGGCTGTTGGCCAGGTTTGTCGCCGGAGGGTGTTTGTGGTCGTGATTGGGCTGGCGTTTGTGGGGGAGCTTGAGGGGGTGGTGGTGCCGGCGGTCTTGGGGGGAGTGGTCGTGGTGGGAGAGGCTTATTCAGATCCGATATTGTCACCGGAGGTGGTGTTTGTGGCCGGGGACGGACGAGCCTTTCTCCAAACGATGACATTCTTAGGATTGGCGGCCGAGTCGACGGGCTCTCCTCTTGTCCCTTCTCCTCCTTTTTCCCTCGCCGCGCGTTCCACCATGACTTTGCTCCGTTGAACATGCGACCGAGGCGACCTGGGGTCTTCGGCTGGATGGGAGACATTGGTTAGCGGAAAGGTGGAGAGGGGAGGGAAAGGACTTACTTCTTTTCTGAGGACCAGGTCTTCCATGAATTCACGGACGAGGAGCTCAAGTACCTCATCATCGAATAATCCGCGATCTTGGAGTGCATAAGTCTAACCATGAAGCTTCGTTTTAGTCAATTCCTCAATTGGAGAAAGAATGGGAACACACCAGTTCCCGCTCGAAGAGGACGCTGCCGGCAATCTCTCGGGTTGATAACTCGACAGCATCTTTGTCTATCAAAGACCGCTCTTCGATCTGAACTGGGATCGAGAGAACGTGAAGGACGCAGAGCGCGCATGCAACCAAGGCAAATAGGAAGGAGCGCATTTTGGCGTGGAAGTTACTGTAATGGTGCTAGGGACCAGCCCGTCTGGCGAAAAGGAGGATCCATGAGCGTCTCTCAGATCAAGACGGCGAAGAGGAACTTACGTGAAAGTGTACCAGCCACTTGGAGAGACCATCTATCATTTCCCCTGCACCTTTTATAGTGTGGTAACGGGCCGTGGGAACAAACTTCAGCGCTCATTGAACTTCTCAAAGATTTGGCAGTAAGAACGAACCAAATTCCGACAGTCAAGGCGATACAAACACACGAAGCAAGGTATCTACAAGCGCTTACATCACTTTCGTGGGCGAGGGGCCGCGGGGGCCATGCGAGTCGAGGTGAAAGGATTGGTAGGTCCTGTGTTCTGTGTTTCTCTGCTTGCTTCTGATGCCGCCATGCCTTAAACTTGTGGACAGCCCCTTTTGTTGTGTTGGCGACTCGGATGCGAGCAAAAAGCTTTGTAGATCATGGACGGGGTGTGCTGGTATCGTCGAGGTTTCCAGCCCATCTATCTATCAAAGACGCATGTCAACCACGCAGCAGTTCTACAGAGGATTTATAACAGGAAACCCACATACAAGTGTACCAGCCACTTGGAGGAACTATTCCGCTATATTCAGACATTTTATAACGTCTCGTCGATAAGGCGGTGGCAGTAGTGTGCTCATGAACAGGTAACTGTCTTTGAAGTGATTCGAAGACCGGCGCTGATTCTCCTGATGGGACTACGAGAGGAAATGTAGGGTTCAGCGCTACAGTATCGGGAGAGGGACCATTTTATATCGTTGTGTGAGTGGACATCCGAGCTACAGGCGGACTGCAGAAATACTAGCACCCGGTGGCGGAATAAGCGCCCACCATTCGTCGCGTTTACCCGTCACAGAAAACAAGGCCTCAAGCAAAAGTCTCGAGGAGCGAGGAAATAAAATCAAGTAGATTTGTTGTTATAGGCCAAAGCCTGAAGAATACAGATATCCATATTACGCCGTTTTCACCGCCTTCCACCACGACGATTCCATGTGCTCATCTTTTGTCGGAGATCAGCCTGCTGTGCGCTGATTCTTCTCCGGTCTCTCCAATCAGACACAGCAGTCTTCATGGCATTGATTGCCTTGCTGATAGGGTTCGCTCTCGCGTCGATACTAGTAATGTCGTCGTAGAGCAGCTCCCTAGCCATCAGCGAAGTGGTCCATTCATCATTATGGCGCTGATGAAGGATAGAATCAGTCAATGTGAGGACTATGTCAATGTTTGGGAGGAATACGAACCAGGTTAAGGAGTATACTTTCAACCACTTCACGAGTAAGTAGGTCGAGAGCGTCGTCCACGGCGACCTCTCGCGCTTCGAGCTGAGCGACAGGTCTCGACGCGGCTTGCAAACCCCAAAAAAGAAAGGCAATAATAGCGAAGAGGATGAAGCGCATATTTGTGAAGTTTGAACAAGGTATTTGAAGAAGACAAGGTTCCAGCCCTTCTGTGAATCTATAGAATAGGGATGAGGGTGAAACGACTGAGAGAGGGAGGGAAAACCCACTTGAGAGAGGTGTACCAGACACTCACAAGGAGTTCAGCTGGAAGGGTATTCCCATTAATACCAGCCTTGTACCTCTGTGGACTCCAACAGAGAGGAAAGCCGTATCACTCGGCTGTTCTTGTGTGTTCCGCATCCGGGACTAGTGTCTGCTAGTGCTGATTGACATCGCGGAAAAGGGGATGACATCTCAATGGTAGCGACCACACAGTCTGTGTGGTGTCTCGTATCCCGCCACATCTAGTCAAGTTTTCTGTTAGTAAAGTATCACGATTCACTTGATAAATTTCAGCGCCTGCTGAGCCTTTTTCGAAGGGAACGGCGGAGGACGCAGAGGGATGTGTTTGCTCGTGTTAGGATCAGATGCCAACAGCGGGAGGCTGTGCCCCGTGCCGCCACGGCATCGCGCAGCGCGCTGTCATCATCATCCACGTCGACCGCAACCACTTGGTCGTCGTCGCAAACGTCGTGCTCAACATCCAAAATGGCCCACTATCCGTCTCAATCGCCGCCGCCGCTGCGACACCCGGTGCCCACGCATCCTGCATACATCCCTGAGCCACCGTCGACACCTGGGTCACCCCAAGGTTATCAGCGGTTTTCGTCCTCCCCAGCACCACCGAATCAGCCAGCTCACCCAGGGTACCCATCCCATGTCCCAGCATACTCGGCGCCCTTCCAGCAAACGCAGCCCTCGGTACCTCCACAGGGCCATATGTCCCAGCCGCATTTTCAACGTCCTGAACCGAATCAGCAAGGCAGCGCGTTCCAGCCAGATTTTGGCGCTTGGGGGATCGACGGTGCTACCGCGAATCTTGGAATGCAGTTAGGCCAAAGTGCAGTCGCTGCAGGACAGCAATATGTTCAGAAGAATGTAAGCGGGTTGTTGACTTTGTTCAGACGATGTGATTAAATAGATTTTAACAGTTCGGAACCATGTTCCCTACAACCACTCTCAAACACCACTTTAATGTCTCCAATTCATACGTTATGCACAAGATCAGACTCGTTCTCTTCCCTTGGACGCACAAGCCTTGGACTCGTCGCGTCAGGAGAACGGAGCATGGCCAACACGAATGGCTACCTCCACGCGACGACCTGAACAGCCCCGACCTTTACATTCCCGGTACGTGTCACCTATAGTTGGCTAACGTGTTCACTAAGACTATTTTTAGTCATGGCGATCGTAACCTACATCCTTCTGACCGGTCTTCATGCTGGCTTGAAAGAGGCGTTCAGACCCCAAATCCTCGGCGAAACCTTGTCGCGTGCCGCCCTCGTTGTTCTGTTCGACTTCGCCTTCATCAGGCTCGGCTGTTACATCCTCAACATCCAGGGATCAACTCAATTCGTCGATTTCTTTGCCTATAGTGGATACAAATTTGTTGGTGTGATTTTGACACTCACCGCGGGTTTCTTGGGTCTCTCCGGACCGCTTTGGACAATAGTTTTCCTTTATTCTTACCTTGCGAACGCTTTCTTCCTTGTAAGTGAACGTTGGATTTGGTTCGCGTTTCGCTCCGCTAACGCCATTCTAGTTGAGGTCCTTGCGCTCAGTTGTTCTCCCAGATCCTTCGATTTCCATCGCCCAGAACCCAAGCCAAACAACCACTGTCAGCGAGGTTTCACGTCGACGCCGGGTCACCCTGCTTTTCCTCGTCTCCGTCATGCAGATCATCTACATGGGTGCACTTGTTCGATTACCGACTGTTAAGAAATAGTGCTGTACTCCAGATATGTACGTCAGGTCTTGGGCTTTGGTAATCTATAGCTTGACTCTGCTAGTTTTCGAACCTTTGACCCGCGTTGCCCTTTCAGCGCGCTTTTAGACACGGTGATGCTGTGATTGCGCTCGTCGCGCGCTCATGGGTAATGAACAATAGCCGTAAGCCTACCATTCAGTCTTGGGGAATGGCTGTTGCAATAATGTTGACGGTTGCCCATGAAGGAGATGGTCGGTGAATTGAGCAGCCGGTTGTGCCGTACGACACACAAGACGGTAGAGTACAAAAGTCCAACAGCTGGTTCTATGTGTCGTTATAAGTGTCTGGTACACTCCTCTCTAGTGAGTAACTCGTCCTCTCCCAGATCCAGTGTACGATCTAATTCGTTCATGTAGTAAGTCGCCTCAAACCTAGGGCTGGACCCCAACAACTGTTCAAACTTTTGACGATGCAAATCAAGCTTTCCCTCCTTGTTGCTGCACTGTGTGTCGCCCAAGGCTACTCGAGACCTTTGCAAATTGAGCGCCAGTTGGCGGTGCGCAACGAGCTCGTTGAAACGGGGTCTGCCTTCTCGTTGCATCGCTTGCAGTCGGCCGGCTCAGTCCCCACATCGTCATCTCGCCGAAATGCCAACCGCATCCGAGGCAGCCTCGCCAGGTTGTCTTCGAAGAGGACTAATAGACGCCGTCTCCAACGAAGGGCCGCTCTTCAACAGGCTCTTATACAACTCTCCTCGCGCCAGGATGGCATCACACCCATTTCATCCACCAGTGGTAGCACTGGTGTATCGACCATCGAGACTGGCCAAGAGATGGGCCCCCGTCCGACATCACCATTTGGGACTGATGATTCGCTCGAGCATGGCGGTTCTGGCACAGGAATGGATACCCCCGCTGGTAGTCCAGGTGTATCCACCGCCCAGGGGAGCACGGGTGTGACCACCGTCAATGGAAGTACGGGGGTCTCCTCAGTCGAGTCTGGTCAAGAAGTAGGACCAAAACCCCATGCCCCATATGGAGCAGACCGACAAAGTGGTGAAAGTAGGATCTCGACTACAAGTATGCTGGTACGGGCAAATCCCCCAATGGTATCGTGGTCATGGTATAGGACAGGAGCAGGGACAAGGCCAAGCGCCGCTAGCTCCGGCCAATGACTGGGAGAATCCGATGGTACCTGATTGGCTGGCGAACCTCCCGCCGCGGTGGGCTGTTGGTCGTAGAGGCAGCGCTCGGAGGAGTATGGGTCGGAGAGGAAAACATGGTACCCCGACTAGGACCAAGAGTTCTAGTTAATTATTCCGTTAGCTGTACCTTTTGTGCCCTTCGAGACGAGCGCCAAAATAAGCGCCAGCGTAGACCACATGTCATTGCATGCGCTTTCTCCCATATTAATTTCACACAGTACAGAGTCACAGCCGTGTACTGAGGCCTGGGCTGGATAGTGGGTACATTCAAGTAAGGTGGGGCCATAAATCATGAAGTCTTCCAGAATGGCAAGGTAATTCCGCATGTGAGTGTCCACGCCGTGACAGCACCTTGACCCACATCCGTGGACCTCGCTTGATGGCCCGAAATGCGCCTCTTGCTCTTCGTCACTGTTATGTGGGCTCCAGAATCCAAATTCTCTCCAGTCTCCATCATCATTTTATCTTTGCATCAGAATCTTGACCCTCGAGGTACAGAGAGCAACAACTACCCTACTACATCAATAAAGTCCCCGTTGACTCGGAGTGCACTAGACTCCCTTGGTAAGTTGTTCAGCGCGGGAGCTGGTACGGCTACGGGATCGATGCCACCGGGATATGGCAACCCACGATAGAGAAAGTCAAGCAGACCCTCAACAGATGGGACAGGTTCAACCCCACTCTGATGGGGCGCTGCCGTGCGGCGACGGCGATAGTCGGAAGCTTCACCCAATACCTGACGAGAGTCCAGGGGATGCCCGGTGACGTGGTGAAGACGCTGGACAAAGTGATCGACAACTTCGTGTATGCCAAGGGTGGCGCCCAGAAAATGAACGCCGTTGGAATAGAATTACTGCGAGCTCTCCCCGACCAAGGTGGACTACAGCTGCTCGACCTCCAGGTAAGGAACGAGGCCGTTGAACTCATGAAACTGAAGGCGTACGTCACCGAGGGAGCGAAACGACCGACCTGGGCCAAGCTGGCGGACGAGGCTATCAGAAGATCTGTCACGAACGAATTCAAGAGGGTAGATGAACGTTACCTCATCAGCCCATTCACGCAGCGTTGGAGGGTCAACCTGAACTCCCCGAACCTCCCGAGTAACCTCAGAAGGATGATCAGGACAGCCGACAAGTACAACGTACAATACCTGCCAATCAGAGTCACCACCGCCCACCAACGAGAATCACCCTTCTGGTACCACCTTAGCCCGGCGCCTGGGTTGCGCGCGACATATAATGATAAGTGGGGCCGGTGCCACCAATCAACACATTTCATACAGACTGTGGGGCAAATGCTAGACCACGCCGACAAGAACAGACATGTGGACCACACCAACCGGTGGAACTGCGACTGTTTCCACTGCTGGAATGACCGGAACGAGGGATGCGAAAACCCGATCCAATGTCGCCGCAACGCCGATAAGAAGCTCGATACCCTACAAAAGGAGTGGGACCCCAGGGTATACATCCCCCTGCAGTCACCGAGCCCGGCCAACCCGGACGCTTGCCGCGCATCGGCCTGGACAGGAGACGAACGGGAACAACACGAGACTGGGGGCCCCAGCGAGAACATCCGTGCATTAGTCCAGTGGAAAAAAGACGAAAGAAAATCACTCACCCCATATGAAGCACACCCCATATCCACAACGCGATGGGAGCGACAGGAGGTGAGCGTCTACACGGATGGATCATGCTCAGCGAACGGTACCGCCAGCGCCAGAGCCGGAAGCGGGATATGGTACGGACCTGAAGACAACCGAAACCGAGCGTTACGACTTCCTGACAAACTCGCATCCAACAACGCAGGTGAACTGGCAGCAATTTTAGCAGCCATCCAAGACAACCAAAGTGCGAAGAACTTACACGTCATAAGCGACTCCAAATACGCGATCGACGCCATCACAAAACATATCGGCAGATGGGCGGACGAAGGCTTCACGAGGGTGAAGAATAAGCCGATTGTGCACGCTCTGTTTGGGGAGCTCGTAACAGCCTCGTCGGCGATCACGCTGGAGAAGGTCAAGGGCCACAGCGGTGACGCTGGGAACGACGGCGCTGACAGATTGGCGGCCACAGGTGCAGACATTGAGACAAGGCCGACGCGGACGAGCTAGATCTCGGAAAAGGGGATTTTATGAGTGGAATGGGGATCAAACTCCTAGAGGCCTCGCAGTCACTGCTGTACAAGGCGATAAGACTGAGGAAGGACCCCCCCAGACGATCCAGGACTCACCGGAACCTAGACCTGATCGCGAACACGATAGAAGAGCTCAACGGCGAAAAACCAAAAGAGGAAGCGATTTGGGCGTCCACTAGAAGAGGGACAGATATCCGGAAGCCCATCAAGACCTTCATCTGGAAGTGCATACATGAAGCCCACAAGGTGGGAAGATACTGGGAACATACCGATGTCGCCGACACCTACATGCCGTGCAGCCACTGTGACGTCGATGTTGAATCCATGCACCACATCATGTTCGAATGCACTGCCACTGGCCAGACGACGGTATGGGAAGAAGTCGATAAACTCTGGCAGGCGACTGGGCTGGACAAGCCCCACATATCCCTGGCACTAATCATGGGGGTGAACCTGGTGACGATCCGCAGTGAGGACGGTACCGCAGCCCCAGGAGCCACACGCCTATTCCGAATACTAGTGTCAGAGGCGGCGTACCTGATCTGGGTCCTCAGGTGCGAATGGAGGATAGGGAAAGAAGCTGACGCCAGGATGATCCCAACAGCAGAACACATCCGCAACCGGCTACTGGCTAACATAAACAAGAGGCTGAGATTTGATCGCATCCTCACGAACCGAAGGGCCTACGGCAAGAAAGCTCTGAAGCCCCGACTTATCGAAGCAACATGGTACCCTGTGCTCGATGAAGCCTCGAGACACAGCACCTTGCCAGACGATTGGGTAAAGAACAAGGGGGTTTTAGTGGGTATCGGACGGACGAGACGCCCGCCAGGGAGGAACCGATGAAGACACGGTTAAATCGGTCGTATTGTACTTGGCATTGGCGCGTCCATCTGAAGCCCCACACTACTCACATCCGTGAGTGTGCGAGTGCGCATTTCCCCCAGTGGACTACTTGATTAAATTACTCTCTCGCGGGCATTGCCCGCACCCTAAGCTGGCCGTAATACGCACTACTGTGCGCAGTAAAGGCCTATAGCTCCACCAAAAAAAAAAAAAAAAAAAAAAAAAAAAAAAGTTGTTCAGCGCGGAATTCGATCCATTCCGCCTTGCACATCCACTCCTCGGCCCCGTAAGTGACAAGATGGTGAATCTTCAACGCATCCTCCGCCATCTTCCAGAATCCGGGCGTTGCAAACCTTGGGTCAAGGCGCTCCAACCTCTTCCTGTACTCTTTGCGGAAGTGGTCGTAAAATACGAGCTCTCGCCTCTCGAATGCCCTGTCACACTCGTCCTGCAAACGCCTTTCTTCCTCCGAATCCACTTCCTCTTCCACGTCTTCGCTATCTGAACTAACAGCGTCTTCTTCATCCGTGTCCTCCTCATTTGGTTCGGGTGTCCTGTCCATCGGATTAGCGACAGCCTGCCACTCTCCTGTCGCTGTGGTTCTCTCTTCTTCCATCCGTTTCTTCTCCGTCAGAAAGGCCGCGGCGTACAGCCTTCTTTGAAAAACGTTTTCGAGTTCTTCATCCGTTACACCCTCTGCAGCTGGAGGCTGAATGGAGCTGAAGCCACCAGTTTCTCTCTCCCAGTCTTCACCTCCCCAATCCGGATGGATCTCGGCCACGTACTTGGAACAGAGGATGAAGGGTATAATGGCGACGTCGTCCCAATCCAGAAACGCCGTGATGGTCGTGATATCGTCGTCAAAGGCTAAGTTGCGCATCGCATAGTCCATGGGAGTAATGCAAGGCCTTGTAAAGTGCTGGGTCGGCTGGAAGTGTGCAGTTCTCAATATACTTGAGTAGATTGTCTGCCGTATGAAGAAAGTCGGAAAGGGTGAGTCGCTGGTCGTGGCTTCCGTCGTCCTTCTCCTCTAAATCTCGACTAGAGTAAATCCAAACAAGCGGCCTAGAGAGGTCGTGTCCGTGCCTCTCCTTGACAGCTTCAACCTCCCGTGCCCATAAGAGCTTCCAGAGGTCTAGCAACGAATCCACTTTCTCCGATCCCAGACAAGGACTGATGTCTCCAACCCGCCGCTTGCCACTGTATCCCAAAGGGCCACTGACTGCTATCCCACCCAAAACAAGGGGTCCAAGCGATATGTCTCCGCCTTCTGCAGCTCTTCAACAGTCTCCCTTTGATGACCTTGCTTGTGGTCGCCAACGGAACTAGAGAAGTAGAGGGAACCCAAACCATCAAAGGGTAGCGGTCGGGCCAAGGAAGCGTGTCCGCCTGATGTTATATCCATCATCCTGTACCAGAATTCCCAGTTGGGAGTATAAGTATCCCAAAGGACACGCCAGCGCTTGGTCATGTCGAGGTGCTCCATCATGATGTAGGGCGCGCCGATGGGATTTCCGTCTTCCTTTGTCCCATCGCACCATGTTATGACCTTGGGCACCGGAAGACCCCGACAGTACTTCGCATAGGTCATGAGAGCTACGTTGGCTTCCATCCTACCCAGCAGTCGATCGTTCTTTGCGGGTATCCGGATGACGACTTGGAGCCCATCATAACCGTCAGGCTCTCTTGCAAAGGTCGCGACGAATATTTCATTGTACCCCCCAGACGTTAGACTCGAGAGTCGGGGGGCAGGGTGAGAGGGATTGAAGCCAAAGGTGTGCATTGCGGCGAAGACGAGGGCTCGTACATCGATTCCGAGAGAGAGCTCCCACTCTTCGTGAATGGCATCAGACAGTGGAATGTCAAGGTCTCCCAGCTGCGTGGACCAATCCGAGGGGAGCTTTTGAGGTTTGGTGACTGAGACAGAAGGCTGCATTGCTTGTTGAGAGAAGACTTTCTGGGTTTGCTCAACAGTTATATAAATGTCGGGACTGAATGGAATCAGTGGGCGGTCAGTGGGCTTGATGTCGCCGTCGCTTTCACATAGCTTGTTTGCGGGAAGCCCTAGAATACGCCGAGTGTACATATACAGGATAACCAACGATACGTGTTACAGAACTCCACTAATCAATTGCTCAGAGCGCAGCTGGATCCATTCAGCTTCGCACATCCATTTCTCTGCACCATGTGTAATGAGATAGTGTATCTTCATCACGTCCTCGGCCATTTTCCAGAATCCTGGTGTCGCAAACCTGGGTTCATGTCGCTCCAACCTCTTCCTATATTCTTTCCGCCAGTGGTCGTGAAACACGAGCTCTCGCCTCGTGAAGGCCCTTTCCCACTCCTCTTCCCGACGCCGTTCCTCCTCAGCTGGGTCCACTCCGCTCTCCTCTGTCTCGCCCCCGCTGTCCTCATCGTCCGAGCTCTCCTCGTCACTCGTCGGGGTTTCCTCCACGTCGCTTTCATCAGACTGGGGTAAGTCTTGAGCCTGGGTCTCTGGTCTAGTCGCCTCTTCTTGCCTTTTTTTCCGATCCAAATATGCGGATAGTTTGTACTGGAGTATATACGAGAAGAATAGGATGGGATAGTATGAAAAGAGTGGGATTAAGAATAAAATGTGATGGACAAGCAAAAGAGTGGGATCATAGAAAGAAAGTGGGATGCCGAGCGGGGTTAATCGAGCCGCCAAGCGGAGCTCCATTTCCCGTTTAGGGCTATCCGCCCGCCAAGGCCTTGCATCCGCCCAACGCGAATGCTCGGCGGGCTACGCATCCGCTCCTATGCTCGTGCTCAACATGGATTACCCGCCCGCTTTAGAGGGCGTGAGGTTGTCCAGACACCGCCATTTGCCCCGCCACGTAGTCCTTGCTTCGGGCGCGATTCAAGCCATTCCCGGCGATTATGGTGGCAATCAAGGTCTCAGAAATCTCTCTCGCAAAGATTCGAGGTTATCGCGAATTTGTGAGTCTTTATCTTTGAAAAATAGATTGCTTTGAGACGAAATTTTTCAGTTCTTCAACCATTGCCTTTCGCTCCCCAGCCACCGACCTTTTTTCTCAATTGAAACACCAGAATCATGGGTTTCCGAGGATGCGCTGGCTCTCTACCTGGATATCACGAAGGATGGCCATGTCGACGTCGAAGAACCGAGCCAAAATGAGCTATCCCAGCTGCCTCTACAGTCCTTGAAACAATTTCGCCGTTTTGTAGGTAGCATTCTCTCGTCTATTGTCGATCAGATAGCTCACTTTTTGTCCCTGTGACAGATGCTCACCCCGACAATGGAAGACGAGGCGTATTTCTCTTTAGATAGGGCAGAGGACTGGTTTCGCGACCAGGCATTCATTGCATGGATAAATCACATTGGGGCAGCAGAATCAGGTGAGAGATTATGTGCACCCGCCAACAATCTGTGTTGACCACCGTATACCCGTAGCGGGCTCTGGGAGCCAAGGGAGAGGGAGGCAAACATTCCGAGACCAAGCAGCATCTCGCCAGCGTTTGGCGTCCTCAAACTCATCGTCTCGCGCCTCCATCGTATCGGGTTACAGTGGAAGGTCCCGTTCACATTCCATGGCCTCGGATACGTCGTCATCCCCACACTACCCTCCTGCCTCCACACCTGCACTCTCTTCGGAATCGGAGCTCGACTGGGGAGGGGACAAGGATGATATTATCGACGTCGATGCAATCAAATCTGAAGACGAGGAGCTCGCTGTCCCTAAAGCCAAACCAAGGTATGTTGCAACGCCCTGGGCCGTGCTAAATCTCTCTGACACACTTTTTTTAGTGCCCGGAACTGGAGATATAATCCGCGAAACCAGACACGTCCCTTTCTCAAGCTTGAGGACGACTCCGATGCTGACTCTCGACCTATCAAACGCCCCCGCAAGTTTTCCTCGCCTTCGCCGGCTCTCAGAGGCACTGACAGTGACTCCGAAATCGAAGTGGTTTCTGAACCCGTCCGATTGACTAAAAAGAAAGTCGTTGACCGGCTAGAGGTTGTCTCCAAGGCGCAGGACACCTGGACTGTTCCTCGCGAAAATGTGGCGTACCATCTAAAGCTCGACGATGCCGAACTTCCAGTGAAGCCCGGCGGCAAGCCCATGACTATCGATGGCTATATACGTTCAGAGGTGCATTTTCTCTTTCTCTTTCACTTGGTACGCTCTCATCATGATGTATAGGACCAGGATTCTTGGTCTGGCTCCACAGGACGCACGAGCGGCGACGTATGGGTGACTGGCATCGCTGATGACCCCAAAGAAGCGATCCATTGTCGCCGAGTCGACCTTCAGTGCAATGGCGTCAAGGTCTGCAGCTATTTCGACGAGACGTTGCTGGACAATTGCGAGCGATACGAACCTGATGAAGAGGAGACCCAGGCGTTATGGGAGGAGGAGCTTTCTGCAAATGAGAACGAAAGTAAGGCCCATGCCGCTCTCCTGACTCGGTACGTGTGATGACCTCTACTCGCGTAAGGTGTAACCTAATTCCTCTTGTCATTCACGCAGCTTTTTCAGGATGCTTGAAAGGGCGAAGTGCCCTAGGAGTGGATGTGAAGGTCGGGTACATATGAGACCTTTACGGAACGTGTGTACCATTGTGTTTTCGATGGTATTATTTCTCTTCTAACCTGCCTACTTGTATAGCCGCCGTCTCGTGAAGGAAAGAAGAATCTGATTGGATGCACGGGATGGCGAAGGAATGAGGAGGATCATTTGTACTTCAGCATCCCCGGTTACATTGACGAGGATGCTCTACGTTACATGATGGAAAATAACGGAGCCTTCCCCCCTGGATACGAGAAGGGGAAGGGAAAGATCAATCTTCATACCAGATGTGTTCTTGCAGTCCACCCCCGCACAAAACTTGTGGACTGTCGTAAGTAGAGTATATCATGTACTGTATCGATTTACTCATTTTTCCTCCTTAGCCTTCTCCCATATCATCGAGTCAACCGCGAAAACTGATCAGAAACTAGTCTCTCGCGCATGTCCTACCGTGATGACCGTCTATGTCCCCCTTGATCGCTACAAGCTTCAGAGAGCAATTATCCTGGTCCAAAATCCGCATAACCATCCGGCATTCCCCAAAGCGAAGCCAAGCAACGCCGAAAAGGCGTTCTTGAACACAGTTGTCGCGAAGCTCGGCTCTGCTGGCCTGACACGGACGAAGCTGCTAAAAGGTACTGTACAAGCCTCAGACTTGGGTCTCTCCGATTCCTAAATGCCCACCTGATGTGTATTCCTTCTATAGCATCGCTTACAACTGAAATGTGTGGTGGAGTGAGTCTGGTGGAAATGATTCCTGCGTACTCGGACAAGCGGCGTCTTAGGGATAGTGTCCGTGACATTCAACGGAAGGACTTTAAGGGAGGTGTCGATTTCAATGGCAAGTATACTGTCTACTTTAATCGTTCTCCGTCCACTAATCAAGAGATTTCAGGGGTCATGTACGAGTACAACGAGAAGGAAGTCCTCCTTCCAACAGGCCAGCGTTATATCCACTCAGTTGTGGGCCAGAGCGAGTTTAAACTCGTTGTGACAATGCTCCAGTCGCTTGTGAAGGACATACACAAGGCGAACAGCCTTGAAATGGACTTCTCGTTCAAACGTGTCTATGGCGAGATGAATGAATGGGATGTGGCTGGATTTCTTCCTGATCGAAATAAGCGTACGTCTCAGTGCTTTGTTGAACATACTCGAACTCATTTGTTATTCAGGAGTTACATTTGCCCATTTGTATTGCAACCGGGCGACAAAGGAAGCATTCACGACCCTTTTCAACGAGCTTTGGAGGGTAATACGCGAAGTTACCGGATCTGTTTTGAAGTTCAAAGTCTTCTTCCCCGAGGATCCCGCCGCTCTCCTCCTCTGTATCCGCCTTGATGCAGAAGCACCCCAAGCTCAAGGTCTTGCGGCAAGTCTTGTCACCTACCAAGCCTTGTACGTGAAAGAACCCCCGAAGGACCTCCCGAAGGACCCTATGGACCTCCTTCTTCATGTTCTGAAGATTTGCTACGTTCATTTCGAGCGGTACGTCTAGTTGTTACAGCTGTCTATCAAACAAAGTTCTCTGACGTTTTTGATGCAGAAACATCTCGAAGCTAGAGGCAGAACTGACACACGATGAGCTCCAGCGACTGAAGGGGTTCAAAGGTTTGTCGTCACAGCAGGAGATTGACGATTGGCATACCTTCGCTAGTGGGCTTAGTGGTGCTCGTTCGAAAGGTTCGTGCACCTTTTTATAATCGGCTATTTGGTGTTGACTCATTCCGCCATCCTGTGCACTAGCATGGTATCAGCACAAGAAAGCGCACCCGTGGATCCTGCCTGCCTGTAACAAGTTTTTATCACCAATCAACGACGAGGATTGGGACCTCACTCCCACAAACACGAACCTTGTAGAAGGTGGTCACGCAGAGGTCAACAGGGAAACGGATACGGGACTTCCACTTTTGTTGGCTATTCGAAGGTGCGAGTCCTCTGAGGCAAACGTGGAAGGACATGCTAACGTAGTGGCTCAGTGCGCAGGAATACGACAGGAAGGTTGCGCACAACATGGAGCTCTCACGTAAGAACGCAATCTCAGAGAATCGATGGAATACAGCAAAGCACCGCGAAGCAGCAAACATCGCCCGACGAAAAAGCCAGCACAAGAAACTCACGACAAAGAACGCACATCTCCAGGAGTACTTCGACTTACAGGAACGCCTGCATGCGCTTAATTTGCAGAGGACGGAATCACTCGAACGCTCGAAGGCTTTGGAGGGCAATATTTCATTACTGGACACGGAATACAATGCTGGGGGCGATCAGGGGGTGAAGGAGAAGATTAAGCTTCGCAAGAAGGACCTGGCACACGAGCTGGACAAGCGACGCGTAATCCGAGGCGACAGCGACCGTATTAGGACCCAGATGGAAGCCCTGAAGACTGGTCCCCTGCAAAATATACATATACCGAAGGAGCGCCCAGATCGTAATCGTGATGGTCATGTGGGTGGACAGTCTGGAGAGGAAGGCGAACACTCAGGCAGTGCTGTTCATCGTGCAGGGCAGGCCAACGCTAGTCATAGTGCGTGACATTTTCCTCTACTATACCGCTCCCTTGCTGATATCAGATTTTAGCCTTGTTACCTGCCGCCGTAGCAAACCTACAAACCCACCCTGATGACGACACTGATAGCTCCTCTCAGACTCAATCGATTACCGTTCATCCTATGGACATTCCGGACGGCCTAGGCGAGATTGATATGGACGGCGAGGGTGGTATGGTTGGTTTCGATAATAGGATCGGTCAGTCCAGCGCTTCTGGTCTGGATCTTCTCAGTACGTCGTCCTTTGAGGACCCATTCCTCCAGTTCGACTTCAGCACCTTCGACACCTTCCTTCACGACCTGAACGCCAATCCCCCCGAAATTCCACCAAACATCTATAGTCCTCCAACAGATCTATTATCCAGGCCCGTAAGCTCCGATTTCGACGGGACAACATACGCCTTACCTCCTCTACCTCCCTTTCCCCCTTCTTCACCCGTACCATCGCTACTTCCACTACATGAGCCCGGATCTCATGCCCATGCAGTCCCTCCTCAAGACGACAGCCATGTCAGTGCTACCCACCCGGTCCAGTCCAGTCTCGATCCCTCTGGCAGCCTGGAGCATCAGCCAAAGAAACGCAAGCGCAAGCTACAAAATATCGGTCCTGTCCGCCAAAGTAACCGTGCAAGAAAGCAGGTCGACTTTTCAGTCAAGCTGGTCGCCGACGGAAAGGCTTCGCCGAAAGGTGATAATCGTCGCAGGTATGTTGTCCCCATGGCTTTCCTTTACAACTTATATTTCTGATCATTCCCTCCTAGACCTCGGTGGGAGGAAGTGCCGAGCGATGATGACCTTTGACTTTAGGGCAGGCAAAATACCAAGTTCAGCTTCATTCACGTATTCTTACCAGACTGTAGAACTTCAATTCAAATTTTTACTATAACTTTAAAGATATGACTCTATACAATGCCCACTCTAACAATCAGAGAAAGTTTGTGGCTAGTTGTCGTGAAAGGCGCGGTCGTTTACTTGTCCCCCGTACAATGTGCATCACCCGGCACTTTCCTTTTTTGGAAGACTTTCCTCCGACCGCACTTTGTCTACCCATGAGCGGCAGTCCACTTCTCCTTACCTCGGCCGATGATACAAGATGCCGAGAAGGACCAGCATTCCTTGGTCTGATCTTATACCCGTAGACGGATCCCACTCTTTTCCTTCGCATCACATCTTTCTGCCCCAATCCCATTCTTTTATCGTCATCCCATTCTTTTAAAAGCAATCACATTCTCTTTGGGCAATCCCATCATATTCTTTTCGTCATCACCCGTTTGTACTGGAACAAAGCTTCCAGTTCCTCTTCCGTCACATCTTCTGCAGACGGAGGCTGAATGCAGCCGAAACCACCTGTTTCCCGTCTCCATTCCTCGTCTCCCCAGTTATAACTGATCTCGGCCAGATACATGGAGCAGAGGATGAAGGGTAGAATAGCGACATCGTCCCAATCCAGAAATGCTGTGATTGCTGTTTTGTCGTCGTTAAAGATGACGTTACGCATCGCATAATCCATGGGGACAATGCAAGGTTGGAGGAGTGCTGCATCAGCTGGGAGTTGGGAGTTCTCGATGTATTGGAGGAGGTGATCCGCCGTTTGAAGGAAATCGGAAAGTGTACACTGCTCGTTGTCCTCGCCTTCATCCACGTCCAAAGCGTCAGGCTCAAGCCATACAAGAGGCCTGCTGATGTCGTGATCGTGCTTCTGCTTGATAGCCTCGACCTCCCGCTCCCATAAGAACTTCCAGAGGGCTACCAGAGATGTTGCTTTCTCTGACCCTTGACAGGGACTGACATCCCCAGTACGGGCTTGGGTTCGATGTCCAGTTACCATCGGGCCATAAACCAGCGGGCCTATGCGATATCTCTCCACCCTCTTCAACTCTTCGTCTGTCTCCCTCCGGCCATCACAGTTCGGGACATCCGAAAAATAGAGTGATCCAAATCCGTGGAAAGGTAATGGTGTGGCGAGTGCTCCATGTCCCTTTGCCATGATGTCCATCATGTTGTACCAGAAGTCGCGGCTGGGGGTGTGGTTGAAAAACATGTCATGCCATGGATCGCCTTTAGGGGCTTGGAGGTATTCCATGATGATATAGGGCGCGCCGACCGGGTTTCCATCCCCCGCCGTGCCATCACACCACGCAAAGACTGTGGGGACAGAGAGACCCGCGCAGAACTTGACATAGCTCATTAGAGCCACCGTCGTCTCGAGTCTGCCCGACAATCGACCCCGCTTGAGTGGCATTCGGATAGCGACCTCGAATTGTTCCGGGTAGCCGTCTTCCATTCGAAAGGTCGCGACATAGAGGTCGTTAAACCCGCCTGAATTGTGCCTTCGGAGCTTCGGAAGTGGGTTGGAGGGAGGGGTTAAACCGAATGTATGCATAACTGCAACGGTGAGCGCTCGTGGATCGATGCCGAGGGACAGATCCTCCCAGTCTTCATCGTCCATCCAATCACTCCGAGGTCGAAGGATGGCTTCAGGTGGAATATCAGCATCGCCCAACTGTGACGCCCAATTCGAAGGCAGTTTCTGTGGTCGAGTGATTGATATGGTGGGTTGCATCATCATATGCCGGAGATGAAGGGAGAGTCGTACTGAAATATTTGCGCCAGCAACGCAGCGGTTTTGAATGCATCTACCACTCAGTTGTAGTCGTATATCGGACCCGGAGATGATAGCCACTGACTCGGTGAAGCCTCCCAACATAACACAGATCCGCGCATCCCGCTTGATGGCATCGAAGATGGAAGGTATCCAACCCAACGGGATAACGTAGATCAGCGCCTCCATGGGCGCCAACAACGATGTCCGGCGATCAAACACATCGTCCACTCGTAGGCCTGGGATCAATTAACATCCCAACACACCCCCACAGAAAAGAAAGTATTTGAACCTCGACTTGAACTTTCTTATTCGTCGTGTCTGGAACACCCATCCCTTCTCCCAAACAACTTATACCATCCAAGGGCCGGTCCCACCCCTCAAAATGCGTTCAATTCTCTACATCTTCTTCGCCTGCATCTTCCTGGTCGTCCAAGTTCTAGGACACCCATTGCCCCTAGGCTACGCGGAGAACGACCTTTCGGGGAGCGTCGTCGCCAGAGAACCCACTGACTGGAGTCTTCCTTCCCCCATATTCCAGGTATTTACCCAACCCCCAAACTGATGCTCCCATACTTTAACTCATTGACTCCCCCATCGACGATGTATCAGAGAGAAGACACCAGCACTAGCAATCCCTTGTTCACCCGCCAAGTCCGAGTTAACTGGATCGACCCCGTCAGATTAACGCCCGGCGACAAAAAGTTCATATACACGCTGAACCACCCATACGGTCGCCACCGCATCGTGCAGACGGTCAAACAAAAAATCAAGAATATCCTGCCCAGGCGAGGTAGTCAAGGCTAAGGGAAAGCCAGACCTGAGAATTTAAGTGTACTTCAGTGATTAGTGTATCGCAGAAAACTCTAGAGCAACTCTAGCATGTTTGACGTCAATGAGAAATTGATCAGATTTTCGTGATGGTTTTACCCACTAGATCTCCACCCACAACGTCGGGAACTTACGCCCTCCTCGTAATATCCTTAACCAACCCCTGCCCCATCCTCCTCACCTCCGCCAACACAGCGCCCTCATTCAACGTAACCAGTCCTTTATCCTTCTCCTTTTCGCTCTCCTGCACAAACAAATAAACCCATCAGCATGAAGTCAACGTCGACATTCACTCCTCCACTCCAGACTTGAAAGGACCTAGCAGTGGAAGAAAGGCTACGCACCTTGGGCACAGGCTGGCTATTAAACCCACCCAACACCCTAAACGGTCGTGCGGTTTTAAGCGTCGGGTCCCACACACCACCAAATTGAGTACCTCCATAAGGATCGAAGAAGAGGCGGAAAGTGTCCGCATACGTTCGCTGTAGCATGTATATCAGTCAATCGGACGACCTCGTGCACCAAAATGAAAAAAAAGAGATCCAATGAAAACGCACCTGCAAATCAACAAACAACGCCCGAGCAGGATCAAACCCAGGCATCACACTCTCCACCTTCTCCCCAACCTGATTTGCATATTTTCCTTGCCTCGTGAGGAGCTTTGGATCTGGGTTCACGTTGTGCATGTAGCGAGGTAAAACAGAGGGGTCGAGGTGGACGATAAAGTCGTAGTCTTCTGTTGGGTGGATGAACATGCCCTGTAAACGCAAACGACGAAAACGGACGGAGTCAGAGACGAGATGACACAATCGAAAGGAGAGTGATACTCACCCGAACATCAAACCCACTCCCTTCAACACCTTGCATAAACCTAACAGTAGCAACCGCCAACGCCCTAATCCTCTTCGCTACAATAGCGTCGGGACCATACTTTGTCCACATCCTGCCTTCTTTATCCATATCCGTGTTGAACTTCCACACTCCTCCACTCGTCGCCGTCGCCCCTGTGGCACCTGCCCCAGGAACAGTCCCAGTAGTTGAAGCACCGTTAACAGCACCAGTAGTACCCGCCCCACTAGATTCCTCCTCCTCACTCCCCCTCGGCCCATAAAGACAAACCCACACCCCTCCCTCCTCCCACTTCCACTCACTCAAAAACCTCAACACAGTCGCAAAACCCCGTTCCTTCGTAGCGGGGACCGAGCTCGGAACCGGGACACCCGCATCACTTTCAACACCCACCATCTTCCCATCCCCAACGAAAAACTGCGCACAGAGTAGCTCGATAGCTTCTTCCGTTACATGGCCGCCTCCGCCTACACCAGTACCACCCGACGCACCACTGATATGCGCGAGGAAGACAAGGGAGCACCAATCCCCTCAGACCCATGCCCACCCAACAACCAATGCGCGCCAAACCACCTCTTCACAAGCCTACACGTCCCCGCAAACGCACCATACCGATGCGAAAGCGCCGCCACAGCCCGATGATGCCTCGGCGCATGCACAAACCGCCTCTCATACACCTCCCTCGCCACCTGCGCGTCCAAATACACCTTACCCTTCCTCTCCTCCTTCTTCTTGGATTTGGGGACGGCGATGTGCGCTAGAGGACCCCGTTCGTCGAGGATGCGGTCGAGCAGGGTGGCTTCGCGGTCGTGCCATATTCGGCCTCGGAAAGCCCACCCTTCTGGTGTGAGGATTTCGAGGTAGGCTTTGTCCACCACTTCGTTCGAGTCGGTTACGTCCCCTTCGCCTAGTACGACGCTGGCTTTGAGACCCGGCACGGACCCCATCAACAGAACAGCCATCCTCTCGAAAAATGCCAGCTTGATCTTCTGGATAGCCTTCAACTCGTCCGGCCATTTCCCCGATTTCTCGAATTCAAAGATGATGTCGATGGGATGCAGGTAGCGCGCCGTAGGCGGAAGGGAGGACGCAAGACCCGGCGTGAGAGGGACGGGATTGAACACGCTTGTGTACCGCAACGACGATGAAATCGCGCTGGCGTTGACCAGTGAAAGAGGGAGCTCCTCCTCTAAAGCTTTAATCGCTTTGACCAACCCCTCAAACGCCCCCAACGCTCCCTTGAAACCAATCGCAGTCCCTTTCAGACCCTCCACATATCGCCCCGAAACTTCCTTCGGCAGTCGAATCAGGTTATCGTACGCTGTCTGCCACGACTCCACCTTCTCCTGGCTGATCCCGAAATGCCAGTCCAGGATGTGTTTGACGACCATAGCAGGGATATGAGCACGCTCGTCCGCGGTTTTCACATCCCACACCACGCTTTCGGTGATCCTCCCGTCTTTGAACCTGCGCAACTCGGATTTGGGACCCCAGAGCTCGCGGAAGGCCGTGAGTTCGGGGGTGACTTGGTCTTCGGCGGCAGGACCGTGCTGGACAAGCTGGAAGGCGTGCTCTGGGTCGAGGATGAGACCGATGAAGGCTGTGGTGGGTGTTGAGGGGTGGGCTTGTGAGAGCGGGCGAGTGGAAGGGGAGGAGGGCGTCGTGCTGGGGCAGAGGAAGGAGATTGCCTTTGCACGTGGACCGAGTGCCTGGCGGAGGAGAGAGTCCATGTTGAAAAGGAGTTGGTGGAAAGTGGATCCTCTGTCCAACGAAGCATGTACCGAGGGTTGTCGTTGTTTAGCACCTGTAATGTCGACACTTGGGAAAGGTTAGCCCAAATCAAAATTGTATTATGGAGCACTCACCGGAGAACAACGTCGAATCGAGTATGCACGTCACGGTGGTCTTGGAGGAAGACTTGAGTGAAGGGGTCGATGGCGAGTGTCGAAGAATTGAGTGCTTCCAATGTTTTCGAGGCTTCGTATCGGAGCTGCCGAGAGGTCAGTTTAGATGAACGGAAAGGAATGGACTACCAGCATACCAGATCCAAGCACCCCACAGGAATACTAGCCAACAGATTCACCAACGACGCCGAATCCACCAAACTAGCATGCCAGTAATCCTGGTACTCATCACTCTGATACCGCTGACCCTCCACCGTCTTCACAAACACAGGCGCCTTTGAAAATTCCTGCTTTGAGAGACAATCCAATGCAGCTTTGAAGAGCTGGTACGAGCTCAGACCCTTGCCCAGCGGTTTCCTCTTCGAGTTTTTCGTTTCTTCTCCGGTAATAAGCAATTCTAAAAGACCAATCCAGAATGGGCCAGCGTCTTCGAAACCTTTTACGCACATCCGCGAGCCTTGGCCGAATCCACGTTGGTTGGCCCAGATGCGCAGGAGTGTCAGGGCATCAGAAAAGGCGGGGGAAGATTGGATAAGATTGTAGGTGGCGAGTAGGTGGGGCTTGGGAGTGAGCGAGTAGAGCAAGGCGTTGTTGTAAACAGGCGTGGGCTGGGGTTGGGACGGAGACTCGGATTGTTGCGAGGTATTGATTTTGAGGTTTCCATGGGAGGGCGATAATCGATGCAAGGGGATAGGCGACTGTGCTGGGAGTGTCGGGATGATGCAAACCCTCGCTTTTAGTTTTGTGAAATCAGTCTGCGAGCCGTCCGACTTGGGTATGAGAACGAGCTTTGTGAGTCTAGGATCGCTCGAGGAGGATTCATAGAACAAGTCAACGTTGAGACCGGATTTTGGGTTTTGGATGGCCTGGGCGATGGTGGCGAGGTAGAACGCCTTTTTCTGGAAGAATCGTGCATTGAGATAGTCTTTTTCTTGGAAGAGGCTCTGCAGTCAAAGCGTCAGATATTTCCTAAGTGAATCCAAAATAAAACGCACTGCTGGCATCTCAACCGCAACGTCCACTCCATAATGCAAATCGTCCTTGGGCTTCACGCTGACCTTGTTCGCCCAACTTCCGACCAACGTGATCTCCGACGGTTTTTCAAACGCGACCTTCCAGTTGGTTTCTTCGGTGGGTAATGGTAGACAGTAAGGCACAGCGATACCCTTTTTCAGTAAACCTTTCGAGGCCTCGAGCGGGTGTTGGGCAGACACCGAAGGGATTTTGAGGAGAAAAGTGTGGAGGTTGAGAAGGAACTTTTCCAATGGCGGAATTCTGGATGCTTTCGGTCGCACATTGGGCAGTAAAGCATCTATCTGAACTAGTCATTGGTTTCAGCGAAATCTGACTAGAGATAACCACGCACCTGTAGTTTGAAGGAACTCGAGCGATACAAATCCGTCGCTTCACGAATTGCGCGCATTTCTTCAGCCGTTGGTGGTTTCTTCGGCTTTGAGGACGTATCGAGAGGCTCCCTAGGCTTAACCTCATCGTCTCCTCCCTCTACACCGCCCCATTCTTCCTCCTCCTCTTCAAATTCCTCTCCTCCAGACTCCATCTCCTCGTTTGAAGAAACAACATCAGGTTCTTCGCTTACTTTCCGCGTCTACAGACATAATCAGCATACAAACATGTCAAAAAGGCCCATACACACCTTTCGAGGGCTAGCATCCGCCGCACGCTTCCTCTTGAGATTGAGAGCCATGGAATACGAGGTCAACGCCCATTTTCTGCGATTTCCCTGTCTTTGGACACAGCCACTGATGGCACAGGCGTGGGTAAGTTCTGCCTGGATTGGGAGTCGGGACCTTGATTCCATTAAGCGCCCGCGCCCAGTATGGGTCTCGCCGCAGCGGCGTCGAGCCCGTGGAGTTGGTTCAGAATTTGAGAGAAGATGTTTGAACATATCAATCCATTATCATATAAGTACACATACAGCGAGATGAGGTGTTCAAGCTGGGAAAGGGCTTTAACCCAGTGTTTGAACATAGGAGCGGTATTATTGAGTAAATGGAAGTTACACACTGCCTGCTATCCAATGCATTCTACGTGGTGAGCAGCCATCCTCATCCGATTCCCACCTGTACTTAGACTCCCTGTAGTCTATATGCACGTCGTTCCATCTGTCCAACATCGCATTCCAATCTTCAAAACGCCACAAGAGCCCAGGACCTAACCTACGATAGAGATATACATCATCAAAAACTTCCCGATACTGAGCAAAGCTGACGACACAGCTCAAGTTTGGAAACGCCCTCCTAAGCCACGGTATGAGCAGGCTGCTAGAAGAAATTGGCGACGTGCACACGTTCATGCATTGAATGCCTCACTATAAGTCCGCCCCCCAGGAAAATCTCCTGGGGGATTCCCGCCCGAGCAGGAAGGGAACTCCCGCTCCAACAGGAGATACCCCTGCAAGTGCGGGAGAATTTTCTGCCGGGGCAGGAAAGCTCGATGCCTCGTCCCTCGGCTCTCCAGACACCTCGCAGGAGATTTCCCTGGGGAAATCTGCCGTTTTACTGCGGAATTTCCGCCAGCGCGGGTGTAAAACTGCCCTCCCAGGAGCATGCTTTCCCCGGAGGTGCGGAATCACTTTCGTTTTATTTATTTTTCTTTTACTGGACACGCAGGGTACACGAGAATATGCTCTATATTTATGATAGTATGTATTACAGTTCATATGATAGTAAGTAAAACGAGGATTCAAATAAGAGAATCCCGAAAATCCTAGGATGATCAGATTTCGGTGGCTGGGAATTGTCGGTCAGTGGCGTGTCCGACGGGGAAAGCAGAACTTGCCGAGTGCAGGTTGAACGCTCCGGGCGTCTAGCATTGGGCACAAAGGCGAGTAGAGATGGGCGAGGCCGCCGAGGCGGGAACCAGTGGAGGAGGGCAGCCCTTATCATTCAATCATTAGCAAAAGCTGTGGGATATGAAAAATAATGATACTCGCCATTATGATTGAGCCAGCGAGGGACTTCAAGGCCAAATGGAAAGGATGTGTGGGGGATAGAGGGAGAGATGCGCTGTAGTGAGTGACAGAACATATAACTTGCGCGGCGGCTGACGATTAACTAATATCTTCTCGCGCACCCCTTCTTCCTACAGCTCAAACTCGGGAGATTTCTCTAAGTCAGATCTCACCGACACGATAATTTTAATATCTCGACTAATCATAGTAATCAAATGTTTTCTATTCTTTTATTTGCTATATGAGGGGCCAGGGCTATGACAATTAAAACGACGACACCGACGAAACGATGACGGCGATGACGGCGCAACACCGAAGACGACGACGCCGACGACCCTGCCCAGGCGGGCCGCGGGGTGGTGGACCTCTCGTCCTGCTCATGCGGGATGGAGGCAACCGCCTGTGCGGGGCCAACCGCTCATCCTGCTCACGCGGGATGGAGACAACCGCCTGTGCGGGGTCAACCTCTCATCCTGCTCACGCGGGATGGAGGCAACTGCTCATGCGGGGTCGACCTCTCACCCTGCTCGCGCGGGATCGAAACAACCGCCTGTGCGGGGCCGGTTGTCGAAACCCGCGCAGGCGGGACTCATCCTGCGTCGGCGGGGACTCGCCCGCTCGCGCAGGACACGCAGGAGTTCCCCAGGAGATTCTCCTGGGGGGCGGACTTATAGTGAAACAAGAGGAATGCACCGATCTTTTGGCCGACTCATCCTTCAGCTTTCTTCTTCCTTGACATACCTCGACATCGCCGGCGTTATTCTAGCCTCACCCACCTTAACATCTCTGAACCACCTCACCGGCCTCGTGAAGCTCAAAGTGAGCTTAGCGCAACAGCATGTGGCCCATCTGTGTTCTTCTGCTCTAGCATACCCACGGGCTCAGCTCTGCTTGCCATCGCTTCAGCAACTCACCATCCGAGTTCTCCCGCATGCTTTTCAAGCGTGTATTCAACTGCTCTCCATCTCAACATTGGCTCAACTCCGAGTGCTCAAGGTGAAGGCGTTGGAGGATCTATGCGACCCAAATGCGTTATTCGCGACCCTTAATGAACGGCAGATGTTCCTTCTTGAAGAAATAGCTCTTGAGAGGGACGAAAGCTTTGGGGAGTCGGACACAGTCGCTGTGCAGCCTCCCCAGCACCTCTACGGTCCTCCCCCGGTTCCCCTCACGGAAGAAGACGTCGCTCCCCTGTTCTCCTTTAAGAAGTTGTCCCTATTCCGAATTTACCACTGCGACCACTATAAGTCCGCCCACCAGGAGAATCTCCTGGGGAACTCCCGCGGGTCCTGCGTCGGCAGGAACTCACCCGCCGGCGCAGGATGAGCCCCGCCGGCGCGGGTTTCGACAACCGGCCCTGCCCTGGCGGTTTTCTTCGACCCTGCGGAAGCGGGAAAGAGGTGGACCCCGCCCTGGCGGTTTCTTCAACCCCGCGTCAGCAGGGGCAAGTCCACCCCGCCGGGGCGGTTTCTTCAACCCCGCGCCAGCAGGGTCTTGAGTCTAACCCGCCCTGGCGGTTTCTTCGACCCCGCGTCAGCAGGGGTAGAGTCCACCCCGCCTGGGCAGGGTCGCGTCGTTGCCCTCGTCGTTGCTCTGTCGTCGTTGTCGCATTCATGTACACATGATGTTTTACACGAAAGCATGTGTTATTAGTCAAAAAATATACATATTTCAACGAAAAAAGTGTTTTCTACGCAGGCGGGAGAGGTCATTTTGTGTTACTCAGATCCAGAACCGTAACGTGCAAAGTGGGACTTAGATAAATGGCGCGAGTCGAGATCTGCGGTGGACTGTGGGAAGATATTTGATAGTCAGCCTCCAGATCACTTTTAAGTATGGCGTCGTCGCTCTTTTATCCTTCTATTTTAATAACTAAAAGAGCGCGCTTCGCCGCAGAGCCTGCTACTACGGAGCTACGCGTTCGCCCACGTCCTTTCAGCTCACTCTTCAGCGTTCGGATTGAGCACGTAACATAACACTGAGAAGTGTACAAAGGCCAAAAGCATCAAGATGGTATTAATCGATACATTTCTTTCACGACAGGTTCAGTCCCAATAGGAGGCCCATTCAGAGCCATCTACGTTACTTTCGCAGTCGCTAGTGGCAATGTCGAATGACACTGCTCCGTTGGTCAATGTTCTGGGCAAGAGGCACCTCACATCCTCCACACCTATCTCGCCCGTCGCCAAATGTTGCACCCTCGAAAAGCGCGGGTTCTCCACCAACCGGTTAACACACTTCCCGTTCCCATTTCACCGCGCCTGAGTGCGCACTGCCTGCTGTCAGCAACTAACTACTTGATCTGTCGTTCAAGCAATCAATAGCTGCACTAGAAAAGACTTGGCGAAGAGCGATAGGATTCAGTAAAGACTAGAGTGTTGTAGCTAGGAATAGACCAGCTAAAGACTGAGGAAACTACGCTTACAAGTCTACTCTATATATACTACTTGAGTTGTATGTACTTGTTTGGTCCATGGTGCTGTGCGCGCGCAGTGTTTTGTTCAGCTGGCGGGGTACGGTTCCATGACTCATCACGTAGTCTGAGTCACGTGACATCCTATGTTACTAACTACAAGTCTCGGCGAGAAAAGGAAAAGAAAGGTCTGATTCATGACATCACCCCCCCCTTAAGGTTCACGTCCTCGTGAACGTCATTGCATCTAGGGCACCACCCTTTTCGGCACTTTGGGAGGTTTTCCGGCATTGGTTCGGCAGTTCCTTTGGGTCGACGGTTTGGGGAATAGGAGGCCTTAAACTTCCCAGCGGTCCAGTCGAAGATTCTTCCGGAAGGTTCGGTGAAGTTCTCGTAGGGTATGAATCGGAGTTTCTTGGTGATCCGCCGAGGTGCGGAGGGATTCTCTCGATGAAACTTTTCTACGAGTTCGGGAGAATTCTTCAGGTTGGAGGCATCTTCCCACGTCCTCTCCTCCTTGGGGTATCCCTTCCAGTTCACCAGGTACTGTAGTTTTCCCTTGTAGAGTCTGGAGTCGTCGATGGATTCGACTTCATACTCTACTTCTCCGTCTACCAGCTCGGGAGGAGGAGGTGGAGGTTTCTTCTGAGAGGGAAAATGGGGTTCGTGGTATGGAGTGAGGAGTGACTCGTTAAACACCGGGTGTATGGCCTTCCAAGTCTTGGGGATGGCGAGTTCGTAGGCAGAAGCTCCGACCTTCTTGGTGATCTTAAAGGGTCCATATCTCCGATCGTCGAGCTTCTTGGCTGGCCGCTGCGTATTGATGTTGGTTGCCTCAAGGTACACCATGTCGCCCACTCGGTAGGGCCTGGAGGGTTTTCGTTTCCGATCATAGTAATGTTTCATAGTCTCGGCAGCTTGTTTTAAGGCTGCTTCGGCCTCCTTGCGGATGTCTTTAATCTCGGTAACAAAGTCCTCTGCAGCCTGATTCCGTATTGGGCCTCTTGGTTCGCCTCCCTTGTATGGGTGTTGACCGTAATTCAGGTAGAACGGACTGTACCCGGTTGACTGGTGGATCTTGTCGTTGTAGGAGAATTGGGCCAGAGGGAGCCAATCAGCCCAGTCGTCTTGTCTTTGGTTGATGAAGATCCGTAAGTACTGCTCTATCTCCTGATTGATCCGTTCCGTCTGACCATCAGTCTGGGGGTGGAATGCCGTGGAGGGGTTTCCTTCAATGCCGAGGAGTTTCATCAGATCCTTCATGAAGTTCGAGACAAATTGTGGGCCTCGGTCGCTGATTACTTTTCGGGGGAGTCCGTGGTGTTTGAACACGTAGTCCCGGAAGTGCTTCGCTGCACCTAGCGACGAGAGCTCCACGTTGGTGGGAATTGCCTCTATCTTCTTTGAGAATCTGTCGACCACTACCATGATGGCATCGAATCCTTTCGACTCTGGGAGGGGCCCGATTAGATCTACCGACACTATCTCCCATGGGAGAGAGGGGACCTCGTTTGGCTGTAGTGGCGCAGCCGGGACGGTTCGACGGGGTTTAGTCCGTTGACACATGCCACATCCATCGATATAGGTTCGGATGTCTGCTTGGATTCGGGGCCACCAGTAGTTCCGAGTGATCAGTTCCTGGGTACGATATCGACCAGGGTGTCCCGATACTGGGGAGTCATGATGGAATCTGATGATGTCCTCCCGGAGTCCCTTATCCTTTGGCACGTACACTCTTCCCTTGAACGTCACGAGGTGTTCGTCGGATTCGATCCAGTCCGGGTCCTTCTGCAGTAGAGCCTTGGCCACCGCTTTGTCCCTTCTTCTCCAAGAGCGCTTGACCCGTTCCAAAAAGTTGGCATCTGGTCCTGAGATGCCCACTTCGACCCTTCTGAAGAGTTCTTCCTTCAAGAGGATCACGTCTTCGTTATCGTTGGCTCCTCGATCGTGATCGGCTCGTCGTGAGAGGAGGTCAGCCTTGGTCATCTGTTTTCCAGGCTTGTGGTGAAGGGTGAAGTGGTACTGTTGCATCTCGGTGAGCCAGCGAGCTTGGCGGCGATTCAACTTCTGGGGTTTTCGGAAATACCCGAGATTCTTGTGATCGGAGTGGATCTCGAAGACGTGTTTAGCTCCAAGGAGGTACTGTCTCCAATCTGAGAGTGCACGCATGATGGCGAGCATCTCCTTGTCGTAAATCTCGTAATTCCGCTCGGTCGGGTTCAGGGCATGGGAGATGAAAGCTACCGGTTTCCACTTCCCATCAGGCTGTTGTTGGGAGAGGACTGCCCCAGTTGCGAACTCGGATGCATCAGCCTCAACACGGAACTTCCCAGTGTCATTGGGAATAGCGAGGACGGGTGCAGAGCAGATTCGATCCTTAACTGCTTGGAAGGCTGCTTCTTGCGCTTGTCCCCAATTCCATTCCTTGTTCCCGGTTAGTTCCGTGAGTGGCCTAGCAATCTCTCCATATCCTTTGATGAACCGTCGATAGAAGTTGGCAAACCCAAGGAACTGTTGAACTTCGCGTTTCGATCGTGGAGTGGGCCAGTCTCTGACAGCATCGACTTTAGCTGGGTCCATGCGTACTTGGTTGTGGGAGACAATGACGCCGAGATATTCCACTTCTTTGGCTTCGAAAACGCACTTCTCCGGTTTGAGGTAAAGTTTGTGCTCGGCAAACTTCCTCAGGACCCTTCGGACCATTTCCCGATGTTCCTCCAATGTTTCCGTGAAGATAAGGACATCATCCATGTATATGATGACTTTTCCGGTGTTGATTTCCTCTCGGAATATGGCGTTCATCATGGTTTGGAACGTTGCGGGAGAGTTTGTGAGTCCAAAGAACATCACCAGAGGTTCATACAGTCCCCTGTTGGTTCGGAACGCCGCTTTCCACTCGTCTCCCTCTTTGATACGGACATTGTTGAAGCCCCCAACGGACATCTAGTTTGGTGAAGTACCGTGCCTTTCTGAGTTTGTCTACTAACTCTTGGATCAATGGCAGGGGGTATCGATTCTTCACAGTGATGTCGTTAAGCCTTCTGTAGTCCTGGACTGGTCGGAGGGAGCCGTCCTTCTTTTTCACAAAGAAGAACGGAGAGGCCATGGGGGATTTAGACGGACGGATCCTCCCTGACTGCAGGTTTTCTTCCAAGAAGGCATCAAGTGCTTGTTGCTCTTCAGGGTTCAGCGGGTAGATCTTGCAGTCCATGGTCTCTGCTCCAGGGATGAGTTCAATTGCATGGTCCCAGGGTCGCCTTGGAGGTAGTTCATCGAAGGACTGCTTCGAGAACACAAATTTGAAGTCGTGGTAATGTGACGGTACCAGTTCTTCAAATGTCTTGGCTTTTTCCTCCTTGGCTTTCCTTTCAGCAATTCTTCCGGATGTCGTCTGGAATGCCCGTAGTCGGATCTCGTGTTGAATGTCTACCACGAGAATGTGTTCCCCATCCTCGAGGTCCTCGTATTCGATTTCCTCTGATTCAGGGTCTGATCCGACAAGTGGGGTACATTCTATGGGACACCGGTTGAACTCTATCGTACCAGTCCTCCAATCAATAGAGGGGTTATGCCGTTTTAGCCATTCGAACCCGATGAAGACGTCCGTTTTCCCCTAGTTCGGTTACTCCGAATTCCAATCTCTCAATGTGGTCTCGGATCTTGACGTGGAGTTCGACACATTCGGAGATAGCTCCTCCTGCGTTTTCCGTACCATCAGCATTATAGACAGGGATGGGGATGGGGAGCTTTCTTGTTCGGATATTGTTTCGTCGGACAAAGTCCCTGTCTATACAGCTTCCGGTGCAACCACTATCTAAGAGTCCAGAAGTTCGGAAGCTTCGCTTGTCGTCTAGGGTGCTCATCACCATGTCCAGATCCAGCTGGTTGCCCTTATGGCCACGAATAAATCGTTTGGGTCGAGCCATCTCCTTTAGGGCCTCTACCACTGGTCCGTCCAATAGCTGTCTGAGCTGGGATATCTTTTCGTCCGTGACCTCTTGCCTTTTTTTGGGATGTACCCAAGACATCAGGATTCCTCTTGCCATCGAGGGTTCTGAGTCGTCAAGTCGTTGGGCTACCCATTCTGCGGAGCCCGGTTCCACTTTCTTTCCGTAAAATCGCGCATTGTCCCTTTTCGATCGTGCGTAAACATCATGTGATTCGAGTTCTGGCATATGTACATATGGGGATCGAACAAAGGTACTCCTATCGACCGGCAAGTCTGCGCTCACTCCCGGTCCGTGTAAAAATCCTCGAGTTGTTTCTTCAGCGCGGCACGTTCGTCCTCCGTGAGGGCTCTGATGTCGATGGTTCTGGTGTTAAACTTCTGGTTCTTGTTGGGACAGTCTCGGCTAATATGTCCCTTCTGGTGGCAGGTGAAGCAGAGACCCTGTCGTCGGTGCGCATCAATGTCCATAGCGTTCGGGTCGGCGGGGCGAGGGGGAGGTGGAGTAGGAGTGGATTGGGCAGCGGGTCGGAAGGAAGGGAAGAAGGGCCTTGGTGGAGGAGCGCTAGTTGCCTTGGGAGTGGGTTTTTCCGTTTTGAATCTAGCCTTCTCCCGTTTACGAATTCGGTACTGGCGATCGAGGTTAGCAGCTCGCTCCATCCATCCGGCAAGGGTCGTGGGGAGGTTCTCCTGGTCGTGGCACTTGTCCAACAGCCTGCCGTTTAGCCCTCGCTTGTATTCCTCGATGAGTGCTACTTCGTTGTATCCAGAACGAGTCATATATGATCGGAACTCGGTGTTGTAAGCCTCACAGGAGCGATCTCCCATCTCGATGGTTTGGATGGCTAGGATCGCTTCTGCTCGGGAGTTCTGGACCTGGAAGTGGGCGAGGAAGGCCTTGGCGAAGCCCTTCCAGTCATCGTAAGCGAGGGTGTCAGCGATGATCTCAGCCCGTTGAGAATTTGCCCATGCAGATGCCATGCCGTTGGTGCCTCCTTTGATTTTGGAGAGAGCATAGGAGATTTGTCGTAGTTCATCTGCTTCTCCGATATGCTTGAAGTAGAGGACACAGGCATCGAGGAAGGCTTGGGCATCTTCCGGTTTCCCGTCGTAGGTTTCGGGTGGGTCCGGTTTGGTTTTGGGCTTGTCGGCTCGTTGGGCTAGGGCCTCGGAGACCTGGGTGCTGGCAGCGGCTGACTGGGCCAACGCCTCTGAAGCTTGGGCAAGGGCTGGCTGGTAGCCGGAAACGGCAGCCACTAGGTTTGCCACGCTATCGGCAAGGCTTCCCAGGGCTTGGTACATGTAGTCCCAAGCGGAGACCTGCTGACCTTGGACCTGGGTCTGGTCAGGCTGGAGGAGTTGAGGGGCGGGTTGGCCGTCGTTGGCAGGGGGTATTTGTAGGGGGGGAGGGGTGGGTGGACATGGGGTTCGTAAAAAGAATAATGGGCTCGTGGGCAAGAGAAAGAAAAGGTAAGGTAAGAAAAGCTAGACTATCTCCCGGTTGTCACTGTGTTAGCCACACAGAGGGGAGCTACACTATGTGCTTTGGACCTAAGTTCCGCAGCTCTCTTGGTTGCTGCCTTCCTACAGAAGGGGCGTCGCCAAGGATAACCTACTGAAAGGGGAAAGAGAAAAGGAACTATGTAAGGGAGTAAGTAGCGTGAGTGGGGGTTGCCTTGTTAGGGCGGAGGGCGATGAGAGACTCGAGGGTGCCGGGGATAGACACAGTCGAGAAGGGGCAGTCTTTAGCTAATGTCAGCAACTAACTACTTGATCTGTCGTTCAAGCAATCAATAGCTGCACTAGAAAAGACTTGGCGAAGAGCGATAGGATTCAGTAAAGACTAGAGTGTTGTAGCTAGGAATAGACCAGCTAAAGACTGAGGAAACTACGCTTACAAGTCTACTCTATATATACTACTTGAGTTGTATGTACTTGTTTGGTCCATGGTCTGTGCGCGCGCAGTGTTTTGTTCAGCTGGCGGGGTACGGTTCCATGACTCATCACGTGTCTGAGTCACGTGACATCCTATGTTACTAACTACAAGTCTCGGCGAGAAAAGGAAAAGAAAGGTCTGATTCATGACACCTGCTGAACTGAACGACGACCGTCAGTCCTGAACCATTGTAACCCGGCAAGACACGAAATCAAGGGTTTCCCAGTCAGAGTCCTCGTGGACGATAGCCGCAAATAGAGCTGGTCTATGATATCGGGTCTCCAAGACGAGAGTCTTCAGCGATGGAACCATCATCTTGGGCAGTATGAAGGCGAACGCGTCGACAGGCGACCGACCTTGACACCACCAGTTCCCAAACTCCCGACCAGAGGTGAAGGATGCTCTAAGCCATTCTTAGGTCCCGAAAAATCTTCAAAGAAATGTCGGTTGCCCTGTCAAGACCATGGACGAGTTAGGATCGCATCGCCTGAGCTCGTGACAAACATTCTTACCCAACGCCCCGCGAGCATTCATAGTGACTTTGCGCAATGCCGCGTAGCGCACTAGTCCACCTACAGAGAAGACCAGCCATGCGCGCTGTCGTAGGGAGTTGGTCGGGTGGTCGAAGAAACTATAGGCGGCGCTTGGGTGGTCTTCAAAGGTCCTCAACGACTCTTAAACTTGTGGAACTGTACTTTTCTTCCGATGGCTATCGTTGCATCTTTCAGCTTGAGCTCCCCATCTCCCAGACAGTGAAGAGAAGACATCTAGTGATGGACACGGGTTTTCGATACCCGGCGGGTTACGGGTACGGGGTAGGCTGCGGGTACGGGTACGGGTAAGGGGTTGCCGTACCCGGCGCCCGCCCTTCAAAACGAGCCCAAAAACGTCCAAAACGGCCATAAAATGGGCGGGTTACGCTTGATTTAAGTAAATTGAGCATATCTCGCTCATTTCTGGTCCGTTTTGGACGTTCTTGGGCTCGTTTTGTGCAGAATACCCGTCGGGTTACGGGTACGGGTAAGGGCGGGTACGGGTACGGGTAGGGGTAAATTTACCCGCGGGTTACCCGTGTCCTTCACTAAAGACATCGTGCATCAAGTGGGTTGGATGTTTATTATTGGGAGCCTGGGCGGCGCACTACTTCATGTAGGAAACTGGTAAATCGTGAAACTGATCCAGTGGAGCAAAAAAGAGCACATACATTAGCTGGCTAAGTTCCGAGGCCTGTCAGGACTCGGTTTCTTTTGCGCGGGATTCGAAGGCGCCAAGACGCGACGCTCGCAAGCCACGTGATGTTTGCCGAGGTCCCAAGTTCGATCCCCCTCAACACCTTTCCTTTTTGTCGATTATGGTTCTTGTTTTATTTTTGTACCCTGGGATCCTGGCAGGCCTCGGTAAATTGCCGTTTAACGGCCCGCATCCCGCTAGTTTAAGAAATGATTCCGAAGAAGGGACGCGGTGCGTTTCCTCACAGAAACGCGGGCGACAAACTGGATGCTTCGCTGGAAAAGTAATTGGTGTTAGCGTCGAGTGCGAAATAGCGATAATAAGACAGACCTACGTCGGTCTCGATCACTGACGTCTCCACTGCCACTTGGTGACGAAATGCAGGGGCATCTTCAAGTCGGGGCGGCTGGACAAATGTCCACCAATTATAACTTACCAGGGGGTTGTCGGCTGTGTCTGGAGCCCATCCTTCAAGTCTCTGAAGGCTATGGAATTATTCCAGGCTCTTCTGCTATCTTGCCTTGGAGTCAGCCTCTGTGATACCCCACGGGCGAGACAGTATAAGCTGTACCTACGACTGATAATGAGGCGAGTAGCCGTTTATCATCGTTGAGTAGGGAACACGGGCAGACCGATCGGGGAGCAACATTTGTCCTGACCAACCTTGGGAAGGCGCAGAAGTAAATTCAGGCGAGTAGCATGAGCACGAAAACGACTACGCAAGCAGCATGCAGGCAGTGTATCAAGGGGTGTCATACGAAAAGAGGACCGAATCAGCAAAGTTGGTAGACGGTAGACCAGGAAGCGGCAGGATCACAGCCACCTTACATTCGTGGGAGAACTGAGCGCCAAGACCCTGCTCGAAGACTGACAGGTCGGCCAAAAGCTAAAGAAACTGCTGCAGAGCAGTCAAGGTAAGAAATCACAAGTGAAGACGCGGCTTTACGACTGGAAAGGACAAGCAACCATTGATTCTGAAACAGAGCTGGCAACAGAAGCAGACCAAGGAGGTGCATATATGGAAGGTGTGTCGTGGGAGAATATAGAGTCGACATGACAGCTGGAGCGTATTGAAAATAACTGAAAGAGCGCGCTTCGCCGCAGAGCCTGCTACTACGGAGCTACGCCTAAATCTACCTCCTTTCAACTCACTCTTCTGCGTCCGCATTAAGCACACTGGAGGTAGCATTTTATTACTGACAAGTGAACCTACACGAAAAAAATCTGACAAAAGCTCATCCTACTTGGCAAGCACCAAACGTACCTTTCAACTTAGCTTTCCAAACTGTCCTTCAAAACCGCGGGTTATCTCCGCTAACGTCGCGTTCTGTCCCTTTAACCGGACGAACACGAACCTTGGGGGGTCTTTGCGAGACACCTTTCTGGAGTGTCTCAGTCGGATTCCTACAAGCCACACTGATCGGTTATACTAGGGCGAGCGTTTTCAGTGATTAAACAGCATTGGTGTAATCAAGTCAAACACGTCAATAGGGGAACCCTCCTCCATAGCAGCACCTGCTGAGATGAGATGGCAGCCCAGACCAACCTGGGGTTGACCGTGACTCGTGAGTGACACTGTGAGACTGTACTCAACAGTAGGAACAGATGCACTCACATAACGCCCCCCTGTACTTCATATTCACTGTATATAGCACATCCTCGGATTGTCCGAGCACTGCGACCGCAAACACCGCATCAGATGGGCGGTCTGTACGCAAGGAAAACCGTGATTCCGAGTGAAAGACGAAATGGTGATAATGGACTTTGCGGTTCCGGTGTAGGTGGTCGTTGACTCGTCCCAAATGCGGCAGTAGTACCAATCCCGACATGTAGACCACCGTTCTGATTCAAGCTGAACACTTAGCCCGGGCCTGACATGTATGGGCCACTGTCGTCTTTCGAGACTCGCAGAGCTCGAAGCCAAGGTAAGAGAAGAACTGCTATTGATGCACGAGAAAAACCCGGCTTTACGACAAATTGGAATGGACGAACCATTGATTCTGAAACAGGGCTGGCAACAGAAGTCCTTAGGATGCACATATAAGGAAGGTGCGTCGTGGGAGAATATAGAGTCGACATGACAGCTGGACCGTATTGAAAACCTACTACTACAGGGTAGTAGCAGGAATGTCTCCCTCACTGTCCTCTCAAGTTTACCTCAGGTTTCTCCAGCCTTTTAGTTGTCAGGTCCTTCGTAGCTGCACTACAATGAGCAGGGGGCTCAGTTTTCTCATAGCAGTGAGTCTCAATCTTTTTATCTCCGGGCTGTTGCTGACATTTACGCGTACGGCTTGCCTCCTCCACCATCCTCTGCGCGCTCATCTGCGCCATTGGGATCACCCATACTTGGAACCTCACTAGGCGGGTTCTCCTTTCCTCACTGCCCACGTCATTGACTGATTAAATTCCCAGTTTGTCGACGGTTGTCATGCAGATTTGGAAATTCCCGCTCTTCTCGCTCTCTTATTCAGTTACTCTTCAATTCAATGATCGTTCGAAACTGTTTTTTAATACACATTTTGTACTACATACATGAATATAATCCATTTTGTGTGTATCCTGCACCTCCAGTAAAGAAAATTCAGCTGAGCCTGCAAGCCTGCACCCCCGGGGAAAATGTGGTCCTGGGACAGCAGTATTGCTGCCCTGCACCCGCGCTGGCAGGAAATCTCGCAGTAAAACGGCAGATTTCCCCAGGAATTTCTCCCGCGGGGTGTATTGGGGCGTGCTCGACGAGGCCTCGGGTTTTCCTGCCCCGGCAGTGAACTCTCCTGCACCTGCAGGGGATTCTCCTGCGGGAGCGGGAGTTCCCTTCCTGCGCCTGCGGGAATCCCCCAGGAGGTTTTCCTGGGGGGCGGACTTATAGTGTTTGGCTGTCAACTTCAGGCCTAACCACGGCCAGACTCGTGAGTCTAGAAGCCACCTCCGTGACTCTGCCGCAGACAGCTTCCCATCGAGGTTCGATGTTGTTTCTTCGCTTGGCTCGAGGACAACTTCTCGAATGGAGGGGGACAATACGAGTGCGGGGTAGAAGAATGCCACCAGGGGCTGCTCCACGTAGCAGGGGAGAGTAACGGCCTCGAGATTTGGAAATAACGGACCGGGGAGGTACTCGTGTTCATAGAGGTAACGAATGGACTGGTGGCTGATTTGAGGGAATTTATCTAGGCGATCTCTCCAGGTGATCTTCCTCACAAAACGGGTGTAGTATTGCACTCGGGCGAACGCAGCTTTATACTCGCTGGCCCATACTATTTTCCCTGGAACATCCCAAGATATCTGAAAATCCTGCCCGAAGTGGTGAGTCTCAGAGCCTGAAGTGAACAGTAAGGAATGAATTTCCACCCGAACATTCCCGTAACCACGAACAGCTTCTTTCGGGGAAATGTCGAAGATTGGGTCGATGCCAGGTATTATGCACCTCCAGAGACGCTTGATTGCTGGCTCGTGGAAGATCTTGCATGTTCTTGCAAGCTTCGCAAGAGTATTCCTATAGAAATTGCTCAGAGGCCACTGCCCCCAATCCTCACTCTCCATGACTAGCTGTTCCAGGATAAGATCCGCAATCTCTGGAATAGCTATTGCTCGAGGTGTTTGTTGTTCCATTTGTGCGCGTTCAAGGAGATGGTGCACTAGTGGTACATGAACGCTGCCCATGATGGAAGAGAACAATGCTATAAAGACATGCACTGTGTCCCAAGATGGTGAGATTGCCTGCAGACAACGACGGCGAGAGTCAAGAGAGAGGGAACGTTTCACGATGGGAAGCAATGGGAAGATGCTTACTAAGTGGTCACCCGGCGGCTGTGCTACACGAGACCGACGGGCGCTTCCATAGGCGTTTGATGGACTTCACTCCAAAGGCTGTTCTGCTTCCTCAAGTATCGACACACAAAGCCTGGAGACAACAACTACATCGTATCCTCCAATCCACTTGCTACACCGCGCGCTCGCCGAGCCTACCCACAACCCCACGAGATCATTTGATGCCAGTAGGCAAGCGATCCCATCTTTGGTAAAGGCTGTGCTTCCACGCCGGGACTATGTATATAAATCTGTCAGCTCCCTTGCGCCCAACCTTTTCATCACCGCTGGCAGGTGAAAGTTATCGCTGGTCGATTATTCCGCCCCCCTCTCGAAAGTCGTTGACCGACTCATCAACCCCAATCAAGCGCTAAGCAACCTTCAGACTCAACACACCGAAGCAACAATGGCCATGATGACCGAATCCGACAACACCTTCTTCAACGGCAAAGCCGACCCCTTCATCGCAATCAAGTACGAATCGATGATCATGTCCTGCACATTCTTCCTGTTCCTGGACTCCGTTATCTCCCTCATCGCCGGCGGTCTCGCCACGCGCTACTTCACAACGATGTACATCGGCGCTCTCGCCGCCCTTCTCAGCATCCTCTCCACGGGCGTCCTTCTCCTCCTCCACAAAGCCAAAGACGACTGGCGCCAGCACATATCGACCAACCTTCTCGACGGCATCTACGCCCCGTGCTCCAAGATGATTTCAATCTTGGCCAACGTCGTGATCACCGTGCTGTGGCTTGTCGCCAGCGTGGTCACAATTTACTACCATGCTGCGTTGAAGGGGAGGAAGTTCGATGATGGATTGACTGTCGTTCCCCCCAAACAGGGTCCGCTGTCATCGTGGGGAGAATTGGCGTTTACCATTCTGTGCACGTTCTTTGCCTCGACCCTGTTGATCCTCCAGATCGTTCAGAGGCGGGCCACATCGCAGGAGATGAAGAAGGCCATTTTGAGTAGGGTACGTGGATCGTTCTTTCCTGATGTACTTGACTAATCACCTTGATTCCACAGGAACTCGAATATTAAATGACTCGGTTGCCTAAATCATCTACACTGTCGGGTAGTTTAGTTGCCGCGCAAATACAAGAGAAGGGCTCGAATATACATTGCTATACGGTCCACTTTCTCCCCAAAGTCCACTTCATTCACTACAATTGGTTTGAAAGACATAAACCGCCTCCCTCTCGTACGCACTGGTCTTACGGCCCGAAATACCCAATCTCTTCCAGCGCGGGGTAGTGCACAGCCAGACACTGGCCCAGCGCCCATTCTTGATAGGGTATGCTCCAAAATTCCATGAACGTAGACGACTGATCGGATGCAACGTGTCTAGTGCAATGGCTCGAATGTCGACCTGCTTGGGGACATGGAGAACATCGCATCGAAGGGAAAGATGTTCGAGTAACGGACAATCTCGAAGGGCTTCGTGGGCGCCTACGAGCGTCAAGGCAGGATCGTCTTCCTCGTCTATCGGTATGATCTCTTCAAACCTGAGGACTTTGAGCTCCGGAAGCGAAGCTTGAAGACTGTCCATCCCTCCATCGCTGTCAAGGTCCTTTGTAGACATGGGTGAGATTTCCAATGTGTTTAGGTGCGAGAACTGACCCAGCGCTCGGAATGTTTGTTTGGTTGCAGAGAAGAAAGTTGCTGGGTTCCGTCCCTCCAGGATTTGGGTCGGTAAAACACCCTGTCGATCTTGAGGGCGGTGAGACGAGTGTGAATCCCGCAAGCAATCAATGTGGGCAACAAGTTGGCTGGGTCCCAACCCCAGGGCCCTGAGTCTGGCCCTTCATCCAATTCTTACTCTCGGAAGAAAAATGAGTGAGAAGGCGGGGACATATACCAACAATTTGTTATGCTCTCTAAACTTGGTCCCATTAGGGAGGGCGCGTGCCAAAGGATACAATCCAGGCAGCTGAATTCTCCCAAAGGATTTGGACGGCTGGCCCATGAAACGTCTTGCAGGTCTTGTCCAATTGCGCCAACGCTTCCGATCCACCAATGCTACATTCTCGGAAGACGATATAGAGCAACTCTTGGACTTGGAAACACTTGGTGCAAGTATGTCACGCTAAATACCACATGTCACATGTCACATCCCACATCCGGACCGGCTGTCACATCAGTCACGCGGAGCTTAGGCGCCAGGCGCTAGTCTAGCGCTGAAGTCAAAATGCTACCAATTGCAGTTCTTTCAAGAAACTAAGTATGGCTAATTGCTATAATAAGCTATACGCCGCCCTTCCTTCTCTTCGAATTCTCCCGAACGGCATGTACGACATCATTCCACCGATCCACCATCAAACTCGCCACCTCGTACGGTTCCACATACGCCCTTTCTAGCTCAACCACTTGTCCATCACAAAACATATCTTTCAAGCCCTGCCTGTAGCTGGCAAAGCTGTCCACCTTAGCAAGGTTCGGGATATTCTTGACCCACCACTCTCCAAACGCGGGACCACACCCGATGGGAGACGTGCAAACATTCAAGAATTTGAGGCTCTGGTGGGGTGGGATGTCGAGGCCGCTGTCGGGAAGCGAGGTGGCATCGAAGCGGAGGGTGAGGCTTTGGAGGTCAGGCGTCGCTTGCAAGGCTTGTTGAACGCCGGCGAGAGTGATGTACGGGGGCTCATCGGGTTTGAAAGAAATATCTTCGAGATCGAAGCTTTTTAGCCCTGACAGCGCGTTGAAAATCTGGATCAGGACCTCGTCATCGAGATCATAGAACCCTGTGTCGCAGCGGCTGATCCTCAGTCTCTGCAGTTGGGAGAACCCGAAGAGAGGAGTCAAAGTATCGTTGAAGATGACATAACGTGGCTGCTCCAGCTGCTCGTACCATCGGAATGAGTATTCACCGGTCCACTGTCGGTCGGCATAGATTTCCTCGAGGTGATTCCGGAGGTCGTGGAGTGATTTAAAAATTGTTTCTAGGAGGTCCCCATCATCGTCGTCCATACACATATTGAGCTGGAGTGTCTTAAGCTTTTCGCTTCCAGTATCTCAAACAGTTTTGAAAAGGGGGAATCGGGTAGCATGGTGACAATGAGCGACTCGAGGGATGGTAGACACAGGCAGGAAGGGGGTAGAGGGTCCATCTCCTCGTCGTGCTGCGCTGCTAAGGTCACGCGCAGTTCTTTGAGGCCCGTAAGGTGGTTGAGATGCCCAAATGTCTTCCCATCGAGCACCATGGCGCCCAGCTTGAGCTTGGTCATCGACGACGAGAAGGCTGGCACAAGCCCGTCCAGCTGAGACCGCTTCCCCGCCAGAGCCAGCCCATAGGTGAAGAAGAGTCCATCAGGGCCGTCGCTTGCGATTTTGAAAGAAGTGAGGGAAGCTGCAATCGCCCTTATCCGACCAACCACCGATTCCCATAGATGGTTCTCTACATCCTCGAATTCTTCATCATCCACCGGGTTATCGACAAGGTCGCTCGTAATGATGGTGATACTCTTGACAGAAGGCGACAGGACGAACGCGGGGTAAAACATGGTCGCCGCCGAGTCCTGTTTGATAATGGGCAGCCCGACTTTCTCGAGGTTGGGAAAGAGTGGTCGGATGAACGCTTCGTGTTCGTACAGCGTGCGGAACATCAACGAATGCATCAGGGGTTTCGCTGAAAAGTGTGGCAGGTCCCTCCTCTTCCAGGTAACCTTCCTGACGTGGGGTGTGTAGTGTTGGAGTCGTAGCAAGCCTGCTTTCAGGGCGTCGTTGTCGGGGCACGAGCGAAACCACTGTTTATTTTTGAGCGGCTATATATATCGCTATGTTACGACAGAACTCACCATTATCTTCTTCTCCTTGCTGGTCTGTATCAGACCCTCGGGGAATACGCCAAAAATATGGTCGATGGTATGGAGCGCTCCCGCCAAATGCGCCTGATCGCAGGTTCATGGAATGCTTTGCAGCACCTAGCAAGGCTACACAGCGTCTTGAACCTCTGGCGGCCGTTGTCACAACTGAGATCGTTTTCTATGCCACAGAATATAACGTCCAGGATCTCTTGAATCTGCAAACAGCGGTGCATGGTGTGCATAGGCTCTGTCACTGACACAGTCCGTGAGCATGGTTGCGAAAACACTCAGTGCCGGAACTACCTGACGGATTAAGAGGAACGTTAGAAAGCGCGACTATCGTGACGGGGTTGTCGTCTGAAGAGAAGGGACAGGGACTAAAATTAACGAAAATCTGAGCTTGCAAAGACGGGTTGTGTGGGAACATTGAAGCGTACGTAGTACCCGAGTGAATCCCATCTTCGCCATAGAATCCGCCACAGAAGCTCGTAGGGCCGTCGCGAAGTAAGCAGGAAGTCAAGACGCACATACATAACTAAAATTAGACTACACACACGCTTTCATCTTCCTCTCCCGAACCGCATGCACCACATCATTCCATCTATCCACGAACACGCTCGCCTCCTAGTACTCCTCCAGACGCTTCCGCTCATCCTCATCCTCACATCCGCACTCGAATGAATCTTCCAATCCTTCTCTATACTTCTCAAAACTGCGAACTTGGCTAAGGTTCGGAAAATGCAAGACCAACCACCCCGCGAAAAGTGTTCCCACTTCGATGATGGAGGTACAGGCATTCAGAGTTTCCAGAGGGTGCAGTCGGAGGCAGACGTCTTCGTCGCAAGGAGGGAGGAAGGTGCCGTCGAAGCGGAGTGAAAGCTGTCGAAGATAAGGTGTCAGCTGCAAGGCCCGCTGAACACCGCCGATTGTCAAGGAGATGCGCTCGTCGAATTTCATCGATTCGTCGTGCAGTTCGAACCGCTGCATCTTTGGCCATGCAGTGAACAGTCGCACTAGGGCAAGATCGTCCAAGGCGGACGAGTTGCAGGGCTCGATTCGAAGAGTAGTCAACCGGGGGAAGTAAAGGAGAGGAGCGAACGTCGCCTCAGAGATAACGAAGTGCGGCTGCTCGACGTATTCGTCCCAAGACATTGCATTTCCGTTGTGTCGGCGGGTGAGGTGGATTTCCTCGAGGAGCAAGCCGGAATTACGTCGGTGGTGGTGAAGTGAGATAAAGAGCGGGGTAGGGTCGTAGTCATCTTCGTCGTCAGTGAAAACCTTGAGTTTGAGCCTCTTCAACCTCTTCGCATCCAAAATCTGGAAGAACTTGGAATGAGGTCCGTCGACAAAGATGTTAATGGTGAGACATTCGAGAGATGGCAGGCAGAGCGACAAGGGTGGTAACGCCGCCATCTCAGCATCTTGCTGAGATACAAGCGACACCTTGAGCTTGACCAGACCCGTGAGATGATTGAGCTGTGCAAAGGTCTTGCCCTCTAGAACGAGCCCGTCGAGTTCGAGTGTCGTCATCATCCAGGTGAAGTAGCGGAGTATGTGATCCACCCGTAGCCGCCTCCCGATCAAGACGAAGCAATCACTGAATGCAATACTCTCCACTTTGAAGGAGGTCAGAGTGGAAGCCACCCCCGCTACCCGATTTGCAACGGCATCCCACAGGTAATCTTCAGGGTCTTCGAAGTCTTCGTCTTCAGATTCTTCTTCCCACTCCGGAGTGGAAAGAACGATTCGTCTGACTGAAGGAGACAAGACGAGCGCGGGATAAAAAATGGTCGAGTTCGGATCGTCGGATATGACGGGGAGCTGCACCTCTTGGAGGTTGGGGAAAAGAGGTCGGATAAAGTATTCGTGCTCGTACAGCTTGCGAAACATGGCCGGATGCATCAAGCGCTTCTTTTCGTCTCTCCGCACCCAATTGATCCTCTTGACGTGGCGGCTGTAGTGTCGAAGCCGCTGAAAGCCGGCCTTCAGCCGCTCTTTTTCCTCACCAAAGGCGCTATACCGGATGTACTGAAAGCGCCCACAACACTTCAAAATAAGCTTGACGGACTAGCCGGACGAACGACGCACCATATATCGTCTATCTCGCTCTTTGTGATACGCGACCACACCCTTCGGGAGCACCGCGAATATCACGTCGATGCGGGGAAGGTCCCTCCAGATATACTTAATAGCGAGTTCATGGAACGCTCTACACGTCCGAGCGAGCCTACAGAGAGCCTGTTCGCTCTGTCTGGTCGATGTCCATGTCCCCTGGTCATCCGCTAGATGTTGGAATATGATATCTACGACTTCCTGGATGCGCAAGCAGCGGTGCATGTGTCTAGTCGTCGAGACTTGGGGCTCATTAGTGTCATATAGTTGTCCGCTGGGCGATGTCTGCATGCCTGACAAGGTGGTAGGAGGTGAAATCCCTGGCGGGGAAGGTTCTAGATCACGGCCACCTAAATGATGGCCATCAGTATTGATAGACGCGCTTCGGCGACGCGTCGCGTCCAAGGGGATAGGGGGTGCCAGAGCGCTGCAACGACTGCCATTCTTAGAGCCTGGACCTTGCATTGTCGCCGAGAACTAGATAATGCAAAGACCGTCTACGACCGAGTCAAAGCGCTGAGCAGGGTGGACCAGAATGGTCCATCCGACAATGTCCAGCCACGGGAAGGAAAGGCGGACAATGATCTACAAGCTCCTGACTCAAGGTCGCAACGAAGGTTCAAAGAATGGGCTTTGACACTCTCAAACGACTATAAATACTCCTCGTTCATACCCCATGCTCTTCACGACTCAAATACCCCATCCACTACAAGCACTCACCAACCACACAGTCGCAATATGGAGAGTGAGTACCCAAACGTCCTCGCTTTCCAATCCCAGATACTAACCTTATCCCCCTAGATAACAAATACCGCCTCTACATTGCCTTCTACACCGACTTCTTCCCCGCCAAAGCGAAGTACATCTACGAAAAGTACTATGTGGGACTTCTTCTAATCCCCAAGGGCGCTGACATCAAGTCTTCGGCAAAGGTTGCTCAGGACATCTGCTACCACAAGGGAGTATTTTGTGAAGGAATGGTCAAGAGTCGACCTGACGCCCTCGTTGGACTTCTTTTCTTGGACAAAGTTGCTAACCCGCAGCAGGTGACAGCGGTCCTTAGGCGCAGGCTCGCCGGGAGCAGCGGAGGTCGCAACGATCACGGTTGGGTGGTCACCGCAATCGAGGTACGTCAGAATTGTTCTTTCATAGATCCGTTAAACAATGACTCTGACCGCTTCTCTCTTACAGGCTTTAGTCGAAGAAAAAGTGATCGCTTCCAGTGGTATCAAGGCTGCTGACATTTTGAAGACCGGTTTCGTATTCACGGACAAGAACTCGGACGCGTTCTCTCCCATGTTTGTCCCTACTTGCTGTGTCAACGGTAAACAAATCAAGTCCGCATTGGAGGGCTTTTAATCCGAATCTCAGTCTATGCACCGTAATCCATTTCTATGCATGTACCCACTTTCTATCCTACCTTAAATACGTCTTCTAATGAAAAGAGCGCCATCCCTAATGCGTTAATAAAAAAAGGCAAGCGTTGTGGGTGAAATTATTTCTGAGTGATGTTTCAAGAGGTTGCTGGGTCACGGTTATATCTGGCCTTGTAGATGAGTCCTCCCACTAATGTCCGGCAACAAAAGGAAGTCCAATAAGAGTGTTGTATTATAATACGATAGTAAGATCCTAAACACTAAAATCCAACCAAATTACACGTTGTCCGTAGGCTCAGCACAACACCCATCACCTGAAACACCTCGAAACATCATTCCACCTATCCACCATAACACTACACGGCTCGTACGGTTGCATCATCTCAACATATCTTTCATCATTCACCTCTCCAAACCGGTACAACGTATCCAATCCCTCCCTATACAGCCCAAAGCTCCTCACCCCGCGCAGATTCGGGAAATCGCGCTTGAGCCATTTGGCTACCTGCCTCCCTGAGCGCAAGTGGGAAATGCAGGCGTCGAGGTCGGTGAGATTGGGATGTGGTGGCAAGTCGTCCAAAGTGGTTTCGTTGGCGCTGTTGCTGTTACTTCTGTTGGAGGAGGCACCGTCGCTATCCGAGCCGGACGGTGGCACCGACGTGGCGTCGAACCGCAGGACCAGCCGCTGGAGCAAGGGCGCAGCCCCGACCGCCCTCCTCACCCCACCCGCAGTAATCAACGAAACACTCCCCGAATCTGACATCGTCTCATCCCTCAACTCGAAATTCTCCAGCTTGGGCCATCCACGGAGCAACTGGGCCAGGATCCTGTCGTCCAAAGCGGACGACTTGCACGGGTCGATGCGGAGGGTTTTGAGATTCGAAAACGGGGTTTGTTGAAGGAGGGGTAAGAACGTCCTCGGCGATAGTTCGAACCTCGGCTCGTCCAGGCGCTCGAACCAGAGGAGCGGACTGTCCTCTTCCAATCGGCGTGAAAGGTGCAGCTCTTCCAGGTTCGCCAATCGCTCCGCGCGAAGGGCAGCGAACAGCGGGTGTGGGTCGTAAATGCGCAACGGTTCAAGGAGAAACACTTTGAGTTTGAGGACCCGGAGCTTCCTCGCGTCCAAGATCTCGAAGAACTTGGAATGCGTAGCCTCCGCGGCGAAGAGGTTGAGCGTTAGATTCTCGAGGGACGGTAGGCACAGTGCCGACGCTACCAACTCCGCCATTTCAGCCGCTTGTTGGTGGACAAGCGTCAGTTTGAGCTTGACCAACCTCGTAAGGTGGTTCAAACACCCAAAGGTCTTCCCTTCGAGGATGAGCGAGTCGATATCCAAAATCTTCAATGACGTTGAGAAGGCGGGAAACAACTCCCGTTCGACTTTGAGTAATCTTCCAGCCACAGAAAACCCGTTGGAAAAATGGGCGCTTAACGTTCCACTGGTCGCGATCTTGAACGAAGTGAGGGTAGGAGCGACTTCTGCCACTCGACTAGTTACGGCATCCCACAGATGATCAGAGTGGTCCCAAAATCGAGGCTGCTCTTCCCAAAGCGATTCGTCGAATTTGGATGGGGAGATAATAACCGTCTTGACGGAAGGCGATAGCACGAGGGCAGGGTAGAAAACCGTAGAAATGGGGTCCTCATTGATGAGAGGCAGATGGACGGTTTGGAGGTTGGGGAATAGGGGTTCGGCAAAGTCACCGTACTGGTTAAGCAGGCGAAGGGTGTCGGGGTGAATCTTAGTTCTGTATGAATGGTCGGGGATGTGTCTATTGCGCCAGTAAATCGTCCGGACATGTCGAGCGTAGCGCCTCAGTCGCTCCCAACCGGCTTTTAGTTTCTCTTTGTCGTTGATAAAAGTGACCTGGCGGATGTACTAGAAAGAGCTCCAGTGAACGAAGCCCTAAGTTAAACACGGTGGACGCACTTTATAGGACCTATCCTCGTTGTAGACCACCACACCTCTGGGGAAAACCCGAAACATTGGATCGATGGAAGGTAGACTTCGCCATATATACTTGATTGAACACTCGTGGAAGGTCTTGCAAGTCCGCGCGACACCGCAAAGCGAGGGTCTTCTGCCGAGTCGATCATGATCTGTGGCCAAGTATTCGAAGATCCTGTCAAGGACTTCTGGAATTTCAAGGCAGCGGTGCATCTCTGTCGACATTTCAGGCTTGTAAACTTGAACTTTGTGAGGGTGGGCCAACGAAAAACAGAGATGATGGGAAGAGGAAAACCAACGACGACCGATGCCGCGCAGACGCGTCTACTCGTCGGCGCAATGAATCACCCATCGCAACAAATTCACTGCCAAGCATTACTATCAAAGTGGGGATTTCATTATGCGCTTTAAGTTTATAATTCCATCTTGTATTGCAAACAATCCAACGGGCCCCAAGGCACTCTAAACCCATTCTACAAGCCGAGATCCCAAACGGAGCCCCCCAATGCGTTTCCAAACCGTCTCCCATCTAGGAGATCACTATCCCTTCCTCTCAAAAATCAGCGCCCCTCCGTGCCGACCCCCTGCCCAAAGGTACTGGCATTAGCAGTCGGTGTCGGCGTCGACGATCCAAACCCGAACAGCTTCCCCAAACTCGTCCTCATTGAATGGTACACAGCGAGATGAGGCGCCGGTTGAATCGAGTTGACCGTATGTTTCCAAATGAGCCCCGAAACTGGTGAGAACGTGTACATCGATTCGCTAAACACAAGATCCAATTTCAATTTTCCTGGCGGTGAAGGGGGATCGGCGAAACAACTTACACTTCCCATTCACTAGGCGTCCCGCTAACCCGCGTGAGTCCAGTGACGAGTTGCCGGACGATAAGGTGCTTGTCTCGGTTCAACCTCTTCTCCTTCTGCCGCGAAGGTGTCATGTAGCCTTCCTCTGGTGCACCGTCCGACCTAGCACTTCCTGCCAATATCGAATGACCATTCAACGAAGACGCATTCAGAGAAGAGAACTGCGCTGAAGAACCAGGTGGGGGAGGCGAAGGCGGCGTGGTGTGAACAGAGACTTTCGTGAGTGTAACATTCAGGTCAGAGTACAGCGTCTTCATCGTACGTCGAACCAGGGATGCTGAAGCGAGGTAAAGCTGGAGACCTTCCACCTTGAACGTTTTGGGGAATGGCGCGGGAAGCGAGTCAGGTGGTGTATACTCCAGTCGCACATTCGAGCTGTATATTGGTTCCTCTTCATGACTTTCCGAGGCCTCAGCGTCCTCTTCGGCACTCGCCCCAGAGGTATGACTAGACGAATGGGAGGACGTTGAAGGCAGATGGAGTGAGTCGAGTAAAGGGATGTGGAAGTGATGGGATGAGGCCTGGGAGGCTTTTGGTGCGCCGGTCTCCTTGTCCACGGCAGTGATAAGGCCTGTATCGAAGAAACCAGGAAGGGTTTCTTGGAGGACGTAGATCGCTCTTCCTAAATGGCTTCAGTCTGTTGTTTCTGAGCAAGGCACAACAACGCACCTGTCCGAAGTTCCCACTCTTGGTCGGAGATCTCTAGACTTTCAGGATGGGGATTTTCTGGATCTGGACTTTGGTTTACTTCAGGGTCAACGGAAAACAGTGTAGTGTTCGAGTCGAGCGGTCTACAAGATCCGACACCTAACCGCGTCGAATTGAATGGATTTGAGGTTGGAGTAAAGGCCGATAGCGAAGGTCGACTGAGGGAGTATTGAACGGGCGGTTCGTGATATCGCTCGTGTATCAGTGTAGAAGAATGGCGGGATAGAGTTGGTGTCGATAGCAGTGTTTGGCGACGAGCAGCATTGGACGTCGAGCTGATAGCCCTTGCCACTGTCGGATGCGTCGTGGAGAGCATGGTAAGCGTCGATTTCCAAGGAACGAAACGGCGAGCGCGTCGATGACGGAATGACGTTTGTTTGGCTAAAGCCTTGATAAATAACAGCGGCGCGGCGCCCCTTCAGATCTCCTCGAGATAGCCTTGGACGATGAGGTTCTCGACATCGGCTCTCCGCACCACGTATCGCTCGCCAGGCTTGAAGTCGATGCTCCCGTTCTCGGTCTGAACGACACCGCACTCGCGTGCCACGCGCACACGAACATGAATCTCCTTTGGCGGTTTCTCGATGCCACTCATAATATCCAGCTCGTACGTGAATTCGCTCCGGTACTCCATGAGACTGGCGTTGTACTGTCTCAGGTAGTCGACTTCATGCGGTGAGAGCTTGGCGCGAAACTCGGGGTTGGAAAGGAGATGGGGAAGGGCACCACCACATTTCCAGTAGAGATTCTGGAGCATCGATGTGCGATGTGCGTGGTAGGCGAGAAGACAGCGCTTGTTCCTGTTGATCGATGTCTGGATAATGAGCAGGGCAGGTGGTGGTGGCCCTCGAAGGTTCTCGTCGGCGATGCTGAGTGCGAGTTTCTCGAGATCGCGCTGCTCGCGGATGACCGTTCGGACGAGGGTGTCGTTGTACTTCATCAACGTGTCTGTCTGTGTCGAGCGCCGCGATTCCATGAGGAGCTTGGTAGCGTTGTCGCCGTATTGCTGGATGTCGGACATTGTGGCGATGGTGGTGGTCGACGACGCCAACAACGATGGCGAAGACGAGGCTGGTTGTGACGACGCGGTGTGACAAGCCTCACGTGTCGACGTGACGCGTGACGGAACGCTTAGATTCACGGCACTGACATGGTGCCTAGCTGCCTTCTAGACTCCCGAAACCATTTATTTTTACGGTGGTGATATTCGATTATGGTTATATGTCCTAATTCCCAAAGGGTAGCCGCACTGGGGCCAGTTCTATTACGAAACTTCGTTAATTACCCGCATAACATCGTTCCACCTATCGACCATCACAATCTCAGCTCTATAGGCGCGCCAAATATCCGCCTCCTCTTCATCCTCCTCTCCATCCATGATGAACCTCACACTCAAACCCTCCCTGAGAAATTCATGGGTGTTGAGACGAGCAACACTCGGGAAATATTTCGTCATATACGCCGCAACTCTATCCCCAGAACGAATAGGCGAGGTGCACACATCCAGATACTCCATCGACTGCTGGGTCGGTAACCCTTCAGCCTCGGCATTAGGAAGGAGTCTCGCATCGAATCGAAGTGTAAGTCGTCGGAGCATGGGTGTGTGACGCAAAGCGCGATGCACACCTCCGATGGTTAGTCGTGTATCCGGTACTTGATCCCTTTGCATCCTCTGATCATGCAAATGGAACGATTGTATTCGTGGCCAGGACAAGAACATCTGCGCGAGTGTCGAATCCTCCAACGTCGATGAGTTGCAGTGTCTGATTTGGAGAGAGGTGAGATTGCTGAACGCGAGCAGTGGAGTAAAGGTATCGTTTGAGACGATGAAGCGTGGTATCCCTGAGCGCTCATGCCAGAGTATGAAATTATCGAAATTATCGTTGCCGGGATCGTATCGTTGAGTGAGTTCGATTTCCTCGAGATGATCGCAAAGGCGTAAGTTCGTTCTAAGGGCGAGGAAGAGGCTTTCAGGATCATACTCTGCTTCGTCGCCTATGAATACGGTGAACTCTATCCGCTTGAGCTTCTCTGCCTTGAGAATCTGGAAGAATCTATGGTAGGGTGCTTCAGGAAAGATGCCAAGAACCAAATGCTCAAGGGAAGGCAAGCATAGTGAAGCACTGGGCAAGTGGTCCATCTCGGCCTGTTGCTGGCGAACGAGGGAAATATCCATCTTGACCAGGCCCGTGAGGTTGTTGATAGTGCCAAACGTCTCGCCATGGAGGACGAGAGAGTCGAGCTTGAGATGCTTGAGCGTCGATGAGAAGTGGGGAAGTAGTCGGTCCAAGGCTGTCCGCCTTCCTATAAAGCAAAAGTAATCGGAGAGTCTTGGACAGTTTTCTGGGTGGTTGGAGATGTCGAAAGTTAGGAGTGAGGGAGCAACGTCAGCGATTCGGCCTGTCACAGCTTCCCAGAGATAATCGGATGTGTTGACGAAGGTGTCCAAGCCCACGTCCCTCATTTCAGTCCCGTCCGATGTGTGGATCGAAACCCTCTTGAGAGACGGGGATAGGACGAGTGACGGGTAGAAGATGGTGGATGTATCATCGCCTTCAAGTATCGGGAGCTGGACGTGTTGGACATTGGGGAATAATGGTCGGATAAAGTATTCTTGTTCGTAGATCTTTCGAAACGTGTCGGGGTGAATTGGAATGTCCTTTTTGTTCTTATTCCCAATAGGCGGTTTGAGTCTGTCCACCCACAAAACCACCTTGACATGGCGAGCATATTTCTGCAGATGTTGGAAACCGAGTTTTATACGCTCCTTATCTTCTGTCAGGACGAAAAAATTGAGGTACTAAAGAAATGTTGAAACAAAGACAGCTCCGCGATGGACGACGAACGCACCCTGTATGTACCCTCCCCGCTGATTTTAAACATGTCGCTCGCAAACACTTCGAATATCACATCGATGGTGGGCAGAACCTGCCATATATACTTTATGGCACATTCGTGGAAGCGTTTACAGGTCCTGGCGGCGGCACAGAGGCTTTTCTTGCTTGAGAACCACGGCGAGTTGAAATTGGTGTCTCCTGATAATTCATCGAAGATTGCGTCCAAGACTTCGGGAATTTCGAGACAGCGGTGCATCTCTATAGTCTGGGTGTACTTTTTACCAACTTTGAAAGCCCGTTTGTAATGGAACGTACGCGCAACGAGACTCGAGATGGCGGTGAAAAGGGAAGATCTGGTTTTCACATGCACACCCCGCGTCGTGTGCCAAGACAATGCCAGTGATTGCCCGAGTCGGATATTCCACTCTCGTTGAAAGGCCCAAACTGAAACGCGCCTTGTGTTAGCGTCTTGTTCACAAACCACCACCATTCAAGTATCCAAGAACCACCACCATGGGCGATTTATCCCTCGATATGCATCCAGTGAGCGCTTTCAGTGCACATCTCATACCTGGGAGCTCAATCATAATGTCATCACACCGTGCACAGACGACGGCCGTCGACCGGTTCCTACAAGTTCAGGAGCTGATGTCTATGGTGTGCGAGATTCTTGCCGATGACGCTGAGAGAGGAGCCCTCTACAGTCTCGCTAGGACGCACTGGTGCATCCATCATGCGGCCATTCAATGTTTGTGGAGGGACATTCCGGGTTTGTCGGCCCTCATTGGACTGTTCCCCGAGGGCTGTTTCCGGCCCTCTAAGCAAACTGACGCGTTATTGGTGAGTGCTCATAACGATGTCTCATGCTTACGGTCTGTCTCTTATTTGGACTGCAGACAATTGCACGCCCTGAATATATTGAAATTGGGATGGAGCGAGTCAGGCGATACGCTCCCTTCGTCAAGGCCATCGGCTACGACCCTGAGGATGGGGACATCAAACGTGCATTGGCATGGACGGCCCTCCACGCGCTCGCAGAGTACAAGTCAACCACACTTCCATTGTTCCCCAACGTCGAGCGCGTGACGATTCCCTTGCTCGTACACCACCCAGCCATCACCGTCTTTTACACCCCCCTCGTCCTCGCCCCATCAGTCCGCTCGATCACCATCCTTGCCCAAGTATTTCTTGAGCACGGGGTGGATACCTTTCCCGATGTTGCAGAATGCATGATCACTAGCGAGGCATTGGCAGACAGACTGGTTGAGGCTTCTGGGAGCCTGACCGAGCTCAGGATCGAGGCGACGCCAGGATCGTGGTACCTTCATGTCCATTTGCCCATCAGGGGACTCAACAGTCTACTTACTCGCATGCCAGCCATTTCGACGCTGAGGACCCTCGACATCACGCATCTCGATATTGAGAGTGGCACCTTGGAGAAGCTCAGCGAACTCCAGGGGTTGGAGCATCTCAGCCTCTTGCTGAGCGAATCCTCGGAGCTTTACGAGGATCCTTCGACGCAGTGGACCTTTCCAGCGCTCTTGGAAATAACCCTCTCATCTACAGCACACGACCACCTGGAAGCGTGCGAATCGTTCCTCAAGAAATTCTGCGCCCCCAGGTTGACCAGCTTCACTCTACGCCAACGATTTCATGGGCACGACGTTACGTTCGATGATACCGTGTTTACTCCCCTGTCCCACTGCACGAATCCCAACAACATCACTTCCATCGTCATCAAAGAGCTAGGGGTATACTATCGCGTTGACCCAGAAGACGAGCCCTTTAATGAGCGGGCGTTTAATTTGGACCTTGAAAGCCTGTCGGCCTTCAACAACCTGCGGAACCTAGAAATATCGCCTTTCACTGCAGCCGAGCTGGAAGACTCCGCCCTTACGAACGCCCTCAGTAATTGGCAACAGCTGGAACGACTCGTCCTCAAGTACGACATCCCATCGGAAACGACGGACTCGAATCTTACGCTAGAAGGAGTGCACGCAGCCGTACAACTGTGCCCCAATCTCTCGCATCTCACTCTCCCTTGTCTCGCGGAAAAGGTCCCTACCACCGTCCCTACACCCCACCCGTCGCTGGTGTACTGGAACGTTTGTACGTCCACCATATCGTCTGGACGGAACGTTGCCGCCTGGTTACAGAAGGCCTTTCCTTCCTTGCGCCATGTGGACTCTTTTGAATCTGTGCACAAGTATATGATGACTTGGAATCGGGGCGGGGAGGTTGATTGTGGGGAATGGGCGCAATCTGCTCAGATTTTTGTGATGGTGTCGCTGTGGAACGAAGTCGCGGCCATTTTACGTAACTGAGTAATTGTAGGACTATGTATCATCAACCTTCTCTTTTTTATTTTTGTATTGAATGTCGGAATGCGACCTTTTTGACCTCTGTTGAGCTCGAGCCAAAGATCTTTGACCTTTCGCCAAGAGTTGCCGGTAACAATTATGGGAATTTCGTCATGCGGCCCGCTTTGAACCGTTCACGCGTCTTGCCCGTCGTCGACGCCCATCACCGCGACCGCGACGAGGACGACGGCGACCGCGACGGCGGCTGAAACGAACTCACTACCTCGACTCTCACGATTTCTCAATGTCTGAACGATACGATAGCTCTGGGGAAGAACCAGAGAGTAGCGATGAAAGCTCGGATGTCAGCTCCAGCTTTTATCGCAGGTCAGAGTCGCCCCTTGAGGATTGGGGTTCTGACGGCGACAAAGACTGGCCGGTGGAGGTCATCGGCGAAGAGGTCGACTACTGGGGTAAAGTTCGGTATGTTCAAAGCGTCTTATCGACCATTCGAATGCTTATGTTCTGTCCTATAGCCACGAGGTTTGTGAATTGCTATTCAGTCGGGGCATTGGTCTAACGGACGCTGCATAGGTGGCCTGGGACGGTTGGAACCGCAAAGATGGCACCAACACAACCTGGAAGGAAGAGTACGTCGATAAACGTCAAGCAAGATTTATCTCAGACTGGGACAGGCGTCAAAAAACCCGTAGACGCAATCTCGCCGAGGAGGATGAGTATTGCAGTATCGAGGTCCATACTGGGCTCGACATCCACAACACAGAGACACGACTGCGTGCCCAAGCCTACGAAGAGAAACTCGCCATCGCCAAAAAGTACCCGTGCAACTGGGCCAAGGAAAGGGTCAAAATCATACAGGAGAGGGAGGAATCGTTGGGCATGTCAAAGCGAAAACGGTCTCCGGAAGGCCATTCAGAGTCCAGAAAGCTTCGAGAAACTGCGGAGAGGCGAAAACATCGCGAATCCTCTGTTTCACACTCAGTTACTTCCTCCAGTCGCGCGCCTTCTTCGTCCCAAGCGCCCGTGTCTTCAGCTTCTACATCCACGTCCACGTCCCGCAGTGCTACCGTCACTTCAGCATCATCCCCCACCCCGACATTACTTGCGACGCGAGCATCCAGCAAGCTACGTACCAGCCCCTCCGAATCTCTCTCGTCACTGTGGTCACAGGAAGTCCCTCTCCCTCAGCGCTGGTCGAAACCGCCCCTGAGTGAGAAGGCTAGAGGCAAACAACCCGTGAAAGAAACCTTTCCTTCCCCGAAACTGAACAGGGCCTATGTCGAAATTTGTAGCCCGAAACACATTCAAGCACAGCTGCGGCGCAAGTCGAAACGTCAACTTCTTTCAGAAGAGTGGTCCGAAAAGGCTGGGTTCTCGATCACGTTCGTCAATGAAGTGGACGACGAGGAAATCCCCTCCCTCCCAGCTGGCTTCGAGTATCGGGAGCAAGGATACAAATTGTGGGCTCTTTACCGCCTGTCGTCGCATTCCACCTCTAATGACTCCTTTGTAGCTCGGACGACATTGAAAAGCCAGGGCCAGACTGGTTTACGACTTGCGAATGCGAGCGGAATTGCAAGTCTCCACATGCATGTAACCATCGAACATACGTATTGGATGAAGAGGAGAACAAGATTTTCGCTTACGACAGTAAAGTATGTTGAGCTGGTGTATTCGCTGCTTCTACTTATGTCGTCGACACTTTGTCAAGGGATTATTCCGGTTTGACCGCATTCCACGTGGAACGGAGGTCATAGAATGCAACGAGGTCAGCAAGAGAAGTTCTCTGTCTGAAAAGGGTGCTCACTTGTTTGCGCAGCGCTGCCCTTGCGACGACTCCTGTCGAAATCGAGTGGTACAGCGACCAAAGACCCAGCCTATCGTGATTTTCAAGACGAAGAAGTGCGGCTGGGGTGTACGCTCGACGAAAAATGTTCGCCGAGGTCAGGTTCTCGGGACCTACACTGGGTGCGTCTAGTCTTTCGTGCGGTGAGCCCTACTGACATGCTTCCCATAGGCTGTTGATGTCTGTGACCATTCTCACTTCCAAGTTGTTCCTTCCTTAACCCCGTCCCTGAACACAGAACCCGAGAACGAGCCAATGAGGAAGAGCTTGTTAATTACTGTTTCGACCTCGATGGCCATGAATTATTTGATGAAACGAGCGACGACGAGGGGGCTGGCTACACTGTCGATTCGTGGAAAGATGGTGTGTTGTCGCCCTTTACGTCGCCAGAGCCCCCGCTAACCTTCATGCAGGTAATTGGACGAGATTTATTAAGTACGTGCTTCCGCCATCCAAGCGACCCGATCCTGTTGACCGGCTCTTCAGCCATTCGTGTAGCCCTAACCTCCAGACCTTTCTCGTGACATACGATACCATTCCAGAGGTCAGTGTCTCGCACTAAGTGGATTCATCCCTTCTAACGTCGCTTCGGCCTTCCTGCTGCAGACCGGCATGTATTACGTTGCTTTCGTCGCCAACCAGGATATCCCAGCGGGCACAGAATTTACGTTCGATTACAACCCGCTACGCGCGTCTCAGCAGCCCAGCAGCCCCCAGTCCTCCCCCTACACAGGCTCGCAGCCGAGGACCAACATCGTTAAGTGCCGCTGTGGGAGTCCGCAATGCCGGGGTACCATCTAGGGGAGGGGAGTATGTACTACCGTTTAGGTGCTGCTCGCCTTCCTTTCCACCGCCTTCGATTTTTTATCCAACCCGGAGGCGAGTGCTTTGCGTTGACATCTGACTGCTAGATCTGGTTATATCTTGGATGCACATATCTTTATTTTCTATCTACTGGTAATATTACTGAACTGACGGTTTGTATAACGTTAGCTCTTTCTCGGTGGCAAGATGAAGATTCTGGGCCCCGAAGAATCGATGGCTGAAGGGTTGAGCGCTAGAGCTCGGCACTATATTTACGACGAGCATGCACAGGGGCAAAGCTGAATCAAAGGTGGACCGCCCCAGAATGGTGGTTCAGAATGGTGACGTGACGAAAGAGACGGAGTGTTGCAATTGTGAGCACATCTCGACCTGTCTAAGTCATAAGTAAAAGTATCTCTGCAGTATACCTCAACTGCTACCTCGCCGCGTGAGTCTCTCAACACATCCAGATTCCTCGCAGAATGATGATCCACTAAACTGCGAGCTGAGGCATGAATGCAAGGCAAGGTCTGCGAGACAGGATGGGAGATCATGATCACATCTCTATACCATTATGGCGGGTGTCGTATGCTTCTGGCTCGAGGGAAGCACAGACCACTGTCACTTCTGCTGGGAGCTCTCTCTCCGGAAAAGGTAAGCACTACACCATATCCGGTAATCATCCCTCCCTCCTGACGAAAGGCGGTTTACGACGGGTCGGGGTTCCATTTTAGTTGTTGCCGTTTGCAGGCCAGGTGATCAACATCCACAAGTCAATGGAGGAGCGCTCAGACCCTTGATGAACATGACTCCCTCGGTTCTTCCCAGCCGTCGCTTTGGAAGAAGCTTTTGGAACGCGAGTGGAAATGTACTTACTTCCCGATCGACACCCTTGTTTCCCATGATCCATTCCGATTCCAAGATGAATAATACATATTGTACAACGTCTAGTAAGCAAACCCTGTCCGAATGCTCGGCGAGAACACTGGAAGCGGATGAGCCTATCCAACACAACGTCAATCACAAATTCCGAGCTGCATAAAAACCACAAACACAACTCACCTCCGTGTTCAACACGTAGCGGTCGAGTGGGATAACGTCCGGGCCCGAGAACAGCAGGTACAAATACTTGAGTGTCTCAGACTACATCCAGAGACAACATCATTAGCTTCTTGAATCCAAAGGAAACCGAATAGTATCAACAACGCACCAGATAGAACGTCTCCATCTTATCCTCCTTCTCGCTATTGGGATTGTTCACGTCCAGCACTGTGACGTATCCTCCACTGTCCACCCGAGCATGCTTCTCGATAGCTTGGAAGATCTTCCAGCCGTAGTCGCGGTAGCGGTTATCGCCTGTCAGCCGGAAGGCGATGAAGAGCGATTCGACGGTTTCCGGTCTGAAAAAACAGAAAGAGTTTGTCAGAGGTGGAAAAGAAGAGAAAGGAGTGGATAAAGCACACCGAAGCATGTAGCGAGCGTCGTAGGAGGGTGGGGCAGTCGGGTCTCTGTTAACTCGATGCGTCAGGCGTGAACGGAGGAGGAAAGAGTGGGTCAGACGTACTCCATTCCTTTCACATACCAATCCTTGAAATTGTTCTCCTTGGCGTCCCTGCCGTCATTTTCGACATAGAAATGTACGATCTCCGGTGACAATCCGCTAGAAAAACCCGTCCAACACGATCAGCACTGTCTTTACCCCAGCGCGCCCGATAAAAGCAAAGACATACGTCGCACTATCATACGTGTCCATGCACGTCTCGATCAACTCATAACCCGTCAACCAATCCCGTTTTCCAACATCCGTCAATTCAGAGTCGCGAGGTGGAATGCTGACGTTGTCGACGAAAGAGCCTGTCGTGACTGCGCCGAGCATCAACGACCCGCCGAGGAAACAAACGAGGTGGTCTTGCTTGGGGGAGCGCTCGTAACCGGCGGGGTGGCCTGTGTATGGGTCGGGAACGACGATGAATTCACTGGTATATGTGTGGCCCTGGTGGATACCCTTTTGGAGGAGGGCGGTGTGGATTCCGTCCATGGATTCTTCGTACATCTGGGGGGAGGGATCAGAGATTGTGGAGGTGAGCGTTAGGAGAAGAGTAGCATGCCTGACGGTACACGTCCTCTCTACGTTCCTATACACGGAGTTAACTCGAGGTTGATGAACGAGGTTGGCCAACACGTACTGTTTGCAAATATTGCTTCCTGCACAGCAAGATGGGTTGGAGGCTCGTGAACGAGAGTCAAAGTACTCACAGGAGGTATTCATAGAAAGAGTCTCCGCGAGATCCCAGGCGAATTTCCGAAGGAAGATAACGACCGGTATCCGCACTAACAATACGCCACTAGGCTCAGCTATGTATCGACCAGACCCAATCTTTTGAAACACTCACTCCATGTAAATGGGAACCAGCCCTGCCTCCGCCCTGGCGTTCCGGATGACGTTCAAAACCCTCTCCGCCTTGTACCAAAACTCTTCGTTGTCGGTGAGATGGCTGAGATACTTCAGTTCCAACTGAAGCGTCGCAGCCTCAGCCGTCCCCACCAAGCCCGGATGCCAGTCCTCTCCAACACCTCTGCGTTTCTTCAGGTTGACCATCGGCAATGGAAGTCCGGAAGGCGTCTTGAATGCCTCCAGTATCCTCTCTCCAAGGTCTTGAGCCTTCTCCAGGTAGATTGGGTCCTCGTCTGAGAGGTGGTATGCCGATAAGAGACCTCCGAGAACGCGAATGGTCGTTTCGAATGTGTTGAAACTGTCGTCTCGCTCGAAAGACAGTTCGTTGGCTACCCATTCACGCGCACGAGCGTACTCTGAAGTGAGATTCATGATTTGAAGGCTGTCGATAACGTCGACGATCATGTAGCCTATCCCTCCCGATTTGGAGAGGTTTGAACCCTTTCTGGAGATTGGGTGGTAGTTGTCGTAGCCGTATGCGTCTCGTTCTGGATGTACACTTTATAAAACGGTTTCATGGTTTGAGAGAGACTGTAACGCACCATAAGCTGACCAGGCATGCTAGACAACGTTCAGACAAAGGTTTGGAGAAATAGGGCAGACCGCACACCTTGAATGCGGCTACCACCGCATCTCTTCGTTCGTGGTCGACGCCGTACGCTGGGTTTATCTTTGAGTCCTTAGCAGGTACAGGTTTCCAGCTTTCATCCCGTCCAACCAAGCTTCCAGAGAACTGTTCACTAAGTCAGTGACCCAAATTAAACCTCGACGAAAGCGAACAACGGACCCAATACCCCAATCCAAGCACCAACGCCGCCAAACCAATCCATTGGGCTGCTCCTGAGCGTGCCTTTGCTGGTTTCGAGCTCGATTTTGGCTTTGGCACGTCTTTCTGGGATCCTCGAGACCCAGAACGCTTCCTGAGCTCAGATTCGGACATGTCGTCGAGGTACAAGTCGCATCCCCTCGTGGAATACGTGGTCAGAAGTGGGACAAGTTAAAGATCCCGGGCCAAGAGACCAAGTGTTGATCACATCAAAGCGATGGAAGGAAGGTCGAGGGTTCGATCCTTCCGCGTTGTTTATATTTCAACTCATCACTCGTTAGTGAGTGCTATTCCCCCATACAACGTCTATGGATAACTTTGTATCAAAGGTGAGATATACAAGAGCGTGTGCCCGTCCAGCTAATTCCCAACGAGACCCAATCAAAGCGCAACAGGGCTAGGGTCAATCTTCTTCCCCTTTGCGTCCAAATTACCCTCAATCCCCTTCTTCACATGCTGCGCATAGTCGACATTGAACGCCTCGACACCACTCCCCACACCCATCGAAGCCTTGTCTCCAAAGAAGTACGTGCTGTTGGACTGGCTTGCTGCGATAGCCTTGAGTTGTTCGAGGCGTTTAATTTCGATGAGGGCTGCGAGGGCGCGTTGTTTGTCTTCTGGGCTTGGTTCCTCCGAGTTGGAAAGGGAGCGAGCGATTTCGGTGACTTGTTGTGCGAGGGCGGAGGCTTCCATTAGGGATTGTTGTTTCCTGAGGAGGGGTTAGTGGTGAGAAATGAGGAGAGGAAAGTCACGTACCGTGCTTCGGCTTCTCGCACGACGGTTTTGAAGGCTGCATCGGCTTCGTTCGATTTGGCTTGGAGCTGCCAGAATACTCAATAACTGATCGGGACACAAATGAAGAGGAAACACGTACGTGACCCTCACTCTCCAGAATGACACGCTGCTTCATACCCTCCGCCACGTTGATCTGAGCTTGCGTGTCGAGCATCTGCTTCCTCCTGTTCCTCTCCGCTTCCATTTGCAGCTCGAGTTGTCGCTACAAAAACCGCGAGTTCAGGTCTCAAAATCCCAATTGCCAAAAGGTGCAAACGAACCTCGACTTCCCGGTTGGCAGGTTGGAAGTTCTGAATCTCGAACCTCGTGCATTCCACACCCCAACCTTGTATCGAGTTCCCGATGACCTGGTTCAGTCGTTTGTTCAGCTCGTTACGGTCGGCGATGACTTGGTCGTAGGTGAATGAGCCGAGTACGGATCGAACTGCGGAGGTTCCGGTGTTCTTGACGTTTTCAGCTACGTTTGAGACTGCGAAGCATGACTGTAGCGTTTGGGGGTGAGTGGTGCGTATACTATGTAGAGAAGGCTGTGGAACGCACCTTGTAACTGTCAGTTACTCGATAGAATAACGAGCCTGAACATGTCACTGGGACGTTATCCGAGGTGTAGCCCGGGAGGTTGGGGATGGCAATGGAGGTTTCCCGCATGTCCACGTTCAGGACCGTATGAACGACCGGAATGGCGATGTTCAAACCAGGTTTGAGCGGTACAGGATTCCGCCCGAAACTATACCGTCCCATACACATTCGTTAGCTCGCAGATTTACGCTTCAAACAAAAGATAGAGACGCACGTTAACCGCCATCCCTCATGCGCTTGCTCAATGATAGTGATGAAATTCCTCCGAGACTGTAATTGGCCACCCGCAAGTCGAGGTCTGAGCAAAGCTCGAGAACGTGGGTCCATAGCTGCTCGTCGGAGCAGTACCGCGCCTGCCGTTCGTGCCAGCGCAGCCGTCGTCGGTGAATGAGACAACGAACTCAAGGTACGCGTTGATACTGTCGAAAGGCTCATCGTCGTCGAGGTTCAAAAGTGAAAGCCGAGACTAGAAGAGTCTTGAATGTCGTCAGAAAATGGTAATGAAAATCTTGAAGATCTTTATCCTTTCGGATATATGTAGTTGGGTGGTCGATGGATTCCTATTGTCCTGGGCATGCTCGTTATATAGGCGGTATTGAGTTGTATCGAGTCAAGGGCAGGCCGGAAGGACACGACAGCACAGGTCGAGGATTTAATTTGCTGTGCCGACCAAGTGCCGACTTGACGCGTCAGCCGGAAATTGATGCATTGATGGATGATCGTGGGCCCGGTCCCTTGGGCGCTAATCTGCTCCTCAAAATATCTCACACTGAGAACATAACAAATGGCCCTTGAGCCTGAAATAGCACGAAACAGCCCAATTCAAACGATGAAGAAAGGGTTCACCCATATTTTTTTTTCATCAGGTCGAGAGGAATGGATCTGATCAAAATAGCACTGTAAAGAGCTCGAGCGCAAATGATGGCCAACTGGGGAGACGCCCAATCTGGTTGACCATTGGGACAGAGACCCTGGTCGCCCGAGTTGTCTATATTCAAGGACTTCAGAGGAAGGAGAGAAGTCTCGCGAGAAGGTCCTAGATCATCGATATCCCTGAGCCAGAAATCAGGTGCGCGTTGACACGGTTGATCTTGTCTTAGTCTATCCGAAGAGTAGGCTCTATCTTCCACTTCTTCTCCAAAGACGCTGATCACATAAACTGCATAGGGAGGACGGCTGGGTGATAGGGAAACCTGAGACTCGGTACGCCTACGTCCCTGGAATGGACAGGGGCTTTGTGACCCCATTTGGCGGACGCCAGGGGCGTGGGATTCTAGCGCCAACCGAGCCAGCCGAGTCTCCGACAGGACCGACACCAGTACTTCTCCTAGCTCATAACCTCGTCGTTCTGACGAAAATGGCGACTCGCCCTGACTCTTCCTCAGACATTCACGGGAAAACAAACGCCCTTCTTCCATCAAACGACGGGATAGCCACCCAACCACTCCCTTATGAAATCTTGGAAAACATCTTCGACTCACTTGGCTACATCCAACTACATCTCGCATTTTCGGATATAGAGCACACGAATAGCATAGTCCGCGTCTGCCGATCCTGGAGATATGTCCTTGACACATCGCCTCACCTCTGGGCTCGAGTTGTGATCGACTTTGGGATTCTGGAGGCCACACGGGAAGAAGAGCGGGTTTCAAGGTCGAAGTTCTCGAGGTTTCTTGCCAGATGCTTCGAGCGCTCGAAAGACGCACTGCTTCTCGTAGATATTCAGGGACACAGGGAACCACCGCACCCTAAAAGTATGGAGGCCTGGAGGGGGTTGTTTGAGTTGATCTTCAAGGAGAGACATCGATTGACCGGCGCACTCGACTCCTATTGCGTTCGCACCCTATTTCCTTCACGTACGGATGACGGCGACTGTTCATTCCCTTTGGTCACATCACTTCGCGCTAACTGGATGGACTTTCTCCTGGGATTCCCTTCGGTCGCCTTACCTGCCTTGCACACATTGTGGTTGGACGACCTGCCCCGCTACATGGAAAGGTTCAACCATCTCCACCACGGCACCTTTGAAGACACTATCGCATTCATGGACAAGTACAAACACCAGATACAGACCCTCGTCGTCAGTATACAGCACGGTCGTGACAGCCTTGTCTCTAATTGCTCGGACGTTGCGGTATTCCTAATGGAGTGGGGCGAGGTTGTGAAAGATCCCGCCCTCAAACGATTATGCATCGATATAAAACGGCGTTCAACCAGCCAACACATCTCGGTGGAACATTGGGAGCGTCCGGGGTCGTCTATTTTCCCCACAATCGAAGAGTTAGAGATCACGGGTCAACCGAGCACCATTACCTCGTTTCTGACCTGGATGGACCTCCCCCACCTTCGAAGGCTCGACCTTACCATCAACCCCAGCGGTACTTGGTCACGCGATCGATGGTTGGAGGGAGAATGGGCAGAGCTGGGACCCGCCCTCGTTGCTTTCGCCCGCCGCAAAAGCTCAAGGCAAAGCTTGCGGTCAATAGTCATCTGCAATACGAAGTACCTCACGGTGAACTCGTCCACGATGATCCCTTTCCTCGAAGAAATCGGGCCACTCCCAGAGCTTCGGGATTTACATCTACTCCCGCACCCCGACTTGAAGGTCCAGCCGGCTTCCAACCTTGAAGAAGGCGCAGCAGTCGTCACCCGACAACTATTCCCCAAGCTTGCCCACGTCACGATTTTCTAATCGTCTGTCATATTATATTTTCACTGGTGGTCCTGAGTCTGTAAGCACAACGTGCGTTCCATGGAATTCTGTAAATTACATAGCAATCATGTTGCTAAAACGTGCTTTCTACCAGTGCAATCACAAATGTTAGAACTCAGCTAGAACTGGACAGGGTCCCTCGCCACTCGAGTTACACCTTGTACTCTTCCCACACTGAACCACCAGCACACGAGTCTGCAACGCGTCCACACCGCAAACATCCAAGGTTCGAACCACTTGCGTATCTCCACAACTCAAAAGTGCTGAACATTGCAAACCATTCCTCTAATTAGACCTTCAAATCCTCACCATTCAACATTATTCATGGATTGGACACCGGCAGACACCCAGAAACTGCTGGATCGTTTTCGACAGGGAGGGCAGGTGTCAGATTCTGAACGACAATCCTTTCCAACCGCTCTCCATGCGCTTTCTCAGAAACTGGAGGAATTGAAGCGCGAAGTCCACCTGCTAGAGCTCGGGACGAACCTGCTGAAATCCGCCCAGTCGCCATTCCGAAGGATCCCTCCAGAGATTCTGTGCCGTATCCTGGCCCATGTATGTGCCACAGAAGGAATGGTCGTGGCACCGTCACATCGATCGAGACGGGCTCCCCCATGGAACATCGGCGCTGTTTGCAAGCACTGGCGGGACGTGGTTTATTCTACTCCCGGCCTTTGGACCAGACTCACAATTCAGTCCGCTGAGTTGGTCATGTATGGCAAGCGGCACTCGGGTAGTCTCCCTCCCAAGTTCATGGACTCGCTCTTAGCGGGTAGCTTGCCCCTCTTCGTCGACATCCAGCCAGTAGTTTACGTGGAAGCCGGTGGCAGGGAAGCGCGACCTGAATTCGGACTGAGACACACGATGTATCGCCAGTTGGCCACTTTGCTCCGAAGATGGTCGGGAGAGATTATGGGAACGCTCTTGCGCGAGTGCTGCTTGTCCGCAGGTGTCGATAAGAACTCGTCACTCCCCTTGCCGATGATAGACAAGCTCAGCGATCTACGCACAGAAATCGTCGATACGTTCAGGGAGATGAACGTCACCCTCGAGATGCCGAAACTACGCCACGTCGTGGTTGGGGACATGGAGAATTCAGGAACCTGGCACGAACCGGAGGACATGTTCGAATTCCCTCCTGCAGCAAGATGGTGCTGGGATTTTCTTGGTACCCACGCCAGCAGCCTGCGCACCCTCGAGTTCGTGGATTGGGGAAGGGTGTTGGAAGTGTTTTCATTCATCGCGGAATGCCCTTCGGATAAATACTTCCTCGCAAACATCGAACAAATAGGCTTTTCATCGTGGGCCTACGGTGCTGTCCTTCGCCCACGTTCTGAACAGAACCTTCGGGAAGAGGAGGTCCCCGCAACCCTGTTTCCGCGTGTCCGTCACGTCTGGATGACTGGAAAAGCCTCTCATGTCACAGGCTACCTGATGAGAATACAGGCGCCCTCCATCAAGTCGCTGAAGATCACGGTCGCGGACGATGAAGAGATCGTCCCAGCGCTCTCAACCTTCCTCAGAAACTCCCGTTGCCACGAAACTCTTCAGTCCCTCTATTTGAAGGGGGTCAATCCACAGGTCACCATTCAAATGCTGAGCCAACTCCCGAACCTTCGCGAGTTGGTTCTTCCCGAATTACCTCTAGAGGTCGAATCCGCCTTGGAAGCCGCCACCGACCTGGCACCCAAACTAGGGAGGTTGGACATCGTCCCGAAGAAAAACGGCCCCGGGGGCTCTCGTCCTGTAGAGCCTGACAGACTCGTCAAGCTCCTGGCCTCTCGCCATGATGGCAGACGTGTCTACTCGTTTGTATCCTACAACAGGACGTGGGCGTTCGTGGAAGGGTGCAATGTCTCCGGCTTCCCGAAGGACGAGTTTGTTTGGAAGGCAGAGCCTGTAGACGCTTTTAGGTTTTGAGGATCTGGTGTTCCTTATTTAACGTAGTCGGAATAACAACCTTCGTACCAGTTGTCGCTGTTGGAAGGGCGATTAAATACCCAAGGGATAGACTCGTGAACCAGTCGGTTCGGTCCCCTCAGTCCGAATGATGGTGGTGTTGATTGATGATGTCGGAGAATCAAAAAGGTGAGGGTACCGAACCGACTGGTCAGAACGGGGACACTTATGCCACAGATTTTAAGCCTGGGAACAGGGGGACTTCCCTAAGAGGGCAGGCCGCCGCTTGGCCGTCCATTGGCCGCGCGGCAGGCCTCGATCGTGTCGTACATTGGTGGGGCCAGGTCTCGGTTCGGTTGATGTCATCAGCTCGGGGCTGATCGCCCGTTCGTTCGGGCCATCTTATCAACATCTTATCTTATCTGTCACGTGAGCGCCAGGCACCGCGCCCAAACGCGTCTTTGGGCTTGCCCAAACGGGCGTCGAACGTTGACCGCTCAACAGCAAAATTAATCAACGCTCGCTTGCTCGCTTCCCCTCTTATCTAAATGAGCTGCGCCGTCCACAGTCCCGATCTATTTGACGCCTACCCCTCTCTCTCCCGCTGGACTGACTGGACAACCGAAGCACGACGACGTCGAGCGCGCAAACGCGAACGAGAATTCGGAGATGGCGGGGTGGATTCTGGCTGGGAGGGGAGAGCTACCGGTTGGTTTGGGAGGAGCTGGCTGACATTGGACTGCACCCGGTGCGTGACATCTCGAGAGCGCCCATTTATCTGACTGAATGCTGCCCTCCAGATAAGTCGTGCTTCTTTCCAGCGCGATCGAGGTCGAACGACCGGGAGCAGTAGCTCCCAGATTTCGATTTCAACCCTTCACGTTGGGTCTGGATATAAGCAACCCACCGCCCCCACTTTCTCCTCTACGTTGTGCTCGCGTCGTCGCTGTCGCGCTTCCGCTCCAACGCACCTGGTTTCAGACCTCGTACCAGAGGGCCCAGGTGCGGCGGAATGTCGAGTCGCTCGACGCTCAGCGCTTGCACGTCAGAGAACTCACCCCCAACTCTCCCGTTTGCTTGAGTGTGCCGCTTTTGCCCGCTGTCGGTACCTCATGCTGCATGCACGTCAGCATGTAGTTTTTCTTTTCGCGACATGCTATGCCTCATTGAGCCTGAACCGGCGATCGTTAGGACTGGCCAATTTCCAACGGTCTACAGATGGTCCTTTGACCCTCGACCGAGGTGAGCCCCTGGTTGATTGTCTTTCTAATGAACGGATGATACTGACCCTCTGTTTCCAGATTCTGGCTTGCCGATTGACGGCATTTGTATGGCCCAGCGACGACTTTGGGGTCATAGCTATTCACCCGCCCTTTTAGGTGTGTTATGCTGCTTTTCAACGATAGACTGAAATTCAACCATTTGTTTATAGCGACTTGACTTTCGGCTTTCGACAACTAGGACCAGCTAGTGCACAGAGTCAGTGCACGGAGTCAGGAAATAATGCAGCGCGGTTGTTTCGGGTTCGCCTGACTACGGTAAGAGCAAGTAAACACAATGACTGGGTGGGTTTAAGGGTTCTCGTTCGGGGCATTGAGTACTGACTTTGCGAAAACAGGTCGTTGGAACTTACGGTGCGGTGCGTTGGTTTTACTTGGGCACGCCTGAGAGCATATAACCGACGACTGGACAAATGTAAGCATGGGTATCTCTCGCCCTCTGGAGCTCCTCCAACGTAGGCGTTGAGGCCATCGGGCGGGCTTAGTTGCTTCGACTCTTGATTTCGGAGGTATGTCATAAATTCCAACTCCTTCGCCGAATCCATTGGAGTCCAAACCACAATTAGTATTAGCAGTCAATCGATAGGCTATTCTAATTACTAGACAATGATGTATAAAGTAATTTGAGGACTGAAAAAGTAGTAAATATTAGAACTAGTAGACATGAGGGCCTCGATTTCTTCGAGCCACAGTACCCGCTTCCTGGTACTTCTTGCGGATGGCGTTGAAGAGCGGGGTACATCCCTTCACATATGAAGGGTAGTCAGCAAGGAATCTTGCCTCATCACAAGCGTAGCTGTGCGTGGAAGGTAAGTCTTCTGACGTCAAACAAGCAATGAGACGTACACATTGATGAACTCTTCAGCAATTACTTTCCGGAGGTGGTAGAGCTGGCGTTGCTTCTGGGGGACATCTCCCTTGCTCAGCTCTTTGAGCGGGCGACGATGGTTACGAGAAGGATCAGGGAAGTCCCAATCTCTCACAACCTGGCGCCATGCATCAGGACCCATCCCACGGATTTCTGGAATAATGACGAGGGATTGAGTGTTGAATACTGTGACAGTAGGAGGGGATGGGGACGGCTGGTTTGGTTTTCGGTGGATGGTTTGACGCTTGTCGGTGTTTGATTGATACAAGGGCACTGGGTGGGACAGTACTGAGTTGTATGGCGTGTCGGAAGCAGGAGTTTGATGATAGACAGGTGGATACGGGTGTGGTGGTGCTGGGAATCTGTTAAATGCGCTGACAGGTGGACTTGGTTGCGGATATGGAGGACATTCGGATTGCTTGCGGCGTGCATTCACGAGGCTCATCGGTGAAAGCCAAATGCATGTCTTCCGGCATTGCACTCTTCCTGCCCGTGGTTGGTGCCTCATTGATGCAATGTTGGGTTTTCTCCATCTCCCACTCCATCGCCCGTCTCTTCTCCTCTGCAACGATGGGTGCTAGCCACCCTTGAGCACGCCGGATGTGACCGAGATAAGAGTCAATGGTGGCCTTGATTTTGCCGCCTTCCTCCTGAGCTCGTTGACAGCGTGCGTTGACTTCTTCAAAGTTACCGCGAGGGATGTTTGGTTTCCGGTTCCCTCGGGTTTGATTTTTGGCTGGCTCTACATTGTCCTGTGTGCGGATAGGCGGCATAGCATGGGCAAGTGGAAGAACAGTATCGAGAATTGTCACAGTTGTATACGTGAGGAGCCAACAGGGAATTAGCCAGCTCATCTTGAAATTCCATGTCTCAGATTCATCGGATCCACCATCCTCGGACAGTTGCTCAGGGTCAAGTTCAAAGCTAATGACGGATCACATTAAATTGACCAGAAAACATACACACAAGCTACCAGAAGGCAAGGGAGCGAAGAAGAGGTCTAGGTACCTAAATCTTTCAAAATATCGGACAATGAAGGAGGATCAGGAGACGATGACAACGACGACAGTATAGTAAGTGGTGTGCTGCCTGGTGCAGTGACGGGTTGAGGAAACACCATAATTGGGATGTATGGTTCAATTGGAACCCGACGGGAGCGCCTGCGAGAGCGATAGAAGTCGGCAACTTTGTCAGGTGCCACATTCTCGAGAATAGGGCCGGGGATCCAAAAACGGATAGGGAAAACAAAGTCGACGGGATGTGGTGGTTGGTCCAAATGGAGCTTCTGCATGACTACGTTGACAGCTGCACGAACGGCGGACGTTGGGCGTACATCGATCTGATAGTCGTCCAAGGAGGTGGTGGTCCCGATTTTGTTCTTCGAGGTGATGATGTGTGCGATGGAACTGACACCCATGCCCTCGGAAAGAGAAAGGGACTGCGCTACAGCTACCTGTAAAGCAAGCTCCATCAATTACCTACAAATCGTAAACACAGACAGCCTACCTGACACAACTGCCGCGTAGCGAGGGCTGGCCAAATGTACTTCCGACAGAGGGACACCGGTTCATGGCAGTTGAAAAGTTCCCAGGAAGCTGCAGACAAAGCAGCTGTATCCGGGAGCTTAAAAAGCCATTCAGCAGGGTTTGGAGGCGAGTATGGGTTGTCGGAAGTGTTGGAGGTGGTTGGGTAGGTGTATAGGTTGATAGTCTTGAGACTAGGAAACGAAGTGCTTATGTTGGAAGCGAGGCTGGGCTGGCGACGATGGAGTGTTCCTTCTGGGTTCTTGGACAGGATGTCCCGGAGGCATTGACGCCAGGTGGAAAGGTACTTGCGATGTTGCGCGGGATGCAGGTCGTCAATTGTGGAGTACAAAGCCTTAATAGACAATGTCCGGCAGAGGTCCATGGCTGTTGCTGTACCACAGCCTTTCAACCCGGCCTATGCAACATGAACACAAGGAAATTCATGCCAGGGAAATGACACACACCTGTTCGTAGTCCCCGCCGAGAAGTATAGCAAGTAAAATAAAAGCTCCCCGGTCAAAAACCCCATCGCTTTTCTCCTTCAACATGCCCTCCGTGAAAACATCAACCGTGGTGGGAAGTTCATCGGCCGATTCTTGACGGGAGCTAGCAATGCTAATATATTAGGAGTTTGAAGCACTCATAACAATAGAAGTACTCACGTTCGTAAGACATTTAGGCCGCCAAATGCGAATACATCACTATCCTCCGTCCAGATGAAGTCAACCCAATTCTGGTCACTCCACCAACCGAGCTCCGCTTCTGCTTCCCCAGGAGCCTATTGGCAGTGGCAAATAAGTCGACAGGTCATATAAATTTGAGCCAATCATACACGTACCTTGAACGAGTAGAATCCAAACGCCGAAATAAGTCTTTCAAAATCTTCCACCATCCAATGATCTACCGGTCGGACGGATGTTCCTCGTTTAACGGAAGGGCGATGCGGACCATCGAATACGAAAATAAAGACTGCAGGTGATTTGGCCAGCAGTGACAGACGTTTGAAGAGAAGAAAGAGGGCCGGGTTTTTGCCGAGTGAGGCTAGTGAGGCCCCTCGTTGGATGGAGCGTGTTATTGCCATTTCCGTTGCATACATCCAGCTCCTAGGAGGCGTTAATTAGAGTTGAAAGAATCGAAAAAAAGGCTACGCACTCAGCATCTACCCCAACCACCATATCATTTCCACGCTGCTCCTTGCACCGCATACCCTCAACTGTCAGAAATTCGACGAACGAGCGTTGTTCCCCAACCCAAGATACAAGCTAAGAAATGGATAAGCGGTCATATGGCACATAGTAAGAGTGACGACTTACGTTCCAAAAGCCTTTGATACCCATTCTGTTACGCGACTGTAGAGTTCGAGATGTGGCGGGGTGTCACGGTAGTTGTCGAAATGTCGGTTTGACGGCGAAAAGGGGTCTTCCATTGCTCTTTTATTTGCTTTGGACGTCTAAGACATTGTCTATGCAGGCGGGGCATCGTTCAGACCGATTCAAATCGCGATGGAGAGGTTTTCACGAAGCTTGAGCTGATACATGGCCACGCACGTTGAGCGCAAGGTTCGAATCAACGTCGCAAATGCGGAGTTTGAATTCACTTCCCAGATAGGGCACCCATCCCCTATCCGGCTCATCGTCGCGCGACGCGCTGAAGGCCTCGGGATACAGAGGATTCATTGAATTATGCAAGGTCAACAATATTGGGCAGTTTTTGTAATCTGTAACGCGTCATGAGAGTGCAAGATACTTCCCCTACAGGCTGTAGTTGTGTATACGGCTGTCCGAATTCCAAGAACCCTCAGTGAAGGTCAAATTCCGGAGACTGACAAGTCGTATGGTTGACTTTGAGGCCCTATCAAACGGCGGTTAGCACAAAAGCCAGTGGAAAGTTAAAATTGTGTTAAAATTGATTAAAAATCGAACTTTTTAATCAATTTTAAGGCCGGCTAGCGCCCAAACTCGAGCGAGAATCGAGATCTGGAAGCACGGAAATTTGAAGCATTGACCCTGAGGCCTGAGTTCTTAGTCCCGGTACTAGTCGTCTACTATACACCCACAGACATTGTGAGATGATATCTACTAAATCAGTCCTCTCATACTCCAATACCCTTTGGGTCTGGTGGCCAGGTCTAATGACCCGTAAACCAACGATCGTCGATGAATTTATAATGAAAACTACTTGAACTTGGAAGTCCCTCTGCAATTCGTCAGATTTTGATGGAGACTGGTCTCCATTCAACGTGCTTCTGGTTAGGATAACATTTAATAGTAAATTTGTTTTCGTCGAGGGACCGTACAGGTTGCGCAGAGGTAATGGGATGTGAAGTCGGACTTCGACTACTCGACGACTAGTCCAAACAGTAACCGAGGGTCGACGCCAAGCTCTCCGATACCGATTCTCGTCATTGATGAACTGGCCATCAGTCAGTCCGTCCGCCAAACGAACAGCTCTTGAACAGCTCGTCTGTCCGAGCCAGGTCGGTTCTCATTTCGTGGACACGTACGATCTGCCGATAGGCGAGATCGCTTTTACACTGTTTTACGATCCTCCGTTAAAACAGCCCTACGAATAGCTACTTTTGGCGGGCACCATCAGTGGATAAGTGATCCCATCACCCTCTTTCGTCAGAACCGAGCTGGTTCACGAGCCTACCCAAGGGATGGACTTATGAAGCCGGACCTGAGCATGGGAGTCTGATCAAAGTTTGATGACGGCATCATCGGCATGAGGGAGCGTGGTGGCCAATTACGGCGAGGCCACTTTCCCTACTTGACCACCACCACTGCCCTGCCAAATTCACTCGACCGCCAGCTGCTCAACGACGACGACGAGAACAATATGCCACCACGACCTGCCTCGGCTGTACGTCTAGAATCCCCTAACTTCATGCGGTCGACATCTCGGATTTGAGAGACGGCTTCTGCTGACCCTTGAAGAGAACCCTGGCTCACAAGACCTCAAATGACAGATGACGATGAAGCGCATACATCGTGAAATTGCCGATATACAGAAGGAAGATTTGGGTGGCATGAAGCTGGCACCGAGCGAAGACAATGTTCACGTGTGGAAGGGCACAATACCCGGGCCCGAGGGAAGCGTCTACGAGGGCGGATTGTTCGACATAGAGGTCATATTGCCTTCGGATTATCCGTGAGTTCTCGCCATAGAATTCTTACAATGACTTTACATTGAGCACCGTTCGCCCAGGTTCTCTGCTCCCAAGGCGATGTTCAAAACGAAGTGAGTAGCCCTGGCCGCGTGCAGTGCAAATTGCGCTTCTAATAACCAACGTCTCCACCAGGATATACCACATGAACGTACGCAAATCGATGTCTGTATGCCATGGCAGACCGTAACGACTGCCTTCCTGGACAGATCTCAGAGAGCGGCAACATTTGTATCGACATCCTCAAAAACAACTGGTCACCAGCTCTATCATTATTCAAGCTGATGCTTTCTTTATCCTCTTTATTAACGGACCCCAATCCTAGTGCGTGACATCTATTTACGGCTTAGACTGCTGTTTGACGTCCCCTGTATGCTGACGCGAATTGGAACTGCCCCCTCTCGATAACCAGGAGACCCGCTTGGTACGCCCTTGTATACCAATTTCCGAGGCTCCTTGGCTGATTGTCCCTTTAGTCCCCTCAATTGCGACACAATACACGCGAAATCGAAAGCAACACGATTCGACGGCACGTGAATGGACCGCGATGTACGCCAAACCCAAGCCGAAGCCAGGCTTGCCCCCAGCCTCCAGACCACCTGCAGCACCTGCCCGTGCAACAACGTCATCACACCAAGCCTCGGGTTCAGGTGCCTCAAGGATAGGCGCAGCGGTATCCCTTGCTGCGCGTTCACTGGGTTTGACGTCGGGCTCTGCATCCACCCCGGCTTCAGCATCGAGCTCTGCTGCTCCATCAGGCTCCTCGACGCCTGTCGTGATAGACCTGTCCTCTGACGATGATGCGGTCGCACCAAGCTCGAGATCCAAGCGCAAACGACCGTCCGCGTCTGCCACATCCACGTCCGCATCGACAGGGGCTTCCTCCTCTTCCTCACAACCAAGGCGCCAACAGCCCGTCGTTGTAGAGCTGTTAGACTCTGACTCCGAGAACGAGGTGGCAGGTATCGTTGGGAATGATACCGCGCCGTCGAGGAATAGAAAGCGACGACGAGTAGCACCTGGGGAAAGGGAAGTTATTGAGATCGATTGACCTCTTGTTCGTATTTAACGCGTTTGGTTCCGCGTTGTATTCTTTATCTCTTCTCTCCTCATTATTTTGCTAGTTGCATCAATCATCCGCTTAGTGTTTCTTGGTCTCGCCGTTGTTTCTGGTATACAGGAGGTGAGGCTAAAACTTGAGACTCGGACGTGAACCGAGTCTGGACACGACCCAAGGAAAGAGAAGCTCTTGCTCTTCGTTGTTCTATCTTGCATCAAGATTAGAAAATATATTAATAGACATTCATCTACTCGAACATAACACCTAATGACCAGAGAATCAGTCACCGAAACGGTATAGCGCAACTAAACAAACGAGGGACCGCTCACCACAACAATTCTTCGCGCCACACATGCAAGGTTCATAAATCTTGTCAGTCTTTGCCATCTCGCTCACCCTCGCCTTTGCCTCATCCGCATCCATACCAGTATAGTTGAAGCAGATCTCTTCGTAAGGGTCGATGTCGCGGTCGGTAAAAACGGTGAGGAGGGGTTTCTCTTTGTTCGCCTCATTGATAAAGCATGGGTGGATCTTGCAGTTGGGGTCACAGGAGTGGTTCTAGATTTCGTTCATCAGCTGAGGCTACGAGAATGGAAGGAGTGACGACAAACGTACCAGGAAGCGAGTGAACTGTATGCCAAGTTTCAGTAGTGTTACTTGTGACACGATTGTTTCCACGTACATTCCCAACATTGAACGCATCCACGACGTATTTGTTGTCCCATTCCTCTGCTTCTTCCGGTGTCAAATTCGCTTTGAGGAACCAAAAGTCAAGGTTGAACAGGTATGTGCGTCCGAACTTGTTATACACCCTGAGCGAGATTAGAGCGTTCAATCAGACTTCCGCATCGAGAGAGCAATTGAGAGCAAAAACAACGCACTTGCCACGCTCGTCACCCTCCTCATCAGTCAACAGCTCGCCAGAATACACGCCCAAAAATGTTCCCTTGGGTATCTTCTTTGGACCAGCGAACACTCCCCATCCTTTATGTTTGGTCTTCTGAATGGAGACCTGCACCTTCCTCCCATTCTGTACCACCTATTATCCAAGAACGCCAATCATTAGTTACCGTCCGCAGAAAGAATTAAACCAACACAAGAGACCCACCCGATTGACACAGTCCTGATCGCACCCACAAAGCGCATTACACTCCACGATCGGCTCCTGGAACTCTGGATGCCTCAACCTCCCCTTCTTGTCATACATGAAATCATTCACTTGCCCCGGCGGGCCTTCTGGGTCCAAAAGCTTCTTCTGCCTCCTCAGACACGCACACGACTTGGTGCACCTGCCTACACAATCGCACCCCTCGAGATTCTTCACGTCAGGCGGGGGAACATTGTCCGAATGCCACATCTGGTTCGAGTAGTGGAACTCCCAGGGCGGGGCCGGCTCGTCGTCGATGTTGTTGATGATGTCGATGGGAGGAGCGTCGGGCTCGTCTTGCACAGTGTGTTCTTGGATGAAGGCTTTGAAGAGGTCGCGCATACCGGCGAGGAGGTGCATGTCTTTCGTGTTGTTAATCCCGTCTTGAAGAGAATGGGGAAGGTCGCGTGCGTAGTAGACCTCGAAAGGGGTGTTTTGGAGGTGGAGGCGGTAGTCGTGGAATGTGAGCTGTTGGAATCCGGACGCGCCTGTACGTGCTGGTGTCGTCACCGCTGCGGCCTTGAACTTCTCAATGCGCGCGGTCTTGGATTCGAGAGGTGGAGGTGGTTGGCCAGGAACAAGGGCCAGTTCATCATCATCGTCCTCGTCATTAGCAACATCGAATTCACTGTTGTCCTGGTCTTCTGGTGTGGAGGGTGACCCTTCATCTTCATCTGAAGAGGGTTGTCGACTGGGCTCTCCGTTCGCAATATCTTGGCTTCCAAGGGCGACCGTGATGTCCTCAATCTCAGCAGACGATTGCCGTGAAGGTACCAACAGGTCGTCAACCTCCATAGCGGCATTCTCATCACTGGTGCCCACTTCTTCAGGTCCAGTCAATGGAAGCGTAGGAAGATCATCATCCTCATCCTCCATCCCTTCCTCCCGGCTATGCACGCCCACAGCAGTTGTCATGCTCGTTCCCAGTACAGGAACGGCCTTGGTCGCTGACGACGGCAAAACCACAGCTGAAGATGGTGTACTCTTGGCCGAAGTGTCCCTGCTCTCTTGTTCTTCAGATGAACCTCGGGATTCACCGCCGCGGGTTTCGGTGAAGCTTTTATCGGGGCTGACGGTGGGGTTGGAAGTGGGTGCTAGAGGCACAGACGCAATCGAAGGTGTCACAGGGGCCTGAGAAGCCGGTCGAGGAATGGGGACAGGGGTGGAAGCAGCAACGCGACTGCGCTCTTGCTCTAATAGCTCCTTCAACTTGGATCCCTTTGAGGCATCCTTCACGCTTGAGCCGATAGCAGTCGATGTGGAGACAGCAGGTTCGAGTGCAGGGGCTTTAGTTCCACCTGCAACATGTGGGTCAGAGAGTATAGCAGTGGCATTGGCCCTGGCCGTACCTGTGGTGGCAGTGGTCGAAGAGGTGGCTACCAAAGTCGGTGGTGGGGCCGGAGGTCGGACAGGAAGGGGAGGCAATGGCGCAGTGGCAGTGGCGGTGACTGTTGAAGGGGGGTTCAAGTTAGACTCTGCCCACGACACCCCTCCCACTGGAGCAGTTGCAGAGGCTTTCCCAGCATCGTCGTCAGAATCATCCAGCGTGAATGGATCGTCCTTGGATCCAAAGCCAGAGAGCTTGACCACAGGCACAACTGACTGCCGTTTCTTTTTGACCTTCTTCTTCTCCTTCTTGGACCTCTGAGCTTCGGCGTTCTGTGTGAATGCACCTGCGACATCCATTTGTCGTTCTGCTCGCTGTTTTCCCTTCTGAAAGGATACAGTCAGCGAGCCTCCTCTGAGAATAAGATATACAACATACTTTGTCTGCAGCGATAGCAGGAGAGAACGGCTGTTGCTTCACGGTGCTCGGCCCTGCCTCGGTCGGCGTCGCAGCGCGACTTCTGCTCCTCGCAAAGGCACTTACACTGAAACCTAAAGCCTCTTCCATGCCCCGCATGTCAGGTTCAATTACGTGGTGTTCGGGAGGGGCATACTCGTCTTGATTTCCATCAAAATCGGACGGCGTATACGCCATTGTGGCATCTCCCTCGTTGGTGGTCCTTGAAATGGGTCCCGGTCGTGATGCAACAAAGCCATCCAACGTGCTTTGCTTGGTCGGACTACTAGGTCGCGATTGAACGTAGCCATCCAGCGTTGTTTGTTTGGCTGGACTGGCGGGGCGGCGTGTGGTTGATGTGGAGGGCCCGGGGTCGGCGGGTTGGTCTGTAGATCTTATGCTGGGACGATTGGCGCTAGTACCTTGCTGCTGCTGTAGGGCGTTGTTCAGGCTTGCAGCGAAATTATCCCATCCCTGGCTCCCTTCTCTTCCAGCGCCATTTGTTGTCTTCTTAGCAGGGGAGAAAAGAGCAGAAAAACTTGATGGCCCGGCTTGTTTACCTGTGTCGCTCTTTCTCGGGGGAGGTTTCTTGACTTTAGTAGTGGAAGGGCGAGGTAGAAGGGGAGCTTCATCTTCGTCGGAAGATATACAGATAACGCTAGGGGAACGCCGAGTACGATCGGCAGTGGAAGGCCCGGTCCAAGCATTCGAGGTTGAGGTAACAGATGGACGTGGACGAGCAACAACTGGACGCAGTCGACGAACCCGGCCATAATTAGGACCTCCAGTCGACTTCCTTGCTAAGGTTCTTCTCGGTTGTTTCTCAGTAGATGTCGAACCACTGGGTGAGCTGCGACTGGAGCCAGCAGATGGATTCTCTGCCAGTAGTGGTCGCGATGCAGAGCTTGCAGACGGAGCGGCCTCAGATCCAAGTGATTTGGCAGAAGGGGGAACACGTTTTTTGCCAGTTGACTTTCGTGCAGTCTGATGAGCTCGCGAAGGGTGGTCCTGAGGGGACGAGTCGTGTTCAGTGACAACCGTAGCCGGCTCGTCATCATCGCCTGAATCGTCAGTCAGCTCGAGCACAATATGGCTTGTCCGTGGTTTCCGAGTTGAGTTCGTGTCCGATTGTGGGTTTGAGCCTGAAAGCGACCTAGTCAAACGAGATGACTGGCTTTAGAATCACCAACCTACCATTAGCTGCAGTTTGTCGCTGTGAAGAGGTCGATGCAACAGGTGCACGTTCACGCTGTGACAGCGTGTCGGCAGAAGGGTTGAGGCGATTAGAAGTAGAACCTGCAAATTCATTATAACCATGACACGGAAAGAAAATGCCGAAGCTCACCGCTATCCAATGTCTTCTGCCTTTTCAACGGCCGTTGCTCCACCAAAGGAACTTGATCCCGAACGCGATTCGCGCTCGCCGACGAAGGCCGGCTAATATGAGTCGGACTGGACGCTTCTGCCCGCTGTTGCAGAATGGCTTCCACAATCCCGGTTCCAGAGCCGCCTACAGTGTTGGATCTTCCCCCAATCTGGCTCTCGGGTGGCCTTTTCATTAACGATGGACGATAAAGGGGCCGCTTTCCAGTATATTGTGTTGGCCTCGGCGGGCTTAGTTGGTCGACTTGCTCTTCGTCATCCTCACCGTCGTCGTCGTCGTCCTCATCGTCGATGTCTGAACCAGCTCGCTCTACAGGGATTCAGGGACTTATCGTCAGATAATATCACTTAACACGTACGAGTTGGAAGAACCTCCCACCCAGGTAATGCAGAATCTTGCTCTTCTCGCATACGGGCTGGTTTGTAGTCGTGGACAACTGAACAAGCAGTTTAACGTCGCTTGCGATTCACGATTTCGTGAATCCCTATTGCCTATTCAGAATCGATTCAAAAGTTATAAACTTCTTCAGACTCTAGATTTCAAGAAAAGCGAGGTCGATCAGAAATTGTGAGTAGCGCGTGGTTCAGGCTCAAGCTTCACGCTCTGGGACAGCTGAGGCGCCGAGATCAGCTCGTGGGAATGTGATGCGCCATCAGGGCACGGGCCGTTAACCGTGTTTAAGCGCCCTCGGAACCCTCAAGAGGCTGGGAATCAGGACATTGGTGCAGCGAGATGTTAATACGTATGCTCGCCAGAACTAATATTATTGAAACCACAACGCCACCTACTTAGCGCACGTCCACGCATTTCCCATAACACACCCACTTTCCTGGATCTATCCGAAAGCGCTTAATGACCCTGCGGTAAATCCGAGATCGTGTTTCGAAGCATTCCTTAAGTTATACCACAGAACATCTTAGTCAGATAACCCATTCTCTTGAGGCCATCAAGGAAGGGCTTTCTCTAGAAGAAAATACCTCTGAATATACGGGATGAGTCCATCAAGGCGCATCAGTGTCCGTTTTTACAACGGCACTCATGTGGGCATCGTGCCACGACCATAACATTGCGGTCCTACGACTTCTTAGTTGCGAAGCAATTGACGTGAACTGCACCGACAAAAGGGGTCTCTCTACCCTAATGCATGCCGCGGAATGTGGTAATCAGGACATCGTCGACCTACTCCTTCAGTCGGGGAAGGTAGACAGTGGTCTCAGGTGCTTGAATGGACGAACTGCAGTCTCCTATGCTGCTGAGAATGGACACGTAGTGATTGTGCGTAGATTAGAAGCATATGTGTGCGGTACCCAAGCGAAGCGGAGGCGGATCGTTTAAAGTACGGAGAATATATTTATTTATCAAGGACAGGTTGCATAACCCGTCCAATCCAACCTTTGATTTCTACGCCAGCAGTTCATGGACGTATTCCCCACGGGGTTTAATGGTATACGCAAACGGTAGAGGATGACTGTTGAGAAAGCCGCACCCAGCTTTAGTTTGTCCTGCCTCCCCAAGCTCAGAAAGAGAAAAGACGCACCTAATCATCCCCGAGGAAAACTTCGGTTCCACAGGTATCGGTCGCCCATTCTCATCCAATCCAGGCGAAATATCAAACAAATTAAGGATCGTAGCCATAGTAATGAAGAGTTGTTGTTCAGCCATGAATCTACCAGGGCACACTCTCCGGCCATATCCAAAGGCAGAGGAGAGAGGGTGGCACGAGGCGAATTGCTGGTCGTCATTTGAAGAGGTTTGCATGAACCTGTCGGGGTTGAAGGACATGGGATCTGGGAAGATCTCAGGGTCGTGGAGGATCGTCCTTTCCAAGCGGAGGGTAAGAAAATTACAGGGATAGGATGTGAGTGCTGTGATACTGACCAGGTATTCCCAATTACCAACGTTCCAGCAGGGATGAAATATCCGTTGTATTCATCATCTTTGGATAGCATGTGCGGAAGTCCTAACGGAGCAACCGGATTCCACCTATCCGAAGAAGTGAGTTATACTTCTGGGCATCAAGCATACGAACACGCTTTCGGATACGAACCTTAACACTTCTTTAACTATCGCGTTCATATACGGAAGAGACGCTCGATCACGTTGGTGAGGTAGTCTTCCATGCCCAACCACTTCATCCAGCTCTGCCTGGGCTCGAGCGGATACGTGTGGGTGAAGGACCATTGCTAGGATGAACGTCGTCAGGCTCGAAATCGTCTGTTAAGCAACGAAAGTCCACCGTTAGCGAAGAGCTCTTAACAAAGATGGTAAGAGACTTACACTTTCCGCTCCCGCTGCATAGGCTAATCCAGCACAGTTCCGGATGATCTCCAATTGAGAGTTACGGTCAGACTTGTTCTCACACTTGGAAATGAGATTGGATACGAAGGAGGGTTGAGCTGTTCCAGACGCCTTCAGAAATATCAGCATCTGACCTGTCCAGACGACCACAGAGATACCCACCAGCGCTCGGAGTACCATTTCGAATGGCGCGTCTCGCATCGAATACACTGCACGCCGCCATTCTTTAGCTTGGCGGAGAAAACCAGATCCGGGACACCACTCGCTAGGTTGAACGATCAGATTTTTCTCTTTTAGCAAAGCTGGACGATCATCGATCAACCTACGGTAGGTATTTCACTGTAGTATGCCCTTTAAGTCATTTTGGCATCTCTCCGAAATGACAAAGTAAACTCACACAGTGGTAAAAATTCGACCAAGTACTCGCCAGGTTTAGCCGCTTTCGCCATCCCCTCGAGTGCCTTCTCCGCGACGGTAATAAACCTCTCGCTCTCATTCTTGTCTTCGATCCCATAGACAACTCCCATGGTCACTCCAGCGGCGTTCCTGTTAATATCCGTGTATCAATCACACAGGGCTAGATGTCAGCAACGACAGCATGATCGACGGTTACGGAGGCAAACTGACAGTCGAAGGTGATCCCGCAGGTTTTGAGGGGATCGTAGCAGCCTTCGGGCAAGGAGTTTGGCTTGGTGCTCGTGCGTCGCGGAGTAGGATGGGACAGCGACCTGTTGGAACTCTTGATGGAACATCTTACGATGGGCTTTCCATCTCTCGCCTGGAGTCATGGTACAAAATGAATGGACAAGCGACGCTGGCAAATTGGTACTTCTGCGAGATCTCACCGTAGGGCATGTGTCCGAAGCTCCAGTCCCAGTCTTGTCTGTAAAAGGTCTCAGTGAGTGGACGCACAAGACAAAGATGCGAGGGAGAGAGAGAACTCGCAATTCGTTAATCATAATAGATCGCCTGCGCCCAGAGTAATACGCGGACCTCTTTTCGAACAAGTCGTTTGCGGTCTGAAACGAGTTGACAAACAGCAAGGGTTGCCCTAAAACCGTCATGTAAACCAAGTCGCCTAGTCAAAGACGGGGGTGAGAGATCAAGGACAACAAATGCACCAATGGGCACTGACCATATTTCTGTGCCAGATCGTAATAAGCCGAGGATTCATTATCGCGTGCGAGGTCAAGAAGATTCCCAATAACCGGTCGAGGTTTGGGCCCAGGAGGATAAGGCAGGCGATTCGGATTTCTCCAAGCCCTGCCCTGATTTCCCCGGCGAAGAATCCTACGCAAGAGCACCAAGCCGCCAAGCGAGAGGAGTCCATATACGTGTAGAGGAAGGAGGGAAGCGAGGAAAGAGGTCATCGCTGACGGGTCGGACTAACCGAGAACTCGACGCGTCGCAGAGGTCGGAGTAACGCAAGTCGACTGGGAAGCTGGGGAATTTCTGCCGATAGCTCGCGATTGAGTATACTTATATTGGCACAAGTTGGGGTTAACCCCGTTTGTGTCCGTTTAGAATTGGCAAAATGCCGACTGCTCTAGCACGAACAGGGTCGCGAGTCCCTGGCGACAGACTCTAATCATAGCGTGGAGGCGAATGGGAAATAATCAGGAACAATAATGAAAGCCTTTTATAACAAATCGGGGGAACCACTCACTCATATGTATAGACATTCAAACTCTGTTTGGGTCACTCGGACTGGCTAGCTCGCGCGATATTCTGTCCCAAACACAGAGAATGGCATTGGGAATTACGCCACAGGGCTCCCATTCACCCGTCTTAACTGACAGACATACAGTAGGAGCCCGGAGAGGTCGGGTTTGTGGAAGTGTAGACCAACGCCATGGATACAGCGTCACCAACCAGCCAAGAAGATGCCGTCGCCCGCCAGAGCTCGCCTAGCATCGTGATGCTGTTAGGTCTCTGAGCCTTCTGAGAAGAGGAAGGGGTGGAGTGACAGACTATGCTTAAGCTGATAGCTATCGATGAAGATAGCCTATCAGGCTTTATTTACTAGTCAGCTGTTCGTCCACCTGAAAGAATAAGTACATACCACGCCGTCGTTTGGGGGGACGGCCATGGGCATGTGGGGGACCCTGAGCAGAAATATCGCCCGAAAGAGTAGGCGAATTCAATCCAGAGGTACCATGCTCGGTTCCTTATCAATGGTATCCAAGTTTACCTCTCTTTCTTTGACGTCTGCATTTCAAACTCTCAAGCCTAATATTAGACTTTCAAAATATCTGGTCGGCGTAGTAACAGCTGGAAAGCTTGAAAATCATCAGCCCGTCCCGTTCGCTAGAATCTCGACGATGCGCACCGTTTTGTTCGTTTCTTTGCCAGAACGTTGGTGGTGGAAGTTGAGGAAGAACCAAGAAGGTTCGAAGGAGACTGGCACCTGTAGAAGGCGGATGATCTCAATCCTCAATTCAGAGTAAAAAGTCAGTCATGATTGATATTCTGCCATTCTGGTGGTCAGTTAAGGGATAACTAGTTCCTTGAGCTCTCTCAGCACTCCTCGAAGCTTCACAAGGAGGGATGAGCGATAGAGACCAAATGCCCAAATGTGGATGTCACGCTTCGCGTCCGTCACGCTCTGTCACACACGCACGTGGGTGGATCAAATTAGCGCACCGCGCCTCGAGTTTTCAGAAATGAGACCTGTTGTCAGTTTTCATCTCCCCAACCGCAGCAATGTCGACCCACAATGTCAATTTCGACTACGCCAAATGCGTCACATCACACGCGCCGCTTATGAAGGACTCGGTTATGGTCCTGCGCGAATGGGGCATCTCGAGGGTCGAGCAATGGCGTGACGAGCTGTTCAACCTCATGGAGGCCAGCTGGGCCAAAGTCGGCGACGACGTCCCTTCGACGTCCGCTAAACCGCCCAACGAATCGCCCTATCGCAGGTGGTATCGACGCGTCGCCACGGGTACTACGGCCGTCCGACAGAAAGTGGGTGACGGCAGGATCCCGAATGGGCGTCTCATCGCGTGGAATCCTAAACGGCCCTGGATTCCTAAAAATTTGTATTTTCGCTCCGTGGACACGTGTAGGCTTTTGCCTATGTTCTGTGCGGATTTCCGGCTCGAGGTCTATGGCCTGCAGAGTCACTGGGATTGGCTTGAGAAGAAGCGAGAAGATGGCTCGGGCATCGAATACTGGGCTACATTCGCGTTCATGTCGACGGTGAGCACCAACTGGCGCAGCTGGAGATTCCTATTTATCCTCCTCCAGATGCACCATATCCTCTTTCTTCGCAATTTCAGAGACTTTGGGGGCGGAGACATCCCTGTCTTACTCGTCGACTGGTCGACGGAGGAAATGGATGCGGCCTGCGACTTCTGGGTTGGCCTGAGCAGAGGAAAATGGAGCAAGGAGGAAATCACTGAACGATGTACGATGCTCATACCCACCGTACCCCTTACTTCCACTGACCCGAACTTAAGTCCAAGCTATCGATCAAGGGCCGTCCCAAAACCCGCATAGGCGTACACCATGTTTCTACCAAGTTGACCAGAATTTCCGCGCTCTCCTCGGTGACCCCGAGGTTGGCTACGTACCGCCTTTCGTCATCCTCTACCCTCTCAACTCACATGCCATTCCCCGTGCCGTCTTCACCCACCCTGACAACGTTCCTCCTCCTTCACTCACACACGACTTCCCAAAAGGTTGCAATTCGCCCGGTTGCCATCGCCCGAAGGATTGCTGCGTCTTTGACCTCGAAAAGTCCGTATCGCTCGTAGCGGAATCATGGTTGGTCAGGAAGCACTGGAGTGATCCCACCGTGAGGTGTAATTATTGGCCGTGTAACAACGAGGAGCCGAGGTTGAAACCGGGGGAGAAGGTCAAGGACTCGATGTTTTTGAAGTGTAGCAAATGTAAAGACGTGGTTTATTGCTCCAAGACATGTCAGGTGAGTGGATATTAGCTTGGATTATGTTGATTGGGGCTGATTGGATGGATGTAGCAAGCGGATTGGAACCACCATAAGGTCATTTGCCAGACTCCTCCCTAACTATTGCTCTCCTTGTTCCTTGTAAGACTCTGCATCGGTATAATCCTCAGGAAAGCTCTGAATCCTGACTACTTTCTCAGAACTATTGCACAACTATTGCATCGCATTATTTGTATTCGTATCCACTTGCTATTCTAATCAATGCTCGTCTTCTTGTTCTCGTTCCCAGCAATCACGTTCATCCGTCCAACGTTTCGCCAACCTCTTCCAAGCTCCGGCCTTATCTCAAGCACGCCATCACTCACGTCAAAGTCCAAGGTCTCGCACACCGCCTGAGGTCCCGCCCAACGCTCGGCTCAAGTCTCTCAGCGCCCTTGGACCTCCCGAGAGCACAGCTCCCGGATGATGACCGACCTTCACTCTTTGGTGGCACTTGTGGTGACCGCTTGTGGCACATCTGTGTTGAAATTCGACGAGGTCAAATATTCACATTTGGACAGGTTGGGATTGGGTCGGGTAAATCTACGAATCGGTAACGTGCTTCAGGTCCTCAGCTTGTTTCCGCGTATGAACGTCTTTGGAGGACGAGGGCGACAGGCGAGAATGTAGTTGAACGAGAGAGGCTGGATGGGCGCCAATCGCCTGCTGACGCCTCCGGTTTGTCACGGCGCAAAATGTGACCCAACCTGTTGGTCCGTTTATCGATTTCGTATGGGGCTGTTCGAGGTTATTCATATGATTAGCGCTGAAGACCTCGTTTTCTTTCGCCTCATGATCCTCCCGGTAAGACGATTTGTTACTTGACGGGTTCGAACTCTTTACACGTCCAGGATGCTCAGCCAACACCGACGAGTCTGCGTTGATTGCACCACTTCCCAGCCGACAAGCGTCCAACGACTTGCTACTACTGAATCCAGAAATTCGAACCTCCCTGAAACCAATACGAAATCAAATACCGGAACACAACTCAACGTTGCTCAAGCAGGCGGTGTGTCATCGATTCAAATTCGTGTAGACATCCCCGAGGGGGTAACGCCGATTTGAATTCAAATGGCGATTGTTGATTTGTCGGGGACCAGGTTGTTGATTTGTCCACTGTCCCCGCCGGACCATGGTCAGGCAGTCAGGCACCGGGGCACCGGCGCTAACTCCTCTGATCATCGGCGGTTATGTCAATCAGATGGGCGATCCTCTGTGATGTCGAGGGTAGTGAATGGGATCTTTGTCGGGTGACGGTCATTATGGTCGCTATGGGTTGACTTGGGATGTATGTTGAGAATGTCTAGGAAAGGAGGAAAAGATGCAGGGAAAAAAGAAGAAGAGGGTAAGATGAAGATGGTTTCACGAGGATCGAACCCGGGGATTGAGGTTATGTGGGATGAAGCGGCGATTAGATGGTTGTCCAGAGAGGCTGGACTTCACACGAATCAATTTTGGATGATTCCTGCGTATACGATCATCTATATCTACGTACTCGAAGTCTATGCCAACGCTCTGTGCCTAGGCCATCGAGGGATACTCGAGTAGAAGAGTTCTGTGCCTCTCTTCCTTGCTCTCTCCAAGTTTAATATCGTCCATCCCTACGTCTACTACATCGGACTTGAAGTCTTAACAGCTTTGAAGCTTCGGTGGGAAAGGAAACGGGACTGAGCATTCGAGGCGGAACCCTGAAGGCTGATAACGGTATAGATAGTACGTTCCTGAGACCCCTTCTAAACCTTATCGATTATCCTTGATGCTCTTGATTAACGGCGTTTCTTCAACTGCAATTTCGGGGAATTCCACCCTTAGAAGGGTGTGGATAATATTGAAGTGGAACCCGAGTCAAGAATTTTGGGTACCATGGAAACGGTATGTATGCTGGATGAATGTAGGGGACTGTGCATGGTGTATGGCGATAGCCGCCGGGTGTTGATTGTGTGTAGATAGTAGTCACAAGTCCTCTGGAATGGAACGTCCATTCAACTGAGGCGTACAGCTGATACAACACCCTGATACACCCGCTTCCTCTATCTGATCGGAGGGTAGGTATGGAGACAGCTGCGGTTGCAACTTGCATCTCCTTGGAAGGGGTCCGAAATCCGAAAAATAAAGTGCTGCCATCTGCCATTCTGCGAGTCCAGAGTCCCCACCTCTTACGATAATGCGACCCTCAAACGTGCAATTTCGGTAATCATAGTAGACGTCTACCTTTTGGCCGTTTGAGCGTATACCTCTCCGTGTCCCTCGAAACTTAGCTTTTGGAAGGCCTTCGATTTTCTCACTCATTTACGAGAATCGGATTTCGGGTTACCGTACTAGCTCCCTAGTCCTCAATTCCACTCCACAAATCGTCCACGATGGGCCCGAGATACTTCACTGAAGCTCCAATCGCACATGGGTTTGGAAAATAATCGCTTCATACTTCTGTGCGGCTCGATCTTCGTTGTTTTCGGGGTATTTTTGTGAATTTTTCGATTGCTCTGGGTGAGTGAAGACGAGTCACCCCGCTCTCTGAGGGTGGTGCCTGCCCCGGAGTCGGGTGTTGCCAAGGTTGTTGCGAGGGAATCGAGGGACCGAAACGGGACGAGATCGTCGGGTCAATATAAAAACGTGCATCCGGTGTTCTTGGCGTTCTCGATCGGATATTGCGATTTGGAGTATCCCTTTTTCGTTTGTCTGAATTTGTCCTCCTGTTTTTCATATAAAAGAGGGTGCGACATGCAGTGGCCAGGCCTTAACCGCAACCGTACCGCCCACTCTCGGTTTCCTGGTTTTTGGCCTTCAGCCACTGTCCCTTCTTTTTCCTCCCTTTCTTTCTCTTCGACTCGTCCGTTCCCCAGCGTCTCGGTTGCGCTGCGCGTAGACCGACTCGTTCATTCGACCCTCGACTCTTTTCGTCTCGCACGCTAACCACCGACGACGTACACGATGATGCAGCTCTCGACGCTTCTCACGCTTCTTCCTCTCTTCCTGGCTCCTTCCCTCGTCTCCGCCCATGGAGTCGTCAGGGATATCACTATCGCCGGCAAGAAATACACCGGCCCTGAGCCTCGTCAAGGCTTCCGTGATCCTGGTTCCTCTATCATTCGACAAGTCGAGGATACCAGCCCAGTCAAGGGTGCCAACAACCCTGCCATGAGCTGTGGTACCAACTCCGCACGCGCTAGCCAGGTTGCAGATGTGAACCCAGGCGACGAGATTGCATTCAACTGGGGAAGCGTACGTCTCTTATCTCCTCTCGATTCGTATTCGACCTCACTAACAGCCTCTTTATCAGTGGCCCCATCGAGTCGGACCCCTCATCACTTACATGGCCTCTTGCGGTTCCACCCCCTGCTCCGAATTTGACTCTGCCAACGCCAAATGGTTCAAGATTGACCAGAAGGCCTTGAAGGACAACGGAGGGTGGTACCAAGCTGATGTCGCTGACGGTGCCCCTGCTACCGCCAAGATCCCCTCCAACCTCGCACCCGGAAACTACCTCATCCGTCACGAAATCATCGCTCTCCATGTCGCCATGTCCCAAGGCGGTGCCGAGTTCTACCCTTCGTGCTCCCAGGTTCGAGTTGGTGGTTCGGGTACCGGTGCTCCTTCTGGTGACGAACTCGTTTCGTTCCCTGGTGCTTACACCGACAACCACCCCGGTATCCTCATGAACGCGTTTGGCAATGTCGCCAAATATGACTTCCCTGGTCCCGCTGTCGCCAAGCTCGCAGGTGGTGGAGGTGGTGGTAACGCCAACCCTGCTCCTGCTCCTGCACCCACCACGTCGTCGGCCCCTGCTGCGCCCACGGCAACTGCACCTGTCAACAACGGCGGTGCTGCCAGCCCAACAGCCGAGCCTTCCACTCCTGCGCCACCTGCTGCCACGCCATCCACTTCCAACGCGGCTGCCACCACTTCTTCGCGTGCTGAGGGTGCCCCATCCGCACCTGCTGAGACGCCTTCTCCTTCCCAGGAGGCGCCAGCTGAACCTTCCCCTGCTGCACCCACCACGCAGGTTGCCGTCGTCGACCCTGTCCCTTCTTCCTCCGAGGCTGAACCAGCCGCACCAACCTCCTCCCCCGTCGACGTTCCTTACACTGAAGCTGCTCCTGCTCCCGCAGAACCATCTCCCTCTGACGCAGCTCCAGAACGACCTTTCACGTCCTCTGAAACGATCCCATCTCCTTCCCCTGTCGATGACGGCGCCGATGATGTCCCCGCTGTCACTCCCGCTCCCCAGAAGCCCAGTCACGGTCACGGTGGACGACCCTCTCATGGCGACACCTGCAAGCGCCGTCGCCGATCCAAGTTCATCAGGCGTCCCTCGTCGACTGCTGCTCAGGGTGCACCTACCGCTCCCGCTGCTTCTGAGCCCTCTGCTGCCGTCCCCGCTGACGACGCTGAGTACACCCTCCCCGTTGGGAGGAGGCACAGCCGGGTTATGAGGAGGTTCTCGCGCTTCTAAGTGCACATTCTGTATCTCTTGGTTGATCCAGAGGTCGTGTGTCGCTTCGTGCGAGTTGGGGGTGGGTTTTCTTGGTGTTGTGACGTGTTCGTCTTATTGATGGAGATTTGAACTGTTGTCCTTCATCGGATTCACCCCCCATCCTCGGTGTTTGTTATCGGTGTTGGGTGGATTGGTGTTGTCGCGATTGATTCGTGGCCTGGTTATCACCTCCATCCACCACTCGATATGCGACATCGTCTTTTTTTGGTGTCTTGTCTGGTTTCTTGACTCCCCTCGGTTCATCTTGGTTCCTCTTCTAACTTCCTCTTCTCCCCCTCACTGTATCTGCGCCTTTGTACGATATATAGATTTTATGTGGCTCTGAGAGCTTGGGCGGTGTACATATAGGTTTGTAGATACTGGTACTAACGTACTTATATAGAAAAGTCTTTGGTACTCTTTGGAGGTGGGTTGGGTACTGTGTGCCAACCTATTCTGTCTTTGGGTACCTTGGACGGTGTCATGTCATGTATGGATCTGGCTTTGATAGTTGGATCTCGTATGTATGTATGTTACGTTTTGTGATGAATTTGAATTCATGGAAATCAACAATTCTGCGGGCGAAAAGTAAATGGAAGAAGAATCGTTGTTTTGGTTGGTCAAGTTCCAGTTCAGTGTCGTCGGAGATCTTATCTTATCTGGTCTGATGGCGCATCAGCGCGTCACCGTCATCAATCGGGGGGGGGGGTCCCTCTCCATCCACCATCCAGCGGCCGCAGGCGGAATATAGCAAAGCGACATCGAATACATATCCGGCTGTAACTGCGTGTAAACAACGAACGGCGCCAGAGCAGTTGGATATTGAAGACCGAATCCAACCTTTGGATTATGACTTTTAGTCCGTCGTTATACGGGACATCGTTTGTCGCAAACCCAGCTGCTGCCTAGCCGCCTAACAGGAAAACAGTCGGTTTTCACCCTATGATGGTCCTTTGGAAGGCACAATGACCAATGTTGGGGCCATGTGGGCAAACATCTTGACAGTGGCACAGCTTTTTACAGCAGCTCGCCCAGGGTCATCCTACGTCGCCCATTACTCACTCCCCTCTTTCCCCTTCCCCACCACGAGCACTTGGCCTCTTGATTTCTACGCCACGTTCGATCACCCTCAGGTTGAAGATCCATCCCTTGTGCTCGCTCGGCAAACCTGGGTAGCTGGACGAATGGGGCTGTCAGTCTCGTTCGCGGTGAGTGCCTGTCGATCCATCCTCTTGACGATGGGCGGTGCACTGATTAAATTTATCGTGCAGCGGGGGGACAATAACGACAAACAGGATGACCTGAAGGAATATGATGCGGAAGATGACGCTCCCATGCCTGGACGATGTGAGTTACGGGGCCCTATAGCTGCTCAGAACAGAAAGCTTATCTCTGCTGGATACAGACAATATAGCTGCCTCGCCCGCACCCCTCCCACAGGCCGATATTCCTGTCGCTTTTCCAGGTGCAGGTCCTGGATCTCAACACGAGATTTTCCCGGTGCCGCCGCAGTTCAGCCAATTCAACCTCCAAGGTAGCAACGTCAGCGGCAATCCGATGTTCATTGGGGGGAACATGACGCAACAAGTCGTGAACATCATGCAGCCAGAAGCTGCAGACAAACGTGAGGATTGCGGATCCATTGTGGATAGTGGGCTAACATGCGACCATAGAGCTGGAGAGTACCTTGGAGTGGCTTGCGCCAAACGTCAACTTTCGTTCCATCTACATCGAGAATCTAGAGAAATCGACGGAGGGTACATTGTCCTGGTTTCTAAGAGGGATCGAGTACTGCGATTGGAAAGAAGGAGAATTCAAAGTGCTTTGGGGAACAGGGATTCGTGAGTCTTCTTCTATTCGATACGTCGCGCAGTCACGTTGACGATAATATGACCAGCTGGGGCTGGGAAGACTGTTCTTGCGTATGTCACTCGTTCTTGCTTCTTAAAGTTTCAATCCAATTGAGAAATGATCTCAGATCCCGAATCATCGAGGACCTGGAAAGCGTGCAGAAAGTAGCCGAAGCGGATATTTGTGTCGTCTATGCATACTGTCGCTATACGGAGCCACTCACTGTCAAGGATATCCTTGAAGGAATCGTCAGGCAATGCCTCGAACGCCATCCCGACATTGCCCCACTTATCCTTCCTGTCCTTCAGCGTCATCGTCGGGAGAGAACCCGACCGTCTGTCACGGAGCTCGTAGATCTCCTCCGCACCATTGAGGAACATTTCGACATCGTTTTCTACGTCATCGACGGCTTGGACGAGGCGCGTATCACCACCCAGTTTGACCTAGTCAAAGTGATTAACTCACTGGGGGGAAGCTTCGCCCTCACCTCCCGACCGCTCAAAACACTGGAGAACGACCTTCATTCCGTTACCTTCTATCAGGTCTGTGCGGACAGAGGGGACATTCAGCGCCTCGTGAAAGAGAAGATCCAGCAACACTCTCATCTGCGGGGCCTTTTACAGAAACACCAGTGCGAAGGAAGAGTGGTTTCCCAGATAGTGGATAAGTCTGGGGGAATGTGGGTACCCCTCGGTTATCTCTCGCTATCCCTCTAACTCTCAATGGGCTGCAGGTTTATTCACGCAGCATTACAAGTCCAAGCGCTCGTTTTCTGTAAGAACCTCAAGGATTTGGAAGACGCCCTGAACAATCTGCCTGTCTCGCTCGAAGATATGTACCGCCAGACAGTCCAACGAATCAGAGCGCAACTCCCATCTCAAGCTGAACTTGGGATAAGAGCCCTTCTTTGGGTAGCTTTCTCGCATCAGCCTTTGCGTATCGAAGACTTGTTGTATGTAGTTGCGACCGACCCAGGAACGTTTCTATTCCATGAAGAGAGGATGGTGGACAAAGCAACGCTCGTATCTGCTTGTTGTGGCTTGATCGAGTGGGACGACAAGCGTCGAGTTCGTTTTGTTCGTTAGTAGCGACCCATTACACCGCGATAGACAAGTGCTGACACTCGCCTAGACTCTACAGTCCAAGAAGCGCTTCCAGGGATCCTGTTGGAATTTTACCCCCATCCCCACGCAAACATCGTTCAGGTCTCAATTCAGAGGCTTATTTCCTTTGGCTTACCCCAATCCCACGTCAAAAAACTCGATGAGTTGCACGCCATCCTCAAAGCCCCTCTTGTGGACTATGCTTACCACCAGTGGCGCGCTCATTTCCGCCATTGCGAACATATTCCAGAGGTGTCATGCGAGGTGCTCAAATTTCTGAAACAGTGCACCTCTTTCCCTCTCTGCCCCGGTCGTGTCCTGTCAATTGCTAATGTCGAGGGACATTTGCTCAGGGCCAACTCTCTGCACTTGGCTGCTGTCTACGATTTCACCAACTTCGTTCCGAGGTTGGTAACCGCTTCCCCCGATGGCCTGTACGACGTCAATTCGGTCACCCCCGATCCATGGTCGCTCACCCCTCTGTCAATCGCCTGCTGGCTCGGTCATGCTACAATTATCCAAGAGCTCGTCGTCTACAGATCCATCGACCCCAACATTGTTGCAAAGTACGGCACCGCATTGAGGCACGCCGTTCAAAGGCATAGCCATCATAGGGGAGACATCCCAGACCCTTGCCCCATCCTGACACGCCTTCTACAAGTCGAGAACACCGACGTCAACGCTACCGACCAATGGGGGAAGACTGCCTTGATCCATGCAGTTACGATCGGTTCTGTACCGCTTGTCGAGCAACTCCTTCGACATCCCGACGTAGACGTGAATGTAGGCGATAACAATGGCAATACAGCGTTGATTCATGCGTCGGGTGAACGAGGTTCAGTTGGATCAGCCCTCGTTCGTCTTTTGCTCCAAGTGGATGGGATACAGGTTAACGCCGCCAACCGACGAGGACAAACGGCTCTCATTGCAGCCTGCGACTGGAGCCATCACTCGACAGATATCGTCGAACAACTACTCAAACGTGGCGATTTGGATGTCAACGCTGCAAATGCGGTGGGGGATACAGCATTGATCTGCGCAGTGCGGGCACACGACGTACCCGTTGTGCGCCTTTTACTCCAAGTGGATGGCATACAAGTCAACGCAGCCAATCGCGCAGGGCAGACGGCTCTGATTGCCGCTTGGCAATACGACTACCACGGCGTCGACTGTGTGGCATCGCTTGTCCAGGAACTGCTCAAATTCGGCGATCTGGATGTCAACGTCAGGGATGGATGGGGCAATACTCCGTTGATCCATGCAGCTCGCAGAAATATCCCGGATACTGTAAATCGATTGCTCCAATCGGTCGGTATACAGGTCAACGTTGCCAACGGGGATGGACACACTGCTCTGATGGTCGCCTCTCGCATCGGTCATGGAACGATCGTGAAGCAATTGCTCCAATTCAACGGGATCAATGTGGTCGCGGTCGATGGACGAGGAAATACCGCGGCGTGTCTGGCAGCGGAATATGGACGCGGCGACGTGGTGGAACCGCTCTTCCAGGCTCAGGAAGCCGTTCTCAACATGCCCAACGACCAGGGACAGACTCCACTTATTTTGGCCTCGTCTTATGGACATGCAAACACAGTTCTGCGACTTATCCAGTCGGGAAAGGTGGACCTGAACGCTGTTGATCACTCAGGTTCTACGGCACTCGCTGTAGCGTTCGCCCACCACCACTGGCCCGTGGTCGTACACCTTCTTCAAGCCGATAGGATCCATGTCAACACTGCGCACAAGTCCGGATATGATGAGGACAGCGTCGATCTCCTGCTGCGGTGCGAAAACATCGATGTCAACGTGAAGAACATCCATGGAGAAACCGCTCTTATGTGGGCATCATACCAGGGCCACAGCATCGTGGTCGAGCGTCTTCTTGGTTCCAAAGGGATAGAGGTCAACAGCAGAGACGGGAGAGGTCGCAGCGCCATGATGCATGCGGCACGGTGTGGTAATGAGGAGGTTGTCAAACTGCTCCTTCAATCGGGGAAGGTAGATGTTGATCTCAGATGCATGGACGGACGAAATGCTACTTTATATGCTGTTGAACATGGGCATGAAAGGGTTTTGCGTAGATTAGAAGACTATGCGCGTGGTACTCGGTCGAAAAGGAGGCGTATTGTTTGATATCCAGAGAATATTATATAGTCTCCGTCTGTGTGTTTGGATTCTTTTGCACCTGGGCGACCAGCGGTGTTGGGTTACTAGTGCATGTCAGCCGAAGATAATATCCGTGGATCCATTGTTGTTGTTCAGCCGCAGCGGGTTTAGTATCTCTTCCGAGAAGTCAGCTAACATACAAGGCCGCCGTTATGGCGGGTGTAATTTGGTGTAGTTTTAAGTAAGGTCTTATACTGGGAAGTGCTAGCCTCAGTGTCCCTCTGCCCTCGCCCATGGCGCAGTAGTGCCCGCACCCAACCCGCACGTGCATCCGAGTCCCACAAGTTACAACAGCTTGCGCGCCCCATCCAGCAGCTCCCCCTGGCCAATTGTACCACCACCTTCGGATACACAATCCCGACCAAGTAGAAGAGAACCCACCCCATGGATCATGGCATACAGTATAGCATTTTTTAAACATCAGTGTATGTACATCCGTTGATAGGGGTGTGCAAGATCTTATCTAATCTGAGGTGACGGCGCATCAGCGCGTCAACGCCATCATCATCATACCCCCCGGAACATTTCTTTTTTCAACCACCACCATGACCACGGAACGACGAGCGTCATCAAGGACACAGCGACTATGGACTGACAGAAAATATTTGCTTCTCCGCGACTGAACCATTGGGTTCATTCCGCATTAACCCCTCTAGTATGGTACTAATGGTATGGGTCTGACAGTGAATCGCCATCCCCGCCGATCCTCCAGGACGGGCGAGCGGAACCTCGCTGCCTGCCTTGGGTGCCAGTTTAGGCGGGGAACAAGTAACAGCGTTATCAGACGACTCGATGATCCGACAGGAAACAGCCGCCGTCCCGGCGTGCTCGATCCAGCTCAACCTGCAAGGCAGCAGCCAGAGCGGTAATACGACAATCGTGGGTGGTAATCTCATTCAAAACATCCAAAACACGGTTTTGTCCCCGCCAGCGGCATCAACAATGCCAGGTCAGTGCATATGGAGACTCCACAAGGCTCCGCTCATGAAGAAAAAGAGGTAGATCTAGAACGAATTTTGGAATGGCTGGCCCCCAACGTCAACTTTCGGTCGATCCACATCGAGAACTTTGAGAAATGCGCCGAAGGAACGCTGTCGTGGTTTCTGGAAGGGGACAATTACAGGGGATGGAAACTTGGCGAGCACAAAATTATCTGGGGAACTGGGATACGTGAGTTACCTCGACGTTTGCCACGTCGAGCAGCTGACCTGACAATGTCTGAAGCCGGTGCTGGAAAAACTGTCCTTGCGTGAGTTTTCGATGAGATCCAATGTAGACTGTTCTCAATCAGTTTCTAGGTCTCGAGTAATCAATGACTTGGAGTCTACGAATACGCCAAACAAGAAGACTTGCATCCTGTACGCGTATTGCCGCTATACGGAGGCCTTGACCGTCAAGGATATCCTCGAAGGCCTTATTAAAGAATGCCTCGAGCGTCATTCCGACCCCGAACTTGTCGGTGCCATCGTTCCCATCCTCGAGCGTCATCGTCGGGAGAAAACAAGACCACCATTCAATGAACTCATGGACCTCCTCCGCATCATCGAGCGACACTTCGACATTGTGTTCTACATCATAGATGGCCTCGACGAGGCACGCGTTTCTACTCAGTTTAACCTTATTAAGGCGATCAACTCACTCGCAGGAAGGTTCTCAATCACCTCGCGGCCACTTCAAACGCTCGAGGATGACCTTCATTCCGCCGTTTTTTATCCCGTCTGTGCACGGAGAGAGGACATCACGCGTCTCATTCAAGCCAAAATTTCCCAGCACTCCCATCTGCGTCGTCTCCTTAAACTGAACCAATGGGAAGAGAGAGTGGTTTCGGAGATATTAGATAAGTCTGGGGGAATGTGAGTACTTCTTGCTTCGACGTCGGCGTGTTTCTGACTGTCGATGGGCCACAGGTTCATCCACGCTGCTCTGCAGGTCGAAGCTCTCGGGCTTTGCAGAAGCTCTAGGGATCTAGAAGATGTTCTGAATCATTTGCCCCTCTCACTCGAAGACATGTACCGCCAGACGACCCAGCGGATCCAAGCACAGCCTACCTCCCAAGCCGATCTTGGGATAAGGGCTCTTCTTTGGGTGGTTTTTTCGCAGCAGCCCTTGCATATCGAGGATGTATTGTATGCGGTTGCCACCGACCCAGAAACGCACGTGTTAGATGAAGAAAGGATGGTCGACCAAGGGGAACTCACATCGGCGTGTTGTGGGTTAATCGAGGTAGACGATTTCCTTCGAGTTCGTCTTGTCCGTAAGTAATTGCCCTCCCGGCGACGGAAAAACCGTTGACACACCTTATAGACTATACGGCTCAAGAAGCACTTAAAACTATACTGTTGGAATATCACCCCCGTCCTCATGCAATGATTGTTCAGGCCTTGATGCAAAGGCTCATTTCTCTTGGCTTGCCCCAATCCAATCTGCAGGACCTAAAGGAGCTGCAGACTGTCCTCCAAGTTCCTCTCGGCGACTACGCTTACCATCACTGGCAATCCCATCTCCACACCGCATGCAAAGTCAAATAGTTTATCCAGAACTACGTAAAAATCTATGTTGATTAGTTCCTCGATAGTTCGGTCCGATCTATGCCGGAACTATTTCCGAAAAAGTTTGTTCATAGTTCGGGACAAACGTATCTTTGTTCTATTTTCGGGACAAAAATAGTTTCATAATAGTTCTCTGAAAATAGTTTCAAAATAGTTCACAGAAAAACTATAATGGAAACTATGCTGTCGTGCACTCCAGCATACTTAGGTGCCCAAAACAATTTTAAGTCTACCTTGAAACTATGTACAAGGAAAAAGTTCAACATAGATCTTACATAGTTCCTAAATAGTTCACCGCGACTCGAGAGCGTCATCAGTGTGCCTGTTCTCTGCAGCATCGCGTTGGCGGCGGGCGCTCTGGCCATGCCTGCCCGCTAAGGCTCATCAATTGCCGTATTCATTCACTGATTTCGTCGCCAGAGGATGCCGGTGGGAGAGTCAACCTTCTGATCGTAATTATGCAGCCTCCAGCTTGTTGAGGGTTTATCACAGTGCCTCAAGCGACTCAAGCGTGTTGCTTGGTCGAGCGGGGTTCTTTAAATATTCACTTGATCAAGTCGCCTCGAGCCTTTAGAAATGGACAAGCTGCTGCGCTTGACTTGACCAAGTCATCGTAGCCTCAGGATTCTAGCCTCGACTCGGGGGTTCCAGGGGTCAGGTAGTTGATATCTGGCGAGTTGAGCGCCGAGAGGTCACGTTGACTTGGGGCACTCGACCGAGTCGGAGTTGTAGCCATCGACACCGTCATACGTCGTCGTCCAAGAACAGGTCGGTGGAAACCGCGCATTGTCATACTTCGGCAAACATTCCTCGTACAAGCCATCGACTTGGGTGAACAGGTCAGTGATTTGCCTGGCCTCGCAGGACCTCGCGGTCTCTGGCACTCTAGATCTGGTCACCTATGGGATGTCGTCGCTGTTAACAAGGCCACGCCTGTACAGAGTCGTTACTCCTTTTTGTCCTGCCGTTTTCCTAGCCGCCTTCCGATCTGTTTGGGAAATGTGGGAAACTTTTGGGAAATGCGGGGATTTTGGAAATGCGGGGATTTTGGGAAATGCGGGGATTTTGGGAAATGCGGGGATTTTGGGAAATGCGGGGATTTTGGGAATTTTGGGAACTCGCCACATTAGAAAGTCGAGTCTCGACCAAAGGTGGTCAAATCAGGGGATGTTTTAGTCGGCTCCATTCCCAACTACGGGTTTCAGGATGTGATGTTCATGATTATCGTTGTTAACAGGCCATAAGCGCCTTCAAACATACTTCCGTGACATTGCGATGAATCAAATTAAATAAACCACTTGGAGGGAGTTCCAAGCCTAAGTAACCACACTGACACTGGTTCTGCAATCTGTAACCACAGCCAACAAGTACACCCCATCTCCTTCGAGGATTCTTTCCGCCTTGCGGCTTCGCCTGGTCATGGTACAGCCTGTATCATCCGGGATACGCTGCGGTTTAGACGGAAAGACAAATGCGACTATCCCCAGTACCACTATAGTGGTAATGATAAGGGTTCCTTTGGAAAGACGGAATCGGTCAAAGGGAGTCTTGAAAAGCGGTGGGAAGCGCTCCCTGAGTACTTCCAAACCGTGGCTTTCTCCAAAGAAAGATAAACTCTGGCCCTCTAGAAGGTGTGGATGTTTCTGCTGCAGCCTGCCAAGCAGGAACTTATCGGTGCAAGCGAGAAATAGAATACGCAAACAGGTGGAGAGTTCGCGTGATCTGTTGCCTAACCCGGTTGCGCGCGTGAGTTTCGAAAACGAGGAAACGAAACGACGACAGACGACGTACCTTCACGGGAGACATTGACAACCGCTGTAAATCGAGTGCCACCCATCGACCACCTCAATCGGTAACTGACTGCAACCCCCGCATTCAAAAGACATTCCCCCAGTTCTAACAGCGTTTCCAAAGGAGGCAGCAAAAATTCGAACGCCGAAGGGTGAAGGTCCATTACGATTCGTAGCCCCGAAGCCGCAATGACGGCTCCTGACCACCACTTGTTAACCCGTGTCCAAGAAAAATAAAAATAAAAAAGCTAAAAAGCTGCCACCTACTTTGCTGAGCATAGGTATCTTTCTGGGCGCAGGAGTTATCCTATCACGATGACCGGATTCAGTGCACTGAAAATAGCGGACGGAACACATGTAGGGGCGGGCAGACTGACGTTAATAGAACCGGTCGATTCTCCCTGGAGCCCTATCTTATCGTTCATAGCGCACAACATCCCTTCCACGGCTGAGCCAAGGTGTCAATGTAGTGATATTGGGTGAAAGCGTGACCACCTACCGGCCAAACGCCTTTCCAGTTCCTCGACCTTGATGAACGGCTCTTGAAAGTCAATATCTGTATCCTCAGAGCAACCTGACGACTGAGGAGGGCTCCTAGTTCGACTCTACTCCGAGTGGTTATTTCGTGTCTATCAGTCCGCTTTCTCCCTTTACGCACATGTCCATCTTCGTCCAAGTCAAGTCCAGCGAATGACTCTGCAAGGTCTTGAAACAGGCTGATCGGTACCCCAGATGTAGAATCGTTGGCCTGTGGAGACATTCAACACCGAGACTCCGTGCAGCCGGAAAAGCGAGGATAAAACCATACGGAGGTTTGACGGGAGCAAGAGCCACAGGCTAGGCCTGTATCAATCTGAGACGCTGTCGGAGAACTTAATGAGAACTAGCCCTGGAGTGAGTAGAGGGGGGATCAACACCGTCTGAACTTTCTTGAAGCTGGTATTGGAGGTCGCGGGTGGTCAACCGTCCCCCCAGTTCCTGGGCGAGCCTCCCCTGCGGGCACTGTTTCAGTTCTCGATTAGCACTCGGCACAGGCGAGGTCGCACTTTGAAACGCAGGGATCATACGTTCCATCCTTCAACCATGCTCTCCAATTCTTCTGTAGCTCTTTCCACGTTTCGGACAGAAATCTCGATATCTGAGGCGGAGAGTTAGAGCATATCGTTGGAATCGGTAATAGCGCACGCACCCTCAAGTCGCTTCTGGTGCTCAACCTCCAGTTCTTCCATCCTACACCCTCTGTCTAGCGCCTCCATGCGGATCAAGTTTATGGCATCGAATATCTGGCAATAATAAGTCACTTCGCTAAAGGTATGTATCAGCTCGACCGGGTGGCTACCTCCATAATAGCCTCAGTTCCGAGTTTCTTCGAAGCTTTCAGGTCTGCAAACTTGAAAATCAGCCAAAGAGAATGGGGACGCGAACGATGGAACCCCCCGACCGTTTCCCACACGTTCGATCCCACATTGGAGAAGATTGGAGTGAGAGGCGTCGTTCTGGAGTGTCAGACTGAGATAAGTTTTAAGTCGATTCTCAAAGACGCTCGCACCAAATCGCGTCGAACATCATCGATGGATTCCTTCAAGTCATTGACATTTCGTGAATGGTCTTCAAACCGTCTTTCATTGCCTATGTCTTGCATAAGAATGAATCACGGGGAAAATGAGGAAGGGCCGTACTCTCCGTGTTTTGGGCCAGAATAGCCTTGAATTCAGCTTGCTGGCCAAAAAGGTCACCCTGGGATGGCAAGTGTGGTAACAAGCAGCTCAAGCAACGACAACACTCACAATGTCAGACTCCAACCGCACGTGGTTTCTGTTCAATCGTTTGAAACTAGATTCAACGGTCCCAACGGTCTCCTCCAATGTGTCCAATCGTCTAGCAAACTCGTCCATAGCGATGGCAATGATCTCTTCTACCCTCCGTTCTTGGATGATTTCCCCTCTGGAACGAGCTCGACGATGGTCCTGGTCGCGGGAGCTTCGGTCAATACTCTCTGGCATGGGGTTGGCAATGCAGGCTTCTTCAGGGTCAGCCATGGAGCCAAATACTAGTCAATGGGGTGGCTCTCAAAACCGAGTTGGACGCATTTGGCCTGCTTAAATGTCAGGTATTGTTGTCAATGATCAGCAGTGAGCACAAAGGCATCGCGCAGGGTGTTGATGATGTAACCGTGCCCACGGTCACGCGAAAGATAACCCAGACGTTAATTACCGTGACTTTTAATATTATGTAAGTCCGCCAATAACCTGGGCGCATTTCCGGTGTGCTTTCATGTATAGGACGCATCGCTCCGCTTTCACGTTCCCGCATTCAGAACTGATGACTCTTCCAGGGGCGAGCCCGGGTTTCAGAGTCGGGGACGAGGTCATCACAACGTGGAGAAGTGCACCAAGTACGTTCATGATCAGAAAGACCGTCTTTGCCTGAACTTACCCCTAATCTCTGTCTAGAACGCGCCTACATCTTAGAATGCTGTGGTAGTCGCTGCTATATCCGCTATGCAGGAGAGGACGAGAGGATGAATAGATGGGTCCCGGCGGATAGTTGTTTCCTTGCGGCTTCGAGTGAGAGCGTTGATCGGTCCAGGTCCGGACTGAACGTTCGTAAGAATTTGAAGCGCAACAGACCGGATAGGTCATGTTCAAGGTCGCCAGGAACTTCCATTAGGGGGGAAAATGATACTTTATCGGCGGAACTTTGGGAGTCGTCGAGGAGAAGGCGGAACATCGATCATGTTATCTTTGCTGGTTGGGGAATAACGGCTTGGTAACCTTCCTCGTTCTCGCATCAAGTTCGAAAACCACTAAAGCCAGAGCCCCTCCAGGTATCCATCGCCATATCCTCTTTCCGATATAGAGTTAGAAGTCGACCTCGAGGCATCAGTCATGACGACATTTTCTAGCCGACGAAACGTCAGACCCAGCGCAGTCGATCTATTTACAGGGTTGTACAGCGGTAACCCCAGCTTCAAATTGGACAGGCTCTGGGTATGCGATGGTTGCCTAAAGTACTTCACAGAGGGCTCCACGTACAAGGAACATAAGGCGAGTCGCGTTCTCCATCCAACCTGTTCGGCAGATGACATACAGTGATCTGATCCTTGCATTTAACAGGAATCATGTCTAGTCGAGAACCCCCCTGGAAAGATCGTGTATAACAAGAATCCGAACAGAATATGGGAAGTTGACGGAGCATCACGACAGGTAAGGGTCGCGTTACTCTCGTTCCTCTTCATCGACATGAGCAGACCCGTTATCAGCTTTACTGTCAAAATCTATCCCTGTTTGGCAAACTGTTCATTGACGAAAAAACCTTATTCTTCGACCTCGACGATTGCAAGTCTGCTTTACTGCCCCCTCAGCAACCATGAAACGATCCAGCTAGCTGACTGCTTGCTGTTAAGATTTTTTTTATGTTCTAACGATCTCGGACGCATCTAGAGAGCAGCTGGCTGGTTTTTTCTCAAAGGTATATGACCTTCTCTGCGAGACGCACTAATTACGTTGTCTCAAGATCATCATCTAGGAAAAAGCCTCTCAAGATGGCCATAATCTCGCTTGCCTTGCAGTGTTTCCTCCGTACCAGCGTCAAGGACTGGGAACCCTGCTCATTGAATTTAGTGAGCACGTCTCTAAACCACTGCAAATGACATGACTTAGTTTGGTGATCCCTCGTCATTTCACAGGCTATGAGCTGTCCAGACGGAACAACCAAACCGGTACCCCGGAACGACCGCTATCCGCCCTTGGGCTGAGAAGTTACATGTCATACTGGGTGGCGGCCCTCATCCGATTCTTTAGGTATACCTTCCCCCTTTAGGACGTGTCTGTCTGTTAATGTACTTGTCCAACTAGATGCGTTCTGGCCCTTCCCTCATTGGAACCACAATCCAGCGCTCTCCAGCGACCAGTGAGAGTCGTTCATGGTGCGTAGACCAAGACCTCGCTAGCAGATACAGGCTCGATGTCATTCTACCAGGTATCCATAGAGAATTCTCCGCAGGACGAGATGGACCCCACGTCAATATCAGGTGTACTCTTGCTGACATCGCAAAGGGAGCCAACTTGGAGGTTCAGGACACTCTTTTTGCACTGAATGAATGCGGGCTACTGACACGGCGAATGGAAGTCAACCAAACCGTGGAAGAGATCGTCATAACAAGCGATATGGTGGAGAAGGTTGCGCGTGAACGGGGAGTGAAGCCAATGAGGATAGATCTACACCATGTTTACGTTTAGATAGCGGGGCTTCTCGCTTACCTTACCCTGTGGACATATCTCCGAGTTTGTTTGGACGTCGCGATCGTCGGTGATTAACACGGAAGCCGACGAACAAAGTAATAGATCTGTTTTATAAGACGGCCCTGTAACGTTTCTGGCGCCCATCCCTTTCACACCATGTACTCGCTTGTGGACCCTGTCATTCGCGTTGCCTTCACAGAAGACCCTCCTTTCAAAGACGTCGTCGTCGTTCGAGGTGTCCTTGCAGAACCGAATCAAGAATCTCTCGAAGTAGTTGAAGTTCCGCTCCTCAGGTTCGACCAGTCGAATACGGAATATCCAGCTGTCGAGACAGTCGTCGGTGCTACAGCCCTGCTTAAACAAAAGAACATCACGATCCTCGACCAGGACGGCACTGAATCCGATTATATCGTCTTCTACCAGGAAGGAGGCAACCTTCCGAAGAATCTGGCTCTCACCGAACGCTACGCCTCGTCGCCAGTAGCCGGCGCAGTCATCGTCATGAAGTTCTCTCGAGGGCTCAATCCAAGATTTGTCCACGTCTTTGAAGACAAGGGTCCTTTGCAGGATGGTGGTATAAAGGCTTTGGATACCGTGCTCGAAACGTAAAGTCCCACTCATGATCAGCTATTTCTCTTTGATTCCAACCAGACCCTTGACCCCGCCTCAGGTTTCTCGAGCTCAAAGGAAAACTACCAGCCACTCGGAAGCCAGAGGCACCCAGGTGAAGTGCATCCCGAAGAAGGGAGTTACCGCAATGCTCTAAATGTCACCCTTTCAGGATTATCGCAAGGGCGGGAGCCGGGCAAGTATGACTTAGGTCTAAACAGTAGACTCATTTGATGTTCGATAATGACTACGAGAATCTTCCTTCTTTGCCACCATGGTCATCTCACTTCCTTTATAATTACGATCGCGATTGTCGACTCTTTGAGGCCCGCGCTTGGTTACCATGCAAGCCACAAAACTGCAACACAGCAATACCGTCTTCCTTTGAATTCAGGTGGCATCGCGACGTGGCTACCTTTGACAAAGACGGGGGAGGGAGGGAAATTACGATATAAACAGTCCTTGAATTGGAAAGGCGTCCAACCGAAGCTACTAACAACTCGAACACCAACGATGTCTCAAATCACCTGGTGAGTTGTGTCAACTGGCCTCGTCCTGGCAGTGATCGGCGCTGACACAATATGCACGCACCTCGTCAGGATTTTGAACCTCGAACCGGGACGCGTTTACGCCATCACCCCTCGCTTTGGCCCCTTGACTATTACCAATGCGGCCACCTCATTGAAAGTAGTGAACAAGCGTTCCAGGAGCGCTCTCGAGCTCGCTTATCTCCCTGATGGATCCAGCGAGGAAGTCAAAAGCACCATTGCATCTTTCACTGTTGGATTCGTCAGTCTCTATTCCTGATTCCCCTGCCCTGCTGTACTCATTCCAAGTCAAGAGCGACCATGCCAAAATGGAAATTCCCCTGGAACGAGCAAAGAAATACTCATTGGAAATTCTTGGCCCAAAGTGAGCGATAACGGCACCTCCCCGTACTGTTTTCGTCTATCTAACACTCATTTCTAGCCCAATCGATGTGATGGGACTCGTTTCCGGTGAGTGGTCGCTCTCTAGTCGGTCGATACTGTCTAATATTTATCTTCCAGTTGAGAAAACTTTGAAAGGCCCCCCAGTGGAAGCGAAAATCTTCCCGACAGGTAATCTCTCATGAGCATGCAGGAAGACGCACCTTGCTGAGCTAGTTGACAGGCACCAAGGTTTTGGGCAACGCGAAGCCCGGAAGGTCACTGCGTCCAGAAGGCAGTGCTTTGCTGTCTTCGACGACCACCGGAAAGCGCAAGAACCCTCCCGCTGCCGCCAATGCCCCCAAGAACGCTGCGGCGGCGAGTGCGAAGAAGCCTCGGGCAGTTTCATCTGTCCTCCAACCTGCACCTAAAGCCAAGGCGAAGACAGGCCGAAAGTAGAATACACTGCATTGCTGTTTGACATAGCCCTTTGAATGAAATGAGATCAAAATGAGATCAGAATATTTACTCGACTGTTGTGACTGTGACAAGACTGTCCTTTGTTTTCGAGTTGTCACGCCGCCTATATATATAAGACATCATGAGTAAAGCACCGTCGAGAAACCATCGTCAGTACTTCCCCTTTCACTACCGTCATGAGACAAGGCGAGATTGAGCTCGAATCTTCCGGTCTTTGGTGCGTACATACCTTTCGAGATCCCTCCTTGGCGAACCAAAGGCTCATTGCGTTCAATTGAAAGGTCCGTGGTCTTAGAACCGCATCGAGCAGTCATCCTCAATCTTGGGCAAGATTTGAAGATCTTCAACATTTCGTTGCCTCAACATGTAAATCTGGATTCGACTGGAAAACCTAAGCGTGTTTCGATGCAAATCGGATTGCGAGTGAAAGGCGACAAAAGTGCAGGCCATGCTATCACCCCCGTCAACCTCCTTCCTTCTGGGGTTCGTACATGAAGGGGCTAGGCACCAGCCTCATCTCGGCTGACTATGATTGCTTCATCAACCCCATAGAAAGAACAGGTCGAGGCTAACATCCATCTCACCACCCAATTTGAATATGTCCTCGAGAGTAAGAGTGAAACGTAGGTCTACCCTTCCAACTGCGGACTCTTGAAACGCCACTTACCACCCTACCTGACCAGGGCAATACATGTTATGGGCAAGTTTGAAGTCTCGAGGGAGGGAAAATCGGAGAAGACCAAAATGCGCTACATCGTTCGCAAAAGAGTTCGAGATGAGGAAGACGAGGGAGCCAACGGACAGGAGGAAGCGGCAGGCGCTGTTGATGCTGATCATCGGTGTGTGACGCTAGCCTCTTACCATACCTCTTGCTCACGAATAAGGCAGTCCGCGTAGGGCTTTGACTGCGGAGGGAACTCAGGATACTCTTTTGGTAGAGGGAAGTGAGGCAGGAGCTTCTGACGCTGGTAATGATCAAGACTTGGTTTTATTCTCGCTGCCATGCGGAGGTGGCTCCGGAGAGGAACAAGTAGAATACGAAGAAGCAGAGACAGCTAGACTTCTTCAAGCACGGGACGAGGATGAAACTGACGAACAGGCAGAAGGGGATGAAGAGGGGGATGAAGAGGAGGAGGAGGAGGAGGGAGGAGGAGGAGGAGGAGGAGGAGGAGGAGGAGGAGGAGGAGGAGGAGGAGGAGGGGGTGGTGGGGGAGGGGGAGGAGTGAGGGAGGAGGACGGGAAGGGTAGTAGGTGTCATGGGACAAGGAATTCATTGGTTCCATCTCATTACACAAGTTTCCGGAATTGACATTTCGTAAATGCTTGATACTATGCTCAAAAGGGCTTCCCAATATGTTATCTGTCTAGTTTTTGTACAATCAAATTCGAACATCGATGGAATTTGTTATCGATGAATATTCATTTTTCGTTTTCTTCCCTCAACTCAACTTCAAACTCGTCCTCTACCATGAATCGCGCGGGGAAGCGGGTAGGGCCCTCGCGGTCGAAGTCTCAGCCTAGTCGTTCTCCGCCTCATTTAACCACACCATCCAGTCGCAACGAAGTCCTTCCAAAGCCCAAATTCCATTGTGTCTGCTTGGAGTGCTTAACGGAGACTCCGGAGGTCAATCCAGAGACCGGTTTGCCAGGGAGAGGGCGTTGGTTGGAGGCAGCAGAGTGGGAGAGACACCAACGACGTCAAGAACGACGAGAGGTGGTTGCACATACCCTCGACGATGCCCGATTCGTGCGAGATCGAAGCACGGAGGGCAATTCCCCCACTCTCTCCCGACAATCCTCTTACGAATCGATTTCATCGGTAAATTCTGAAATTGGGGAAAGTCCTCCCGCCCCTGCCCATCCCCAGAAAACCCCTCCTACCAGGAAGGTAAACTTTCGTTTGTCCGCTCTCGCCAACCAGATTCACGATGCGCGTAAAATTGCCAAGGACGAATCGATTATCTTCGCCATTACACCAGACCCCGATGTCTATTCTCGACATTTCATCAATGGTGCCTCCGAGAGCGACATGGTCAAGGTCTGCAAGCTGGACCCATCCCGCATGACGAATTCGGTTCTGATCGGCTATCAAGAAGCGCTAGCTACAGCACGATCAGAGGCCAACCGATACATCGACTCCCGACACCCTCTTGTCCGCCAAAGAGCCAATGGTTTACTGGAGAAGGTCAATCGAGAAAGCACCAAGCTCCGCAAAATACTCTGGAAGGAGTGGCTTCGTCAGAGATCTGTCAGAAAAAGGGAGTACGTTGTTACCACGGGTACGTCTACCTCAGATTCTGACAATTGCAAGGCGGCTAGGCTAACCTCTACCCTTATAGACAGGTTTTACGGACGCGCTTTCCAGTATATGCACTCCCTCGTTCTCGGTCTTTACCTCATGGTCGCCACCCTCCACTATCTGCCTGGCTTGTCCCTTAACGCTTGCGGATTTGTTCTCCGTTGCCTCTCCCTCGTGCTGAAGGCCTTTGCAACTCAGTGCGAGGATCCAGAGCTAAAAGCGGCCGCTGCCAAAGGGCTTCCCGTCGATTTCCGCACAGTTTCCCGCATCCTAGAAGTCGAGCCATCATACCGTGCATACGTCACCTGTCCCACCTGCTGCAACATTTACCCTCTGGAAACTATCGACGGCGTTCCCCTCCCGAACCATTGTACCTATACCTTCCAGGAAAATCCTGCGATACTCCACTGCGGAAAAAGAGAAAGCGTGCTGTTGGAGAAATCCAGCTTCCGGTTCGAGAGTTTCTCTACCAAGATTTCAGCAGCTATCTCGCTCGTCTCTATTCACGACCCGATTTGCAGCCCTATCTCTACAAAAACCCAATCCCTTCTCACACCAACCCCCATTCGGATAATTGGGACATCTGGGATGCGCCTTGCCTTCGCCGGTTCCGTGGTCCCGACAACGCTATATTTGTGGACAGTCCAGAAGGGGAGAGTCACCTCATTTTCAGTCTCAACATGGATGGACTCAACCCTTTCGGAAGCCGGGAAAGCGGAAAGAAATCGTCAATCGGTGCGATCTATATGATCTGCCTCAACCTTCCTCCATCCATCCGCTACAACGTGGAAAACATCTATCTTGTCGGCATTATCCCCGGGCCTCACTCGCCTTCCAACGATCAAATCAATTACTTCTTAAAACCTTTGGTCGACGAGCTCCTCGCCTTGTGGAACAAAGGGTACACGCTAACGAGGACATCACGTTACGTTACTGGATGTCTCGTTAGGCCGCTGTGGTCCCACTGGTCTGCGATCTTCCCGCTGCCCGACAAATGGCCGGCTTCGCTCATTACGCGTCCACTTTTTTCTGCTCCGATTGCAAACAGAAGAAGAAGGATATCAATAACATCGATTATGAAACTTGGAAACCTAGGACGTGGGCGGAGCATCTTGCAGCAGCCAAACTCTGGAAGGACGCGGAAACTCAGGGTGCTCGCGACAAGATCAGAAAGAAGTATGGCGTCCGATGGTCCGAGTTGCTTCGGCTACCGTATTGGAACCCAACTCGGTTTACGGTTATCGACTCCATGCATGCCTTCTACCTGCGCATCGTACAACACCATTGTCGGGATGTCTGGGGTATGGATGTCGAGTTTGACGATGGCGACGGAATCACTTTCGACGCCTTATTGGAAGAGCCTTCAGAAGATGAGATGAGAAGGGCTTACGAGATCCTCCACCGTGGGACAGACCAAGAGCTGGGATCACTGACCCAGCCTGTCGTGCGGCAACTTTGTATGCAACTCTCTTTATCCGATCATAGGGCTTCGAAAGAGGAACTACTGGTTCAACTTCGTGATTATGTGAGTGAAATGTTCTTTGCCTGGTTCGCCTGCTCGCTCACGCTACCTTCAGCGCAAGGGTCTGGAAGAAGACTTCACCCCAGTTGATGCACCGGAAGAGCTGGGCGATTATAGCGACAGTGATTCTGACTCCGGAAGTTCGGGTTCCCCTAGTGCTGCCCTCACTTTCCACGAGGGATCGACTTTTAAAAGCGCCGAAGACATCGACCACTTCTTCCTTGCGGCTTCCAAGGGCAAACTCAATGCATTACGGAAGGCAGATCTCCTTCTCCTCTACCGCGCGAAGACAAGACCTTCTGAAGTGACATCGGTAGATCTGGGAAAGATGAAAAACCCACAACTGGTAGAACACATCACAGCTAAGGTGGGTTTTCGTTTCTTGTACTACCCAACTCGATCCTTACTGGAGTCAACAGAGATTCGAGTTAGGGATTGTCGATGAGGAGGGAAACCTCCTCTCAACCGCAACCAGGAAGGAAACCCGTGTGCTTGGTCGAGAAACTTTGGCTGAAATCCGCGCCGACATGCAACGAATGATTCATCCAACACGGATGGATACTGCGCATCAACATCCTGGGGAAAGGAAATGGGGAAAATTCACTGCGGACCAGTGGCGAGCTTTCTGTCTAGTCCATCTGCCCCTTACCCTTATTCGCCTGTGGGGAAACAAACCTGCTGACTCTATTGAGAGGCGACGCCTCGACAACTTCATGCACCTTGCTACCGCAGTCAAGTTAGCAACGTTGCGGAAGATCAATAGGACCACGATCAAACAGTACAAGTACCACATGCACGAATATTTAAAGACCCTCCTCGACTTGTACCCGAACACCAGCATCACTCCCTATCAGCACATGGCCCTTCACTTTGATTCCCATTTGGAGCGATTCGGGCCCACTCACGCCTGGCGATGTTTCCCCTTCGAGAGGTACAATTTCATCCTTCAGAACTTCGACCACAACCAGCGATCAGGTAAGGTCCCTCTACCTATTCCCTCATCGGCTGTCTACCGTTTGCTCATCAAAAATAACCTCAACAAGGTGACCTCGAGAAGACGCTTTTCGGGAAATTTTGCGGTGCCCAGAGCCTCCGTGCATACTTCCACAGCGATATACTCCCAGAAGGAGTTTCGGCAATCCTCGAAAGCTTCCGGCATACTTTCGAAGCAGAGACCAGAGGCACGAGGACAACCGATGTGTTGTACTATGACGAGGTGTATCGAAAGGTCGAAGAACGAGAGATCTGGGATGCGCGTCAGACAACTGAACTAACAGATGTCGAATTCGATCTCCTAAAGCAATGGGTTTCTGTTTACGACTGCGAACCATGTCGCTTATCCAATCGCGTCTTCGAACGATCCGCCATCACCCGTCTAGGCGACACATTCGCAAGCATCCACCATTCCGAATCCAATTCTGGCGTCATCCTTCGCGACATTCCCAACTATGAAAACGATTGGACTGCAGGACATATCCAAAAGATCTTTTCCCACCGGCGAACCCGTCAAAATGGTGAGGGGGTGGTTCAGACCTTTGCCATCGTCCAACACTACACCCCGCTCCAGGGGGAAGAGAGAAAGCAGGATGCCTATGAGAGGTATCCCATCTCAGGAGGCCGCGTTTATCGTAACAAGCTTACGCCCGTTTTGACTTTGGTCGCGATCGAGGACATCTACTGCCAATACGCCTCGATACCCTTCCACGTTGACGGAATAAGGGAAGGATGTGTTGCGATCCTTCCTTTGAACAAGGAATAAACCCAAACCCTCCCTATAACCAAGGAAGCTGCGCAAGTCGACTATAGAGCGTTCGTCGTGTACACGTACAGCGAAGATATCCTTGGGTAGAAGGGAGGGAGCAGGTGGGTATCTGATGACGTTCCTTCGAGGAGCTACGCGGACTGTATTTATAGAGCTCGCCTATACAACATTAATGTACCGTATCTTGGTGGTCTTCAATAAGACCGTCGATCGAAGGCAGTAGTGCATCGTGGTGGATAAATGGCAAGGGAACCTTGCCAGGGTGCACCCCTCGCCATGAGAGAGACGAACAAACACGTACAAACGAAATCGGAGGGTAAGTTTAATAAGAAAAGGGATAGTAGTCTGCCACAGTTCAGCTTTGTTGTCGATTACATGTTGCTTTGTTCATGATCACATCCTCTGACTCTGAAGGGCCATTCGAGAATCGAGAGATCCAGGGAAAAAGTGGGTTATAATTAATTATAAATGTATATGTCGCGTCGTGTTGGGTCCTTGACAACCGGATTAGCCTGACAGTCGATCGCAGCGTGTATCCTTCCAAGCAGAGATCTAAGTTTGAACAGAGAAGCCACACGGTGCGCGGTGTCTGTGGCGGAGACAACCATGGCCACTGTCTGCATGTTTCGATCTTATAAAAGAGGCTGTGATCGTCGTTTCTGTAAGTTTGCCACCCACCGACGACTCTCTTGAACTCACCAACATGGAGGCTGTTCAATCGATCACCAAGTTTCCGCGGCGTTATTTTAGTATGCGACTTACATTTGATGAAGACGAAGACAAGACATCACGAACTCTAACATTGCCCATCTCTCTGGAAGGAAGCTTCCGAGAGGAGCCCTCCGGCGAGGCCAGAAAGTCAGCCCCAGTTTCCAGTGACGAGGCGCAGGCTGTTAGCGGTGAGTAATTTTATCCCACCTTTAGTGATAATGTTTATGGCGATATATATTCATGCTCCTCTCGCCGTCCCCAGGCGCTGGCGGGAAGGAGTCCGAGGGAGCTGAGGCATCGAAGCGCAAGCGATGCGGCAAAGCAAAGAACATGGGATCAGTAGTAAGTGCAATTCGGATGCTATGCTTTCCTATACTTAGCATCTAACGTGGTTTAGGTCCCTCCCAACCCATACACCAGGGGCAAGCGCAAGCAACTCTATGGCAGGGGTCCCAGCGGCTCCTACTTCTATTATACCTCATCAAGTGAAGAAAGGATCTCCAGTCCCCCTCCTGTCGCCGAAGGCCAAAGTATTCCGGACAACTCAATTTATGTCCATTTTACGACACGCGCGGACAGTGATGATGAAGAAGGTTCTCGGAGTTGGTACTGGGATGGGGATGCTTGGGTCTCGGTGCGCCATGGGGAGGGTCGGAAATTCCCCCATGCGATGTTGTATTTCTCTATCGATAACCAGGACCGTGGTTCTTGGGTGGCGGACTCGACCCTTCACAGAGCAAGGCGAGGCTGAATCCCATCATTCGAGTAGGGTTTTGTTTTTCTCTTCAATCTGGCGCTGTATATCGCGGTAGTCTCTAGTTGAAGTGACCAGAGTTGTAAAAATGGCGAAATCGATGCATTCACTAAGTAAGAGGGTGCCTCAAGTGGCCTCGAAGGTACGCCTACGATTACAATTCGGGGCCCAAAAAGTACGATAGTGCAGACCTGACCCAGCGGTAGCATACAGGAAACCAGGTCGTAAACGTGATTCCAATGAAAGCCTGGGGGTATTAAGACACGATGAGACGGGCCCAAGACCAACCAAATGACACACTCACCGCTGATCCCCATGAGATACTGCCAAGGAAGCCATTCACAGTTTTCCCAAGGTATTCACCCACCAAAGAAAATCGATGAATGACTGCTGGATCCCGAATCATGCATAAGCTCAGTTCTGCGCATTGCTCTTCTAACAGCGGGGCGGGAAACGTTCCACAATGATTGGCGTCGTATTTCGATCGGCACGCAGCAATTTCGAAAGCTTGTTCTGCAATTAAGTAAAGGAGGTTATACCACTGCCGGTGAAAAAGAAACGCTGGCTTACCGCGGCGTCGCTGTTCGAAAAGGTGGCGAATGTCTTGGGCGAGGATTAGAGCTGTTTGGACTGCTGTGTATGCCGTCGATATGATAATGAGGACGTGGAATGTGGTCGTGAGCCTGGAAAATGATAGTCAGTGCCATAAAAAGGACCACATGTGATGTTCAGTCCGCTCACTTGCGAAGTGTGACCTCGTCCATTGAAGCTGAAGTACGTGAAGTAGGGGAAGTCGGTACAGTTATGTGAGTGGCTGGGATGGGAGACCGGACCAGTGGTTGCTTTTGAGGGCCAGGAAAAATCTGCCACCGCGACTGCACAAAGATCCTTTGTACTCAATGCAGGCCACGACGAGTTAAAAGGACCCACCTCATGAGACTTTCCGCACCCTTACCCCACCCAACCATGAAGGCCGATAAAAGTTCCAATCGTCCAAGCCTGGTGCGTCCCCTCCATCTGACCTTGGCTGAGCTGCTTCCTGACGTGAGCTGGCCTAGACAACTCGCATAGCGAACCTCGAATCACTGGATGAGGAGCGACGGAAGAGGCTGAAAGAGATTTCCAGTGACCAGAGATTGACGAAATTCTTCGAACAAGATATCACTGAGAAGGTGAAGCAGCTGGAGGCAAGGCTCACCAGGGTCGAGTCATTGAACACGAATCAGGATCGCCTCGTAAGTCCATCACTGATCACATGTTTCTCCAGTTTTATTAATGACACCCCACTAGTGGCAGAGGTTCAAAACCATCACACTACAGAATCGCCGGGAAATGACAATTCTACTTGCCGTGCAGACGATAGTATTCTCGTTGATAATCTTCGCTATGACGTTGTGGAAATCTTAGAGCAAGATTCGGAGCCAAAGATTCGTTTACGCCGTAGTGTTCTGGTTTATACAGGGAGTACTATATATGTTTTATATGTGCGACTGCGGTTGGAAGTAATGTACACGGATGGAGGCTATGCCATAGCTCGCTAAACCTCAGTGCGCGGTTTTTTGGTTGGCTGTTTATCTGCGAGAACCATCGGTCAGCTTGAGTACTTGAGTAGCAACTAGGCTGTATGGAACATACGCATTTCGGATTGAGCACGTTTGAGTTTATGACGAACTGGAGCCAGAAAACGTGCCAAGGAGATTACAGTCGGGTCTGTGTGTTGATCCATGGTGGCAACGAGATAAAAGCTATCACCAGGCCGCAACCCATCGGTAAGGATGCGGGAAGACTCAAGCTCTAGAGTCCCAGAGGATAGTCAGACACGGCGTAGTTAGGTATGACTACTCTCCTTACCACGATGAGGGGATGGGGGTTGACGCCGTCTCAGTGAGAACTTGGGATACGTCCAATTCAGCGATTCAATGACGTTGCCGGATGCCTCTAGTTTTTCCACTTCCTCCTGGAGCACCACATGGGAAGAAACAACCCAGTCCAACTGTTGATTAAAGCAAGTTCGAGAGATACGGTTAATCCCAGGTGGAGAAGATCCGTCGAGGCTGTCGTCGGCTGCGTTGACCAGAGTGATATAACGACGTAGCGCGCAAATTTGCCAAGCAAGCATAGGAAAGAAAATATCGTGGAGGCCGTGAAGTGGGATGTCGTCATCCCCGCCTTCCAATGGGATCAGATCGACATTTGCGAGGAGATGGTCAAGAACGTCGAACATCAGACCACGTGTACGGATCGCCCCAATGCGCAAGAAGTATGGAACGTCAGTAAGGTCATACTGTCGACTAGACGAGTACGTCAATGGAGAAAGGACGTTCTGCAGTTCAATGGAGACGCAGAACATGAAGAAGTTCATGACATCTTCTGACGTTTCGAACCGGGGAAGGAAAGGATCCTCTGAGAAACTACATTAACGTCGTTTGTATACAGTGTGGATAAAACGCATACCTTTGTGTGTGAGGCCGCAGATAACAATTTCCCGATGAAAGGCGGCCATTAAACGCTGCATGAGCTCCAGGACAACGACTGGGTGGCTGTTGTTCGTATTGATGTGTCCTCGAAGCGTAGTGTGAACCATACCAAGGTGAGTTTCATGCAGCGTGGACGTTGCGATGAAGTGCCCTCCATGAACGATAGAGTTCTCCAGAGTGATGACCCGATGGGCCGTATTGGGGCGCATTATCCTATAGAGAGCGAAATTGTTCAGTGTCACAATTGGATTGGGATAAAAGTAACCCACAAAGTCGTGTCCGGCCCCAAAACGACGCCTTCCCATGCCCACAGATGACTATTGGGAGCGTCCACATCAAACTCAGGATCGCACCAGACTGAGATCGAGGAGGTAGTCAAGGGAGGTTTGGGGCGTCCAAGCATCCAGAGTTTCAAGCCACACTGGGGCGCTACAAAGGTCCCAAAGCCGTGTGCGTCGATATGAATTCCATGCTTCGCCCCAGTGGTGCCAAGCAAGCCCCAGCGTAAATCGGATATGGGCGGAAGGGCATTCGTTGCGAAGTGATCGCCGGAATTCGACTTCCTCCATGCCCAGAGCTCGGAGGAATACGGTTTAATCGTGCTCTCCGCCAGAGGGTCAGGATGGTTGAGGCTGTTGAGGCTTTTCCGATATGCATGTGGCCCAAGCGCGTTTTCAACCACCTGTCTCGCTGTCCCTGAACGGACGATTGTCTGAAGATCACCATCGACGGTCGAGGATGATTGGTCTGGGGGGTGCACTGATTTAGGACGACCAGGTACCAAAAACATAGGTGTAGTACCGACCTTGAATGTCCGTACGCCGATCCAGGGGTCCCAGACTTTCTGCAGATGTATAGTTGAAAGGCAGTGGTCGACGTTGGCAGTCGTATACCAGGATGTTACGAGTTCTGAGCGCGTCTTGGACTTCCCTAGGTGACCACTTTAAGAATTCGGCCTCGGGAATGCGGAAAATGCAGGAGGAGTCTGGGTCGTTCAAGAATCTTGGCCGTTTCCCATCTCCTTCCCTGTTGGGCTCCTTAGGTGAAACATAGTCCTCTTCGAGAGTTGAAAAAACGGCCTTCATCTCTGTTGCTTGGTCCTGTGTCTGTGGGAGGATGAGACAAGGGAGCAAGAGATTGGGAATTTACGTACATGAGCAAAACCTTGCCAGGTGTAGAGGTCGCCATTGGCTCTGTATAGTCTCGCTTCAAAGGGGGCATGATCTGTGAATTTCTGCTACGTTTCAGTTGAGGATTGTGATATATAAACAGGGGACTCACCGGGCTGGGTTCATCTATACGGAGCGTCTTTGTCTTTCTACCCTCTCTAACGGGGAGTTGTGATCGGGATTGGCGAGTTGTGGGAGGAACCCAGGCTTTTTCATCTCGGTTCCTAACAGACTTGAAGGCGGAGAAAATTGCATCGGTGGGAGAATGAGGGTGCGGGACGGCATCGGTGGACGGTGGGCCGACGGAAGGTTTGATTGGTTGTTTAGGCTCTGTATCGCAAGTCCTTGGAGGCTTCCTCGGTTTAGTGGGCGCTGAAGGGTCGATTAACGGTCCATCATGTCTCCCAGGCCGTTGGGGATTGCGACGAGGCGTCTGGTGTGTCCCCGTAGAATCGTTGTTGTCGTCATCGCCTGAGGGTTTCTGTAGACCTGGGTTGGCGTTCACTGAACCTTGGACGTCATCGTTGCCTGGCTTAATAGCCGGAGCTGGAGGTGGTTCGACATCATCGTCGCTCGAGAGGACGTCGATATCTACTTGGTCGTTTGTTCCACCCAGGATCAGGCTTTCAAGGATCATCTGGTCCACCTCATCGCCGTTAGAAGTAGCCCTGGGGTTCGGCATATGGGATTGGGCGGCAACAGCACTGGTGCTTTGATCCTGGTTAGCTGATTGCTGCTGCCGGGAAGAAGCGCTACGTGCATTATTTGCCGTCATGGCCCCCCTGGGCTCGCTCTGGTTGCGTTGCTTGTTCTTGTGATTTTAACGCTAGAGTAATGGAAAATGGGAGGGTAAAGGACTAACTTGGATGTCGGTGGAGGATGGTGTACAGGGCCCCAATACCTTGCATAGATCGAGCCCAATGGGAGTAATGGGCCACGACGAAGGGATCGGAGCTTCGACATGAGCGTTCCATAGTTGCCAATCAGGAGAATATCCAACTTGTTGACCTAGGGCTTCTCAGGATTTGAGCAATTATTATTAGGAGACGAACACGCACCACGAGCATAGAAATGTTTGCTTTTCTTCAGCTTCCCCGCCCAGTCTTCACGGATCATCCGATCTGCTAGTTCTTCCAAGAGAAGGTCGACACTGGCGACATCACCGGTAGCAAGTTTCTCGAAGGTGCAGAAGAGTGTACGCTCGCAGCTCATAATTTCAGGATCTTTCTGATTCCCGATAGCCTTTGATAACTGGGTCAAAACGATAAATAATGTGTATGCAAATGACACCGGGATGAACTTACGAGTAGCAATTCCTCGGGACAAATGATGTTTTTCTCGGACACCAGGAGGCACGGACATAGGGCAGTGAACGGAGTAAACAGGGTGGACAGCTGATACGGCATTCGCAGAGCGCGCACACTCTTGTCAGAGGACCAGATCTCGTTGAAAGCCTGCCTGAGGGCGGGAGAAAAGGACTGGTCAGCGAGGCCAATGGCCTTGAATCCATTTGGAATTTCGAGAAATCCCTGGATATTAGCGATAAAAAGGCGGTCATTGCAACAACTGACAAGGCTACTTACCTTAAACATAATGTTTAGATTGAGCGCAACGGCAGCTACATTCGCAACGACTTTCGAATATCGTGACGTGGACATGCCGCCGCGTAGCTGGAGCGCCAGTTGGCATGTAACCCTATCTCCCGGTGCCTCAACTCCTTCGAGTTCGGCGTCCACGCCCCGTCCCTTCTGTTTCAAGCGCTGTTGGACGAGTTTGATGAAAGCTTCGACTACTTGCGACAAATCCCCCAAGTGGGAGCAGGCCTAGGTTTCACATATGTAAGCGAGAAGCATGGAAATAAAATCAACTAGGTACCGGATGCTTGAGCCACCAATTTTGTTTAACGTGCCGAAGTACTTCCCGAGAGCCAGGACCTTTTCTATCTGCTATAACGTCATAATACTTGCTAGCGGAGATATACCTCAGGACGCGAATGGTAGTGTGGTGAGGTAGTTTTCCGTCCAACAGGCGGCCTGTGTTGGCTAGAGTCATGCGCTTACCGGGCGCAAGAGACGTGATATGGAACCCTTGCTCTAGATCATCGACAAGTAGATCATATTCCCGGGGGCAGAGACCATCCTCCTGTTTGGCGATTACATCGTCGTACTCCTTCAGCTTGCGGAGGAAGGGCTAGAAAATCGAGATATTGATCAAACGCGAGAACAGCGATTTATGAAACTACTCACATAGTATGGGGAATTAGGGTCGTATTCGTCGAGTTTGATTGAGGAGACGACGTCTGGCGTGTACCATGGAAAGAAAGAAAGAACAGTGGACTGACGCCGGATGTCAACGGTGCCCATCGCGGTCGGCTTTCAAGATTCAAGCTCAAGGCTATTGATGTTTGGCAGCGATCATATCGTCATCACGGCAAGTTCTTGCCTGGGTGAATTTAACCGTGACTCGCGAGCAGGACAACGTGACCAGCGCGTGACTTTCTGATGGCTCCGACTTCAACTTGCCAAATTCAAAAAGTTGAAATTCCACGACGAATCCACGATTTCAAATGACATATCACGGCCTCAACATTATAATTACAATATTCAAAAGTCAGGGTTAGTGCACGAACAATCCTTTCTAAGTTAGGAAAGTATTACATCGAGTTTATTACAGAAATAGGCCTTCAAACTTATAATAATCATCAGCTGTAGCCCTGTAGCCGGTTCCCCTGGCCATTAGGAAGACGATCAGCTCCCTCTGCAACTCGGACACCAGGGACCGAAGCACGTAGTTGGGTACTGGGCTTTCGTTGACTGTGGCTCGACACATTGGACACTGGTAGCGGAATATGTCTTCAGGATCCCTGCCGTTCTTTCTGATGGTCGCGACCATCTCGGCTTGAGTACGGGGACTTGTGGGCACCTTGATCGCGTCGTCATCTAGGAAGTCCTCCAGTTTCGTCCTAAACTCTGCACGGAAGGCCTCCCTGGTGCACTTGGTACAGAAGGAGTGACCGCACTGCAGGCTAAAGAATGGTTCAGCAAATGGGCTGCTTCCACTGTGTTTGTCGGTCGAACGCACCTGACAGCGTCTACTGGAACTCGAGCGCACAGTGCACAAAGGGCATTGTCCATGAAAATGTCGGTGATCTTCGAGCATATCATTTAACTTTGAAGGGACAAAAAAAAAACGTGTTGGGGCCTCACCCGCAAAGGCAGCGGCTTTTGTGGGGGAAAGAGGTCGGTCAGTGAAGGAAGGGTCGAGTCGCTCAAGATTGATGGAATGCTGGCGATGCTGGAGCTCCGTTCTGGGCGCATAGTTCGATTATGGAGATAGGTCCGGCGGACGACGGGTGATGGGTGCTGAGCGCGCGTTGCCGCTGCCTGAGCTGCCTCTCGCTCTGCTTTAGTGGAAGAGCGAGTGCGCCGAGTCGGGCTGGACTGTGTCGAGTTGGCTCCAAGAGGCTGCCGAGAACCATGGGTAGGACGTCGAGTCGGTGTCGATGTCGCTGAAGTACGAGATGCCCTTGTAGGCCTGGCTGGGCTATCTGCAGGAGTTGGGGGAAAGGGCATGTTGCCTAGCCGCACTGGATAACTCCACCTTTCAGGTTATAGCATTCAGAACGACCTTTGTCTCTTTCGACGACCTCCATGGTCAAGGTGGTGGTGTCTTTCTCCCACTGCGAAAGGGCTTTGCGGCAAACGAATATGCCAGTTACAGGATTGGACTTGATCATTTCCTTTTTCCCTTGTGGCAAAGCTGACAATGGCTCTGTGGCAAGCGAATATATCAGTTGTAGGATTGGACCTTCATTTTACCCCTGTTGCAAAGCCGACAAGGGACTCAGGGTTCATGATCGTGATCGCAGTTTGAACAACGTGTTTACATATACAGGGTGAGAGTTATCATAAGGGGTCAACGGTATTCTATTCCCGTTGTGTGGCTTGGACGTCGGAGCCGTGGCTTGGTATCGCTAGAGAGCCCGTACTTTCAAACAACGTGTCGAGTACCGGGGTCGTGGATATGTTCTGGCGGGCAATTTCGTCCAGACTTCTCGGATTTCGACCAAGAACAGTTTGTAGAATGATCCGACTTGCACTGACTGCCTGAATGTGTGAATGCGTAAGCGAAAATTTTGGGAAATCTGTGCGAATGGAATACCGCAACCTGGACGAGGGCAGCTTGTAATGGGTGCTAGGAAGAGCGGATGTAAGCGGGTTGAAGGCGGTGAAGTATGGACCTCTCACGAATGGTATGAGGCGGTTTATTAATGCATGTACGGGAAACTCGATCCCGGAGTCAATACTGTGCATGATTGGTCGTGGTCAGGAGGTTACTTGGAGAGCTGAAGCGACTGGAATCTGGCGTACAGCATGGAAATGACTGGGTAAGAGTCCGGGTTCAAAACAGATCCATACGTCGGGTTTCGATGGATTTGAGCCCTCATCCAAAGGGATCGTACGACTGGAGTTGGATGCGGATGGAGCTGAATAGCGGGTTTCCTAGACATGTTCTACGAAGCACTGACCAATCATTCCACTGAGCAACCCGGTTACGACAACGTTGGTCCACTGGTAATAGATCATGTCGTCTCTGATGGGACAAGGGTCCTGGATAATTTCGAATATGCATATACCTCGTATGACGGGTTAGTCAGTTCGATGTTCTCCTGGTTATCATCGTACTAACCCATGGTTGCGAAGAGGACGATGATAGTCCCGCTGAGTACAGATCTGTAATACGCGTTACTGTACCACAGCTGGAGCCATCTCGACATCTGTGCAAGGGGAGAAGTCGTCAGTGTCGGACATTAAGATCTTCACGAGGCGGTAATAACTAACGACGAGAGTCTCAAAGATCATCCTGGGAAGAGAGTTCCCTCAGTACCACTGTTCTCGAATGCAGTCAAAGCAAAGGACTCACGAACTCGCAACCTGGAGGAGAACCCTTGGTCGACATAGCTCTTCCGGGTATGATACGGAGCGGTCCAGTTCTTCAGACATGAGGACGGCTGCATCGAGGGCTGTAGCCGACAGAGAGATACAGAATAAAGCCGTCAGCGTAAGTGGTAAGACAGCAGGAATCCTAGTCCTGGTGTGCGCAACGAGGATGGCCAGTGTACACGTTATTGTCGAATGGACAAGATAGCCTGACCGTAGGGTACAGCTGGTGAGTATCCCGGTCTCCTCCTGGTTATGTTTTCTACCTTGTACGAAGACTTCTATCTATTGAATGTGTTAGATATGCAAACCGAAAGTTTTTAGATCGATCCACTGACCACGACAGAGACGAGCAGCTGTGTCTTGTATCCCAGTTTCATTGATACGTTGGAGAGGTGTTGTTCAGAATCGATATAGAGAGGGGCTAGTGCGAGCGACAGCTTATGTACAGGGCCCCAGCCTTGAGGAAGCGGTCAGGCCTGCACGTTCTCATCGAGGGGAGCTGATCATGAGGGTCCATCCAGTGAAAGCGGGAAGCTTAGGTGACACACGCATGGAAAAGCCAGAGAATCATGATTTCCAAGTTGAGTGACGCTTGGATTGTATAAGCCCAATTCAAACAGATATATTTACAATACGATTGATTAATAGGATACATCGCAAGTAGTATCACCCGTGTACATATTGTCAAGCCTGGCAGTCACAGCGAGTTCGGATGGCGGCGGGGGGACTGGAAGGGCCTTCAATCTCTTGAAAGCCGCGTTTGAGACCCCTAGCCGGTCCCATGGTAGAAACCTCATTAATAACGATGGCTACATCGTGAGGCGAAGCATCCGAGGACTCCTCGTGCTCAACGAAGGACATCTCTTCATCGGAGGCTGCATTTTCATCGCTAGTATCTGAGAAGTAGGAAAGGTCCCATTCGCTCTGCATGTCGACTTCGAGCGCCTGTACTTCAAACGTCGCTTCTGGGTCCAATTCACTTCGTCCAGCGTTTGATTCTGGTACAAAGGCGACATCGGTGGCCGGGATCGTGCCAGTGGCATCGAGGAGGAATCTACGGACGGAGGAGTGTGGTTAGTAGAAGATCCCCAGCACCTTTGAGACGCAAACCGACCTTTCCAACACGAACTTCACATGTTGAATCTCGGGGACAGAGTCCGAGATGGGAAGGAAGTCGAAGCCGGGAGCGACCTTCATGACCAGGATTGGTCCTCGCCAGATACTTTCCGTAAGCATTGCCGATACAGTCTGGTTAACAGGGGCTCTTGCAGATTGTTCATGATGATAAACGACGTATTGGGTTACCTCCCCCGAGACTTCCAAGACGCTGAGCTTCTTCTCCAGGACAAGGTTGGTAGAGCCAAGTATGAGTTCGAGTAGGGGGAATAGGCGTGTTCCAAAGTGCAAGGTAGGGACGTCGATCAGACGATATCCGTCAAAGAGGGGGTGAAGCAACAAGGCTCTTTTAGCCGATACCGTTATAAGCTCTCCCTCACCCCGACCGCGGTGGGAGGGAAGGCGGGTGGGAGCGTCTGAGAAGATGAGAGGCGCCATGGGATTGCAAAACTAGGTCAGCCATCTTCCCTGGAGTTATAAACCTACGAGCCTTTGTTGACTCGCATGCCACAGTGACAAAGGGCCCATAGAACGGAAGGGCAAGTTACTATATTTTACGCTGCGACCATATTTTACGCTGCGACCGGTATCAATATACGATTTAAATTACATTCCCACACATAACGAAAGGGCGTATGTCACGATCAGTACAAACGAGATCCGAAGAAGCGAAGGGCCCGGGGTACTCGCGATGTGCCCAAAAGGTGGAGAGCATGTGTGGAGGTCGCCAATCAATCACAAGAGCTTGTAAAGACAGGTGGAGCCTAGGTGACTTAGGCGGCGGGTATAGTGAAAGTGAAAGCAGGGGTGAGCAAATATCAGGAACCGTAACGACAGCTGGGTATATAGAAGGGCAAAGCAACCGAGGAAAGCAATTGACAGAAAAAGAAAGCAATTGACAGAAAAATATAGCAGGGATAGATAACAAGAACAGAAAAGAGAGCGGAGATAGACAAAGGGGCGAACGGCAGTGCAAACTTCGATGACGGTGGGTAGATCAGCCGGGCAGGTCGGCTAAAGACGAGGGGAAAGAGTGCTGGGGATTCATTGATGAACTCGCCATCGTCGAGATCAGTGAATACGACCCACCTTTCCCGTTCAGCTTTAACCTGTAAGAGGTTGAAGGCCATGAAAATATCTGAACACTGTCTCTGGACATCGCAGTAGCGCATTTCCAGGACGCAGAGTTGCTTGTCTTGCTCTATATTTGGGTGAGCATTCGCCATCAGGTCCCGAAAGTAGAGGCAATATTCGTGGAAGGTAGTTTCAGATGGGACGGAACGAGAAAAGAGGCTGCATTGAATGATAGCGCTAATGACCGCTTCGCGCTCGCTCTCGTTCGATAACTTGAGCATGTTGTGACCCAGCTCGTTGAAGAGGTCGTCGATTGATTGGGCATACCGCTCTGCTGCAGTGACTCTGATTGAGAGCCTGTCAATCCGCTCCCCGGGGGGGTCACTGGGACCAGGTAAAATAATGGCGGAATTGCGGGGCAGAGTTAGGACTCCAAGATTTTCGAGGGTCGCTAGAACGCCGTGAACCCTGCCTACGAAGTCTTGCACGGCCTTAAGCCGACGGGTGAGGGCGGGTAGCATAGTCGAATCTGCGATCACATTTTCCCTGGCAAACCGGTCAATAACATGGTGCATTCCACCTGTGGAATGTCGACTGGAGTGTCTTGAAGACGTCAAGGTGAATGAGGGTGATGACGGGGTGAAGGCTGGCGGCATCGTCGTGATCTCCATCGTCTACGTTGGCATTGACAACATATGGATAAGATGTAAAAAAGAAAACTTACAGCGGGAAACAATAAGAAAATCGGGGAATTTTCAAACAGTGCTAGTGAACATGCACTTAAATACAGCCATTTTGAAGTCCGTCAAGTCGCCGTGCGAACTGGGCGTGCGAATTCGTTGAAGTTACCACACCTTCACGTTCAACTTGATGAATGGGCTCCTACTGGTATTAGTGTGTTGCCGTGTTCAGGGCACCGGATCCACAAGGTCTCTAGAAATTCCCGCAGACAATTGGCCCCAACTTTGGTCGAAGAATTCCCCCGTGAGATCCGAAATTCTGAACGTGCAGTACCCACGAGGCGAGCCACGCCTCTGCCACAGACAAAGGCGAACCGGGACTTTTCCAAACTGCGTTTGCGCTTTCAGCATTGTTGTATTGCTTCCCCGACCCGCTATCTTTTCCTTGAACCATGTCTCTTGAGAGACGTCCATTCACTTTATCCTACAAGCCATGTTCCAAGCTCGTGGCAATTCCGACTCACCACTCGACCACACCTTCAACTGACGGCATACAGGACCTTGCATTTTCACCCGATGGGCTGTATTTGGCTGCGTCTTTCAGGCGGGAGGTGCACGTTTGGGAGCTAAAGGAAGACAGGGACGGTATGACTGAAGCATGGGCACGGAAGGTCCGGTTCTCGCTGGAAAGCCGTGACAAAGCCTCCATATCTTGCATGGCGTGGTCTTCAAGTAACTACCTGGTCGTAGGGACAAGCGCAGGTCGGTTGGAGCTGGTTAAAATTAATGAAAAGGTACCCTCAGTTCAATGGTCCTTGAGATACAGCATTCAACCAATCTCGCAGGAGGCCAAAGTGCGAGGTTTCCAAGTTTCAGATGAACCGATCAAGTTGGTGGCCATTGACTCGGGGTTTACAACCATGGCCGTCGTTGCAGGAAAGAGCGAGGTGGGCATTTGGAAGCGTTCGGACACAGTGGATTCGAAGAGTAAGTGAAAAGCTCCTGTTCGCATCTTCGTTGAACACCCTGATCCCTAACACGCTTCACAAAGAGGCTTGGGTTGGACTGTTCTATCTCACTTCGCCAGAATCGTACGTTTCGCTCCAAGAAGAAGTTGTTGTGACATCTGTTGCATGGGACGAGAACCCATCTGACGGAGAGCTGCTGGTCGTGTCCTATTTGAACCACGGAATAGTGTACTTGCGATTTGTGCTCTCATTTTCTTCCTCTTCCTCTAACGCGATTTGACGCAGAACGTGGAATGCCAGCGTTCCCTCTTTATCTAATATGGTCAATGTGGAAACTGTGTCAGTGAAATGAGCGCCCTAATTGCTATTCCCACTTGATTCCCACTAACTTTTAGTCTCAGCCCCTCAGGTAGCTTATCCCCTGATGGTCGAAAATTTGCCATTCCCAACTCCAAGGGAACTTTCGATATCTACGATCTCGCGCTCAAGAACAAAGTGGTGACTTTGACCGACCCCGACGACGAAGTTTCAGTCCACGCGAGTTGGAACGATACTTCACCGAGCAGACAGGCGAGCTTCATTCGTGACGGCTCTTGGATCGTCGGGACTGGAAAGGGGAAGCTCAACATTTGGAATGTCTTCAACAACATTCGCGCGCAACGATTGAACTTAGGTGAGTCCCACAGATCGCTTCAGATGACATACATGGCGCTTATTCCTCAAAGGCACCTTACCAGCGACTAAAGGAATAATATTAGCAGTGCGTCTCACACCATGTTATTCGGAGCATATTCAAGTTGCATGACCTGCTCCCGAATTCTACAGACTGGCGAAGTAAATGCTGAAGGATTCACCCCCGCGCTTCGCATTGCCGCGACTGGGAGAGACGATGGTCAAGAGATCCAAATTTGGAGAACCATACTCCCTCGTATGTTCCGTGATACCCGCCCCCCCCCCCCCCCCCCCCAAGAAAACAAAAAAATCTAACTAACCCATCCCCGGGGTTAGGTCTACCTGGGCCCCTTGATTCAAACATAACACCCAGCTCGGAGCCTGCCAGTGTCGCATTCTGGCTGACAGCCCTCGCATTCTTTATTATCTCTTTCTCTGCTGCTGCTTATATGGATGTACTCTGATTTTCGCCTTAATCGATTGTTGAAATTTAGCAAGTGAATTACGGCAGTGGGGTCATGAAGTGAATCATGGAGTGAATCGTATTTTTGCACACCGAGATCGCTGCTCTGAGTCCGTGGTCACGATAAAAGTAGTCAGGGCGAAGGTATTCGTGACCGTGTGAAGGAGAGCAACTGAGTTGCTCACTGACAATGGACGAATTCCCGACGCGTCGGATCATTATGACCGGGTCTTGGATGGTGTTCTGTCCTTTGAGGGACAGAAGAAACACAACACTTCTCGACATTGTCGTCATAAGCCTGAAGCCTGTCGAAATAGTTCATGGCCCCGAGCTTACATTTCGAATCGTGCGTATTGTTCAGCGTTCACTTTTGATGCTGGTCCCACCTCAGCACACGATTCCCGTGACAGCACGCCCCCCCCCTCGTCCGAAATGGATATAGATCATGAACTCCATACGCTTTTATCGCCTGGAACGTGAGCCATAGCTTAGGTTGTGTACTTCTTCTTTCGATTAACCCTCTGCCGGACCCACAGCATGCCCCAAGGCCATCCCGAAAGTAGTGGACAGCAGTGCGATCCCATCTTAATCGAATACTATCACAGACCAAAGCTGATCGACGATCTCCTAGCAGCTCGGATCCAGGACTGCCCAAGCCTTTCAAAACCACCACTTCGAGCTACCCAGCCCTAAATAGAAAGAGGTCTTTCAATGATGAGAACGAGGCCGAAAGTTCATCTGCAGAGGAATCATCGGATGCGGATATCGAGGGCGGCCGAATCTTCAAAGACCATGTTATAGATGGACTCAAGCGCCGCAAAATTGGACATTGGCCGGGGGTTCAACAAGAAAGAAGGGAACAGAAAGTGGATTCCCCCGGTTCCGTACCCAACGTTGCTAGTGAGAACACTTCACGTTCATCGGGAATTTGCTCTAGGTTTCTGATTGTTCGAACAACAGATGGAGAAGGCGGCGAGGATATCACTATTGACATGACCATTGAGGACGAGGAAGTCTTCATTGCCGAGAAAGATACACCCATCCAAGAGGGACAGGCGCCCAATCTTTCTCAAAGCACCTCGGATGCCGTACAGCCAAAACGTGCTGCTTCTGTCGCTCATTCCCCTCCTTCGGTATCCCCTTCCCATGAACCCTGTTCAGCAGACGGCGGCTCGATGATGGTGGTCAATGAGCATAACACTGATTCCAAGTTAGACGATGACGAATCTCCTGGCTCTCACCCAGGTTTTCAAACGGTCAAGAGTGCTTCAGACGGCTCAACTTCTCAAGCAGGTGCTGCGATCACACCCTCCGCACTATCAACGTCCCTCGCGAGCCATCCAGGTTCTCAGCCATCCGACGGCTATCAGGATCGTTCTCCTGCCCCATCACGGTATTCGAATGACGCCATCATTCGAGGATTCCAACAGACAATAGAAAGGATGCCCACGTCATTCCCGGAGCTCGACTCTGACACCTCCATCCTACCCGATGTGGGTAACAATGCTATCTCAAGCACTACCCACGATCATGCACAGCCTTCCGCCCACGCATGCAGAATCAGGTCTTCTCTTCACAGTGCTATCCCACCAGTTTCACCTTCGATCATTGACGTTGATCCAAGCACAGCGCCTCCTGCTTTCACGCCGTCCTCTGGAAGGCTGGACGCTGGCAATAACAACGTTTCGGTGGATGCTAGGCAGAGCATCGCACGTCTTACAGATTATGACGCGCCCAATCCTCTCCAGACAGTCGGATCTTCCAGAGTCAACGAAGCTGAGGATGATACCATGTCCGTCGGGTCTAGGAGAAGCATGGCCAGTATTTCTGACCCTGTAGACTCGGAAACCGGTCCCTTTGATGAAGTTCGCGCCTCGGCGTCCCCTCCGGTTGCCGAAGCGACCCAGGCGCCAACCCCAGAGTACAGCCCGTTCGAAGGAAACGAGCCTACGATATCCTTTTTGGCAGCTGAGCCAGACGGAATTGAGGAGGAAACCATGTCGATTGCTTCGAGGAGAAGCATGGCGAGTATCTCCCACCGTGAGGAGAGTCCCAAACCGTTCGATGGGGTTCGCACTTCCACGTCTCCTCAGGCAGCTCCGCTCGAGACCCACACACCCACCTCAGAAGACGGCCCTTTCGTAGAAACCGAGCTCCCGATATCGACTTCTTCGGCAGCCAGACCAGACGTGGCTGAAGAGGGCACCATGGAGGAGGACACCATGTCGATTGCTTCGAGGAGAAGCATGGCGAGTATCTCCCACCGTGAGGAGAGTCCCAAACCGTTCGATGGGGTTCGCACCTCCACGTCTCCTCAGGCGGCTCCGCTCGAGACCCACACCCCCACCTCAGAAGACGGCCCTTTCGTAGAAACCGAGCTCCTGATATCGACTTCTTCGGCAGCCAGACCAGACGTGGCTGAGGAGGACACCATGTCGATTGCTTCGAGGAGAAGCATGGCGAGTATCTCCCACCGTGAGGAGAGTCCCAAACCGTTCGATGGGGTTCGCACCTCCACGTCTCCTCAGGCAACTCCGCTCGAGACCCACACACCCACCTCAGAAGACGGCCCTTTCGTAGAAACCGAGCTCCCGATATCGACTTCTTCGGCAGCCAGACCAGACGTGGCTGAGGAGGGCACCATGGTGGAGGACACCATGTCGATTGCTTCGAGGAGAAGCATGGCGAGTATCTCCGACCGTGAGGAGAGTCCCAAACCATTCGATGGGGTTCGCACCTCCACGTCTCCTCAGGCAGCTCCGCTCGAGACCCACACACCCACCTCAGAAGACGGCCCTTTCGTAGAAACCGAGCTCCCGATATCGACTTCTTCGGCAGCCAGACCAGACGTGGCTGAGGAGGGCACCATGGTGGAGGACACCATGTCGATTGCTTCGAGGAGAAGCATGGCGAGTATCTCCGACCGTGAGGAGAGTCCCAAACCATTCGATGGGGTTCGCACCTCCACGTCTCCTCAGGCAACTCCGCTCGAGACCCACACACCCACCTCAGAAGACGGCCCTTTCGTAGAAACCGAGCTCCCGATATCGACTTCTTCGGCAGCCAGACCAGACGTGGCTGAGGAGGACACCATGGAGGAGGACACCATGTCGATTGCTTCGAGGAGAAGCATGGCAAGTATCTCCCACCGTGAGGAGAGTCCCAAACCGTTCGATGGGGTTCACACCTCCACGTCTCCTCAGGCAGCTCCGCTCGAGACCCACACCCCCACCTCAGAGGACACCATGTCGATTGCTTCGAGGAGAAGCATGGCGAGTATTTCCGACCGTGAGGAGAGTTCAAAAGCCTTCGATGGGACCCGTGGCTCGATGTTTCCTCCTCCAGTCACCAATCAGTCAGAAAAAGAGCTTATGTCTGTAGGTTCTATCAGGAGCATTGCCAGTGTTCCTGACTACGGGGAGGACCCGAAGCCTCAAGAGAACGTCAAACCGTCGGTCTTTTCTTTGTTGGTCAAGCCCCACGAAAGCTACCCCACCACGATATCCTCAGGAACCAGGAGAAGTATGGCCAATAGTCGAGGCCAAAACGAAGTTCCCGGTCCGCTTGAAGGTGTCAGCACGTTGAGCTCATCTGGCGGTCCCGAGGTTACCGAAGCTGGCGACGACGCGATGTCTGTAAGTCGTGCGGGAAGCATTGCTAGTATCCTGGACCACGACGAGGACCCCAAACCTTTCGAGGGCGTCACCGCCCTACTTCCATCTTCCTGCCCAAACGTCACCGAAAGCGACACGGAAGCGATGCCCAGAGGTGCTAGGAGAAACAATGTCACTGATCCTGAGCAGCTCGATGGTCCCAAACATTTCCCTGATGTCAGCATTTCCAACCCGCCTTCTGGTCCCAAGCTCCTGGAAAGCGAAGAGGAACGGATGTCTGTGGATGATACGCGAAGTGTTGCCAGCGTTTCCGACCATGGCAACGATCCCCACCCGTTCGAAGGGATTGAGGCAGTCTCTGTATCCCACTCCCCAGTAAATGTCAACCCCTCTCGTGGTCTTGAGGTACACGCTAGCTCTCAACACCCAGGTCGGGGACGAAGTCGGGGACTGACCTCCCAAATGGCTCTCAAGACATCTTCCGCTCCAGGCCTAGGTTCGTCCCATGGCCTTGGGAGATCGCATTTGGCATCGTCCCCTATGGCAGTACAGGAGAATGACGGTTCAGCATCAAAATCCCGCTCAACCTCTCGATCAATGTCGATATCTCCCATTGGATCAATCTCGTCGTCTGTCGACTTGCTCTCAACCTCATTTACCGGTGGAAAAGGTACGGTATGTCGATTTGCCCAGAAACCAAGTTTTACTGACATGGGCTACAGACGAGAACAATCCCAGAAGCCAGGGTCACGAGTGTGGGATGACCTGCGGCAGCGATAACGAGGCAGATGACGAAGACTCCGATAGCGAAGGTTCGATAGCTATCTCACTGTTCGCTGACGAAGTGTGCTTGCCGGATCAATTGGACGTGGATGTGGGCCCATTCCTCCTCATCGAAGAAGATTTCTTACCAAACAACCGTGGTCGTGAATACTCTGTCTCACCGGATCCATTCGACGAAGATGAGGATGGAGATGAAGAAGAGTACTATGAAGGTGACATTGCAAGCCAGAAGCCATTTGCCAAAGCTGCTCGATTTGGTTCTCAAACTGACTTCGAGGAGACCCCACCGAATCGGAGAGGTGACAGGGTAGGGCTTCTTTTTCTTCTCCGTTTCAATCGCTCGCTTAGTTGGTTTGGCGTAGGACGAGCGATATGCGCGCTTAGCCAGGTCCAACAAGGTAATTCATCATTTTAAAATCATTTCATTTCGTTGACTATAATTGGCTATTTGTAATCTTTTGGCAAGCCTCTGACTGGCGCTCAAGTCGCATCCATGATTGAAACCCGCATCAAGGCCGCCCCAATCTGTTTCGCCCAGGCTAAGCCAAGGCGTAGCCAGTCAAGTCCGCCGCAGAAGGTATATACACCGACCCATTATACAAAAGAGCGCAATCAATTCAAGGTGAACCAACTTCCATTCCTTGAAGTGGGTATCGTCTCACCCCCTTGAAGGCAGATATACGGAAACATTGCCTCGAATTGATGAGGAGACCCACTCCCAGAGCGAAAGTTGAATCCGTGCCTTTCGAATCTGTGCTGGCGTTCGGAGAATCAGAAGACAAGGATGATGGCCCCTCTGTTCGCAATTTCGGCGTATTCCTTGACTTCAAAAGCCTCACCACCGTTATGCACCGGATTTACGCCAACAGTTGGAACCGCAGAGCAGCTGTAGTGTTTGCGCAAAGTTTCGTTAGCTCTGGTCTTTACGATTGCGACGACAAAGATGCAGTCGAGAGCCAATTCTTGGTTCACTTGATTCATCTAGGGAAACTCTTTGCGCGCCAGGGAAAAAAGAACTCTGCTGCAGCTATCAAGGCCAGTGCTGACGCGCGTCGTAAATCAGTAGGTTTTGGGTGAAAGTTATTACTCTTCGCCTCGGCTAATCACACCGCTTCAGAGACGTGATCGGTTCGAAGAGACTGCGGACTTCTACTCAAATATCCGTGGCATGGAGCATTACCCTGAACTCTGGGCCAAGATTCACTGGAGAGTGCTCAGCGGCGACGAGACGGACCCGGCGGATCCTGATGGGCCTCGCGTAATTACTCACCTCAAATGGAGGCATCGGAGAATCAGGCGCTGGATGCAAAACTGGGCCTATCTGGAAGACCATCGGCGGCACCCTGATAATGAAAACGACCAAGGCAAAGACCCTGACCCTCGCAGGGATCCTTCGCAGGAGGACCCGCCTCGCAAGGTGCGCGAACGCGATGGACATCCTCAGAAGTGCCTTCCCAGGAACTTCTACACCAAGTCCTTCCTCAAAAAGGTGGAAGGTGGTGAGTATTTGGAGGATTATAAGATTCAGGAGAAGGAAAACTTATCCTTTCCTCCAAGTATCATGGGGTGAGTAGCCCCGCCAGGTTGTCATTGGTCAACGATATCTGACAATCCCGTAGAATCATCAAGAAACAGGCCGTTAAACGCATGAAGAGGAATACGCACAGGGGCTCGAGAGCTCGTAAAGAGGCAGACGAGTCTCAAGGACAGCAACAAGTCGCCACTCCGCAGCCAAAGGTTCCCAGCAATAAGGGTGCTCCTCCCCCGCTTCGAGAGCGAGGAAAGGCAGGCCCCCGAAAATCACAATCCAGCTCCGGGAAAGGCAAATCGACGCGAGGTGCATGATCAACCGAGTAGATGTTATCTTCCATTCGCTCCGAAAGTACATAAGCTGAGGTGGTTGACGTACTAGAAACTATCCACGCTGTGACATCACAATCCTTATTATTTCACTAATTAGCAAGCGGGAGTGAACTGTAGTTATAATTAGGTCCAGCTTCTAGTACGACGAATCTGTTTGCAAAGGCCGATCCAACGTATGGTCACCCCGGGCAATGGTTCGTAGCTCGTCATGAATGGCCTTGTTGGAAGCAAAGTCATGCGTGTAATTCAGAGGTCGGACCACTTCCCGAGTATCCAACTGTACTAGTATCCAACCCCCAGGCTGACCAAAGGTCTAGAGAAACCCCTGAGAAAGCTCCCATCAGCCTAGTAACGTTCTGGGAGTGAGGCGACTGTCCCATCCAGGTAATCCCATATACACAGCCAGGAGTGACAACTCCAGCGGCTCCCAGAACCCAAGGGAGAATGGTGCGCACGATGTTACATTCACAGGGAAGAATTTTGACCCCTCAAAATGTATTACAATTTCCTGCGATTATTAGGATCTTGAACTCACCAAAATCCTCCTTTGAAGATGTAGCATCTTGAAAATAGCATCTTCGAGCTGTTACGGCTGTTTGGGTCCTTCAAAATACATAGGTCAATCCCGGCCGTGATAGGCCACAGCAGGGACAATCCTGGACAATCACACGCACAGGTTGCTTTCTCCGCCGGCTGCCACGGTGCCGCTGCTGGCTCCAGGCATCTCCGCGCCCTGCGCGTCTGCGGCGTCAATAGCGTGACACAATTCCTTTTCACGAGCCACAGCGAGCCACTAGCTTTATCCACCACCTCCCGTGCCGCTGTCACCACCGAACGTATATGCTGCGCAAACGACGGTACAACGGTCGAAGAGGACTACCCTCTCAGGGATACCCGAGTTACCATCCTCTGTCCTCACTCCTGTATAACGATGCAGATGTTTTTCTCTTGGATCCCCACCTGGGTCACCAAATGCGAGAAGCTCGGAGACAGCCTCGGCGGGTACGTTATCGTTGCCTTCCACCATGAAAGATGCGTGCTGAAATGATGCTAGCTATCTTTCCGATGGGTGTTGTCTTACTTTCTGACACTGTGGCTCACTGTCTTTCAGACATGGTGCCTAATGTTCACGTTGTCCACCATTTTGTACAGAGCCGGCTGCTCTGACGACGGGTTGCACACCGATCCTCTCCCAGCCCAGACCTTCAATCGCTATCAAGAATCTCCTACCTGCGCAATGCTGACCAGTATCCCCATCGTTGGAGACCTCTTCCACTTGCAGCGTCGCCTGAAGAAGGTAGTGACGCGACTGGACGATATCGACACCAGGTTGGACGACCACTTGCCACTCGAGTATCCCAGTAGAGACTTGGCTCTCCTCGGCCTTGGGGCTTCTATCATTCCAGCGCTCACGTCAGAGACAGACTCATCGCTCTCTTCCCACCCTGGGGTTGTCCTTCCTGCAGCCATCCTCGAAGAATCGCCATCCATTGGGGAGTGCTGGGAGTTTCGAGGTTCCAGCGGGCAGGTCGGGATACGCTTGCCAGAGAAAGCCAATATTACAGCCCTATCCGTCAGTTATGTCCGACCTAGCCGCCTTACAAAACCTCTACGAGAGAAAATACCCAAGTCTTTCAAGTTGTGGGGGCTTGTCTCGAAGGAAGACTTCGACAATCTCGCGCCGGGTGCTCCTTCTCGGCCTCTCCAGCAGGCTCTTCGCCGTGACCGACGACCGAAGCGCAATGCGGCGCCTGATAAAGCCTCAGGACTTGCATCGGTTGACTCTACCTTCATTCACTTGGTTTCGGGGCACTACGACCCACTCTCAAAGCGGTCCCGCCAGGTCTTTCCTGTGGGTACGCAGGCTGGGCTTCGTTTTGACACCGTACTTTTTGAAGTTATCGCTAACTGGGGTGGCCTGTCCACTTGCTTGTACCATATCGGTATCCATACTCATAGTGATTGAAGGGCTGTGTGTATAGGCAGAGCATAGGCAGAATCCTACGGGTGTTCGTGGAATGACGAAGGTCCACTGGTAGGATCATCTTGGTAGGATCATCTCATGTAATCAGCTCCCATCGCAAAGTCCGAGATAATCGATGGTCAATATCATTCTTCGACCATGGTTCATACGTGAATTCTCTCTCGGTCTGAGCACTACTAGGAGCACTTAGCAGAGCATGCCAACAAAGGGAACTCTAAGCAACTCGGAACCTTTTCCCATCCTCAGGCTCTTCTCGGATCAGAATTCTCCGACTTGCCCTTGGTTTTCCCAACCAGATTCCGGAGAAATTTGCGGTGGGTTTTTTGGCTTGTGGATACTAAGATATTAATAGCAAGGTCGAGGTCTATCCCAAAGGCGCCTATTTCCAATGACACCCAAGGCTATACCTCGATATACATGCTGTCATAAGATTCCAACAGGGAAACGGGGCAGGGAACCAAGACAGTTATACCATACTGCTGATGCGTCATACTGCTGGTGCGTCTCCGCCGAGTTCCTTTGTTCTCTTCTTGGATAAACCCAGCTCCAGCCTTTGAACCTCACCGAATACCTCCACAAGCAACCGCTCCAGATACTGAGATATGTTCCCCTTGCAACAGGTAAGCACTTCCTGGATCATCAGAGTAAAGGTTAACGGTGACCCTTCTAGACTCTGTCATCTGCCAATGGAGGAAATCTGGACGCATTGAACGCTATCCTCGAGTACACCAAGACGCGTCATGAAGATCATCGAGCAATTCTTTACGTGTCCCTAAAGATTCTCGCCCAAATCCCCATCCCGACAGATCGCCAACTTCACCGCGAACCCGCCGTCCAATGCGCCTTGGAGATCTTGGCTCGGATCTGCCACTCCACACCAAACGATGCCCCTTTCAAAGCGATACTCTTGGAGAATCGGGCAGCATACCTCCCTTGGATCGCACATATCTCGCGTCACGGTCAACGAGGATCAACGGAATTGGCCCTTGCAGCGTGGTGCCTCTTCGAGGTCGTCACACTTGATCCAGCTTTGAAAGCGACGGTCTTATCCACAAATGGGATACCAAATTCCATTCTCTCCCTTTGGATCAAAGGTCTCCCCCAGGTTGAAGGATTGGTCCTCCTCGACTATGAATCGAACATTAAGTGCCCATACTTGTCGCTCGCATACCACACCATCCGAGATCGAGATCGAGACGACCCTGAAGACCACATCACTCGAGCAATCACGTCTCTGTCAAAGCGGAAACTCGACAGCCTTGGTTATGCAACCCAGGCCAAAGTCGGTGCTATCATTGGATTCTATACCGAGAGGAAACTAGGTGCCATTGCTACACTTTACCACCTAGTGGCGCTTCTCGATGTGACGACACGCTCGCTTCAAACAAAGGCACATTGGACTTCAATCCTGGAGAAAGGGAACGTCCTGGGCGCTGTATTTGATGGCCTCAATACGCTCACTGAGGAGGGGGGGAATGAAGAGGCTTGGGACCTAGTTGTCTCCTGCTTCAAGTTCGTCTTTCCCTGGATCCTCGTAGCAGGACCCTATGACTCAAAGCCGCGAATACTACTGCAGCAAATCGTAGCCGGGGGGCGCTATCTCATCCTTTTTCGATCGCTTCTCCACCTTCGACCCAGAACGCAAGCCTTCAACTATGTCCTGGAAACGGTGGGGGAAATAGGAACTTATACCGTCATCCCTTGCATTAGCTCGTTGCTTTGGCCCTCATTTGAGAAGCTCAACCAGATCGTATCGGATATCAAGGAGCGGACACCATTTTTGGAGAGGAGAATGGATGGTTTCGTCAATGTCGTGTTGTGCGGGCGCGTGATTGCCTCTGAGGATTACGCAAGGCTCGTCCCTGCCGGATTGTGCGATAACATTCAGGTGAGTGTAGCGGAGCTCGGCTGTATCGGAACGTATAGAATGTTAACGGTACTGGAATCAACAGTGTCCTGGATTATTGGCAACCACGAAAACACGGCAATGCTCCGCTTGCCGTTCCGTCATTTACTGCTCTGAAGATTGCCAGATTGCGGATTGGGCCCCACACCACCGTAGGGAGTGTAGAGTCATCACACTTACACGTAAACGGCGCGAACTGCGAATTTGGATCCCTTTTTCGTTGAAGGGGATCTATCTCGGATTTTTGGAGGACTCTTGCATCTCTCACAGCGGATCCATTGAATCGAAGGCGCAATCGGATTACCCCAACGCATCCGTCCGCTCATTGGTGACCATGCTCAACTTTCGCGCGGTTCCTGTCCGATTTAAAGTCTTCACGTTCGAAGAGTACCGAACTGTGGCTGCTCCAGTTCCTTCCCACCTTCAGCCTCGAATCGAAGCATTCATCCAAGATTGTCAAGATGATCCAGAGCTCGCCCTTATCGAAACAACTCTGGCGCATGGTCTCGTCAAGATCAATATCATTGCCAGGGCCAAGGGATTCCCTCGGTCTTGCAGGATTGTCGGCGCGATATTTTCTTTCTGGTGGGTGCAGACCTTGCGACTGATGCTCTACGAAAACTGAGTGGGTCAATTTACTTTGCTTTAGCGTCACTTCATTTCGCGACGGGTCTGTATGTGTGTTGAAAGACGTTTCTGAGATAAATTCTGCTTTCTAGCTGCTATACGTGATTATAAGAATATATTGTACATTTTCCCTGCAACAACCCAGGTCAGCCTCATCTTGGTCGCTCAACTTTTGCACGAGTCCATGGATGGAAGCTGTCACCATGACGGCTACCAGCGTATTTCTCCGTTCGCTTGTACTTGCGGCAAGAGACCCGCCATATGAGAGCATGTTTGAGCACACAATCATAAAAATCATCATGGACATGCAGGATGGACCTCCTCATTCTGACTCTCTTCCGGACCCCAAAGCCGACCAAAAGGTCGCCTGAACCGACCCACTTCTGTGGACTTCCCAATTTTAAGTATGGTTGAAGGCGCTTATGGCCTGTTAACAACGATAATCATGGACATCACATCCTGAAACCCGTAGTTGGGAATGGAGCCGACTAAAACATCCCCTGATTTGACCACCTTTGGTCGAGACTCGACTTTCTAATGTGGCGAGTTCCCAAAATTCCCAAAATCCCCGCATTTCCCAAAATCCCCGCATTTCCCAAAATCCCCGCATTTCCAAAATCCCCGCATTTCCCAAAAGTTTCCCACATTTCCCAAACAGATCGGAAGGCGGCTAGGAAAACGGCAGGACAAAAAGGAGTAACGACTCTGTACAGGCGTGGCCTTGTTAACAGCGACGACATCCCATAGGTGACCAGATCTAGAGTGCCAGAGACCGCGAGGTCCTGCGAGGCCAGGCAAATCACTGACCTGTTCACCCAAGTCGATGGCTTGTACGAGGAATGTTTGCCGAAGTATGACAATGCGCGGTTTCCACCGACCTGTTCTTGGACGACGACGTATGACGGTGTCGATGGCTACAACTCCGACTCGGTCGAGTGCCCCAAGTCAACGTGACCTCTCGGCGCTCAACTCGCCAGATATCAACTACCTGACCCCTGGAACCCCCGAGTCGAGGCTAGAATCCTGAGGCTACGATGACTTGGTCAAGTCAAGCGCAGCAGCTTGTCCATTTCTAAAGGCTCGAGGCGACTTGATCAAGTGAATATTTAAAGAACCCCGCTCGACCAAGCAACACGCTTGAGTCGCTTGAGGCACTGTGATAAACCCTCAACAAGCTGGAGGCTGCATAATTACGATCAGAAGGTTGACTCTCCCACCGGCATCCTCTGGCGACGAAATCAGTGAATGAATACGGCAATTGATGAGCCTTAGCGGGCAGGCATGGCCAGAGCGCCCGCCGCCAACGCGATGCTGCAGAGAACAGGCACACTGATGACGCTCTCGAGTCGCGGTGAACTATTTAGGAACTATGTAAGATCTATGTTGAACTTTTTCCTTGTACATAGTTTCAAGGTAGACTTAAAATTGTTTTGGGCACCTAAGTATGCTGGAGTGCACGACAGCATAGTTTCCATTATAGTTTTTCTGTGAACTATTTTGAAACTATTTTCAGAGAACTATTATGAAACTATTTTTGTCCCGAAAATAGAACAAAGATACGTTTGTCCCGAACTATGAACAAACTTTTTCGGAAATAGTTCCGGCATAGATCGGACCGAACTATCGAGGAACTAATCAACATAGATTTTTACGTAGTTCTGGATAAACTATTTGACTTTGCATGCGGTGCCATGAGTCATACTACGATCAGTATCATTCGAGTATGTGAAAAGTTACTTGTTTCTTTCACTTTCCCTCACTTGCCTCTGCTAATTTAACGTGCTCGCTTGCTTTCACTTGTTCCCACGCTTGACGACTTGCACTTGCGTCCACTGGGCGCTTGCCGCAGAGGGCTCCGCTTGGCCTCACACAGAGTACCTGTAGGCTGTGCACCAAGGTAGGCGCCTGCTGTTCGATTTAGACACTGAGGACGAGGTAATTATGAACCAGTACATGATGTATGCATGGAAATCGAGAGATGCGCGGGGGCTCGGAGAGGCCAATACGTCAAATACTCGTCTTGCATCGTGCCTTTTGTCTGAGATCTGTGACACTCAAGACTGTTTTCCCCCTCCAAACATTGCGAATATCCGATTCCCCTATTGCTTCCAGAATATCGATATGTGTCGTCCTCGTTGAGAGGGATTGACCCAATTGGCAGTGTAGGGGCAAACCGTTGCGCGCGAGATTCTGGATCCATGACAATAGTGACGTTCGCTCCAGTCCAACACGTCAGGAGATTAACATATGAGACGACATCATGCTACAGTCCGCTACTCTCCTTCATCAACCATTGGCATGGACCATGGTGGCACCTTTCCTCATTCAAATATTTATCCTACGCGTACTATACGCATCCTGTTACCTGCGACTTTGCCGCTGATAGCCATTATGAACCGTTTGGATTGTGATTAATGCACCCACGCGTGCTCACCTCTACCATCCCATCACTCGTGTAAGCGATGCTCTGCGTCCCCCAGCAAAAAAAAAAGGCGTTACCTTGAGGTTGGTTCTATGAAGACGAGATTGCATTGCCCTGTGCTCGTTCCTAAAAGGCGTGTTTTATCTCGGTAAGTAGTTATGTACTGCAACCCTCTGCACTTCGAGTCTTCGCCCCCACAAGCGATCGCTTTACTTAGCGAAGATATAGAATTCACTTCCGACTGCGCGAATCTTTTCACTTCCGCTTCATTTTGCTTTGGTCCACTTTCACTTCACTTGCGAAATTTCACTTGCCCTGCTAAAAGTGAATCCAAGTGAGAACTTGCAGAGGCAAGTGAGAAATCCAAGTAACTTTTATAAGAACCCAGAGACAGCAGCGACATCTAGCGACGTTCAAGGAGGGCAACGACGATGCATAACATGAGTAGTAATTCATAAATGTGGGCCTCTCAAGAGAGATTAGTGATCTAAGTGTGATAACCCTAAGCTCGTAATCAAAATCGAAGGAAGTCTGTGGCTGTCAATGCGAATCCGATATCGAACGCTTGGACTGTTTGAGTGGACCGAGATCTCTTTCAACAGCCACCATGTCCTCCTCAGCTATCCTGCACCCAGCATTGAATAAAAGGCTGTCTTCACTCACACGACGACGAGAGCGATAACCTCGGAAGCTATGCCATTTTCGGGCGTCTATCACCTGCGGGGCACACGATGCAAAACGATCCTTGTCAACTGAACAACTCGGCGCTGAGCCAAGTTGTGCTTGTCCTCCACAGCACTCGCCACCTCACCCACTTTTTCTTCTCGGCGGCCAAGGAAAACTGAGATGGAGATGGAAGGTTTGCCAACGCTTCCCAACAGTTCTTACCTTGCCGCGCCCGAGAAGCATCGAGGTGGTCATCGAAGGCGTCTTGGACCGCTGCGCAAGCCTGCGCCGAGCTATCGACATGGGACGCCTTCAGGTGAGTTCACCTCCTCCCCACCGTTATTGCACGATACTGATGAGTCGCAGGACCATGGCCTTTTCTCGACATCGACGACGAGGTTTGTCTCCTCCAACCTCTCGTCTCTCCCATCTAACCGCGAATCCAGGTCGACCCCAAGCGAATCGAAGATCCAGACAGCCACATCCCCATGTCCGCCGAGCCCTGCGTGCACCACATCAACCTCACCCAAGAGTTCTGCTGGTGCAAGTACCCGCAGTCGCTCTACCCCAACTGGACCGTCCGCCAACAGCGCAAGAGCCGGATTTTGAAGGTGATCAAGAGGAAGGAAAGGCAGCGGTGTATCGTGTACTATATCGACGTGAGGGACGATGGGGTTTTTGTGCCGTCTGCGCCGAGGGAGGTGGATGAGAGTGTGAGCAAGCAGGATGCGCAGTGGCATGTCATGACACACGAGGTAAGTCCATCTTTACTCGACGGTAGACGTTTTATTGAAAGGGTATGGCAGCGCCCACACGACTCACGCGCCAGGGTCGTCTTTATCGACAACCTCACCGGCCCCGCCCTCCAAATGTTCGGCACACGCTACAACATCGAGCCCTTCTTCTTCTCCTCCACCATCAGCTACATCCCCTCACGCTTCCAGTCGCACATTAAGCCTAAAGAAGGCGACCATGTCACGCTCACGCTCTCCTTTATGCGCGCCACGACCAACCCGGCTACCGACTACCCCAGCCCAGGCTCGAGTTTCGCGACGGGCGTGAGCGGGAGGAGCCAGTTTGGTCTCTCGGCGAAGGAGCTCATCATCGATACCCAAGCTCCTCTCCCACTGCGCTCACCGCAGAGCGACATCATGCTCGTTTCTGACTTTTTAGCTGTGCATATGGTCCGAAGGTGCGCACACAGCACGCTCATTTCCTGCCACTCGGGTAGGAACGATTTAACGACGACGGCGGAGACGATGTACGAGCGGTTTCATCTATGCGGTAAATCGGTTTATTGGAGTTCGATTTTCAAGACGACGAAGGATCCGACGTTTTTGTTGTTGTGTTTGTTGTGGTATGTCCTGTATGCTTGGGATGAAGTGTTTGATGCTCTATATGCGCATATATGCTACTTGGTGCGTCTTCTCCACCTCACTTTTGTTCGTATTTTGCTGATAGAGTGCAGGAGGACAAAGTGATGACCTCGAACGACCTCGAATTCACCCAGGAACTGCACGTCATCCGCGCCCACCTCCTACACTACGAATCACTCATGGAAGAATTCAGAAAGACGGTCGAATTCGTTCAGCGTACAGAGAACCCAGCCCTGGACAACTCGGACGTGTTTTCGGAGGAGCATAGGGACCGGACGACGAAATTGATTCATCGCGAATGCGAGAACTTGCTTCGCGACATCAGGAGGCTCGAGACGAGTAGGAAGATGCAGGATAAGAGGTTGAAGAATGTCATGGATTTGGTGTGTATCTCGTATGGGTATATGGGTAACGGAGGCGCTAATGTCGGAATACAGAGCTTCAGTCTTGTCAACATCGAGGATAGTCGTCGGATGGCCAAGTTGACGGAAGCTGCTGTGCGGGACAGTGCGGCGATGAAGCAGATTGCGTATTTGACGATGTTCTTTTTGCCGGCTGGGTTCGTTGCTGTGAGTTGTCTTTTTCATCCCTCTCTCTTCCATCTTCGTCGTGTTCTTGTCTTCCGCTTTACCTCCCTCCCTTCCAAACTCCCTGTCTCTCCTCCTTGTCTCGTTCATTCATTCCCCCCTGCCCTCTCCGTTGTTTTCATTTTTGTTGCTCTCACCCTCGTCCGCTCTGCCTCTCGCTCTCACCGTACGCTCTCATCCTCATTTGTTCCTCCTTTTGCCCATTCCTCCCCTTCCCTTCCTTGTGTTCCTTTCCCATCTCGCCTTTCCCATCTCGCTCTTCATCTCTCCAGTGAACTAACCCCTTCCTCCCTCTTACCTGCATCCAGACCTGCTTCGGAATGAACATCACCGAAATAAACCCCAAAGAATCCGCCCCGGGGATGACACTCGCCAAATACTTTGCAGTCGCTGTTCCCTTGACGGCTGTAACTGTGTGGTTGGTCGTGGCGTACCAGATACGCATTCCAGATCCTAGACGGGAAGTGGAGGACTCGTATTCGCGGGGTGGTAGGGATGGAGGTTCCAGTGGGTTAACTTTCGCAGGTATGTTTTGTGGTGGTGACAACCTTTAGGTTGGCGGTTGGTTTGGTTAGTTGGGTCAGTACTGACGCACGACGTTTGCTGGTAGGAGTGTACGACGAGAAACATACCGGCTCTCTGGGAGGTCTTACCTCAAGCTCGAAATACCCCCCCACCCACCACCACCACGACGACGGGCGACACCGCCGGTTAGGTTTCTTTGAACGGTTGTTGTGGCCTGTGTGGTTGTTTATGAGTGTGTTTGAGAGGCGGAGTGTGGTGTTGGAGAGGGCGAGGGTTGGGCGTGTTGGTGTTGCTGGTTTTGGTGGTGGGGGTGGGCATGGTGTTGGTGTTGGTGTTACGGGTGTTGGTGGAGGTGGAGGTGGTGTCCGAAGCGGTGTTGGGCACCCGAGGATTGGTGGGATGCGGGTGTAGGAAGGGATATGGAAGGAAAGCGGGACGAGGTTGGCGGTGTGGGGAGTGTGGTACCACTCATTCTGGAGAGGTGGTGGTGGTGGTGATCAGGCAAGCAAGAAGGGCTGCCCTTTCAGGAGATGAGCGTTGTATGGGAAGCCGGGCGATTCATTGGAAGGAGGGAGAACTCATGGTCCATAAGACGTGCGATCTATTGGAAGGAGGCTACATACGTGCGTATGTAGCTGGATGGAGGGAGGGTCCCGGCAGCTCTCAGGCTTGAACCGACCTAGGTGTAAACAAGGGGGCTTGGGGTGTAGGATGCCTCTGAAGGTCTGCCAGGTCTATATGAGGACGCCTCTGGTGGGTTTTGGAGCTGTGCGGATATCACTGGAGGACTTGAGGGCCGTACGATGATGTTGGCATTAGACGAAATTCACGACGGCTGACGAATCCAGACTATGATTGCATGTATGTACGAGACTTGGTCCATGGATGTTGTGTATTTGGTTTTTGTGGATGGTTTTTGTGGATGGCTGGATGGTTTGAAGAACTTGATGCTTAATGTTACGTTCTAGAGACGATGTATGTACGTTTTACCTCCTTATGTAGGATTTTAATACACACCACATCAAATTGTGTAGTGACAATCCAACGCAAAAGGGGTGTTACTTTCTAGGGCGAAGAGTACGGATGGACCTCAAGGAGAAATACTGGTGAGTAGGTGGCTTAAGAAGCGAAGCTCAAGGGCTACTCATGAGATGTCTGTTGTCCGTCGCGAAAAGGTATATAAATATTCTCTGTACACTACGCAATCCGCCTCCTTTTCGCTTGTGCACCACGTACATAATCTTCTATTCTACGCACGATCCCTTCATGTCCCTGCGCGGCAGCGTAGGATGCAGCATCTTGTCCATGCAAACACCTAAGCTCGATATCCACCTTCCCCGACTGCAGGATCAGGTCGACAATGTCCTGATGACCACACCACACAGCATAAATTATAGCGCTGCGACCATGTTCGTCCGTGCAATTGACATCGATCCCTCTCCAACCGAGAAGTCGTTCAACCGCCCTGCTGTGGCCGTGGTACGATGCCCACATGAGTGCAGTCTGTCCATTGCTATCCTTGGCATTGACGTGGAGGTCGAGGCGGTCGTTATCATGGCGAAGTGCTGAAGTTGCTGTGGGCCGCCTTCCCCATTCGTTGCTGAAGATGTCGACCTGGATCCCATCGGCTTGGAGAAGGTTGAGGACGACAGGCCAGTAGTGATGGGTATAGGCTAGAGAGAGCGCCGTGGAACCCGAGTAATCCACAGCGTTCACGTCCACCTTTCCCGACTGGAGTAGTGTCTGCACCGTGCTGGCACGCCTGAAGAGGAGGCTATCATAATCGGAGTCTGACCCTTGGCGTTGGTCATGTTGAGAACAGCTTCGTCGACTTGGGAGAGCTGTTCCACCACGTCGTCGTGTCCCCACCGCGATGCCAGGTGAACCGCGGTGTTTCCTTCCCAGTCGACAGCCGCGACATTGATTCCCTTCAATCGAAGTAGGTCCTTCGTGATGTCCTTGTAACCACAGTAAGAGGCGACCATCAGAGCGGTATGTCCAATCCTATTTGCAGCGTTGACCCGTATGCTGTCCGATTGGAGCATTCGACGTACGATGTCTGGGAGATTACTGAACGTTGCCAGGATTAACGCAGTGTCGCCCCTGTCATCCGTGACCATGACATCCAAAAAATAGGAGTTGAGAAGTTCGTGAACTACCTCTGCTACTAGGTCGATGTGGTACCCGGATTTCCAGGCGGCGATCAAAGCTGTTTGTCCATGTCGGTTCGCAGCATTGACTTGTATGCCGTCTACTGCGAGTAGAAGGCGCACAAGGTGTAGGTTGCGTGAGCGTACCGCATAAACCAACGCTGTGTCTCCATTGTTGTCGCGTGCGTTGACGTCGATGTCGGGATGCTGAAGCAATTGCTCCACAAATGGTACAGCGCTGGACTCTACTGCGTAGATTAAGGCGGCCTTCCCCCACTGGTCGCGAGCGTTGACCTGTATGTTCTTGATTTGTAGAAGACGTGCCAAGGTGGGGCAAGGGCCTTCACAGGGTCCGGCGTCGTGACAATGCGCCTTCCGAACCACTTGAACCAACACAGTGCCTTCCTTAGTGGCCATATTCGGGTCGATGGTCCTGTAGACGAGGAGGTCCTCGACAATCGAGACATGGCCGAGCCATGAGGCGAGAAATAGGGGCGTGATCGAATCGTTATCGGTAGCTGAATTGACGTCGTATAGGCCATCAGGAGAAGCACCGTCCACGGTCACCAAGCGTGGAATAAGGGCGGCGAGGTCATAGAAGACCGCCATGTGTAGAGGGTTGAACTTCATCACTGACAGGGTCCTGAGATCGCTGAATGGGCCCCAAGGCCTGAGGGGGAAAGAAGTGCACTGCTTTACAAAGTTGAAGACTGCGCTTTCGACCTCGGAAATACCCTTGCAGTGGTGGTAATGGGAGTACCAGTGATTGTCAGCATACCGCGCAAGAGGAGGCTGGAGGACTAGTTCTAGCTCCCATTCGCCCTTGACACGGGATTGGGGCAGGCCTAGGGAAATAAGCCTCTGCATCAAGACCTGAACAAGCATTACGTGAGGCTGGGGGTAGTATTCCAATAGGATTGTTGGAAGCGCTTCTTGAGCCGTATAGTCTGTGAATGAATGTGTCAGTGCGTTGCTCATCGTCGGAAAGGACAGTCACTTACGAACAAGCCGAACTCGAAGGAAATCGTCCACCTCGATCAATCCACAACACGCCGAGATGAGTGACTCTTGGTCGACCATCCTTTCCTCATCTACCACGTGCGTTTCTGCGTCGGCGGCAACCGCACACAATACGTCCTCGATATGCAAGGCCTGTCGCGAAAAAACCACCCAAAGAAGAGCCCTTATCCCCAGGTCGGTTTGGAAAGCAGGCTGTGCTTGGATTCGCTGAACGGTCTGGCGGTACATGTCTTCGAGTGAGAGGGGCAAATCATTCAGGACATCTTCTAGATCCTTAAAGCTTCTGCAAAGTCCGAGAGCTTCTACCTGCAGTGCAGCGTGGATAAACCTGCAGTCCACTGGAATTAGAAGCACGGCCAGGTACAGGCAAGGGGTACGCACATTCCCTCAGACTTATCCAATATCTCGGAAACCACTCTCAGTTGGCACCGGTTCTGCTGCAAAAGGCGACGCAGGTGGGAGTGTTGGTCGATCTTGGCTTCTACGAGGCGCCGGATGTCCTCTCTATCCGCGCAGACCTGATAGAAGACGGCGGAACGAAGGTCGTTTCCAGTGTTTGAAGCGGCCGGGAGGTGATGGCAAAGCGTCCTTTCAGGGAGTTAATCGCCTTGATGAGATCGAACTGAACCGTGATCAGCGCCTCGTCCAGGCCGTCGATGATATAGAATACAATATCGAAGTGTTCCTCAATGGTGCGGAGGAGATCCATGAGCTCCTTGAGAGAAGGTCGGGTTTTCTCGCGACGGTGGCGCTCAAGGACGGGAAGGATGGCGGCGACTAGCACGTGCTCGGTATGACGTTCAAGGCATTGCTTGATGAGCCCTTCGAGGATGTCCTTGACAGTCAACGCCTCCGTGTATCGGCAGTAAGCATAGAGAATACAAATCTTCTTGTCGGGTTGCTTTTCGAGAGGTTCCAGGTCCTCAATGAGGCGAGATCTATGGGTATTGGGAAATAGTCAGTTTCAGAGCAACTTCAACTAGGATCAAGTGGCTACGCAAGAACGGTCTTCCCAGCCCCAGCTTATGAGATCGTCAATACTGCTGCTCGAAGCAGTGAAACGGTCCGCGACTCACGAATCCCAGTTCCCCAAATGACCTTGGTATCCCCTTTCTTCCATTGGTCGTAGTCATCTCCTTTGAGAAACCAAGACAATGTTCCCTCCGTGCATTTCTCCAGATTCTGGATGTAAATGGACCGGAAGTTGACATTCGGCGCGAGCCAATCCAGGATGTTCTCCACCTCTGCGTTGAACGTTAGCCTATAGTGTTCACAGATGGAGTCCGCAAACTCTCACTTTGTTCTGGAACTCTTGGCTGCACGATGTTCGTAATTTGCGTCAGGTTCCCGCTGACGATCGTGGTGTTTCCACTGAGGTGATTACCTTGGAGGTTGAACTGGGCTGCCTGTAGAGGTCCTGAGAGGCTCTCGTGCCGAGATCCAGATCCATCCATCAATGTCGTTTCTCTTCCCCCTTGACTGACTCCAAGGACATCTGGATTCGCTTCGTCAGGTTCGGTGATCATGGCCGGCGCTCTAGTTGTCGCCTGCAAGGATTCCACTTGGTGCGGTGTCCCATGACGAGAGATAGGGTCGGACATCGCTCAGTACAACGGTCTGTTCCAGCGCGGCAGCCACATTGTCTATATCAAGGCACGATCAGCATTCCGCTCAGAGCAGCTGTAGGGAGTCATATCTCTTACATCCCCCAGGCATCGGGACATGATCTTCATTCCTGCATTCTATCTGTGCATCCCTTTCGTCACCACTGCCCCCCCACTACATCGATGATACTCATCAGTCCACCGCCCATCGTTAAAGTGTATATCAATGGCCACTCACCACGAACGAGATTCCTGACCCCATCCTTCCAATACAAGGGTTTGCAGGTCGTGCACACGCAGTGTATCTTCAGGCTGACAGTGGTCGAAACGTTCGACGATGAAGCCCCAGGAAGAAAAGCCGAGTAGTGCAAGTCGTCTTGGTGGTGGTAGAAGGGAAAGTGGGAGTTGCGCGCCCCGTCACACCGCATGTATGATGCTAGGCAGGCCCAGCGTGCTTCTGTGACATGCTGTGTCAAGGTGACATCGTCCACCCTCATTCCGTGCATTTGGACCTGGACGATGGTCCAGATAGGGTACAATGTGGCTGTTTTCCCAACCTGCAGCTGGGTTTGGGACTGGCACTGACGGTAATTGGTTGTGACTGTCGCAATCCAAATAGTTTAGCCATCATCAAAGCCCGGCTTTCAACGACCCAGCTGCTCACACAAACTGCGCTCTGGCAACAAGAGTCGTTCCTTTCCAAAGCCGTCGTTGACATGGCGGTGGGCGGGAAGAAGGCGTGGTTGGCGCTGTGTGTGCGGGCAAAAGGTATTTGATGCGCTTGGTAGCGGACAAACAGACAGGTTTCAACGTTGCAGCATCTCGCTGCTGAGTTCCTGCTCCTCAAGTGTTTGTTTTCCATGAAGTTCAATTCATCACAAAACAAAAGAAGGCAGGATCAAGATATCAGATTTCAAATCTGGACCTATACATGACATGATGAACTTCCAAACTACCCAAAGGCAGACAGATCGGTACACGTACCAATCCAACCCCAGGGGATCCCATAGACTTATCTGCATAGGTACACTAGCAGGGACGTAACTTACCAGGACGGATCAACCGCAACAACGCTGATACACCCAACACCGATAACCAACACCCAAGAGGGGGGTGAGTTCGATGAAGGCCAGCAGCTCGATAACCCACCCAGAGGACGGAGGCGTCACAGCCAAGTTTAAGTCGGCCCCCCTCCCCCCCAATGGCGAGTCTCACATGGGTTCAGGATCAACCAAGGGTACGGTTCGTGGGCTTTGAACTCGCGAGAAGAGGACCTGCTCATAACCCGGCTGTGAAACAGGCTCGGCGGATATGGAGTTGCGGCTGTCGCGGTTTTCTCTTTGGGTTGACCTGGACGCGCTTCTAGGTTGGAGAGTGCAGGCAAGGTTCGCTCGTCGTCAAAGTGTAGAGAATGTCAACGCCCTACGACTAATCAGCAGCGCTCGGTCGAAGAGATGGATGGAAGAGCTCACCTGAAGCTGTCCCACGTCAATAGCAGCTGGGTGCAGGCTTGCGGAGAGTTCCAAGGAATGATGTTTGAACAGCTAATCAGGGCATCTCCATCTCCGTGGCCTTGGTCGTCGAGAGAGAAATTGCGGGACGTGGTGGGCGCCATGGATGACAAGCACAAGGTTGACCGTTGAACGTTGAGCGCGAGCGCCTAGCTTTGGACAAATATCGAACTGTGGGAACGGCCGATCAGAGACGGACAAGGAGCTCAAGTCTCCCATCCTCGTTCTCCAACACCACAACTACAGGTTGGGCTTCATCGGTAAATCATCTTGGTTCAACCTCACTTCGTCTAGTCGGAATTCGAACCTCTCCTAAACCCAAGCTACACCATCGCACACAAGGAACGACCAACGTCCACGACATTGATCATTTCAACTCGATTCAAAACTCGGCCGACATTGCGTCTACTCATTCCGAAGTCCAGGTCAGATAGGGGCTTCTCAACCGCGCACCGCATATGAACTACACAATATATACCTACTCGCATGTAAGGCCGAAGACACTTTACACGAATCAGATTCCGTTGGTGCTGCTACTTTTGGTCCTGTGTGGTGTCGGAGAAGACAAAGGAATCGGTTTGCCTGGAGCGCGAGGTTCTGTCGAGGGATAGCAGGAGGCTCGAGGCGAGTATGTAGAAAAGATATAAGATCTATGAGTAGGTCAAGAACGTTATGAATTTGGTGCGTGTTCATAGACCATCTACCATCCAATACTGACCTGCCAATGATACAGGGGATTGCCAATTTACCAGCACTACTAAGTATAACGATGATAGCAGAAGAATGGCCAAACTAGCAGAGACTGCTGCGCGGGGTAGTAGCAGGCTATGAACCGAATTGCCTGTCGGGCGATACCTCTGTCAGTTGGGTTGGTTGCTGCAAGCAGCCTTCCTTGCCTCTTCTTCTGGTCTCCCTCCCTTGACCTCTCCCTTTCTCCCCTGCTCACTCATCGTCCCTTTCTGCGTCTGTCTCCCTTCTTATCTTCTCTCCCTCAGTTTCTCTCTCACTCCCCTTCTCTATCTCTTCGCCCTCTTCGTCTTCCCCATCCATCGTCTTCCCCTCCGTCCCCTTTCTCCAAACACCACGCTAATCCCTCCAGACCTCCTTACCGAACCCAAATCCAGCAAATTCACTGTTAGTTTTAACTGGCCATTGGGATTCCGGATCTAAGGCGGGAGAACAATGGGTATTCGGAATCGACGGCGAGGAGGGGGTGGCGGTAAATTCAGAGGTCGTGAGGACTCCGGTACGTTTAGATTGATATGAACGAGTGGATGGATGGGTGCTGACAGTGAACCACCACGCTTACATCTAAATACTACCATGGCCGACACCAGTGCGCCCTCGACCGTCTCCAGCAATCACACAGGGTGGGACAGAGCCCAGACATCATACATGGCAACGAAGAACAGATTTTGCCGCCGCAGTCCCGCTTACTCTAACGATCCCATTGCGCCAAAGCTACTGCGCATTCCGCTTAATTCAACACCAAGCCCAGCCTCGTAATATTATCCTGGAGATTCGGGCAAAGTATTCTGATAGAGCGCAGCCAGTAAACTACGTAGAAGTCGACATGGAGTGATAGTCGTTCAATAAGCGAATAATACCGTCATGTCCTGGTTCCATCGATGCATACATGACGGCGTCATATCCATACGTATCCTTATGACCGACGTCCGATACCATGCCAGATTGAAGGAGCTGTTCGACGACCTCTTCATGCCGGGCCCATGCCGCATAGATCAAGGCGGTGCGCCCATAATAATTTGCAGAGTTGGCGTCTACACCTCCGTGGTCAATGAGGATCTGAACGAGGGTGCTGTGGCCATTAAAAGCCGCGAAGGTTAGAGCAGTGTTCCCAAGGGAGTCCCGAGCATTGATATCAATGTTTTGGCATCGTAGAAGGATGCTGGCGCTGGTATAATGACCAAACTTTGACGCTTGCATGAGCGCAGTTCTCCTCTTGTGGTTCGCTTGATTGACTCGGATCCCATCCGCTCGGAGAAGGTGGAGAATGACGGGCCAGTGGTTGTCGGTGGATGCCGCAAGGAGTGCTGTGGAACCTGACTTATCAACGGCATTGACATCTACCTTTCCAGACTGAAGAAGCCGCAGCACTGTGCTTGCATGCCCGTGAGGGGAGGCCACAATAAGTGGTGTCTGGCCCTCGGCGTTGGCCATGTTGAGAACGGCTTGATCGGCCTGGATGAGCTGGTCCACTACATCGTCGTGTCCAGCACGCGCTGCCAGGATTGCCGCGGTATCACCATTCGGATCGACAGCGGCCACATTGACCCACTTGGATTGGAGCAGTTCCCCCACGATGTCTGTGTATCCTCTGTCAGAGGCGATCATCAAAACAGAGTGTCCGTTCCTGTTTGCAGCGTTGACCTGTATACCGTCGTGTTGGAGCAGTCGACGTATGATGTTCAAGAGTTCGGCTCCTCTGAAATCGTCGTTGGGGACGTAGCACCGACGCACTGCACAAATCAATGCTGTATCCCCGTTCTCGTCCGTAGCGTTGACATCCAAATCGACACATTGGAGCAGTTCTTGGACAACGCCGGCCACTGCCCTGGCTTGGAAGTTTTCATCGGATTGAAAGGCGGCGATCAGAGCTGTTTCTCCTCGCCGGTTGGCAGTGTTGACTTGTATTCCGTCTGCCTGGAGCAAAAGGCGCACCATGGGCGCCGCGGCGATGTGCCAGCGTGCTGCATGAATCAACGCCGTATCCCCGTTCTGGTCTGCAGCATTGACATCCAAATCGACACATTCCAGTAGTTCTTCGATGACCTCAGCCACCGCCTCTTCGATGGCCTCAGCCACCGACTCTTCGATGGCCTCAGCCACCGACTCTTCGTCGCATTGTAAGGCGGCGATAAGCGCTGTTTCTCCTCGGCGGTTGGCAGTGTTCACTTGTATGCCATCTGCCTGGAGCAGAAGGCGCACTGTGAGAGCGTCGCGCGAGCGCGCTGCATGAATTAACGCCGTATCGCCGTCTTCGTCTGAAGCGTTGACATCCAAATCGACACATTGGAGCAGTTCATGGACAACGCGGGCCACGTCATCGCCTAGGAATACTGTATCGCATTGAAAGGCGGCGATTAGAGCTGTTTGTCTCCGCCGGTTGGCACTGTTGACTTGTATGCTGTCTGCCTGGAGCAGAAGGCGCACCATGGGCGCCCCATCGTACCGGCGCGCTGCACGAATCAATGCTGTATCGCCGTCCTCGTCTGCAGCATTGACATCCAACTCGTCACATTCGAGTAGTTGTTCGACGTTATGTGACTCAATGCATGGTGCAGTGGCTTCAATGAGAGCCGTTTGTCCTTTCCGGTTGGCAGCGTTGACCTGTATCCCATCCGCTCGGAGTAAAAAGGCTATGGTATCAGCGCTGATATTGCTCCTCGACGCGTGAATCAACGCAGTGTCGCCATTGTTGTCGCGTGCGTTTACGTCGATCTCTGGATGCTGAAGCAGTGCCTCAACCTCTGACGCAGTGTCATTCTCAGCCGCGTACATTAATGCGGTCGTCCCCTGTTGGTCGGTAGCGTTGACATGGATGTCCTTGACTTGCAGAAGCCGTACCAGGGCGGAGAATGTACTCCCCCGAGCTGCCCCCACCAACGCAGTGCCGTGCTCCGTGTGTAGGTTGGGGTCAGTGGTCCTGCAACAGAGAAGCTCTTCCATGATCTCAACATGGCCGAGCTCCGAGGCGATACTCAAGGGGGTGTGTGACGCGGTAGTTGAATTGACGTTGTACTGGCCATCAGGGGAAACACCATCCTCGGACACCAGCTTCGGAATAAAACCGATCAGGTCATAGTAAGCGGCTAGATGAAGAGGGTTGGCCCTTGCAAACGCGTAACCGTAAAACGGAAGGGATGTTCTAAGGGGGAAGGAAGTGCACTGTTTCAGGAATTGGAGGACCTCGCTCGCGATCTTGGGGATACCTTTACAGCGGTGGAAATGGGAGTGCCAGTGGTCGTAAGCATACCGGGCAAGTGGTTGCTCTAGGATATTCCTTAGTGCCTCGTTGTCCTCGACATGGGATTGAGGTAGGCCTAGGGAAATAAGCCTCTGCATCAAGGTCTGAAGAATCATAGTGTGAGGATGGGGGCAACATTCCAGCAGTATTGTTGCAAGCGCCTCTTGAGCCGAGTAGTCTATAAGGCGTGTCAGCACTTCGTCAGCTGGCACTGTAGGGGATGGTACTTACGAACAAGGCGAACCGACCGCCCCCAATAAGTATCCTGCACCTCAATCAACCCGCAGCAGGCCGATATCAGTGCCGCTTCGTCAACCATCCGCTCCTCGTCGAACACGTGCGTTTCTGGGTCGGTGGCAACGGCATATAACAAGTGCTCGATGCCGAAGCGCTCCTTGTCTAGGGAGAAAACTACCCAAAGAAGAGCCCTCATCCCAAGATCAGCTTGAGCAGGAGACCGTGCTTTGATGCGCTGGACCGTTTGGCGGTACATGTCCTTGAGTGAGAGGGGCAAATTCTTCAGGACATCTTCCAGATCCCTGAGGCTGCTGCAAAATCCGAGCGCGTCGACCTGCAGTGCGGCGTGTATAAACCTGCAGGTCATATGTCGAGAATTAGAAACGCGACGGGATACAAGCAAACTGTACCCACATTCCCCCAGACTTGTCCACTATCGCCGAAATTATTCTCTGTTCACATCGGTGCAGTTCTAGAAGGCGACGCAAATGGGAGTGTTGGTCGATTTTTTCCCGCACGAGACGCTCGATGTCCTCTCTATGCGCACAGACCGGGTAGAAGGCAGCAGAGTGAAGGTCTCCCTCGAGTGTTTGGAGCGGTCGGGAGGTGATGGCGAAGCGTCCCCCCAGTGAGTTTATCGCTTTGACAAGGTCGAACTGAGTGGCGATCTTGGCCTCGTCCAAACCGTCGATGATGTAGAATACGATGTCGAAGTGTTGCTCAATGGTGCGGAGGAGATCCATGAGCTCATTGAGAGACGGTCGGGTTTTCTCGCGACGATGGCGCTCAAGGACGGGGATGATGACTGGGGCGATCTCAGGATGGCGTTCGAGGCATTGTTTGATCAGCCCTTCGAGGATGTCCTTGACACTCAAGGCCTCTGTGTAGCGGCAGTAGGCATAGAGAATACAAATCTTCTTGTCGGGTTGCTTTTCGAGGTCCTCGATGAGGCGAGATCTATGGGAAAATAGTCAGTTTCAGAGCAACTTCCACTGGGATAGAGTGACCTACGCAAGAACGGTCTTCCCAGCCCCGGCTTATAAAATCATCAATCCGACTGCGTGAAGGAATGGAATAGATGGAGACTCACGAATCCCCATTCCCCAAATCACTTTGGTTTTCCCGTTCTTCCATTCGTCGTATTTTTCTCCTGTGAGAAACCAGGAAAGTGTTCCTTCCGCACACTTCTCCAGATTCTGGATGTAGATGGACCGAAAATTGACTTTCGGCGCGAGCCATTCCAAGATGATCTCCAGTTCTACGGTTGACCGTTAGCCTAGCATCCACAGATGGAGTCGCCATACTCTCACTTTGTTCAGGAACTCCGACCGGCTGCACGACGTTCGTAATTTGAGTCAAGTTCCCACTGACGATCGTGTTTCCGGTTAGGCTGCTGCCTTGGAGGTTGAATTGAGTTAGCTGTGGAGGTGCTGCAAGGCTCTCGTGTCGAGCTCCAGCACCATCGATCAACGCAGATTCCTGCCTCCCTGGACTGATAGCAATAGCGCCCGGATTCGCTTCGGGGCCCGACCTAACCGTGGGCGACCTGGTTATCGCCTGTAAGGAAACTCCCTGGTGCGGCACCCCCTCACGCGAAATGGCAACGCCGCTCGTCACAGGGGCCTGCGAGGCAGCCACGTTGTCTATATCAAGGAAGGTCAGCGTTCCGATTTGAGCAGGTGTAGGGCTCTCTCACATGCTCCAGGCATCGGGGCATGATCCTCAGCCTCGCATTCCATCTCCACATCCCTTTCATCCCCGTTCTCTCCCCACTGCATCGAGTAATCAGTCCGCCGCCCATCTCTAGGAATGAAACAACGGCCGCTCACCACAAACGAGATTCCTGAACCCATTCCTCCAATGCACGAGTTTGCAGGTCGTGCACAAGTGGCGAACTTTCAAGCTGTTAGTCCTGTTAGTGGTAGAAATCCGCTACGACGTCGTCCAAAGCAGAGAGCGAGAAGTGCGGTGGTGGTGGTGGTGGTATTTGAAGGGCAAGGAGCGAGTTAGGCGCCCAGCCACATGCACACCACATGGTGTGATGCTGCGACATGCTGTGACATGCTGTATCAAGGTGTTATAGTTCAACGATTAATTGTACAGCCTGGCGGTGTGTAGAGGAGGATATCCAGGGATGCGATGCAAGTGTTTCCTCCCTGGGTGGTCCTCGAGGTCCCGGGCTGTGATTCACAGCCATGCCAGAGTGCCTAGTGGGCTGTGGCCCATTGAACACAATGTTCAGTCGTCTAGAAACGAAGCGCCTGTAGGGATCTATGACATCCGTGTCATGGATGCTACTTATATTGCGCCTGTAATCGTTCGAGGGCCTTGGTGGTGGATGGAGAACGAGGCCGAGGGATGGTCTTGACGCGCTGATGCGCCAACACCAGTGGACCCGGTTAGATAAGCTGATGGCCGACGCCCAATCAACTCGGACGCTGTGTACTTTGTGCTCGCTACTTGTCGACGCACTGGCAGAAGCAAAGGGGGCCTCGCATGCGATTAATCCGCCGCAAGCGCCTGGGATGAAGTCGATCTCGAAACATAGTCATTCAGCAGACGAAGGATTCATTCATGTTGGTTCAACGATTCAAGTGGAACAGCGTCATACCCATATTTTTACACGTCCTTATGGCTGACATCCACTACCCTACCCAATTGAAGTAGCCACTCAACAACCACTTCATGAAAGCTTGGTTGACGCTGTGTGGCGGAGCCTGAGGCCCTGAGGGCGGCGGGCAAGCCATCTGATGCGCCTGAACTGGCGCCAAGGAACCAAGTCAAATTGCTCCGAGTCTTCCTAGTCCATGGTCATCGATCATCCATGTGACCCTCTCACTCAACGTCATCCACACCTCGCCCAACCTTCCAATGATTATCACCGAAGAAATTCGAAGCCGTCCAAGCTCTTCGTCCTACGGAAACTAATACGATGCCATCCGTATTGAACGTCCAAATCTCATCCGTCGCTTCTTGCATACGCGTTCGCCCCCGGGTGCAACCAGAAGGAGTTGTCTCGGGGGTGCGTAGCGCTCATGACCTAGGGTGCTTCGATGCCCACACTGGCAGAATATCCAACGGCCTTCTGGTCGCCCGGCGCCCTGTATCCAGGACTGGGTAACTTCGACTTGGACTTACCTCTTCGCTGGGTATGCCGACGGAATGTTTAACGGGGAACGTGTTCGAGGACTAGCGAGCAATAATGCCAGTACATATCGCGATTCGCCAACCGCTCTGGCTTCCTAGGGTCTAACTGGGTCTAACTGCTCCCTAGTTCTTGGTCGTCAAGAAGGCCCCATACATCAAATTCATAGGCAGTAGATGTCTTCGCTTGTCTTCGCCTTTGCAACTCTAACAGGATTCCCCGGGAATAAACCTCATCGAAGCCCCTCGCAATGATCGGTGTGACTGGTAACGCTAATTCTTCCCAATGAGTCCGACAATCAAGTTGCTCAGATTTTCCGACAAATGTTCTCTCGAATAATTTGCTCTGCTCCCGCTATGTCATCTGACAACGTCCTTCAAGCTTCGACGATGCTTGCATAGCCGGAGATACACAGCGGACCGGCCGCTTCAACAGGATATAAACCGACTGTCTCCAGGTTCCCATTCCTCGAGCACCAAGGGAAACATCACTGCCACCTCACCATGACTCCCCGCTTCTTGATCCTCACAGTCGCACTCGCCTTCGTCTCCTCCGTCTACGCTCAATGCGGCGCAGGCAACCCAGATGCCCGGGTGACCGGCTCAGGCAACTCCTTCGTCGCTACCCGCGGGTCCAGCACAGTCTACTCCGGCTCTGACTACCGCGCAGCCATCCAAGCCGCCATCGACTCCATCGGCTGGGGCCAGCGCGTCTCCGTCATGGCTTCTGGCTCCATCGGCGCCAGCACCATCACCATCCAGAGCGGCAAGATTTTCGAAGGGTGCGGTACCATCAACGTCGGGAACCGCGGTGGACGCGGTGCCATCGAGGTCACGAATGCCTCGGACGTGAAGATCCCCTACCTCTCCATGACCGGCAACCCCTACTTTGGCCTCCGCTTCTTCGGCACACGCAACTTGTCCCTTGGGCAGATCACCATGAACCTCAGCGGTGGTTTGGGTATTAGGTTCGACCGCGACCAGGCTGCCAACTCGAATGTGTCGATGGACGTCATCAACATCACTGGCGCCGGCAGCCACGCCGTCGAGACGTGGAACATCGACGGCCTCACCATCAACCAGGTCATCGCGCGCAACGTTGGGGAGTGCGGGTTGCTCCTGCAGAGGACGACCAATGCGCGGGTTGGGCTCGTTGATGGAACCAACGTCGCCACCGGTAACGGATACGCCACCTTCCGTATGGCGAACAACAACGGCCAGCTCCCCAACGGCAGCTACAACACCAACGTCTACGTCAACAGGGTCGTCTCGCGCGGTGGTGGACGCGGTATCTTCTGCGTCTCGCAGTCCGGAGGTGCGACTATCGAGAGCGTCGACCTCTCCAACAACGGAAACAACGCCATCCTCTTGGAGAATTGCTACAACGTTAGGATTAACGGCGGAACGGTTAATGGAGGAGGAGAGGTTCGCGTTGCTGCGCGCAGCGAGTTCCCTAACAACCGGGATATGTGGATTACGCTGAGGGTGGATAACACCTCTGTTCGCGAGCAGCCTTGCGGACAGAATATCAATTGGAACTTGTCGGGGAATGGACGCAGGCAGCTTTGCTAGGTGGAGAGATTTTATAGATTGATGTAGGCTTCGAATTCTTCTTGTTGTCTCCTTCCTAAAACCATCTTCCCTTGGGGCCGCTATTTTGGATTCCCTGTTTCTCTTGAGCCTCAGTCGTACAGTTTGCTTGTAATCCCTTCTGTATTGGGCGGTGATAGTAATCTCATCTCTCAGCAATGGCATACATCGACTTTACAGACTGGCAGAATTTTGATAATCTCGTACAATCTCAGCACCAACTGAAACTGTGATCTAACGCGCATCAGCGCATCAGCGCCATCATCGGAGCTTGTCTTCCACGGTCTATCCCATTTTTCTTCCCGCTCGTCGACGACACCCATGGCAACTCTTTCGAACAAGAAGCGACCTGTGCTAAGATAAAACGACTTGGACGAACAACTGGATTGTTGAAGACCCGAACCCTCAGATCGCGGGGATCCCGCCCAATTTTGCTGTCGCTATATCGGCCTCACCTCGCAGGAGAACAATCGCACTGCGCCGTGGCGTAATGCTCTGGACGTTGCCAAAAGCGCAAACGAGGGTGGGGCCTTGGATACAAACGATAACGTATAATGTCCACAGCTTGTCATAGCATCACTGGACTGCTCTGGAGGCATGTGACAGGATGTCTCCAAAGTGGCCTCTTTGCCTTCTACTACCACGGCCACTACGCCACTCTGTCTTTGCCTTGAACATTCTGGAATGGAATTGCGCGAGTCCTTAGCAGGTGGAGGCGGGAATTATCGATGGGTCGTGGCGTAGAACGATGTAACGATCGGTGAATGGCGATTATGTACCCAGCCTACCTCGGACTTGATTGTGCATGCGACGGAACTAGGGGCGATGGGCACGGATGGCTCTGGGGGTCATGGGATAAGGATTGAAAAATTCAATTCACCTCAGCCTGGTACGTACGAGACAAGACACAGGATATCCGAGTCCCATAATTGAGTGAGTACTTATCGATATCCTTCTCCCAGGGATAGCTTTGGGTGACATTTTCACGCTGCATTGGAGTACGGCGGGGAATGTTCTACGAACCTTTCCAGCACTCGTGCACGCCTTCTCACTGGCAAGTGATTGTGATTTGAATGAGAAAGTTGTGATTCAAAACATAATTCAGGTCTGCAGGGTCCGCCGGATATCACGATCACGGTCTCGGTCTAGACGAGGGTGAGCATGCACTGTATTGAAATGGGTTGTCATTCAATTGTATTTGATGTGCCGTAGAATTACAACGTTCACTGGTAGTTGGTTGCAACTGGAGGTGAGATCCGACCTTTCCTTTCTATGGCAATCCTGTTGTGCTTACCCGAAGCTTCTTCCCTACAGTACCAGAGAGTGAGCAATTTGAGCGCGCTTGTTTACGGCGCTAATCTCTTGATTCAACTTGAAGCGGCCTTTGCCTTGGGACCCACCCACGGACTGGGACTTCATGCAAATGACGACGTCTGATCAGGCCCAGGCTCTCACGACTCGTCACGACCATCGCCAAACGCACACCCGCGAAACGAAACGAATAGAATTCGAATTCCCCGCGATCGATCAAAATGAAGCATATGATTTCCGTCTTTCAATTCCCTCTTCCAAGGCCACAACATTGAGATCTTAACAATGCGCACAATAGATGTTGAGATCTTGAATGGAAACGCCGGGTGCGCACTGTAGGAAACGGTAGGATCCAGACGCGTACATACTATATGTATTCATCTACAGAAACAGATCCTGAAAGCTCTCGTCCTGAGCAGTAAAAGGCAGTGTTCAGGCTTGATTGAAATGCGCGTGTTTCACTTTTCTATTGCGTTGATCTCTTGGATTGCTTGAGCTTCGGAATTTGAGTTGTTCTTTTGGCTTTTAACAGCTTTTTTAGGTTATTCTTGGAAGCTGGGAATTCGGCGGCGCGGCCGCGTAGAAGGGAGTAAACTTGGCACTGGGAAGACCCAATACGAGCTATTTCGAGCTGAGAAGGTAGGCATGTAAAATGATGTGCAGTCCGAAGTTGAAGCACCTGCACGTATGTTTTGCGCACCGCGGTCCCCCAGAGCCAAGACTTTCCAAAGGGACTCTACGGCGGTTCTAAAGGTTCTGCACTGCGAGGTTGTGGGGCAGATAAGGAGTTGAAAGCTGCGTGCATATGTATGGTGCTAGATAACAGAACTTCGAGTTAAAGATGATGAGAAGAGATAGACTACGTAAGGACGGTGATTGCACCTCTGTGTCGGTAGACGCTCGTATCGCAATCTCTGCTTATGATATTTGGAGCTTGGGAGAGATGATCAAAGTATATGCAGTCATGTACACAGGTGGGTTATGGTGCCTTTTGGAAATCGTTTATAGCTTCTAACCAGGGATCACAACAGAACCTTTCTGTGACAATTATTTGAGAGGCTTCTCCTCAAGTGCCACTTAGCGGTACGTAAGAGAACTAGAATGCCAATTTTATGACTTTCGGGAAGGAAAGAGTGCGGTACATCCGAAGTTTGCGGCATGCGCGGAAGGGGGAACGCGGCTCGGGTAGGAGTGGGTAAATAACGAAAATACCGATGGTGATACAACGGTTTTTCGAGAAGTGCAGATATCAGAAGGTCTTAATTCAGGGCCTTTCTATCTTTCAGCTATGCCTTGAATATAGATTTCGAAGGGGTCGCACGAGAACAGTGGCCGTTCTGGGCGAGGTGCCAAATAGGCGCCGGTTGGCGTCATCAGCGCCAAGCCGACGCCAAGGCCGCTCTTGGGCGGGCGCTATTTAGGCTCGATCATGATGTCCTCCTCCACCGGGCCAGCACCGCCTTGAAAGCATTCCTCGATAGTGAGCATCGAAGTGGCTGAGTTGTTGTTCTTCATCCAAGTAAGAGTGTATACAGCTTGCTCTTGTTCTAGATACGAGCGATAAGGAGATAAGCATCTGGAGAAGAATTGTTCTACGAGCGAGTGTCCCATTAATAGCTTTGCAGTCGGAGGTTCGAGTTCCAGGTACTACCTTCGAGAAAGACAGAAATAGATTCTATTCAATTGCAATGGCGCTCTGGCCACGGGGTCGAGCTTATAGCAGGGAGAACCACGGAAGACCCGGAGTCGAAATTAATGGGGGCGGACCGTCCGTTCAGAGAGCTCAATATTCTCCCATCAGGGTTAAAACGTTCCAGAGGCTCCAAGGGATATCTTTTCTTGTGATGATGCCGGACGAGATAGGCAAGGATGTAGTTTGAAAAAAAGGTTCCCAGTCAATTCCCAGTGGGAGAAGTGCGCGTGTGGGCGTGTGCGAGATGGGAAGCAGAAGGATATTCGAGTGACTTGATATGGCTTCGGCGAGGCGTATCAGGCAGTTGGATAGACAGGCACGGCGCACAGGATCCAGCCGTTTCAAAATAGCAAAAGATCTCGGTAGCATGGGAGAGAGAGTGGACGAGATCTGAGTTCGCTGATATCGCGTAGTGGGTGTCTCCTTACCTGATTAGGCATTGTGAGCACGTGATGACTGGGCAAATAGGGAGTTGGGAGATGCCGATGTGCCTGGACGGGAGGGGACTCGACAAGGGGTTTGGATGGAGAGAACGACAGCCCCCGCCCTTTCCTTTTGACTTTGCGCACGACACACCCTCCGTCGCAAATCCCGTGTCTTGTCGCTGCCGCCCACGACGCCCAGCACCCGTTTCCACCGGCGTCAGACGATCCGCTCGCGTGGCCTTTCGCCGACCCCCGCACTCTATTGCGCGATCCCAAGGGACCTGTTGTTATCTAGCCAAGCCCTACGGTCCTTGACACCACACTGTCAGCGCTGTCCGCAAACCTGGCTCCCCGTCTTCGACTCTGCGCCGTACGACTCTGAAAACCCAGCGAAAATCCAGGGCCGGTGTTGCAGCAAGCTTCTCGAGGTGCTCGTTCGGAGGAGGAAGTTGTTCTGCAGGGGAGGCAATGTGAAATGTCCGATATCACATTAAAGGAAGAAGGGAATGTTTTGGATATCAACCTGCGGGATATCGAGAAGACTCTTGGTGCGTAGCTTCTTTCCTCGCTGTCTACGACGGCGACTAGATAGACTCATGGCTGTGCAGAGAACGAATCCCCGGCCGACACCCACTCGTTCACCACGACACTTTCTGGGAGAAGGAGCGACGACTACAGCGTCTTTGATCCCAATTATGACTCGGACTTGGACAATCTCGGTGCGCAGCTTCCAGTTTCTTGAGGGATAGTGCTCTGAATTGTGCAGAGGACGATTCGCCGTACCCCGAGGTGCGATCGGCGGTGGCCAATACGGACGACCCCGACATGCCTGCGTCGACGCTGAGAGCCTGGATCATGGGCGTGCTATGGGCAATCATCATACCCGGCATGAACCAGTTCTTTTATTTTCGATACCCTTCAGTGCTCATAGGCGGGGTAAGTCTCCCTCTCTCCCTCGTCAAATCATCACACCAAAACTTATTCCGCCCGCTTGCGCACTCCCACCAGCTCGTCGCACAACTTCTTATCTTCCCAGTGGGTCGGGCGTGGGTCCGGCTACTGCCATGCGTCAAGATTTTTGGATATGAACTCAATCCCGGTCCATTTACGATCAAAGAACATGTAGGTCTACCTTTTTCTTGTGATAACCGCCGTGACATAACAACTCCTATTCTAGGTCTTGGTGACGATCATGGCAACAGTCGGGGCCCAGTCTGCCTACGCCACGGATATCATCGCTGTTCAAAAGGTCTTCTATGGTCAAGAATGGAGCTTTGCCTGTGAGTAGACGCTGGTTAGAACCTCGAGAAGCCACGCTGAACGGTTATTCAGACAAATGGCTGCTGGTGATGTCGACGCAGTTGATTGGCTTTTCAATAGGTGGAATCGCTCGCAGATTTTTGGTGACACCCCCGTCTATGAGTGAGTCGGTCTCCTCACGTCCACGACTGACCTTTGGATTGACACAACCCAGTTTGGCCGAATACCCTGGTGTCCTGTGCGCTTTTCAACACACTTCACTCCCAACAATACGCCGGCATCGGACAGCACGATGGAATCAGTCGAGAACGCTACTTTCTCTACGTCTTCGTGGGAGCTGCTCTCTGGTGTATGCACACATTCCATCTACTATCGGAGATCCCGGACTAAATCCACTCGCTCACACAGGCCTACTACCCGGATACCTATTCAAGGCGCTCAGTGTTTTTACCTGGGTAAGTTTCACCTGTCCATCTGCAAGGCGGTGCCGGAAGCTGAACGTTATCACAAAGGTCTGCTGGGCTGCCCCCGATAACGTCGTACGTTCACAATTCACTTGATCCTTCCGCGTTAACTCACTGGAGCCCAGAAAATCAACCAAATTTTTGGGTACGTGCCTAGATCGTTGTCTTGTCGTGTTTACCCGTTCTGACAGCCTCGAAGATACCATAGTGGTCTTGGATTTTCGTTGCTCACCTTTGACTGGAGTCAAATTGCCTACATCGGTAGCCCGTAAGTTTGGCCTTGTCCGCAATCCCTCCCATTTGCTAATCCCTCCCGCCTTATAGGCTCGCCACGCCATGTACGCATATCTCTTTTTCGTTGAATAAGTCGCTTACCCTTTGCTGCAGGGTGGGCCGAGGCCAACGTCATGATCGGCTTCTTCATTTTCTATTGTACGTGGATTCCATACATCTCGGTAGACGAAAGCTGACTTGTTTATGATAGGGATACTTACCCCAATACTCTACGTCGGTCATTCCAACTGTCATTCGTACTCGGTCTAACTCGTCCCCAACAGTATACCAATGTCTGGCACAGCGAATTTCTGCCGTACGTCCCGCTCTCATCCGTTTGTGACATCCGCTGATACCCATCGATCCCGCAGTATCTCATCCATCCATGCTTTCGACAACACCGGAAAACGCTATAATCACACTAGGATCATCGACCAGAATGCAACTCTGGACGTTGAAGCCTATGAAAACTATAGTCCACTCTACCTATCGTATGTCTTTTCTCCTGGCCACGAAGATGAGCGCTAACCCTCGCCTAGAACCACTTTCGTCATGTCATACGGGCTCTCGTTTCTATCAATAACATGTGGGTCTATTTCCCCGCACTCATCAATTAAGATCGACGCTAACTGCGCTTCTTCATCCCCCCACAGCTACCATCACACATGGTGCGTTCGATCGCTCCAGCACTACGATCAGGGTCCAGTGCAGCGTGGTCGTCTAAAATGTTTTTTCCTTCCGCGTTCTAGCTTTAATCTATTTCTGGAAGCCCATACGGTTGCAGATGCGCCGATCGATGCGGGAGCAGCCCGATGTACATGCTAGGCTCATGTCCCAATATCCGCAAGGTACGTCCTTCTGGGACTGCTGTGGTTCTCATCCCATCCAGACCTAACTTGTTTCGTTCATGCAGTGCCTGACTGGTACTATGCTTGTATTTTTGGTGCGTCGTTTACCATTCTCGTCCACCTCGACTTTTCCTGATCTGACTTTTTTTTGTCGCCTCGCTGGGAAACAGTTATCACCTTCACTTTTGCATGTGTTTGTATTCAAGTATGGCCCACTGGGATGACCATCTGGGCTCTTGTAATTGCACTTCTCATCGGTATGCTTCCTTGTTCTTTGGAGAAACCACTTTACGTTGATATCACCACCTTTTCCAGCTCTCTTCTATGTCATTCCTATTGGTATGTCCCACCGGACCTTGTCGTCTTCCTTGCTCTGTGCTCAGCGAACTCGTTATGTGCTATATAGGGATGATCCAAGCTATCACGAATCGCCAAGTTGGCTTGAAGTGGGTGTTTTCGCGCTCTCACCTGTCCACTCAGGTTCTCAATTATGCATCTGGTTTGGTAGTGTGATCACGGAACTCATAGTCGGCTTCATGCTTCCCGGTAAGTCTTCCGTCACGTCACGTCTTCCTTCGATTTTCGTTGTCAATTCTTGTCATGGGCTTTCGCTGACGGTGGTGTTATTGTTGTCGTAGGCCGGCCAAACGCCATGATGATGTTCGTATTCGCGTCCCAGGATTGTGTAGTTGTTTGAAGACTGAATATGCCCTTTGATGGATAGATTCAAGACATATGGTTATGTTACGATGTCTCAAGGTGCGCGGTATTGCTGTCGTTGGTATCGACGTCCTGACCCTGAATGTGTTGGGTAGCTATGCAATTTACGGCTGATTTCAAGCTCGGACAGTGCGTAAAGGATGATACGGGGTTTGGGGAGGGATTCTGACGTTTCTTTTTGGTGGTATAGCTATATGAAGGTTCCCCCGAGACCTATGTTTTGGTGTCAGGTATGTTTTATCCTGCTCGGCTGGGATTTTATGGAAGCTCACGACTTTGCGCAGATCATCGCGACGGTTATTGCGGGAACTGTTCAGCTGGGCGTTCAAGCTTGGTATGTCTTCTACCTTGTACGACTGAGATAACTTTCGCTGACGCTATCGGTGTTATAGGATGTTCAATAACATTCCGTAAATCTTTCTTTCATTCCATGCTTCGTCATTAGGGTGTGCTTACGCAGTGCTGGATAGGGATATCTGCACGTCGGGTCAGAAAGATAGGTCAGTTCGGTCTCGTAGTACCCCGGAATGGAATCGAGTGTATACTGACGTCACAACTCCCCGTTTTTGCAGTTTTGTCTGTGCGTCGACGAACGTGTTTGGAACTGCCTCTGTTATCGTAGGTCTTCCTTCCTAGACTCTAGACTCATCGGTGTGGGATGCTGAAGGTCTGGCGTGTAGTGGGGTTTGATTGGGCCGGCTGAGCATTTTGGGAAGGGGCAGATTTATCATGGTGCGTTTCGAGGTTTTTGGTGGTTCTTCGATGTGGTCTGACGAGGTGTTCTTGTCTTGTTCGTAGTCCTCACCTATTTCTTCCTCATTGGCGCCGCGTGTCCTGTATTACTCTGGCTAGTCACCAAACGATACCCGCGGAGTATCCTCAATTATCTCAAGTGAGTGCTTGATTACTCCTTTCCTCTTGATGAACGGCCGGATTAACTGAACCTCTTGCATAGCTTCCCGTTCGTAACCTCTCTAACCGCGTATGGTTGGTTTTGTCGCTGACGCGTTTGGTATACTTAGCCTCATATTCACTGGAGTTGGCCAAATTCCACCTGCGACTGCGGTCAATTATGTTCCTTGGGCGATTGTTGGGTTTATATTCCAGTATGTGATCCGGCGGAAGCACTTTTCGTATTGGACCAAATATAATTGTGAGTTTGCTTATCCCTCTATTGCGAGTGGGAGAGAGAGCTGACCATGTGGTTTTGTGGCAGATGTTTTATCGGCTGCACTCGATGCTGGAACGGCTATAGGATTAATTCTAATATACTTTTGGTGGGTTCTATCCTTTGGGTGGTGGTTGGTATGTTGTTCGCTGATATCGCTTAACCTAGCCTTCAATACCCGATGGGAGGAAACATTGGGAAAAACACTATCCAAACATGGTATGTGGACACACGTTCTCCACTTGATAACATCTCGCTCATTCATTCTCTTCGCTTTACCGCTGTCGCTGTGAATAGGTGGGGAAATCGGGTGTACAAGGAAACCTTGGATTGGAAAAGTGCTCCTCTTCGACAGCTATCTCAAGGAGACACCTTTGGACGCCCCCTCAACTCTGTTACGCGGCTGTTCGGACTATAAAGTCTCTTTCGTGCTAATGAAATCTTTTGTATATATAATGCTGTATTTTAGTCAAATGTAGATGCAATTCCTGGGTGGATCTTTTGTACTGGGGCTTTTATTTCTGGATTCGATGCTCGAACGTGCTCTGAGGTTCTGAGAACCCTGAAGACACGGGGCTTAGGACATGAGTTCACATGAGTCAGACAAAATAGGCGTCAACAAAAGTCGTGGCGATGGGGGCGCGGGGGTGGCCCCACTGGTTCTTTCTCTTTGACCACAACCAGCCAAGCACCCCATCCTCCTACATATCTCCTGCAGCTCGTATGGCTTGCTAAATTGGAGCGCTACTACCGACGTCCAAACATCCATTCATCCCTTCTAATCCTGAACAACCATGAAACCACGAATACCCAAGTAACTTCATTAATAAGACTCAACAACAACGAAACACGACTACTACGACCGCCATAAACCCCAGCATAACCCACTTTTTTGATGTTTGGGGAATCTGAATCGGAAAGCCCAAGGGTACCGAGTCCATGGGACTCGTTAATGTCAGCGTCGGCTTCAGCTTCGACCTCGACCTCGCCCTCCCCGACGCCCAAATTCAGCCGCACGCACACACCCAGCCCGCTCGCGTCCGAACTCGCGCTCACTAGCATACCACGTCTCGTGCCCGAATCCGACGACGGCAACGTCGAGTACAAACTCCAGCTCCTCAACCCGTCCCCTGCGCGCTTCGCCCGGCTCGTCACCCAGCTCAAATGGAGGCTGCTGGAAGGCGGCGGGCAGGCGTACTATGAACTGGGTGTAGCTGATTCTGGGGACCTCGTTGGTCTCCGTCGGGAGGAGCTGGAGCAGAGCTTGGAGACGCTGGAGATGATGGCGGGCGAGATTGGTGCGAGTGTGATTGTGGTGAAGGAAATCGAGGTGCCTGCTGCGCTCTCCAAGTTGGCTGCTGCTAAGCGCAGCGGGGATAATAGCAGGAGGAAGGATAATAAATCGGAGGAGGAGCTTGACGACGATTCGTACAACTCGAGTTCGGCGTTTAATTCGAATTCGGATTTGGATTTGACGGATGCCAGTGGGCTGCTGGATGGGAATGGTGGTAGCAGGGACACCCCGCCTGGTGTCTTTGTTATGGACTCGGAGTCTGAGACGGACATGCCGCGGTACACTATCGACCTCGAGATTTCGTCCGTGTTCAAGCCGAGGCCTGTACGCACCAAGCATAGTTTCCCGAACCACCCGCTCGTCGCTGGCAAGGGGAAGAGGGGGAAGAAGAACAAGCAGATACAGCCGGCGCCCGAGGACAAGCAGACCAAGGCTATGAATAGGCGCCAGGCGAGGGATAGGAAGAGGGAGGAGAAGAAGAAGACGTTGATGGCGCTGGCTGCGCAGTCTGTTGGAGAGGTCCAGGATATCCCTGCGCCTGTTCCTGTCGCAGCAGAGGTGGAGAGCGTAGTCTCGACGCTTGAAACTCTCACCGTCGCCGAACCAGAGCCAGTCCCAGCGGTCGTCGAGGCACCGATACCTACCATCTCAGTCATCGAGGAACCAGTCGACAATGACGACGATGATGACGACGACGTGTTCCCAACGACAGCCCGACAACCCGCCTATCCGAAATTTGCGTCCACTCTCACCGAGTCGCACCTCGACGTCGATCCTGCCGCCGTCAAGCTAGCCGGTGCGCTGACTTCTTCATCCCCTTCTGATGATGCGGACGACAAACCGCGCCTTATTGTAGAAGCCTTGGTCGTTCGAAAGATGTCTCTTGAGGAGGGATTCTTAGACTTTGGTGGATTCTCTATTATATGAATTTTCTTTTCTTTTTCGCTTCCATTTCTTGTATTGATTTTCTGTCTGCCGTATAACATTGTGTTTTTGGTTTGGACGGATTTGTATCAATGCCATTGACGAATCCCAGATTTGATACTTTGGGATTGGAGCACTGGATGTACAATGACCAGTGAGCGATGGTAACGCATTGCAAGATTTAGCGCAGAGTTTCCTTCTTTATCCCTGGCATTGACATCCACGCGGTCGAACTTGCAAAGTTCTTGGGCGACCTCCACTGCGTCGTTGCCCGTCCGATATTTCAACGCGGCGATGAGAGCCGTTTGTCCGTGCCGGTTTGCAGCGTTGACCTGAATACCATCTACTTGGAGTAAAAGGCGGATCGTGCGTAAAGTGCACGAACGCACTGCACAAATCAACGCGGTATCGCCCTCCCCGTCCGCAGCGTTCACATCCAAATGGTCACATTTGATTAGTTCTTCGATGATTTCCTGCCCCGCAGCAGAATATGTGCAACAGGCCCCAATGAGAGCTGTTTGTCCCCTTCGGTTCGTGGCATTGACCTGTATCCCTTCCTCTCGGAGTAAAAGGCGTAAGATAGTCGGTGCTGATGAGAATCTTGCGCGCGCCGCAATAGTCAACGCCGTATCGCCATAAATGTCGACAGCGTTGACGTCGATGCAGGGGTGTTTAAGGAGTTGTTCGACGAGGGGTACGGCTCCTGTGGCAACAGCATACATCAACGCCGTCTTCCCCAGTTGATCAACAGCGTTGACCTGGATGCCATTGATTTGCAGAAGACGTGCCAAGGTGGGACAAGGGCCTTCACAGGGTCTGGTACTGTGGTTATGCGCTTTCTGAACGACTTGTACCAACGCAGTACCATGTTTCGTGGCGACGTTTGGGTCGATGATCTTGTAAACAAGAAGCTCTTCTATCATGGCAACATGGCCGAGCCACGAGGCGAGAAATAGCGGGGTGATCGAGTCGGTATCGGTTGCTGAATTCACATTATACAGGCCATCAAGGGAATCACCATCCACGGTCACCAACTTTGGAACAAAACTGGCGAGGTCGTAGAAGGCAGCTAGGTGTAGAGCGTTGACCCTTTCAAGTTGCAAATCCCGATCAATGATTTTGCGAGGATGAAGGGGATAAGATGTGCACTGTTTAAAGAACTTGAAAACCTCGCTTGTGAGCTCGGGTTTACAATGGTTGAAATGGGAGCCCCAGTGACGGTAAGCATAGCGTGCGAGAGGGGCTTGGAGGATGGTGCTTAGTTGGTCTTCGTCCTTGACCGGGGATTGGGGTAAGTCAAGGGAAACAAGCCTCTCCAACAGGACCGGAACGATCATTACATGAGGATTGGGGTAGCATTCCAACAGGATCGTTGAGAGAGCTTCTTGGGCCGTATAGTCTGAGGGTCGTGTCAGCGCATTATCGACCACCGTAATAAATGTTACTGACGAACGAGACGAGAAAAACCCCAGTGTTCCACCTCGATTAATCCACAGCAAGCTGAGATCAGTGTGGCCTGGTCAACCATCCTCTCCTCATCGAACACGTGCGTTTCTGGATCGGCGGCAACTGCGTATAACAAGTCCATGATATGCAAGGGCTGTTCCGAAAAGACTACCCAAAGAAGGGTTCTTATCCCAAGGTCGGCTTGGGCAGGGTGTTGCGCTTTGATTCGCTGCACAGTCTGGCGATACATGTCTTCGAGTGAGACCGGCAAGTTATTAAGGACGTCTTCCAAATCCTTGACATTCCTACAAAACGCGAGAGCTTGGACTTGCAATGCAGCATGAATAAACCTTCGATCCAAGGATTAGGGAGACAACAAGATACGAAAAAGTGGTACCCACATTCCCCCAGACTTATCCAATATCTCCGAAACCACTCTCACTTCGCACCGGTTCTGCTTCAAAAGGCGACGCAGATGGGAGTGTCGGAGGATCTTCGCTTTCACGAGACGCTCGATATCTTCTCTCCGCGCATGGACCGGGTAGAAGACGACTGAGTGAAAGTCGCCCTCGAGCGTTTGCAGCGGTCGGGAGGTAATGGCGACGCGTCCTTTGAGAGAATTTATCACTTCGACGAGGTCGAACTGAGTGGTGATGTGCGCCTCGTCCAAACCGTCGATGATGTAGAATACAACGTCGAAGTGTTCCTCAATGGTCCGGAGGAGATCCATGAGCTCCTTGAGAGAAGGTCGGGTTTTCTCGAGACGGTGGCGTTCTAGGATGGGGACGATGATCGCGGCGATGTCGGTATGGCGTTGGAGACATTGCTTGATGAGACCTTCGAGGATGTCCTTGACGGTCAAGGCCTCGGTGTAGCGGCAGTAAGCATAGAGAATACACGTCTTCTTGTCGCGCCGCTTTTCGAGAGGTTCCAGGTTTTCGATAAGGCGCGAGCTAGGAGAAGAACTCAGTTTAAGCGGAGCTTCGCTGGGACAGGGCGACATACGCAAGAACAGTCTTCCCAGACCCGGCTTTGAACAACATCATTACACCTGTTCGAAGAAATGTCATGGATTGCAACTCACGAATGCCCGTTCCCCAAATCACTTTGATTTTCCCTTTCTTCCATTTGTCGTATTTATCTCCTGTGAGAAACCAGGACAGCGTTCCCTCTTCGCATTTCTCCAGATTCTCGATGTAGATAGACCGAAAGTTAATATTTGGCGCAAGCCAATCCAGAATGCGCTCCAATCCTAAGGTTGACCGTTAGCTTATTGCTCACAGGTGCAGTCGTCACATACTCACTTTCGTCCGGCTGCGCGACTACGACCTGGGTCACATTTCCGCCGACGAACATTGGGTTTCCACTAATGCTGCTTCCTTGTAGGTCGAAATGCGTCGGGGTTGAGAGGTTCTCTTGTAGACTTCCAGTGTCAATCGCCAAAGCGGACTCCCTTCGGCCCTGGCTAATGGCATCATGAGGGTGTCGATCCGTTTCATCAACCCCCGAGTCAGTCATCGTGGGCCTGTTGGGTGTGACCTGCAAGGAATCTTCCTGGCGCGCCGGCTGTCTACCAGTGAAAGGAACCTCGCTCGCTGTCATCGAAACAGGTGGACTCGAGGCGGTCGGGCTGACTGGTGTCAGACATCGGATACTCTTGAGCATTTGCGTATTGAATGAGCGACGGGTATTCTTACATTCACCTGGCATCGGCATTTCGTCCTGCGGGTGAGTCATACCCTCCCCTTCATCCCGGCCCATCTATCGGATTGGAACGGTTTTCCAGCTATGATTAACAGCATAGAACAAGAAGCGACCTACAACAAAAGAGATCCCAGCACCCATGGTCGCATCACACGACTCAGACCTCGTACTATTTGTCTGGTTGCACCGTTCCCAGCCTCCTGAAAGATTCGGGGCGATGAAGGTAGTAGCGGTACTTGGAGGAAGAGCAGGCAATTTATGGAACCCCAGTTCACAGCACCTGGGAATCCTGTGCAAACGTGTTTTGGATGCTGTGAACGCCGGTGAATTTCCTCCAGGCCGCCTCCGAGTGAGATCTGACGAATCTTTCGCCATACGGCGAAATAGATGGATTCCAGAGCATTCCCTCCTAGGCGGGGTATATACTTGCCACGAGGCCCGTTGAAGTCAGATAACGCGCTGGACAGGTATTGGCCCGGGAGGACAGGTTGAATTCACATGGCCACGCGCGCGACAATATGGTACTGGTGCTTCAAGGCCATCGTTTCTGAGAGCTCAGTAGCCATTGACGGTCGTGGTCGCCGTTGGGTCGCTATCGCGGTGGTGGACGAATTGGGACAAGTTCAAAATCAATTTGGGTGATGGCGCTGGGGCTGATGCGCTGATGCGCATTTGATGACAGATTAAATAAGATCGCAATACTGTCATCGCACCATACCTCGGCCACCCCCATCTTTCGGCCACTGTCACAAATGTCACATCCGGCATTAGCCTGCCGCTAAGGCTATAATTGAAAATCCGAGCTTTCGTCCACAGAAGACGCGTCGGAGACCGTAAATCGACCAGATGTTCCTAGGCTCGCGACCAGCCGGTTCACACGTGACCACATGGCAAGGGTCACTCTTTACGCATGGGACCTTTTGTTTGCGCGCGCCTTCCTTCCAAGGTAAGATTTTGATGTTTGTTCTGATGAGGCTGACGACAAACATACAGCAAACAAAGGTCCCAGCGTAAAGTACTGGTTGCGAGTCTAAGATGTTCCCACAATTTCGTCCTGTTATCAGCGGCTCCTTCGGCCAGGCGTGACAAAGCGTGACATTTACCCCTCCTCCAGAAACCTCACTTCCTCCTCGATTTCGCTCAAATAAAACTCACTTTCATCATTAATACGTACAGGATAGGCCGTATCTACAGAAATTTTGAAAGAAATTGACCGACTTTGAGGAGATCTGGAAAAGTGGCCGAAAGATGGGGGTGGCCGAGGTATGGTGCGATGACAGTACTGACTGTCGACATGGTTCGACAGGGACTTCGTTGCGTCCGCCCCAACGAGGGTTTCCGTCGTCTCAGTGGTCGTTGGCCATGGCAGCGGTTGAAACGCGTTGAATCTTGATCGCTAGAACTATGACCAACATAGACTCGTATTCCGACTGTCTCCACTAATCTCGCTTGTCAAGTGCACAAGACAGCTGATATGTATAAAGCCTGTAGCATACAAATAGAACGATTCAAATTGCCCTAGGCAGCCCTAGGCACAGACGACAGATGAGGAGGAGAATTTAAAAGAAAGGTGCACATATTAAAGCGTCGTTTCGTTTCCCATCAAAGGAGCCCTGTCTCCCCCAAAAGTGATGTAGAACTAGTTTATATCACGTCCGGAGTAGACCTATAGTCAACAAAAATTTCCCTATCCTAAAATCAGAACATGCTTCGGTAAGATAATATGTAGGAGAACACACCTGTCTTCACCTGGCAGGCCCAAAAGCCCAGTTGTGAGGGTCGCAGAGCTGGGCAAACACAGCAACGATGTAGTTGAGGATGTTGGATGAATACCGGGGGAAGGAGACACGGGTTCAACAGGGTATATGGTGCTTTCGGGCTTGTCGCCAACGCTGCCGCAAGGATCACCGGATGTTGAAGTTGAGTTAATAGAGCTCAAACGCGCCACCGTATCCAGAGGATAATCATTCATCTCGGTGGGGAGTGATCCTACATGCTGAATCACGCGGTAGATGGCTCCTCTTCTGAAGATGGCCCAAAGGGGATGTTCTGCGTATGATAATCAGACCCATGTCCATAAAATTGAGGGTCTAGAGAGACACATACCACGTTGGGCCCATGAGAGCCATCGGATCTCACCGTCCGGTTGACAAAAGCCAACGCATACAGCATTTTCCCACTCGAGGACGAACGACTTGTCAGCGCTTTCGGTGTGATAACCAACTACAACGGCCCCGCCTAAAACGCCTCTCTCCACGTGGAATCCTGCTTCTCCCGTGGATGTGTCCGATAATAAAGAATATCTGGGAGGAGTCGGCCTGGAGGCAAAGACAGTGCGGACTATATGCCCTAACTCGTGCAAAAGACAGACATGGAGGAGGAAGGAGAGAAAACTAGGTGGCCTTGGTTAGTACAATCTAAGGCTTGCTGAAGGGGAACCGTAAAACGCACTGTTTATAGTTGGGATTATCGTGTATGTCCCCACATGGCGCACGGCAGGTAAGGGCGTGGTTGAGGGAGCCGTAAAGGGAGAAGTTGACGAAGATTGTGTGTTTTACGTTGCGCCTATCTCGGACTTGGAATGCGGCCTCCCCGCCGCGTTTGTGCCAGGCGTGGGTCTTGGGGTCGGCGCAGGCGACGAACTTGATATCCGGGAAGTGCGACCTCAGATATTCACGAATCTCGCCGGAGCGTCTAGCCAGAGTCGAATTATCGACATCATCGTCAAAGGTAACCCGTGCCAGTTCTCGCAAGACACTGGCGGTGTGCCTTAAGGTGGCAGCGATGGATTCGACGACATTATAAATTGGGTCGACGCCGGGAAGCGGGGTGTGCGGTTGTGTCGGGGTATTCTTGTACGACGACCGATACTGGAGCAATGGGAGGACTAGAGGGAGCCATAGTTGTTGTCGTGAACAGCAAGTACGAGCCCCTATTTTTCCTTATCTTATCTTATCGCTTTCATCGCTCTTATCACCTTTTCTTTATTCTCATTTTTGCCCTTATTCTCGACACGGACACTTTCTCCCATGGAACACTGCCTCGTTATGCCCTTCGCCCTACGTCTTATTGTTCTCTCCATTCTTGCACTGCCTCGTTACTCCGTTATTGTTTTCTTCGTTCTTGTCATGAATCAGACCTTTCTTTTCCTTTTCTTGCCGAGACTTGTAGTTAGTAACATAGGATGTCACGTGACTCAGACACGTGATGAGTCATGGAACCGTACCCCGCCAGCTGAACAAAACACTGCGCGCGCACAGACCATGGACCAAACAAGTACATACAACTCAAGTAGTATATATAGAGAGTAGACTTGTAAGCGTAGTTTCCTCAGTCTTTAGCTGGTCTATTCCTAGCTACAACACTCTAGTCTTTACTGAATCCTATCGCTCTTCGCCAAGTCTTTTCTAGTGCAGCTATTGATTGCTTAGAACGACAGATCAAGTAGTTAGTTGCTGACATTAGCTAAAGACTGCCCCTTCTCGACTGTGTCTATCCCCGGCACCCTCGAGTCTCTCATCGCCCTCCGCCCTAACAAGGCAACCCCCACTCACGCTACTTACTCCCTTACATAGTTCCTTTTCTCTTTCCCCTTTCAGTAGGTTATCCTTGGCGACGCCCCTTCTGTAGGAAGGCAGCAACCAAGAGAGCTGCGGAACTTAGGTCCAAAGCACATAGTGTAGCTCCCCTCTGTGTGGCTAACACAGTGACAACCGGGAGATAGTCTAGCTTTTCTTACCTTACCTTTTTCTTTCTCTTGCCCACGAGCCCATTATTCTTTTTACGATACCATGTCCACCCACCCCTCCCCCCTACAAATACCCCCTGCCAACGACGGCCAACCCGCCCCTCAACTCCTCCAGCCTGACCAGACCCAGGTCCAAGGTCAGCAGGTCTCCGCTTGGGACTACATGTACCAAGCCCTGGGAAGCCTTGCCGATAGCGTGGCAAACCTAGTGGCTGCCGTTTCCGGCTACCAGCCAGCCCTTGCCCAAGCTTCAGAGGCGTTGGCCCAGTCAGCCGCTGCCAGCACCCAGGTCTCCGAGGCCCTAGCCCAACGAGCCGACAAGCCCAAAACCAAACCGGACCCACCCGAAGACCTACGACGGGAAACCGGAAGATGCCCAAGCCTTCCTCGACGCCTGTGTCCTCTACTTCAAGCATATCGGAGAAGCAGATGAACTACGACAAATCTCCTATGCTCTCTCCAAAATCAAAGGAGGCACCAACGGCATGGCATCTGCATGGGCAAATTCTCAACGGGCTGAGATCATCGCTGACACCCTCGCTTACGATGACTGGAAGGGCTTCGCCAAGGCCTTCCTCGCCCACTTCCAGGTCCAGAACTCCCGAGCAGAAGCGATCCTAGCCATCCAAACCATCGAGATGGGAGATCGCTCCTGTGAGGCTTACAACACCGAGTTCCGATCATATATGACTCGTTCTGGATACAACGAAGTAGCACTCATCGAGGAATACAAGCGAGGGCTAAACGGCAGGCTGTTGGACAAGTGCCACGACCAGGAGAACCTCCCCACGACCCTTGCCGGATGGATGGAGCGAGCTGCTAACCTCGATCGCCAGTACCGAATTTCGTAAACGGGAGAAGGCTAGATTCAAAACGGAAAAACCTAGCTCCCAAGGCAACTAGCGCTCCTCCACCAAGGCCCTTCTTTCCCTTCCTTCCGACCCGCTGCCCAATCCACTTCCTACTCCACCTCCCCCTCGCCCCGCCGACCCGAACGCTATGGACATTGATGCGCACCGACGACAGGGTCTCTGCTTCACCTGCCACCAGAAGGGACATATTAGCCGAGACTGTCCCAACAAGACCCAGAAGTTTAACACCAGAACCATCGACATCAGAGCCCTCACGGAGGACGAACGTGCCGCGCTGAAGAAACAACTCGAGGATTTTTACACGGACCGGGAGTGAGCGCAGACTTGCCGGTCGATAGGAGTACCTTTGTTCGATCCCCATATGTACATATGCCAGAACTCGAATCACATGATGTTTACGCACGATCGAAAAGGGACAATGCGCGATTTTACGGAAAGAAAGTGGAACCGGGTTCCGCAGAATGGGTAGCCCAACGACTTGACGACTCAGAACCCTCGATGGCAAGAGGAATCCTGATGTCTTGGGTACATCCCAAAAAAAGGCAAGAGGTCACGGACGAAAAGATATCCCAGCTCAGACAGCTATTGGACGGGACCAGTGGTAGAGGCCCTAAAGGAGATGGCTCGACCCAAACGATTTTATTCGTGGCCATAAGGGCAACCAGCTGGATCTGGACATGGTGATGAGCACCCTAGACGACAAGCGAAGCTTCCGAACTTCTGGACTCTTAGATAGTGGTTGCACCGGAAGCTGTATAGACAGGGACTTTGTCCGACGAAACAATATCCGAACAAGAAAGCTCCCCATCCCCATCCCTGTCTATAATGCTGATGGTACGGAAAACGCAGGAGGAGCTATCTCCGAATGTGTCGAACTCCACGTCAAGATCCGAGACCACATTGAGAGATTGGAATTCGGAGTAACCGAACTAGGGGAAAACGGACGTCTTCATCGGGTTCGAATGGCTAAAACGGCATAACCCCTCTATTGATTGGAGGACTGGTACGATAGAGTTCAACCGGTGTCCCATAGAATGTACCCCACTTGTCGGGATCAGACCCTGAAATCAGAGGAAATCGAATACGAGGACCTCGAGGGATGGGGAACACATTCTCGTGGTAGACATTCAACACGAGATCCGACTACGGGCATTCCAGACGACATCCGGAAGAATTGCTGAAAGGAAAGCCAAGGAGGAAAAAGCCAAAACATTTGAAGAACTGGTACCGTCACATTACCACGACTTCAAATTTGTGTTCTCGAAGCAGTCCTTCGATGAACTACCTCCAAGGCGAGCCCTGGGACCAATGCAATTGAACTCATCCCTGGAGCAGAGACCATGGACTGCAAGATCTACCCGCTGAACCCTGAAGAGCAACAAGCACTTGATGCCTTTCTTGGAAGAAAACCTGCAGTCAGGGAGGATCCGTCCATCTAAATCCCCCATGGCCTCTCCGTTCTTCTTTGTGAAAAAGAAGGACGGCTCCCTCCGACCAGTCCCAGGACTACAGAAGGCTTAACGACATCACTGTGAAGAATTCGATACCCCCTAGCCCATTGATCCAAGAGTTAGTAGACAAACTCAGAAAGGCAGCGGTACTTCACCAAACTAGATGTCCGTTGGGGCTTCAACAATGTCCGTATCAAAGAGGGAGACGAGTGGAAAGCGGCGTTCCGAACCAACAGGGGACTGTATGAACCTCTGGTGATGTTCTTTGGACTCACAAACTCTCCCGCAACGTTCCAAACCATGATGAACGCCATATTCCGAGAGGAAATCAACACCGGAAAAGTCATCATATACATGGATGACGTCCTTATCTTCACGGAAACATTGGAGGAACATCGGGAAATGGTCCGAAGGGTCCTGAGGAAGTTTGCCGAGCACAAACTTTACCTCAAACCGGAGAAGTGCGTTTTCGAAGCCAAAGAAGTGGAATATCTCGGCGTCATTGTCTCCCACAACCAAGTACGCATGGACCCAGCTAAAGTCGATGCTGTCAGAGACTGGCCCACTCCACGATCGAAACGCGAAGTTCAACAGTTCCTTGGGTTTGCCAACTTCTATCGACGGTTCATCAAAGGATATGGAGAGATTGCTAGGCCACTCGACGGAACTAACCGGGAACAAGGAATGGAATTGGGGACAAGCGCAAGAAGCAGCCTTCCAAGCAGTTAAGGATCGAATCTGCTCTGCACCCGTCCTCGCTATTCCCAATGACACTGGGAAGTTCCGTGTTGAGGCTGATGCATCCGAGTTCGCAACTGGGGCAGTCCTCTCCCAACAACAGCCTGATGGGAAGTGGAAACCGGTAGCCTTCATCTCCCATGCCCTGAACCCGACTGAGCGGAATTACGAGATTTACGACAAGGAGATGCTCGCCATCATGCGTGCACTCTCAGATTGGAGACAGTACCTCCTTGGAGCTAAACACGTCTTCGAGATCCACTCCGATCACAAGAATCTCGGGTATTTCCGAAAACCCCAGAAGTTGAATCGCCGCCAAGCTCGCTGGCTCACCGAGATGCAACAGTACCACTTCACCCTTCACCACAAGCCTGGAAAACAGATGACCAAGGCTGACCTCCTCTCACGACGAGCCGATCACGATCGAGGAGCCAACGATAACGAAGACGTGATCCTCTTGAAGGAAGAACTCTTCAGAAGGGTCGAAGTGGGCATCTCAGGACCAGATGCCAACTTTTTGGAACGGGTCAAGCGCTCTTGGAGAAGAAGGGACAAAGCGGTGGCCAAGGCTCTACTGCAGAAGGACCCAGACTGGATTGAATCCGACGAACACCTCGTGACGTTCAAGGGAAGAGTGTACGTGCCAAAGGATAAGGGACTCCGGGAGGACATCATTAGATTCCATCATGACTCCCCAGTATCGGGACACCCTGGTCGATATCGTACCCAGGAACTGATCACTCGGAACTACTGGTGGCCCCGAATCCAAGCAGACATCCGAACCTATATCGATGGATGTGGCATGTGTCAACGGACTAAACCCCGTCGAACCGTCCCGGCTGCGCCACTACAGCCAAACGAGGTCCCCTCTCTCCCATGGGAGATAGTGTCGGTAGATCTAATCGGGCCCCTCCCAGAGTCGAAAGGATTCGACGCCATCATGGTAGTGGTCGACAGGTTCTCAAAGAAGATAGAGGCAATTCCCACCAACGTGGAGCTCTCGTCGCTAGGTGCAGCGAAGCACTTCCGGGATTACGTGTTCAAACACCACGGACTCCCCCGAAAAGTAATCAGCGACCGAGGCCCACAATTTGTCTCGAACTTCATGAAGGATCTGATGAAACTCCTCGGCATTGAAGGAAACCCCTCCACGGCATTCCACCCCCAGACTGATGGTCAGACGGAACGGATCAATCAGGAGATAGAGCAGTACTTACGGATCTTCATCAACCAAAGACAAGACGACTGGGCTGATTGGCTCCCTCTGGCCCAATTCTCCTACAACGACAAGATCCACCAGTCAACCGGGTACAGTCCGTTCTACCTGAATTACGGACAACACCCATACAAGGGAGGCGAACCAAGAGGCCCAATACGGAATCAGGCTGCAGAGGACTTTGTTACCGAGATTAAAGACATCCGCAAGGAGGCCGAAGCAGCCTTAAAACAAGCTGCC